AAAAATTAAAAAACGGCTAGGCGCCGTGCCAACTCGTGACAAAGGCATCACGCTTCCGGGCGCTCCTCAGCTGTTCATTGCAGCTGGGCATACATACTCCCAGCCGTTCACTGAGGAAGAGATCAAAAAGAAGGTCATTAAGACCGCCGAGGAGTCGGTACCCAAACACCCAAACAGTACCACGAATTTCTGAAGGTCTTCTCGAAGGAAGCATCAGAACGGCTACCCGAAAGGAAGCCGTATGATCACGCTATCGAACTCGTGCCCGGCTACTCAACCTTCCACTCTAAAGTGTATCCCTTGTCGAACAACGAACAGGAGGAACTAGACAAGTTCCTAAAGGAGCAACTAGCGAAAGGCTACATACGGGAGTCGAAGTCGCCCATTTCGTCCCCCTTTTTCTTCATCAAAAAGAAGGAAGGGACACTCCGACCCGTGCAGGACTACCGCCGCTTGAATGCAATCACGGTCAAAAATCGTTATCCCTTGCCGTTGATCGCCGAGATGGTGGATAAGCTCCGCGGCGCTACGCTCTTCACAAAGTTCGACGTCTGATGGGGATACAATAACGTCCGGATCAAGGCCGGTGACGAATGGAAGGCGGCCTTTGTGACTAACCGAGGGTTGTACAAGCCTTTGGTGATGTTCTTTGGTCTCACCAACTCCCCCGCGACTTTCCAGGCAATGATGAACAAGATCTTCCACGATCTCATTGTCGGCGGCAAGATCCTTGTGTACCTGGACGATATACTCATCTTCTCCACCAACAAGGAGGAGCATGAGAAGGTCACACGCAAGGTTCTGCGCCGCCTTCAGGATAATGATCTATTCCTAAAGCCTGAGAAATGCGAATGGGATGTTCCCAAGGTCGACTACGTCGGCTATGTGTTTGGTGGTGATGAGGTGGTGATGGATCCCGCGAAGCTTAAAGGTATCAATGAGTGGCCGGTGCCCCGGAACAAAAAGGATGTTCAGAAGTTCCGGGGGTTCTCCAACTTCTACTGCCGCTTCATTAAGGACTTCACTAAGATCTCGCGACCACTCGACCGGCTCACAGGGAATGACCCATGGCACTGGGGCGAGGAAGAGCAGCACGCCTTCGATGAGCTCAAGCGGCTCTTCGCGACGACTCCCGTCTTAGCGCTGTATGACCCTAATCGAGAAACGCGCATTGAGGTCGACGCTTTGGGTTACGCCACTGGCGGCGTGTTGATGCAGAAGCAGGACGACGGCAAATGGCACCCTATCGCCTTCAGATCTCACGCTATGGACCCTGCCCAGCGTAACTACGAGATCTACAATAAGGAGATGCTCGCAATCATTGAGGCGTTAGACGATTGGCGCCACTATCTCGAGGGGTTACCCAATCAGTTCGAGATCGTGACCGATCATAAGAACCTCAAGTACTAGCGTACATCCCAGCATCTCACGCGCCGTCAAGCGCGATGGTCGCTGTTCCTAGCTCACTTCGACTTCCGCATCACGCACAAGGCCGGGATGTCCAATGGAAAGGCTGATGCCCTGTCGTGTCGATCAGACCACCAGATCGGCGATGAGGACGATAACACCGATCAGGTGGTTCTCAAGCCAGAGCGCTTCCGCATCGCCTTCGCTAGGCGCGGTCATGCCTCGGTGACGGCCGATCAGTCGCTTCTGAAGCGCATTCGGGAATGTTCGGAGAAGGATCGGGAGGTGGCCGAGGCACTTGAAAAGGTACAGGACCTTGGGCCGCCCCGGCTGCAAAAGGGTTTTGAGGAATGGAATGCCGAACAAGGGCTCCTGCTGTTCCGCGGATGTGTGTACGTCCCAAAGGACGCGGAGCTCCGGCGGGATATAGTCAAAATCCACCACGACTCGCCGATCGCTGGTCATGGCGGTCGTGCCAAAACCCTGGAGCTTGTGTCGCGGAATTACTGGTGGCCTGGGATGTCCAAATTCATCAATGAGTACGTAAGCACCTGCGACGTGTGCAACCGTACCAAGACATTCCCAGCCAAGCCCCAGGGCCCGCTAAAGCCGAACGAGATCCCTGAGCGCCCGTGGCAGATCATCACGACCGATATGATCGTCGGCTTGCCAAAGTCTGATGGATTCAACTCGATCCTGGTCACCGCCGACCGCTTTACCAAGCAGGTCCACTTCTCGGCCTATCATGAGACCCTAACGGCAGAAGGTGCGGCAGACCTGTACATCCGCGATGTGTTCAAGCATCATGGGGCCCCGGCCAAGGTCATATCAGACCGAGGTCCCCAGTTCGCTTCGAAATATCTCCATGCGGTGTACAAGGGGCTAGGGATCGAGCCGGCGCTGTCCACAGCATTTCATCCTCAGACAGATGGCCAGACTGAGCGCTGGAACCAGGAAATTGAGCAGTACCTGCGTGCTTTCACAAGCCACAGGCAGGATGACTGGGCGAAGCAGTTGCTGCTCGCGGAATTCGCACTGAACAACCGAGTTCACTCCGCGACCGGGCACTCCCCTTTCTTCCTGCATCAGGGGTACAATCCTGAGATCCAAGTGCGGATCAATCCGATGTCTGCGATGCCCACGGCCGCTGATCGGCTCGAGATCCTGAAGGAGATTCGCGATGACACGCGCTCTGCGCTCGAGCTATCGGCCGAGCGCATGAAGGTGTACTACGATAAGCACGTGCAGGAAGCACCGGTCTTTGTGCCCGGGGACAAGGTCTGGCTTGATGCCCGGAACCTTAAGCTGAAACAGCCGAGCAAGAAGCTCAGTCCCAAGCGCCTTGGACCATATGCCGTGCGGCGAAAGCTCGGAGACCTGGATTACGAATTAATCCTGCCGAAGTCGGTGCTGGTGCACCCGGTATTCCATGTCTCCTTGCTTAGCAAGTACACGCGTAGCGATATCCCGGGCCGGGAGCCGGAGGAACCGCCTGCGATTGAGGTTGAAGGCGACGAGGAGTACGAGGTTGAGCGGATCAAGGACTCGAGGATCTTCCGGTGTCAATTGCAGTACCTCGTCAAGTGGAAGGGTTATGACGACTCGCATACGTCATGGGAACCAGCGCGCAATGTTGCCAATGCGCCGGCCCTCATAGCCGACTTTCACCAGAAGAATCTGAACGCCCCTCGTCGACTCAACGCCGCTACCTTTGGTGGTCTCAACTTCCAGCCAATGCCTTCGCCACTGACTGAAGCACGATGCCGCTCCGGGTGGGAGATGGGCAAGGGCGCCTTGCATGAGGTCATGCGCCGTTGAGAGGGGGGTAATGTCACGAGTTGGCACGGCGCCTAGCCGTTTTTTAATTTTTCCTTTTCGCGGGCTCAAACCCACGACCTCTGTACCACCTGCCTGATATGGACGCATCGTTATCTACTGTACAATTAGATTAGATAGGACGGTAGTGCACGGCACAGCTCGGGCTCCGCTGACACAGCCGCTCTGACTCACCGGCCCCCGGGGCCGCGTCAGCATGCTGCGCACGGACCAGCTGCGCACGGACCAACGCGCACAGCCTGCCCTTATCTACCCCTGTATATAAGCCGGCCTCTGCTGCCCTAGGGACCTTAGTTTCGACCTCTTGTCCCTAGGTCAGTAAGCCCTCACTTGTATTTCCTTTCTTACTTAACTAACTAATATATTACTTGTCCCTAGCCTTAGGTTCGAGCCTAGCTCACCATCGCTTCGGTAAGAACCAGTCAAACGCCCCCAGCTTTTAGGTTTTCTCCTGTCGCTCGACCCCAAGTCGCGACACCCTTACTAACTAATACATTTCTTGTCCCTAGCCTTAGGTTTGAGCCTCGCTCACCATCGCTTCGGTAAGAACCAGTCGGACGCCCCTCGCTTCCAGATATTCCCCTGTCGCTCGACCTCAAGTCGCGACACAGGCAGTCTTGGGTGTGCATCCATGTCTACTGCCTATTTGGGCAGGTAACGGCACCTGATGGCCGGGTTGGCGAGTGGCACGTGCTCGACCTGTGAAAAAAGTCGAAACTCAAGTCCAAGCTCAATGAGATCGGTGTAGACCAATATTTTATATGGCAAGGAATGGTCCAGGTTTCAAGGTAATCCAGCCAGGGGCGGACATGTTTGTAAAAGTGTGGACTGAATAGCACTATGAGATGGGTGGATTTGGCGTTAACGGAGGGCAAAAAGTGTGCCTGGCCAAGATGGCAATCCGGAGGCAGCTGGACCAGAAGGCGGAGTAGCCGGGGCGAGGCGGCAGTACGAGCCGGACAGAAACCTTATCTGATTTGACACATTTGCGATCGCGGATGACATTATTCAGTCGCGCATTCCCACACAGGCGCACGACCACGTGACCCGGGTCGGCAGCGACGCTTGCCCGACATACCCAAAAGTCAACATCCCATACAGCACATTGTTGATCCGATAAACAGTTCACGACTTTTCAATCAACTCAGTCGCCGCTACGTCAATAAAGCGTAATTTCCTATCGCATACATCACAGTCAGTACACCATCAACAACGGAGTGTGGCTGGAACAGCGGGTCATAGAGTGTTTTCAGACTTCACGAGGAGTGTGTCGGGCCTACGTTGCATGTTCTGCGTTCGGATACATGGTCGGTCTCTGCGTGTCTCACTTTGCTAGAGGATGATCAATACCGGAACCTTTTCATGGGCCAGGAGATTCATGGTCCCGTTCCCCTCAAGGCGCACACTTTCTCGCCTGCACTTTGCTCGACAAAGCGGCTTCACATACTGATATTTTGCCCGACTCCGTGATTTCAGATATATCGACAAGCACCATGTCTAATCTTACATGCTGCTGCACGATGTAGATTATTCTGGAGTTGCATGGTAATAATGGTCGTAGTCGTGCGTCCGCTTGTTCATTATGCTGATTGCTTTTCGACTTCCATTGTCGCCTTACATTGAGAAGGTCGCGGCATCTGCATGCTTAGGCTTGCACTCTCTGTTATGATCGTGCGCATTGAACAAGTGTCATATCGGGGAGCTGATTGTAACACGTTAGGACTACGGCTCGAGATTGTTAACATGAGGCATGGCACGTCCTTACAGACACCTCTATGCCCGTCCGCATTTTATCTCGACCTGTTCCTCTCCATACCGTTGCAGCTATGCGTTTACGCCGTTCGTCGGAGCCAGGACCCTGCAAGGTGTGCAAGGCCGGTGTTGCCAGTCGACTGTCAGGTGTCGATCTTCAAGTAATCTGCCGGGAGAACAATTAAGCTGATATGACATGGTGTTCGGGTTGCACATACTCTTGCGCACAGTTGTTTTTGCAGTCGTGCTCTGCATTGTCATGGTTGTGGTACTTGCTCAGGCGGCAGTCCCATCGATTGCAATCCAGCTGTGATCATATTAGCAAATACCTAGGGTATCGCACAAACAAAAGCTCTTACGTATTGCGTCTGCTGAAGAATTCGGTGGCTGCACGAATACTCAACGTATGTAGAGAGATTGCAGCACATCGTACCCCTGGTAGTGTAAAGTGGTTGGGACAGTGGTGTCGCCTTTTATCCCCGCTCCTGGATGGAGGATCGCGGGATTTCTGGGCCTAAATTGTTTCAGCGCACGACAGGCATTGATTTTCGTCTGTTCACGAGAAGAATCACAGATACGTCGTTGAACCATGAGGTGGAGAGCATCAGTCGGAGCGAGAGACGGATAAGGCATCTATGATGAATAATTGCCAGAAAAGTGTACCTGTAGGCTGAAAGAATGGTCGGGGCTCAAATGGAACCTCCGCCAGCTTTTGCATCATCATACAGCGGATCATGGAGAGTGAAAGTAGCGTACACTCACGCCCGACTGGGTCGTAGCAAGCCTATTCTTGTAGAGACAATCTCCGGCCGCCGGATACGCATAAGCCTGCGGATGGCCAAGGTGGGGATGTGATTCAGTATGAGGACGGGTTGAACGGAGGTAATATCGGGAGATCTTCATGTCTTATCAGAGAATCCGCGTATATGGGCATGTGCTCGAACTTCTATCGGAGGCATCGACGAAAGTGCTCGGTGTTGAGCTCGCTTATCTAAATAGGATTATCGCAAAGCGATCAAAGTAAGTCTTGTCACGATACAGCAAGTATAGAACTATGATCTCCCTTGCTGAGCTCTCAGGACCACGGAATATCCATCGCCTGCTAGCTCGAGGCAAGCGTTCCGCTACTTCGTAAGCCTGAATTATTGTATCATTTGGTGATCCGGTGCCTGCTATTTCGTCTTCTGTAGTTGAAAGTGGGTTCCTGCAAAGAATGACAGTAACGGCGTGACCTGTTCTATAATTAATAAGCTTGCCTAAGCAGTACCAAATTTGAAGATTTTACGTGTCCGATACACGTTGTCAAGTTGGAAATTGGTATGAGCGGTCTACTTGACAGATTGACTTGAAGCGGATTAGGTATGTGTTACGCAGATCGTGCTTGCCGTATCCTACTTCTCCACCTGGGAGATTTGAATGGGAGCTGTCATATACGCAGTATGAATTAATCTCCTGATTCGTAGTGAATTGTTCTGCTGAACCTGTACTTACGTAAAAATAACCAAGAGCCTGCGCCCAGATACTCCGGGCTCAATATGTTGTAAATTCCTTCCCCAATAAGGCTGGAACCACTAGCAACGACCTACTTTTTTCCTGAGCTACAATTAACGCACAGTACTGCAACTACTTGCAATGTTCCTGACCGACCTCCGATTTTTGAGACAAGCCACCTTGCGATTTGTCCCTTGCACATGGCCAGAGATATTGAGAGCAGATCATATTCGTTTCACCCTTACCAGAGAACTACAGAGGAAGTCTAATCCCAAATCGACTCAGCAGAACGTTGCCGCAACAAGTAAACATGCGTGGGAACTCACCTTTGATCGAGCAATTGTCGCTCGTCATTGGTGGCTTCGGGCAGGGGCCTTTGGCCAGTAGTAGATCCTGTTGATTTCATGAGGTACAAGAAGCTCAGGGCCTAGGGTGGTGTGGAGCGCACCGACACCTCCTTAGGCTCCCATAGTACCCGCAACGGTTTGCGTCATCCTCAGAGGTACTAAGAAAGACAATTTGCTGACCGCAATGGTTATGACTATCTCGTTAGCATTGGGACCCAACCGGCGGAATCCGAGCGCATTCCGGTGATGTTTTCAAGGGCCCGCATCTAAGTTGTAGCAAAGGCTCGTCGCCATGTTCCCGGTATGCCGATCGTCATGAATCATGCACCCTTATTGGCGCTATCGGATTGTTACCGTGATAACGATGGGTATGGCAATGTATTCAGGTATGGTGTGCGGGAGCAGCATCGGCCATGGCATCGAGAGCGTCAATGTGTGCCGCGGATTATCGGACAGATAGGAATTCCTCGTATCCTGTGGGCACAGAGCGTGGTCAGCGCCGCGTCTCGTGATTAAATATAGTAGTTCTGTGACGATTTTCCACATTAGGCAGAACTGACGACAAAACTGCGACACCGCTTGTCTCGCGGTCTGTACCGAGTAGAGTCTACACCAATGTGTGTGTGCGACAATGGGCCGCCAGTCTGAGGAGTCGTACTGAAGGATTGCCACATGAAGTCGATTTATGTGTGCGGTCCTGAGTAAGTTCAAGTAGTAAAACTCCCGGGTGAGAAGATGTTGACAGACCTCTGAAGCGCACCGAGGTCAGGAGTCGCAGTCGCAGTCAAGAACGTGACTGAATCAAGACCTGCTGAAGAGATTGAGATACGCGTCGGAGAGCATGATCATATGCCTCGCTCGCCATTCTACGCGGTCGACCTTGCGTAGCATGGGTAGCTGCATCCATGTTCCTGCCTGGACAGTGGTGAACGTTGCTAAGTGAGATACTCACTGTATATCAGGAGGCTCGTCTGCGCCAAGGACATACACCAAGTCCACACCGGCGATGTCTCAACCAAGTTCCTACTATCACGACCTGCTCTGCAACCTCATTCCGATCCGTTGAAATGAGCATCTCGGACAATATCTGTGGCTGCGCACCAAGCTGCATCGGAGCAGACTCAAGTGTCCTTGTTGCACTCCCGGTGGCCCCAGATGATATCTATGACTCCGATGTCGTGTATGCGGCGATCGGTACGGGATGGCAATGCAGGCTTACCATAGACATCCAGCCTAGCTGAATTGACCCTGCCTTTCACGAAGATTAGCGAACAATATGCTATCAAACGTCGGGGCGCAAATGACGGTCACTTAATACCGTCTCAAGAGGGAAGGAGTACACCCATGAACATCGCATCATTCGGCTATTTCCGCCAGTCGCGCTTTGGTTCAGTTTGGCTTGAGTCGCAACCGACGTTCTTACCGGCTCTCCTCGGGCTATCTGAAATGCTGTGATGATTGGCATCACTCCTTACGGTAAGTTCGCGCTCAATTCGCTCATGAACTGTATACTAGTGTGCAAAAGCCGGTACAGCAGGACTTGTGCACCATTAGACAAAATGTGCACCTTTGCCGATCGGGAGCAAGTGCCGGGTACGCCATAATACTGTGCGCGCAAGCACAGGTCCATTCGCTAAAAAGGATCATTGACTGTGCACGACTATATCGAGGCTGAAGGCAAGTGCAATCCCCTCACGTATTTGACGTTTGAAATAACGCTGGCGCATCGTTGGGCGGAGGTGCAGGACTTGAAATTTGTGAACTGCGAACGCAGAATGGCGACCATGAGGTATGCATCCTGAGCCTGTCGTCTTCCTCCGTCGCGCACCCATTACATGATATTTCCCTTCGTTGCCGTCTTCGCACGGCCGGTCTTCACGTTTCCTAATCTCGCGTAGCTCGCCCGTCGCGAAGTGTTCTCTGTCGACGATCATGTCAGTTGGCACACGCTTCCCATGATTCCTGAGGTCTCTCAGTTGTCTTGACTCCTTCTATGGCGCCGTGCGCCTGAGGACGATCCGTCGCTCGTGAACGCAACATAAACATTTGTGCCAAGTTTAGCGAGATATCCTTCTTATATCTCGATAAACCACATTCACTCGTCATCCAGGGCAAGAGGGGCCTGCTCACTCAGGAATTACTGAACGCCGCTGGCGTCGTGCTTCGGTGACCTCATTTACGCGTCGCCCTCGGGCTGCCAACTGGACAACGCGCACATTATTAACGGCAAGCCAAGCCAAGACCCTTCCGGCTGTAGCGTGGGAGAATGTCCTAGTCGTGAGTCTGTAAACCTCTTCCTAGATGAACGTCTCAGCCTCGCCGTGGACACCAGTCCCAAGACATTGGCCATAGACATGGACACCAGTCCCGAGGAGTTGGCCCAGGACTGGTAAAACCTCCCGCCGCATGAAAAGAAGTTCTCGGATTTGCAGGCCCTTGCACGCCGTCCTGTCGGACGCTCAAGAGCTCGGAGGCCATTCGTTGGATGCTTCTTCTCATGGCCCGATAGCCTCACATGCCTCACCCGCGAGTGCTGCGCGCAGGTCGGCAGGGCCCTCCGAGGCGCCGTCTTTGGCAACGACATCCCAAGAGACAGGAACTCTCGTCGTGCAACCTCGATTCAACCCTCACCGCTGGCACGATCCATTCACTGCATGCGGTATTCAATTTTCTGGTACATGAAATCAAATAAAAATCGAAAGAAAGGTTAATTTACCTAATCAGTACTCTGGCGCCTAATATGGAAATGAAATCGAAGGAAAATCGATTATGTAATCCATTTTCCATTGTCTCTTTCAATTTTCCTTCGATTTTTCTTCAATTTCCATTCAATTTCTACATCAGTAAGATTCAATAGGTGCTATTTGCTTTTAATTCAATTATGATTTGATATTTTGTGCAGGCAAATTGATTCCTGCATGCAGTGATTGTCAGGAGTCCGGACATCTTCCGGTGAGTAGTGTTCTCGGAGGATGTGCCTGGACTCCGGACATTGCACGAACATTGGATAACGCCACCTTCTGGTTGGCCAGCACACAATCTCCGGAGGAAAGGACAGTAATCTAGGTGTCAATCAAAAACACTACCCCTGCCAGACGGTGTTCGGAGGATGTCTGGGCTCCGGATGATGTGTCCTGCCCGCGGTGCCCGCTAGCAGCCGAGACACATTGGACGTACATGCTACGCTCTTCTATCCACAGGGGCGGAGACCGCACGAGCACCGCATCCCCGGGCGCAGCGCGGGGTTGGGCGCGGTGATCTGCAACAGCGGGCTCGGTCTTTGCAGTAGCGGTGTGTGTGCGTGCCCTCCGGCGTGCGCGCTCGTGTCAGCGGATGTTATGCAGTGCCTGCTCCTCGGCGCCGCGAACGGAGGACGTCCGTTTTGGCGCGTTGTATCACCGTTTTCCAGGAGACATACGACACACAGCATGCACCGCAACACAGCGTCCATCCCCAAGTAATAGTGCCAGATCGTTGCCCGCAGCCACGATGACAGGAGTATGAGTTATAATGGCACGGACGCCACGACGGCCGCTTTGTCTCGCGACTCCTCCGCCCCTCCACCTCCAGCCCGCGCTCGTGCGCGTGCGCGTGCAAGCGCCGCGCACGGTGTTGTGGCGAGGGCTCAGCGTGTGTCGAACACCGCGTGTAGCCCCGAGAGATACTTCATGTGAGCCAACTTCATGTGAGCCAACTTACTGTGAGCCAATTCTGGAGAGCCGGGACATGGGGAGCGGGGAGGAGCGGGGAGCGGGGAGCGGGGAGCGGGAGCAGATCCCGAACGGCCATACACATACGTCTCCGTTGGCGAGTCGAGCAGAGCCGCTCCGTACGCTCAGCCGCAGACGCCGCGTCTTGGCGCACACCCCGCGCGTCTCCGGCGGCGGAGCGGTGCCGCCGCTTCCACGGCTGGACGAGCGGGATGCCCCGACGACGTCGAGGCCCTCACTGGGCGGTGCGCTGTGGAGGCGCGCGCTGAGAACCTGCTCATCCTCGGGGAGGAACGTTGAGGGCTATCGGAGGCTCGTTCGCACTCAACATGTGCCCGGGTGGTATGGAGTATCAACCCGTCGAAGTTCAAATAGAAGAACAAGCGGGATGCCCCGCGAGTGCGCACGGCAGCGATGATCACGCCGCCGCGTTTCCCGCCCATGTGCCGACTCGGGCTTGGGGCTCGTACCAGAACCACACACAGGGCCGCCAGGCCGGGAAAGCACGACCAAAGGTCGAGAAAAGCAGAAAGCCACCAGCCACCAGCCACCAGCCACGCTACACGCCACGCCAGCAGCGGTCCATTCTCGAATATTAATCAAGAACGAATCAAAATAAACAAATTCCTACACATTAGTACACACGAGCAGCGTCACTCCTCACTAGCACTAGCACTAGCACTAGCACTAGCACTAGCACTCCTACGCCCCAACATCCGACGCACCCCCGCCCCGCGCGGCGGCAGGTATATAGTATATAGTATATCTCTCTGGTATTAGGCCGCACGCACGCGAGTCTAGGTGTCCTGTCATTTCGAGCGTCCAGCGTCCAGCGGGTCTGCTCCCGCGCACTCCAGCGTGGTGGTGGAGGAGGGGCGCGCAGCAGCGGCATCAACAACAGGGCGCGGCGCGGCGCGTCCTCGAGCCCACCGCCCGCCCTACCACCCCGGCAGCTCGCGCGTGATGTAGTGCCAGATATAGTGCGTCCAGCCCTCGAGCACGCCCGCGCCGGTCATGATGTGCAGGCAGTCGCCCGCGGAATGCTGCCCGTCGCACAGAAACGCAATCAGCCGCGCGCTCGTCGATAACAAGAGGGAGTCAGCGGCACTCACCGCGTCGGGCCGCAGCAGCGCCGGGCGGTCGATCGGCAGGAAGTGGATGTCGGGGTAGCGCGTCGAGTTGAGCACGTCCTGCGCGCACACATCACAATACCGTCAGCATCGCATCATCGCATCCCATCCCATCGCGCACGGCACACGCACCTCGAACCGCCGATTAAACTCGCCGATGCTCGCCCAGTTGTACCACCCCCACACGAACGGCTTCCACACCGCCCACGGCTCGCGCTCGTCGTGGCAGTCCTCGTGCCCGGGCAGGTACGCGCGCACCACGACCTGCTTCTTCGCGGGCGCCCTGCCCCCGCCCCAGCGCGTGTGGGTGCGGGTGCGGTTCGCCGCCCACTCGTCCAGCAGGCCCTGCACCTCGCGCGCCCACACGCCCATCGCGTCGCCGAAAAAGTCCAGCACGCCGTCGATCCCGCGCCCGGGCGCGGCGTCGTCCGCGAACCCGGACATCAGCGTCGTCGTCCAGTGCCCGGCGGTGCTGATGACCAGCGTGCCGTAGTTGTGCTCCGGCAAGGCCCCGAGGAAGAGCTCGCGCACGTACGCGCGCGGCCCGAGGCTCCAGAACTGCTCCGCGCTGAACAGCGGGCGCGCCTCGGCGAGGGTGGGCCGCGTCGCGGCGTACAGCGCCTCGAGCTCCGCCTGGTCGAGCAGCAGGTCGACGCGGCGGAAGGTGACGAGCGGGGTCTTGGCGACGTCGAAGGATGGTGGGAGGGCGAGGTGCGGGAGCAGCGGGGAGGCGGGCGAGAGGTAGAGGTGCTGCGGCCAGGCGCGGTCGAAGGAGCCGCCGGAGGAGTAGTCGGGCGTCGCCAGGACGTGTGGGTAGAGTTCGCAGGAGAGCGAGAAGAAGTGGTTTTCGGTTACGGAATCTGCGGGTGTGGGATCAGCGAAGTGTACGGGAGGGGTACGGTGCGCGCTACTGAACTGCGCTAGTCGCTAGTATTGTTAGGCAGGCCGACGATGCAGTATCTCGTCTCGCGCTGGGCATGTAGGATCAGCTGTATCCCCGATGTCTTGCCGATTATGCGGGAGAGGCGCAACGGCTGATGCCCACAGGGAGGTCCAGGTTCTATAAAACCAAATGGACACAGATCCCGACAAAATTCGGACTCTGTGACCATTGCCATTGACGACATACGCAAAGAAATACCAAAAATGTTGGCTGGACACACGATAGAAGACGTAGAAAATTTATGCTCAACCTGATCGCAAAGAGCAGGGTACAGCGGGAGGCGGTATTATAGCCGCTCCTGCGCTCAGCGTGCGCGTCGGTGAGGGCGACGCGCGCCAAAAGTGACAGATGCGCCTGATGCAAGGGCGCAGGCGGATCATGGGAGGGATCGACAGTGGACCCATACTCACCGCCAATGAGGAGCCAGCCGCCGTTCTCGACCATGTCCTTGATGAGTGCGGCGGCGCTGAAGGGGCGGACGTCGCAGTCTTCGGCAGGAGACCACTGCCAGCTGGTGACGCTGGGCCAGCGGTCCCAGAGGGCTTCATTGTCGGCGGCGAGGTGCCAGTAGAACTCGCGGTTGCTGGCGCAGCCCTCGAAGCCTGCGAAGGCGAGGGCGTCGTCGGGGGAGTGCATGCGCATGTCGCCATGGTCGGGGACGGAGTAGGGGGACTTGGGGGTCCAGGAGCCGTTTGCCCACGCGCGCGGGGAGCAGGTAGAGGAGGGATGTGAGGGCGAGAATGCGGAGGAGAGGGAGCGGAGGGCGGAGGGGGAGAAGTAGAGGACGTAGACGAGGAGGGAGGCGGCGAGGGCTGCGACGAGAGTGCGGGCAGGGAGTGGGCGGTGGCCTAGGCCGAGGAGAGCCTTGGACATGGTGGGCGAGAGGAGAGGAAGGACAGACGCGGTGTGGTCTGAGACATGATCGTGCGGGACGCCATGGCTGGATTTCAGGCTTGGCAGCGGGATACAGGGCTCTTCCAGGCTCCACTCCTGACGTCGAGGGACGCGAGAAGGAACCCATCCTACTCGCGCCCACGTGCTCCGCAGTCTCGGGGCCCAGACGCCCGGCCTCTCGATCGCCCGCCCCGCACCAGATCAGGCAGGCACGACCCCACCGCGGACACCGACTCTTCTTCGCCCGTCTTGGCAGGGTCGCTGCAGCGTACACCAGCGCGCGCTAACCGACCTGACGGCAACTCTCGCCGCAGCGCCTTCGCAAGACACCCAACAACGATGGCTTCGCACACAACGCGCATCGCAACGCTGATGCCCGCCCATATTCGCCAGCACCCTCAAAGATACTCCACCTCTGCTGCGCACCGTCATCTCCCTTCGTGTCTCCCACACTGACATGTCAGCTACTGCCGCTGTTGGCCGCGCTAGCTGGTCTCAGGCCGTGCCCTCATCTGCCACACTGCGACATATCCGTTGTAAGACAAGGTACGCTCCATCGTCCTTGCCGCTCCTGCGAACTCGCCCGATGAGCGTGTGTTCGCGGAAACCTACGACCAGGTCAGTTGGAGTGGAATGAACTCCACTTTGCAGGAACTAACCGTTCGACACCCGAAGCTATAGACCTCGGATACCTCCCACATAACCAGCCGCCTCTTTCCATTCCGTGGTTTCATCATCCCACATCGTGCAGTGCCATGATAGATCACTCATGAACGCCGGAACATCCGTCACCGATAAATCGGCAAAACACAGCGGGTTTTCCAACTTTGTGGTACTGTGGAGTACGGGGTTTTGCAAAACATTTTGATGCCTGGGCCTATGTGCTCGAGCGAGAAAAATAGCTACTGTTCTACCAATCAGGCATCATTTCTAATGGTCTTGGCAGTTCGTATACCAAGTTTCAAGGAAATCCATGATGAATTGCGAGCAGTAGAGAGGTGCCGGCTGGAAGCAGCTAAAGTGCGGTAGTTCTGCAAACTCTGTCACTCACGGCGGCAAGTTCAAACTCCGCCGTGGCAGAAGCTGCAACAGCGCGACCAAGCGTGTCATCTGCAATCACGTTTGAGGGCGGGGATTGAATCATCACGCATGGTGGCAGGGAATGTCACGTTCATTTTGCAAACCATCCACACACCGCGATTCATTCTATTGACAGCATATTGGGCTGGAGGATCAAGAAAGGCATGGTTGGAACATACTAAATCGGATGTTCGATTGGGGACAACGGCTCATAATCACTGTACATCTGTCTTATCAAGAATTTGCAGAAAGCCATACAAAGTGTCTTAAGGCTCCCATTCCACAACAAATCTATTTCTCCTCAATCGGCTTCACAAGTAGACTACAATGTATGTCTATAATGTCATACAAGTGTCAGAAGTACAGTCTTTAAGGTAGAAGACGAGATCACGGTGTTTTGCAAAATTGATCGACTTTGCAAAACCCCGTACTCCACAGTAAGTAAGCGAATCCGAAGTTCAAAGACCGAATTTAACCCAATGTCGTGATCGATCATGAGGCCCGAGAACTAGGTCATTGCAAACACACTTTCGTATGACTATTGGACCTCCCAACAGTGCTCGCAGCTCACCCTCGCGGACAGGCATGGCTGAGCGCGCCCTTCTGGGATATCTTGACAAACACACCCGCCTCATCTCCGTCCCTGCCTCCCTTCGGTTCTTCATGTTCGAGATGCTATAACAAACGTCAAGCGTCACAGCGCACACCGCCCCCATCCGCGCCGTGATCCCCGCTCTCAGCAGCTCCGCGCCTCGCGTGATCGCCCCGTCCACATGAAACATACCCATACTCGCTGCTGGGTGACCGCCGCCTCCCGTCCCTTCAGCCGCGCACGCCGCAGATACGCTGCACGGATATACACTGCCCGAATATACACTCCCCCTCCCCCTTCCCCTTCCCCTTCCCCTCCCCCTCATGCTAATAACAATCACAGCCATCCCCGCGCCCCGCGCTGTGCACCGTGCAACACCACGTTCCCCGCAGACACGCCTATGTACCCTCCCGCATGCGCACACACCACACACACAACACCGCCGCACGCGCGTGCGTGGACCGCCGCCGTGGCCACGATCTGCGGCGCGCAGGCACGTGCGCGCACGGTCCCTGGAACGCCCCCTAGGGCGGCTGTCCGCTGTCCGACTCGACCTGAACCCCTGTGGCCCGTTGACACGCGTCCCAACGGCGGGCCGACCGACGGCCCACGGTAGCCCGACCCGACGGCGCCGGAAGGCAGACTTGCCGGAGCCGGGCGCGGCGCGGCGCGGCGAGGGGCAGGAGCGCGGAGACGGCGTGCATCTCCCGACCGTCCGACGCGGGAAGGGGATGCGCGTGCGCCGGCTGCGCGCCCGTGTCGGCCGCGTGCATATCGCATGCCGCACGCATTTTCATCTCGCGTGCGGTGCGCGACTCTGGCTCTTACTCGTGCGTGAGGAGAGCCCGCGCCGCTGATGCATGCCGCATGCCCGTGTCATCCATGGGGCCCGCGCGCGCGAACGGGCGGCGCGCCGCACCTTCCTCCTTGCAGTATGCCGCTGGTCGGCTTCTGGCTCCTGGCTTCTGGCTTCTGGCTTCTGGGACGGCAGGTGTGCTCCCTGCCTGGGATTGACGGGAGGCAGAGGGATGCGGGCGAGCAGGTGAGCCGGCCGGCGTTGGAGTTCGCATCCGCATGCACGATCACAGTCGATTTGAACTGTCCGCTCATCCTCGTCGCCATTCGGGTGCCGTGCCTATCCGACGGGGTCGGATTGCTGCACTTTGTGTGGCGGTGGTCGGCTCCCTAGCGCTCGATCTCGACAGCGACGCCGCCCGCGCTCAGAGATGCGGCGCCAGCGCACGAATCTGGCTCTCGCTGCTAGCTGGGTGCGGTCGCCGTAGCTGGCCCGGACGCGGGAGGAGGGACGTGCAAGGCACTTCGCTCTTGTCGAACGCGGGCCTCAGGGACGTGTTGTAGGCACGAATTGTCTTCCGCAGATGACGCGACCATGCAGAGCCCGTGATGGGCCTTGACAGACGCGCTGCTCCTCGTTTGATCATGCTGCATGATACGCTCTGGGCCTGTCATCACCGAGCCTGCACGCCCTGAACCACTTTCTCATGCGTGGCTGCATAGAGGGCTGAATACGCGCGTAGTTGCTTTGGTCCTGCGACGCGATGGGCGCGTCACGCTATCAACGGCGCCACAGCAGCGTCCTTGCATCTCCCACTCACGCGCGAACGCGGACCGAACCTGCCAAGCGCGCGTGCCCGTGCCTACGTACGTCTCAGGCCGTGGCATATGTCCCATGTCAGCGCGTCTCCCTGCCACGTCGGGCAACGCCTGTACATGCGTCACGAGCAGAGAGATCGCTTTGCGACGTACAACTGCGTCCGTCAAAGTACAGTGGTGACTGACATACCGCGATTGCTGTGCTCAACCCCCGTCAAAGTCTGCCTATGTCGCCCGCGGCTGTTGTGCACTCTCACGGCCGAAGACGATACGGTCGGTCTCCGATAGGATTGTGTGCCATGCCCAAGTGAGTGACCAACATCTCCGAACGTGACTGGCAAAGAGCCTGCTGGGAGCTACTGCAGTCCCACGGGGCGTCGATGGCGTGAGAAGGCATATACGCTTGTACTGACTACAAGGATTATCATTATTTTCTGCGGGGAGCGTGAGCCCGTGAGTCGTGCTGTATGCAGCTGTTGATGAGATTCACTCACTCGGGAAAACTTCCAGGACTGCGAGGTTGGCTTGGTTTTCGACCAAGAATAAACATGCAGTCTATGCCACATCAGGCTTAGGAACCAGCGTATCTGTGATCTGTGGATGCTACATTCCCAAGTACAACCTAGGGGGGTTCAAGATCAATCGGCGATGCTCACTAGAAAGGGGGCACGTAGCCCTTCAGGATCCAGCTGTTGTTTTGGTAATCCCGAAAATAATACATGATTTGTGCCGATGTGCAGCCGAATTATCTGCCCGAGGTATACATAAGACAGGCATACACGGCGGAGGATAAATGAAGAGCACGGAGAAGATGACGGCGTTGAAGTAAGCCATGCTGCTTTCATTGAAGTCGACTACGAAGGGTCAGCGATATCCGACCGAGGACATTGCAAGACGGTATATGAGTAAGTCAGTGGCCTTCAAGACGCCGCAGGTGCTCCGATACCCGATACTAGTGGCGAGATCGCTCGCCACCGGCGTTGGGTAGTTGAATCGCTGGTTCCAGATCGCCTCCGCTCTCATTGGCAGATGTCTGAGTCAACACGCCCGAGTGTCGTCGGATACCTTCTGTTATGATTGGAATTGTCTTGCGGCCTCGAAAAGGCCTGGGATGCGTCTCATTTTGTGCCATTTTTGGAAATCCAAAGTGCATGGCTCAAGAGTGTATTTTTGAAATGTGTCACATATGGACACTATCACGACGAGTATTCCCTCATAGATGAACATCGCCTATCACAAATCACGACCTGTAAGTGAACTGGGTATATACTGGGTATAATTCACTTTGTCTTTTCCTGCATGAATGCAATTAGAGTGTATCATCCCGATCGCAAAAGGAGTACCCACGCCTATACGCTTTAGGAACACCAATATCTCAGTGATAACCTCGTCCTGCTTGTCGTGGAACAAAGCGTGGCCAGCGCCCTCGTACATACGCACATCCATGTCAGAAAAGTGCGGTGTCAGCGCCTTGACCGCGCCATCACCGCTCATGATCTTGTCTCCGGTGCCATGTAAAATGAGTAGGGGCATGCCGGCCTTGCCAGCTTCAAACAGCTTAGCAGGGTCCTGAGCGCGCGAGAGCAGAACACCACCGAGCGCGGCTCGCTGCATCACGCTCTGGCCGATCAAGGACGTCTTAAGGGCGAAGGGAACATTGTCGGGATCGGCGAAGAGGCTGTCGATTAGATCGATCTTCGTTTGCGCGTAGAGTGCGGCATCGCTTGTGGTATTGAGGCCGGGTTGCAGACCGACCACGGTTGGGGTCGCAACGGTAAAGAGCACCTCGGGCGCTACAGACGGCAAAGAGCTGAGGAAGACGAGTCCGGACATTGGAGGTGGACTTATGTTTGCGCACACGTCCGTAGCAATCGCAGCTGGGCCTCCCGTTAGCAGTAGCCACAACGCTTGATATTCCAATAAGATCACCTCCGTAGCTCCTGCAGTAGAACAATCAGACACCGTGCGATCCCGCGATAAACTTGGACTGACCAGCCAACATGCAATGGTCTCTGTAAGTTGAATGCACGAAGGACCGCCGCATAGTCGTCTGCAAGCAGCGCGGACGTGTACGCTTCTTCCGCGGGCTTACCGCTCCTGCCGTGGCCTCGCATATCATAGCGCACCTGTAGGACATATATAGCGTGACGGAGCCTCGAAATCGGGGGATTCTTACAAGATATGCATTGTCAAGAAGACGTTCGTCACGGAAGACATCGTCAAAGACACCCGCCGACAGCCACAGGCCGTGTGCAAAAAGAATGCTCGGCTTGCTTGGGTCACCGACGGCTTCAGCCCAGATAGCGGTACCATCGCTGGATTGAACAATCTTCTCAATGGGCGTGTGCGACATGGCTGACGAGTTCGATACAGTATTGCCCTCCGATTCGGCCTTTTAGCAGAGAAGCAGACACGATCGCGCGGTTTCCCGGTTAGACTGAAGTCTCCTCCCACACACGCTGATGATCAATCCTTGTGGTATACCAGAAGCAAGCGAACCGCGTACCTGACGGCAGCTACGATGAATTACCCAATGTTACGCGACATAGAAAATATCCACTCGGGTGGAATACTTAACATAGCTGCTATTGCCCATGAACAGTGGACGGGGAACTCGCCCAAACGCATTTGTTGCTATGTTGAGTCTTTGACGCTCGAGCATGGGAATCGTTGTTAATTCGTACCATCACTTCGGTCATGAGGTCGGCGACCCGGGCAGCCTCATTTGGCAAAGAAGCAAAATTTAGATCTGCCATCTTCTTGCTGCCGCATTGGCAATGTCGACTTGTCTATCAGCGCAATTGCCGACTGATACTCGCTGACTTGTTGACGAGTACGGCGTACTAAGACTATTGAATCCTAGGCTTGACGGGACTGTAAGAGTATCAGCGCCAAGGCCAGGTGTCCCAAGTCACCCTAGACGGTTTATAGTTGAATGGCGGACGCATACCACAGTGGGTCTGAATGTGGATGGGAGTGGGCACTGGAGCGATCCCATCGTCGATCTGAATCTGCATGCGGCAGACCCCGAATCTTACAGCCGAACTGTACCTTTTATTTATTTGTTTAATTCGACGGGTTTAGACTCCATACAACGTAGGTACAAGTAGAGTGTAGACGAGCCTCCGCTAGCTCTTAACAATGGGCTCCGCGCCCTCGGACGGAAGCACTCAAAACTGAGCCCAGCGCTAGGTGTCAATGCCCTACAGTTTTCAGGCGGACAAAGCACGCTCCCCTAGGTAGGGGAGGCGCGGAAGGTCCTCGCGTGCGGCACGTCGCGCCAGCGCCGAACTGTACCTTGCCGACCAACATGATGACTCGAGATCAGCGCACTACTGTACTGACGAGCTCTTCTGCATCTCCGAATTGAAGCTAAAATTATGTTTTCTGTGCCATGACGACGACCACCACGCCCTGTAATTGTGGTAAGAACGGAAGAGACGTAAAGTGATTGCAGGTACATCGTAAGACTGTGGGATCCATCTATTTCGATGTATACATGTCTGCACCACTGCCTATTTACACCTTAGAAAACACAATCTTTGTAGTGTTTCCTGATAACTTTTGAGCCTCCAGACTAGCAATGCGCGCCGCGATATGCATCCCGCTAAGAAATGTTTACGAATGAATTAGGGGAATCTAAGAACGACTTACTGGGCAGAGACATTGTGCAGCTCCATATTCTCTCGAGGGTTGTTCTGACTATTAGATACGATGTCAGCGACATGGTGACGGAAGTTCAAACTAATATCTTGAGCTGAGTATGGCATCATCGCGTGGGAAATAGGATGCCGTACGTAGCCATCAGCGAGTTGACGTAGACTGTGGTTTGAGTAGTTAGCCGCACCGAACTCTTCATCGTGCAGATGTGGCACACCAGAGTTTCCTGGGATGATGAACAGTGCCCAAGGCACGACAGCGGTATTGACTGATGCACCGAACTGAGAAGTGCCATCAAGTAGCATGCGTGTAATATCAGGTAGAATCCTTACCGAGATGCATGCGGCGAGTTGGAATAGACTAAAACAAACTCGGTGTTCATTGAAGCAACTGTTGAGGCGGAAAGGCGTCACGTACGCAGTGAACATCCCACGCGTAACCGCGTAAGTGATGAGCCGCACAATGATATTCTCCGTCCTATCACAGTTCTCCGGAGTGAGAGACCATTCGAAAAGCTGCAGTGGGGAAACGTACCGTTGGAAACCAGTTCGGCGCCCGTACAATACGAAACATAAGGCAGCCGTGATATAAACGTCGGCCGCGAATGCAGCGGCCAATCCCAAGACACCCGAGACCTAGAGCGGGGGCTCACAACGAGAGCCTCAGATTCTCATTGATCTGGCTTACCAGGTTGTTTGCGATTGTCGTAGTCGCATCATCATCAGAGAACCTATATTTGATTGTGTCATCATCAAAACGCTCTAAAGTTGCAGAGCGACTTATATGTTAACCGTCTGCCCTGGTGTGTGTTAATAGACGGTTACTATACCTGACACATTGGAAGTTTGAAAACACGCACCTATGCCACATGCTATTACACCAAATATTGAGCATATATTCGGGAGTAAGAAGGACAGCAGAACGTACAGAATGCCAGTAGAGCCAGGATAACCTGTGGGATAGAATGATATATGGGCTATAGTGATCAGTGTCTAGTAGCGTTGTAACGTACCGCCAAGAAGGTGAGTTCCCTCTGAAAGCGGTGCTCTTTCAGAACTAGGATAGGACTATGAGTTTCTTTTGTTTCGAGCCACAAGGCGATACACCGCACGTTTCCATATGTTGATGACAAAGAAGCTGGTACGCAATGCAGTCAAAGCTTTGAATTATAGAAAATAGAACGTTCGTACCCATGGACGGCCACGATAGTCAATTTCTATTGACAAAGAAATCAGGAAAGTACACAACAAAGACGGATGATAAAACTGACCGAAAACAAGAAGTCCATCTGATCATGTGCGGCGTAGATGATTAAAAGGTCGCCCGTCGAAACGATCGTTACTCACCGCGAACGGACTGCAGATCACGTCTCATTGGTATTTGAAGAGATGAGAGTATATAGTACTCACACGGGGATGACCATAAGTCCGCTCGCTTGCGCGTGATTTTGGATCAACCAGAACCACAGCGACTGAAAGGGTACTCAGTAAAATCTTCAACGTGTGGTACAACTAGCCCATACAGCGGTGTCCACACACGTCCTCGTCGTATCAAGGACCCTGTCATGAGCTCTAGCGCCGTGCGAATCGGGGACATGATATTGCCTTACCACAACAAGAGAATCTGCGATGCCGGTTAGCAAGCGGGGAAGTCAGTGAAGAACACTACGCGCACATAGCCCTTCATGAGCCGTGAGTCTCTTGGATAGTGTTTGAAGTAGTATAGCATCTGCGCACAGGACACGCCATAGAGACTGGTCGTGAACGGGATGACGTTTCAATATCTCTGTGTCATGCAAACTTGGGTACGCACAGGGTAGAGAGCGCTATCCCAGAAAACAAGAGGCCAACCCAGTAGTTCAAATTGAAGGCAGACATGGAAACTTGCACGAAAAAGCATTGACCGCGCCAGCAAGGGGTCAAGGCTTGATTCCCGACCTAGATACTCCTTGATGTTTACTTCGTGCATAGGCCAGGGACCTTCGATCTACCATGACTACCGCGACATGGGCAGTTATGAGCGCTCGGTCATCGTCGCCTTCATCACCGGCTCCGTTGTCTGCCGCGCCATGAAATCAGATCGCAGAGCAGTGGACCACGGCCCACTGGGGATATTGAATATCTTGTGGCGATCCATAGCAGTTTTCTGATTGCGGAAATGGCGCGTAGCAGGTATCGTTCAAAGACGAGAGATCCCACCTGAGCAGCCAGAGCTTTCTACGCGAGACCAAGCGAGTCTCACCGGCGTAGCTAGGTCGTCGCGGATCAGTACAAAAGTTGTGTCAAGTGAAGATCTTTTTGTTCCGAAGCTAACATCCCACTTGTGCCTGAGCACCCAGCGAGTGGGCTGGGGAACGTACACGGTCCTGACAAAGGTATGAGTACTTTGGGGCACATACGCGACACGGATTAACCGTGCATTATAATCAACTCGGACTGGAGTATATATGTGCTTGAGATACGGTCAGCAACTCAGAAACATTGCTGACGTTGATATATAGTCAAGTTGTTTACCAAGCAACGCGTGACTTAGCTTCACAGACAAGGATATCCTTAACTTGTTGCCCATAGAAAAATCAACGCATTTTTTCACGAGACTATCTGTAGCGAGTTCAAGTTCAGTTCGGAAAAAACTCAGGATCCCAAAGTACTGGTCAGTGCCAGTGCAAGATCAGGTTCGAACTTCTTCGCCGACCAAGCAATGCCAAACAATCGCGTCTGTGGCGTAGCGCTCGCGGGCTACGGTTGAGACTGGCGTTTCGCTTCCTTCTCATTATGGAGAATCCCCATGCAGAACGGCAGAACGTGCTACTGCAGCGCATCACAAAGAATGCGGTACGTTCTCCACGATTGTCGCGCTTGCATGCTTGTAAAGACAGTCTGTTCAGGATAAATGTACTGAGACTATTGTGGAGCTCAATCATTGCCTGGAGGTGGGATTCTCGACCAGCGCATTTTACTCCAAGACTCATATACATAATCTACAGGAAATAATCCGTGCCAACGCTCATGTGCAGATCGCAGCGGATCTTGTCACCAAATATCGGAAGAATGTTCAATATAACCTAAAGGCAACGCGTGAGAGCGAAGCTACCTGAAACGCCGTAGGTCTGCGCTGTTAATGTCTATTTGAGTATATTTTTGACATGGTCTCGCACCTACAGCCCAGATAGCGCATTACTATCTAAAGTACGACTTCGACGACTTCACTCGAATGGGCCCCTGTAACATGGAGCATACGCATCGGCGCGCTGTTGTACTCCTGGAAGGCTGTAATACTACAACCAGCACATCTCTCTCTTGATTTCTTTCATCCTGTGGAAACTCAACGCATATGCGTCTGAAATTGCAAGAAAGCTGAGGGAGGAGTGCTCTAGATTGATCCACTTAGACTGAAAGGATCGATTCGACCTCTGTGGCTAGCCCACGCCCCTGTGTTTGAGCTGTGGCCAGCATGGAGTCGGTGGTGTATATGAGTCGTAGTGGAGTCTAGACAGCTCACATCCTAGCGGTAGCCGAACACGTACCGGTAAAGAGGGACTGTGCTAGTGGCACAAGGTGCCCAAACATACAAGCAGATGACGGCCAATCACCGATGAGCGGCCTACGAGATCTTCTGCTTTGGCTTAGTGGGAGGAACCTAGCACCTGCCTCATAGCACTATCAAAGTAAACAAAGCTACACCTTGGAACAGCACCGTGGCCGTATATAAAACAGGCCCACACAAAATAAGTTGAACTTTTGTGAACATGAGTTATCGCTAGTTTTTCAAGCACGCAATTGAGTGATGTGACTTAGTGAGATGGTTAGCGCCGGAATCGTGAAAGCGGTGATCCTATGCTATTGATATCTGGTACCTACTGTAATTGGGTGCACTGCATGCAAGGATGAATCTTTCTGTGCGAAAAATCAAATAAGTGCTATTACTTTTTAATCAATTATTATTTGATCTTTTGCACTAAAAATTAAATCCTGGGTGTCCTTGCGTAACTCCGGCGGAAGCGGTTTCACCAAAGCTGCGGCAAGGCTCCGGAGTTAAACTACTCTCAAACTGATGACTTCGGGGCCTTTACCGAGTGGCACAATGTGAAAGCATGCGCAGAAAGCTATTCATCCTATGGGAAGAGTTCGACGCCGATCATGAAGCCTCGCTTGCTCCCGCCGCTTCTGGAGACTACCAAGTTCAACTCCACGTTTGAAGAGGGAAGGGGATCCGCTCACCCCCCGCCCTACAACGACAAAAAAAGAGAAACAGGATTTCCACACGCGCGGAATATTTACGTACAACCTAATTCGATGTGCGCATCTTGTCCAGCCGACAATTGTAGGACAAAGACATTATGAGATTTGCACATTGAGGAGTGTTTCCGTACAAGAGTGTGGTGCCCATTGCTAAAAGAGATTGGAGGTTGAATCGCACTCTCAATGTACCTACACTGTATAGAGTATAAACCTGTAGGATTGAGAACTTGAGAACTTGAACAGCACTTGACCATGGTGACGTATGCGAGCCGATAGATCTGAATTTCAAGATCGCATTTCCACGTGACCCCGACGCGCTCAGTGGCATCTGTCCGAAAACGACCTGGCGCATGTCCACACTCCCGCGCCACTACTAATGACCTAGTTCTGACATCGCCGTGCACGCCCTTAATAACCCCTACCCTCTATCCTCATGCTCTTCGCATCGCTCTGCGCGGTAGGACGGATCCGCATGTTGTCAGAAACGGACTCAGACGGCAGTGCAATCTGTGACGTGCAGCATGCTGGACCCGCCTCAACGGCGTATTGCTCACGTCTGACGTCGTGCTACATCTTCTTCGCGATTTACGAAAGAGAAGCCCAGGTGATAGCAAACTGCGGCTATTCTATTGCTGACGCTTCCACCATTTGGCGCGCGTACGTTGCATCATAGATGGCATTCAGATCGGTACGTGTCCATTGTACTAGGGGTCCCCATGGAAAGACTGATCGCTCTCGTACACGAAGTGCAGTTTAACCGATGTATCTTCAATCCACGCAAGCATATGCGCCGTGAGGGAATCGCGATATTCCGTACGTGTGAGCGGCACAGCCCATATGACCATCCCATCTTATATGCTCGCGCCATTACCCTTAGCCCTGGATCTCTTGCTGCGGTACTAATTTCATGAAATGACGGCTATTAATCAACGTCAGAAAACCTTCTAATCACGTGTACACATGAGACGCAATCTGCGTCCACCCAGATGTTCCCCAATTTACGAAGCTATGTGCAGTCATTCATTTTATGATAGGCATACAAGGTGTGTACCTCAAATATAACATACGAATGAAGTCTTCTAGAGCCTCGTTGATCACACGCCATCTAGTAGCACGTATATACAATACCTAGAAGGGTGAGTAATTGCAGCAAGGAGATTGCATACTGCAGATCGTGTCCCCCTTCGAATGGCATGTGCTGGCAGGCTACTGGTGCGCTTTCGTGCTGCTCTACACGTTGAGATGCTGTGTCTACCAGCACAAATCCTGCGGCAAACTTGATGTCTCCGCCGAAGTGACAGTCTTGTCCTTGGCATCTTTCTTGCTGCGTTCTCGGTCCCGCCGGAGCCTTTGTGCGAGCCCTACCTGGAAGCGGGCGGACCAAGCACCTCGTCTATTGCGAAGGGCTGTGGTCGCACGGCTACGGTCATTCGTTCCAGATACAGCTCGTCTTCCCATGCTCACGAAAGACATGTTGTTGTCTAGGGTCATCTGAGCAGTGCTCCAGTCTTCGCAGGTCTTCCTGTGGTCGGAGTATTGCTACCCCTGCCCCCCTCACGACTGCTGCACCAGATTCGATAGCGTTTTCCTCGACTGTCTATTGGACGCGGGATCTGTTCATAAGACCAAGGCTGCGGCGTCAAGAACTTCCGAAGGCGGTCACTCTATTACTCTGGGAAATCTAGGTGACGCCAGTGTCTTCTCTGCGTCACTTACAACGAGGCCAGTGTTCGCTCCTGAATTGTATTCTTCTGGAGTCTCAGTCAGTCATTCCTCTGGCGGCCGGAATAGGGTCACGACTCGGCGACATTGGCTATCATGCTAGGGTCTCAAGAGCTGGACAATTATGTGCATATAACGCGCTTGCGCTTGTGCTCGGTAAGCGTCTACTCGGGCGCGTCACATGCTACCTCTACAGTCGTCGGCGCACTTGTCAATGTCCATCTGGTCTTCCAGCTCGGTCCGCTCCTTCCTGTAGCTCATCTTGGGTGATCAGCGCTATATCTTCGGAACAAGATATGAATACGCTCATTCCCGTGGGAGCTGGCCTGCTAATCTGGGGACGCCGCAGACCTTTGGGGGTGCTGGCACCTCGCCAACGCTAATCTGGAGCTTCGAATGCATGCATTTTCAATGCGGCTAGTCGAGTCGCGAAATCGCGGAGCGCGCGCAGACTCTATCGGTGAGGCGGATATGCTGCGAGGGGCCTGATCGGGGTTTAGGGCCGGCGCACTCGGGTATCGTATGGGCGCCTTCCTGATTAGGCAATCTCACGCAACGTGGCGGGCCTGGCAGGGAGACTTTGGCACGAAGATTCTCGACTGCGTGTCGGCTCTTGCACCCAGGGCCTCGTGTGCGTTTCCTTACCTCACATCGGCTAGTGTGAATAGCGGGCCATCGCACCTCCTCTTTTGCGACACCCATGCCTCCCCCACCGCCGCCGCCGCCGCCTCCGCTATGCTTTCCGTTCTCTCGCGGGAAGTCGCGCCGCCGTCTCACGTTCTCGGAGCATGACGATGCGGGCTCGACACGATCCAGTGTTGCCCGACTGACACAGCATCCTAGCGGCGAATACTCTCCTACGGCGACCCTCACATCTCGTGCAGAGAAGCTGACGTTCTCGAGCGAGACCGAGTCCTACGAGTCAGCCCGCAATCAGCGCAATGAAGCCATTGAGGTCAAGCCTGCGGTCCTCCGCCGTAACACCACCAAAGGCAGGAGCACCATCGCCCCTTCTCGTGAGGCTCCGGCGCCGGCCGCTAAGGTGCAGCGAAAGTGGACCTATGGGTATGGATGGGGTACCGGGAAGAAAGAGAAGGAGCGCCAGAGGCAGCAGGAAATAGAGCAGGAAGAAATTTACGACGAGCCCGAAGCCTCGCTGGACCTGACGCGAAACCCATCGCAGGACAGCGGTCTCCCTTTGTACCAGTCACCACGCCCGTCTACCAGATCAAAGGGCTCCAGTGGCATCGAGTATCTGAATCCGTTACCTCCACAGTCTAATCCTGCGTCTCGATCTAATACCTACAAGTCGACCTCCACAGGCAGGTCGGTGCCCAGATCTGGAGGGAGCGGGAGCAGACGGCCTCGTTTTAATGCCGCAGACTCGGTCGATACGCTTGTGGGCTCCGCTTATGAGCGCAAGGTCAACGATCTTGATCCCATTCCTGAGAGATTCGACACTTCCGGCCGTCTAAACGCGTTGAGAGAACTAATGAAGAAGGACGATCTTGATTATTAGTAGGTACAATCTCTGATGAATTCTTGATGAGGAAGCTAAATGATCTTGCACGTTCGCTAGCGTCATCCCGACGGAGGATGCCCACGGCTCTGAGTACGTTGCTGTCAGTGACAAGCGACGAGAATGGATATCTGGGTATGCTCCACCTCATTCTGTTCATTCATTTCGCGACTGACGTTACACCCTCAGATTCACCGGCTCTGCTGGTCAGGCTATTGTTTCGAAGACCACAGCATACATGGTTGCGGACTCTCGCTACTGGGTGCAGGCTCGTACTGAGCTTGACGACAACTGGAATCTCGTTCAGGCTGGTCATGTCGACGGGCCCAAGGATTGGATCGAATGGCTTACTGAACGGGCTCGGGATGTTCGCGTCGGAATTGACTCGCGAATGGTCTCTCACCACACGGCGACAGTATTGAATCAAGCACTGATTGGGAAGAATTCCAAGCTTGTTTACCCGCCTCAGAATCTCGTCGATCTGATATGGGATGGCAAGCCGTCGCGATCCCGGGAACCCATCTTCGTGCAGCCGCACCGCTTCACAGGCATGGAGGCAAGCGCGAAGTTAGCAGATTTACGGGCGTGGATAAGTCGGCAGCCGCCCTCCGTTCCGACATACTCCAAGTCCGAGCCGAAGCCGTCGCAGATGCAGGTTGCCACGCTGATATCTTCTCTTCCCAATATCGGTGAGTCACCATCATCATATTGCCCACACGTAGCCGTTACTGAAGGAAGCGCCATCTGTAGCCTGGCTCCTCAACTTGCGCGGCGATGATATTCCTTTCAATCCTGTGTTCCACTCGTATCTATTCGTCAGTCTGGATGAGGCGATTCTATTTATCGAGCCTGCAAAGGTGTCTGCTGAGGTAGACGAATATCTGCGTTCGATCAGCGTCGAAAGGAAAGAGTACAACCAAATCTGGAGCTTCTTGCGTCTCAAGCCATGGGGCGAAGGGAAGGTCTGTCGCTGCTTCGCAATGCACGCCGTGCTCATACTCATAACGTTGATACACTTAGGTTATCATAACACCCGAAACGTCCTACGCAATATCCCTCATGTTGACGGGCTTCCGCTATACCGTACTGCCATCAGAAGTCGACAACATGAAAGCCGTGAAGACCGACGTCGAACTTGCAGGATTGCGCAACGCATATCGCAGGGATGGTGCTGCCTTTGTGCGGTTCCTCGCATGGATCGAGGAGAAGATTCAGACTGGCTTTGAGATCACCGAGTACGAGGCCGCCTGGCGTCTCACGGAATACCGACGTCAAGCGAAGAACTACATGGGCCTTGCGTATGAGAACATCTCGGGCAGTGGTGCGAATGCTGGTAAGCGGCAATGAGTGTGCAGTTGGTCTGCGGAGATTGATCACCTGATTACAGCTTTACCGCACTACACCCCTCGCAAGTCTACTGCACGGTTCATCGATCGAGAGACGCCATATCTGAAGTTAGTATCCCTTGCCACATATGCTTAGTGGCTAGTCTGACCGGCCTCCGCAGTGACTCAGGAGGACAATACCTGGACGGCACATGTGATACCACGCGAACCGTGCACTTCGGCAGGCCTACTGAAGCCCAGTGCGAAGGCTTCACCAGAGTATTGCAGGGCCATGTAAGTCATCGATTCCTCAAACTACTAGCCTGTGTGGCTCATAGTCGTGCCTCACTAGATTGCCATTGATAGCGCTATCTTTCCTGAGGGAACAAGTGGCCAACAATTGGATGTGCTGGCACGGAGAGCCTTGTGGCAAGACGGGCTCAATTATGGGGTGAGTGATTGTGTGAACATCGCCTCCATTGGAGACAATTGACCGGATTCTCTTATCGTAAACAGCATGGAACTGGTCACGGAGTCGGCTCCTTCTTAACTGTCCATGAAGGCCCACAGGGTTTCAGTTCAACTGTCCCACTCGTTCCTGGACACGTCGTGACGAACGAGCCTGGCTTCTGTAAGTGATGTCCGTTGAACATCGGAGGACATTCTGTTGATCCGTCTTTCAGACAAGGCTGGTGAATGGGGTGTCAGAATTGAGTCCGCTCTCATCGTCAAGAGAGTCCGGGTACGTCAACGACTTCGATGTAGCATACCTGAGCTAATATCTACCCTCTTAGACCAAGAACGAGTTCAACGGTCGGGTGTGGCTTGGATTCGAACGGCTGACATGTGTACCCATCCAGACAAAGATGGTCAAAGACGTGATGCTATCGAAGGAGGAGCGTCAGTGGCTCAAGGTCCGTCCGACGCGCTTGAATGTAGCTCTGCTCTGGTCTCACTGACTGATTTTTGGTTTCCCTAGACCCACAACAGACGCTGCCTCGAGGAGCTCGAGCCCCTTCTACAGGAGGACAAGCGCGCGCTCAGGTGGTTGCGCAGAGAGGCCGAGCGTGGTATTGGCCTCGCGAAATCTGGCCCTGGCGGAATCGCCATAGACTGGGATTGATGCCCACACGACCTGTTATGTCTCATGTTTCATGTCTTCTCGCTGTTTGATGTTTTGCTAAACTGTACTTTTTAGTTACATTACCTTGACGATGGGGTGTCGCAGGGCATTCCCTATATCATCACTGAATCTTATCCCATTTCCCCATTCTTATGTATGCTTCGCATCGTGCAGCCTCCGATAGACTTGGATTTACTTATTGCGCCCACATCCGTGTGGCCAACCTTTTCTTCGTAACACAACTGCTGTTCTTACCGTGTACTATTCACCCTCGAGTTGCTTTGCGCCAATGCTGGCTTATCTGTATAGCTGGAACTGGAATACAGTGTTGCTTTCGTTGTAGACAGATCAGACATTCGAGCAGCGATGTCAACGATGTCAACCATCCATAAGTAAATGCAAAAGTGGGAAAGATAATATGAACAGCGAGATAGTACACAATGACGGAGAAGGCAAAGATCATCTGCGATTTGTCTTGCCCATCTTCCGTTTGCCAGCAAACAAATGCTTCGGCTGCACAACAATACATCAATGAATGCTCGATCTCAGAAATGAATTTCCCCACCATTTTGGTCTTGATGGCACGGTCGCTCTCTCCGGCCTTGGCCTGCATATTGCGGCTTCTGTGACTGAGATCCCGCAGCTTGATGGCTTTCGATGCTTGCTGTGAGAAGGACGCGACAAGTCAGCACGCGCCCGTCACCTCCGAAAAAGTAACGTACAGCTTCGTCCCGCATACCCCCCAACCGACGATCCGTCCTCGGCAGCTTGCCCTTTGTGATGACAGCGCCCGAATTCGCCTTCGCCCGCTTGCTTGGCGTCGGCCGCTCTTCCCCATCGACGTCCATCCACTCGTCCTCGTCCTCCGCGGCTTTGTCCTCGTCGACGTCCATCTCCGCCTCCTCTTCCTCGCGCTGCCGTTTCCGCTTCGCGCCAGCAATCTTCGCGAGCCGCTCGGCGCGCTCCTGGATGCGGCTGGGGTCGAGGCCGGCCTTGGTGAGCTCGGACGTGAGTTCGGTAATCGTCCGCAGGCCTACTGTCCGCGGGAGTTTCGCCTGGTTCTTCATAGCCTTCTTGCCGCTCTGCGAGACAAGCTTGTGTTGGCGGGAGACCTTCGCCTCTACAGCTTCTCGCTCATCGTCGGAGTCAAACTATCACCACAAGATCAGATACAAACTAACGGATGAGCGGCGATGCGCACCATGTCTTCCTCACTGTCGTAGAAGCCTTCTGCTTGCAGCTTCTCCTCTTCCCGCTCGAGCGCCTCGAGTTTCTCGAGGATGTCGGGGTCAATGAAGTCAGCAACATTCTTGCCGTCCATGATCTCCGGGATGACGTCCATTTTCCACTCAGGGTTCGCGAGCATGTAGTTCTCTGGTGAAGAAAGACGAAGGTCAGCCGTGAGTCACACTGTCAATAACAGAGACGAACTTCGGAGGTTGATATTGTATACTCCAGGCCCGCCCTCCTCAGCCTCAATGTCCTTCTCCAACCTCGGCCGGTCAGGATCGTTCATGTCGAACTTCTTCCGTTCCTTGATTGCTTCAGGAATGAACGGCTCTCTGACGAGGTCGTCGCGCGCCTTCGGCTGCGCGACATGCAGACGGTTAAGGATCGAGTTGATCTTGTTACCCTTAAGCTTCTGGTCGACCCGGTGCTCGAGAAGCGCATCGCACGCCTTGTTCTTGAGCTCCATGACACCCTCATCAGTGTAACACGAGACTTGGACGTGCATCGCGCCCTCGCTGTTGATAATCTCTTCGACGAGCGCGCGATTCTCCGGGGAGAGGTCATCGAGGCGCGTCACATCGATCTTGTTGATCACTAGCATGGTCGGCTTGTTCGCAAAGAGAGGCTTGATGGAGTGGTAGAGCTTGCACTGCGCCTCGATGCTATACCCGCATTGCTCGCTGAGGTCCATGAAGTAGAGCACGCAGCTCTTCAGATGCGCGAGCGCTGTAATGCTCTGCATCTCGATCGTGTTCATATCCTCGAGCGGGTGGTCGAGGATCCCGGGCGTGTCAATCACCTGCCAGCGCATGTAGCGGTAATCGAGGTGACCGACGAAAAGGGACTTGGTGGTGAAGGCGTAGGGCTGGACGTCGACATCCGCGCGGGTGACCTTGTTAATGAAAGATGATTTGCCGACGTTTGGATAACCGCAAATAAGGAGGGTACGGGCGGTGGGGTCGATGTTGGGGAGACGGGAAATGTGTTGGCGCACTTGCTCGAGGTAGGCAAGTGGGTCTTTTTGTCGGCGCATGATCGTAGCCATGCTGTAGCCTGCCGTTAGGATATCATCTCACAAGCAACATGCTCACTAACCGACCCAGTGCAGCCCGCTTGAGCTGCTTGCATCGGTACAGGCTGTCACCGAACTTGAGAAGACGAACATAGTCTTTTGCGACTTGGTCGATGAGATGTCTCGCGGTACGAAGCTGACCGAGAGCGAGCTTGTAATGGTTTTTATCGTACAGCACGTTCATAAGGGAAGACAGGAATGGGTGTATGTCCTGTACACACTTTGTTAAACCTGACCCTACCCAGCTCATAAGAATTGGTGGAACGCACATCAAGCATAGGGAATTCTTCCAAGATGGCGCTAAGCTTTTCATCGAATGAATCTTGCGTGAATTTGACCTTGCGCATGTAAAAGTTTCGTATACGACTGATCTTGAAGTTTTTGTGGATGACCTAGAGTACTATGCTCAATGTAAAGGTCTCCTAAATTGCTCCTGTCCTGCTTACCGTGGGGGTCTTCCTCTGCGTCTTGGACAAGACGATGTCGAGAAAGTCCGCCGCCGTAGGCACGGGGGAGATGGCCTTTAGTCCGCTGGTCGACATGTTGCTAGCCCAGGATGATGTGCGGAAGGAGTATGAGACCTGGTGAGCGGACGTCGCTGCAGCCCGCACCATCCTGCAGGCCTTGCGGGGAATTTTTGAATTACGTCAGCAATGCACGTGCACAATGTGATGGCGGGGATACCGCATTTGGGGCTCCGCCCCGAGCATTGATTCGATCACGATCGTCATGCTGCTCGCCAGGTCTTGATCAATGTGTCGGCTCTCTCAAGCTCCACGTCAACATCACCCCCCCAGACTCTATTGTCACAGGATGTCTTCTACATGTTATCAGAACTCGGCCTTACTCTTACTTCATGACTCAGAAGCACAAGAAGAATATTACCGGCCATCACCAACCCGTCCTGCGCCCACAGAGCTGGCGCACATAATTCTGCCTCATATCTCATTCGGTAAATTCTCCCTGACACCCATATCTTCCTATCGCCTGCGACTATCACCGCCGACCTCGCCGAGAATGCCGCGACGTGGCGCATCACCTTCAGTTCCTCGTTGGCAACATCCTCACGCTCGACTTCTCTGACAACATGTTCCACCTCACCCACGTTCAGCATGTTCTGCGTCACGTCGCGGACTCCATCAGGACGCTCAATGAGACGCATTGCGTTATCAAGCCCGGTGGAGTTGTCGCGCACGATGCTCATATCATTAACAAGACGCTCTGTCCGGAAGCTGCTGGATGAGCAGGATGACATTCACGTACTTCTAGGGCGCGCAAGGATGGTGGCCAGCCGCGTGCAGGTCGGCGGCTAATCTCATGGGCCATGAAGGTACAAACCTTACTGCTAATACGGCGAGTTCCTGGTGTTACACCACGCTTCCAGGACGCGCGCTGCATATTAGCATATGGGTCGGACGTGTGCTAAAGCCAAGGCTTCCGACCACCGAGCTCGCGCTTGGGCTAGCCACGCGCACAGCTGGAAACGATTGCCGCAATGTGTCGCGCGTGGGATCTCAAGAAGGTATCCGATGCGCACCGGAGATTGTGTCCACTGCCTGTGTCACGCAGACAAATTGCAGGGCGCGTCTTCCGTCGTGTATCTCCTACTGACATCCTAACCTATGGTCGACGCATCTTGCTGCGCACCGCAATCACAATCACGAGAACATAACTGTAGGCGGTACCGTTGATTCTGTGGAAAGAAAAGAACACAGCGGATGGTATTGGCGGAGCCGGGCATTGCGTCTGCCATGGGGCCCATGGGCAGCCATCGCTGTTGTTGTCGTCTACCATCTTGGCCCCTTTTACAGCAAAATCAATAATGATAGACCTCACCTCGCAAAATATACATTGGGGCAAGGTGGGGCAGAAGCTCGCGGCAGAAGTCGGCAGTGATGCAGAGACGGCGACAGGCGGCCGATTAGAGACGGGCTATTGAGTGAGGGTCGTGAGGTAGATGTTTGCTGTAATCCCCTCGTCCTCTCGCTGTCATGGTCGGTAATTGATGATATATCCATCTTGCTCAGAAAGACCTCATGGTATACATGTCTGGTTCCATAACCAACGGCCAGATTGAGGAAGCTACCGACTCCATCGCGTCATAGGGTGTAGGAGTTCGTCGCTGTCTGGTTTTGCTTGCGGAAGCAGAGCGCGACTGGGGAGACCTCGCCAAGGTGACGAACATTGAGACATTGGTGTAGCCCTAAATGGGGGGATCGTACATGAATTTCGGAAATGGTTGTATATGGCTGCCGCGAACAACGCTGAGATATCTGAGGGATGAGAGCACGTCACACCCGAGGTGCCGAGCGCCGCCATGCCCCATGACGCCTGTCTGTACTTTTTGCGAGGGAGATTTATCATTCTAGGTATTGGTTGACTATAGCATTTCGAATTGAACAGTACAATCCCAGTGAATTGCAGTGCCCGTAAAGCTGGTGAACGGCAAACTATAGCGCTCAAAACATCAAGGTGCAAGCAAATTGAGATACATTATCTCTTTGAAAGGACATTCGCCCCGAGCTGCTCCGAGTCATTCTGTGAGACTCACGATGACAGCGGACGAGCGCAAAACATGCGCTATCAATGGACTGATGGATCCGTGACATACGCATCGTCCTCCGCGTTTATGACTATCGGGGACGCGAAGTGTGCAGACTGGAATCACCTGTGGCAATCATATATAAAATCATGGCCGGTACCGTACATTGGGCATCTCGTATCAGACGTGCTGATATGCAGTCATAGGCGCTCTGGATGAGACGAAGAAAAGCGGCGCATCACTGCAGGACATTGCTTCGCGCACGAAAACGTAAGCCTCGCAGCTACCACTCGGTCAGGCAAGGCGAATAGATCGCCGAGACCGTCGGGGCTGTGTCAGGTAACCCATGTCATGTCACTCACCTTCTGATTCAACTGGTACCGCACATTGATGCCAAATGTAGCACATGCATGTACCCTAGACTCGCAGGCTCGTCAGGCCTCAGAGCGATCTCGGGCATGGCAGACCTGAGTATATCGACGGCGGATCATGGAGATTCATCGTGACAAGTACAGTCGTTTGCTCTTGGCAAGAGGCTGTCATTTGAGAAGATTTACGACGTGGACGTTTGACGGTGCGAATTGTGATGACCGGTGGAATCTGCAAGACGTATGCGTGGTTGACTCGGCCAACGAAGCGCGCGCAGCTGCGACGCCTTGCCACAATGGCGGATACAACTCAAAGTGATGACGCAACAGTCAGTGGAGCCGACCAGGCCACTCACCGGAACGGCTAGATGTGTTGTGGAGGGCAGCCGCGCTCATGAGGAAGTGACACGAGGCATCTGGTTTGATATACTACATTGCTGGATCGCACAGATCTCATTGCCCAAGAGCTGATGCTGGCCTGTGTGGAGAGATCCGGCATTGCGGCTGCGAAGCTTATGCAAGTGCGCACATGCGAATCTGGGACTCATTGGCGGCGTTGAGAAGGACCTAAGAGTAGATGTCTCCCACGAGGGGACAACAATTGACCAGTGAACATCAAACTCAAGCACGATCGGACGCTGGAGCGGCGTCCGTGGGCGTCATCCATTTTACAAGGGTGTTCAAATTGACAGCGCGAAGAGGAAAGTCTGCGGCTCGACGGAGAGGAGAGCGCTCGATGTCAGATGGGAACAGTCCGCGTGGCAAGACACATAACACCGAGCACCCCGCAGGCTATCCACCTTGAAGAAGTGGCAAGGATGCAGGGAGTTGTATTTGACCACCAGATATGATGGTTAGTGAATCTGATTCCGCGGATGAGAATGGTGGCTGAATATGAAGGGAGGTCTGGATTAGGATCTGATCGAAGAGCCCGAGACCGCGGACACGGTGGTTCCTGACAATCAAAGGCAGTGCTCCGCATTGAGAAGAGCGGCCATTGGTATTTCTCCATCACAGCTCTACAGTTCCCGTGAGATATGGCGCCAGATTATCCAACTCCTTGCGAAGACCCGCCATCAGGCAGCCACGGCCCTCCTATATTCCCCAGATATGAGTACCAGTGCAGCCGAAGGCGCTACGCAGTCGCCGTACGACTCGCCCCCCTCCGCCATGACTCTCCCTGCCGTGCTCTCGCGGCGCTCGGTCGACAACGCCGAGGCCATACGTGTCCACAACCAAATTGAGGAAGATCTCAAGGTACGTTGGTACGCGCGTCTTGACGCGTCCGTTCAGCTGCGCTGATGCCGGTGTCATGCAAGCGAGAGCACGAACGGCTCAAACGCAGGCGACCTAGAGAAATTAAAGGTATGTAATCGAGATTCATCGTCTTATCGGCAACGGTGTGAAAACACGAGCCTCGCATCGACCATCCTATGTGCTGCGCGTGCGCATTCATGGTAATCGTGCATGGCCGATCCACTACCCTCTCTATGCTAGCGCCCAAATGCGCGATATAGCCGTGCTCACCAACCTTCCGACCAGTGATACTACTTGGCCAAGCAGAGTCCGGCAAATCGACTCTGCAGAAGCAGTTCCAGCTATACTACGCGTCACAAACCCTCGAATACGAAAAGCCGACATGGCGTCCTATAGTCTACTTCAATATACTCAAGGCCATTCGTATGATCCTCGCCGAGGTCGATTACGAATACCTGTCTAACAAGGGAACCACATCCGTCCCCCAGTCAATATCGCGGGGGTCTAGCGCGTCTGGCTCAGTGTCCATACTCTCGGGCCATGGTGATATAGACCCGGCATGGGTGATGGAGCTTGCGCAGCTCCGGAGCAAGCTCTTGCCCCTGGTGGCCAGCGAAGAGGCCCTCGCATCAGAGCTGAGCGGAGGCATTACCGTCAGCGGTGGCCGGTCAGGCTTGTACGTCCGCGCCGGCTGGCAGGCCCTCAGCACTGCAACACGGACGTTCCAGCTCTCCGACATTCGCAACGGCATGGGTCCCCGGGCGCCGGTCATGACTGACATCGTCGCGAAAACATTAGTGGCGAACCAGGACGAGATCGAGGACATGTGGCATCATCCAGCCGTCAGGCATCTGCTCGCGATGAACAAATTGCGTCTAGAGGAGTATGCGCCATTGTATGTGATGGCGCGATATACCGAGCCTATATAGCAAGCTCTGACGCAGATTCTCGTGACAGTTTCTTAGACAATATCCACCGTATTGCACAGCCCGATTATCTTCCCACCGCAGGCATGTTCAATGTTTAACATCACGCTGTTCGTACTCCTATTGACACTTTGGCCTCAGAGGACATCCTCCACGTCCGGATACAGACGCTAGGGGTGAAGGAACACTCCTTCGATGTTGATATGGCAGGAGTTACATACAGCTGGCTGTTGTACGATGTCGGTGGTGCCGTATGTGCTGACTATGCTCTGTTCATGTCGGTGCATATCTGACCACAGAACACTTTTGGCTTCATAGAGAGGTCAGGTGAGTGTCCCAGCTCTGCTGCCAGGCCCCATGAGCGTGGACATGTCTAACGACACTTTCTCGCCTACCGAACGAACAGCGACAAGCGTGGGTACCCTATTTCGAAGACGGTACGTCGATATGTTATCGCACAGGATTCGCTCACGTCGGCGCCCGATTCTCGTTGTTGATTGCTTCGGGCTTCTCATTGCGGCCTGCGCTTTGACCGAGGGCACCATTGCTGAACCTGTTCCGGTATAGCTACGGCCATCATTTTCCTGGCACCAATCAGCGCATTTGACCAGGTATGTGCCGTCCACGCGCTCCCCCATGCATTAGCCACCATATGTGGCGGCGACGGTCATGGCAATCTGACAAGCATCTTTCATTAGTACTTGGAAGAAGATCCGCGGACCAACAGGATAGATGATTCGCTGCAGCTGTTCACCTCTATATGCTCGAACAAGCTGTTGCAGAAAGCGGCGCTCGTCCTCATGCTCAACAAGGCACGTATCTCCATTCTATGATGGTTGAGATGCCGAGTGCCGACATTGACGTTTGCTTCTGTTCCATTGTGGTCGGCGTGTGCGTGCCGCTGTGATACCGTGACGGTAGACGGACCTCCTGAAAGAGAAGCTGCAAGCTGGTATCCGAGTGCGGAAATAGTGCGTCTGCCGCCCATTTACTGGAATGCCCCGCACCTGATTCTGTGATATCGTCCAGCATCTCTTCGTACGGAGATCGGCCCAACACGTACGAAGAGGTCTCGGAGTACTTCCGCGCGCATTTCATCCAGGCTCACAAGCGCAAGGACGTGTACCACAGGCCATTATACGTCGTGGGTGTCTCTTCCGATGCGTTGTCGCTGCGCGCACATGCTGATCGCAATCTCGCCAATAGCACTTTACGTCCATGCTCGTACGTATAACCCTGGTGCTCGTGATACATGCATCGCTCACGCCACATGCTCCAGGACATTAAGGCCACCCAACGCATCATCGTAAATGGTACGCCCGGTGTTTGTGTCTCCTTCAGTGCTGATTGATCATCTTATCCCCTTAAGTAAACGAGGCGATCCTCCGAAAGCACATGTCAACCATTGGCCTGGCTTGATGCCCCCATTGCCGGCTCTCTCTTATCTTTGGATATCTTCCTTGGTTATAATATAGCAGAACGGAATTGCTAAAGTATTTGAAATGGTATCAGAATATCTCGACCGGTGCTCACAGTGATGCCTTCGTATCATAGAACAAGATTGTATTACTTACTTCGACTTGGCTCCCAATTGTCGCATTCACGACGTCGTAATCATCGTAGTTACAGAGACTCGTCCCTATATTCAAATACAAGTATGTGGAAAAGTATATGCCTGTGTGCCATTTGATCTTTCGTAATCACCTCTCTTGGAGAGGGTAGGGGTGATTCATAATAGTCGTCAGTGAGATATTTATGGCGAGAAAGTGGAAGTAATGGGCTGCATAGAAAACCTGTGCCTTATCCTTGCATCCCGTTATCGAATTTCGTGGCGGTCAACGTAAGATGATAGCAGTCGCGTTGCATCTTGCTGCCCGGTATTGTGATTTCTCGGTAATGGCTGGATGGAATGTCAGAATGCCGTAGAGATTTAGAAGGCCGGGATGCGCCATTGTACTAGTCTCTCTGGTCCGACAATACCAACACATCTTACCGGTATCGACGGTAATGCTAGTTGTTGAATGCCCCGGTACTCAACTAACTCGAATTATACTGGGAGGACTCATCTTTGTGTGCTGATAATGAGGCTCAGTTCAGACTGATCGGGGCATACACGCAAGGGCTAGATATCGTATTGTCATTAAGATGCAAACAGGCTGTCGGTGAGCATTTGTCGGAGGTTTTATAGTTCCTCGGATTTTTCTGTCCTCGCCCACTTTTCCATGCGCCGCTTCGGCTACAAGCTCCGACACTGTAACGGCAGCTTCACTGCTCTTACATCTTCACTCCCACTCCCAGTTCGCCACTAATCGAGCAACCACCGGTTCGCTGATATCGCGCCAACCACCCGAAGCGAGCGGTGGAGACAAGCGGTCTAGCGTCGTGACTTCGAAACGGTCACCTGCCCACGCACCGCGATGCAGGTCGCCGTTGAAGTGCATCGCTATCGAGGGATCAGACGACCAGCATATCAAGGATAACAGAACGTTCCCGAGGCCTATGGACCCGGGTGGTAACGGTCCGTCCGGTGTGTCGTTTAGGTGAGCCGCTATCGAGTCTTCCCGGACGTACTCCTGCTTCGTCAAATTGCACAACACCCAGTAATGCACCTTCGCTTTGCCAAGGTAGTGACAATTCGGCTCCTCGTTGGAGATGCTCATGTAAAACTTAAGTTCTCGCTTTGGGAGGCAGCTCCATACATCGTAAGGTGGTGACCAGTATGCCTTTGGCTCGTGCTCGACTCGCTGATAAGTCTCGGAGATGAACCCGTAAAAAAGCTGCTTGTCCTGGTCCTGAAGTTCCTGCAGCTCGGTTTCAGACAAGAGCCCTTCTGGAAGATCGTCAGTCCTTGCGTAGTCGCCAAGGCAGATTATACGATCGCCCTTCCACCGTTGCTGACATAGGCAGATGAGTTCGTACATCCGCTGGTGGCCAAATGGTTCAAGCAGGGGGGTTGCAAGAGTCAGAAACAGCGCATCTTGGAAGCTTGTGATATTGTCGAAAATGAAATGTAATATCTCTCCTGGCAGGTCCAGACGACCGAGTGCCTTTCCGGTTTCCATTGTACGGACATATGGCTTATGCTGAAAACAAAGCATTCATGAGTGAACATCAACAGAGGTGAAACTTGAGCAGGGGCCCACCTTCGCTAGTGCGGAGTCGGGCGCAGGGTGAGGGAATGGCGTTAGGATGAATTCGATCAATGTCTCAAAGTCGTCGTAGAAGAATTCGCCAAGTTTTCCCCACGTGCCAAAATTCTCCCGCTTGTCCAGGTTTGCTCTGACAATCAAGTAAGAATTAGAGATAGCGTGCGCAGGCGTAAAGGTGACAACGCACAACATCCACCATTGACCCATATCGGAATGTTGTGGCTTGGAAGGTACGTGACTTTCGAAGTTGTGGATTCACTAGCTTTGTTAGAATAGTACTATGATGACAGTCAAAATTGACGGGGCTCCTATTGTTGAGTGGAAGCACCGCGGGGTGGCCAGTGGCCACGGATCGACTTACGTAAGTGCATCACATGGAGCACGTGAAAACATGTTAGTGGTACTTAGGGAGTTGTTCAAATCCCTTATACTGCCTTTCACGTTAGAATTTAAAATTGCACAGCGCGTATTTAGTCCCTAAGGATGCCCCCATGCCACGTCAATAGTTCAATTAAGTATGCTCGCCAAGGTGTCTTGACAACAGCGTACACAAATCTCGACCCAGTCTGGATCTCCAATCTACGAACATACACCGTTCGTGATAATTCAGGAAATCCTTCGTATCGACACGGTGCTGATTTCTACATGGTCCGCAGGTGGTGTCTGGCTTCTTCAAGCAGGATGGACCTGCCGCAGGTGAAACTGCCGCGGAGATTGGACCCGAGGGTTCTTTCCTGCTCTAGTCAACATCTACCGTGGATAGGGAAGAGCTACGCATGCTTACCCTACCTTGTGGCGACGTCTATGAGCTTCCTCCGCGCCTTGGACTTCTTAATGACAGCGCTACTCGTTGGAGCAAACGAGGATAGCCGACATGAACCGGTTTGCGCCCGAAGAGACTTCTTTCAAGGCCCTCTTCTTTGGCAGACATGGACAAGGCTATCGTGCGTCCTACGACCATGCATAACACATACATGCAGTGAGAGTGACATGTTTTCTGGAATGCTCAAACAACATCGGCAAGAGGAAATACGGCCCTGACGTGAGTACGTACTCTCGCTCCATGGACGGATGGCTCATCGCCAATGATCAATGATCAACCCTGCAGGTCTGGGAGGAATGTGCCTGTTTCTCTCTTCAGAGCTTGAGGGTGATTAACTTATTCTCGTTGCTGTCTAGACATTACTCCAGAATCAGCGGAGACGCAGAAATAACATGGGGACCTGATCCCTTACTCACATCCCTTGGCATGGACCAAGCAAAGCAGGTTCGAGCAGCGTGTTCAGCGGAAATCCCGCACGGGATTCCGGTCCCACAACGTTGCTATTCTAGTCCTCTCGATAGGGCGCTGACCACCTGGAGGATTACGTTGTCGGAAGATGACATTCTCGGCCCGCGAGAGACTAGACGTGTTTTAGTCCTCGAGGCGAGAGAGTTCATCGCACATTGGGAGAAACATCAGGATTTCCGCGAGACTTACGGTGAGCATACATGTGACAAGCGACATCCCCTGAGTGTCATACAGCATAGCTTTCCTCCGCCAACGTATGAGTATGAAATTGGCATGAGCGAGGAAGACGTACTGTACAGATCAGAGGAGCGCGAATCAGAGGACCATGTTATAGAGCGTGCGATATCAGTCCTTGACAGGACCTTTGACGTGGTGGACGACACCTGTACGCCGGTGTCTGATCTCAATGGTCCATGCCGCTGATATGTATCCTTCGCCGTAGTTATATCGATGACTGGGCATGGCGGGATCATCAACGGATTTCTGCGAGGGATGGGCCATGGATACTATTCGCTTCCTACTGGAGGTGAGTTCGAAAACCGTGTCCACAAGTGAGGCGGGACAGAAAACGGAAAACTGATCAGGTATCAATACCCAGGCATTATGCCACTGGTAGTAGTGCGAGGTGACATGCGTCCAATTGCTGGAGACGTGCAATATTAGCCTATTCGGTGCGATTTGGGGCAGTATACACACCGACTCAGGGGGAAATGCATGGGCGTTTGATGTCTGAAACCCTATAAAGTTCGCTGCTCAACGACCTTGTATATCTTGTCAGTGGAGTGCACTCGATGTTCCAATTCGCCTGTTGGTGCACAGTTGTATTCGATTGCTGTGGCCCCAGCATGGCGACGATTGCCATATATGGGACTTATCCGCACCCTGTGACCAGCATTCAGATAGCGTCGATAATCAACGCAGTGAAAAAAAGGGATACACGTCACCTCTTCTTGACGATATCTTCCGCTAGGCTGTTTTCTCTGCTGCCGTAGGAACGACAAGGTTTCTTGGTCGAGTGTGGGTGCCAGGCGAGACGGGACACGCTCGAATATTAACCGAGATATCCGGGATTTTAGGGGGTAATTCGGCGGCGGACCGCTCGATGTCGACAAGGCAAAATAAGAAGCGCAAAGGACGCAGCAATGCTATGAACCGAGAACGCACCGTCACCACGCTCACAGAGGGCCCTGAAAGTTCATTCTTGATTCCAACACCCACAGAAGAACCGGCAGGCAATCTCATGTCCTCGCCGTTTTCTGTTGCTTCATCTGGCGGTGGTTCGAACATCTCTCCTGCTGCCGCCTTCCAGCTGGCGCCCAACAGCTTTGCTCCTTTCCCTTACAACGGATACATGCCTCCTATGCCTCCGAATTTCGGTCCTCCTCAGCAGCACTTCTTCCCATCGCCTCCGGGGCCGCCTGGACAGAAGGATCTGGAAGCACTTGAGAGACTCAAGGATACTATCAAGAACGGCCAGCATGAGTTTTTCCGAGCCGTCCCACAGCCAGCTGTACTTGCCAATCTCTACCAGGGACCAAGGCAGCCCCAGTCTCAAGTACCTCCTCATCCTGAGCAAGCATCCTCGGATCGTCTCCAGACCAATATCGCGCCCAAACCTGCCAGCGGTACTTCTTACGACAATCCTGCTCAAGCTGCTGCGGGCCTTAATCCTGAGCTCAACACGAGGCTCGGGCCTCAAAAGTCGGACCATTGGGATGGTTCTCGTAAACTTATGGCACCACCCTCTGTGAGCGACAGTTATGCGAATACAAATGTGCTATCTGCATTGACTGCACTGTGCACTGCGCGGCTAACACCAAATATATGTTTGCAGGCTGTTCTCATGTCGCCAGCCTCAATTGCACTTTCCGTTTCTCATACCAGTTCGAACGAGAGCTTGTCTAGATCGGTTCCCACATCTGGAAATGACCCCAGGCTCAAGGATAGCGATGCCAACGTTTCCAACAAACCCTTGTTCACTCAGGATGCTGCCCCTCGGTCAGCCGAGCCAGAGAGGGCCGACAACGGTATGGGAATTGCATCTGCCCGGAGCCACGAACCACACAGCCTCAGTCGAACACAGTCGGAGAAGTCTCTTGTCAAGGAACCGTCAAGCCCGGAACAGAAGCCTTTTGCAGTATCACAAGCTTTGTCTTCGGTCTATGATGGTAGGGACGACACCCGTGTGTCACGCGAATCTAGCTGGTCTTATCGCAACGGAATGGACAAGTCGCGGCATGAGCCTGACCTTCCCACACCTCAAAGCGGACGTTTCAGCCATACACATGACAACGACAATCGCAATCCTGGGTCATCTCCGAGGTTCTTGCCCAGGGAGAAAGACAGAGAGTTAGATCGCGACAGGGTCAGAAGTAAGGAATACTGGGAGCGAGACAGAGTTCGAGAAGAACACTGGGATCGAGACAGAGACAGGCGCACTGACTACACGAGACCCAGAGACGACAAGCGTACTGACGACCGTCCTCGGGCTTATGAACCACGCCGCCCTCCTACAGAGCAGAGACCCTACGACTCACGTTGGGCAGAGGCGTCTCGCCGGAATGATACCACTGCCAAACCACCCGGTGACGCGACGTCTGGTGCATCTCGCATTGATCCACCGGATGATCGCAACCCTCCTGATGTTCGCCAGTCTCGACCTATCACTGAAGAACGTTCAATAAACAGGATACCCGCGGATGTACCACAGACAAAGCCTCCTGTCGACGACCATCGTACAGCTGTTCCGCTATTACCTACTGACCGTCCTGTCAGGCCTTCGTTTGATGATCGCCGGGGGTTGCCCCCGCCCATTGATCGTCAGGTGCGAGACTCAGACGATCGTCGTGCGCCTCCGTCTCCTGTGCTCCCTACTGATAGGTCAGCGCGGCCGTTTGATGACCGTCGTCATTCGATTCCTCCTAGTTCTGCTGCTGAGCGCCCCGCGAGACCTATGGACGATCGCCGCCTTCTGGTTCCCCCACCGGCTACCACGGAGCGACAAATGAGGCCCCCTGAGGACCGACGTCTTCCTCCACCCTCCCCAGTGATTAGTGAACGCTCAGCGAGATCGAGTGATGACCGTCGTCCGCCTCCGCCTCCGCCTCCAGTCGCAGATCGGCAAGTAAGAACGGTAGATGAACGTCGTCTTCCTCTGTCTTCTGGTGACAGGTCCATCCGTCCACCTGTCGACGATCGTCGGCCTCCGCTTCCTTCAAGTATTGACCGCGCATTTAGACCAGCGGCAGACGACCGTCGCCCGAACCCTGCGGCTGTAGATGAACGTACTTCCCGTCCCCCAGTTGGCTCTCAACCAGACTCGATTGTTCCACGCCCTTCAGTCGATGAGCACATCCGCAAGCCAGTCGGTCAAGATGATATCAAGCCTCGTCTGTCTGGTCCTCTGGAAGATCGCATTAGTAGGCCCCCACCCTTGCTTCAAGATCGACTGGGCACAGGTGGACGCCCCGACGGTAGACTTTCTCACCCTCCGTCTCGTGCAGATGATCGATCAGGTCGACCGGCACCGACATTGGAAGAACGTCTTTCTCTCCCTCCGGGTGCAGACGATCGAGCTCCGCGCCCTCCTCACTCTGAAGACCGTGCGATTCGCCCAGCAGCATTCCCTTCATCTGTTTCTGATCGTGTTCCTCGCCCTGGCCCTCCTGATGACCGCAACACTCTGTTGGCAGAACCTGCTCGACCTGTGGCTGGCCACAATGACCGTCTCCTTCGACCCGATGAACGAGGCAGACCCCCAGTCTCGGACCGTTTTGGTGCTCCTGTTCCACCCTCCGGCGAGCGCAATGCTCCCCCTCGCGCATACCACCCTGCTCCTCGTGCAACCTCCGTAGCTCGCTCCTCCCCGCGTGGCCCGTTCAAGCCACGTTCGCGGACGCGTTCACCAGCGCGCTCTGATATTCGTGAGTTCCGCCCTGCAGGCGACCACCCACGCGAGCGGAGCGACTTGCGCCCGCCGTATCGCGAAGCAGATAGGTACGCTAATGACCGCCGCGTTGAGCCTTCGGACGTCGACCCGCCTAGCCGCTTCGGTGCACCATATCGCAGGCCGGCTACACCTGTAGCCGCGGATGAACCCTACACATCTCGTGCTCGCCCGTGGGCGCCATCTGGAGAAACATTCACTGACGATCCTGCCCGAAGACCTGTTGATGCTCATGCATATGGACGTGACTGGAGAGAAGGGGACCACGCGTACCCGGACGACTGGGATGCCCGGAACGGCCGCACGTGGGAGAGACCTGTGCGAGACTATGATCGAGATAGAGTACTGGACCGAGATGCTGGGGCAAACAATGGATGGGAAACCCGTGAAGAGCGTGAGCGTCGGGTATCGTCGTCGTTCCCTCCTCCGCCTGAGCATCCGGCTCCTGCGCCGCGATCGTTCGAGCAGCGTCCGTTGAGCTCACGCCTGACAGACGGGTATATAGGAGACGAGCCTCGTTATGGGAGGGAGCCTGAACGACCCCACTTTGCCTCTACCCCGCCGCCAGCAGTATTCTCTCGTGTCAGGCCTCGAAGTCCGAGCCCAGTGAGACGGCCTGGAGCTGTGCTTGACGACTTGCGACCCCCGGCCAAGAGACCCCGCGATGATGCTTATGGTTCATCTGGATACTATCCCCCAGCTCCTCCTGCTGAAACATTGCCACCGCGTTCTACTGGTGACTACCCACCTTCACGCCTGAGGACGCCTCCCCCAGCGAGTAGTGCTTCGTATTACGACGATCTACGAGCATCTGCGCCCCCTCCATACAACTCGTCGGCCTCTGTGTTGCCTCGTGACCGGGACTATGTAGACTCTCGGGAACGGGCACCGGAAGTCACGGGATATGTACCTTACGACAGGCGTGAACCTGTATCACGAATGCCTCCGCCACGCTCGCCACCATATAGCAGTCGCTATGGTCGGGACGATCGGAGGTACAGCGTCCCTCCGCGCAATCATATCGTGAGTGATCCTGTATAAGAATGTATGTTGCTCAGGCTGAATGAAGCGATCACAGTCCTGAAGGAAGCTTGTCAATGTTGTGCTTTGAAATGTATCGTGTCTGGATTTACTTTGTCCCGTGCCATCATCTTGGTTGTAACCGAGTGTACGAACTTTGTCGTATTCATGCACCTTGCCTTACTCATGTACTCGCGCTTCTTGTGTACACACTATGCCTATGCGCTATGTCCTTATGCAATCGTCTGCATGCATGTTGGCGTATTCTCCTATCGCGTGCCCATGAACGACCAACAAGTTGACCCTGCTGTGACGGAAGTCTCCCACGATCATGCGGGCGCTTGATCTCTGTTAGTGGGGTGGCGGTACAATACAACTCTGCGCTGACTTGCCAGCTGCGCTTCCCCGCAATCCTATCTTCCGTCGTCATGAGTACTACAGTGTCGCCGTTTGCACGCAGCAGCGTATTTGATGAACTTCGTGTCGGCGGCCGCGAGCAAACGGTAAGCTGCGTTCGCGGGCTTGTCACCCTCTGAGACATGAGCTTGAACAGGACGCCTTTCATCGTACTTGCAGATAGAGGAAATGTACAGCGTTCCGGAAAGCTTCCTGGAGATCGAAGTCCGTAACCCGCAGACACACGGTAAGCTACGCCTACTTGAGTAGTGCTAAATGAATTGACGGTCCATGTGTTAGGATTCGGTCGGAAGATGTACACAGATTATGAGATTGTGTGTAAGGTGCGTCCTACCGTCCTGTTTCGTCATCGGCTCTTGTGGTAAACATTGAACATGTGTCGTCGAAGACCAACATCCCTGCCTTTAAGCTACGCCACTCCGTCGTGCGCCGGCGATACTCTGATTTCGAAGCGTTTCGCGATATCTTGGAACATGAGTCAACGCGTGTCAATATACCGCCTCTGCCTGGCAAAGTCTTCACCAACCGCTTTTCTGATGAAGTTATCGAGGCACGGCGTGAAGGTCTTGAACGCTTTCTTACAGTTGTCGCCGGCCATCCTCTCCTGCAGGTAGATTCTACTCATCTCCATCTTCGATCTGTTGTCTCACATGTTCTGCAGACCGGTAGCAAGGTCTTGTGTGCATTCCTACAGGACCCTGCTTGGGACAAGAACCAGTGGCAGTGAAGGGTGAGCTGTCACACCCAACACGCGCACACCATGGCAATGATAATGCAGCCGACAACGCTTATCTCCCCTTGTACATAGTTGGCTTTCTTGCCGTACGTCATTTTATTTTGTGTTGTTCGGAACATCCTGTTATATGTACTTGTATATCCGACGCGGATGAAACAGGTAGCTTGGTATATCAAAACTACAGTCTACGATGGATCTACCGGTTCAAGGTCAGGTTCATGGACGACGACGTCCATCACAGAGCTGTACATATTACAATTAGCCACTGTAAGTATGTATGCGGCAAATGAGCCTACCGCAGATGCATTGTGTAGCCAGTTTGTATATCTGTCAGGATTAGTTCCTCAATTGGGTGAACCCCGGGTGTCAATGCAAGAAAATCCATCCGGACAGATTGACAAGTTGATGGCAATAGAGGTCTGTCGAGCAGATGTCAGTGGACAACGGTGGTCAAGAGGAGTCAATGCAACTCACCCTACACGAACTCGATTTTCCAATGGTAAAATACCAGGCGTCCCATTAATGTCTTTTCGTATAGTATCCACTCGTTTGATTCGTCGTCGCCGTCGCTCCTCGGGATGACTGACCTCAAAGCGACGTGTCCACGACGACTGGTTGAACACAAATATGTCCAACGTGAACTGGTCCAGTGGGTATATCTCGCCAACCCCACGCGCCTTGCCCTTCCCTTTCCGGTCTATGGGGAGCAGTCCTACGGATACAACGATGGGCTGACTGTCTGCGCCAGCCTTGGCCTCCACCTCTGTGCCCGGTTCGCTGCTCAGAGGAAAGCCGATCACATTCACACCCGGTGTTGGCAGCGAGCTGCCGCGGTCCCGCCGCATCTCAACACTTGGCCCAATCGAACCCGCGTTTGTTTGTTGTGCGAGCGGGGCCTGCCAGAACGGTGTGGGCGGGACCGGAGGAGGCGAAGCAGGATACGCAGGATACGCGGGGGTACGTGGTGTGGACGGCTCTTCGCTCACAGCGCCGTCAGAAAAGGATTGTGCTTGTGCAGCCCCAAACGACGAGAAGGAGAAATAAGAGTCATGCGGACTAGGTAGGTTGTATGTCGTGGGCGACTTGAGGTACGTCGACTGGAATGCGACCGACGGTGGAATGAATGACGCTCGGCTGCCAGGCACGCTGAGCGTCGTTGGCGTCGAGGGCCCAGGCGGCTGCACCTGAGGCTGGTTCGCAGGGTTGAGCATGGCAGTGGGCCCCTGGTAGTTAATAGGAGACTTGGGTGCTTTGCGTATTTGGTTGTCGGGTATGGGTGAATCGAGTGCGCTGAACGTGAATCGTCGATTCCCGGCGACGCTGGTCCCTGGACCTAGCGATATACGGGATGTGGCAAGGAGTGACGAGCCCATCCCTTGCGGTGCGGGCCCAGGCGTCGTCGGGAACGGAGAGGCGGGCGTGGGGAGCACGACGGGCTCAGCAGGGTCCACAGCAGAGTTCCTGGATGAGCCGCCCGACGTAGTAGAGAAGTTCAGTTTGCAACTCCAGTAGGATGCGTATGTACGTGTCGGGTAGGCTACGGGGACGTCCGAAATAGACGTCGAGGTGGACACCCCGCCCACTGTGCTCGAGGGCGGCTCAAATGGCCGGACGCTGATGTTGATAGACACTGAACGGCGCATCTCCTGAGAGGCCGCGAGGACGCTCTCACGTTTGCCCGTGCCAGACCCTGGTGCACCCGAAAACGCGAACTCGTCCACTTCCGGTGAGCGCAGGAAGGACACGGCATACAGGAGATTCACTTGTTCTCGCGGACCTATACGCACGGGGAAGACATCCTCGCGGTCGCCCCATCCTACGAGAGCAGTCTTCGCGCCAGTCCCACTGACAGACACGTCGGCGCGTTGGACCTCAAAGCTGTACTTCGGGATTCCAGCGGTGGAGACATCTTCAAAGAGATTCTCGATTTCGACGGAGAGCACCACAGTGTGCTCTTCGTTCCCCGCCTCACGCTGCTCCCGAGCACGTATCTCATCCTCATCGTTCTCTGTGTCCAACTCGTCGCCATTCTGGGGCTTCTTCCGGTTGTTCTGGGGGAGAAGGAAGTACGGCACAAAGACGGTGCGCATGCGGACATGGAAGCCCGAGACGATCTTCATCGTCTTGCGGTACGACTTGCGGAACGTTGCGCTCGCGGGCGCCAAGGGCAGCCTTGCATTCTTGTTGTTCGTGGCGGACAACAGAGCAGGTGTTTTCGCTTTCGGAAGCTGAACAGAACCCGATGAAGTCGTAAGAGAAGGCAGAGAGAATGCAGTCCGGCGAGTGGTCGGTCCAAGTCGAGTGGAAGGTAGGTTCAAAGGCGGGTCGGAAGAGGACGCGAATGTTGGGTCTGTTCGGTGCGGTATTAACGTACGAGCTCTGTGGAAATGAAACACACTATTGCGCACCTGCATTCAGCCCTTCCAATAAGTTCACTTCTACAAACCCAGACAGGCTATCGTCGCTGTCATTTGATCCGGGGCCTCCATCGGAGCCGTTGGGCTTGACAGGCGATGCAGGATCTAATGAATCAGTGGGACCGCCTGCTTCCTCCATTAACAACGCGATAGGCTTGCGAGCCGGCGTGACTGGTAGAGGCCTTTCACGCAGCGTGGTAGAGACGGTCAGCGAGAGCAGAGGGTCGGGGGATTTGGTCGTCATGTAGCCTGCCGCGCAAATGAGCGTTCAACGAGCCTTTGCGTAGTATAGGCGACTCACGTACGAGCACCGACATCCGGTACACAGCAACCCACTCTCGTTCCTTACGCGCCCACAGCAAGGCGAATGCTTCGGACGACTCACGCGAGGTGCTCGATATCTGTTCACCCCAGACGCCAGACGCCAGCGGCGTACCCTGAACCTGTACATACTGACGGTCGGGCTCCGCGGCAGACGGGATCGGGTTGGGTGTGGAAGGCGGGAAGATAGACGGGTGAACAGCCGCAAGTAGAGTGGCCGGCTTGCTCTTGTTGATAGAGGCGTTACGCGGAGGGACGGGTGGTCGGCCGATAGCTGGAGCAGATGCGTCATGGGCCGACGCAGACGGTGAAATGTACGAAGCATCGTAGGCAATTTGGAGGTGGGCTAGAAATGAGAGCAGATTTGCAGGGGGCTTAGCTTGCTCGTTCTCTTCTTCGGTGGTGACGCCTGGAAAACGGACGAGGAGCAGGAAGTCTATGTTCTCGTCTAGCAGTGGCCATAAAGGTCAGCGAGAACCGACCAGTACAGAGGTCCGAAAGATGCACCTCACCGAAGAATGCCGCCTTCCTGTCCGTGGATTCTGCGTGGAGACGTGACAGCCATGTCTGGGCTTCGTCGCCGTGGTAGTCCGAGGGGAATTCAAGAGACGATTGGGGCGCAACAACTTCGAGTGAGCTTGCGTTGAATAGCTCCTCAAAGCTAGACATCTGTATGCAGCACAGGAAGTAAACGCAGGAGTATTGTTGCAAAAGGGCGGCCGAGCGAAGTAAATCCTTTCCGCACAACCTGTATCATACAGAGCCCTGATAAATTTAGAGTCGCACCAGAATCTCGCAGGGTCGAATGTGAATCGTAGCTGGAGATGTCTGAGCGATGCGCAACGAATCGAGCGTCTACACACGTCGCGGCCATTCAAATATGAGCGGTGGATAAACTCTTCTAATCCGTCTATCAAACAATTAATCATAGACCATTACAATAAATGTGCATAGCATGTCTAGCAGTGAGTATGATCGTGCAGCAAAACAAAGCAGGTACTTTTGATCGTATAGTATATCATGCACGTATCGCAAATTCTAGTCATGCTGTGCGCTCGGAGGCGTCTGCACTCATACGTACTTGCCGAACATGGGGATCAGCGACTGCGCGAGCGTGTAGCTGAAAACCAGCTTCGGGCCCACGACCAGAATCTGCATTATGATGATCAGGGCGTTATGCCTTCACACGTGGGGGTTTATTAGGACGCACCTTGGGTGTCAGGCCCTTGAACAACGCCATGGCGCCTTCGTTGCGAATGAGTTCCTTCACGACGGTAACACCGCTGACCTTGCTCTCGAAGTTGGCGTTTTGTATCCGCGTTTTAATCGTGTCGAGAGGGGCAGCGACTGTTATCGACGCGACAGCACCAGCAATAGACGCGACGAAGTTTTGACCCCATGTCGCCTTCGAGTAGTCCTGGATGTCGAAGAGATAGTCCTTCGTCACAGCTGAGGCACCGAACAGCTGTTGACAATCGGTGCAGATATCAGTGAGGAGCAGATTGGGGAAAAGGGAAGCATATGTACCGCGAAACTACCCGGAGCATTCCGCGCCATTGTCCAACCCCAACCACGGTAGAGTGTGGTGCCCTCCTCCATGAAGATGCGGACGACACCTCGTCCCCGGAACGCCTCGGGATTGACTTGGCGCTTGATTTTGAGAGCATCGAGAGGCAGAAGGACCTATCAAGGACGTTTGTCTCTTGGTGACTGCAGATGTGCAGGAGTAATAATACGCACGACTTCGCCGATACCGGTCAGACTGTTTCACTCATTGGTCAGACTGTATCAAATAGCCGCCTAACTGTCCGTCGCACACACCTGCCTGCAGTCGCCTGCAGCATCATTTTGCCCTTCCTCTCACCAAACGCGTTCGTGAAGCTTGACTTGTAGTTCCGCGACAAGATATCACTGAACCATGGCTGTCCGCCGTACTTGTATATCCGCTGGGTAACCTTGTAGCCTGCGGCGTAACCAAGACCAGGGAACAAGGACAGCAGCTTCTTGCCGAGTGGCGCGGCGGCGTGCTCCCTGAAGATGATCGGGGAGAGGCTGGAGAACGACACCTACGTCAAAGACTACATCAAACGGTGTGCGTGGGACAGATAACGGTGTACGTACCTTGGACTTGTTGCTCATCAGCCGCTTCGCGATGGTGTCCACAGGGTGGAAGACCAAGAGCTCAGCGACGCCTGCACACTGCACAGTCAGATGTCTTTTGACCAATCACCACACATGCGTTGGCATACCTGACGTCCCGGAGCCCAGGACGCGCGCAGTCCCTGATTCGCTGCCTTTCACGTTGAGAGTAGGGGCCATGGCTGAATGTCAGGAGAGAGGCGACGCGAAGCTGAGCAGTGAACGATGGGCTACGAGACCGCTGGCTGAGTGCCTTTCGCGGAAATTTCAGGGGATGAGTGTAGCCGCCACCAGAGACAAATAGGTACAATGATCAGATCCGATCGCTCTCTGCTTCAGGCTCCCGCCGGCACCGCCGTACTGGAGCGTTTTGATTCTGTTCAATTATAGACGCATATTAAGGATTGCTGGCAGACACGACCTCAACAGCATCATTCGACGCTTGGTCCTTGTGTTCAGAAACTACGTCAATGTTAGCTTGCCACTCTATTTGTCTTGCCAGCCCATTCAGTCAAATTGCTTTCGCGACGCGTCAATTGCCAAGCAATCCTAGCCCAGAAACTCACCCGATCACCATTTGTGTGATTACGCTCCTTGGACATGTATGGCCTTCTACTTCCTACGATAGTGCGGCACGCCGGAGTTATCGTATGAGGTAAAGTCGTCGACCGAGAATTGAGGGACCTCTACATCTCACTGTCATGGATGAAGTACAATGTGTGTATCTACGGCCTCTGTATCTCTCATAACCCTGATCCTCATACCATGCCTGACAGCACTCGAGGATGCATTAAGAAGGGGATGTACGTGCGAGCGTTCTGGCGATAAGTGAGACCCGAGATACAGTCACAGTCAAGCGTCCCTCAGCAGATATGACGCTTGTAATCGCAATGCTGTGCGTAAGGCTCATCATACATCGAGTAGCAATCCTCAAGACTAATAATCGAGATCGCCGGCGAGTGACACTCTGAGCGGCACCTGTACCCCCTTCTCCGCCTCTCCTTCAAGCGTGGGCACCATGACGAGCGCATTCTCCCTCCGAAGACGTTTGATGTCGTCCGTCAGCGCGAATTCGAAGTTCGAGATCAATTGTACGATGAATGCTTGCAACTCGTATAGACTGAAAGATAAGGTATGATTAGCAACCCTTTTCAGGGCCAGGATCGCGGTCAGTCACGTACGCGAATCGCCAACCAATGCAGGCTCGAATGCCTCCCGAGAAGGTCAACCTAGATTCCATGTTCATGACGCGAACTACGATAATATCAAACCGGAAGAGACCACGTACACGTTTCCAAATACGCCAACAGTGGGGCCACGCTTCCCCGAATGTTCCAAAAATCGCTCAGGATTAAATACATGTGCGTCGCTACCCCAGATGTCTTTGTCTCTGCAGGAACATTGCAAGGTCAGCCATTTTCGGCGGATTATCAGCGGCCGCAGAACGTGGAATGTCACCTGTTATAACCAGCGATAGACAGTACCAAGCGCATACCCGCGGGGATCGCGACCTCAGTGACAACTTCGCCAGACCGCAACGTCAAAGGCTTGGAGAGCGGAAGCACGTCATCCTGCCCCGCCTGTCTGTAGTTGTGTGGCACAACTGGATGGAAGCGGAGCACCTCGCGCACGACGGCCTGCAGGAATGGCATAGCTTCCATGTCTTGCACGCTGAGGCTGACGTCTCCACGCTCGCGCACTGTCTGCTCCGCCGCCCTAATCTCAGCGCGCAAGCGAGTCTGGTACTGGGGGTACCGGGCAAGCTCCATGAGGGCAAAGCTGAGTGTGTTCGACGTCGTCTCTTGTCCTGCAAGCATGATAGTCCTGGTGGGTCATTCAGTTGTGCCACACCCCGTAAACACTCAAACGACTCACCGCATTTGTGAGATCATCTCGTCATGAGTGAGGCGCGCGCGATCGTTCTCAGATGCGTTTGCTTTGACTAAACGAGGAAATGAACAACCTGCCGAAGGACATTTTCCAATAGATGCGCACCAAGAATACTCATGACGTCGCGGTTGCCCTTCCCGAGCATCAAATCGTGCGACTTGGACTTGAGCAAGCCTTCTGCCACCGAATGCGCAACATCTCGGTTGAAGCGAGCCTTCTCAAGGCCTTGCCCGGGCAGATGATCATACATGAATTCAGCCAGAGGCATTGGGATGTAATGCGCGATGCTGGTGAAGAATATCTTTGCCTTTGACGGCCTTGTAAATACGTCTGCACTGGGAGGCATGAGTGATGGTCTGTACGATGAAGATTGAATACTAGCGTACAGGAGGTTTTGATAGGCCTTTGCGAGTTCATCTTCAGAATTCTCAAGACATCCTAGTTTATAGTCAAATGCAGCTACGTGAGAAGGTCAGCTTCGAGGGCCTCTATTGTCGGTTTAAGGAATTGTAGTCACACACCCTCTCCAATCGCATCCAAAGTTGCAGGTGCGATGTATTTGATGACGTTCAGAACAGCACTGCGTCCAGGTGCGGTCTCCAGCATCTCCTTCCACCGTAGAGTGACCTGACGATGTCAACGCAGAATGGTCTACACCAATTTACCCACCTAATGACGATCTTCACATACCTGTTCAGCATAATGCTCAAAGATTGGGAGAAGAGCTCGCGATTCTGGTCCACCAAATGCAGGAAGCATGACTTTCCGTTGTCTTTTGTGAGTCGTGCCTGCATATCGTTATTCAGAGTTGATTTAAACATCGCTATTGGAGCCTCACCGTCAGCCCACGTCAGCCCATGGTCACCCAGCAGACGAGAGAGGGCTCGCCGCTCAGGTTGCTTGGGGAAATTATATCCCGAGGTTTGAAATATGTACTGGAGCGCCTTAGGATCACTGATCCACAGCATGTCTTCCTGCAGAAGACTGAGTGTACAGATAAGACACTTGCGCGTGGGGGAATACGACGTACACCAAAAGGTGCCTTGATTCGAGCAATACCACCATACACGCTTTGCCATTTGAAGTCTGCCTCTCCGGCTTGACCTTGGTGTAGTTCGCCCAGGTTGCCTGTCTAACGTGAGATATACGACGTCCGTTAACGCGAGACACAACATACCCATCAGAAAGGACTCAGGCTGCGGTCCTGGGATGCCGGAGACTGATGTTCTCCTGAGTCGCCGTATCGCTACATAGATGCAAGCAAGGGTCAAGAGCAACGCAGCACTAGACAGGGTACTCATTATGTGCACGTTACGCGGACGAAGGCGACTGGGAATCAAACTCGAAGGTACTGCGCCTTTATGTGTGACATCGGGATTATTAGCTGATATACGCCATCTGAGTCATTTGATGGGCATCTCGAGACCATGTACCTTCCGAGATATCAAGGGCTAGCCAGTATATGTGACGTTGAAAGACACGACTATGCCTCCCAGATGTGAAGAAGCTACCCACGGACGCTTGAAGAAGCGTTGCCGAAGTGTATTGTGGAATTCTATGAGCCGGGGGCAATGTGAGACTCTCATACCAATCACGAGTGAATTCGTTGCCAGCAGTGTAATTTGGGAGCCAGTATCTGTGCGTGACCCACGGCTTGGCTTGCTCTTTGTCCAAAGCTTTGACGAAAGCCTTATTATACAAACTACCGGCAGTGAGCAACCGCTTCATCGTTACTGATCGAAGCTATTCCCTGCAGCCGGCCGGCCGAGACTCGCATAACGGCTGCGTAGGCCGTCAGCATTGATGCTAGTTTAATGTTAAGGATCCACATAAAGAGAAAGATTTATGTCAATCCACTGTCGGTTTGCACAACTACTTTCGAGATACCTGCTCAGAAAATCACACGGTTGAGGCAATCGATGAGTGTAGTAATCTGGATAGGTAAGGATACCCCGGGCCTTATATTTTGATTGTGTAGTTCGACGTACTGCCCGCACGAGACTGGCTATCATACGTGTGTAGCCCGGATGGTGGGATTTCTTCAAGGACGAGCGTAGACGCTGCTGAGCTTAGTCCCAGGACAAACCCTCTAAATTCCCGCCAAAGTTCCTCCTCATTTTGCGTCATGATCCATAATGAATAGCAAAAGGCGGGAATCAGTTGCAGTTCATCAACATGTCGGTGAGTACATTACCGATTCCTAGCAACAACGGCAAGCAGGCGTATCCTATTTTCAGAAATGTTTACGTAGAAACAGTACTGTATACTCAGGCTCGAATCGCGTAACACCGCTAGCGTCGGGCGCGCACTCCTACGCGAGGCTTTATCGCTCGGTGATGATGCAAGAAGACAACACATACTGCAAGATGATCTCTCAGATCGGGCCCTACTTACTATTAGGAGCGTGGATGGGCGTCAGGCTAAGGATTCAGTTACGACCTCCGTCTGCAAGTTGCTCGCCAAATTGGAGGCATGCAGAGCCACCAGTCGCTCGTGCGCCCATATTACGAGGTTCTGTGAGGGATATCCCCTTCCCTTCCTCCTTGCTGATAGTATTGAGTATCGAAGTGGACGAGCTGGTGAGAAGTACACGTACACAGCACAGCGAAGCGTATTGTGAGGGAACGGGCGGCCACGGCCCGCGACAGTCGGGAAGCGCGGGGTCAATAAAGTTTGATTTACGGAAATGTCCGAAGCGTAAGTTGCAACTTCAGAACTTCTCGTCTCGTTCAAGCGAAAGCGGTGTCAAGGCTAAGATACTGTCACTGAAGTAGTGAAGTACTGGCTGCTGGGGTAAGTTATGATTGCGAGGTAAGCATGGGGCCTTCAGACAAACATCGAGATCATATTTCCTCTTACGTAAGTACCAGGAGAGCATTCGAGATGGACATTGTGCCCAGAATGCTGAGGCGCGCTTACAGTAAAATCAATCACGATAGACCTCTCTCACAATAGGTACAGATAGGCGGCATGGGGCATGGCGGCGCTCGGCACTTCGAAATGACGTGCCCTCATGAGTCACCCTTCCGAAGAGTAATCCACGTCAATGTCTCGATTTTCGTCCGTTTGTCGAGGTCTACCCCTCCGCCCTCTGCCTTCAATCTTTTATTGAATTCATCGGGTTCAGACGCCATACAGCGTGGGTACATGTAGAGTTTAACTGAGCCTCCAATAGCCCCTAACATCGAGGTGCGCACTCTAAGTTGTCGTTGTCCTACAGGTTTCGGACTGACCAGGTGCAAACCTTGAGCCGAGGCGAATTCAAACGCTCCTGAACACGAGGTGGATGAAGACGGCAGGTAAGTCCTCCCTTGACACAGGAGTAGGCCGTTGAGTAGCACACGAGGTCTGACTGCTCTGCATCGATTGCTTCCTTCGCGAGTTTGCCCACGAACTCGTTCGGGTCGATGCTTTTGTGGGAGGGGATCCACATAATAATGAGCCTCCTGTCAGGATGGCCTTAAAGGAAGGTGTGCAGTGCTGTGCACGCCAAGGTGGCGACCATCTGGGATCGTCCCACTTGCGGGCAATTAATGTGGCGCGGAGCGGCTTTGTTAACTCGGTGATGTGGGTGGGTAGCTCACGGTGGTCCGCGCACAAGCCCTGACATCTCCACATCGAAGCTCGTGGCTCTACCGACACCAAGTCCTCCGCGGGAAATCTGCACAGAACTACGTCAGGTCTCAAGAATATCAGCGCTCTTAGCATCGAGGATTATCAGTGGTTAGTCATTTCGTGCTTGTCAGACGCAACAAGGAAGCTTCAATGCTACTTAGGTAAGTACGCGAATGTGTGGTTCTCAGTGACGGCCGAGGTGATCCGCCAGCGGATATAATTAGATTACAACCCGAACACTCAGTCTATCTGTTACGACTCGTTTACCACAGCGCTTGTTGGGACTAAGGTGACAATACTTGTGGCTCCATGGTGAAAATAAACTACTCTGCATTGTCTATTTGCGCGGCCACTTTGTAAGTAACTCGCTATTTCGGAGAGAGCGCTGATGCGACTGTCATGGAGCAGCATCTACACATGTAAATCGCCATTTCCTTGTGAGTACGATTGAGTCATCCGAGAATTCGATTCTGCGGTTGAGCGGCCAAAAGCCGACGCCGTTGGAATGAATTTGATCTTTGAATGGCTATCTTGCTGGATGACATCGCTGGCCGCCTGGCTAGAGTCGCAATAACTTAACCGAACTGTAAAGCCGATGCCCCACGGCCTCTTATCGGACAATGTGTAAACTCGGTCACTATCCTTGCAGTGATGCGCGAATCCAGAGGCTGGGACCTGGCCAGAAGATATCCACCTCGTAAGCACTATGAGTAGCCCTGGCATCGCGTCCGCTTGGCATCAGGGCCTCGTACTGCATTGAATGCGGATTCCAGTCGCTCAATCAGTGCGAAGTTGCGCAGCTGTACCAATTCCACCGGCGGGATCCCTGGACGTTGAGGGTCCACCGTATATAATCTTCCACCTTCTTGTGCAGTCTCCATTCTCTGCGCCGATCTTACACACACCGTAAACCATGTCACCAACCCGTTTCACTTTTCCACATGATCACCCGCGCACCAGATGACCTACACCCCGGAACACGCACGATAGTTCGCTCGCGCTCCCTCTTCCCCATGCTACCTGACAGCCCGTGACCTTTACTCCCTCCGCTATGCACTACACGCGCATGTATTATCCGGCATAGGGCAAGGCCCTCAAGCGGATACAAAACTGGATTTAAAATAAAATAAATAAAAACCCCCCGTTTCACTATGTCCGCCACACGACCTCTCTCCGTTCTGATTGTAAGTATAATACCATTCACCTCTCGCATTGACTTAATGTTGACCTATTCTCGCTAAGGCCGGAGCTGGACTTGCTGGCCTTGTCTTAGCTCTGTCTTTGGTTCAGCATGGCATCCAGGTTCGCATAATTGACAAGGACCAACAATTCTATATTGGACAACGTGGCGCATGCATACAGGTAATATGTTCTCTACCAATAAGGCACGTAAACAGGGTCTAAAGTTCAGCTTGCTATAGCCCAGGACTTTGGAGGCATACAACCTCTTAGGCGTCTTGCCTGATATTGTCTCCAGAGACATGGACCTACTTCCGATGCGTTTCTACAAGCTTCTCGGAGGTGCTGGACCGTCTAAAACGTTCGACATGATGCCCCTGGAGGAACCCACGCCAAGCACCTCATATGTATGCTCATTTGCTCATACATGATCGCGCTATTCATATTCAGCTGACATGGACTGTCTAGATAAATTCACGAATGCTCGAACAGGCGAAGGCAGAGAAAGTGCTGCGTAAACATCTCGCTACGTATGGATGTCATGTTGGCAAAGAGCTGTGCAGCTTCGAACAGAATACTGGTCATGTGGTAGTGCATCTCGTCAAGCGCATTGGTGATCAAGAGATCGCTGAGAACGTTGTCTGTCGCTGGCTTGTCGGGACCGATGGGGCGAAAGGTTAGATTACTTCCTCTTGCCTTCAGGTTCTATATTGACCTATCGTATATTTGTAGGCATCGTACGGAAGCACCTCGGACTCACATTTCTCGAGAAGTACTTGCAGGAAAGTTTGTCTTTGGCGAGATCATAGTCAAGAACTTGACCCGTGACGTGAGTTTCCATCTACAAGGCCGTTGGGGCTATTCCTGATGGAATGCTGGATGAGTGTTGGCATTGTTGGGGCGACTTCGGTTCTAAGATGTAGGTTTGCCGCAACAATATGGTTCGAAGTAGCTCAACTCTCGTATTTAATCATCAGGGTAATATTGCGTCCCCACAGAAGATGATGGAATCTATAGCTTCACCGTTTTGGGAGACGTCGGGTTAGAAAAGATTCACGAGGACTATGACACGCTGGTTCAGACAGTGAAGGAAATATCGAACAGGCAGGATCTGATCTTCGGCGAGATCAAATTTAAATCCAACTACAGGTGCATCAATAAGTTCTGTTGCTTAACATCTGATTAATTCGTACCCAGTCCGAATGTTCGCGTGGTGAACAAATTCTCAGAAGGCCGAGTCTTTGTTGCAGGAGGTAAGCGATATTATGTACCATCTGAAGACACGCTTATGCCACGTAGATGCTGCACACGTACACAGTCCCACTGGTAGCCAGGTACGTTCGTTATGGCCTCGTGGTGATGAGGACTAATCATGGACCCGCTCCAGGGCATGAACTCCAGTGTACAGGACGCCGTATGTTCCGATTTAAACGAGAAGTACTACCATGGACTAATCGGGGTCAATTGTCAGCTCAACCTCGGTTGGAAGCTCGCCCTTGTCGAACTGGGCTTTGCTTCCGAGTCCCTCCTTTCCACATATACAGAGGAACGCCTTCCCGTTATTTCGCACATGCTTAAAGAAACGACGACGTTGCTTCACTCTACGAGAAGTGTAAAGACGAATGGCGGCGATGTATCCCACGGATGGAAGCGGACTCGTGATTTGAAGATGCTCGGTGTCAACTACCGCTGGAGCTCTATTCTGTTCGATGAGCGTCACCCTCAACAGACGTCCGGGAAGGAGAAGCAGCTTCTAGACGCATATGGAACCGATACGAGCGGTGGGCTACATGCCGGCGACAGAGCCCAGGACGCCCCAGGTCTCGCACTAGTCGAGGCGGACAAAATCAGCGGAGAGACGACCTCGTTGTTCCGCATTTTCAGCTCCACCCGCCACGCCGTCCTCGTTCTCTCCTCGAACGGCGATCAAATCGCAGCCGTACTCGAATTGGCAAACAAACTTCCGCCTCGCTTTGTCCGCACGGTCGTCGTTCTCCCACGGGACTCAGCTCCTTTGCCAGCCACCTCTGGTGCGGACGTTGTCTGCATCGACCAAGACGGGTATGGGTATATGGGATACGGTGCCGGGACAGAAGGGACCGCTGTAGCTGTTGTGAGGCCAGATGGCGTCGTTGGCGCTCTTGTCGCCGGAGCGACAGGTTTGGAAGCCTACTTCAAGAACGTGTTCTCGAATATAAAGGCTTGAAAGTATGCCTGCCAATGTATTTGGAAAGCGAGATCATCGACTCACTGGCGAGCCTCACTTAGATCGACCTACTGTCCCCTCGTTAAGCTACCGTGTAGTGTCAGAAGAGCATCCCTACTCCATCTCAGTTCATCTATCTTACTTATCATGACAGGCATATATCTTTAAATTGCAATGGCTATTGATTCATGAGTTATGACGGAATCCTTTGAGCTAAGCATGCTAGAAAGGATGGATTCACCAGTAGAGCATCTTCGGACGTTGCTGAGGACCACATAACCCAGGTGCTCATTGTCTGGACAATGAAATGATCATTGGTGTCTGAGAACAATTGTTTTTCATGGTGCCTACCGGAAACTACGAGGGGATTATTGGCGAAATACGCACTCTTCTGGATATTTTTAGTCAAGCGAAGAGCAATGCATCTCACGAGGGTAGAATTCGTTGGTTGGCTATAATCACAGCTCAATGGTAAGCAAGCAATTTATCTGTTTTGATGAATCTTTGCTTAGTTGATGTTATTCACCTTTGTAAGATCACTTACCCTCTTTCAAGTCGTTGGATGCCCCGGTATCCGACGAACTCGGTTTATACTGGTACGACTCACCTCTGTGTGCTGATGATTAGGCTCAGTTCAAGCTGATCGGGGTATAGATGCAAGGCTAGATATCGCATTGTCATTTATACGCAAACAATCTGTCGGTGAGCATTTGGGTGAGTTTTTATAATTCGTCTTTTTCTGTGACAGGGACACGCTTCCAACATCCTTGAAGTCCTTGCCCGACTCCCTTCATCCGCTTCGACCACAAGCTCAAATATTCATCTCCTCCTCCAGCTCGCCACTAATCGAGCAACAACTGGCCTGCTGACATCGCGCCAACTACCCGATGCGAGCGGTGGAGACAAGCGGTCTAGCGTCGTGACTTCGAAACGGTTACCTGCCCACGCACCGCGAGTCAGGTCGTCGTTGAAGTGCATCGATATCGAGGGATCAGATGACCAGCATATCAAGGATAACAGAACGTTCCCGAGGCCTATGGACCTGGGTATGAACGGTCCGTCCGGTATCGCCTTTGAGTGAGCCGCAAGCGCGTCTGCCCGGACGTACTGCTGCTTCGATAGATTGCACAACACCCACTGACGCTCCTTCGCATTGTCATCGTGGCGAAAATTCGGTCTCTCGAGAGCGATGCTTTTGTATACCTCAGATTCCTTCGGTGAGAGGCGGAGCAATGCGTCATGGCGTGGTCTCCAGTATGCCTTTGGAGAGTACTCGATTTGCTTGAATCTGTAAACGTCTAGCTTCTTGTCCTGAAGTTCCTCCAGCTCGGTTTCAGACCAAAGTCCTTTTGGAAGATCGTCATCCCTTGCGTAGTCACCAAGGCAGATTATACGATCTCCCTTCCACCGTTGCTGACATAGGCAGATGAGTTCGTACATCCGCTGGTGGCCAAATGGTTCAAGCAGGGGGTTTGCGAGAGTCAGAAACAGTGCATCTTGGAAGCTTGTGATATTGTCGAAGATGCGATGCAACATTTCTCCTGGCAGGTCCAGACGGCCGAGTGCTTTTCCAGTTTCCGCCGTACGAACATACGGCTTATGCTGAAAACAGAACATCCATGAGTGAACATCAACAGAGGCGAAACCGGAGCATGGGCTAACCTTCGCTAGTACAGAGTCAGGCGCAGGGTGAGGGTATGGCGTCAGGATGAATTCGACCAATTTCGTAAAATCACTGTAAAAGAATTCGCCAAGTTTTCCCCATATGCCAAATGTCTCCCGCTTGTCCAGGTTTGCCCTGATAATGAAGTCAGGGTTAGAGACAGCGCGCAGGCATAAAGGTGACAACGCACAACATCCAGTATTGACCCATTTTGAAATGTTGTGGCTTGGAGGGTATGTGACTTTCGAGATTGTGACTTGGAAGGTACCTGACTGTCAAGGTTGCGGATTCGCTAGCTTGGTTAGAATAGTACTAGTGATTATAGTCAAAGTTGATGGAGCTCCCGATGTTGAGTCGAAGCACCGTGGGGAGTAGAGCCGCGAGAGCTGTGACAGGCGAGATTATAAATGGTGTGACCTATGGCGTACAAAGGTGACGCGTGACTAGACGATCTGTCGACTTTATCGAGCATTGCTTCCGTACTTTTCTTGTAATTTTTCTGTTCCATCGCCTGCCGACTTGAGTATCCTCTGCTACTGACTGGACAACCACCTCTAACTCTAGTTGTTGCGGTGAATTCAAATAATAGCATAGACTTACTGCCCATTCGACAATGCAAGGGACCTAACTCGGTTCTTGTACAGCCTGTACATTCAGGCCCGGTCATGAATGGCTCTTGTAGGCGAGTGTGTGCAGGGGTTTTTAGAACTCTGCCACCCGATTGTTGGGTAATACCACGCGTGATCCGCCTAATAGGTCCGGAGACGAGACTACGCCACACCGTGATTGCAGCTACTTGGTTATTGCCCAAAATGGCATAGACGCCAGACCGTGGGTAAAGTCACGGTTATCTAAGTCGTTTCCCATCAGTACTCGCACATCACTGGATGTTGAAAGGCCCTGGCTAGCAATTCTGGCGAACATATATATTCCTGGAACTATCTCATTATGCTTGTACATCCGCTCCCTGGAGTATCGAGATACGCTCTGAATATTGGTTAGACACCATGCACTCGGGGGTGCCTAGCGCGGATGAACTAGTGCCAGCGCGGCAGTGTGTTGCTGGCCCTAATCAATTATGTCCTTCCCTACCTTCCTTCCTCACCTTCGGCAAGATCGTGACTGACCATTTCTGGCGATAGCATCAAGTGTCGGTAAGCTCATTTATCGGCTCAAGCAAATAGCTGCCATTTGAGTTATCTGCTGCCACAGTTGGACTCGGCGGGATGTACCGCACATTTTGGTGTGCTACATGTCCTGAAAAGACATGTATACACTATCCTTCGAGAGCCTCAAAGTCAGGCTCGCGTGAATTTCGCATTCCGCAGCCGGACTACCCGATGATCGCATCAAGGCACGAGCCTCGATGCCGAGGTGCTCTGCGTAGGGCATTCAAGGAGGGATATAATTGATTAGGGCCAATGATTAGGTCCGTTGTGTAGGCGCTAGCCCATAGAAGCTGTGCACTTATGTAACGACGGCTACCAACACAACGACAATTTCTTCATGCATTGACAGTATGGCCGGCCAACATCAGCTGTCATCTCCGCAGGTATGTAACCATTCGCACAAAGGGCGAGACGATGACACTGAGTTTACAGACGGAGATGCGTTCGGCTATAACACTGCTAGATCTTGACGACGACGTCTTGATCCATGCCGTATCCGATCTCTCAACGAACGATGCGCTCAATTTCTCACTCGTCGCGCGAAGGGTCCACCTGATCGCAAAGCACCAGGCGCTTTCGTGCGTGACCATGAAGTCAATCAAATGCGTCTCCCGCATCTGCACGTACATGCTCGCCGACGTACCCGGTCGCCTCAAGTGGATCCGCAGGCTCTCAGTATCGGTCTTGCCTCCCCGTCCATTGCCACTTCGTGTCCAGTCCAAACGTCCTGATTATGTTCGGAACGTCCAAGAAGCCACCGCATCCATGCATCTCCTTGTGTTGCTCGTGCGACATGCTACTGCGCTTAAGTATCTCCATCTAAAATTCGTTGATCAGGTCCTAGCATTCCAGCCTACCCTCATTGATGTCTTATCTTCCCTTACAAATGTGGCGGAGCTAGAACTCCTCCATGCCTGTGGAGCAGAGACATTCAAGTTACTGGATAGACTCCAATGCCGCCCGCGTGGCCTCTTCTTGCAGATTGGTCCGGAAATAATTGACAAAGACGCTTTATTCTCTCACATCGGTAAATGGCAGCAGTTACAGACGTTGAGACTGGTTGGGTCGAACATTATACAAGATCAACGCGACAGCGACACGGATCTTACGAAGTGTTTCATGAGCGACTTACCCCATTCATGGCCCGACGTCACCAATCTCTCTCTGGCACGATGCGAAATTGCGCTTCCCGCAATACTTCGCGCCTTCCCCAATCTCCACGTTCTGACGATCATGGAATGGTCAAGGGGTCCGTGTTTCTCAAACCCTAGTCGACCAGTATATCTGAGCCAAACACGCGAACATGGTCTCGAATTCGTCGAGGGCAGCGCACACTTCTTTCAGAACTGGCCGTCTGCGCGTCCTGTGTATCACATCCTTATCCAATCCGTACTTGCAATCCCTATTATCTGGGACGCGGTCGGTCCTACACGCTGCGGCGATCCGGACATCCCAATCCTGCTACAGATGGTGTGCCGTGCCAAGCCCGTTGTGCTCACCTTACGTGCCATGGCGTTCAAATCGTTGCAGTCCACGTTTTGGGCGGGTATGGCAGCTGAAGCGACGAGATTGCGCTGTCTCGAGGTCGAAATATGTCTATTCAGGGAAACCGAAGGGCTTACTACCCTATTTCTACAGTGGATGGTAAGCACGCTCTGCAAAATTTAATTTTCTTCTTTGGCTTATATAGCCTAGCAAACCGTCCCCGCTACTCTCTCAAATGTGTCGTCTCTATCCTATGTCCAGGTCTGCATCAACGATCAAATCTCAAGCTCTATGCGGAGCGATATCGTTTCAGACTTCGACGGAAGTCAAGCAACCGCGGAGGCAATGGCGTATGCTCTGGTCGGTCATATTCCGTCTCTTGAATACGTCTCAATAGTATTCGGGCGGATGCCACTCGACTGGTCCTCGACCCTATACATCGAACCGTTCCACGGCCTGCTATGGACGTGGAAAGTAAACAATATCAGTGGAGAGCGAACGTTGCTCCCCATCTCTGCGACCCTTGCATCGATAATCAAGGAGCGCTTGAAATCCCCAGCTGGAATGGGGCATGGACACCTGGAGGAAATGGTCGGTCGACTCATTTCTTATACGTTGGCAAACTGTTGATATTCTGTGTGCGTAGTTCAAAGAGAACTCGAGCACTAGTAGAAACGATGTTTCCAGTACACATTCATTCGCCATCCCAGACTCGGAGGTTATCCGTGTACCTGCTGATCCCTCCTTTAAGGGCACATGATTCTGGCGTGTATGGTTACCTTTGGTACCTGGTTCTAGTCATCAACTTGCCTTCGATTCATTTGACCTCTATCATTCTGTTATCAGAGTCGGTGGCATTCTGTATGCAAGAGTAGTACCTCGTGGCCTTAACAGAAGGCCTGAGCGCATTGGAACTACAGCAACGGTACGCATCCCCTATTGTGAGAACACTGCGCTCGATGGCTTTGACAACTTGATGTGAGGCACAGTATTGCCGTCTTTTGCAATGCTTGCACAGGGCTGATCTTGACATACATGGCAGTCTGAGCCCCTATATTGCTAGTAGTATGCGACTGTGCGTCTGTGATATCAAGGTTTTCGAGAGATACCACCGCTCTCCACTGGGCGGCCGCTAGATCCATTCAGCGTTTTGGTTCTACGCGAGGCTGAGTATCATACTTCACTACGCCGAAGGGATGCAATATTACATATACAGCGACTATATTGTGCAAGCTAGCTGCTAACGGGACTCGAATCATCTGCGTGGCACATTCCCAATTGCGTGTTCTTCTGAGCTATATTCTAGCCAGTAACATGAGGCATGTTCGGCAAGTATACGGCCTAAATCATTTGCAAGCTTCAGACCGCATTCATCAAATTTGTGCTTCTCTGCGGTCTCTCGCGTGGCGCAACCTTACCTAGCATTCGATTGAACGGTGACCCCCTGAACACTCGCCGCAGACCTTGACAACCTCGACCATCTTGAATTCTACTTTAATATCACAGCTCATTCGGTGTTTTGTCACCGCAGGATTCTGGAAGATTCGCGCTGTAGATTCGAGTGTTCGGCTGGCGCTTGATGCTGTCTTTCAAGTGAGGCCTGACCAATGTGCTTGTGTATTAGTTAAGGTCAGTTAGATCACATGAAGTCTGTGGTATTGTTTTTCACTCTGGGCTCTGTCAGATGCTGCATGACAGTTCCAGCAAGTATGCTCTCGCCAAGTGCTCGCCGTGCATTGCGCCATACGGTAATGCGGATTGCAGACATAGTTGTGTTCAAACAGTCATTGGACCCTAATGTAAGCCCTTGTGTCGACCCATGACACTTGCGTTTGTATTTCATCGCCATTGTGTCTCAGCGTGGCTGCGCTGGAATGATGAGGAGTATAACATCGACCTTCTGGAGTGCGTTGCCACGAGACTCTATTGCCTCGAGGTTGAGTTGTGTCTTCAACATGATCAAATGCCTGTCTGCCATATTTCTACATTGTGGGTGAGTAAAGACCAGAAGTCTTGTAGGTTCCTCAGGCCTCTCGTATCATTGATGGTTAGGTCAGCATACCCTTACTCGGCGTAGATCGTTGGCGTACGTACCTCACGCGATTGTCCCTTACCGGCATAGCTGCGTCCATAAGAAAATGCAGAGCATTCAGCAATTTCCGTGGTTCAGAAGTTCTTTTTGCGTTTTCGCGTTTGTCCTGGACAACGTCTCCAATTTCGCCACTTCTTCGGATGATTATATTGACCGCTAGGTGTCTCACTTACAAGCTTTAGGCCGTATCAAGGATTGATGCTGAACTAGAAGGACGGTAGGCGCACGGCACGCCGAGACATGTAGCTATTATACTGATATGCATGTTCATCGCCAAAGAAATCTAACAAAACTCATCGGCACATCGGCACTCGCAGCCTGCAACTGGGCATGTCCCATGTGAGCGGCGTCCATCCTCTCCGTAGAACCACTGCAAGATATGTGACGCATGTCCCCCATGACGACATGTCTGACAAAAAACAAGCGCCTCGTCAATGGTGTCTGGAGGACATCAAGGTCAGTACATGATGGTTCCGCTTTAACCTATGTCATTACCTTCAGTATGTGAGCTAACTGTGGTAGAAACTCTCGTAGGGTCCTGTACGATGCTCAGTGTCATCAAGCACACGACGCAACGAGGCAAAGGGCGACCACAATGTGGGCAAGCTGTCGGCTGGCGGCCAGTATAAGTTCGTGAGCGTCAGATGATTACGCGGAGGATGAGGCCTACCCGTAGCGCCGTATTTTCCGTATATGGTGGATCCATCGGCTTGTTGCAGTAATTGCAGCGAAGTAAAATCTGACGGGGAGCCCATTCAAAGGGAGCCATCTCTGTGCTTTGAACGGCGTCTTGGAGGAGCACACCACGGTCGATATCTAACTGACATCGATAATGGAACAATTTCCAACCGTCCAATAGGTCGCGATATGCGTCCAGCCACCGCTGATGGCGTATGTCGTGCGTTAGAGTGGGCGACAGGGATGACACGATAGCTGCGGTTTGAACGTCTCCCGTAGAGTCTACATAGGCCTGTAGAACATCCATACCAGATGCAGTTATGCCAGTCACAATGAGCCCTTCAATATCGCCGTCATGCGAAAAGCGGTCTGTGACGCGGTGCAGGTATGATGACAAGTCTTTGTCATCCAAGAACTGGAAGGCGATTGCAAGCCGTTCACGAAGCGGCAATGCCTCTTCCTGGAGAACCTCTGACCAGTCACCAGCGGTCAGGTATGTCAGCATGGCGCGGAGATATGGGTCCTGCATGCGGATAATGAGACGTTCACAATGCTCGGCGAGCTCATGGTTCCGCGGGGAGGTACTATTTGACGGAGCCAATGCGGCAAGCATACCCGACATCATGTGCAATGATTCGTCTGGTAGTCCATTAGCTAATATGACCGATCAGACACAGAAACAGACACACTGTTGCTCCGCATGAGAAGTTCTACGCCACGCTTAGGCTGGCCAGTAAACACAAGCCAGCATGCAGCCTGTGAATATCTATGCTCCTTCTCCCATCTGTAAGCGTCTTGTAAATTGGGCAGAGAATGGGTTATAGAGTAGTGCCATACCGTTTGAGCGCGTTTTTCAAATCGTTCTCAGCTAGACTCCACCCGCACAACTTCAGTGCAAGCTGTCTCTGGGGCAGCCTGGCCGTTGTAGCCGCTGGTTTCCAAGATCCGGGATCGATCCCGTTTCGTACATTGATCTCATTCAATGCAGTCAAGAAGTCATCGGATGCACCAGTAGCGTGTGCTCTTCGACGGCTGCTTCGCCGCGAAGGCTGCATAGACGTCAGGTCAACTGGGAGCGGCGACAAGGCCTGAATGGGAGTGTTCGGCATTATACTACGCTTTGCAACGCGAGGTGTAGTATGAGTAGACCCGGAGGTATGCGGATTTGACGATTGGAAGCCTTCCCAGATGCCTAGAATTCCTTGGCAGGCGAAATTGTAACCATCTATACGAGAGGATGGATCCGACAGTACTCGCTGAGAGTCTGCAGAGCAACAAACGGCGTCAGTTGATCAGAAGCTGTATCGATCGGAGAGAAACCCGTACGGTCTATCCAGCGCCAGAACTCCGCTAAGGGGTAGTCATCTGTCGACATACGACTCACAACCAACGCGTTGTGCAACGGCTGAAATCATCCTTATGAGCCTGGGTTGTTATCGTCGCAAGGCGTCAGAAACAACATACATTCATGAGGCCGTACCCGTGCACGACTCGTCGTCTCATTGTCATTGAGATATCGGCTTCCACGAGGAGTTGAAGACTCTGGTCTGTTGAAGTGGCTTTTACGGCTGACGTCTCTCGACCATGGCGCGAATAAAGACGCCTGTGTTTCTGGTGTCCTCCGTTGAGAGATAGTGCGTCAAGATTTCTCCTGTTATTCTGAATCACAGAACTCTTGGGATTCCCGCGCTTTGGCATTGCGGAGTGTTCAAATTGAAGATTCCGCAGCGCCGCCGGGCTGAACGTCCTGCTCCTTCCCGGCCTGGAGGCAGCTAGATTTGCCAACGATCGGGCGGGGAGCGCAGGAAACCCGTCATCATCACCACGGCCAAAGAGTGGGGCCGGACTCCTCTCAGAGCGGGCAGAACGTCCACGCGCGACAGACGCCTCCCTTGAGTGGCGTCTGTCTAGCGAATGCGCCTTTGATCCAGGGAGGGACTGTAGCATCGGGATCTCCCATGGTTGTCGCGGGGGTTCTTCTTCGTGGAAGCCGGGGAAGATTCTATATGAAGGCCCAAGCGCTACGGCCAGTTCACCGCGGGCGCTCCAAGGCGTGGACTTGGGTGCGTCATGTACGGCGTACAGCTCAAGGTCTCCGTTCTTGTCGACGACCATTATGTTTGATGTAAGCGGATGTGTCTCCGCGCTGGGAACAAGTGCGAAAGAAGCAAGTTGGGCAGTAAAGTTCTTCGCTGTGTGCGGTAGCTCTACATAAGCAGGCGCATGTATTCGAGTATATACAAATACTCACTCTTCCGTGTGTCCGATAATACGAGGTTGTATGGGACAACAGTTTCTCCGGGAGCTGGCACGTGTGATTGGCTAGAGTTGACGCTCGTACCAGACCAGGGAAGGATGGAGTCTGCCCACGATCGAGTCGCCTTGCCAGACTGAGAGGAATCCCGCGACCTCGTCCTCTCTGAAGAGGTCACTTCGACTATTTCGGACTGTTGCAAGTCCCAGAACCGCACATAAGAAGCATCCTTCTCTAGAATGGCCAATACGCCTCGTCGGGTGTTGGAGAACTCCATCTTGGTGATGGCCGCGCCGGCTCGTACACGAGCACCATCTGCACCCGCGTCCTTCTCTGTGAAAGTAAGGAGTGGCTGGGTGAGCCGGCGAGCGTCCCATATGGTCGCCACGCCATCGTCGAAGCAGCCAAGCCGGTGTGGCACGAATGGGTCGGTTGCGATACCGTGAACTTTGGCCGCCACGCTGAGATGATTACTTGAGGGATTACGCAAGTCGAAGAGACGAAGCCACCGATGCGATAGTGCGGAAACCAATGAAGTTGGAGACGATGGAAGGAAGGCAATAGATGACACAGATTCTGCGGGAGCGTACACTTGCAGGATGCGCTGGTCTGTGCGAGGAGGGATTTCGCCTCGTGGTATGTGTATTTGGGAGCTCGAACGCGGAGGATTTACAGGGGCGGTCACTTGCACTGTAGGGTCTGTGGGATGCTGCAAGAGGTGGGACCTTGCTGCGTGTATATCCCAAATGCATAAGCTGGGGTCTCTGACCTTGTCAAGTCCGACGGCGAGATAGTTAGGTTCGACATCAGAGAAAGCAAGCGCATTGCAAGGTCGTGAATTTCGCACGGGTAATGTGACAGTAGGACCACTTGAGAGCACTTGGTCGCGAGAAGACTTTGTCGCCTCTAGCCGCATGAGATCCACTTTTCCACTACTGGTTCCAACGGCCACCAGGTCGTCAATAAGTGGGTCCGGGGACCAAGCAAAGCACTGCAGGACAACTATGGGTGCGTCATTCAGCTAATGCGTATGCTACATGCAGTCACCTTCATCAGTGGTAAGTCAGTCTGTGCGGTGACTTGCTTAATTTCCGAAGACTCTGGCAGCCATTCATACAAAGTTATTTGAGATCCCCCTCCGACAGCAAATCTGTTGTCGTGGCGGGGATGCCATGACAGACGTTTCTCGCTTTGCGAAACCATATTCCTAGTCAGTAATAGGGTTTCTGTCGGTTATTTCGAGGCCTGCTTCCGCCGCGAAGTATGTATGTAATCACTTCACAATGGCTCCCCCTAAGTCAAGTCCAGGCTTTAGCGTATGTAAATGTAGTAGAAATCTGTATGCAGACGAAACATACGACTGGCTCGGGTTGGTTAGGGCTTGTCACCTATGGTGTCGGAGCTGCTGTGATGCAATCCATGGGCAGTCCCGCTCAGACTTTTGTCCCGGAGTACAGTTCTTGCTAGTGGTCACCAGTCAACGAACGATTCCAAGCAAACCTTCTAGGCGCCGAAATTAGATTACGTCATTCAGGATGGGCGTCAGCTTCCTACCTTGATATTTGTATTTATTGCTCAAAGTCGCCTCGCGGGGAAGTTTCTATGGCAAATAAGATTAATATTGTCGCGGTTTTTGTCGCTATCGCTAGCTCTAACGCCAAATATCAAACAAGCGACGTTTTCCTACTCATCATCAGGCGGTGATATGTAGTTAGTTCTCAGCCTCCTCAGGTGAAGGAAAGGCGTCTCTTTGCGCAGGGTGGCGATAAGATATACCTCCTTGGTGAGTGAATGCGCCTCAAGCTTGCTTTGTTCGCAGCCAACAGCTCCTACTGGTAGCACTTGTGTCAGTTTTCTCAGTTCCCATCGCTTTCAGCCCTAGATCTCATTACTACTTGAATTTGGCAGGACCACACGCTCTTCAGACGTCGCTAAATGCGCAAGTCGAGACACCATGAGCATCGCGTCTGTTGACAATGACGTCCTGGCATGCATCCTGGCGTTCGTCTCCCCTCGAGATGCGTTGCAGCTTGCACCAACGTGCCGTGCGCTTTACCCACATGCTATCGCACGTCTGCTCTCTGAGATCGACTTTTCTGGGAAAGCTCTGCCGCCCGTGCGTGAACATCAATTCCCTCATACCTCGACTTGGGATGACGAATTCGACTTCGTGGACGAGTCCGACCCGGAGCTTGTGAACGAGGACGACCTGTACTGGCGCCCAGAATGGCAAGACCCACCGCGACAGCATAATGCGGCTCTGGATCGCCTGGATCGCCTTAAACCCCAACCTGGATGCCTCCGAGTTGATCCCAACCGAGTCACGGCTTTCTGTCGATTTGTGCTTGGTGACGTTGCCCAACGCGCCCCGTGCATAAAGGTGCTCAGGCTCTCGGGACTAGCATTTCTGCAAGTCACCGTTGCAGAAGATGACCCCGATGGTGCTATCGGCAACCGAATACTGCGTGCTTTGCACAACAATGTCTTCAACTATGTCTTCAAGGACGAAAATGTGGAGTTTCAGCGCGACTACTCCTCCGCAGTCCTCTTCGCCGATGTCTTGCGGCACGCTACGGGGGTCAAAAACCTGTACTTGCGTGACGTAGATGAGGTTCTTGAAGGTCAGCCGAGCTTGGCGGATGCCTTTGCTGACTTGCCTCACGTCGAGGTGGTTATGCTGGACCAAGGTCCCGGGCTTCCGCCTATACAGATGATGTCCAGAATGACCTCGTCGCCTCGAGAGCTTGAAGTTCGTGATTGGTACGGTAAACCCACCTATGCCGTCCATGAGTCATTGATCGCCTCCCTCACATTGGCCAAATTCACCTGCAACCTGCGCACATTGCGTATTCATGCGTACGGTAAACCATGGCCTGTCGACATATTCAAGAATGTCCAAATTCCCTCCATACGAACTGTGACACCACCAACATCCCTCAATGACATCGACAGCCTGGCTCATGCATTCCCCGGTGCTTGCTTATTCCAATTAAGCTACACTAGCATTGCGACAATATTCCCCGTCCAGGACAGTTGCCAGTTCGATCATGTTATCATGGATCACAGCCTCAGGCTTATGGACGTCTCTTTTTCTCGGCGAATACGTCGGCTCGACCTCCATCATATGGATTCCTCAAATCTTCCCTTACATTTGCAGCTTCTGGAGTCCGCAGCACCGGCTGTGCTGCTCGTCAACGAGGCGAAGCACGTTTCGTTGACTCCTTCGCAGATTGACAGTCTCGTGCGCACAATATCATCACTCAGATTCCTGCAACTAAACAGTAGTTTCTTACCGACCGCACTGGTGAGTCTGACATACTCCACGAACTTGATGTCTCGTTTGCCAATACTCATCGTAGCTGTCTTCGATATAGGCTGGCTTTTTTGACTTGATACATCATCTTCCCCTCATTGGCCTCTCGATCGTCCTCTCCTCTACACGCCCAGTCATGCGTGATCCTGAGCGCCGCGAGATTGTTCTCGTAGCCGCGAGGTGTATTCCAACTTTGCGGTACATGGAATTCGGGATCGGGTGCCGACGCATACGCCACAAGTATCAGCTCTGGGACCGGCACCGTAGTCTTCGGCCCGTCTGGCACGAGATCATCCGCTCGGAAAACGAGCCAGAGCTTCGCCAACTTTCGAAGGAGGAGGGATATGGTATTTACAGGGAGATGCTCAAGCTAGACCGCGACTGAGCGTGTGTTTCGTCACGCTGGTTGAACGCTGTCTGCTCATACTCTTGCATACGTTGCCTAGGTCCGGAGAACTGTGAAAGTACTCCGCTCTCTCAAGCGGCCGCTTGTACTGTGCGTATTGAGGTACCTGGAAGTTCGGAGACATCTCATTGAAAGTTCATCGTGACCTTTATGATCATTTCGCGATACGGTATTTCACCGCATTCCATTTCAGCCATCTGTGTATGCAACACTGCAAATCTGTACAGTAGCCTATGTACTAGTCAAATTTCATGGTCGATATTACCACTGTAATTTTGATACTGATTGAACGTTAGCAACCCGCGATGTATACAGATACCCTAGGGAGAGGTTGCGTTGAAGACATCGGCGAGCGCCTAACGTTTCTGGTTCGGTGAAGAGCCTGCGCAACGCGGCTGCGACCATGACCAGAGTTGGCCTACTCAGGTCTCTAAGGCCAACACAGCATATTTTTTCTTCCAAATATTGGACCACATGATAGTCAGATATCATCATGCTCGTCGTCGCTCTCAACGATTGTCATGTTTATCACTCTGCAGGATGCACTCCAACTTGCAACAACACGTCGCGCTTTCCACCCGGTAGGGGCTGCAATTGCTCCACGATTAACGGAACCAAATCAGACGAATTGGACACGACAATGTTCACACCATGCCTAGTTCCCGAGTACAAGGCCTGCAAAGATCTTAGAGACATTCGACGCAACCCTGGATCTCTCAAGGTTGATCCTATACGGTTCGTTGCTTTCTGCTGCTTCGTGATTGATGACATTGCTTGCCCCGTGCCATGCATTAAAGTGCTCAGACGCTCTGGGCTGGCATTTTCGCAGATCTTAGCAACAGGAGATGGTTCAAGTTCGGACGGCTCCGTCGCTAATCGGATCCCGCGGTCGGCCCACAGCTACATGCCTGCTTTGGAGGACGTAAAATATGCGCATGATTGCTCGTCTGTGCTGCTCTGAATCTACCCGGATATCTCATGATATGCTACAGAATTCGAAGAGCTGTGTATCCTTCAGACGTGGATAACGTCCTTGAGGCTTTTCCGATGCCTTGGCCAGCCTGTCTAGCGTCGAGATGGTCATCCTGAAGAATGTATCCGGACTGCTCAACACCAAGATTCCCTCTAGGATGGCGCCTTCCTAATTGGCCAACCTGCAATGTCCGGAGGGCTCCCGAAAACCCCGGCTCTGCCGGTCGATGCCCGGAGCATGTCCGTGTGCCGGAGTTCGAGTTTTGCCCACAGCGTAAGGGATTTGTGTCGGAAGATCGCATGGAAACACTGTTCGGAGCAAACTCCAGCTCAGCTTCAGTGCTCGTATGTGGGTAGGTCTGAATTTTTGCAGGCTGTGTCAAAGTTTGATGATGTTGATAAGGTTCCCCATGATTATGTACCTTCTACGGCACAAACCTCGATATATAAAGTGGCGCCTAGGGCTACACATGAGCGACGAAGGTCTGAGAACTCTGTGTGTTCCTGTCGCCATTGAGCTGACGCGTCCGCCCGGTCTCCTCGCTGTTTGCAGTTTTGTCCCCTGTGCACGTATTAGCCTACCGGATGTCTAAGTCACATAAACGTGTTCATCGACCACATCGCAGTGCCGGCTGTAACCGCTTTACACAGCATCACACTCAATGTGACCTACACAACAAGGCCTTGAGATAAATAGCTCAGCGTCCGTCTTTTCCCTCCTCTTTCACCTTCATTACCCATCACACCATTCCAAGCCACCCTATACCTAACGTCTCCTTGTACGTTGGACCGGTACTAGACTTCTAGGCAACACTGATACAATCTTGCTTTTACAGGTACCCCATACTCTATCCCACTTGCGATCGCTCGACATGGGCAAGCCAAACCCTCCGATACGCCACTCCATAAGGAGTGACCGTGCTCGAAGACCAGGTGCGTAGAGTGCTGTATTCTGAAGATGATAATCACCCGAAGTGATCGAGCTCTGCGTCGGCGATCTGCATGAAATCGGCATAAATGTGCTTGTGTATAGACGTTTATGCTGCTTTCAGTCTCCGGGAATCTGCTGGACGCGTGGAGTTGCTCGTTATCCAGATAGAGCTCTATCTATTCTATGTCTCACTTGCTATATAAGTGTCGTTGCACATATACTCATCCATTCATCTCATCAGACATGACTGGCTCGATGCAACTCACCGGTCCACCCGCCACGCTTTCTCCTCGGTACGCCGACTCGACGTCGAAGCGTCGATGCGCGATTGCAGCCAGCATGAAGCAGTATCTGTTCGCGACGGTCGCGCATGCATTTCAGGCCATGCAGACAATGCTGTTCTGGTTTTACTTCTACGTTGTCCTTCTGTGCCTCGCCAGATTCCACGAGCCTCCATTCGAACGACTGTGCATGCTAGTGGAACGCCGCGGCCCTACGATAGACTTGGAGAAGGAATGGGGCGAGCTCCTGGCATACCAGAGACAACGGCGGGAGTTGGAGCAATTCTTCGGCACCGCCATGCTCGCGTGCGTCATATTCGACTGCTTAACCCTCTTTTACTTACTGATCCCTTCCCTATGCAGTGCAGCCCCGGCGCTCCTTCTTGTAGCCTTTGGAGCATCATCGACCCCTGTCCATGCGGCAATACCTACCCTCGGGATCATCTGCATATTATGCTCCGCAGTAGGTCTTGGCTTCAGTGCGTTCTACAAGTCACGTCTGGAGCATGTCGAGCGTGAGAAGCGTGGGAGTGCTTGGCTCATGGTAAGTCATGACTGGCCGTATGGTACGCATTCCTGACCACTCAAATTGTCTTGTACAGGATGGTATCTCTACTGCATCATCGAGATGGAGCTGCCTCCCTATGCTCCTCGCTCCTCCCCTCGCATGGATAGCTTGGTACGCTCGAGACTATGCTTTGCTAAAAGCTTAGTACTAACTCAGATTCTCTGCAGGGCTGTCTTTGCGCTCCTCGGCCTGCTTTTATCGTTCTTCTGGACACCAGTTGGAGCTGCCCATGCACCCGAGAGAGCTACCGGCTGGGACGTTGGTGGATCTCTCGGACCCTCTCTCGCCGGTACTACCGTTATAGCAATTGGCATAACGCACCTTATCGTAGTGGTGCCCCGATTCCGACGCATAGGGCACAGGCAACCTCTACCGTCTGATGTTGCCGTCTGAATCGATGGACTGTGAGATTCCCCCTAATCCCAACGTCAGTTGGTTCATAAGTCTGCTTCTCCTTGCAGTTCTACGACGTAACGTTCTTCCTTCTTCGAATTGCTGAACTTTTTACGATGAATGCACTGTAAACTCCTGATTGATCATACATACATCTCCAAACATCTCTTGATACTACTACATACCTCCGAAATTCCATCTTATCGTTCCAACATACAGCTACGGATCGCTGCTATCGTCATCACCTGTCCCGCATGTCTCAGCCATCCTTTTACGCATACAACAGCACTCCATTACTCGTGAACCTGCAATACAAGAGATTGCTACTACAGCATGCTTGATATTACACTACATCTACATATTGATCCAGACAAATACAGAAGCTACGGACCCGATACACTAGTACTCCGCAAGCGGAATTATCTTACCCGTGTTATAGTACGAGGGCATCCTCTTCCGACGCCCGAGCAGCTCCACGTCCCCGCTGTCGAAGAACGAGTATCCATCTGCACGCACCGATGAGCTATCCAATATAAAGTCAGGCCGGCGAGCCACTCACACATGGTATCCCCGTCCTCGTATCCGTGCCCCTGGCCATTGATCGGCCGCCCCGTCTTCGAGTCTCGCAGCACGCCGGAGTGGTCGACAAATGGCTCCGCCCGCGGGTTGGCGGAGAGGTGCAGCTGCACGAGGATGCGCTGCACGTCGAGGAGGTAGCCCTCGAGGGTATCCAGGAAGCGGCGCGTCTGCAAATGCTTCGATGACGCGCACCTGGCCATCATGAACACAGCGTCAGCCTCTCGTCGCGCCGCGCAGAGCCCGTTGTCCGGCACTTACACAGAGATCCCATCGTCCTTGATAATGTACCCAATCCCGTATCCATCCGCGGCCACGGGTCCAAAGCCGAACAGCCGCAATGCGGGGTTCCCACAGTTAGATGTGGACAAGATGGACGTGCTGAGCGTCCGCCATCCCGGGTCGGTGAAGATTGCTGGGAGCGGTGGCTTGTCGTCGCTGGTGCTGGACGTGACGCTGCCCCCGGGGGACGGCGGGGCATCTTCTGCCTCGCGGTTCGCCTCGCGTTCGCGCTGAATCAGACAGTATATCGCGTACAGATGCCTACACGCGGTGATGAGTTGTCGTCGGTGGTGATGCAACCTCAGCGTACCTATCCTGTCCCAGGCCTTGACTGCACTCCTTGGTCAGCTTGACGTGGCCCTGGCACGCGGTCCGGAGTGCCGCGACCTTCTGCGACGTCGACGCCTCGGAGAAGAACGTCTGCAGGCGAATGTCAGCATCTACTAATATTGCTCACAGCGAAGTACGCACCTTCACAAAATTCACTGTATATGGCTGGACGGTACGTATGGCCTCCGTTCTCCCATGCAGAAAGTGCTTGGTCATTGCGGGTTCATACGTGCATTCGATCCTCCCTGTTCGACACCCCTCGTCAATCGGTGTTCTGCTCTGAACAATCAAACCGCGTACCATACAGCCCATAGTACGCCGCCTGGAACGCCATCTGCACGAACGCATCCGGGCTGAAGCCATGGCTCGTGATGAAGTTTTTCCCGTACCCCTTGAACTCGAGCGCCTGGCAGTCGTTCTGGCAGATCAAGTCGCTCAAGTGCGTCTCCGCGAAGCGGATCGCCGCGCGCAGCTCAGGGAAGAGCGTCAACTCGAGCTTCTTCGGCGCCGTGTCGATCACGTAGCTCGGCGGAGCAGGGAGTGCCGCGCCGCGCGGGGGCTTGTACGACTTCGCGTGCGGTGAGAGCGGTGCGTGGAAGAGCGTCGGGGCGGACGGGTTGATCGAGCGAGCGAGGAGCATAAGGCCCTCCGTGAAGATATCCGCGGCAAAGCTGAAGATAATGCTCAGGATGGAGTGCATTGAACTGAACGGCGAGACGTACCGAAGGACTGTGTGCCCGTCCACGCCCGTGTGCTCGAAGTTGATGCCTGCCGCGCCATCAGCGCATACAATGATTTGCAGCTGCAATGAAGACCCGGTTTAACAAGACACAATGTACCTTCATCGAGATATTCACCTTATCGTACCACCTATTCGTGCATGTCCCAACCTGCACGCCGCCCTGTAGTTTGTACGTTCCGCACAGGAAGTTGTTACACAGCTCCGCAAGGTTGTCGGGCGTCGCGTCGTCCAGACAGACGACGAAGAGTGCATTGTCGATGATCTGCAGACACTGCTCGTTGTTGTGATTCCGGGCGAGCGCCCCGCGCAGGCTCGACCACACCTTGCGGTTCTCGGTGGAGAGCACGCCGATCGAATTGCGCGCGACCTGGCGAGAAGGTTACAACCTGAGACGCGAACGATATCAATGTACACACCTCTTGCACGGGCACTTCGTTCGCGTCACTGACGACGGCTTGTAAGTTCCGGAGTATCTCACGTTCTGTCAAGACCGGCCGGTTGTCCGCGTCGAGGACGTCGAACCAATCTACAGACAGGTCCGCAGATGGTCAGAACACCAGTTTCCCGAGACATACAGTGAGCCTACGCACAGAACTGCCCGCGTCGAAGGACAACAATGTGCCTCGATTCTGAATGTATCTCCATGCGGCATCCCCTCTGCACACGAGTGAGATGAGACAGTCAACATCAGCCAGTAAATGTAGTGCATACCTCTGTGGGTACGCGCGCTGTCCCGAACAGCCGCGTGTACTGGTCCATGTCGAGGAGTGTTCCCCGCACGGAGTCAGGCTCTAGGATACCAGCACGAAGATCATGTATGAAACCGAGGGAAGAGACTATGAGAGACGCTGCGCGGGGTAACTGGGCGCCTCGATCGGGTGTGGGATCGTTCCTGCAGACACGATTAAGTGAGAGCCTGCGACAAGATGAGAGCAACGAAACACGCACTCGAGGACGAAGAACGGATTGAGAGCGAGAACGACGGGGTCCGAGTGGGACAAGTACGACTCGTACCTGTGGGAGTAGGAGCATCAGTCTAGAGCACGCGCTTGAGAAGTCGAGCGGCGGCCCGTACCAGAATTCTTCAATATAACTGCACAGTCTCGGTATCCCCGTCAGCAACCTGTATATATAGCGATCTTTCGACCGCCACGCACCTCGCCTTGTCCTCCGCGTACCCCTTCAGCTGTTCCTGCCATTTGGCGCCGTCGTGGTGCAGAAACTCCTCCACTGCCCGGCGCGTGCGCTCGTGCTCCTTCGCGTCCTGCAGCCCCTCCAGTGCTGTGAGATAACGCCGACATGTGTCTTCTAGTGACGGTATTGGGAGGCGGGGCAGCTCGTGCTGGCGCGCGAATGTCCTGGAGCCAGGCGGATCTGCCTCGAACTTGGTGGCTGGAGGGTGGGCGTGAACGGGGTTGAAGACAACCATGGGTGAGTCAATAGGCTTACAGAGCTTGGACCTATGATGCGCTGACATGGGAGAGCGTTATATACCGGGACACGGAGGGCTGCGCCCTGTAGCAGAACAAGACACGGGGCCATCCTGAGCAAGGCTAGCGGGGTGCGGGGTACATCAAACTGTCTGATCAGGGGCGCCTGACCCCGCACTAATCTCTTTCCCCCACACGGCGCTCCCCGCCTCTCTTGTCCGCTATAAACGCAGCGCCAACTCTGGCCTATCCTTACGACATGCCTCTAGGTTCTGAACCGTGGCGGAAAAGCACCAGACAAACCAATCACATCCATGACATGCTGAAATATTGCTGTCAACGTCCTTAAAGCAGCACACCCGAGGACAGCCTACAGGGTGCCACTACGGAATGGAAGGGACAGCGTAGGCTATAGCCACTACCGGATACCGGTCTTCCTCAATCGGACATTCTCGGACTACTTGATTCCCTTTCTTTGAGACGGTACCCTGATGTCCACGGGTTGAACGTTGAGATGCACCCATCCGAGGTCAAACGCGGTTATGGGTCCTCGCCGGTGCCGGCATGAAGGACATCGGGCCACAACACTTCTGTGAAGGTGTAAACGCATGGCGAAACACGAAGCAGGAGCCCGCCACACGGCAAACACAATTTATATTGAGTCAAGTTGGTACTAGATTTAGGTTAGGTCTGGGTGTATTTATACACCAAGACTTAACCTAAATGCAATACCAACCTTTATAATAAAATGTTGATGCTGTGGTCACTCGGTGAGTTTGCTTCCGCCACACTGTCCAATCACAGTTTCCGCTATCCAATCATATCTGATACCCCGACGTTTGTCAAGACCGATGAGCCGGGGATTGAACACAATGCGACAAAATATTTGGCTGGATCAAGGACAGGCTAGAGAGGCATGTATTTTGATATACACGCGAAACACAGTTCGATCTATCTGCAGAACCGAAATGCAGTGGCAAAACGCTACATGTTTACTCATCTCAGATCGATCGTCGAGCGGGCCCGTAATCAAAGTCGCCATGCATCGCGCACATGATACAGTTGCAATTCGTGTTCATCGAATCAACGGAGCCCCGCAGACCATGAACGAGTCTCGCCGACTCCGAGCTCCTCCGTGTGGTCCATCCGGGAATCTCGTATCCCGTCCAACCGATTCAAAGCATTCCTGCCCAGCAAATCTCTCATGTACTCGTCATGATCTTCCAACTCCGAGTACCCGAGCCTTCGTCTCATCTCGTAGCTGACATTCATAACTCGCTGACATATTGGATCCATCATAGGCGGGTGTTGTACCAGCTATAGATCCGTGTGGCCTCTGATACACGTCGCGGCCGGTAGCCACACTCTCATCACTGGTCGTCCACGCATCCCGCGCAGTCCTCGCGCTCGCCCGACGGCGGGACTCCGCAGGGAGAGCGACATCACGGCAAAGCCCACGAACCAGAGCGCTGGGTAACAGCAGAATGAATACCGTCAGCACGCACAAATTCTCATCGGCGCCTCGGCTCGCCGAAGGTGGATATTACTGCGCTCAGCCGCTGGTATCACACAAGCTGATGCAGATGCCTGAGGCACAGTGCTCGTTCCAGGTCGCCGGCGAGGCGTAGAGAGAACGCGCAGTTTTCTGCTACCCGTCACTAGCGAGTGGTCCGTTGTCGTGTTGGACGCTGTCTCCATCCCGCATCTTTCTTCTAGATATGCTCGCGCGCAGTGCCATACGGACGGGGTCTCCCAGGCGTCAAGCTCAACCATACCGGCACCGTCTTCATGTTATTCAGTGAAGTTTTACTTAGGAACCTCTCGACTGTCTGCTGCCACTCTGTGACCTCGGATAGGCATCGTACGCGGCCTCTCTGCCAATTCTGCAAACTTTGGGTTTATCACCCAACCGCCTGCTCGCTGACGAGAGCTACCTCAATAATCAGAACCCGACATCAAAGGGGCAGGGTCGAATGTATCACCGGCCAGACTAATTAGCCCTGAAGACGTGATGTGCAACTAGTCTTCGGGCCATAATCCGCGGTCGACTCAAGTCTGCCGATCTCCATTCGTTGGTATGCATCAAACGACAACTTAGCTAATACATGTGCAGACGCCATCAATGTCTCGAGCGAAGAGCGCGGTCAGCGCTGCGTTGGAAGCCTGACTAAGGGTACAGAGTAGCGATGACAATCCCTTCCGTCTGTTCTAAGCTCCCAACGCCTCTATGTTTGGTAAATGTTGCTGACTCCCGTGTAGCTTACAGAACCGTCTGAATGTTGTGCACCCTGTGCAACTGCGCGCCCCTCGATGCTCTTGGCTTTGAGATTCTGACCCGCTTTGGTGACGACGATCACAGCTCGGTTATACCGTTCCTTTATACACAGCCTCCATGATTGAGGAACCTTTGATGAGACAGGGCTCGACCTGCCAGGCGCTGGAAATCGAGGATTTGCATCCGCGAACTGAGCATGTGGGTGTCCGCACTCGCGCAGGTCTCGAGCGACATTGTGATGCAACCTCAGGCGCCAAGCAGGCAAACACGAGATCTGACATGTCTCAGCTCCTTAGCGAGCAGCGCCCATCAATTGACGCGCTCATGAAGCGACGATCACGGACATTGTAGAGCAACTGGGCACAGTGGACTCTACATTCCGAGCGCTCGCATCCTCATTGTATAAATTGAAGAGGAAGTCGCAAGGTGAGCAGCAGCAGCACCTTCGCCTACCAGCTTTACTTTAACATCGTCCTATCCACAGTTCGAACTTTACTCGCCATGCGTACCTTCCAGGTCCTCCTTCTCTTCCTTAGCACGCTGGCCGCGACCGTTCTGGCGGACTCATATGCTCGTGAGGAACGCATGGTCGCCCGGGATGTCTGGGACAACGACGCGCTGTTTGCGCGCGATGAAGACGCGCTCTATGCCCACGACGACGAACTGTACGCGCGCGATCTCGAGGAGTACAAGGACCACCCTCTGGTCCGCGAGATTGTCAATGTCGTATGTCGTCTCTCTTGTATGTCCCGTAGCTGTATGTCTTAGCAATGTCTGTACAGGTGGCCCGAGCGAGGGGCAACAGGGTCACGTCGTGCTACAACCGTGGTGTACATCTCACCGTGGAATTCGGAAAGTGAGTAGTCAATCGTGTGACGAATGTCGGAGTTGGGCTTACCTACTCACTATTCGATCAGCTGCCATCCGGCCAACTCCCTCGGCTTTGCCTCCTCCCATAACTGCAACGGCAGGTACTACTATTGTGTCAACCAGAGCGGGCATGGATTCTGCGAGAGGACGAGGAACCTCCAGGTTGAGAACGGTGAATGTTTCAACTGAGTGGGGGTGGGAAAGAGGCGGCGAGTGTGTGGGTGTTAGCTGGAAGCTATTTGCGCGGATTCGCTTAATCCTACATTCTGTCTGTCGTTCCTCCTAGGCTATGTGGAGAATTATTTATGATGGCCCATATTCTGTGAGAATTTGGGAATCTGAGAACAATTGTGATACATGGTACTCACCAGAAAGTATGAGGGGCTTATCGGCGAGATACGTACTCTTCCGGATTTTTTCTATTGAAGCGAAGAGCAATGGATGTAGAAGAACAATTTCACGAACTCACGAGGGCGAGATTCGTTGGTTGGCTATGATCGCAGCTTAATGGTACGCAAGCACTTTACCTGTTTTGTGTAAACCATGATTAGTTGATGTTATTTACCTTTGTGAGATCACTCACCTACCCTCTTTCGAGTCGTTGAACGCCCCGGTATCCGACGAACTCGATTGATACTGGTAGGACTAACCTTTGTGTGCTGATAATCAGGTTCAGTTCAGACTGATCGGGACATACATGCAAGGTTAGCTATTGCATTGTCATTAAGAAACAAACGATCTGTTGGTGGGCATTTGTGGAAGTTCCTCGTCTTTTTCTGTGGCAGGGACACGCTTCCAACGTCCTTCAAGTCGTTGCCCACTTTCCCTTCCACCGCTTCGGCCACAAGCTCCGACAATGTAACAGCTGCTTCACTACTCTTACATCTTCACTCCCACTCCCAGTTCGCCACTAATCGAGCGACCACCGGTTCGCTGATATCGCGCCAACCACCCGATGCGAGCGGTGGAGACAAGCGGTCTAGCGTCGTGACTTCGAAACGGTCACCTGCCCACGCACCGCGATGCAGGTCGCCGTCGTAGCGCATCGCTATCGAATCATCCCACGACCAGCATATCAAGGATAACAGAACGTTCCCGAGGCCTATGGACCGGGGCGGTAACGGTCCGTCCGGTGTCTCGTTTGAGTGAGCCGCTATCGAGTCTTCCCGGACGTACTCCTGCTTCGTCAAATTGCACAACACCCAGTAATGCACCTTCGCTTTGCCAAGGTAGTGACAATTCGGCTCCTCGTTGGAGATGCTCAAGTAAAACTTAAGTTCTCGCTTTGGGAGGCAGCTCCATACATCGTAAGGTGGTAACCAGTATGCCTTTGGAGAGTACGCGACTTCCTGATAGGTCTCGGTGATCAACCCGTAAATGTCTAGCTGCTTGTCCTGAAGTTCCTGCAGCTCGGTTTCAGACAAGAGCCCTTCTGGAAGATCGTCATCCCTTGCGTAGTCGCCAAGGCAGATTATACGATCGCCCTTCCACCGTTGCTGACATAGGCAGATGAGTTCGTACATCCGCTGGTGGCCAAATGGTTCAAGCAGGGGGGTTGCAAGAGTCAGAAACAGCGCATCTTGGAAGCTTGTGATATTGTCGAAAATGAAATGTAATATCTCTCCTGGCAGGTCCAGACGACCGAGTGCCTTTCCGGTTTCCATTGTACGGACATATGGCTTATGCTGAAAACAAAGCATTCATGAGTGAAGTCAACAGAGGTAAAACCTGAGCATGGGCTAACCTTCGCTAGTACGGAGTCGGGCGCAGGGTGAGGGAATGGCGTTAGGATGTATTCAATCAATGTCTCAAAGTCGTTGTAGAAGAATTCGCCAAGTTTTCCCCACACGCCAAATGTCTCCCGCTTGTCCAGGTTTGCTCTGAAAAAGAAGTGAGAGTTAGAAATAGCGTGCGTAGGCGTAAAGGTGACAACGCACAACTTCCAGTATTGACCCATTCTGAACGGCTGTGGCTTGGAAGGTGCGTGACTTTCGAGGTTGCGGGTTCACTAGCTTCGATGAAATAGTACTAGTGATTATAGTCCAAGATGATGGAGCTCCCGTTGTTGAGTGGAAGCACCGCGGGGTTGCCAGTGGCCACGGATCGACTTACGTAAGCGCATCACACGTTTGTGGTAAGATCGGTGTTTTTGCGTTGGGTAAATTGCGTTTGCTGTGGGAGGGAGTTGCTCAAGTCCCTTGAACTGCCCTCCACATCGGAATCTTTAGTCTCCAATAATTGAGAGCGCATATTTAGTTCTTTGGACGCCTCCACGCGACGAGAATAGTTCGTCGATGAGAGCAAGCGAGTACCTAACAGAGTGAAAATTAGAACGAGCTTCAGTCGAGGTCAGGAAGACTTGAACTACTTTATCAATGATACACCCAACAGAATAGGAACCTTTAAGGCTAATCAGTATGAGCGTGGCTCGTAGCATGAGCAGGTAGACTCACGAGCTTCAGTCAAAGTCAGGACGACAAGTAGAGCTCGAGTCACTTCCGCCTACGACAATCACCCTGAATGAATAACGACCGTCGGGAATACGAATGGAATTAGGGGCCCCACTGGCAGGGGCGCGTGTACGTTGCGCGCTGATCCCGACGCGATAGCGCGACGTCATGCTTGCGCGACCGCACTACTTTAGATGTCTATTCGCCCAACACATATGTAAACGAGTATAGCAGATGGGATCGTCTCGCTCTTGTAGCTGGGAGTGACCGTCAGCGAAACTCCGTTAGGCATGTTGTGCAGGTGTATTTGCAAGACTCCATGCTCGTCTCACCGCTTATACTTAGGCATTGTCGCATCAGGGTCTGCATCCTTCACACCCTCGAAAGAGTCGTCCTCGCGGCTTCGTGCCGGCAAAAGGATCGCTTATCCTCTCACATTCACGAACTTATCAGCTGTCAAAGTCATCACTCAGATCACATTGGAAACAAGCGAGAAGCAGAGAGTCGGGAAACCCGTAGATATGTTTTGTCATGAATCTACAAAAGTATGTTTTAAGACCGGGGCTGGAGGCACCCCTCGTAGTAGTAAATCAATCACCTGCGATGTACGTACCGCGTGTAATTGTCCTTCACTTCAGACATCACTACGCCCGTGGACAATCGCGCTCGCCGGCCCAGTAACAGTTGCGCTCAGAGTCCATTCCTTCTCAATCGGCGTCACAGGTAGAGCACAGTATATATCTATATGCTCATACACGTAACGAAAGTGACATATTTGAAGTGAGAACGAGGTCATGATGTTCTGCAAGATTGATCGATTTTACAGAACACCATAACCCACAGGAAGCGGCGTCTTTGAACACACCCACTGAGATCCGGGGTGCGTCTGAGGAGCAGCTTTTACGAATCTTTACAGCAGCGACGCGTACTACAGTACGCGTCGTTGACGCGCGCCCGAGAGTTTCAGTGACGTACACATCTATTGCAATAAGCGCGAATGCGGTGCCCCGTCAAAAGGCTCACAGCCTGCATTGAAAGGTGTTTATCATGGCTCCGCGGGCATGCGAACACCCCGCATATACGTATAGCAAGACACCTGCTGGCGCGCGCATAAGTCTCCAGATCACGTCGCCGAGATACAGCATTGTAGCGATGAACCAGAGTACGTGGGATTCACAACCGGACTATGATGAATAGCGCTGTATGTACCCGCAAAGCATCAGGGGCCTTGCACGACCGCCGATTCACGGGAACACGTTTGGACTGTTGCACATACCCGATTTTGCTCATCTGTCCTCCTAGAAAGCATTTTCAAATTGAGACTGTCAAATTTTAAAACTGATAACGGGTCCTGAACATGTCAATCACCTGTTGCATCTGTTCGACCACGCATTGATTCAGATGAGGGAGACGAGGCATAACCTCCGATGGAGACGCGAAACCAGCTCGTGGCACACGAGAGCTCGAGGAAACCGTGGAACGCGTTGTCCAGCTTCGATAGCCATCCGGAGCTCGAAGTTTCCCATAGATCTGTAACCTTGAGATCCGACCTGTGTCTATGATGGGGAGGTCTGTGTCCGCCCTTGCCAGTACTGTAACAAGCGGAAGTTAATACGACAGACTTGTTGTCGCTATCAGACTGATGCTGGCATTACTCCCCGGGGTTGTTTATCCGGCGACGGAAGCAGTTTAGGGTTACGATGGCGCCGACATATCAGGATGAGGAAATGAACTCGTCCGGACTTTGCTACGAAGGTGTCCCCGTGAAATGCGCACGCCTAGAGTGTAGAGCCGATTCCAGGACTCGAGACGGGCAACATCAGCCTGTTGAGCGGATCAAAAGTCAACGTGCGTGCGCTGGCAACAGATGCCCATTCAGACATTCAGACATTTTGAAACAGTCCCGCGGCGACGTGCCTGTCGGGAATCACCCTCTGGATGATCTACTTTTCAGGGGAAGCCTGCGCTTCTGCTGCGACGAGACCGTCCTTCCTCCTTTCTGCTCTCCAATGTCTAGCTTCTGAGCGTGGCGAGAGTAGCTGGCCTCCTCGATGCGATATGCTGTGCGCCTTGTCGTGCTTCTTCTGCTAGTCTCCGTCGCCTGCGGTGCAGCTGCACGTCCCGTACGATCGTGATCTTCGGAGCACAGGGATCGGCTCGACTGACATCTTGCTGCTCCTCCCACCAGATACACTGTTTCGCTGGCAATCTCGCAGAGGTGAGTGTGCAGACCGTGGTGCCGTGCGCTCGGTCCTGAGGGTGGCGACAGTCATGGCCGAGACAGGAAGAGTTGTCGCGACAGACGACCATCCCGGGGCAGTGCGGATCGTGTAGGTTGCCCTCACCTCATCTCCTAGCCAGCGTCCGCATCATACCCACTCAAACTTCACAGGGTTGCCCTCCGACCCGTGGGGGGCGCGCCCTCATCCAAAGCTTGCCCGACCATGGCCAAGGCCGCCTATCCGGGCCGTCGTTGCATTCCTTATAAGAATGCGTCTCCCTGCCCGTGTCGTCTCTGGTACCGACGGTAAAGAATCTCAGTCTGGAGATCTTGCAGCTTCCCCGCCACGCGGTATGTCTGACCGCCTTTCCTCTGCCAATCATGTCTGACCCATTCACATCATCCTGCAACGTATAGGCTGGACGACCATGGAGATTGCGACCCCAATTATGGTCGGGTTCTTTGTCGCCGCCATTGCCGCTACCGTCTTTGTGTACTACCGACATCGCCTACGGCACCCACCCTCGATCCATCGCCCCGCCCCCGTCACCGTCTCTTGTTGGGACCGGTTCCGCCTCCGTATGCCCGGCTGGGTCTTCGGCGTGCTTCCGGGCACGCACGCCGTCCGCCCTGGTAACACTCACAAGCCCTCCACCTGGAGCATCGATGACGCCGACAACATACCTCTGCACGCCCCCCAGGCGTCATCGTCTACCTCCTCGTCCGGTTCCGGCCCTGGCTCCGGCTCGGGGTCGCTCTCCCGCTCCGGTTTCGCTTCGGTTCCGCAATTCGAGCCCGGCGGCGGCCCTCCAGATGAGTTCCATCCACAATTTGACGACGACGATGCGGAGGCAGAGCCTGCCCACCGCGCGGTGTACGGCGCGCCCCTGCACGCGCATGAGCGCAACTACTCGAGCGCGTCGCTCCTCCCGCACGTCGACATCTCGTTCCCCCGCGCGGCCGCGGTCTTGGGGCGCTTCACAGACGGGGCGCGCATCGGCAAGAGCCCGAGCTACCGCGCAGGGCCCGTCCTCCAGTGCCCGCCGCACGACGGCTTCAAGATCGACGGCGTGGACTCGCCGACGCGCCCGCACGCGGAGTATGCGCGCGAGGCGCAGCCCCCTGGGACGCCGCCAAGGGGCACGGACGAGCGCAGCGTGCTGCTCATCTCGCGCGTGCCCGGGCAGGACTTCGTCATCGAGGAGTCCGAGATTGGTGCCTGACGGAACTTCGCCCTACCAACAGTCAGAGCACGGGCCAGAATATAGCTCGTCGCGCATTTTCACGTATCTCCCTGCTGGACGAACCCATCTCTGATGCATTGCTCGCGTTTCATTGTTTCAGTCCCTCGACCTCGCCCCCGCCAATCCGCCTCCTGCTCGCGTACCTTGCATCACGCTATCTGTCGCTCTGCCGCTATATGCACAACATTCGTCGGCTGCGCCTCAAGCTAGTTCCAGGAAGAAATATACTTGCTTTTTTGATCCCTGACCATGGACTGTATTCTAGCACTCCTCTGCCTCCAGACCCCCGTCTCCTGCGCTGCATAATGTTATCTGAGCAATGGACGCTGCTATAGCAATTACTTTAAAGTTATGTACTCCGTTTCAGGTCTCCAGCCTTCAGCTTTACACCTGTATAATCACCTCACAATCCGGATACTTCTTGCTGCTTGGCAAAGGACAGTATGAGCGAGCTGAAGACCACAGATGCTGGTGCGATAAACCGAGTCTGCAGTGATATTCTACATCGAAACATTATTTTTCTAAGATGCTACTCACGTCCCCCCGTCGGTGCTAATCATGACAACACGTAGCGGAAACGACATTCTAGTCCACGTCCATCTCCGAAGGGCCGTCATCCTTCTTCGCGTCGCCCTCCGCCTGCTGTTGCTGCTCCTGCTGGGGCGTCTGCTGCCCGCTCTTCGGCGTGTCCGCGCCCTCGACCTTTGGCGGCTTGGGCTTGGGCTTGGTGAGGATCGGCGTCGCGAGGTAGATGATCTCGTCGCGCTTCTTCATGACGTCCGCGCCCGTCAGCACCGGGTCGACGTCCTTCGGCCGCTCCGACTGCCGCGCGATCTGGTCCTCGAGCCACTTCTGCACCGTCGCGCACTTCTCGACGATCTTTTGCTTCTCCTTCTCTTCGATGTGCGCGAACCGCTCCTCGCCCGACGTGGCCTGCGCCATGTACGTGTTGATCGTCTCGCGCAGCTGGCTCACCACCCTCGAGCGCTCTTCCGCCTCGCGGTGGCGGAACGTGATGGGGTCGCCGAGCTTCTTGAGCGCATCCAGTCGCTCGACGTATGCCGACTTGGTCGCGTCCTCGCCCTCCTCCGTGTACAGCCAGTCCTCCGCTTCCTGGAGGGCGACGAGGAGACGCTCCTTCTCTTGTAGCTGAACATACGATGCGTAGCGCTCATCGAGGCGAGCACGGGTGTCGTATACGTACTCCTCGAGAGCGTTTTTGCGGTCCTTGAGAACACGTGAGACCACGGACAAGATGAAAAATGATCAGACGTACCTCAGTGTCCAGGACAAGCTTGTCCGCAGCGTGCATCTGCGCTTCATGCTCCTTGAACTTCTCGAGGAGGGAGGACTCCATCGAAGACGATGCCCAGACGAAAGGAATATCCTTCTTCTTGGTCACGCGCTTCTTCTTGGGCTGCTCCTCACCGTCCACCTGCATCGCATCCTCCTTCTCCTCGATCTCCTCGACATACGCTTGCTCGAACGACACGACACCGTGCAAGTTAAGCCTCGTCTTCAGCCTGACACACGTGAAGTCGTCCTTCTCGTCCGGTCCGACGCTCTTCGCCGTGAACCGCGCGATCCAGGGGTTGATCCCTCCGGGCAGCGCTGCGGGTTCTGCATACTGCGCCTCGACATCGAACGCGTGCTTGCGGTAGAACGTGAGCACCTTCGTCGACGGGATGGCGTTGCCCTTCGGGAACACAACTAGCTCCGTGTCGTCGTCCTGGTCGTCGGCCTGGCGCTCCCACTGCACCTTGATCGAGTAGGGCGTGATATCGTGCATGCTGAAGTCGCGCACGCGGAACACGGGCGAGAGCATAGCGCATGCGAACGTCGCACCGCGCGCCGCTGCCTCGTCCTGGTTCAGCGTTGTCGAGAGCGTCTTGTCCGGGAAGACCGTCTGGATCTTAGCGCGCACGGCAGGGATACGCGTGCACCCGCCGACGAGCTCGATCGCATCAATCTGGTCGAGCGTGAGGCCCGAATCCGCCAGCGCTTGCTGGAGGGGGGCAGGAATACGGTCCAGTACCTCCGCAATCAGCCCCTCGTATTCATCACGGGAGAGCCGGCTGGAGGCATCGATGTCATTCATGATCGACTCGACATTCAGCGGCGCTTCGGCATTTGCGGAGAGCACCTTCTTCACGCGGTCACAGCCGGCAGCGAGACGGAAAGACGCTTTGGGGCTCGAGAGGACGTCGATCTTGTACTTCTCCTTGAACTCAGCCGAGAAGTGTTTGAGCAGGGCGTAATCGATGTCGCGTCCACCAGCGTGCCTGTCATAGGCTGTGCTCTTGACGGTCAACTGGCCCTTGGAGAATGCAACAACGGCACAGCTCGTGCTTGAGTGACCGACGTCGATGAAGACGACGTGCCGCGGGTTCTCCGCTTCAGGAAGGTCTGATTTGGTGATACCGTATCCAAGCGCAATGGCAGTCGTGTCGTTGATCAGGCGAAGTACGTTCAGGCCCGCAATCTGAGCAGCATCAAGGACTGCCCGTCGTTGGATATCGGTGTACCAACCCGGGACAGTAATGACGATGTCGGCCACACCGGTCTTGAGCTCGTTGGCTGCGATGTCACGGAGCTTGCCAAGGTACATTGCGTAAACCTGAGTAATGGAAAATGTACGCTGTTCTCCCAGGTATTGCACCTACACCGCCAGATTAGATGAGTGTCAAGCTCAATAGTTCTCAAAACGCACCTGGACGCCAACAGTCCCGCCAACATCAGTTAATGTCGCATTGAGGAACTTCTTTTCCACTTCCTGTACCTCCGGATCCGCGAACGTACGGCCGATGAGACGCTTCAAGCTGCCGATGGTGTTGCGGAAGTTAGACGTCTCGAGGGTTTTGGCAGCCTCGCCAATTGCTCTTTGTTTGGGCCCAAACGATACGAGCGACCTGAGCAGAGTTGGTGAGATCTACCGCGCATATAAACTGGAATGCAAATAGACATACGGAGTGGCACGGTTCGAGACTTCATTCACAATGATATCAATACCTCGATGTCTTGCGACACCGATCTAAGGGGAAACATGTCAGTAGACAGCCCTGAAGATCACACTCAGCCAGTTGACCAAACTCGAGCGGTTCACCAGTTCGCGCATCCGTACGCGTCCCCACAAAATGAATCGCTTTGTTCCTGAGTGCGCGATCTGGCAAACCGCACGGAATGAAGAATAGCCAGAACACACCTTGCTGTTCAGCGCACCAAGGTCAATACCAACGACGGCCATGATGGTCTAAAGCAAACGGGGACTTCGCGAGACAACCAAGGTAGGACTGCAGCTTTTACGCGCGCCTTTACGCGCCCGAAATTTGAGGGTGCCGAGCAAATTCGGCAATATTCTCGGTCGTTCCACGCTCTTCCAACGTGGATCGATATCTCTGATCTGAACTCTCAATGGTAATTTCTTAAGTTTTGCACTAAATCCGGATGCAAAGCAAGGTCACAGTCTCGTCTTAAGCTCATGAACACGGCTCGATCTGGATGTCGCGATTTGACGAGAAGCTAGATCGTATAATGCCGTCGTTGATCGTAGAATATATTCGAAATTGTTAGAGTACGACACGAGATTAGTACCACACCCATACACTAGACCTGACCTGACGGCCCTGGAGCAGCACCGGATGTGTTGGCAGATGTCTCGATGGGCTTCATGGCCGGGAAGAGCAGCACTTCCTTGATATCTGCGATTTCCGGGAGCAGTGAATAAACACGCGTATCGATGAGACAGGACGCGGAGCGTACTTTGCGAGTCAGTCAAAAACATGACCAGACGATCGATACCAATTCCCCAGCCGCCCGTCGGAGGAAGACCATGCTCAAGGCTATGAGATGTCATGAGCACGGATTCTACGATCAGTTGAGAGTGGAGACTTACGCATCCACGAAGGTCTCATCGATGTCCTGAGCCTCATCGTCTCCCGCAGCCTTCTGTTTCATCTGTGGATGGTATTGTCAGAGGCTGAGAGGCGTAAGATCACACATCCGGAGCTTACCTGCTCCTCGAAGCGCGCCCGCTGCTCGAACGGATCGTTCAACTCCGTATATGCATTGCAGAACTCCTTGCCACACATGAAACCCTCAAAACGCTCACAAAGGCCTGGTCGTGAGCGATGCCACTTTGCGAGAGGCGACATGACTTGTGGGTGTCCGACTGCATTCGCGATTAGAACGAGGTGAACAAGTAAACACGGCGAAGCATACCGATGAAAGCTGGTGATATGCAGAGGGGTTCGATAAACTCGCCCACAAGCTGTTTTGCTAGATGTCAGCGAGAACAAACATTCTCCGAGCTTGAAACGTACCTTGTCCAACAACCGAGCATTCGTTCGGGGCTCGCTGCAGTCCACGTTGAGCTAATAACAATATGTCAAGCGCTGTATCATCTTTATTGACACGCTCCTCACCTTCTTGCAGAGATCACGCAAGAACTTGTTCGTCTCCTCTGTGTGCAATGTTTCGCTTGGAGGGAACTTGACGCCCGTCTTCTCCTCCAGCGTCTCGATCATGTCGTACCGCTTCCATGGACGCTGGAAATCTAGCTCATAAACCTTGTCACTGTCCTTGCCCTCCGGGTGGTACTGCAACGTTGTCTTGCCGCCCGTGATGTACTTCACCATGCCCTCGACCATGCTCTCAGTCAGATCCATTAAGTCGTACATATCCGCGTACGCCATATAGAACTCGCAAATGGTGAACTCGGGATTGTGCGTGAGGTCGATGCCCTCATTTCTGAAGACACGCCCGATCTCATACACACGGTCAAGTCCGCCTACGACAAGCTGCTTAAGGTACAGCTCCGGCGCGATACGGAGGTACAAGTCGAGATCCAGGTCGTTATGGTGTGTGACGAATGGCTTTGCGGTTGCGCCGCCAGCGATCATGCTCGTCATCGGAGTCTCGACCTCGAGGAAACCAAGGTTATCAAGGAAGCGGCGGACGTAGTTGACGACCTTGCTGCGCGTGATGAAGATGCGCCGTGTGTCTTGGGAAATGATGAGATCGAGGTAGCGCTTGCGGTACCGGGTCTCCTGGTCCTTCAAGCCAAAGTGCTCGGACGGGAGTTGGTGCAGATTCGGTGCCAGGAGGATCATTTCGCGCGGCGCGATAGAGAGCTCGCCCTTCTTGGTACGTGTTGGCGTGCCAATTACGCCCACAATGTCACCCCGACGGAAGTTTTCGTGCGTGGATATGAAAGATTCGGGGTCGCTTGCATCCCTATACCAGACGTGAGATTGATATATGCATACTCATGGACAATACAACTGACTGCTTATTTGCCATTATCTGTACCTTCTGGCCTTCGCCGTGCAGGTCATAGAACCGAAGAGCCTTAGACGACTCTCGCACATTGTGGATACGCCCAGCAAGACATTCCATGGTGTCGTGCAACTTCTCCCCAAGCTTAATTTTACCCTCCTCGCCATACGTTTTTATGTACTTGGGGATCGATATTGATACGTCGAACTTGTGAGGATAAGGATTTGGAGACTGCGTTTCTCGCAGCTTTTGTATGTGACGGGAACGAAGTTCGAAATATTGCTGCAATGCATGACAAGTAGGTCAGCTCTATGTGACCAGCATGGTGACATTCTTGGATGCATCTGCGTCTCGTGAGGCGACGTGGTGCTACGATCCTTCTACAACTCGTGACACACACACGAGTGCACCTACACCCCCTCAAATTCACCCACCAAAGTCACTCCGCGTGGCGGTATTGTTCGAGTAGCGTACCAGAAGAGTAACTCACGTTAGGACTAAGGTCGGCCTCGTTAGATGCGGCAGCCTTAGCAGACTCGGGCTTAGGAGCGGCGGCAGCCCTTTCAGCCTTCTTGGCTTCCTTCTCCCTCTGCTTTTCTCGCCGCTTGAGCTCCCTGATCGCGTCGAGATCAGTCGAAGGCGGACAAGGAAGGGCAGGAAAGGCACAACACACGTCTTAGAGATCAACTCGCCCGTCACCGGGTCCTTGTGTGTGCCTGCATTTTCCGTTGCCATGTTCCTGACAAGTCTGGGGGGGATAAAGGATGTTCTACGAAAGAGGAGGGGGCGTACGGCTTGCCTGCATAGGAACAGCTTGTGCATGCAACTTTTTATCGTTCTTCGAGTCACGCTCGTGCACAGAAGGGTATTCCTGTTACGTAATAGATTGCATCTCGCCATTTTCGATCGTGCGCACCGGCTAATTCGGGTTTTCGGAGTGTCAAATATGTAAACTCCGTCGCCGATACGTCCTGGCGCTTGTCATACGAGTTGCAAGCACCTGCACCTCGACTCAGTATCCCTCTGTACTCCTCCTTTCGCAGTCACCATGTCCTCTAACGACGAGTATTCCGACGAGGATATCGAGTATTACGATGAGGACGAAGACATGGAAGACATAGACGATGGTACGTCCGCAAGTGCCTCTCCTGGCTGAGGTTGCTGATAAAGCAGTAGGGTCCGCTTCTGAGATGGAACTTGACCCCCTCAACGACCTCAACGATCCCACTCGCCCTCAGCGGAAGATATTTGAGGTTGAATACGAGTCGCTGAGTCAGAATGATGTTGAGAAGCTCATGAGGGCAGACATCGAGTACATTAGTAGCATCTTCGGCGTCGAGGTGAGTAGCCTCGAGGCATGTATGCCACTGCATGTATCTACCATCTTCACTGCAGATGGATACAGCGTCACTGATGCTGCGGTGGATAAACTGGAACAAGGAGAAGCTTATTGAGAAGTATATGGACAACGCCAATGCAGTACTCATGGCCTCAGGTATCACCCAGGCCGACAAAGCGCCGGAGCGCGCCCATGCGGGGCGCTCACCGTCTTCATCGGCACACCAGTCATCGATAGGTCCCCGTCGTTCCAGCCGCCGCATCGCTCCTGAGCCTCCTAAATCGGGGAAGACCAAGATCCTAGAGCGCCTTACCCCGCCTATAGAGGATGGCAAGTTCATATGCCCGATCTGTTTCGACGACACGCAGACGGAGACGCTCAACATGACCTGTTTCCACAAGTTCTGCAAGTCATGTTGGCATGCATACGTCGAGAGCAAAGTCCGCACAGAGGCCGAGAGCTGGATCTCATGCATGGCTGAGGACTGTTCACTCGTAGCCCCCGATTATTTCATCGAAGGTGTGCTCAAGGAAGACAAAGCGACATGGGACCGATTCCAGGAGCTTCTCGTTCGACACTTTGTGGGGGCAATGCCGAACCTCAAGTACTGTCCGTACCCATCCTGCACGTACACGGTATCATGCCCGGTCAGCGTCTCGAAGACGTCACTATCTAGTACAGTGCCTATCGTTACATGCGGTGCCTCGGCTGCCCACAAGTTTTGCTTTGGCTGCCACGTCGACAGTGACCACAGACCCGTCATTTGTGCAGTCGCGAAGATGTGGCTACAGAAGTGCCGAGACGATAGCGAAACGGCTAATTGGATCAAGAGCAACACCAAGGAATGCAGCAAATGCCAGAGTACGATCGAGAAGAACGGCGGGTGCAAGTAAGAGCAGCTCGAAGCCGTCCTCGTGAGTCCCCCAACTGATTCCTTGCTCCAGCCATATGACCTGTAAGAAGTGTAAATACGAATTCTGTTGGGTTTGCATGGGTGAGTTATGCGCTCTCGTACGTGTTATCTCACCTGATTATGAATAGGTCCATGGTCCGAGCATGGTACTTCTTGGTACAACTGCAATCGATACGACGAGAAGGCCAGCGTTGATGCTCGCGATGCCCAATCTCGAAGCCGCGCTTCACTGGAAAGATATCTTCACGTGTGTTCACTACTCCAGTTGTATACATCGTATGAACAACGTCTTATATCTTCTTCCCAGTACTACAACCGCTGGGCCAATCACGAGCAATCGAAGAAGCTGTCCGTTGAGCTGTACGCGAAGACAGAGAAGAAGATGGAGGAAATGCAGATCACTTCAGAGCTGTCCTGGATTGAGGTGCAATTCATGAAGAAGGCCGTGGACGAGGTCATCAAATGCCGTACGACGCTCATGTGGACGTACGGTATGGCGTACTATCTCGAGAGGGGCAACGAGAAGGAGCTGTTTGAGGACAACCAACGGTGCGCATTGTCATGCACATCCTCCGTAACATTCGTAGTGGCTGACCTCCTGCTAGGGACTTGGAGCGTGCCGTAGAGGAGCTGTCAGAATTGATCGAGTCCCCCATCGATCCGGAGGTCATCAAGACACTCCGCCAGAAAGTGACTGACAAGACGGTAAGCATCTAACATATGATACTTTATTTCGCATCATCGCTCACAGTCACTATCGGTCAGGTATACGTACAGAAGCGCAACGAGATCGTGCTCGAAGACACTGCGAAGGGGTTTATGGATCGGCGCTGGAAGTGGAACGTTCCCGTCGAGGGTTATGACTAAGCGCGGATATCCTCGTCTCACAGCAGTCTGCCCGTCTCTGTCTTCGGCCTATTCTCATGACCTGTAATCAACAATGCTCTTTACTCTGTCGCATACACCACCGCCTGGCTAGCTCCCCGTCCAATGAATGTATCTAACGGACCACAGAATGTGTAGTATGTAGATGATACTTGTATTCATTATCTGGATTATCAACATTCTTGTGAGTGGAGAACAATGGGCGGCGTTGTGCCTCTGATAGGTTGCGGTTGTAGTGGTCATGCGAGCGGGATCATGACAAGCAGATGTGTTCCCTTGCGCGTGACACCGCCCGTGCTCACTGCCTTTAGTCATGCGTCCTGGCTAGTAAAGGTCGTCAGGGTTATAGCGAGGAACCGCGACCCCTTAGATACAAACACAATACAAAGCCGTAAAAATCAATCAGGTTCCCCAATGGTCTGTACACAATTGTATATTCAAGCCTTCCATCTGAGAAACGTAAGATGAAGAGCGACGGAATACCGCTCAAGTCAAACAGGCCCGAAGTTTCGGGCAGAGACGTTCCTATTTCTCCTCATCACCCTTAGCCGATAGCGACGGCTCCGCCTCACCCCTCTCTAATGCTGAGAGACTCTGCAGCCCCAGATGGCGACGCGAGCCGAGAAGTGGCGTGTCCTTGTACACGTAGTTATAGATTAGGATTTGCAGTGCATATTGGCCTGCTCCGATGAGCAGAGTCCGCGTGTCCCCTTTCTTGGCGTAATCTAGCGTTAGGACCACGACCCAGATGATGAGGGTGAGTGCGTGTACTCTCTGCAGATAGTATTGGACTGCTGCGAGGGTCTCGGGCTTGGCAGAAATTATCAAAAAGAAGTGATGAGCGAAATTTGTGCTACGGCTTGCCGCTTGAACATGCTACCATTAGGGCCTCTCCGGAGCGCTGATAGCTCATTACCAAAATAACTCGGAGGCTGTGGACGCCCGAACTCTGTTATCTCACACAGGCAGCTAGCTAGCTACATACTAGTGTCGGCATGCGGTTCATTATACGCGGTTTCCAGTGGGAGAAGATGGTCATCATAAATTTCTACATGTAATTCTTGGCACACTGCCACATCTTGTAGCGGGATCAACACCCAATGGTCGCGAGCGCCAAAGCTGTGGATGTCCGGGCGCGGGCTCGATCGCGAGATCTAGACACTCTGCGTTCCTGAGCGCGAAATGTAACGTGACTGGAAAGAAGGACTGCCCAGGTAAACGAACATGTAGATCATGGTCATGATAACATTCCAAATGATCCCAATGATTAGAACCCATGGGTCGCTTGTCGTAGCGACCACCATGGTTACGATGAGCACGTCCAAGATGAGTATGAGGCGGAGTATTCTGAACATCATACGAGGGTGACGGTATAGAAACTCAATGGCGGTCTTGGGCTTCTCTGGCTCTGCCAAAAGCAGCCGGTGAGTGAATCGTATGATGAGATCCTCAAGAACATGCTACCCCAATCAAGATGAACATACCAGGCTTCAATGATGTCTCGCGGGGGTCTGCTGAGGCTTCCTCTGTGGACCACTGCGCCATTACGTGATTTTCATTCACATCGCAATCTTCAGACTCTAGAAGGAGTACAGTCGACACCTAGGAGGAGTTAATCAGTTTGAAGTGTCCACGCTGCCAATTGGCCAACTCAATTCGTACCTCCGGAGTCTGAGCTTTACATTCATATGGAGAAGACATACTACGAGTTGTCAGCACGGTGTTCTGGATGAAAGTTCGGGGTCAATCAGCCAAACGCAGTTCTTGCATGCAAAGCGGGGACAAACCCACCCTTACAATAGTTCAGTAAAGATGTAATAGATGAGGCAAAGGGGAGGATGAAGAACCATGAGCGTCGATGGCTCGTCCTTTATCTGGACCAAGCTAGGACGCCCAAGCCATATTGACTTTGGACATTTGGATGGTGTATACGTATTACAACAGACAGAACAGTCGCGTAGGGAATGCACAAAGTCACAGCTTGTACCGAATTGGTGTCGGAACAGCAACCACGAGCGCGCCAATTATCAACGTGGCGCGGACTCGATCGTAGATCTTGTGCCAGGAAGATCGAGATCGAAGAACAAGGCAAGGATGGCAACGACTTTTGGTAGCGACGTTGTTTACATTGTTCTCCCACTCGCCATCATCGCTCTTCTCCCACAGCTCTCAGTTGACCACCATCCTTCTTCCTCTCTCTCCTCCCATAGCTCTGAGCGCAATTCGAAAATCATGGGCCAATACTGGGAAATGCACGTAGCCGCTCGTCCACAGCACTGATTGTGGAGCACTAATCACAACATCTTGTTCCACAGTGTGAACCTCGACAAGCAAGAGACTCATTCGAACGAAGATTAGGGAAGCTTGGCGCCTTTTTCTTCAGCGACTTTAGCAGCCTTATACAGGCACTTGTTGTTCCTTTCCCCAAACCTTCACCCTATTGTCGTATGCAAAAGGTACGTCCAGACACAGCTCGTCTATGTTGGGACTCGTACATTGACTGTGGCGCATGAAGCCTGGCCCCTTCATTAGGACAGAAGCGCTAGGCCATATGAATTTGCCTGCCGAACTTCTCTACATTATCTATTCGTACATCGATAACTTGCGCGACGCTATTTCCCTGACAATCACTAACGAGCATCTCGCTTCGGTCGGACACAGTAGGGTCTACGAGCTGATATGTGCATTGCACTCAAGCTGGGCGGGCGACCGAATTGTCTGCTTAGGCGACTACATGACCGACGATGACCTCCCTTCGGGCATGATCTCACAGGACGAACTCAAATCGCTCTATGCCGCTGCCAATCCAAAGTATGATGATCGCTCCCTCTATGACGTCGCTGTCAACAATTTCGCTCCCGTCAGTCTGGACGGACAGCGGTGGCTACATTACTTTCACTATAACCCCTCCACAAGATCTTACTTACGCGACCACTCGCGGCATCGGGACTATCTCTTTCGCACGTCCTCGAACTATGCTTCGTCCAGTCCAGAAGAAGACAAGTGGTCTTTGTGCAACCTCACGAAGCACGAATATGTGCGCGCTGACATAATTGCCATGAACTTGGGAGTCGCCACGCGCGGTCCCTTCATCGAAGGACGTCTCATCCGCCTCGAACAGATACTCTTTTCGCTCATCTGTTGGTCGTGTGACGAGGGCGTCAATATGAAATACGAAGCGGACTTGCATCGAGGCGCGTGGGCAGGGGACCGCATCGCAATCAATACGTTGAGCCGGCTGAGTCCACCGCTTGATTCGGGCGTGTGGAAGGACATAACCATACCGGTGTTCAAACGGTTGGTGGACATCTACGATTTGGACTGCACCGACGAGGAATGGTACACATTTCGCAGCATTGAGAACCAGGACCAAAGTGAAGATGAGGAGCGGCCAGAAGGCGAAGAAACGAAAATACGCACGAGAGCGATGACAGCGAAAGTGAGTATTTGGAAGAAGAGCATGAAGACCAAGGGAGGGAAGCTAGCAGAGATTACGGCGAAGACAACGAAGTCGACGATGGCGACAATAAAGACAGTGAAGCCAACAACGAAACCGACGAAGACAATGAAGGCAGCGATGATACTTCATAACGAAGACAAAGTGGAGAAGACGGCGATAATCTCAAGGCCTGCTCTGAAGAGGAGAGCCACGAAGCCACCAAACATCAGGAAGCACAGGCCTGATGCCTGAGTTCCTACCAATTCCACAGTTCGCGCAGTGAATCTTCTCTTCATCGCGATGCTCTTGTTCCTTGCTACTTATCATATCTCTCCCACTCTGTCACAGTCAATAATGTGTACTAAGCATGTAATTCGTTTCAGTTGTAGCACATTAAGTACGTTTCCATTTTGCATAAGACATAGGTTATTACGATTCAGCGGGTATGAATTATGTATGGGTATTGACAAACGGACTATCCGTTGATCAGCAAAACTTCCAGGAAGACGACAAGCGACCATAGAGTGCAGTGCGGCTATCTCGTAAGTCAGCAAACCGGGACCGACTACACGTACTCCCTCCGCGGTTCTGTAGAATCTAACTGCCCGTAGGGCCGCACTTCTGGGAAGGGATATCCAGACGGCGTGCAAGCTTTCTCCATTTGTCCAGGGGTCTTGTTGTCGCCGTCCGTGTCTGCTGCGGCGGTGGCTGCGGTAGGGTCGCCAATGCCTGCGCGTGTTCCCCAACCGGTCTGCACGATTTTGCCATGTAAACACCGAGGACGGGGGAACGAGTTAGAAAGGCGCAGCTACGTACCTCATGTAGAGTCAGTAATGCGTATATCTTCATGATTGCGAAATAATATCCGAACAGTATGAATGCAGGGACATATATGATGTCTTGCGGGCGATGCCACAAATGCGGGAGTAGCTTCAGTGTGCGTGTCGCAAGTAGCCATGCGAAATAAGACACAACAACATTCCTACAAAGAAGCTGTCAGTGACTGTGAGAAAGAGGGTGTAGATCGTGCACACCATGAAGGCAAATGATATCCGCCGTCGCTCACAGGGATTGTGCTTTTGTATACAACATAAGCAACAAATCCTGGCCCAGCGAGCAGAGTGAATGGATTGAACAGCTTGTCCACCTGAAGGTAGGACGTCAAATCCAGAACGGCGGAAGAAACTCTGAGTCGATCTACCATCGTGTATGCAACGTATGGATGTGCCGTCCATACGTGGCGCTCCATGAACAATGAGCGCATATCTGATCTCCACGTGTTTCGTGTCCAGCGGAGCACCTGCTTCAAGAAGCGCCAATTCGGCTTCATCGTACTGAGTAGCTCCGCCTCCTTGCAGCACTGCACGTATGTTGACCAGCCGTGGCTCACCATCCACCGCGTCAGGAACTTGTCGTCCCCAGAGTTCAGCTGGTACTTGCCCAACCAATAGTCGTGCGTGAAGCCGTGCAGGAACTCGGGGTCCTTCAGGATGACCGTCCGGTATGCAGCGGTGCGCCCGGACAGGCACGGGATGCCCCCGTCGATGTGGGTTGAGGCAGCGATCTCGATGTTGCGGATGGACAGCCGGAAGGCCGCGAGGATCTCCCAAACGGACATGCGTTCGCCCACAGACTGCACGCGCTGGGACGTGCCAACGCCTCCGACACGCTGGTCCTCGAAGCACGCGAGGACGTACGGAAGGAGAGTCGGCGGCCAGATCGCGTCATCATCCGCAAAGACAATGATATCGGTCGTCGTGTGGCGTATTCCGTGCGCCATCTGGAGACGCTTGTTCGCATAGGGCACCGTGAGTACGCGTATGCGCGAAGGGTCGACAGCGTCGGCGAGCTCCTGGAGCGGGCCACGCATCTTTTCCTCCGTAATGATGAGGATCTCCTTCGGGCGCCCAGCGAGCCAGCTGTGTGCTGCCTCTTTGAACTCCTCTCCGGCGTCGATGGTCGGCACGATAATGGTGACATCTTCCTCAGCAAGGTAGGTCGGGTTTTCCGGCAGCGGGACGGGGCGGTAGGCGATGGCAGCCGCAACGCGGATGAGATACCACAAATAGCGGTAGAACCTGGGTGTGTTATTGGACGAAGAACATACGTGAATTCAGGGACAACCCACCCGATCACTCCAAACGGGACAACTACAAAGGAAGGCCTGAATGCATAATTCTCTGAATAGGGAGCGGAAACTCACAGACAGGGAAGTGATCAGACGTCAGCCGGAGCATTGTGCATCCCCAGAGATGTCGTCACCAAGCCAAACAGCGATGTATGCAAGACACTTCGCTCGGGATGACGGACGAATAGCGGGAGGAGGGCAACATGCACAGGGCTGACATCAGCACGCAAGGGTGCACTGGTGCAACGTCAGCCCAGCGAGGACAGTCAGCCATATGTTAGGTCGGATCGAAATCTTGTCGGGCTGGACTGCTGGATTGTTGTGGCGGTTGCTCCAGAGTTACGATCGAGACGGCACGCCTCTAAACAGCTAGTCACAAGCCTATGTTCGTACAGCTTACTGGCCACCATGGGTGACCGAGCCTAGCGCAGTGTTTGGCACACACAAGGCCTGCAGGACAGATAGATCAATAACGAGCTTCTTGCACAAAGGGTTGCTTGGGGTACATACCGTCATCAAGGCTTAGAAGAGTAAAAACCTGCATCTGCTGCATTGACCTGAGCTATATTAACTCAAGGCGAACTGCACTCGTGATCAGGAAGATATGAAGACTGTCGCTACGGGCATCCAGGGCAGCTATTTCGGCGCCGCCCGTCGTCGACTCCGACGCTGTTCGTTTACATTTTGACTTCATATCCTCATGTTTCTCGGTAACTCATGTCCATCTAGTAACCTTGATCATGCGGCGACGTCAGTACTACGCCAGTAGCAGCGGTGTGTGCTCACATATGTCTCGAAGATTTGCTTTGCAAAGCATGGGTCATGCTGCGACCGCAGGCCTTGCTAAACCTGTATGCACAAGTGCCTTATCATGTACCATGAGCGTATGTGGCAATCCACGCACATGTACACGCATGTCGTGGGGAGATCAGCTTGAGGTACAACTCAAACATTTGAGAACGAGACCATCGCGAGTGCACTCGATCAAATCAACCAGATTGATGCGAGATAGAAGCCCACCATCAGAACGCTCAAGGGGTCAAGCTCTTCAAGCCACACGATTAAAATCTGAATGAATAAGGCAGGCAAAGAAATGTATTCTGAACCGCGATGCAGAGATACAATTGCCGCCGTGTGTATGTAAATGTAGATTTCGTCAAGGAGCCACTATACGTAAGACCTCACTAGCTGAGGGCAAAGGTGTGGAAGAGGAAGACAGTCCGAGATTTGGTACAACAGGGAGCGACGACGGAGTAGCCTGGAACTTCAAGAAAACCCGCGACTAGGTTTCAATATCATGATCAAATTGGCCGGGAGAAACGTATTATGAGCAAGGCAGTGCGTTGCATTTGCAAGCGCGCTATCCCAATGTTCGTCTACTATGCAGGGGCACGATCAAGCCTAGAGAGCAGGCTTGTCGTCCACAATGTAGGCGACCTTCTCGTCGGTGTACTGCGGCGGCGGCACGAGAATTTCCTCCGCGTCTGACGCCATGACGAAAATGGTCTCCACATTGTCATGCTCCTCACTCTGGCGGCCATAAGAAACGGCGCGGACCAGCACGACACCGAGGACCCAAATCATGCGCAACAAGACGCCGATGCCACAGCCTATGATAACAAGTACTCAGTCTATGTCATGGGTGTCAACAAGTAGGCTACTTACCAAGGACGAAGGCGACGGCACGACCCTCCCAGGGACCGAGCGCCATGAGCGCAAAGTGGAGCCGGCGTAGGAACGGTCCGCGATGGTGGCGGAATCTCATTATACGTCCATCTTCTCCGTTCATATGTACGATACGAACGGTCCCCATCTCGGGCGGAGCGGCCTCTGCCTGGTGAAGGGCAGTAGCCGGAACAGGAGCGTCCTCAGTAGAAATGGTCGCAGGCAAGCCGAGGAAGGGCAGGATGGACACTCTGTCTGGATGGTCTTCGGAGTGTCCTTCAACGTGAGGGTGCGCATATTCGATGGGCACTGGAGCCAATTCGGGGAACCCAAAAAGCTTGTTGGAGAGACGCATGGCTTTCTCACGGAGCGAACCACCGCAGTGGCGGCCTGCATTAGGATACACCATGTGCGGAGGATGGTGGACGGTCACGTTCGAGGTGTGGATAGCATTGTGATGGTTCTCGATGACCGCAGCAACCGGTCCGCGCCCGTTCGTGGAGACTTCCTGGTGCGAACTCACCACAAGTACGCGTACGGGAGAAGCGGCTGCATGCTGAGCAACTATGTGATGGCACACACAATTTCATGGCGCGAAAGAAAGAGCAATCTAGCGTCAGTGACCTATCGTTGGCTCCGCAGCAGAAACCGAGACTCACGGAGGCTGGCGCCCGCCAGGACGAGAGGGAATGAAGTGAGACGCATACGTTCCTAATGCAGAGGAATCGATAGACGGTGTGGGTGATCTGAGGACGCAGGAGATGAAGACTGGCGACGGGAAGGGCAAGAAGACGTACGGACAAAGGTGGGGGTAAGCTGAAGAGATGTGTGCCGCAGCTGTGCCTCGCTCGCGAAGGCTACTCCTTGCACGTGACTTGAAGCTATAATTGGTCTCCGCCAAGGTTCGATGTAAGACGACGGCAAGACGCAATCCTCAGAATCCTTATCATATTTCCTTGCAAAGACTCTCATAGCTTGATGTACTGTGCGACCGCGTTGTCAGAATTTTGCTCTGCAGAGTGAATTTGATCCCCGCCCTGAGCACCACCGCGAGGAAATAAGATTGCACAGCCTCGTATACTATTCTTGACACACTGCAGCGCTGAAGCGTAGCATCGGCGGCCTGCTTGTTCAGTAAAGTTCGACCATCAGAGATTGTGCCAGCGTTCCGTCAAGCGGAATCTATTTGGCCCGCTTTCCACGATCGTGCGTTCTTGCCACAATCTCAATTCTTGTAACGGGATGTCAACAGGGTTACGTAGGTCGATTGGCACATGCTCGCAGCGAACTTGAGGCAGAATCCCCAACGCTGACCCATCTGATCGATGCGTTGATGCGCAGCGCACGTCCATTTGCGCATTCGTACCGAGAGGCTGTTCATATCGCATTGACAATGGACACACTTCCTATGTGACTCGGCATATGCCCAGCATCCGGCATGACTTAACGTACTGACACACGTCTATGGTGACCCGTCGCAGCGACATACTGCCTGCTTTTGACAGGCAGCCGGCGCAGGGTCGACGTCCTTCCGGGTTTAGACTCCGTTGTCAGGCTCCAGCGAGGTCTCTATCCGTAGCAGTGATGTCCCTCTCCGCAGCCGACCGGGGATTATGTCAGGACCTTCAGCATCGAGAGTGGCGTCATACGTCGGGCGACATTCATTGAGAATTGACAAGTACTGCAGTCTAGTCATTATATCTCGGAGATGCGTCCGCGCCCCGTCCACATATCTTTTGAGGTGTCATAGGTAGTAATCCCATCTTCAGGTGACGTGTTGATTCTTTCCTCTCCGGCCGCAGGCTCGAGTGCATGCGTTGAACAAATCTGGCTTTGATACGACGGCCTAAGCTTCGCGAACGCTATATTTTCTTATACACGAATGGAGGGTACATGGTTGCGTTCTTCGGTCAAATTGACGGAGCACTTGAACGTCTGAGTTCGCAATTGCTTGCAACGTATCAATGTTCATTTCATCCGTCGAGTACTGACAAGGGCACTCACTGTTCACAGTGCTTGCGCCAGATCGAGGGCGACAATGCCGTCCGCCCTGAGTCCGATCGCTGGAAGGTACTACGCAACGCGATATACCCATTATTCTTGATGGACTATCAGGTGCTTTGGTAAGGCTACATATTGAGGGACGTAAGCTTGTTGCAGCACTCCTCGACGAATTGACTCCGTTGGTATTGTTCATGCTCGACGGCCTCTCGTAGCCTGCATTTGAGACGTTGAACTCAATGCGTATCGTGCTACCACGGTTTGAGGAGTCATCCCGAGGCTATTCGCCGTATTTGCGGGTTGTAGATATTGTTTTTGGCATCATATTGATGGGCAAAGTTCCTTTGTCATCACTCCACTCTTTCCTGAACAAGAGCGCATTCATTTCGTTTCAGGAACACGTCGCAATTCCCGATCGTCTGGCCATCATGTTGAATGATGAGGATGAGAACCCGGGGACGGACAAAGACGACATCGCTGGATACAAGAACGGTATACTGAGTCAAAGCTTATCTGTCGCTCTGTAGGTCATGATGATGCATGAACAAAGTAACAATTTGATTCGGAACACGAACGAGAATATGATTCATAACGCGTACATGCAAGTTGGCTACACAGCTCAGACATCATGGAAACAAGAAGGCTCAAGGAGCATCGGCAACTGGTCCCAGCGTTCCCTGATTCTACACGCTGTGACCGACTGGTCAGCGTTTTCCGGATATTCAGTTTTGAACAAATCGTCAAGGTCAAGCCATGGCTCATTCTCCCTGCTCTGGAAAGCCTCGTACATAACCCTGCCAGCATCGTCTCTTGGGACGTGTTTCATACACTCGGGGAACCTTTTAAAGTGTGCCCACGCATTGTCTTTGCGACAGAATGATATGGAGCACGCAAGCCTCGGGCAGGTCCAGAAGAGACCGAAGTGCTTGCCCATATGGTTGGCTCGAACTTTTGCCTCCCCGAAATCACTTGAGCAGCGGTAGAAGAGACATTTGAAACGGTACTCGGGTGGTGTCTTGAGATAGATATCCTGATGAATCGCAGTATTATCGTCAGTTTCAGCATGGTCACGACAGTGCAGAATAAATTACCTTGTGTGCAAGCTGGGTCTTTGTCTTCCTTGGGCTAGTCTTTGCTTTCCGACGAGCAGGGGCCGACGTGTTATATACTTGCGCTTCAGGTGACGAAGACCCATGGGCAGCGAGAGGCGGACTAGTCCAGACGCCACTGGCCAAAGCTGGATCGGTGGCCATCATGTCGGGCCATTGCCCTGGGCCCGCGTACGTGTCAGCATAGTCGAGCGGACATTGGCGGACGTCGGTGTTTTGAGGTGCGATCAACGTAGTAGTGAGGAACTCGAAATTTGCTGACGGGATGGACGAAGAGGGAGGCCCGTTTTGGAATCCCGTTGTATCCTGAAAGATCGATGTATCTACGGCGGTGAAAGGAACTTGAAGAGCCGGCCTCAAGTTAAATGCACCAATGCCGGGGAGGCCATCATTGAAACCTAGCGTGTCGAAGGGGGGCCGGTATAGAGTAGCGGGAGAGGGGGGACTGAAAGGGTCGCGGTGACCCTCTCCGAATACATCCCCTGGCGACGCGAAATTCGCTCCACCATCATGGACATCGTTTCCGTCCTGGTTCAAGTCATGGCCGCTAGTCTCAGGGTAGGCGGCTGAATCATCGTCTTCGAGAAGCGAAAGGAAGTAGTCAATCTCAGAAGTGTAATGGGGAGGAACAGACATGGTGCAAGGCTTGAGAACAAAGGCGAGTGGAGAGGACTTGAGTGTAGTGTTTGAATTTGGAGTCTGGATGCAGCAGAGGTATCCCTTGTCGTTATATATGCTCGCAGGAGTCCTTTCATGCCGCTGGGATGGGCTGCAAGCCACGAAGGACGCGTGACAAGAAGGCTGCAGAATCAGTCAACGGCGGCCTAGAATGTGCGTTGGCACGGTAAGTTGCAGCCTTTGTTCAGTCCAAACATGGACTTGGATAAGTTGTTCAACCTGCTTCCTGATTTCACAGAGTAGATCGCATCACAATCCAAGCATCCTCCTTCACACACCGGAGATCCCCACCTGAAAGCTATGCATGTGGCAAGTAATGAATGGAAACTGCGATGCTACGCAAACGGAGAGGCGCGACGAAGCGTGCCGCTCCGTCTGCATCGTGATTGGTTGTTTCGGCGGAGGAACAAGTTCCTGTAATTCAGTCCTTGAGCTCCGTACGCTGATACAGATATTCGTGAAATGACTGCCAGTCACGGAGAGGTTTGCTCGGCGGAGGCATTTATCTTGTACGACATGACCAGCCAAACGGCATCATGTAGAGGCACTGGGTATGTCAATATTCCCCGTTTCAAGAACAGGAAATCCATGATTTTCCACGATTTTACACCCCAGCCAATTTGGGTACACGGATACGTATGTCATTTGAGCCACCATGAATACACAGGCTCGTGGGAATGGCGCAGCTTCATTCCATATTGTGCCGCCGCTCCACAACGTGAGGATGTGGCATCGCGGTAGTCTTTGAGAGAAGTCTCGAAATAGAAGTGAAAGAGGGTCGGAACAGTGAACAGGCTTGGGTCAATGTGTATCGATCAACTGTCTTATGCCCTATGCGGCCATACGACAACGCCATGCAGAAGGGCTGCTTACGTACCTGACGAACACGCTTCTGGGGGTGAGAGGCGTCATGTCACTTGATGTGGCTGTAGTAGTCATTGTTCGCCAGTGTGGCGTGGCTTCTCTGTCCGCGGCCTGGGCATTGATTGACTGTGGCACATCTCAAAGCCCGCTACCTGACGTCAAAGTCGACCAGCGATTCGAGTTGCACTTTTGATTTTGCATTGAGAATGCTAAGTATGAAATCAAGATCTAACAATACAAGATTGATATTGACTGCTCGTCTAAACCCAGAAGAGATCGCGAATGACACACCGAACACTCCTTGCCTCCTCTACCTCAGTTGCCACACCATCTGCGGGCATTCTGGAACAGCCTGAACCACGGTCCAGTCCCCTTCCATACATCCTCGAACACAGGCGGATACCAACTATTGCTCTCGAGTCTCGTCACTCGCTCTGGGTGCGGCATCAACGCAAGGACCCGACCGTCAGGAGTCTGAATGCCAGTGATACCACCGGGACTGCCGTTGGGATTGAGCGGGTAGATCTCGGTAGGCGAGCCTTTTGAATCTACATATCGCATCGCCACTAATCCTTTGGACACCAGCGCATCGCGGTCTTCGGTAGTACGGAATGACGCACGACCTTCCCCGTGGGCGACAGCTACTGGCAGCTTGGACCCCACCATGTCGTGCAGAAATACAGAATTCTTCGTAATGCTTCCTGAGACAATCTCCACCATACAGACACGACCCTCGAACCGTTCGCTGCGGTTCTGCTTGAACTCTGGCCATGCCTGCGCTCCAGGGATGATCTCGTGCAGGTGGCTCATGAACTGGCAGCCATTGCACACGCCGAGAGAGAATGTATCAGGGCGCCGGAAGAATGTCGTAAACTCCGCCCGTGCCACCTCATTCAACAACACTGAGTTCGCCCAGCCCTTCCCTGCCCCAAGCACGTCGCCGTACGAGAACCCTCCGCAAGCAGCAAGGCCACGGAACGCTGACAGCGAGGTGGAGCCGTTCAGAATGTCAGACATGTGAACATCGATTGCGTCAAAGCCAGCCGCAGTGAATGCCCACGCCATCTCTATCTGGCCGTTGACACCCTGTTCTCGCAAAATGGCCACTTTCGGTCGGACAGAGACGCCGACAGAGGGTTGATACGTGAAAGAAAGGTCGTAGGACAGTCCTCCGTGACCATGGTCGCCGATGAGGGCAAATTCTTCCTGCGCGCAAATCGGATTGTCCCGCAATGACTGCATGTGGAAAGATGTCTCTGCCCACGCTTGCTGCAAATGAGCACGAGTGCTAGCGAAGAGCACAGATGACTTGTGCGTGATGGTAAACGGTTGGTCAGTGGCGTTGTCATAGACTTTGCCAACGCAGTGCATGTCTGTCGACGAGAAGCCAGCGCTCTCGAAGACACTGATCAAGCGCGCCAAGTGCGAGTGGCGAATCTGGACGATGGCACCCAGCTCCTCGTTGAACAGCGCGGCAATAGGGTCATTGTCCGACTTCATACTGTCGAGAGTGATCTCTACGCCAACCCTACCGGCGAACGCCATCTCAGCTATAGTCGTAAACAGGCCGCCGTCTGAGCGATCGTGATAGGCGAGTACGAGACCCGGCTCAAGCTTCCGAACCTGCTGGCAGCCGACGAGGAATGCCTTGAGCTTGGATGGGTCGTCCACGTCCGGCGCCTCCGAGCCGATTTCTTTGAACACTTGCGTGAGAGCTGATCCACCCAAACGCTGTTTGCCACCAGCCAAATCGAAGAACACCAACACTGTAGGCTCGCCAACGTCTGTGCGGAGCTGCGGAGTCCAAGTCGCGCCGACATTCTCGACCGCTGCGAACGCCGTGACAATGAGCGACAGGGGCGAGCTAACTTCACATTGGTCGTCGCCCTCGCGCCATTTCATGGACATAGACATGGAGTCCTTGCCAACGGGAATGCCGACACCCAGCGCCGGGCAGAGCTCCATTCCGACAGCTTTTACGGCAGCATACAACGCTGCGCCTTCACCCGCCTTCGAGGCAGCGCACATCCAATTGGCACTGAGCTTCACCCGATCAAGCGCACCAATGTTGGCAGCCACGAGGTTCATGAGCGACTCGGCCACAGCCATGCGCGCGGACGCAGCGGGATCGACCAGTGCGACAGGCGTGCGCTCACCCACAGCCATGGCTTCGCCACACGAGACGTCGAACCCATACGACGATTGGGTGACAGCAACATCCGCAACAGGGACTTGCCATGGGCCAACCATCTGGTCGCGAGCAACGAGACCAGTGATAGTACGATCACCAATGGTGATCAGAAACGACTTGGAACCGACCGAGGGCAGGCGCAGAACGCGCTCTGCAGCCGCTTGAATGCGGGCCGACACGGTGAAAACCGAAGGAATGTACTGTGTGAGCGAGGTGTCAAAGTGACGGTATAGCACCTTCCGAGTGGCGTCTGTCCGTTGCATCCGGGGCGGCTTGCCGAAGAGCGTTGACATATTCAAATGGATGACGTCCGTCTTCAAGAGGCGGTCGGTGACGATGAGTTTCTCCTCTGCCGTCGCAACACCCACGATAGAGAACGGGCATCGCTCACGCACGGCTAGCGCGCTGAACTCCGCCTCCTTCTCAGGAGAGATCGCCAAGACGTAACGTTCCTGACTTTCGTTGCACCAGATTTCCATAGGCGACATACTCGAGTCGGCAACGAGCACGTCGCGAATCTCGAAGACCGCACCAAGGTCTGAGTCGTGCACGAGCTCTGGCAGCGCATTCGACAGCCCGCCTGCGCCAACGTCGTGGATGGACTGAATCGGGCTGCCTTCGCCCAAGTTGACGCAAGCGTCGATCACCTGCTGGCAGCGCCGCTGCATCTCCGCATTTTCGCGCTGCACGCTAGCGAAGTCCAGCTCTGCAGACCCGGCGCCGGAAACCTGACTGCTGGCCGCTCCTCCGCCGAGTCCGATCAACAGTCCTGGTCCTCCAAGCACGATGATCTTTGCGCCGGGAGTTATGCGCGATTTACAGGCAAAGGCAGGTCGCACGTTCCCCAGCCCGCCCGCAAGCATTATGGGCTTGTGGTAGCCCCGCACCTCGGTCTGACCCTCCGCGCCTGCAGGAACCCGCTCTGCGAAGGTGCGGAAGTAGCCTGCTAGTGCAGGCCGCCCGAACTCGTTGTTGAACGCGCTCGCGCCAAGCGGGCCTTCGGTCATGATGTCCAGTGCGGATGCGATGTGTGCAGGTCGTCCGAAGTCGCTCTCCCAAGGTTGCTCGTGCCCGGGGATGAGCAGGTTAGAAACAGTAAAACCTGCGAGGCCCGCCTTAGGCTTCGAGCCGCGCCCGACCGCACCCTCGTCGCGAATTTCACCACCTGATCCCGTCGCTGCACCAGGGTACGGAGAGACAGCGGTAGGGTGATTGTGGGTCTCCACCTTTGCGAGAATAGGCATGTCTTCAACATGAGACGTATATAGGGGCTGGTTTTGCTCGCCGCGCGAGATACCAAACCTCGGGGCAGTGGGCCCCTCGAAGACAGCAGCATTGTCGGAGTACGCAGAGATGGTGCCTTTCCCGCATAACTTCTCCGTATTCCTGATCATCTGGAAAAGAGATGTCTCCTGCTGCTGCCCGTCGATAGTCCAAGACGCATTGAAGATTTTATGCCGACAGTGCTCGGAGTTAACTTGAGCGAACATGAATAGCTCGGCGTCGGTGGGGTTGCGATTAATCGGAGATGTACCGGATACAAATGCATCTACGAGGTAGTCGATCTCGTCCGTGGAAAGTGCGAGTCCGAGAGTCTTGTTGGCAGCAACCAGCTTTTCGCGGGCGGTTTGGCCATCCGTATGACCAGCCAGGAGATCTATCGTGACGAGAGCAGCCGCAGACTTGCGTGAAAATAACGCCTCAGGATCAGGATGGACGAGCTGAATCACTTGGGTCATGCGGTCGTGCAAGAGCTCAGCGAACGAGGCGACGTCCTCAGCAGTGATGCTAGATCCTGCGACCTGGAGGACAAAGACAACTCCTCGCTCGATGCGTCTGATAAGGCTCTTCAAGCCGCATATATGCGCGATGTCAGTGGCCTTGCTTGACCAAGGAGACACAGAACCCGGCCGAGGCAAGACATATACCACATTCCTGCCCCCGCGCAAAGCGTCGACTGTTCCAGGAAGCGTGATGTCGTCACCATACTGAATGAGCCTGTCCAGGATTTGTTTCTCTTTTGTCGCTGATCCAAGCAGACTATCATCTGGGGAGTCGATCAAATGGACGAATACTGCATCGACGGAGACAACCCTGGGGCATCTTTGCTGTATACTCTGCAAGAGGGAGTCCCGTCTGGTTGCAGACACAGCCGAGCACCCATAGAGCTCGAGCATTGCCTGATGGTCGAATAAATCCAGGGGGTGTGGTATTAGAACGACTGGGACGAACCGTGGATGCTAGCCTCCGACGAACCTTGCTGCCCTGCAACTGAAGAGCTTGAACCTCGCAAACGCTATGTTCCCGTCAGACATGTTTCGTCCAGAATATTGATCTACTTACAAGCTCCTGTGATGGCGGGCTGTGAACCGGGAGAGATGACTCGATCTGAGGCTTGCATCGTCTTCAGCAGCACCGACCAAAATTTAGACTCTGCAGTGTAGAGATCTTATCTAATCTATCCTCCGATCGAGCAAGATCGAGATCTGCGATTTACCATCATACTCGCTTAAGCGCACTTCAGACTGCAAATATGACTGCTACTGGTCCACTGCACCAGCAACAAGTCTAGTCGCTGCGGTGAGTATAAGTATTGAGAATACGGCAAAAAATGTTGTATGAGTTTCAAAAGGCGAATGCGTTACTGCTTTGATTCTGGAGAGAAGCTCGAGCATGTCTTTGAACAGTCACGGCGAGACCCAGCAAACTCGCATGATATTGTCAAGTATGAATGTATTCAATGGTTCAAACTTGAGATGTGATTACAAAAATAGGTATAATCGCGTCAACAAGGGCAATGCGGGCGGGAACGGATTCTGCCGCCTGCGAGACCGGTCGAGGACGGCGAATGCTTCCGATAAGAACCAGGAGTGCATTAGAATTTACACCCTCAACGTCCCGTACTCCAAATGTTGTGTAGTGCCGGATGAGTCCCAGGTCGTTCATCCATTGCTAAATTTCAGCAATATAATGTGCTTGACTGAGCTACAACCAGATTCATATGTTCTTGACCTTCACCTCTGCGCTGGATTGCATCTCATGTGAATGCCTTGTAAGGGAAAACAAGCGTCAAAAGTATCAAGACTACCTGGCCATGCAGCTTTTTTGTGAGTATAAGCGGTCAGATGTGTGAATGTCCATAAAGTCACGTCTTGGAATCCGCACACAATCATGCACTACCCTGGGCCGCCTTATGGAGGTAAATACAGCAAAAAGTGCTCCGGCAAAAATACAGTAATATTCTGACTTCTGAATTACAACTGGTTAGGGCAATGATGACGTTCCTAATTATACAACGATACATGTGGCAGAATGATATGCAGTCAGAACTATCTACCAAAAAATAATGCACGCTGGGACAATCCAAGACGTCCGCTAGGGCCAGAGCAGGTAGGATATAAATCTATCACTTGAACTTGCACTCTCAATCGCAGTCGCTGGGGTGGGCAGGAGGACGAAGCGGATATAGGAGACTTGGAGCATCTGCATGCGTTCTCCGCAACCCTTTTTGTGGAGGAAAGCCAAACCCGAAGGATTATGCTTCGGTCGGCGCAGGGCTCACGTCACGACTGGCATCGCGCGCACGCTGTGTCTCCTCGCGATGCTTGCGCAGGAGGCGGTCCAGCGCCTCCTTCTGGCCAACCGCGAGCTCGCCAGACTTGATGCCGGAATGGTACACCCGGAGCAGCGAGTCGACGTCGTCCATGGACTGCGTGCGGACGTCTGCGAGCTCCTTGATCTTGGCAGTAGCGTCCTTGATCTGTACGGATTTATGAGTGCACTATTCGGCTGAAAAGCGAAATAGTACTGACCTCTTCGTCGGTGAGCTTGAGGCCAAGCTGCTCAACGCGACTCTTAACGGCGTTCCAGCCCGTGAGTCTGTGTCCGATCGACACATAGCGTGTGAGACCAAAGTCTTCAGGCTTGAGGATCTCGTAGGTAGATGGGTTGTTTAGGATAGCCTTGGCGTGAATGCCGGCCTTGTGGGTGAACGCACAGTAGCCGCTGTCCTCGATGTCAAAATGGGTTTTCTTCAATGCGGGGAAAAGAGCATACGTGATCGGGTTCATGAACGGAACGTTCACTTCAACTGCCTCCGCGACCAAGTTCTCAATTTCTCGGAGCATGGGCAAGTTGTACTTGCTCTTAACGTATTCGGGGTTGGCTGCATACAGGCAGGCAACGAGCCCGCCAAGTGGTGTGATACCGACGCGCTCGCCAATGCCGAGAACAGAGGTGTCAATGTGCGTTGCGCCGGCCTCGAGCGCCGTGTAGGCATTGGCGATCGCTGGATGACCAGAGAACAATATTCAAAACTGCAGAAGCTTCGACGTAGCTTTTAGGAAGTCGGACGTACCCATGCCAGTGTCATTGTGCAAGTGAATCTCGATGTCGCAGCGGACGACCCCGCGGAGAGTTCGGACGAGGTCGTAGACCTGGCGGGGGTTTGCACAGCCGACTGTGTCCGCGATACCGACACGATTGACACCGATCTTGTCAACGGTCTGGTAGATTGAGAGCAGGTCGACGAGGTCCGAGCGGAACGAGTCCTCCGACGAGAATCGGACCTCAATACCTTAGATAAAGCAAGCGAATGATCGTTCTGCGACGTCCAAAATGCGAAGTTGGATGCTCGTACCCTTGCTCTTCACAAACTCAATGACCTCGATCGCGGTCTTGGTAATGTACGCCATATCCTTCCCATGCGAGAACTCGCGAAGGAAGGACGATGTACCAATGACGACGTCAACGCCATCAACACCTGCCACTGATGGTCAGACAACTCTCCGGCCCACGAAAATTGCGTCTCGTACCAGTCTCGACGGCTATCCGCGCATCATCCATGTGGCAGCGAATGTGGGTCAAGATCTTAGCCTTGAGACCTAGCTTGCAGATTGCCTCACAGTCTGCATAGAGACATATCAGCGAATCACTATGTCCACTGAGCTCTCCTCTTCATACCTGCACGAGACTGTTCTGAGGCGGCAGGACTTGTCAATTCGATGTACTCAACACCAAATGCGTCAAGAGCCTTGGCAATCGCAATCTTGGTCTTGGTGTCGAAGAACGCATTGGCGAACTGTTCGCCCTCTGCTCATATATATCAATGTATTGATCTTTTGGCACGATGTAGATCACCGACCTCGTAATGTACTTTCGATGATATTGAAGTTTGATATATTGCTCAAGAAATCGGACGCTCGAGGAGCGTATGGGTTTCTCCGCTGCTCCTCGGGCAATTTGGTACCCTTACCAACGCCGTTGGTATGGCCGTTGACGCCATTGGACTGAACTGAAGAGGAGTGCGTTGCGCCGTTCGTAATGTCTACAGCTACCATCTGGGATGGGTCGCTGGGAAGAGAATCGCCGTTGACATGAGGGCACATTTTGAGATATGATACTGAGTTAATTGGCAGCGCGTGTGGGGGCTGGCGAAAAGGGAGGGGTACTTATGCAGAAGGATGCAATCTGAAGTGGAGACTCCAAAATGTCAAAAACAGATCGAGTCATAGTATCACGTGGTACCATATAGATAAGATTAGATTCGGGTTCTGTGACGTCGCCTTTCCCCCTCCAACATGGTGATCCTTGCTCACTGGACGTTCACGTCAACCATCTACGTACAGTCATCTCGCTCAGACTTTTGTCTGCGCCGCATCATATACCGTAGACAGCTACATGAAATCTACTGGTATGTCTCAATCATGAACATGAACCTGAATACTCATCCCTTGCAAGTGTCCCCCAGTGCACTCGTCATTGCCCGTACGAATTAACGACTCGAAGCCCATCAGAAGTTCAAAAGCTCAGCTATTAAGTAGCTACCAACCATGGTACCCCGGATTCCTTCGTTAAGCTAACATGGATATCGCCACTACACCGTGAACATGATCACCCACCGATAGGTCTTTCTATTCTGGCATTACATCAGAAGCACTGAGAGGCTAGGATCTGATGGCCCAACTGCTGACAGTTCTACATCTGGGTGCATCTGACTAGACCTTGAAGCCACGTTGACAATGTCCTAGTAGCTATTTTTGAATAATCCACAAAACACTAACGCAAAAAATCTACAGCGTTACTCATTCACCGACAATCTCGTTCGTGATGCACCACACGATATCATAAAAATCTAGTGTCTTATCCTAGATTGTCGACTTTGCGAGCTCTACGGAAGGACGACGCAAGTACTAGTTCTGCTCAAGCGCCGGATCCACCACCGGCATCTGCCGGACGCCTCCCGCATGCCACTGAAGCAGCAGCCATTTCAGACTCCCTTGCGTTCTCTCACTTGTACCATCCATCTCTGTCCAACATCTTTACAGCCGCGAGTACTCCATTGTCACTATCCGACTCAGCCGACTCCAATGAAACAACATTGGCGAATGTACGTCCTCAGCACCTGCACCAGAACGCCACAGGGTAGTATACTTATCGCTGACCTCTCTTTCAGTATTAATTTCGACAAGCACGAAGTCACCTCATACACCTCATACAGTATCCAGGGCACATTGCAGAAACTCTACACCAGAGGCTGGGAAGATCTTGTGGAACGGCTAGCCATTCCGTTCGCCACTCCGGCACCCAATTCTGTACTCAATGAGGTCAGGAACTCAGGTCCTCTGTGTTTGCATCATTCTGACTATGGAAACACGTAGCATCAGCCGTTCGAAAGGACTGCAGAACTTGGCCGTCTAGATCTACCGGCTGAGCTATTGATTGAGATCTTTGGCAACCTCGACGACATCAGCGATGCCCTGTTCCTCACACTCACCAACATGCATCTCTGGGCTATAGGGCATGAGCGCATCTATGAAATTCTCTGCTCCTCTGTGGGTACATGGGCCGGCCATCGTATCATGTGCATTGACGACTACACCAAATTCGACGATATGCCCGAAGGCGTGCTGTCGGAAGAAGAACCCGGAGTGTTGAAAGAGCTCGCTTGGCAGATTGAACAACGCCCGGCCTCGTCTCGATCAAATCACTCGGAGGACGGTTGCGATGTCGAAGATGAAGATAGTTCTGATGAACTTGAGCGCGAGCATGTCTTTGACGAGTTAGGACCCGGTGACGACCACAACGCATCGGAAGATATTCCCATCAGCGGAGAAATCTCAAGTGAGCCCGAGCTTGCAGCCCCTGAGGATGACGTTCGAATCGAATCTGCCAATTCGGAGGACGGAGGTGAATTACAATCCACCGAATTAGTGGGGGACGATTGGGATATATCGCTTCCTGATGTCGTTGACCGCGTCTTCACTGACTCGAACCCGGACACTGTTGTTTACATAGAGCGTATCCTCGACCGCCTTCTGGAAGTTGATATTCCTCCAGCTGAAGAAAGGCGCTGCAGGCTCGTTGCGCAGGAGTGCCCTAACTGGACCGAAGGTCCTGAGACGGACCGTCACAAGTGGGCCCTCTGTAACTTCTCCAAGCACGAATATGTGCGCGCAGACGCAACAGCGGCGCTTAACGATCAAAGCAACATGGGGCCCTTCATAGAAGCAGATCCCGGTCTTGGAGGTGTCCTTCTATCCCTCATTTACTGGTCGTCTGATAGCTCCACTGCGACGGATGAGCAAGCCGATCTTCATCGCGGTCCATGGGCGGGCGACCGTCTCGCCATCACTGCCCTTCCAATGGAGTCAGAGGAATGGAAGGATATCACTAACCCAGTGCTCCGTCAGTTGGCGGCAATATATGATGCTGATGACCCTGACGAGGACGACCGGCCTGACAACTATGTGGGCATCTTTTATGGAAGACCAGTCTACTATGGGGATGACCTCGAACTAGCCCTGCGTCGGGTACGTATTGCCGACGTATAGATGCAGTGCCTCTCATTAGGTATACGCGTACGCTCTATTGATGTGGGGCTGGTTGCAAACATCGTGCGCCGGTTCACGAAGGTAAGTCAACGCTACGTACAGTTGAGTCTCGAGCGTATACATACATAGTGTAGAAGGCTCGTACAAGTATCCGTGTATGGAATGATACTGTCTTCATCACATTATGCTTGTGAGGCTTTCTTTAGACTGAAATCATGGCAGAGTACAGCTATATCGCATGTCCTTAACAGGGACCACATGAGGTGGCTAGCATACAACTTTCAACGCGTGCACCCTGTCGAGTACTTGGTGCGTACGTTCACTCTCGCCACTCCTGTTTTGCCTGTATAATCATGGTAACTCACCAGGACCTCGCCATGACACAAACAGGTTCCTTTACCTAAACGGACGTTTCCTAACGTCAAGCTCATTACCTAGCGAGGCGACCACCGACGACCGAATCGACCGAATCGAAACCGGTCCAATGCCCACATTGTCAATCTGTCGTGCGACGAATGACTGTCACACATGTCCCAGGCTGGTGAGAATTGACTTTCTTAATGCGTTGCCGCGCACATCACTGACGCATTGCATGTGCTTCGCATCCAACGTCATCCAGTGGTAGTCACGCATACGCTTATTTACCAGGGAGGCAGCCGGTCACGTATCTTATTCACACACTACCGAACACAGCTCGATTGTGCATGATAGCCCACGAGAACACTGACGACATTACGCTGCAGTCAACGATTTCTGGCGAGTCTCAGATTGAGCGTCCATGCCGGCAGATTCGTCATAGTTCTGTCGAGACTCAACGATCCGCGGCCGACTCATTAGTCCCAGTGCAGCATCATCGTCCTAGAACCTACCGTTCATTTAGCGGGAGATGTGAGTACTATAAGCTCATCGACAAATGTGGTGCATTGCGCAGCAGCTGATCATCGTGCTGTGTCTTTATGTCATGAGTATGATGCTCGTGACAGTACGCGGCACATCCAAACGATACAGGGCGGCCACATGCCCGGCGAATCTTTAAAGTAAGTTTCGGTAGGTAACCGTCCTAGGCTCGGTGTCTGTATAGAGGCGGCTGAGCAGTGAATGCGTCGTCCAGAAGACATCATGGCTCCTTCGTACAATCAGGCGAGACCTTTACGATATCCGAGTACACTTCGCTATTAGGCCTCTGCTGATGCCGCTCTTACCCTACTTGTACATTAGCCTTATATCAGAACTTACATCAACCCGTGGGCTACCGGCAAAGACTAAGCTCGACGAGTTATCCGTGTACGTACCGCAACGGCAGCGCCAGACGACTTACGTACTTGCGTTGCTACAGCAGCTTCATGTCAAATAACAGTGTTGGTGGAATGTATTGATTGCAACAGAAAATTCCGACACACAACCGCGCCATTGACTAGTGTTACAACTAAGATCTTGCCTTCATGTACCCCAAACCGAGCCCACATTACTGGACTTTGCCAACGACGACCCAGCAGAAGCGTAAGCAAGAGTATAAGTATCGTTGAATGTCGTATCATAAAGTTTGTCGTGTCATGAAGAAGCGCATAATGAAGCATGAAGTCGTGAAGAAACCGGTGTATTTTTGGCGCCGGCGCACAACACGATGCCACGGATCGTGGAGGCCCAGCGTACACGGCGATGGGAAGGGGAAGCCAAAGAAATGGGGACATGGAGGGATAATTAGTCGGCGGAAGGGTGGAAAGGTGTTGGAATCGTCGTCAGTGAGGTGATGGTGGGAATCCGGGCGAGTGAAGGCGAGGTTGATGCGATGAACTCCGACCATGACGTGTGATGCGACGCGAGACAAGACCGTGAGGATGCGATGTTAGAATAGATCCGATGTGAGGTAAACGCATGCAAGGCAGCAGTGAGGCGAAGGCCAGCAAGGTCGCGCGCCCGGCGCGACACCGAGCAGGCAGTAATTCACCGCGAAATGCCGCTGTGGATGCTCGCACTGCGGTCTCTGCTCTTCGACGCGATAGTGAGCCATTGCCACCATCGACCGCGGCCGTTGCCATCATCGTCCTCGTTGTCGTCGTCCTCGTAGCCCTCGGGCACACCGAGTCCTTCGATAGTCGCAAATGAGACGTAGCCGTCCATCGCCTTACACTGCTCCGCGGCTGTTCGCGCGTTGAACGGCGGCGACGGCGGCGGAGTCAATGGGCTCACGCCACTGCTGTGCGAGCTCGTTGGCGACGCGCGCTGGCGGCTGGGCGTGCCCGGCGGGCGCAGGGGCATATTTGACATCGGCGGGGAGCGCGCCGGGAAGCTGAAACCAGTCGGCGCCGATCGGGTCGACGACAAACTAGTCCGACTCGGTGCAACCGCTGTAGCAGACGGCTTCACATCGACGGACGACAGCGAAGTGACGCTCGACTGGACGCACGTCATATAGTCAGCGCTATTCGGGAGGAAATGGGCAGTGCGATGACATACCTCGCCTCCAGCACCAAAGAAAAGGTCGCCCTCTGCACTGAGGTTCCTGCTACTCGCCATTGAGTTCCTGCTTCCACTCCCACTCCCGTTGCTCGAGCCCGCGTCCTTGTATCGCCGCTCTGAGCTCTTCTCCCTCCGCTCTTGCTCCTTCGCATTTCGCAACACGCCTTCCAGCCTACTGCGCAGCACGGCGTCGTGCGGCGTGACCACCGTACTTGACTGGTGGGACGAGCGCACTGGGTGTTCGCCGTCGAACGACGTACGCGAATTCGAATGTGAATGCGACTGTGCGTGGGAATACGAGTGTCTCCGTGATGCAGACGTCGTTGACCGCGTGCGCACGGGAGTGGGCGACGTCGGGGTGCCGTATGCCATCTGAGCCTTCGTGTTCGCCTCCGAGAAGGTGCGCTTGGCATCACCGCTGCGACTGGTCAGGCTGCGATTACGAGACAGCCCCGGCTGCATCGGCATCGCTTGGTAGTGATGTGAGGGAGAAGACGGGTGCGCGCCACCGACCTGACCTCGCCACTGCCCACCATTCCTCTCCTCCACATCCTCGTACTCATCATCTTGGTCAACGGCGACGGGGGGTTCGTAAAGCCGTTCGCAGTCGTCACACGAGGCACTGGTCGCGATAGACGAGGCAGTGTTCCGACGACTGTGTCGTCGGCTTGAGTGTGAGTTCGCAGGGACGACGTTGTTGGGCATGGTCAACACCCCGGTGGGCGACAGGAACGGTGAACCTGGCAGCGAGGCCCCGATGACCTTGGAGCTGGGCAGGGGATGTACGTTCAACATGCGATCGTGCTCCTCCGCGCGGCGGAGCGTATCGCGTAGTAGACGTTCTGAGCGGCTCGACGGACGTGTCATCGGCGAACGTTGCAGCGGCGGTAGTTGGGCGTGGTGCGAGAGTGGTGAGGACGGCCGCTCGCACGAGTCGCGCCTTCTTGACTGGGACCGGCCACGCGCGCTGGAGCTGGGCACCGGGGCAGGCGACCGCGATCGCATGGACAGGACTGGAGATGGAGCGTGGATCTGTATGGACATCGCAAGGGTTGGGCGTGCGCGTTGGACTGCGAAGCTGCGTAAGATGGACGATGGTGGCGGTGACGTGGATCTAAGAGTGATAGGGTGAGTATGAAGCAACAGGAAGGGGGCAGCAAGGACACCGGGTGATCATATATATGAAGTGACGGGGCATGAGGGAAGGGGCGCTGCGGTGAAGGGGGTAATACATTAGGGAGAGGAAAGGTGCAGAAGCCCATGCCAAATCGGCGAGCTGGCTTCTATGTGTCAGGGCACATTGACGCGTCCGGGCCATCACCCGGACGGTCGAAGCAGCCACAACTTCGCGTGGATTAGGTTCATGAGCGTTAATATCGCACCCACGCGCGAGCCATATAGAATGGACACGGGCATCTAGAAAAAAGCTAAGGAGGCACGCGGACTAACCTATTGAATCGCGTTCTCTGCGAACGTGGGGAAGGCGACGGAGTAGTCGGCTGGTCGAACGGCGGGCCCAGGGACAGCGCGGGCAGACGACTGCTCGCGAGGGAAGACGCAGAAGACGAGTGTGAGAGGGGCGTGCACGAAAGTTTATCCACTGCCGGGGAACGGTGACGAGGTGGTGTGAGAGGAAAGGGCGGGGAGCGGGAGAGAGGAGAAGAAGGAGGAAGCGGGGCGGCAGTGTGCGTGGCAGGGGATACTTGTGCAGGTCCGAGGCGTGTCAACAAACGCCGATTACTCGCAGAGTAGCCAACATCAGCGTGGTAGGACTGATGGGCCTGGCTGGAGGGCGACTGCAGTCTCGGGCCACCCGAGGGACGGAGTGCCCGGGACACCCCAGCCTCGTTGTGCGCGCCTGACTGGCCTCGGAGTTTGGACGCATTACGGTCATCACTACTGACTTGAATTGCGATATGCCGTCCGTCGTGCCCTTCCGCATAGCCATGTTCGCGCCGAAGCGTCTGGCTTCCGGGCAAGGAGCTCTGTGTCTCTGACAAATTGGAAGACCGCTCCCGATGTTCCCAATCCAGATGGCGCGTCCCGCTCCCCCTGCCGCGACATGCAACATGGCGGACCTGACGACTTGCGCTTGCATCCGACCGCAAGGAGCGTGCTCTCCATAGTCCGCTTTCCTCTGCACTGGCCTGATAACGCGTGGAAGACACAGGCGACAAGGCAGAGGCCGAGGAGGAAGAAGAGTAGCTGCTCATGACCAAAGACGGATAAGCCAAATTCGCTGGATCCGAAGCCGAGAGTATGTGATGCACGCGGTCAACACGCGTAATTGACACAAGCGGCGCCCCAAACAGTTGTCGGTGGGTCGAGAGATAACTTGCGGTCGTCGGCGGCGACGATGTCGGTCGCGGGCGATGGGTCGTGGAGGTCGTGGCGGTCGTGAAACTGGCGGCGGAGGGGGTCCTGTATTTTGGGAAGCGCGCATTGGCCACAAATATTTGGGTGCCCGACAATTCGTCGCCAGGCCCCTCTATGCCCGTTCTAGGCCTTTGTCGTCACTTGTGACGCTCCGTCGGTCGCCGCGTATCACTGACCGACAATTGAAACGCTTGAATTTCCCCGCACTTCTCTCGACGTGAATATGTATACCCCGCAGTGACGTCGGTTAACGCTGCTCAACGCTCGCATATCCGCAATAGACGATCCTTGGTATAAACAGCCAACATCGCGTCATAAAATGACCTTTCAAGTAGCGACATCTCCGTCTCCGTCACAACACCCGTGACTTGCACCGGTTGCTTGTGCTGTCAACCCCAAAAACAATGGCAATTGCCGAAGCTCATTTAGTCCCGCTCCGGGAGCTCTAGACCGACGCGGCGGTCCAGGCCGACGACTACCGAATGTCTCCGTCGGTTCGGCGCGTCGGTGGCCACGTCCGGCGTGCCCTTCCTCGTCTACGCCCGCGTCCGCTTATCCCTGCTCAGCGCCAGCGACCACCGACATTTCGCCTCTTGCTTGCCTTGTCCGGCTCGGCACTCATGCAGATCCCGGCTAACGGCTCTCCGCTGCGATGGGGTTGGGCGGCTTGTGTGTCAAGCAACGCCTTGTTGCCAGGTGATCCGCAGGGACAAGGGACAAATCGCCATTACTTTTATCGGGTCATCAGCACAAATCAGCTTGTTACGCTACATGCACTTCCGCGGCGTGTCGGTCATCTATTCCGAACGGCAGTGCAATGATTACGGGAGGGCATCGATAGTGCGGTGTGACTATCACGGGTGAGTGCGACGCAGTGCTGCAAGCCTATGAGAATCTTTGTGGACATGACAGCTCATCGTGGGCCTCGAAGCGCTGCAGTATTCGCGCCAATAAACTCGCGAGGGACCATTCAGAGTGCAGCAGATTCGTCGCGGCCTCTCCTCCCCATGCGATACCATCGCCATAGGCTCATCTTGCTCGGAGCATCGTCATGACTGTCCCTACATGTCTCTACGACTGCCATGTCCTACGTTGACGTACTCCCGCTGCCGACACGGAGCTCACCTCACGCGCAACATTCGCCAGTGTTTCGTACGCAGTTCCAGTGCCTTGGGTACCATGATCTGTGCCCATGACGTCCGGCGGCTCACAGCTTGGTACTGGTTGCCAGAATTCGCAAGCGAATAACGATCAGGCGGCAATGCCAAGTTAGCGCAGCTTGGTGAATACTATTGATCTTTGCGCTCGTTTAGCTTTTGGCTGCGCCGTTTCTTCCCTATGACGGGGGTCATGATGGAAGACTACTGGCAAAATGCTCTCTGCCCCGCAAGTTCGATTAAGATCCGTTGTACTCACCCTGCGCTGATTCCGCCAGGAGCTTCTCGGAGGCTTTCCAGTGTCATGTTCAATATATGCTATCGCTCCTGCTGGCTCGTCTCACTAGCAATATTCACGCAAGGCCCCATCTATTGCCAAATCCCAGAAGCGCATCACTGGGGATTGAAGTAATCAGCAAAGACGTGACGCCATCCTGATCGTCTCCGGTTCCACTCCGGCACCTGGATCCCCATGTAGCGCGATGACGCGCATGTCTCCCGCCGCCGTCGCCTTCGTCATCCAACTGCCTCGGACCCGGGAAAGAAAGTGCTGCGCGAGACCAGAGACTGCCGAGGGGTATTCGCATTGCGGCAATTGGAGGGCGCTGCCATTAATCTGTCTCATGTTCTGTGTGGCGCTCGCAGGCACCCATCCCCACTGATGGGATCCTTACACGTCCGTGAACGTTGATCATACACCTGCTATGCGTGCCCTGTGCGAGCCGCTTGTGTGGAAAACTCGATCACACGCCTGCCATGAGGATGTTCGAAGCGCGGACAGCAACTTACAGACGTGGCAAGCTCTCAAGCGATGGGCTGCTGGATGCCTCTTGTCACTATTCGGAAGAGAATTCTCAAGAGGTTTTGTACTGCTCGGGACTTGGACAGCAATCGGGTTGCCACGCTGACTATGGCCCTTTGCTGCCTTCCCATTTCTCGCCGGAGAAGCTTCTTCAGCTGTTTGTATCCCGTGGCCCACTTCTGTTGCGCAAGTATGTATATTTCTTTGCTTGACCGGTTGTCGGGCCATGTTGAACTCCAGATTCCAGGCGCCCCTTTTGACGCGTCTATGTCCAGCTAACGACATCACGTCGTCAATGGGCACTGTCGTGGCCATCGTAAGACCCTGGCTAGACTTGCAGATGTTCTTTGTCTACAAGATCTGATATGGATCGTGATGCAGGACTCAATTCAACCCTCAAAGCCTGCGCTAGTGTATTTTCGGGGCTTTCTTCACTCCAAGCAGGCCTGACGGCGCTCCGAACAGTTGCTACTCGCGGTTCGCTTACTCGCTGGCGTTTCTGTGTCTCTGTATGGCTATATGCTGTGTTGACCAAGTTCTGGTCGCCTTATATGCACCCTGCACGCCGAAGGACCACATCTTGTCTTGTGACTTTATGTATGCTGGGCCTGGTCAGATGCCTTGTGCGGAAAATGCTTCGGAGCGCCGGTCGGGCTTCCTACCCCATGATGGAATGGTGGGAAGTTGATATGTACCCCAGTTTCTCCGGCCCTCCTGGGGATGAAGACAAGGATCGAGAAGTGTTCCGGAGCGACCTACAACAAAGCGTTCGTGGTCGACGTCTCGGCTGGCTATCTCGACATTTTCTCTGATGCAGGCCCATACAGCGGCGCAAGGTTATACCCGCTCTACTCCACTCACACGCAGGTCGATGATGGCATGGACGCTGTGGCTGTTGAACATAGTGTGAGACATCTACGGTCATGCATACCGCGAGAGGTGCGTTCTATGTTCTCTGAGAAGCCTGGAACGCGAACTGTCGCCCTGTGACTCTCAGCGCCTTCTGTATTCGCCATTGATTTGCGGGCGGTGGAGCATCGTCTCGGCCCCTCGCTCTTGCACGTGGTGGCTGAGGAAGGCTAGCATGGCGTCCCCTGCATGCCGGCGGTTGCGGCGTACTTGTGATCAGCTTCGGGGAGCTATAGTTGTGCGCTTCGTGACATTCGATCGCCCTGGTATTTGGCCGTTATCGGGGGTAGTGCTATCACTACGCTTTCGTATTGAGCATAATCAAGCGCGAGGGTTGTAAACTTGTGTCAACAGCACGCTGGGGTGTATCGATTTTCGACGCTCGAAGTCTGCTCATATCGCAGTGCGGAATTAGCGCGGAAGGCATTCATCGCAGATAGCGAGTGGGGGTATTTGCCTCGTGCTTTTGAAGCCCATCGTCGAAGCTCGAAGCTCGCGATGGGTGGCGCGTTTCTGATATGTGAAGTTCGCCGTCGTACGATGTAGAACTCACTATGTGCAATGGAGCGGGTGGAGATGACGAAATGCATCTCGTCTTCGAGTTGGCCATGGTCAGGACGAATTGATTCAACCCCCGGAACCCTCACCGACAGTCTTCAGATCTCGCGCCCAACATGGCCCTATTGTCTGCCTGCATTGAATCGCACCAACGTGCACCTCAGTATGATCGGATCGGTAGGCGCGTGAATCCCTACCGTTCTCACATCGAAGCTAGGAACGCGCACCTCTCTCTGATCTCGAAGGTGCCGAAAAACGAGCTCGTGACATAGCGCCTACGATCGAGTTTATTGAACGTATGTACGTAAAATGTTCCCGTCGAAGAACGATCGAGCACGCTAAGTAGTTTTTATATAGCTGCAAACCGCTTGGCCGTGAGCTGCTTGCGGTTAAGTTCCCAGTGGCTGACTGAGGGCGACCCACGGTCAAGCGCAATCAACCCTCGCTTCGCCCAATGGTGCCCTGGCTATTACACTCACATCTAGAATGCAGCATAATTTCAAAGGCTTCCCTGTCCTGCTCGTGAGTACATCTCGCGAGGGTGCTCTATCGACATGCGATATTTCCTGGTAGTTGGCCTGCCCTTGGGAAAACCAGTCAACTGACTCTATGGTCTGTCCTGTATCCTCCCGTGGGCGAGCAACCGCTCTCATTATTGGAACATATATGTGGTAACATATATGCTTCGAAATGCCTCTTATCTAACGCTACTCTTTCAATGAGAAATGCACGAATTCGCAGGGGAAGCTGCCGAATCGCTCTGATGCAATCCTTCGGGAGTCTGCAGTATGTGAAGTCAGCGTTCCTCCAGGGGTGAGCCTTTGCATGCACTTGCTTGTGCTCAGGCGAGTTCATGTCGGATCGTATGTCTGTTTTGCTGAATTCATTTCTACGTTCTAGCTAATTTCCGCGCTTTCCCCACGGACATCGCTCCGAGTATGTCAAGATTGGAAAGCCAAGCCGAGGCATCAAGTCGCTGCCTAGACGTGACAAATCGTAAGCAGCTAGAACAACCATCCGGGCGCGCTCCTTGTCGCCCCGAACATCTTTGCCATAACCCTGTTTTAGAATGTGTCCGGCAATCCCTTTGGATTGGACATTGAGTGGGCAACGTGCATCGGATATGATCCCGGTGCTCTTGGAAACTAAACGTAACTGGCAACTATTTACGCTTTTACAGCATTCGAAGGGAGGACCCTTTGCATTTTAGACGTTGATTGCTCATACAGCCGAGACTGATGGGGACTAGATGATCTACGCTACCACTTTCAAGTATCTTACAGTCACCGACAGACGGAGACGCACCAATCAGTTGCAGGGTCAAGGCTACATTTTCAAATATAGCTCGTTATCTACCCAGATGTGTACCCCGTTCCTGGAGTCGAAGGGGCTGTTCTCCGGAGTCTATACCTTGTTTTCTTTCCTAAGGGAGCGTTTCGACTCGTTGGATGGTTATCTCGTCCTCAATGGTGAGTACTTCATCTTATGTTCAATTTCGCAGCCTGGCCGCTTGCTGGGATGCGCACCGCTCATGACTAAACATCTGCTCGAGACGACCACCGAAGCTCTTCTATATTATATACCTGTAAAGCACTATCACAATGATAAGGCGCTCCCAGTCGACGGTAATCTGTTTCAGTACGTGAAACCCAGTTGTGTGGTGCATTGCATCGCGGCGCCTGTTATTGTGCGCGTTTCGCGATTATGAGGATGCAGAGGGCATCAACATGCGGGCGCGCTATACCATTATCGCTGCTATCACGTTCATGCTCCAACGCTGATACCGCCCACCTACCTTTTCGAATGGACCCCTGTTCATTTGCCAAAGTATTCTTGCAATCACTGACCTGGGTAGCTTGCGATTGGAACTTGCTCAGAATGCCGCATTGCAGGCCAGAACTGAGTTTCCTGCTGCCACCCTCATTGCATGGCTGTCCACTCCGGATCTCGAAGCTGCGGGCAGTGGGCGTTGTGCGGAGATTGGCGCCTTTGTAAGCCCCAGGGCACATGCAGGGCGCTGCCTCGCCTTCCTCTCGAGGCTGTTAGTTGGGCGCGTGCATGGCTCCCATACAGAGTGCAGAAGGTACGCGCTATACTTTTCAATCTCTTCTTTTCCCCCATATTCTACCGATTACGATGACCCTTGAGTTTGACACTCGCACGAAGTTTAAGGTACGTTCAGTTTGAGCACATTGATCGACATCTGAACAAGTCTGCAGATTGGAGATGAAGTCCGCTTCCGACCCCGGTACGATAATGATGAAGTGGTGGGGAAAGTCGTTGCCATACACATGACTACTGATTCGCACGTATGTCTCACTCTCCTCATGGATACTACCCGGAAGCCCAATCCTAATTTCTACATAGGTTTCATATGCTCTCGCAATCGACGGCAGCAGCATAACGCGCATGGGTCTTACGAAAGTGCCAGAAGAGAAGATACGAGGCCTGAGCAACAACATGCCATTCTTTGTCCGACTACGACACCATCTTCACATACGATGATTGTGTTCTCCTTGTGTTCTCATTCATGCCCTTAATACCGATATATAACTACCGGACGTACGCATTCCTTAGTCTAATCATACTTTATACTGCGATCTATAGTTTAATGCATTAATGCTTCAGACCGGCCATTCATGCTGGACATGAGGGGCTGAACTAAGTTACGCGCCGTTCTGCAGGCGACACGCAAGCTGTATGTCTCAAAAGCAAAAGCAAAGCCAATAATAACAATCATGGGAGCCGCTGAAGTATACATTCCTAAAGGATAAGTACTTACACACGATGTGTCCGTCATCACAGTGATGCCCGCTGTCGTGATTCTCCGTCTTATGCATTGTACAGACCTGTATTACAATCCATACGCCCCGGACTAGAACTTGCACAGATGTGCCTGCAGAATAAACGTCATCGCGGACAAGTTGGCGCACAAGAACCGCATACATGCCAGCTATGTTATACGGATCACCATGAACGTCAAAACAAAGCCGACCGCAGCGACAATGATACTCAGCATGACGATCCATGTCGTCCCCCAACTCTTGGAGCGATGGTCCCGCACCCGCAGGCGCTCCGCCTTCATCACGTCGTGGTTGCGCTCGAGCTTGTCTTGCGTCTCGATCAGCAGCGCCTTGTCTTTCTCGAGCGTGCCGGCGAAATGCACCGCGTTGCGCTTCAGCTGCGTCGCCATCTGCGCGAGCTGTGCCGAGAGCTCCTCCTGGAGCGCGGCCGAATTCTGCAGGAATGCGGGCGTGCCGGCGAGCTTAGACGTGCCCGGAGAGGATGGGCGGTTCGGAGGTAGGAGGGTCGCGCCCGGGTTGATGGGCGCGATGCGAAGGGCGGGCTCAGTGTCAGTGGCCGACAGCAGCAGATCCTGGGCGGCTATGTGGGTCGTCTCCGCGGGAGAAGCGAGCTCTGCTTCTGTAGCTTCTTCAGATCGTTGTGGACGCAAAGGGTCTGGTTGAGCAGACTTCGGCGGGAAGGGAATGGGGAGCGTCGGTAAGATTGGCGCGGGGCGTTTGGGTTGTGGTGCTGCGCGCTGCGAGAGGTTGTAAGTACATCGAGGACAAAGGGACATTAAACGTAGAGATAGGGTACATAAAGTATACCCCGTGGTCTTATAGCATGTATGATGAACTCGCCCCGGGGGGTAGAATGGATTTTAGAAGATATCAGCAATATGATGGATCACTTACCTTGTCCACCTCAAGTACCACTGTCTCCAGGCGATCTAGAGTATGTCGGAGGTCTTCATACCTCTGAGCCGCAAATCTATGGTCAAGGTCTCCGAGATGCTCGAAGATACAAAGCGAAGGGCTTACGGATCATGCTCATGAATCTCGACATTATGGAGCAGTTTCCGTGCGTGCTTTAGTTTCTATAACCCAAATCAGTTGCCGCAGAGACGCGTTCAATGGCCAGCATAAATATGCAAGCCCTATAAGGCTTATAACAAGTCGTTTCAAGTCATTCGGTTGCAACATAGGATCCCTTGCGTGTCGCAGACCCGGACGCGGACCTACCTGCAGTGTTGTCCTGGTCTTGATCCACGTCGCCCGCGGTGGCAACTGACTATCCTCATTCCAGTCCTCATCAGCGATCGCTTTCTCCAGCCTTCGAACAAGCCTGTTCAGATTAATCCTGTCATGTACCAGTTGCTCAGACGACTGAGAAGCCATAGTTGAATTTGAGCAGTACGGGGAATGCACGCAGGACGCAGTGACGAACAGGTGGAATCAAGCAGGCTAACGGATGAGCGCTGAGCGCCTACCAAAGTCGTGATGTCCCGATGTTTGGGCGTTTGTAACTATGTTTCTGCCAGCGCTAACCACTGCGGTGTCTTACCGTGACTGAATGCCCTCCCGCAGGATCTGGACCGTTTGCAGATGCAGACCGCAAATCTTTGCGACCTCAGTGCTTGAGCATACACGAAAGGTACCTGATATAAACTTCGTGACTCGCGCTCAAGGATGGGTTCTCTGCTACCCTTCGAGACCTACTTGATCCCGACTAGGATGATTTCATCTAGCTTGATTATCTGCTCCTGGTAGCACCTTGTATAACCCATCATTGTTGGATTTCAATCGCCGCGCGTTATACATTGTCGATAACACCTATATCCTCCCCCACTTTGATTGTCGAATTGGCACCGGTATATGGCAGGGGGGTTGATGCTAGCTCAGCGCTTCCAGGTGTCTGCTGCCATTGAATGGTACTGGGCATCGTCAATAGATTCGGCTTTTGGGCCGCGAGTTGGAGCCTTGTATGGCGGAACACGTGAGAGGCCATGGCGTTACATATGAATGTGTTGGGTACGGAGAGAAGCCCGCGGTACTCTACGGGCAACGCCGTAATGTAGTGTAGTAACACCAATAGCACACTGCTAAGAATAGTGACGCTGTGGCATAAATCAACTCTAGTCCCAGCTCGCATCTCCGCAGCAGCACTTACGCGTAGAACAACTGCCCATTCCTGAGCGAAGAGGCAGTGAAGGCAGGAAGGTATTTCCCTGAAAAAAAAACTCTTCATTCGGCGATTCACGGTAGCCTCGCGGAGGATATTTGCTGACAGCTGATACGATATGGCGATGAATACTAGGGTGTCGTAGAAGATAGGTACAAAGATAGCCAGCATTACATATGGCTTTGATGGACCTTCGATGCAGTAGTCCGTAAGTCCGAGGTTCTCTCCTGTCTCGCCGAACGGGCATGTCGCAGCACCAGCCACGACGCACAGCCACGACGCACAGCCAGATGATGAAGAAAGCTCCGATGATGTATCTGTGCATTTGATAAATTCCGCGTAGGCGTATGTGGAATAAGAGCGTCGTGGTGGATATGGTGGCTACCACAGTCGCCATCCTCACTTGCTGAAAGATGGTACAATGTTTGACCGGCGCAGCTGGAACATCATGTCAGTGCTAGGACAGCAAACGGCGGATAACGCTGACTTTGGAACACCGCGGAGAGCAATACGAAGAGAACCGTGGATAACCTGCGCCAGTTGTCACAATCGACCTGTTGGACGTCGCGTAGAAGGGCTCACCTCGCCATAGCATAGACAAGAGTTGTAAAAGTGAGCCGGTGGTTGAAGAGGATGTCATATTTACTGAATATGTTACTGAGCACGTCCCAGAGTAAGGCCTAGCGTAGACACCACTTCAGGACCATGGTACCAGCACGCTATCTACAGTCTGGAACTACGTACCCCCGCCGTGGTGACTGTGACATAACGTCCCACTTCGATCCCCGTGGCGACGGCCTGTGGATGAAACGCTAGCGGCGTGAAGGGATTCGGGAGGTCGCTGCAATTCGTAGGAAATGACATGAGCGGCGCTATCTGTTATCTGCTCCGCGTCCAGTGTGCAACAATGATCTTATAGGTCCAAAGATGCAGTGCGCGTAGGACAGCACAGACCGTATGTCATGGCCGCAGCCAACCACACTGAGAGGCGATATTAAGTGTAAAAATAATCGTGATTGACAGATGTAAATAAATATCAGGTAGCACTCAGTGCGGCAGTTGCACGAGCACAACGTCGGAATGATCCGCCATCTTGATAGGCGCACAGCTACGCCACCGCTTCCCCGGTCAGTGGTGGTAGGGAGAATTACCTCGTGTAGAACATAGTTATCGTGACGACAAGTAGTCTTCGCTGTTCCGCCTAATTCTCAGCCCTCACAATATCGCACAGCGTGACTTCATACCAGCTTGTAAGATTAGTCCTCCACAACGCCACAAACCGAGCTGACAGTATTGATGTTGTGCATCATGAGACTACCCCGGGCAGTCCGGTTAGTTGAAATGATGTTGTCGAGATGTCGGGATAGCGCCTGGTAAGATGAGTCTGGACGCGGGGGAGTGCCTCGGTCTCTCACACTGCTGATGCTCCCGACAAAGTTCGGAGGTAGAACTTACCTCCACTGTTGTTGGCGAGGAATAGATGAAACGTCCCTAAAACAAATAGAGAAACATATAGGTTTCTCACAAGTTGCTGCGAGCAAAGAATATTACTCACCATTATTAACCCCGAGCACAGCATATGCCGGTCGGTGACAGCATATGCCAATTAGTATGTTTAATAGGACGTGATTTTGTCCCTATGTTAAACTCAAGAACTCAAAACGCTGTTCGAATCGCAGAAATATGTCGAGACCATATGCTGAGTCGCTGGCTAAGTCCCTCGTTTTCGGCCAGTCGATCTCGTGCAGTGCATACATCATTCATGCGGCGAGATGCGCTGACCAAGCCTGGGAGGATCTACTCCCCCGTAGCTGCCGTCGACAAGATGTAGAAACGAACATACCTTAGGTGCACGGTATCGGACATGCTATACGCCTGCGATTCCTGAATCGCGGCCGAAGCCAGTCTGTTTTCTGTTGCATTTGCCGCAGGCGCTGTCCCTGCGGCGGACTACGCAGGCAGTGGCAGGGCTTATTGCGAACTGCGTATTTGTCTTGCACCACCCTGCACAGGTACCTTATAATTATTGCACAATGCCAGGTCATCCAATCCTAAGCATGAAGCCTCTCCACGTATGCGTCTATGTGAGAGCACTGTTGGAGGGCGCTGCCAATAGGGCACATCCAGGAGGGCACACGCACCGTCGTACCACGAGAGCCCCTTCGCCGCGCTGGTGAGACACAAGGCACACAGATAATCGCTCTGTTCTGAACAGAGCGATTATCTAAGTTAATATCTGCCTGCTCACATATCGAGTACGACCTGCCGGGCGACCGTATCACTGTTGCGAGAGCGTACCGAGCGGGGCGATGCTAGTGGCTTGTATGTCAATCGTTTTGCAAATTCTGGTCCGCATCTGGCACGACTGATACAGAGATTTCGCCTGGAGAGCTCTTTTGTAGGCGGCCTAGGGGAAACTAGAAAGATTGCTGCGCCTGGGCTTTGTGACATTAGGTACATTCAAAAATGAGATTCGGGACGATTCATGGCAAGTAGCTAAGGTTGCTCTAGGTTCAGCACTACTCGAAATCAACTCGAAGATTCCTGGGTGTCTCTGACATCAAGACTAGAGCATAGATTTCAACGACAGTTCCATGTATTCTCGTGTAGAGAATCGGTCTCTTACACATCCTGTCTCTGACAGACGAGTGTAATTTTACGAGCTCGTGGCGACACGGACAGGTAAAGCACGACCACCACTCTGAACCGACGTCGGTTAACTGTGTATGAATCAACATCATAGATAATTTCCGCTGAAGTAGTCACGAATAATGTAAGCCACGATATTCAATAAAACCCACCTGGTCGTCTGCTGTATCGTCCGCGGCGATAGTATGCTTGAGTATCTCAGCAAGCGTGAGCACTTTTTGTTGAGTACAGTATAACAAGTATTTGAAGCAAGCTCGGACAGGCGCTCAGACGGATTGAGATGTATTCGGCGCTTACAGCCATCTCTCTTCTCAACCGGTTCGGGCAATCTCTCAGAACTCATTCGTTACCTGCTTATTATCCTCTCAAACTTGTAGTGTTATCTGTTCTCGTCATCTTCGAATACTTGCAAACTGTTTCAACTTTAATTCTGGGCACACGCGGACATTCTGTACTTCCATACAATGGCTAGAGGTAACAATCATCGCGGACGAGGCAACTTTCGTGGTTCACCGCGCGGGATCCCGTCTTCTGGACGGGGTGAGGGTCGTGGGGGTCGTGGGGGTCGCGGACGCGGGCGCGGAGGCCACATACCCATGGACGATTTCGATTTTCCTATACAGATGTGGCCCGATAGTACGTTTTTTCATTTCCTCTACCAACGACTATCCGAACTTCCAGCCGATGGTGCCGTCTTGGTATTGTAATACTAACAGGGTTGCAGATGCTCCACCGACTAGGGGTGTAAACAGCCCAAGAGCAAGGGGTCGAGGAAGACCCAATTACTCAAGTCCCATTTCAGGCATAGCGAGCCCTAGAGAGGGTGCTGAGACACCCCGGGGAAGAGGCAGAGGTCGTGGCAGAGGTAGAGGTGATACAGGAGCCTTCTCTCCGTTCGAGAGTGACCGTGGCCGTGGCCGGGGTGGACGAGACGGCAGAGGCGGGAAGAACTTCGACGTAAGACTGCGTACTGGAGCACCCTTATCGAAGCTTCTCTACGAGGACAGGCCTCTGTTGAAACCTATCACGTTCGTGCGATCTGTATTCACCGCTGTACTATTTAAGGAGGAGGAAGACATCCTACAGCCAATTGTTGAACCAGTTGGTACGCAGCTATCCGCGAATTTACCAAAATCTCATCGAACTGATATTTTGCTCAGCTGACGATGAGAAGAGCCACGTTCCTACCGCAGACCAAATCTCGCGCGTCTTCAGCGAAGCGCAAGACGAGGCCTCTGCCGGCGACGAATCTGGTGAAGAAGAGCAAATAGAAGAAATAGACTTCGCGGACGTCGGCAAAATTCAAGCTGAAGTTGATGCTACTGCAGCACTGCTTGCAGCCGGGCAGCAGCCGAGGGCCCCGGCTGAAGCTTCCGAAGTCGCGGTTGTAGAAGAGAAGTTCACAGGGTTCTGGGTCGACACCACACCCACCCCCGTAGCCAGGCAAACCACCAGCGAAACAGTCTTGGTTGATCGCGTCAATGGTGTCTTAGGAGAGTGTCCTCCTGATGACGAAGAAATCATTGTATATGTCGCGCCTCATCCCCGAACTGGACGCATAACACCCGCTCCACAACAATCCTTGACCCACCCTATCGAAGAAATGCAGACAACATCGGTCATTACGGGCGTCGAAATTTCTGAGACTCGTCGTGAAGACATCGAGATTTCCGAGACTCGTGAAGACGTCGAGCTCGCGGAGCCCCCCGCGTCAACTGCAGAAAGTCCGCCCGGCGAGTCCTCGGTGGCCCCACCCCCGCCGGACTTCGAGGCTGTCTCGTTCTTGTTTGAGCAGACGCCTCGGAAACGACAGACTCGCAAGGTGTTTCCCGTCGGGGGGCCACGCTCCCTGCTGCAGCGGTCGAAGAAGGCGCGGCGCAGATCATTGCGGGGCTTTGGTGCATTTGGCGCTATGCGGGAGGAGGCGCGTTTACGGGAGCGGGACCCGCGGGAGAGCGAGCAGCGGAGGGGGGACTCGGACGTCAACTGGGGCGACTCAAGCGACGAGGGGATTGAGGAGCTTTCGAACGGCATCGGGACCATGGAGCTCGATGAGGGGATCTCCCTGAATGCCATGAGGAGCTTCGTGCAAAGCATGAGTGCGGATGGGTCAAGACACCTTACGATGGACGACGTTGCAGACATGGAGCGAATCAAAGCAGAGAATGAGGAAGCTGCAGGCAAGGATGAAGATAGTACGGCTGAAGACGGGCAGGAGGATTTCAGTAGCAGCAGTGAGAAGGAAGACGACGACGACGAGTTGGAGCGTGCTGTCGATGCAGAGGAGCGTCATTTAGTTGGTGAGGACGCAGGGGATGCAGGGGATTCCGAGGATGAGGACGAAGAGGAATCCTCGGATGATGAAGATACGCCCAGAACGAGCTTTCAGGCCAGACTGAAGAAAGTGCGCGACAGAGCGTACAAGCGCAAGGCTGACGCCGAAGATGGAGACTCTAGCGATGAGGCCATGTCAGTGCAGATGACTAGGCGAGACGAGGATGATGCCTTCTTCGCCGAGATCGAGGTAAGTTACATGGGCCACAGCGAGACTTGGCTCGCTAAACGCTATGCAGGAATTGCTTGATCAGAACGATGCAATCTTGACGGGCAAAGACCGGAAAGCACGTTCGGACCTATTCCGTGCTGTCGCCAATGGTGACTTTGAGAGCGAGGACGAATTCGAAAGTATGATGAGGCCTGCTGGTGTGTCCCATTTCGTCTAGGCTTCCTTACAAAGGACTCACACCACCGTATAGCCCGCAAGAAAGATAAGCATCTTCCCAGTGAGCTGCAAGCACAATGGGACAATGATCGTGCCAAGAAGGCAGAAAATAAACGGAAGAGGGCAGAAGCCAGGTTGGCAGCCGCGGCTGATCCTCTAGCAGTGCACAAAGGTGGCAAGAAGGGCCTCAAAGCGATGCTTGCTGCCGCGAGGCTGGACGCTTCCATCGAGGTACCCAATCGAATCACCGACCTCGCCTCGTTGGAGCAGCAGATACGACGATTCATCGCGGATATTGGGGGAAAGCCGACAATGGCGCTGCCACCGGCCGACAAGGAGACGCGGAAGAAGATACACGAGCTCGCAGGCGCGTTCAACTTGAACAGCAAGAGCAAAGGAACGGGCAGCATGAGGTATACTACGCTCACAAAGACCACGCGCAGCGGTATCCGTACCAATGAGCGGAAAGTGAACGCTATCCTGAAGAGAAGCGCGGGAACATGGGGCGCGCCTGGCAAAGGAAAGGGTCAGAATATCTCCCTCGCGAAGCATCGTGAGGGAGAAGAGGTTGGCAAGGTACGCTTTTCTTTCTGTGGCTTTGGAATGTCAGCTTAATCAGGACATCAGGCTGCACCGAAGATTGGGGAGTCGAACATCGGGTTCAAGATGTTGGCGGCGATGGGCTGGGCGGAAGGAGACCGAATTGGATTATCAGGCGGCCTGGAGGCGCCTTTGACTGCAATCATGAAGAAGACTAAGCTCGGTCTCGGGGCGACCCTTGTAGAGAAGTAATGCACATAGGAATCATTGATATTAGGAATGAGTACATGTCCCGATTGCAATCGCATGATGAGCATCTCCCGTCTCTATGAGCTCACCTTCCTCGCACTTGGCACCGCGCAAATTCGCCTAAACGTGATGATCATCTGCATGAACTTTGAATTACTGTTACCGATACAACGTTGAGAAGTTCGCTATCATAATAATATTGCATTACGGCTTATATTAACGAAGCACAAAGACTGAGAATCATATACGACTAGAGTGCAGGATAAATAGTAGCTGGTCCTCGTGTGTCAGGTCAAGCTGCAATCTACTCAGATCAACCATGGACAGTGACCCACTAGATAGAGACATATTGCGTACATTCGGAACCATTCGTCAATGGACGAGAAGTTAGCTTCAGATATTTGTTCTCCATCGTCTCGCCAGCGTCGGGTACTATGTTCCATTCGAAAAACTGCAAGTGACTTTCGAACCAGACACGATCCTCTTCGGAAATAGCTTCTATGGATTCAACGGAGAGCTTCTCAAGACATGAAGGACGCTTTTCTTCTGAATGGGGACCATCACCGGAGCTCGCAGCTAATCGCGCCTCCACGAGGCGTCGCGAGGCAGCCACGACGTCGCCCTCATCCCGGACTTGCACCGAGATCAGGCGCGGGAGGTTCCAGCATGAGGTATTCTCGATGCATTTGCTCAATACATCTACGAACTCGAGGGGCTCTTGGTTAATGCGGACAAGCTGCAGGTTGAGCAACTCGAGATGCTCGAAGGAGCCGAAAATCTGGAAAAAATCAGTGCAGCAAAACGGATCGTACATATTGTGGTCGAAGCCGAGCTGCACCGTCCGCAGCGATGGGAACCTGGTCTTTAGCATGAATGGCAATGGATCATCCCACGAGAGGGCAACCGCAGGTGTGATGATTAGCGTCGTGAGTTGCGGAGCCTTAATACACATGAGTATATCTTGCACCGTATATTCCGCCAATTTATATGACAATGCGAGTTCTTTGAGCATAGGCAGCTCAATAAGGCCATGGGTATATCCATCTTCGAGCAGCTGAGCGAACTCCACGTACCCACTGGCAACAAGCTCCAGTCGTTGGAGACTTTTCAGAGGTCCTAGGCATTGTGCAAGAAAACGTCCATCCAAGAATGTGCCAGAGTCGAGCGAACATTCAAGGGTGAGTTTACGGATGCCAGGAAACCGGCCACAGAAGATACGATGCTGGTGCGATAGTCGTGTTGAGAGCAGTTCCAGAGTGCTGAGCCGTGGGGCAGAGAACCTAGGATCGAACGATAGTGTTGATGTTGAGCGGGACACACGGTGAGTGTGGGCAACGTTGCTGAAGGACAACGTCTCCAATAGTGGGGCTTCGTCCACCCACAACGGGAGGATAGCAGTCAAGGACTCAATTGTGACGACCCCGATAGACATTGACCGCCAGCGATCGAGATGGGGGAGGAGCATTAGGACGGCATTCCTCATGCGCACCAGCTCCAGCTTGTCCTCGTCGTAAAAGCCCACAATCTGAACGTCGAGCGGATGTCGGCGGGACCTCCGCAAGATAGCCTTCCAATGCTCATCAGGCTCCTCATGAAGCCTCCTTAGGTCAATGTGCACCGCGCTCCAGAGTACGGAAAGGTCAAACGCTATTGCTCTCCACGCGCGACATACAGACGCAAGGATGAGCGCAGATGTGATCCGTTCTTCGTGGCAATGTGCATGGAAGCATTCCTCGAACAAGAGTCGGCCAACGTCGGCGGGTACTCGCGCGATAGGCGTGTGCTGATAGACAAACATTGTCCAGCAATGATGTACTTGATGCAGCAGTCTAGAAGTAGCGAGCGTGTACTAGAAAGAAATGAAAGGAAAGAGTGGTTGTAGAAAGACACGTTACGCACCTTTTATGCGTTGTGGCCAAAAGCCACCGGCCGCCACTCAACAGCCACGAGGTCGGAGTCCAATATGAATGCCTTGAGTGCACGGCAAATGCGTGCACGGCCACCTTCACCTATGGCTGAAACCATGAGGCTCGAAAAAAAGTCAGACTGGACGTGAACAATCTCCTTCGCTGGGAAAAGACCTGCCACATGGTGTGACCACTCAGGCTCATTCTCTAGGCCTTTGGTGACGGAGTTCGCCTACTCTTTGAGCGACGGCTTCGAGGCCTTTACCGAGTTGTGCGACGTGGATATACACGCTGACAACCTACTCATCCTCTGGGGAGAGCTCGATGTCGATGAGGCCCCGCCCTCTCCCCTCCCCTCCTGATTACGTCCCCACGGTTGGGAAGCAACGAGGAGAGGTAGCAGACGGCCCCACGCAACCCTCCTCACTTGCCGCGCTTTCGGGAGATTGCTATATCGCGGAGTATTCACGCCCGATTCGCCCACCTTTGGGGCACTAATCAGTCCGAAAAAGTAGGACAAGGACACTGTGTGATCCGCCCTTCCTTAGGTGGTCCCGTAATCGAGCGCGGAGCCCACTACTAATCTCCGTCAGCTGCACTGTACATGTGCCTACGCTGTATGGAGTTTTAGCCCGTGAAACTGAGAAACAAGCAAACCATTTCAGCTTCGTAAGGTGTTGACACGCACACAATCTCACCCGCAGTGGTCCCGGAGCAATAGTGCGGCAAGTCCATGCGCTGGAAGTGTTGTGACGAGCTAGTCACTCTCGTCTTGCTAGAGCAATCGTCTGTCCCCTTTACCTTGTTATGCGACTGATTTAGTTCGCGGTATCTTTTCCCTAAGAGGATGATAGTCTCCTGTGAGCAAACTGACAGAATTTACATTGGACTCAGGCGGATTGGACTCAGGCGGATTGGACTCAGGCGGTACGTTGCTAGCCGATGACACTTTCACCGAGAAGCAAGGCTCGAACTGCTGCAAGCTCATCATTGACTCAATCGCGAAAACCAGGGGCTTTGAATACCTGACTCTGTATCAGTCCGTTGAAATGCACAAAAAAATCATCAGAATCAGTGGTGTGAGGACGCAATTGTGGAGACAGTGATCATCATGAGGACAAACAAACACCTACGTCCAAAGCGTTCAGTAGCCTCGTGTCATCGTCTATCTATTAGGCTCTCATACAGATAATCGCGAACCAGAGTTTCTCTTTCAATTGCCAGTGCAGTAGATCACCCTACTCTTCCTCACTTTTTTGTGCCTCTCCACATCAGTCAACTCCATAACACACCATGGCCTCTAGCGTACCCAGCAAACGCACAGCGGCGCCCACGTCCCTCACACCGCATGCAAAGCCTGTGATCACCGTCGAGGAGTGGGAGACTAAGGCACCCCTGGATGACACGGAGACAAGGAGCGTAAACCGTCTAAAAGCCCTAACAGAGAAGGCTGCTCTCCCACCGAAGGTGCGTCCAGCAAGCCAGCATCTGCTGCACACCATTCACCAACGCGCACAAGTTCAGCGTAGATGAACCCGGTTCTTCATCTCGCCCGTCAACCCCAGTACTACGTAACAAACTCGGTGGCAGCTCGCGTCCGTCCACTCCCAACCTCTTCTCTAACCGGCACCAGGCTGCCCATGCCCTTCATCCCAAACAACCCATCCAGACGCCACAGCAGTTCTACGATTGGTTCGCGCTCATCGACCGCTCGGTCGCGCACAGCCAGGAGGCACACTTCCGCGCCCACTTGGAGAGCGTGTCTGAGCAGCTAGAGACATGCGACCGGCTCGTGCAGCGGATAGACGAGGTGGACGACGCGATAGAGGACATGCTGCGCGAATGGCGAATCGTGGAAGAAGGGGGGAGGAGTCTGAAGGAGGCTTGTGAGCAGCAGCTTGACGAGCGGGTATGTTGTATGGCATCCTTCGGGGATTCTCTGAGCTCACTGAAAGTCTAGAATCACTTGCTCGAAATGTCGGAGGCCATTGGGCAGCGGCTGGAATACTTCCAGGAGCTTGAGCATGCCACTCGTATGCTAAACTCACCAGGAGATTCCCTCGTCCTGCAAACCGACTTCCTATATATGGTGGAGCGGGTGGACATCTGCATCGAGTACTTGAAGGAGCATGTAAGTGCTATCTATCTGATGCGCACTTATACATACTGACGACCGCACAGCGCCATTTCAGGGAGGCCGAGGTTTACCTCCTCCGGTTCCAACAATGCATGACGAGAGCCATGACGCTCATAAAAATGTACTTTGTCGGCTCACTCAAGGCGCTCACAGTCGACGTCACGAAGCGCATATCCGAGAAGGTATGGCTCCACAACCCGTCTTCATCCATGACATGCATTAAGAGCTATACAGGATGTGTCAGTTACAGCACAGCAGCACCTGCTATACACCCGGTTCTATACAGTATCGGAACGGTTGGCACCGCTACTAGCAGAACTCGAGCGAAGAGCAGCGGTCCATCCTGAGGAGTTGTCGTCGCTCCTTGCCGAGTGCCATGCCGCCTACTTCGCCGCCCGTAAGGGTCTGTTAGTGAACCGGCTTACAGAGGAGATCAAGGGCCTAGACCCCACGAGAACAGAACTCGTAGAGCTGGTAAATCTCAGTGTCTCATGTACGCTATCGGCTAACCGGTTGTATTGCCACGCAGACAAGGGCAGGCTGCAGCTATCTCAAGCAGCTATGCACAGACGAGTTCGACCTGTTTCGCGTGTTCTTCAACTCGGGCGAGCAAGAGCTGTAGTACGTTTTGCACGTGCCCTGGTGTTAACTATTCCTGACCGAGTCGCTAGCCACTACCTCGAAAATCTGTGTGACTACCTCTACGACGACTTACGCCCACGCATCCTGCACGAGCCGCGGCTCACCGCGCTTTGCGAGGTCTGCACAGTTCTCCAAGCGCTCATGGTGCTCGACGTGCCTGCACTGCCGGAGGACGACTCCGACGCGGACGCAGACGAGGACGCGGGCGACGTGCTCAAACTCGACTTTACCGACCGCCGCACAGGCACACGCGGCCTGCGTGCGCTGCAGGTCAGCCATCTGCTGCAGATGGTGCTCCAGGACGCGCAGACGCGCTTGTTTTTCAAGGCTCAGTCAGTAATCCAGTCCGACATCCGGTACTACGTATCGAAGGCGGAGGACATCGCATATCCCGAGAAGCTGCTTAGTGAGTGCTGTGACGGGTGCGGTCGACGGTGCGGGCTGCTGACCGGGAACGTTTGGCAGAGGCGCGGAAGCCCCTGACGGGACTCGAGATCAAGGAAAAGGAGAGCGTGAGCCAGCTGTTCCAGCTCAAGACGCTCAACAAGCAGGACACATGGTACCCCACGCTCGGCAAGACCGTCTGGGTGCTGTCGCAGCTGCACGACTTTGTGAAGGTGTGTCTGACCACCACAGCTTCTGGCGCGAACTGATCGTCTCCACAGCCGGCCATCTTCGACGACCTCGCCCGCGAGGCCGTCAACCTCTGCCGTCAATCGCTCGTCAATGCCGCTGAGACACTCAAGTCGAAGAGCCCGCCCGGGTCCACGCTCGACGGGCAGCTCTTCCTCGTGCGGCACCTCCTCATCCTCAAGGAGCTCACGCAGAACCTCGATCTCGCGCACACGAGCCCTGAGCGCGGGATTGATATGTCCGGTGTGACAGGTGCGTGTGCCCTCGTCTCGTACGCCACGCTGCCAATATGGGGAGCTGAGACGTGCCCGCAGAAACGCTCGCGTCGGCGCTCGGACGGACGACGTCCTTCCTGCCGCTGCCCAACGCACTGCTGACGTCGCTGGGGATGCCCGCAGACGAGAACATGACGGATGTCAGACAGGTGCGTGGTCCGGCGGCTTGTCGGGCTGATGCACTGGCAGGCTGACGGCGGGGCAGGGCATCGACCAGGAGCTGAAGCGCGCGTGCGAAGACGTGATCGCGTCCTGCGCGGACCCTGTCTGCACCCCGGTCCGCGCATGGAACGAGCGTGTGTGGGCGTACCGCGCGCCCGGTGCGCAGACCCAGCAGCCCATCACCTCGCAGCCGTGGGCGACGCCCGCCGCGCTGTCGGCCATGTACACACAGTTCCGCAGCGCGTGTGCGGCGGAGCTGCGCGGTGCGGTGGGTCGTCTGCGGCTGTACTTGGAGGACGAGCGGACGGTGGGCGTGCTCGTGGGGCATGTGCAGGACCGGATCGTGGACGACTGGCTGGAGTGGCGGGCGGCGGTGCGGCAGGTGTATGGGGCGGGCGGGGAGGTTGATATTGGGACGGAAGACAGCGTGAAGGCTCTACTGAGAGAGGTGTGCGACGAGAAGGATGAAAGCGCGGCGGGGGGGTCCGCTCCTGCATAGGACTGTAGCTTACGTTGGTTATGGCAGACGGTTTGACCTCACGGCGACAACGCGAATCCAACGCGGCCAGACACATATTGATTGAGGGAAGAGGGATGTAACGAGGCATTGCAGTGTAAGAATGAAGGCTAGGCTACAGATTGCAGAGAATCCAGAAATGCGCGACCAAACCATGAAGAAGCTGACCAACTTTACGCCGTTCCGTATCTGTACACCGAACATCTTTTGACCGGGCATTAGATGGCGTCGAGATCGTGGGGGTAACTGAGGAACTGCCTGAGCGAATGTAGTATGTGTATCGAGGATAGACTGATGGAGCTGAGGAGAGAGACGAAGGAGTGGACATGTCACATTGCAACCTGGAAAAGCCAAAAGGTGCATGCGCGCGACAATTGGTAGGTATGAGTGCTGTGGCGGATGTGACCGAGCAGGGAAGGCGCACAGAAAGCGTGGGCGCGGGCGGACGCTGAGATGGAGAACGTCGATGGGTCATCAATCGCCCCAGCTTTGGGAGATCTTCCCGACGTCTTCGATCTGGATGCGGAACCCCGGCGCGTGCGGCGTCGCCCCACCGTCACCCCGCGCCTCCCCCTCCGCTTCAGCGTCGGGACCGTTACTGCTAGGCAGCGGCGCGGCCACCCTTATTGGCGGGTGTGCGGTCGACGCGGAACCCGCCGCGGGCCCATCTGCAGCGTCCGCATGCCCGTTCAAAGTTACCCCATTCTCCTGGCCTGTGACCCGGACACCGTTGCCCTCCGCCGCGTTCCCGTTTCCGTTCCCGTTTCCGTTTCCGTTGCCTGCACCGTTGAGCCTCTCATCCCCCCAGCGGCTGTACCGACCCCTTGTCAGACTGCGTCCGCGCCTGGTCCATAAAGCGGCGCCCGGAGCGCGGACAAGGCGGACGTTGAACGCTGGTCTGCGCGCGCCGTACTCGGGGTCTTCCTCGGGCGGGAGGTACGATGCGTCTCCAGGGTGCAGCGACGACGTGGAGCGGCTCGTCTGGAGGGACGGGGATTCATCGCGCGCTGGCGAGTAGGACGGGATGCGCTGCGTCGTCGACGTCCCAGGCGGGTTCATCGAGCGCGAACGCTCCGCGCCCGGGTCGAGTGCGTGCAGCGACTGGCTGTGCAGATTGAATGGCAGCTGCGCGTTCACGTTCACCATTTTCCTGCGGCGAGGGGGCTGTCAGCTGGGGTTGCCGTAATGAGGAGCAGGTGCTGTCCATACCCTTCTTGGGCACGGACGATCGTCCCGAGACGCTCCTTCATCTTGTGCTGGTCGAGCACATATGTACGTACGCTGCGTTGTTCGCGGGACGTCAATATAGCACACTGGATGGGTTTAAGGCCTGGTGACGCACGGAGGAACCTCGTTGGTCGGTGGAATTAAATGCGTGCGCTCGTCGGGCCCTCCCTGCTGGTTCAGGAACATGTCAATGAACGCGTTCAAACGCGGCTGCGGCGGGGCGCACCTGGCGTTCATGGCTCTGCGAGCGGGTGCGGAAGCAGCAGGAGAGGAATTGGCGGAAGACAGAGGACATGGGGTGCAGCCTGGCTGCGGTGGCGGGGCAGCACAGGATTTGTACGACCCTCCATTACAGGCCCATGCCCGGCGCGAACGCCGAGGCGCCGCCCGCCTGCCGGTGATCGGCGGACATTCCCACGCGCCGTGCGTTATCGCCGCGTGCTAGCACCGTGAGCGTCGGCCTTCTTCACAGTTCTTCACACTCTCGCGCCGGCGCCGCTCACGGAGAGCTGGTTTATTAGTGCAAGACGCTGCCCTCTATGCGCGGAATGGCGGCGGCCTTCATGTAAGTATTGCTATGTCTGGATCCAGCCATCCATACGCACACGCGCTCAACGTCTGGCCAGCGGCCAGCCCCTTTGTGGTCTCCTCCGTTCCGCTAGCACCGAGGAACATGACGGCTCCAGGTCAACTGACCCTTCACGCGCAGATAGCGCCTCGCTCATGAAACATCTACTTCCTACTTCGCCCGGCCAGTATGCGACGCAGTAACACCTCTAGATCGTGCTGGGCACCGAGCTCTGTAAGCTACAGGCCATTACGGCGCGCTCCTAGATCTGAAGCATAAAGCACGAACGATGCTCCTATGCATGTCGCCATCGCCAACGCGCAGGCTTCGCGCTAGGAATCGCCCGCGCCTCCCTTGGATTAGCGCCCTGGCGGTGGGTAGCCTCGTGTTCTCCTCCTCACAGCCGCAACACTGATCCCGTCAGCTGCTGTCTCGGTGGCTCTGCTCGCAGACGTCGCCGCAGCGCGTCGATCGCATCTCACCCTGCGCTCCCGCGTTCCATTCGATCGCACAGGCCAGCTGCCCGCCGGGACCTATCCTCGACGCCTATCTGTCGTGCACCGCTCGCGGGCTGTAAAGAAATACCGCCAGGACGTCGTATGGCCCGTATGCTCGGACGCTATGCGCCATCATACATATCAGGCCCACCACCGCCCACACCGGCACGCAGGGCCGGAAATGGGAAGATATCGCAACCGCTCCGTAGGTGTCGGTCGCGGGCGATGGTGGCGGCGCCGGAGGAAATAATCGAGTCATTTAGTCCTGCGATCGGGCGTGATGGCCTGAATCTCGCAATCTGGCGTGCGCCTGGTGTGTACCGGGTGCGGTGCGGTGCTGCTTCTGCGCCGGCTTCATTACAGTGCCAATTTGTCGCGGCGCGGGTGCACTGCAAGTGATAGATGCTGACGCCACGATGCTGCTGGGCCCGAAGGCGTCGCGGAATTGTTTTCTTTTGATCGCAAGTATGGCCCCCCATACCTATCCGCGTGTGTGGTGCTCTTTTCACTTCATATGTGCTTTGCAGCTTCGCGCCATCCCCGCGTTGGTTGTCAAGGTCATCGCAGGGCTGGATAGTGCGCTGAATCCGATGCCATAGGACGACTTTAGACGTCGGAGTCCGTCGCCGACGTCATAGCGTCGCTGCGTAAACATTAAGATGGCGATCTGATCTGATTCCATCTGGGCGGGGCAGCGACACTGGCCCCCGATTCACTCTCAAGCTCAACGGCGGTCGCTCGCTGAGCTCACGCGGTGGCAAGGTCCTTGAATTACCTTAATATGTTTATATTTATATTTAGGGCAAAGGGCGTGACACCATCAGGGATGTCGATTGTCACGATCATTCTCAGCATCATCCGACCCGTGTCGTGTTGTTCCAGTCCTAGTTGTACACCATTTCGCTTGCGAAAGTGAACACTGGTGACTTGTAAGGTATCTAATGAGACGATGATGCTGATGAGGGCGCCGATTCCCGGATCTTTGGGAACCCGTTGTGTACCAGGAATACTGCTAACTTCGCAATGCACGAATGCTGCCAACGCTCTACGTAGCCTCGTAATGAAAATATATTTGTGTCCTCTGATTCCTCGAACACATGAGCTGCATCAGCTGACTCCGTGCTACTCACATAAGGTTGCGACGAAGCACCTTCAGGTTGCCCGCATGTGACGCATGACGTTCTCATATGAATAGTTCAACTGACGTCTAGCGGTAGCTTGTTAATTTGGCGCCAGCGACCCAGGAAGCCAGCCCACATAGCGCGCCTACCAACTGAACGCGATGATTGCAGTGATTATCGGATCTTACCTTCCCAGCGGAAAAGAGCGGGTGATGTCAACATCACCGCTGCACAGACGTTCGACGTGCGCACAGCTCTTGCCTGAAGCGTCAGCGGAGATCTCTGGATGGCTAGCAACACATGATAGGGTCCCGGGATCGATGGACGCGCGATGGTGATGTGGGCGCGCCCGGCGATGGGACGATAGAACGGGGAACCCAGAGATGGGTGTCGTCACGATGATCTGTGCGCGGTCGGCCGTGCGTCGTCCCTGCTCGCGTCCCGGCGTTGTCGCCGCGACCGGCGGCAGCCTCGCACGGCCAGGCGATCAAACAGCTCGCACGGCACCCGCGTATGTGTCGTCAGAATGCCGTCTCGTTGACGTAGAGAGATGCCAGCGTGGAACCCGATCTGGGAGATAGAGTTGGATCATGGATGCGGGCATGGGTGCAGAACGCGGCACGCCTCGCGATGGCAAGCACGGGTAGTACGTACAAGACGCACAGAAAGCCAAGCTCCGGGAGGCGAGTGCGACGTGTGACAGGACTCCCGACCCCAGTGAAGGGAGATGGCGCGCAGCACATGGCGGCCATCTGCACAACAAGAGCTCGCCATTGCATCGCGACATACCCCGTTGCACAGAACGATCTCATCGCGATAATGTCGGTGCGTAGATGGCTTCTTCCCTATTGAGAATTGACGTGGGCTCGCACGGGTCGATGGCCAGTATGAACGCTGTTGCTTCCTGAGTCTATCACGAGTGGCTTCTGCCCTTGATGCCCATGACGGCGGGAAGCAACAATGTCGTAGCGGGCGCCGCGCATCGATGACTGCATGGTGTTCAGCTGCATGGTCTGCCTGACCTGTTTCTGTGGGAACATCAAGTCCTGCACCTGGCCGTTGGGCCTCGTCAGTCAGTCCCATATCGTGTGACCCTGCAATGTACATTACCTAGTGCACGTGTTGGCTGTTGAATGCTGCAATGGCGTCAACGCGTCTACCAGGTATTGCGCTTTCCCATGGTACGCAAAGATTTGAGCTCTTCGCTGCCGCAGATAATCCACGTCACCGATACGTGCGATATATCGTCCTTCTAGCCCCTTCTGCAAAATTGACTTTTTGACTTGGTTCGCACGAGGGATCGACATGACTCGTTCGTCATCCACTCGCTATGCTGGATGGACAAGTCGATGTGAGGCATGACTGGTAGTGAGGCATGGCTGGTAGGAATATCAAAGCGAGTGCGTCCGACGGGAAGCGTGTAAACAGCGTGAGCGCAACGACCGCATCAAGCGAGACGATCATCTTACGGCTCAGGGTAAGACGTACCTTTGCTGTGTACGTGACCGCTGACGAAGCGAGGGGCGGGGCGCCTGCAGGCGGCGATGTTTCTGGATAGCAGCAGGCGTAGTGGACTTCATCAGCACAGGTGTTTTCAATTAAAAGAAGATACTGTACGTAATAACCGCTGGCTTCCCCGGGTATGGCTGCATCCATCCCTCCCGAAACCTGTAAAGGAGGTGCAGCACACGTTGTGCGGAAGCCAGTCGCTGACTAACTTACGCGTCCAAACTGAGCTGCACGGTCAGAGGGAGTGCCTGCTGCTGCTGCGCAAATCCAAGTTGGAGTATTGGCATCCACTCCGCCCGGTGCTCGTCGGGATGGCCTCATGACCATGTGAACATCCACATCCCAAAGAGTGGACCTCAGACCCTGTAGCACATCCCGATGTGTGCCATGAATGCGGAAGACCCCTCCGATGTACGTCAACCTTACGTGTAGCGCGTCCCAAAGGTGCCGCAAGGGAAGACGTTGGAGGTACGCGCAACGAGTGCCGTAGTGCACAGAGCAGTTGTCACGGGCGTGTGATTTGTTATCCCTATCACGGAAGATCCGAGCGGAGCGAGGTATCAAGCCGTATCGCGCCATGACTGACCGCTGAGACTCGTGGTGCCGGTCGTCGAAGATGGTGGTCAAGTGTGGCCAATCTGAGAAGAATAGTCAGAAACCTTAAAACATAACGCCCCCGAATCCCGTCGCCGAAGATTATCCATTTCTCAATATGGCAAGTAATTAGACATGGGCTTCCTGGCTTCCATAACTCGAGGCTGGTTCGGATGCTGGGTTCCGGGCGATCGTCGGGTACCACGATAGGTCATGGTGGACACACCTGAATGCCTAAGGGAATGTATGACGCTTCTCGGGATCCCATGCACACTCAGAACGCTCACCTCAGTAGCGAACATACCTTGCGGGCACCGAATAGGGCATGCCAAAAGTTTTACTGAGTTCACAGCAATCGATAATCCTTTGCGCTTATCTGCGCGGTCAACTTTTCACGGGCGCCACAGTGCAGCGCGCATCCGTCCAGAGGACGTAAACAAGACACGGAAACACCTGACGTCCCAGTTCTCATGATCAGCGACAAGAACCCTTGGTGCAAAGGCGCGGTAAACGAACCTGGTCATGGAGCACGAAATAGAGCTGAGGAACATCGTGGAGAGGTACGATTCAGAACCCGTGGGGGAACAATCTCGGCGCCAGAAGCGAGGGAACGTGATGATCTAAAACAGAGAGAAGAGGACAAAATTGGGAACACAACAAACCTCGCCGTCCGCCAGTTCGCGAAACACGCTGCCAAATGGCGAGACGTAAGGATAACGCCGCAGCCGAGACATGTCTCCCTAGCCGCGATAGACTGGCTGGATCCAGCCCACCCAGCTAATGTCGCGCCGCATCTCGGTCTCCTGGGCCGGTACATGCGTTTGAATGGTTCCAACGACGAATAAACCGATCTCTATTACTGCAGGACCGTGAGTAAACGCATGAATAGCTCTCGCCGAGGAACAGATGTCTCCCACGGGCTGGAGGGCCGCGCACAAGGATATTGCTCAGCATCCGCTAGGACAGCATATCAGACGCGGACGGAGGCCGCACCATGTCGTGACACATTCCAACAAACACACATTGCATGACCATCAAGGTGAACGTTCCCTTCCCTGACATCGTGTCCTGTGATCCGTCACCACTGACATCGATCTGTCAACGGACCTTACAACTCGAACTATCCGACAAGCTGAGCACTCACCACTCAGGACACCTGCATCAGTCCCAGATAATACCCTCGACGATCAGGGCGCTGCAGAGCATCTTGATCACCGCCGCTCATAGCGGGGCGACCATAATGAGTCCGGGTCAGCGTGTGCAGATGGCATGGCGTAGAAGTGAAACCCAGTATCTCGTGTTGCACTGACGATCCCCCACGGGATTCGTGTACGGAGGGTACGAACCGATGCTCAGTAGGGAGACTCCATCCTCACCTATTACCATATCTCCAAATAGCCTGATTGTGAGCTGATAGCGCGCTGTCCCCCCGACAGGGCGGTGTTTCCTTTCGCCACATCCGCACTTCCTCCCCTAAAAATCTGACAGAAGTGCATCAAGGTTGGTAACAACAGGCCGCCAAACCGGTGTCCTGCTCGCGAAGCTTCGGCTCTGTCTGTCCGGGGGACATTTGACACTGGATATTCACTCGATAAGGACTGGCGATATCGCGGTGGACACAATCCCATACGCGGATCGGGTGGGTGACCTGTTTGTTCCGCACTTGCAAAATAAGCCTCCGGAACGGATGGCGCGATCTCCGCAGGTGGACAAAAGAGGAAGCAAGGGGCCAAGGGGGCGGAGCATGTCAGCACTACTGTGCGAAGTTCAATTGGATGCCCTAGGAAGGAATACTTGCAGACATCGTATCCTGCGCGACCCGCCTCGTGTCGTCAGCACGGACAAGAAATAGGGGGATCTGCCGAGACAATGCAACGACTGATGAGGTTCACATGACAAAACACGGAAGATCCCTTGAGGATGTCTCCATTCTCGAGGACAGAGCGGAGACGAACGACGCCACACGGCCGATGAACCGAACCTAGGGAGTGAGTCACAATGGGAATTGATTTCCTGACATGCGGTGTTTCTGCCTAGAGATTCGAACAGGCCAGCGAACAGCCGGAGGAAAGGGTGTCTTACGGTGAGTGAGAAAGGCTCAAATACTCTGTTTTGAGCCACGTGGGTGGCAGTAGCCGATGCCAGCGCGTAGATTGTGCCAGTCTAGTCTAGGCCAATGTTGGCGATTGGACAAAGTAGCGCAATTTCATTCTCGGATGATTTATTGAAGCCAGAATTGAGGAGACTAACAGCTGTCAGCGGACTGCGGCAGGACATACCTGTGGGTCCGAAGTCTGCTATCCTCATTGCAGGGAGCATTCAAATGCTGGGGTAGACCGTCGCGATTCGCCGAGGCAAACCGATGACAAGGAGGGTGAATGCTCGGCACCTCATGAACCCCAGGGGGTCGATGTCGCTAGCCTTCTAGTGGGAAAGTCAGACCATGCTTTTGGAGCATACCTCGCAAAGAGAGCGGACTTGGAGATCTAGAGCGCTTTAGGCAAGCCTGCCCCCGTCCGGCGTGAGAGCAGGCGCCAGGGTCTGTGGATGCTCATCGTTCAGTGCGAGCCTGGAGGGGGCAGCTCATTACTACCGACCACGGCGGCGTCAATTGTGGATTTATGAGGCCGTGGGTGTGCATAACAAGTCGATTGCGAGCCGGATGTAGGAGTTGCAGACCGTCGATGCCGGCCGACGATATCTCCTGCATGTGGCAAAAGACGCTGGGTGTTGATCCGAGCAGATTGCAATGCTTGTGTAAATGCGAACCTTGCGGAGACTCCCAATGCTATTGGCCTGCTGTCGCCACGTACCGGCGTGCAACCCGCTACTCGAGGTCGGCACGCAGATGCTGCCAGGGCGAGGGCCGTCGCCATAGGCCTCGATAGCAAGATGCTCAGCTTATAGGCCGTTGCCGTCGCCATGAAAGTCGAGAAGAGCAATGGGCGAGGAATTGAGCGGGGTTGAGCGCAAGAATCTCGGTGGGTGGACCGCGACTCCGCAAACATATGATCCTGGGCATCTGCTGACAAAGATTGTGCAAATAAGCATTCAAGCTCGGATGTCGTTCCAGACTGTGCGATTTCGCTGAGTTTTCAGCCCTCCCATCGAGAGGCAGCCATTGTAGGGTCCGTATGCTTGCCTTGATGAGCCCCAATACACTTGTCTGCGGATTTTCTGATCTCCCCGCGTGTCTCGACCGCAGCTCCGGACAATAACGCGCCAGTACAAGGCTGGAAGTCTCCACGGCGACTAGCCGTCGGTCAGTGTCAATCCCAATCAATCTGACGGGTCTGCAAACGGCTGCTCGACGGTCTGCTACTTCACGATCACTTGATATGACTGTTCTGATGACTTTTTGCCACGGCGCGCAGACCCCACGTTCGCTCCATAAGAAGGACAGGCTGTATAGAGTTTCGGTGTCGCATCTGGTAAGTTCCGAGACCGAGGGAAATAGGGTAGGTCCCGCGAAGGAGTTCATCTCCATCCTGATACAGAACCTTGGACAAATCCGTCGTCCATATTTGTCACACTTCGGAAAATTTCCAGTCTCTCGGCTTCTAGCAGATCCATCTGCGCGTCTCAGGCAACCCTTTAGCCGTGAACCCATGGGACGGCCCTGGCTTCTGGGAACTCTCGCGTGGTTCCATATCTATACACTGCCCTTGGCCGTCTCTTCAAGTGCCCTTTGTTCTGACTCCACGGACCTCGCAACTCACTCTTCTGCCGGTCCCTAGACATGGTCGCAAGTACGAATGGCGAGGTGTACGCACCATACTCTCGCGTCCCCGTCGTCGTCGAGGAGGGCTTCCAGTCCAGCGAGGACGGCTCGGAGATGCATTCACCTGTCTACGATGGTCCGTACAGTCCACATGGTATGTATGCTTATCGTTGGTTCTTCCGCGACGCGTCATTTACCTCGGGACACGTCTTAGACTGGTTGTATACGCCAGGGCAGACCCTGCCGTGTGCCCAACTCTTCGTGGCCAACTGGGACGGGCATATGGGCGCGTCCGACGTCGCGTCGCAGGTTCGCGACACACGCACGTTCGACGGTTTCGTGCTCGCACGTCCACCGAACACCCATGACCTCGCGCAACACTTGAGCCAGGAGCTCGCTATCCACGAACAGCCCGTCCTTGACTTCGAGAGCACTGGCAACCGCTTCCAGTCTACCGTGTTGGCTCCCAGCGCGGATTACACCTTCAACCTTCCACAGAGTCGAATCACAGACTCTCACTTCCGCCCGCAAGAAGTCTTCCACGATTCGTCGTCCTCATACTCTTCACGCCACACATCATCAATATCCTCAGAACCGGATGCGCAGCAGATTGCGCTCATGTCAAGCACTACCAAGACCTCTTCGCTGAATGGCAACACGAATGGCCACTCGTCAAGTACAAGACCACCGCGCAGAGAAGCCTCCAGTGTGGTCATAGCGTGTCGACAATGGTAGGCCTATTGTTCCTGTAGAAATCCATCTAATGCCGACACAATTATATAGTCGAGCGCGTAAAATCCGGTGCGATTCTACCCGACCTGTCTGCCACAATTGCACACGGCGCAACAATGAGTGCGAATATGATGCCGTTCCGAAGCGCAGAGGTCCGGATAAGCGCCCGGGTACGCGGCAACGCTCTTGTAAGAAGCGTCCGCTAGACTCCACCACGCTGCCCGCCAAGAAGAAACGAAAGGTCAGCGAGGACTCCGTGTCAGTAGTCGACGTCAAGATCAAGGAGAGCGAAGACGACAAATTGCACGCGCTGTCTCTGAGCCACCCCAGCCTTCCGCAATCAGCGTCTGTCTCTCTCAGCGCGTCTCATTCTCCCCAGCACGCCGCCACCGAGGCGTTGTATTCACGAGTGAGTTATCTATGCTACATCATGCCACATACGACATGTGTCGACAGATATTCATTCAGTTCTAATAGGAGCCCTATTCACCACCGTCTCGACGCTATGCCTCTTCTATCGAATACCCCGAGTCCAAGTCTTTTGTCCGCCCTCTAAACTTGCCCATTAATCGACACCATCGCCATGACGAACAACACAAAGCTAGTCCCCTTCCCTTGTCGCCGTCCGTTGAATACTCTAGGAAGTCGTGGTGGGATAATTTACTGCACGAGCATTCGTGAGCGCGGTCGCCCCCCTCCCCCCCCCCTGCTCCGCTGAGTTGTATACCAGGTTACGAGAAATCGTGGGCGATCTGAACTTCCTGTACGTGTGTGCTAAGCGTATTGTACGATCTGGTCCTAATGCATGTCGCTTAGACTCTCCTCGAGCGGCCACTGGCTCTCCTTCATTCACGCTCCAACTTTCCTTCGCGATCTCCAGGACGAGCACCTACGCGTGCGCATGCAACCGGCCCTAATTATGTCCGCTCTCGCTATGGCTACCCTCATGAAATCTAGTCAAATAGAACTCGGCTCGAGTGGCCGCAATCGAGCTTTGTATTTTAGGGATAACGCACAGTCCCTCCTGGAGGCTGCGTGCAGCTCTCAATCCGTTGACTATACCCTCGCTGAAGCGGCGTTGGTGGGTACTCCATCTCTTGCTTGACTTTCCAAGTCGCTTACAAAAACTCTCCGTGGTGGCTAGCTTCTAGCCTTGTTCGAGACCTCCTCTCATCCACAGTACAATGCAGACCGTTCAACGTGCTCTCTGCAATTCCTCGACCGCATCATCCAAGTCCTCTCGCTGTGTTCCGTCGACGCGCGGGACCCTGACGTGACCCTGTTCTCTGCCGACGCTGTACCCGTCGTCTACATGCCGGACAATTATCGTCCACCAAAGAAGTGCTGCTGTGTCATCCCTTCGCACAACGGGGTGGGCATCGACGACTACCGCTCATACTCTTCCATGAACCCACCGTGGGATCGCAGCTGGTCGGACGCGGAGATACGCAAGGAAGAGTGCCGGCGGCTGTGCTGGACCGCTCTCGCCCTTGTCTCCCGCTATACCATGCAGTGTTCCCTTTCTCATCAAGAGCCCCTGCGCTTCGCCCTGTCGGAGCCGTCCAATGTGCGCGCTATGGCTATCAATTTAATCTCAGGAACTGACCACCTTGAAAATAGTTTGCACTGCTGTTTCCGGGCGAGGCATACGAGCGCGCCCTGGGCCACGAGCAATTGTACGGGCAATCGCCGAAGGAGTCCGTTTGGGCTGTGTATTGCCGGAGCATGCTCCTGTGGAGCAGCAGCACGCGCCGTGTCAAAGAGACTTGGTCTGTCGACCACCGGGCACGCTTCGCATCCGATATATTCGCCGAGACGCATGCCGTGCAGTGCGCCCTCGACATGCACCACTGCAACATCAACGGCACCTTCGCGTACATGTGCAAGGAGCTGCTGTACAAGTGAGCCGCCCAATTGCTGCCTCCGTTTTGGGATGTACGCTGACGTTTTCTGCAGTACCAGACTCGTCGTTACGCACGAGATCAGTCGGTGAGTTCTCTCATTTAGATTGCCTAGCTCCGTCTGACGGGTCGCGCTTTGCAGCCTACACGACGTTGATAGGGCGGCGATATTCGACCGGCGGCACGCAGAAGAGTGGCGTAAGTTCATCAGTGCATCCATTCGCCCTGAAAGGCACTCATTTCTCCTGGCGCTCGGATAGTCTTTTATCAGGACCAGATATCGAAGAACCTGAAGGCGGCGATGCTCCAGGTAACGGAAGCTCCAGGGCAACAGTTGTCCCGTCGTCCGTTTCAGGTCAACTGGGTGTCCAGTCAGGTCATGATATGCCTGGCGCTGTGGGAGTTCGACCATGCCTTCGTACATGCTCTGGAACAGGCGAAAACCTTCTTAACACCGCTTGATGTTCTCAATGTGCTGTGGCCATCTCCAGGTACGGTGGTCCTGGTTCTTTATTGGTCAGCGCCGGCAGCAGCTGATTTTCTTTCCGGTGCAGCGCAGCGCTCCCGGTGCGACAAGATTCGCCAGCGGCTCGAGGAAGCTTGTGCGACCGCAGGCATCCCCTCACCTCTCCCAGCGGAGCTCACTCTTCCGCCAGTCCTACATTCGCTCTCGGAGTACGATAGACGGTCCCTCTGATTTGCTGTTGCCTCCTCGACACGCTCGCGGGCCGAATGCACCGCTCCATGCCGACTCATAATTTCTGCTTATTATCTGCTGCGGTTTCTTCGTGTTTTATGTTGTAGCCTACATACTGTATCCATTCTATCCTATCCTTACTCTTTGCCTCCCCGATATAATCACACACCTCTATCCGCGCGTTCGCGTTACGTGTTTATGCTTTCGTTGTTCTGATTTGACGCACGCATCTCCGACCCCTCACTCGACCGGCACAACATAATTACATCTCTGGTCCTAGGTCATCTGTCCTCCTTGTGGAGGCAGAACGCTATTGTGACGTCCTGTGGGTACCATACAGCCGCGCTGTTATCTCCTCCATCTGTACACACCTACTGTCTTTAGCAGTCCTATGCTATTTCTCATAGAAGCCCTCGCGAATGAAGCCTAGACCCGCGCTCGTTGTCGTCTCCATTCCTGCAATGCGGAACAGTGCATATTTGACAGCAACGCATGCGACCTCAACAACAAAACAACGAAGATGCACAAAAGGTTCGTGCCCTCTTTGTACCGCCTTCGCTCCCATCTTCGTTGTGCAGAATGGATGGACAGTGCGGCCGGGGACCACGGATCCAGAATCGGCGACCTGGATTGCAGTGAGCCGAACAACACACATCCATCACAATCGTCGATCACCGAAAGAGGGGTGATCGGTGCAGGTTGGCAGCATGCATTGTGCAATCTGGCAGATCTCATCATCGACAGCGCTGGATCCTGGGCCACAATTCACCGAAGCGGTCCAAATCCCAGCGCTCTTCGGTCCCAAGCGGTGACCGTGCAGCCGCGCGGACGTGTTGGTGGCTTACTCCACGGTGAGTCTGTGAGACTCATGAGATACAACACATTGCGTCAGCGCGATCAGGGATGGTTGGCCGAAAACACCATATAAAGCACTTCCGCGCAGATCAAGTCGATCGTTCGCAATCTCGGACACGAGTCGACGTCACTTTGCCCGGCTCAGTCGGTAGTCTACCGAGCAAGAAGACAAGCCGGGTTGCCTGCACCTCTGCCGTCCCACACCTCATCGTCCAGTGACTGCTAGAAACTGAGACTTCGATGCTTCTCACCAGAACACCAGGTCATCCAGCACATCAGTCAGCACGACCGGTCAGTTGAGGCGTCCTTGGGACAGGTGCCCGTCTCCCACTGGCAGCGCAACTGATGACCGCGATAAACGAAACGCCGAACATGTCCCCGTGCGCGCCGCCTCCTCGCACTGCGCCGTGGTTCTGCGGCTGTTCGTTCACATGGCCCAGCAGACAGACATGCGGAAGCCTCGATGACGCAGGGTGGGAACGCCCCGGGATCAGCAATAGGATTGCGCGTTACGTCGCCGGGTCTGTGAGCGCATTCCGCGCGGTGACGGGTGCCAAGCTCGCCTGCCCCGTGGGCGCATCATCGACAAGGCCCGTCCGCCTTCCCGGGGACGATGACGCATTTCTGGTCGCGTGGGCTCGGGTTTTAGTACTCGATCATACGGCGACAGCAAGGCGCGCCGGGCGCTGTCTCCGTCCCACGAAACGTCCTGTCCAGGGCCGCCTCCTTCAATCTTATCCATGGACGGTATCCGTGGAGTACTACGTGTGACAACCTAGGCAACTCGTGAGAGGTCCAACAAACTATCGAACCTGTATAGGCAGCCCGCAATCTCAAAAGGCCTCCTTTGCCAATTGTACACCTGGTGGTGTATGTATTGCTGCATCTTACAGCATTTCCATGACCCGGTTCTCCTGTTCACTTGTCGTCATGGATAAATCAAGCGGACACGACCGTCTTCTTCCACGTACTTGATCTCGTGATCTCATAGCGCATATGAAACTTACATCTGAATAGCCCGAGGTAACCCACCAGACTCGTAAAAGAAGGAAGTCACTATGGTTCGCCGCCCAGTTCTCTTGGGGATGCACCCTTCACTGTGATATTCCTCCCCGACTTTCTCTCTCGGTGGTGTCCCAGCGCCGTGTTGTCGCCTTTCGCACGATGGACTGTCTCTTGGCCTTACAGGTAAGCCTGCACAGGGTCTGCGACTTCTGTGCATATCGATGGGCTTGTGGCGTATTGTCACGCCTGAGACGCTTCTGCCGCCCGCATGAAGACCCCTGGTGACCGGACGATGGGCCGAGGATATCACAAGAGATGGCCGTGCCTGGACGCCGACGTCGACAATGCGGATTTCCCTCCCTCCGCAGAACAGCGACGAGAGGACCCGGGACTCACGAGATTGCCAATGTCCTCTTGCGCGCAACGTGGGTCGTTATGGCTATGCGGTTGCAGACACGAGGACCATACGGAAACAGAAACAGGGACAGGGACTCGAGAATAGAAACAGAGGACAGGCGAGCCCCTCAGAAGACCTGGCCTCTCGTTTCGCGGCCACCTCAAGGCAGCAGTGCGCTCGGGGACGCACTGAGAGCCATCGTCATCGCGTCCGCGTCACCAGGCACTCATGGGCCCACCCCCCCCCATCGGTCTGCGGCTGCCCGGCCTGGGTCCGGTGCGGCTGCCCCGTAGCCATGGTACCCCGCACAGTACGTGGACGCTTCTTCGCTGCTCACCGAGAACGGCCCCAGATCACGCAGATGGCGCGGAGCCCGTATGCTTCCGCCGTATGATGATGATGCCCTTCCGGCGGAGCACACAGAACGCGGGCCTTCTCATCAGCGCGTAGCGGAAACGGCGGTCCAGGTCGGGGAGGGCGCGATCAATCGGTCTGCTCTGTATGCACTGCGGGAGCGCGGATCGCCGTCCGTGTACCTGTGGACGCGGACGCGGAGGACCCAGCGTCGTCATGCACGCGTGCTCCCACAGCAGCACACAACGCAAGCCCGCAGTGTCGCTGGGTTCGAACGGACGACCGTCATTAATAGCCGGAGCACGCCGTGCGAACGGCCACCATCATCGGGGGCGCTCTTGGCTCTGCGCGCGGGGGAGGGGGGGCCGACAGCGGCGCGGCGGACGCACCGCCTTCCCACTTCTCAGGATCGGACGCGGCCCTGCAGGGGAGTCGGGACGCTAGAAGCACGTCGCCCAGGGTCGTGCAGGGTCCTCGATCGGTGTGCGCTCGGCGACAAGTGCGCCGCGGGGTGCTAGGGCGAACGTGGGCGGCATCTGGTGGCAGTCTGATCGCAGGCGACGTTGCGACAAGCGGGCTCGAGAGCGGGCCTGCGCAACGCCGCGACCCTCGGCCTCGCTTGGCACACGACACGCTCGCCTGGGGGGACGGGGTTGGGGGGAGCACGCAGTGGCGGCGGGCCGGCCGCTGAAGTGCGGCCAATGCATATGGCGGATTACGTCGGCATCGGCGACGGGGGTAAGTACATGTATGCGTATGTATGTGTTGTATGTATACGAAGGGGTCAGAAAGACAGCGCGTATGGGACAGCTATACGATACATTTTGGGACAGGCGGGGCTATGTAACTTCTGCTGCGCTCAAGCGTACACGGCGATTATGTATGTATGCGGCACGACGGTGCGTGCAGGTATGTATGCTAGGGCAGGACGCGGATTAAACATTATATGCAGACGCGTACCGTAGGCGGTGCCGGGGGAGGTTGGTGCGCGTAGATTCGCAGTGCTGGCACGGGGGCAGGGTGCGACGGGGTGCATCACAGATTGTACTTGGCGATATGTCGCATGATGATGAGTGATGCGAGGAGTTCTGCGCGAGTGAGGAGACATGAGTGGCGTGCCTGCCCCATGACGTATGTAGGACGCACCGCCGATGAGGCTTTCATATGATTCTTCGACGGTGAGCATGCAGCCCGAGGACGTCTCGTATTGCTCTCCGTTCAGCTTCAGGCTGTAGGACGCAACGTGATACCCCTTGGCGTTCAGACACTGCGCAATGCCGCCATGAACACGTATGCGCGCAGCGAACGACCCGGACTCACCGTCCATTCGGCATCACTGCCATCGTCGGTATCCCGCGTCCATTGGTACTCCTGCCCATCAGACGCGGTAAATTTGCGAGTTGTACTGCTGAAAGCAGAGGGACAAATGTCAGGACATCAAAGGAAGAAGTGCGGAAAGAAGTGCAGGAAAAGGGCGGCTCACCTCCCAAATGTCCCCACTTTCGAGAGATACTTGGACATGCTGATGTCCTCGCCCTGGCCAATCTTCACGGTGCCGAGCGCGTTGCCCCCGCCAAAGTTCAGGCACGCGACGGGCGTGCTGCGCGCCGCGGGGGACACCTCATACACCATGTAGGCGGTGTGGTGCGTGTCACGGAGGGTGCAGCGGTATGCGAACCGCGCACGATCGTGTACGTCAAGGAATTCTGAGCCGGTGAGCTCGCCGGTCTTGTCTTCGAGGAAGAAGGGGAGGCCGCACTGCGCCATGGTGAGTCGATGGAGATGGAGTTAATGGAGGTGGTCGGTCGGTCGAGCGGTTATGAGCGAGCCGGAAGAGAAAAAAGACCAAGGGAGGGTAGAGCGGCGGGGGCTAAGGAAGGTGGGGGGACAAGGAGCGTTGTGGGTATAAGTAAGGGAAGGCCGAGCCGTGCGGGCGGGGGCAGAAGAAGAGCAAGACGAGAGTGGACAGATTGGGACTACGCGGACATTCGCACTCGCTATTTCACACCTCTGCAGGACGCACGCCACGCAGGCGCCCGCTAGCCGCATATGGCAACCGTCGCTCCGAACCTGCCGGACGATCTCCGGCGCCCCCCCCCCCCCCCCCATGGCACACCCTGCCCGCCGTGCCGCCAGATCCACGCCCCGATCTGCCCGTCCGCCCACTGCGCGTCGCCCGCCACCCGTCCTCTTCGAATCGGCGACGTCCCGCTCTGCACCCCCGTCGTCCCCCACCGACCCGGCCCAGGCCCGCCCGCTGCGCGCGAGTCCCGGCCCACGGCATGGCGGCTCCAGCACGCCTGAAACGCGTCGTGCAGCGAGTCGCGACACCTGTCCGTGTAACGTCGCGACCCGACACCTGCAGGCAGCGACCCCGCACAGGCACATTGTTCACCAAGCCGTTTGGGAGCGGCCCTCCACAACGCGTGCGCGCCCCCGTTGATCCGGCCGCCGCAGCGCGCCCAAACACTTTGCTGACCGGATCGAGCCCAGGGTTGCGCCCTGTAATATGCCTGTCAACGCCACACTCGCAACTCGTACCTGCAAGTGGAGCGCGCGCGCGTTTCATACCCGTCTCATCGCGCCCGCCGCACCCCCGTTTTCGCCTGCCCTGCAGGGTCTCGTGTGCAATTTGCAGTGCCATGCCCACGTCGTCGCGCGGGTTCGCGCGCGGCGCGCAACGCTGAATGTACGAGATCTTCTCATTAATCGTGCGGTATCCCCCCGAAATCCCAGGATCGGGATCGCCGTCCGCTATTTTCACGTGCGCTGCCCTATCTCATCTCGCGGCGCCGCCCACAACATCCCGCACCCCCTCCTGGGCTGCGCACCCTCGCCCGCATATTCGCCGGATCCTTCTGAGCTTCCAGCACTGATTCGCTGCTTCGCGTTCTCTGATGCCCGTTCTTTCCAACATCGCAACATCTCAAACCTTGCCAACCTACCATCTGGACTCGCGTCCACCGCATCTCCCAAATCAAGTTACCAGCCTCTCAGGCCTCCGGAGTCACAGCATTGGCCCGGGGCCGCGTCCGCCCATGAGCTGCAGACGCCCAGTCAATGTGGCCCGCAACATGCGCATTGCAGCCACCCTGGCGCGCTCCGGGCGCACCGTCGCAGGCGCTGCAGCAAACTTCATGTGAACGCCGCCCGCCGCGGCTGGCGCCCCGCGCACGGACATAAAGCCCGTGGGTTTATCGCATCGACCAGTGGACGCGGCACCCCGATGCTATTTTTACGCATGTTCCTGCCGTTCTGCATTGTCATCGCGGCATTGTCCACCATTCGTGCAGCGGAGCGCTGCACAAAGGTACGCCGCGTTCGCATCGCGACGCAGAAGACCGGCCGGATGAGAGACGGAAGAGAGGCGACATCGCCACATCTTAGCAGCGTACTTCTCCTGGCACGGATTCACCGAAATTCTGACGGACGCGAAGAAGAGACAGGGTCCAAATGAGAGTGTTCCGTGATAGGAATGCCCCACTGTGGACAAGGGGGATCACCGTCTGCAGCGGCGGGTGGATGCGGAAGAGAAGGAGGCCTGCAGCATGAAAGGGTTGTGGATTCGCGTAATCTTCGTTGAATAGTAGGGGCACAATCGACATACGGGGAAAAAGGCGGGTCTGCCGCCAGAAGGGGGTCTCTTCGTGTAAGGATAATGAGGTTATGGGGTGCACATTTGCAACCCCGCGCACCATACAATTGATATACTGGGCAAAATCCAAGATCCGGGGAACTAAGCGAGCCAGCAAGGAGAATGAGACGTCACCGACGGGCTGGAGACTGCAGCGAATTATAAATTAGGCGAAGGCGAAGGCCTCTCTGGGCCTGTGTTGGCTGTTCTTCGCAGTCCTGCCTGGGTCCGCCTAATGCGAGCAAGGCTATTGGATGCGCTCAAGTGCGCTTACTCTCTCTGGGGACCCATACGCTCTGGGTGGGGACCCACACCGACCACCGGCTTAACGGTAATGCGCGGACGGAATGACTGCCCAGATGTATGTCAATGAGACGACATTGAGATGCCAAGTCAACGACACGCACCCGTCTCAGACTCTCGCCCACCCTGTCAAGCACGCCAACGGCCGACGCCGTCGTTCAGTCGCGCCCCCACCTTGTCCCCGGGCGCTCTCGCCGCGCATTGTCCTCCCACCGCCGTCGGTCCCGCTCCCGCTCCTGCTCGCGCGCCCTCTCGCCGTACCCGTGGGTGTGCTCGTCCGCATGCCGCCGCGCAGGCGGCGTGCGCGACCGGTTGTGCGCATGTGGGCTCCGATCGCGCTCGGGACGGCCGTGCGACCTGTCTACCCCGCGAGGAGACCGCGAGCGCGAGCGGTGCCTGTGCGTGTGGCGCATGTTGTCCTCGGCGTCGTCGTCCGAGTGCGAGCGGTGGCGTTCGGCGCGCCGCTTCTCCTTGCGGGCCCGTTTCTCCTCCTTCTCGCGCCTGCGCTCTTCCTTCCGCCGCCGCCGCTCCTCTTTCTCGGCGTCGGGCGCAGGAGGCGCGGCCTCGGGCTTGGGTGCCACGCCTATGGCATTCGAGCCTGTCCCAGGGCCACTTGCCGCACTCGGCGCGCCCGGTTTCGTGGCCGTCGCGAATCCTCTGCAGGTCAAATGGAGAGACGATAAGCATCATGCCGAGTGCCTACGGGATTTTGCACGCACAATGCCGCCGCTAACGCTTCCGCCTCCGCCTCCTTGACCTTGCGGATCTCCTCGTCGCGCTCTGCCTGGGTCTGCGGCAGGTCGCGGTTGTACCAGTGGATGTCCTTGTTCTTCTGCCACCGCCCTGTCGGCGCGTTGATGCTGTGTCCGAGGTAGTTCTTTGCGCGCACAAGGCGTCAGAACGTGCGAACGGCTGCGAGGACCGCGGTGCGCACCTCTCTGTCCTTATCCTGCGAGACGTCTGACCATTTGAACTCGGCCTGGCCTCCGCGAGTGCCTCCGCGGACGGGTTCGAACATGGCGGGTGCGTTTGTGGCAAGATAGAAAGCGCCTACGGTTGGCGGGTGTAGGGTAGGTGAAATAGTCCGGGCTAATTAGCTTCGGTTAATTAACCCTTGCTAATTAGCGCTAATTGGCCGTAAATTTCACGAGGCCCGAAAGGGTTAAATTGGGTCAAGCGACCTGCGCTGATTTTGGACATGTTCGGGCACTATCTGGACGCAATAGAAGTTGAGCCTTGCGGTTATCCTGCATACAGACCAGTAATCGTAGTCTCCGACCTCATCGACCTCAACGCGCCATTTCTGAAGGAGATTCTTGCTGACGAGCGGATGCTGATCCTTGGAACATATAAGTTATGTATCACGGTAAAATCATACCTTCACGCCAGATACATTCAATCCGAGGACTGCTTGATACTATATACTTTGCCATCTCATCGTAGCAATTGTTTTAGATAACTGATTGATCTTTTGCATGCCAATAGAAGATTGGCATTGCCCAAGGTATGTAATATGTGATGTATATGTGAGCACGATGTGTATTACATAATCAAAGTCCATGACATATCGGCGCGGATATCATACACTGTATCGAAAATGGAACAAAATATAGGCAGTACGTTACCAACTTAGCCACAATGAAGACCCCGGCAAAGACCGAACAGTGGTTGAAGCACGGAGTTGGACCTGCCGTGAGGCGTCGGCGCCACAGAGGTTTGGACTCCGATTCAGACGCCTGCATTATGGCACTTGCCGACGTTCCGCGATACTGGATCTCTGTACATAGTCCTGCCTGCTTGGATATCTCGACAACTTGGAAGTCTCGTTCCAGTCATGTTTCCTCCTTCAAGTCTTCCACTTCCAGGAGAAATACTACTGATCACAGACGAGCTTGCGTCGCCTGCAGATTTTCTGCTCCATCGCACGCTCGTCTCGCATCTGAAGACCGGCTTGCAGTCGCAATGTATTCTGCTATCCGTCTCGGAGGGAATGTCTAGATGGAAGTCAATCGCTAGTCGCTCGGTCCGTCGCCATTCTTGAGCACGCAACCCGGTCTGTCGTTGAGTCTTCTTGTCATCAAGAATATCAACCTCGCACTGTCTCTTGCCTCGCAATCGTTGGTGCACATCGACATCGCGTCGGATCTTTCGAGCGACGCCTCTGCTGGAGCAAATGCCAACGTGCGCCTCAAGTCGGTCTTCGACAAGGTCCGCGCCTCTCTGAATCAAAAGTCCAGTCAAAAGGACCTGCAACGATTGGTTATCCTCGACGACATAGCCACGCTCGAATGGATAGGCATTCCCGTTTTGGAGCTTGTCCGTTTTGCGCGTGCTCTGTGCGCCTTATGCCGAAAGGTGTGCTCCTCGTATCGATGTAGCGGCAGGGCGGACATTGACCACGCCGCAGACGAACGCTGCACTGGTGCTGCGACACCACGTCGTGACCCCTGGAGAGCCGGATGATCTCCTGAGACGTCTGCTGCAACTATGCACGTACCACATGGACGTACTACCCTTGTCAAGTGGGAAGAGCGGCTCTGTCAGTGGACAGGTACCACCTTGCGTTATACCGTGACCCTTCAGCATGCTCATCGATATCTTTTCAGGTGGCACTACATGCAGGGTCCGCCGCTATCAACGCACCCTTCCGGCTTGTACCAAGACATGGAGCCGTCCACTACAAGTTGTCAGATGCAGGCGCTGTTTTCTTCGATCGAGGCACAGGAGGAGGGGTGCTTTAAGCGTCTATCCATCAAAACTCACAAGCCGCATCTTATTCTTGTCAGCGGTCCCTTTCTTGTATCGGTAATTAGCATTCTGGGTGTAGTTGTAAAGCCTGTATGACAGGAGATCACACGCCAGCCTGTGCTCTTGTGTAGCTTGCTGTTCCATGTCTCCGAAATGAAAGTCACAATGGGTCGATCCGACAGTAGCGCCCGTCAATGACAGCATTCCACATCCTCGTGCTTGTACCTCTTGTCCACCATTGTCACTGCTGTATACAGCGCTGTGCACACCTACCGGTATCTCGGAGAATCTAGGCGATTTATTTAGCTTTTCCACCTTCACGTAAAGCTATCACAAGCTGTGCATCTCCGCGTCTCGCACGCGTTCAACGGTTCTTGTCGAGGCAAACTCCCCACTTTCGGTGTGTACAATCAGAAACGTTGTCGTGGCAATCTGACCGATGCAAAGTGCTTATCATCTGTGTCGCCTTAGGACCTTTCCCCGACTCTGCCAGCACCGCTACTCTGTGTCCATATAATTGTCAGCAGGGAACCGCCTAAGTAAAGAGGAACGGCTGTCTTTCGCATACGAGGACTAATTTGTGAGCCCAGGACACCATGAAATCCCAGCTACAGAGTCTACCTCGCAGAGTAGACAGTCTCGTCGCCTCCAAGATGCCCTACTTCGCCGAGGTGGAGGACGAGCTGCGCGATATCAAGCGCGTCAATGCCCAGGGGCAGGAAGAGGACCTGCGGCTCGCTCTAAGTCGGATGATCACCAGGGTGGAAGAGCTCGTACGCCCTCTCTCCGATCTCACAGATCCGTACGCGTCCTCACAGATCCCACCACGCTGCCCGCTGCCCGCCCGGCCCGCTAGACGTCGATGCTCAAGGAAGCCTTCAAGGCGCAGACGGACATCCAAACGGAGCTCACGCTCGCCAAGTCGAACCTCCAGCTCGCGCTCGCGAACAACGAGATGCTGGAGGACGCGCTCAAGCGCACGGGGCACGTCAAGGACGTCGGCTGGCGTCGCTGGAGCGCGCGCGAGCAACAGCAGCGCGATGCAGAGGAGGAGCGGCGGCGCAGCGTCGACTCTGGCGGTTCGTGCGACACGGCGCATAATTCACCCGCACAGCCGCACCCGTCTCCGATGCCCCCATCGCCCCTCCCCAGCGCCGTCGTGTCCCCTGTCCCCTCCTCGGACGGTCGCTTCTTCAAGTTCCGCTTCGGCAGCAGTAGCAGTAGCAACAGCGCAAACGCGAGCAGTTTCCCATCGTCGCCACGGCTTGCAAGCGGCAGTAAGTCACCTCTGCCGAATGGCGCGCACCTCACCTCCGCGTCGTTGCCGTCGTTGGTGCCAGCACGGGATTGGGAGAAGGAGGTCGAGGATTTGAATGGCCAGCTGAAACGTGAGCGCGAGGCGCGGCAGAACGTCGTCGCCCAGAAGGCCGCGCTCGAGGCCGAGCTCGAGTCGCTCTCCCAGGCGCTCTTTGAGGAGGTAAGCACAGGCACACTTGTCCCCGATGCCCCTCACGGAGCCTACTTTGCTTTGCAGGCCAACAAGATGGTCTCGACAGAGCGTAAGAAGCTCGCCGAGACGGAGGACGAGCTCAAAGAGCTCCAGGCAGAGCGCGAGGCCCTGCGGAACGCGCTGCGGCTCGTAGAACGTCAAGGTCGGGACGGCGCCCGGTACGCCGCGGGGCACGCACACGCGCCATCGACCTCCTCGGCGCGCGCAGTCAAGTCCCTCCCCTCTACGCGGCCGTCGTCGCCCGCATTTGACGAAGACCCCACGTCCGCGGGCACCGTCGTCGCGGTTCAGCCACGCAGGCCGCCCCCGCTCGTCCTAGACCCCGAGTCGCCCCCGCTTTCGGCGTCCCCGGTGCCAGACGAAACGCTCCAGCACCCTCCCGAGCTGGACAGCAGTTACTCACGGGGGCGCATTGCAGAGGCTGCGTCACGATCGTCATCCGTTAGACCCTCGCCTCTGCCCTCACCGTCTCCTTCGATAGGCGCAGTCAGGGCGTCTCCTTCGCCGTCACCCTCAGTCTCGTCGCCAGAAGTCGGCGAGTATGTCTATCCGCTGATGCGGCCCGTTGACTTCTTACAGGGAGAGGTGTCCCCTTGGGCGGACGCGCCGTCGTACGGCTCTCCCAAGCCAGTTGCGTGATTCTCCGTGCTAAGGGTTTCAAAACGGTAGCTTGCAGGACAGCCCGCCATGGATTCTGGATCATTTCACTGCTCAGGATGCAGATCTCACATGTTTGTAGCATAGACACTGGACCTGTAAAAGTCGGGCGCATGTCCTCCGTTGCTTTCGGAACGTGCATACATTATACACCGCTATCATATACTATCATACTTGTGAAGGTGTGCAAGATCAGCAAATTCGGTCAGTAGCAGTGAAGAAATGCTATCTGGCATGAGGTGCAGTCTGCAGGCCATACAGCTAGCCATAAGGTGTCGAAGACAATGCTGGCAAATCGAGAATGATGAATTATACAGTGGACAGCCCGAGGAAATGGAAAAGAAGGTCGTTACGCATTGCGCCAGCCGGACGTCCAATGGCAACAGGATAGCCTGGCCTGTAGGTGCGTGGGCCGGACAGCAAGCAGAGAGAATATTCGTGAGGCAACAAACCCGCACCGTTAGGCAGCACCTAGTTTTCACTTTGAAACCCCTGCATGACCAAGCATGCGCCGGTCATTGTCGAGTTATGCTGCCTCCGACATAGTCACATCGGCCAGCATAGATTCATCCGCAGCGGGAGCATCCTCGATTGTTTCCGGCTCCCCCTCTGCCTCCGCCTCTCCGGTCTCGGCAGCCTCCGGAACGACAGCGTCGACCTCCATCGCGCTTTCAGTGACCTCCGCCTTCGCAGGTTCCTCACTGTCGTGTTTGCCGTTTGTCGTTGCGCCGACATCTGGCGCATCGGCGGCTTTCGCAGAGGGGCTTGAGCCGTTCGTTGCAGCCTTGGCGCCCTCTGAGGCCGTGCCGTTCGCCTTGTTGGCGTTGAGAATCTCGTGCCACTTGTCGACAAGGGCCTTTGCGCGGTCCCTAAACTTGAATTCTTCGTCTCGAGGCACCCTCTCTAGCGGGAGGGCATGTATGTGACGCATGACTTTGCCAATTTTCGAGAACTGCATGGGGGCCGCGGGGGAGGCGTCAGCGCGGTTGCCAAAAGAAGGAGGAATGTTGTTGCGTGATGCGGTCGCATTCCCGCGGTAGCCAGTAGCGTGGCCGTATAGTGCCAGCAAAGCAACACAACTGATAGCGGATAAAATAACCAGAAACTCACCGATAGATATTGGATGTTCATGTTCTCATAGTTCTCGACAGTTGTGAAGATCACATCGAACGGGGGCATGTCCTTCAGAAATATTAGTCAACGACCTTACGATGTTGCTGGTCGTGGCGTGAATCACCTCATCCTTGGGTACAGCCTTCGGGTTCAAGAAGGCCTTCTGCAGTTTGTGTCTCCAGTCCCTGACCTTTTGTGCTTCAGGGTCGCCGCTCAGAGCAGCTGTAGTGCGGCATAGAGACAAGAAATTGTCAGAAATCCGGATAGCAGTCATAATTGACAGAGAAGGCGATGGAAACGGGAAGAAACAGCGCCAGTGATAACGATTGAACGTACCGTCCACCTCATCCTCGCCGTCCTTCTCGCGCTTTGCCTTCTTTGTAGGTGGTGGGGAAGCCTGTTTGCTGGGACCAGCGTCGTCCGCATCAACACCACCCTCATCCTCAGATTCGACCATGGCCTTCGACTTGATGCCGTTTTTCTTTGCCTTGGCGCTGCCAGCCCTCTTCTTAGGAGTAGGCTCTGTCGACTCCTTCTTGGGCTTGGGTTTTGCTTTCGGTTTTGCGGGTGCAGCGTCAGAGTCACGTTTCCGCTTCTTCGACTTCGCTTTCTTTTCTTCCATGTCATCCGCCTCCTCCTCACCATCACTCTCAAGTTGGTCGATTTCCGCGTTGGCTTCCTCTTCAGCGGCTTCGGCGCGGAGAGCCTCACGCTCCGCCTCCCACTTTGTAGGGTCAAGCGCAATGCGGTAGCCCTGCAGGAGGTCGCCAGAACGCTTGAATGGCTCGTTAATGTACGCCTCGATTTCGTGCTGTTGCAGCTTGGAGATATCCTTGGGGACAATCCAAGCGCTAATCGGATAACAACGGTCAGACCATGAGCAGCACGGGATAGTCGCGTTGTGTACGTACTAGTCACCAGCGGGGAAGAAGCGTACACAATACCAGTTGCCCTTCTTCTGCTTTGCAGCGTGGGGCTGCTCATGTTTGACATTTACGGGGACCGACTCTGGGTCCACGACCTACGCGTTCAAGGGTTGTATAAGCGTCCAGGGATGATATGGGAGCACGACCCGTGCGCAGACGCGACGAATATAATACAAGTACTCACCATGCCAGGCCAAGGGGGATATCCGCGTACTTTGGCGAGTACGATATCGCGAAAGTCATATGACTGCTCCTTAGTCTGAGTCTTCGCAGCCTTTTTGCTCATTTTTGGTGAATTTACGCGAGGTAATGGAAGCAGGAGCGGGAAGGGGGTGAAGGAGCAAAGCGCGCGCAGGCGGAGGGACTTGGTGGTCAACTGGAAAGGTTCAACCCTCGCGTCGGCATTCTCCGGCAGCCTCACGCGCGGCTTAGGCCCAAACGGCCCGTGCGCTCGAATCAAGCCTCTCGCATGGGTTGTAATGATCAGAAGAATTATGACCGTACTACCTACAGACAGGAATATGTAAGGACAGTAAATATCCAGACGACATGGACGTTACAGCCAGACCCATCCCCCAGTCTCGCAATCTGCACGCAAGGACTCCTGGTGTGAGTCGATCCAGGCCCAGATAAACTGCATCGTGTTCGTGATGAAATTTCGGAGAGTCTCGGGTCAACTGATGTTCAGAGGCCGCGTAGGTCATCCAGACAAGTCGCGCGTTGACAGCAGGTTTCTGCACCCGAGACCTGTACTCGAGAAGGCTCATCGACATGCGGCGTGGTCAGTGAGAGAACTCTCACAACGCGAAGAGTAGCGTCTGAAGTCGACATCAATGAGACCAGAAAGGGGACTGCAGCTGACCACGAGTAGCAGATGACACTGGCGATGGGGACCAAAGACATGTGTGTCGGCAACAAGCATGCAGGCGGAGCGCAGAGTTTGGTGCCAGACGAGGAGCACCACTAAATGTCAATCGACGAGTGGAACGCCCGACAGGGCTCACCAAGAAATGATTTGTATCAAGGGCACGTCGCCGCCCACCAATCTGCGAATCGGTGCTTGTAACGAATGACCCCCCGCGCTCCTACACGCCTTGATGAGTGCACGCCAACACCACGCTTCCGCGACCTGCGGGGATTGGAACGGAGCCACTCCTTCGACCACGTGGACGGTAGCTAATGTTATCATCACCAGAACATAACTCGGGAAGACCATCCAGAAGACTGGTGATTGGGGCCGTAGACTGAGTCGATGAGTGCCAGAAGTAAACGTACACACTCACCAATGAACGTTTTCGAGTCTTGAGGCCGGCACGTACAGTTCACATGGAGATTCCCCGCAGATATCGAGCGTAGTTTCTTGAGGGTAGGGTAGAAACTTCTTCTAAACCTCCACAGGCTCCGGATATCTAATCGAGCGATGATCAGTCCAAGAGAGATGTCGCAGTGTGTTGTTATGTCAGAAGTAGCACTGTGCGTTCGCGGAGGACCAAGGGGGCCCTTTCAAGACGACTACTGTTGGCACAGTGGAGTGCGCCCTATCGTCTGGCAGTCGGGACAATAAACCATGGTGAGTAAAAAACCTTCATATTCATGAATCGCCACAAACTTACTATAAGATGAGCTTGGTTAATACGTTTTCGCCGTTATTCAGGATAGACATACGCATAGTCAGCCACAGCCCAGATGATGAAACCAAACTTAAGCTGAGGATGTTGGGGAACGTACTATGCGTTCAACCGGCAACTGCATGTAACGATTGTGACAAGACCTCAACTTTGTATGTGACTGGGCGTAAGTACTTCCGGCGCTAAGCAGCGCTAATCTGAAAATGATCTTACTATCAGATACGGGGTTTTGCAAACTCATGCATTGTTCCCTTCGCTCTGCTTGAACCACCATAAGGATCGTTGTTATTTCACTCAGGCATTGTTGTAAATACATGGAAGAGTACCCAGAACGAGACTGGGGCCCATACACGAAGGACACCCAGTGGTAGCGAGATGCCGCATTCGAGGCCTCGCATTGCAGTAGTTCTGCAAATTCTATCACGCCTGGGTCACAGCGGCAACTTTGAACTCCGCTCGGCAAATGTTGCAGGACTGCAAAGTGCGCTGCCGCATCGTGCCATGATATCACGCTGACAGTGGCGAGTGTCACGCTTGCTCAACCAGAACAACCATCGCCCACCAACCATGTCTTGCTGGGTGAATCGGGCTGGTGTACCAGAGAACACAAAGCTGTAATATAACGGATCGGATGTCTGATCATTAAGAAATACAATGATAGTCTCTGGATCTCGCTCACCACATGTTTGCAGAACACCTTAAGAACAGTCTGCAGGCCGTCATTTCACTTCACCTTCGTTTCCTCTCAATCGCTCTTGCACATAGTGTATACTAAGTGCATACTAGCATCTACAATGATCAAATTATAATTTCCACGGTGTGTAGAGGAGATCACGCAGTTCTGCAAAATTGATGGGTTTTGCAAAACCCCGTATCTGATAGTACATTCTGCTCACAGGGAACGACGCGTCTAATTCCTGGCTCGTTCTGCTCAACAGTGCAGACCAACAACCGGTAGAACGTTGTGATATTCTAGTCTTCGTTGACCACTCTCGGAGCCAAAATCAGTCTACATTTGCTCGTCCGCTGGCGCGTCATTTTTCTCATAGGTAGACGCGGACAATCTGGGGCCTGCGGCGACTTTTTCAAGGATATATCGACTTCTACTTCTAGGGTACTAGACGTGAGCGTACCGCCAACCATCTCGCACCATGCAAACCCCCGACTCCGATGTACATGGACCCGTGTCCGTGATGGGGTCTATATCTTTGGAAGCACCAAGTCGGAGGTTTGCTGCCGCCTGCAGATGAGACGTACCTGATGCACAGGTAAGCATCCTATGCAGGGCAGCTGTAATGCCAAGACTGACTGACCCTGCAATGGTGACAGGAACGTGCATCTTTGTCCAGGTCGATACGTTCTTCATCTTGAACCAGACGCACTCATGTGAAGGCGAGCGCTCTTCTTGTGAACCGACTCGGCGACAAGGCTCCCAACAGCCTGTCAGTACTAACTCCTCTTGGAACGAACGTTTATATCCCGAGGCGTTACGCCTCGTTGACATACCGGTTCATGAGAAGATGCGCTGTGAAATCGACGTGCTTCTCACGGACGTTGATCTGCTCTCACCCTGCCCACTGTCTGTACCCTCTCGTGGAGCATCTGCGTCTATCCCTGTCTCCGACTGCATGTTTCACATTGGCTCGGCGCTGCTATTTTCCTACCCCTGCGTGATAGTCTCACGTCTTACCAGCCTTTGAGAACGCCGCTCTTTTTGTGGCAGGTTCCCCGGTTCCAGGCTTGCTCCGCTCCTCTAGCGAGTGCTTTCCGGAGACTCGGCTAGGATTCGACCCTCAATCATCTGCTGTCCAAGCATATCTGGCGGAGGAATGACAGCTTCGCCTGTGAGAGAATTCCTGCCGAACAACACCTCGAAATCATGGGGCGGTAGCCCAGATACTCAGCAGCTTGTCTCGCAACGCCCGGAATTCTCTCGGCACCGTAACACTCCTATAAATCTCATCGCCATGTCTTTCTCCTGCCCCATCGCTCGTGCCTTCACCCACTCACCCGGAGCACAGCTCTCAGAGGTCTTCACTGACTTCCTTTATCATCTGGTACGCTTGACTGGTCTTCACGATGCCTCCACCGCCAAAGCCGAAGCCGCCCCTCAAAATGTTTATCGCCTTGAACAGTATCCGTAATACGACCTTCGCGGTGGAAGACGACTTCTTTTACTACGAGGTCGTCACCCGATTCTGGAACCCCAACATTACGAAGATTATCCAGCACGACTTTGAGGTTCGGGAGCTGACACTGCGTGCTGAGATCGAGGGACTGCACTCTCCTGCGCCACGAGTTCGCTTCGGTGGCGAGAAGGGCGAGTGGGTGCCTGCATCGCAATTCGTCAAGTTTGATCCGGACAGCCAGTGCGTGTATCCCACTTGATGGTTATTCTAGCAACTGACTCAGCTGTCTCTGCAGGGGCGGAACGTTCGCTACTGCCTCTGGACTCGAATTCACCTGGAAGCTGGTTAAAAGGCGATGGCAGGTAAATAAAGGGCGGGACTAGGTTGTGAAATTTACTGACCTCAGATGTAGTTAGTCCGTGCTGACGATCCAGAACAGAAGGTGATCGACTTTCGCCCATACAAGCGACACGGATTCGTCTTTCGGATGTCACAACATGCCTACCTCGAGGTCAAGCCCGAAAGTGAGGTGACCGATGCTTTCGACCGGATCATCGGTGAGTCGAAGCTCGAGACAATGATGCGCAACATTTGAAGTCCTAACTTTTCCCGCGGAATCACAGCTAGCTACCTGCTTGTCGAGAGAAAGCGGAGAGCGGCACGGCCCACTGACAAGATTAAGCTGCTCAGCACACGGGCAATATATGCGACAGTATGGAATAAATAGGCCATCACACGATGCGCACGCCTCCTTCGCAGTATTTAGATACATGTCTCTCCTTCCTCGTCTATTGCAATGCCCATCACCGTACAATAGAGCATCGATCTTGATGAACATCCGTCTAGCCAGTCATAGTAGTGACCACTTATCCCAAGCTATTGGCGTGCGTCTAAAGCGGGCTGACTTTGGGAGGTGTCTCATGGGCTCCGTCGCGCCCGCACTGAGCACGAGTCATCTGGCTTTCCAATCCGTTACCCATGGGCTAAACATCGCGTCATCCATCCTTCCCAGCGAGCAATGTGGCGCTCCGTGATGCCGTTCGTCATTATGCATATATACAAGTGACCGGACATTGCTCAGTCACCAGTCGAGCATCGGAGGATGGCAGCCAACTTCTCTAGTGTCCCTGTCCTTGACTACTCTCTCGTATCGGACCCGGAGCGCAGGCCGGATTTCATTTCCCAGCTACGCCATGCGCTGATCAACGTCGGATTCCTGTATCTCTCACATCCTCCCGTCGCACGCGAGGACATCGACGCGATCATTGGCTATGCGCCACGGCTGTTCGACCTCCCGCAGGAGGCGAAGGACAAGATCAACATGAGGAACTCGGAGCACTTCTTCGGGTACACGAGGCTCGGTGCAGAGATCACCAAGGGCCAGACAGACCAGCGCGAGCAGTATGACTTCGCCACGCCGTACGAGAAGCGGTGGAAGCCCGGCGATCCCGAGTATATCAGGCTATGGGGCCCTGCTCAGGTGCGGCTTGAAGCTGTGTGAACGATGCGAGTGTGATTTGGAATGACGCAGCGGGCACGTCTGAATTAGTGGCCTGACGAGGAGCTGCTGCCCGGATTCAAGGACACCATGCATCGATACCTCGCGCAAGTCGAGAAGCTCAGCTATGAGTTCATCGGGTTGCTTGCGGAGGCGCTCGAGCTTCCGCAGGATGCCCTCAAGCAGTTCTACGAGAAGGACGGTCCGACGCAGCATCGTGCCAAGGTCGTGAAATATCCCCCACAGGATAACCTTTCGTCCAACCAGGGCGTTGGTCCCCACTTCGACGGTGGCTTTCTGACATTCGTGAGTGGTTGTTGCAGGTGAATCGCCACGCGACGGTACGCTTACTGCTCGATTCGCCAGCTTCTCCAAGCATCTCCGCACCCGGGCTTACAGGTGCAAAATCTTGCTGGCGAGTGGATTGATGCTCCGCCCATTCCCGGTACCTTCGTAGTCAACATTGGCAAAGGTAACATCCTCCGATCCCTAGTCATCATTCGTTCCTGAAGATAATCTTGCTGTGTCGTAGCCCTTGAAACTGTTACTCAAGGCCTTGCGTGTGCGACGTCCCATCGGGTCCTCTCGCCTCCTCCTGGTTCAACGCCGAGATATTCCGTGCCGTTCTTCCAGAACATTGCACAGCGAGTCTCAATCAAAGATTTTACGCTACAGTGTACGTAAAGCAACGCTCGAATACGACCCACGGGCTGACCACCGCGTATCAATCTCACAGTCAACCCTGAGATCCTCAAACTCAAGGAACAACGCGGGGCCACTGGTAGTGTTGAATGTGTGTAGGACGTATCCGCCCCCGCACTGCTGGCTGACAAGACTACACCCTCGCAGCTGTCAACTATACCGAGTACAACCAGCTTCCCTCTGGTCTTGTCGGACTGATTGGCCGGGTCAAGTGGGTCCTACCGCTCGCCTGAGCAGCATCACGTACTGATCACCACCCCATCGGTCTCGTAGGAGTCATCCAGACGTCGCAGAGAGGCACTATCCAGATCTTTTCAAGCAATTCTTCCCACAGGGGTTGCCCGCGCAAGGCAGCGCGTACTGAGGGATGCCATCGGCACGATATGTTCACAATCCCCTATGCACGTACTAGTGACAAATGGAAAGCTGAAATATAATCAACACGAATATGCACGGATCTGGTACAATCACGACTATGCGTATCTTAGTGAGCAGAATTTAACACCTTGTACATTCGCCACGAGGCTAGTTTACCGGTTCTCGTACTGGAGTGCAAAGCTTTCTTTGGTTATTGAAAGCCCAGGCAGTTGTTGGAACTTGGGATTGTGGCGAACCGCAAGCCATCGGATTTATAGTACCTCGCAGATCTTGCGCGAGCCTCTCTATATCTTTATCAATCATCCTCTCATCGGGTCTCAGACGAATTTCCAACAGCAGCCGCAGGAGTACTCCGAAGTCGACGATCGGGGTGGACGCCCTCGTTCGGGAGATGCGTGAACCAATTTGGGGGATATCCTGGAACGAAATTGCATGTACACTGGGCCGAGAGCTGTCACCATGTCGGGCATCTATCGCTACATTTTATTGCATTCGCGCACGAGCAATGGAACTTCACAGATATTAGATGTAAGGTGGCGAGGGACAAATTGAAGTTTGGCAAATCCCCCGATTCGGGCTTATCAGGAAACTTATCTTGGGCAGATAACATCGATTCTAAGTAATGCCTAACCAAGGCACCATCAATGACATAAAAGTACAGGCTACAGTGCAACACTCTTCCTCGACCATGTCTGTCACTGATCCTTTAGGCGATCCACCTCCCGACTCTTATGTTACTCCTATCGTAATTCTGTCTACCAGTCCACCTCCAGATGAGCCCCCGCCACCGTATCCATCGCAAGACAGGCGCACGCGGACGCCCCGCTCAACTCGAAGACGTCGCACGTTGGAGCAACCCTCAGAGAATGCTTCGCACACGCTCTCAATAGTCTCCGGCGGCGGCACCGAATACGAAGCACCTGTATCGTCCGCGCAGCATAGCTATGATGCTGACTACCGCGACCTGGACGCAACGGAGGCGACCCCGCTCCTGAACCCTGCCGTCTCATCCCCGAGAAGTGTCGCGCGACCACCGGGATTCATCACAAGACAGCGGACATTGTCCATCTCGAGTACTGTGCGATCTACCGTTTCCGTTGCGCCGTCGTTCGCGCAGACAGTGCTCTCCGCATTCAACCCTGAGCGAGATCCTGACGTCGATCCGGAGTGCGCTGAGCCATTGGGAGGTAGTGATGACGACAGCGATGGGGAAAGCCCGCTTGGTTCCCCTTCACTACGGCGCACTGGGAGTATGGACGAGCAGCAACGGGCTTTCGTCGCTGATCTAGCGAGCCAACGACTGACTCGGCAAAGGGGCCCTCCATGGCGTACACGATGGTTGCGGTACTTCCGCCCAATAACCAAACGAGCGTATTACTCTTCGCTCTTCCACTTACTTGTCCTCAACTTCCCGTACGCGCTCATCGCATGGGTGTACCTCTTCGTCTTTACAGTCGTACGTCCCTGCTCGATCACGCGAGCGGAGATGAGCATGCTGAACCCCATCACAGGCGGGCACCACTACTCTCATGGCGCTGCCTCTCGGTGCTGTGCTGTGTTTCTGTGATCTTATCGGTGCAAGGGCCCTTTCTAGGGGCGAGGTGTGTTTCCAGGTCTCGCAGCCTATTCTGCTCTCGCTGATATGGCGACATATTCATTCTAGCTTGCTCTACAAACCAAATTCCACGGCCCTCTAGCCTATCCAATCCCCGGTCCGCCCCTCCCCATCTTTGTCCGCCACCGCGCACCCAATGCGCACGAGCTCGAGGCTGGCCTGGGCACGGTGGAGGAGCGGTCGTTCTACCGCAATACATACGCCATGGTAGGCTCGGCCCCCTCCCCCCTTACGTTGTCTGTCCAACTGATCGTCATGTGCACAGTTCACCGATCCGACATCCTATCAAGCGCTATTTTACTTTATCGTGATTAAACCCGGCATCACGATCGTCCTCTCCCTTCTGCTCATCGTGCTCGTTCCGCTGTCGATCGTCTTCGTCTGGCCGGCCCCCGCCGTACTGCGCCTCGCGCGCCGCCTCGGCATCTGGCAGGCCAACATCGCCGTGGAGGGTCTCTGTCTCGCCGTGCGATAGTGAGGTGGAAACTGGCCGGATGGGTAGTGTATTGTGTAGTGTACGTTATAGACTTTTCTCACATTCATCACATCTTATTACCGCACTTGATGCCACCGCTGGCAAGTCTGATCAGGGAACTTGCTTCGTAAGTGGTGTTTCTCTCTCCACCGGGCAGTCGGACAGCATCAATGTTGAAAAAGGGCCCAACGAGATGATTTGTGAAGAACGTGTCGTATATATGATTCGAGCTGTGTATACTGAAACATGATGCATGACAGGCAGAGGTCGTGCGGGGAACGCTCAACTACCCGACTACGCCAGTTCCGACGTCCTGCCCCAATAGCAAGCCGCCTCCCGCATGGTCGTGTCTAGTGGAAGCCGACACACTGGCATCTCGCTTCATGCCTCTTGGGGAGCAATCGGCAGCATATCATATGCTTTGTGTTCGTTGGCAACACTTGAAGAAGGTGGCTCATTGCGATATGCTTTACTGTTCTCTTCGCCTCCCTTTGCTCCCACACCCCGCCCAGCACGATTGCCTCCCGATCCGCGTGCATCAGCACGGACATGTTCTTCGCCTTCAAGCACGTCCCCTGCTCTGCGCTTGATTGGGACGCCCACCAAGGCTCTGAGAGCACGTCCCTCGAGCGTGAGCTCAAGCGCCTCGTTTGTCGGGCAGTCCCATATCGCGGCGGACTCACTAGCCTGCAGAGACAAGCCCTTCTAGGGCGATCCCAAAGAATTGTACGACCGTGTGAGTGTCTACACGCGCTACCTATTCGCCTCTCACGTACTATACTGTGTGGCCCTCCTCCTCCTCCTCCTCCTCGGCGCTGTATGTCGACACCCTCACCATGCACCGCTCCAATGCTTTCCCTTACGCATGCACGTCCGTCATCAACGTTTCCCAACCTGCACGCCGAATATAATTCTACATCGCACTCCTCCACACCTACACGCTATAGCCACTGCCACCCACCGCTTGCTCGTGACAGCATGCACCTGCCTCGAGAACGAAGTGCCCGAGCGAGACATCGCTGTCACGACATGGAAGGCGTACAAGTATTACAGAGCACTGGAACTCGAAGATGTCAGAGTAATCAGCCGCAATTGTAATATACGAGCAGATAGACACACGGAGGAGGACGTCGCAGTGGATATTGCACACGCGCCATCATGCATTTCAGATGAATGACTATTGTGCGCGCGTGCGTCGTTCTGCCAACGTCGCTGCGAATGTCTTTGTTGTCTTCGTACTTTCAGACAGTTGCTACACGAGATCAGCGTGTATTCAGGTTTACCACGACGAAGTCTATACAGTGTCGCGATTGCTGAAGATTGCTGTTGATAGTAGATATCCCGGGTCCCTCTCGTTTAGCACCTAGGACGAATGCTAGAAGCAGTGACTCAACGCAAACACGCGTTGAGGGGTATCGTAAAGTGTCACTTCTTGATAAGATCTCGCATGCTGTGTTCATGCAGCATCGCTGCTGCTGGCATGTGTTCTACGAATAGAGACCCCTTTCCGCCCTGTATATGCTTTTCCTCGTGTGTGCACTTTACTGCATAGCGCACATCGCCCACAGACCACAAGGTCACACAATGAGAGATGTCGTGCAGTTCTCACAGGAGACCAATCAACATGTTCAGAGCTTCCAGGTCTTGAAGGAATCGTCAACGCTAATCCAGAATTGAACAATTGATAACACATACCGCCAGGGTGCATCAATCACCACAGGTTCATAGCCAGCTATATCTCATGTTCCACTTCAAGCTCAACACAGTAGTCCAGGAAGACTAACCCAATCGCAACACCTCTTTTCCATGGGATACTATCCCACGCACAAGGAGTGGTGCGATTGGGAGTGTGCTGGTTGGATGCCGGAATATTGGGAATATACCACCGCTCTTTATATGAAATGGTATACTAGAGAGTGGTGGTGTACTCAGAACACTCCGGCATCCAGCCAGCACACTCCAAATCGATGAGAATGATGGGTCACATGTCTTCATCGAGTAGGCTGATGTTCGTACGGTTTGATATCGCTATGTGTGAAGTGAATGTGAGGTGACTTCGAGTGACTCGGGGCGGCTAGCTTGGCGTGCGTCGCCTCAACACATTAATAGCCTCTTGCTAAATCCCTTCTCTGATGTGAAGGGTCCCACGGGACCACGATGGCTTACTCGATGGCTTATGATGCTGGCGCCACCGAAGCCACACACCGCGTGCGGGTCGAGAGGTTCGCGAGCTGCGCTGGTCGAACCGGTCGCGAAGCGTGTCCTGGAGAACTTGAAGCTGACGGGGCGAGAGGTTACTGACGCGGGGTGCGCGCATCCCTAGCTCCTCGCCAGGCACCTTCGTCTTTAGTACGTAGAACCGGTCGTAGCAAGGGACGACGTCGAGGACTCTAGGGACAGGGATTGTCGCGCGCTGGCGTACATATTCGGTGGCTAGGGCTTCTTGTACTTCCGTCCTCTTCAAATATAAACTGAACGTAGAGACATCACGCGCGCAGCATGGCACCCATGACCTAGTCGACGTAAAAGCCTCCATGTGATTTTATATATCCTTACACGCAGGCGTTGTAGAAGGGGGAGCTGCAGTAGGGACCACACATACCTGATGCAGAGAAAACCAATCATCAATAACGAGCATATGACACCAAGTCCGTCAAGGCCTACTTCATTTTCAAGATGTCGAACTCGGGTATGAACTTGACCTCGAAAGCGATCTCGGACAAGCAAGCAAGAGGGAAGTGACTCTGTCGTGCGATGAGAATGGGTCATCCGCAGAAAGAGGTCACTTGATGACTGCAGCGCAGATCATCCACTCAAGTCGTGGGTATTTGGCATAAAGACTGCTAAGTACAGAAAAGCAAGTGTCGGCAGTTCTGAAGCACGCGGTGATTGCCGGGAACGCCCGCAGGCGTGCTGTTGGACTTTCAAGTACGTCTGCTGTCTGGTTTGACCCGTTTCTAGATTCTCATAGAATACGAAAAGCATCGTACATCGATTTCTCACTGCGAGTCACTTTATCTCAACACCACACGATCCCCGAAAGGGCTCGTTCGGCGTTCAGATTGCAACACTCTGTCGGACCGGGCTGAAGATGTTCGCGACTGGATCAAGGTCCTTGCACAAGGGCAGTGTGTCGCTAGCTGAGGAGCACGCGAGCCTTATGAGGTCCAATAACATAAGGATACACCTGCGGTGCAATCAAATTGAATTATTTAACGCATCGGGCTATACCTTGCGGCCCTCAATTGACCTGATACCATAGCGTATGAGACGGTAAGTTTCGCTCCATATCGAGATGGTATTCCAGTATTTCACAATCGCATGACGGCCGTGCTTTGGTGCTGTTACTGCTATCGTTCGATATATCTCGCAGCGAAAATAACGGCAGCCCTATGCGATGCTTGGTGTCATCACTGGGATAGGCATGTAGAACGGGCGGCAAGTTTCTGCTAACTGGTGGTTCACTGCTACGGCAGTGTAATCGGAACTGAATCCTATCCGATGAGCAGGATTTCCCACTATGTCGTACATCTCGGCCGCCAGTCTATGTGTGGCACTGCCTACATTAGGCGACAAGAATGCTACCACGAAGATCCTCTGGTAAGAAATTGTGTTTGATTTCACCGCTCATCTCAATCCGATAGACGCTGTAAGGTCAGAGCTTCTGGCCGCCCAAGATCGAGAAAACACTAGTCATCAGGAGTATGGCTTGTGTGAATACGTTTGCGTGGATGTTAGAAGTTCTGTGACAGATAACATTAGCGGCATGGTCGAATCTCTACATATAGAAGTCGACCAAAGCGGAGTCGCAACTAATTTCCTCGCAACTCGCCGTGTGATCCTGTCGACGAGGATTGAGGTGCGTACGAACTCAGCGTACAGCGCCTCGACGATGTAATTTACGACCTCGCTCACTATAGCATCCATGGCTACCCATTCCTTGACAACGAGGTCGTAGTGTGCCGCTCTATTTGTTGATCAAAACAAGACTTTCCACTGGATGCTAGCACTTCCTGCTGCCGGCACGGGGGTGAAAGCTATGCACTTGTATGCCATCAACTCCGACCTAGAGTAGCAGTTTGAGACTGTTGATTAAAACCTCGTATACTCTCGTTCTTTGTGCACGGTTGTCAAGACTAGTCAGTTCTCTTTACTCTTGTGCTGCCAGGCTTTTCTGACGGATCTGGGGTTATACATAGGCTCGGGCTCACTCTGTTGAGTCGTTCAGGCTGTGAACAAGTCCTGTCTTCTTGCGGATTAAAGCCCGAAGGTTCCCAAGCTTCAGGGTAAGAAGTATGTCGATTACTCGATTGAAGATGACGAATAGGAGCTCTTGGAGTTCATGCACGAAGTCCTAGCTGTACGTATCAATTGCTCACCTCAGCCCTTATCTTGATGTCTACTTGCGCAGGAGACTCCTATGCGCAGTCCAGCTTCTCTTTTTCCGAGAGCGTCCCTACAATCTGGTGTACTATTCCTATATCCGAGCGTTTACAGGGACGTTGGGAGGCGTTTGCAGCACCGTCAAGATTGCCATCGAGAAAAGCCTGGACAAACTCAAGAAGTGATATCTTACTATCGACCAGAGCGAGGTTTACTTAATTTGCCTTGGTCTGTGTCCTCTGCTCTGTTTATGCTCCTTGGCTCGATCCAAAGTTCAGTCCAGTTCATACTCGAGGTATGTGGGTTCGGTCCGGGGTTCAGGGCAAGAGGTTTTTAAACCGAGCTAAACCGAACTTCGGAGACACTATTCACACAAGACAACACCTGACATTGCTCGCTTCTTCCGAGTCTTGATCACTGGATATCTGTCATGCCCACAAGTTCATTTTCGCATTATGATGAATACTAGCCCAGACCTCGGCGGTACAGGAACTCACGAAGGATGGTATAACGCCGTATGCGCGAGACGCTCGGGAAGCTACTCAATGGCGATGAAATTGAGTATCCGTCACTGGTGACGCCCTGAGGCGGTGTCCTAGAGTAGGTTCACGCAGACTCCAGCTTGCATAGAAGCGGTGCCTTGCAGTGCAAGTAGAAGGTATATGCAGTTGTACAAAAATGTTCCCATACCTCTGGTCTTTCTTGCGCAATCCTCTCTCGACAATCAAGCTGCCTCCTGATCTGACGCCCAATACCACCAAGCGCTTCCGGTTCTATCATAGCCAACAGACGTCTCTTCTCCTCACACAGATCCGTTGCTCTTGAGCTGTATATGCAACATGTCTTCGCTCGTCCAGCGTTCATACGACATTCGCGGCCATCATCCATGGTACCCTGAGGCCCGAAAGGCTAGGGTAGCCGTCGACTGGGCGATTGGAGGTGCTTTGGTGGGCTTCGCCAATGACACTTGTATTCTAACTAGCAACTAATTGGCACCGACCCGTAGACGATGGGCAGAGAGAAAGTTCCACAGGAAACGTACAAGGGCCAAGATACATCCTTCATCTCGTGCAACGCACCCGCAGTCTATCCGTCGACGGAAGGGGCGCTCGGGCTTGGGATCCCGCTCACTGGATGCCTCACGCCCGCGTCCATGAGCCCTTGCGACATGCAAGCCCAGGCGCTCCAAGACTTGCCCACGAAAACTACCAAGATTTCGATGTGCATCAATATATTAAGTTCGACTATACCGTGGTAGCGTTGCGCTGTTCCTCCTATATAGTGGCCAGGTGCATACAAGGGGTACCAAACCGGACAATACACCGTCAAGAACACCAAGGGTATCATCAGCAAAGCAAAGTTGGCCGAGATTGTTGCTCTGGAAGTGCAGACGATCATCAGGGTTAGTCGCATTTTCCTCTTGCGCTTATCTGTAATCTCATTAGCCGGATGGCAGGATTAAAGGCTCGTGGTCAAGGATGGTGCCGTCGCCGACCCCCTATGGAAACTTGGAGATGATGGTATTCAAATTGAGGACATCTATCTCACTGAGGTCAGGCACGTCTCGAAGGCGCGCCTGCAACCTCATTTCGAGATCGTCCGTCGCGCTTGAGGCACTGGACCGCCTCTTGTCCATGTTATTGGTGAAGCGTTATGTGTGTTCGCATCAACTATGTTCATGACCATCCGCACTGTGAAAAAATTGCTCCCTCGTCCTTACCATTCACTTGCAGGTCCATTCAATCTCCCGCTACCGTTGCTTTAGTTGCACTCTCAGTTGTACAACTCATTCTCCAGCTATCACGCGCTGAATATTGAGCCCTCAGAAGAATTAAAAGTTTCGTCGAAAGTCGTCAACTAACATGACAATATTAGTACTCCCGATGTGCATCTTGCACTATGTCCCCTTAGCCGAGCTCGTGAAGCAGAGCGCGAGCGATGACCCAGTGCCGCCACCTTAAGCTGGGCAAGACGTATAGCTCAGGCTCGTGTCTGCGGCTTTGTTTCCAGCTCTCGTAGGCACTGTGGCCTGCCCGCGCCGCATTCGCGGCGTCATTAACAACGTCAATGCCGTCCTCGATCTTGCTCGCAGTGCCACGCTTGTGGCATTGTTCCCAACTTTCGTACACGTCGTGAATGTTAGTGATGCAAAACGAAGAATATTACCGCTTTTCTTGAGGCAGTCATAATGTATGGATATCCTCGATGAAAAACCGGCCGGGTGCATTGCTTAGCAGCACACTGTCGAACGCGCAGACCAAGAGGGTGTGGCGGAATGAGCATCAAACAACCAATGCCAGATTAATAAACAGGTTCCTAGGGAGAATCGTGCTGATCAGTCTAATACATGGTGGTATACGAATGTGCGGAATGAAAGAAAGTAGACCCAGAAAGAGTGACAAGTACAAAGCCAGCAAACAGCCTTCCGTCACGTCTCCTCAGCTATTGGGAGGTTGCCCAGCGATACCGTGCAGCGCGAGCGGGTTTCTGGAGCACATAACGCAGGCGGAAAGCGCGCTGTGTCAAAAGCAGTCCCATGCGACACCTTCACCCTCGAATCGTCTGATGTGTAGACCACGCAAAAGGCATGAGTAGCATTAGCTTGCCGGTCAGCCTGCGATGAACACTCAGCATTAACTCACTTTCCACCACTACCAAAACCAAAAGAACGTACCGCTCGAAAGTGCGCGAGACGTCGGGCGAAGGCATCTGGTAGACATCGTGGCCGCACTGGACAAGGGCCTGATGGAACCCCCAGACCTGCTCCGGAAGACGCGCCTGTTTCTCGTCGTGCTCGAACTCGGGGGTGTATGGATTGTCGGTGGAGGGCCAGGATCGGCCGCGGAGTGGGCGGGGCAGCCCTCGCATCTCCTGCCGCGCGCGGAGCGCGCGCTGCTCCTCGAGCAGCTTCGAGACTTGGCGGTCGAGCTGGAGCAGCCGATCGAGCAGCCGCACCGCGGCGAACTCGTCCGGAAACAAGGACCTGTGCTCGCCGCTGGAGGGGGTGCTGGCGACAGAGTCGGTGGACGTGGTCGACATGGCGAGTATGGTGTCGGTCGAGGAGAAAGGTACTGCTCCAGTGGCCAGGCATGTGTGCATATATGGGGGGGCCTCGTGTCGGAGATGGCGAGGATGGCCTACTTTGTCCTCTATGTTCTACGGGACCTTCCAGTGGCTGCACCACCCGAAGGAACACCAAACGAGGCACTGATCGGAGGACATGCAGTGGCAAGGATTAGCTCTTGATGCCTCTTGACGCGTGGAAAGCCACGAGCCATCATTCCAGCACAGATTCCGCAGAACCTGCAGGTTTCCTGCAGGACAGTATGCATGCTCCTTGTATCATGTGGTCCTTGTAACCTTGATTAGAGATAGATCACTACAATCAATCGTAAAACGGTCAGTTCATATGGCAGCGATGACCCGTTCATGGCTGTTAGCTGAAAGGATCGATCTATGCCAATCTATTGGCAGTGCCGTCGTCCGGACGCCAGCTACCCAACGAGGGTCGTAACCCGGTTTCGTGTCACAAGGTGTCAAGCAGTCCGCGACTCGTGACGTCACACATAGCGCTGCTAGGATTGGTGTCACTAGGACCTAACCCTACACAACAAAATCCAGGAGTGATATACAAGTACTCTACAACAACGACAGTGACAACATGGTATGAGTGACGCGCACCTGCGCTGATGCATGGAGAAAATGAGGAAATGTCGTGATCTAGCCTAGGGACCAGGAGCGCGGCCCAGAGAGTATGCTCGTAGACACTCGACCAAAGGTGTGTAGATAATCCCCGCCGAACGGACGTTCGCATCAAACACCGCAGGTACTGACTGGATAGAGGGGACTGTGAATACTCGACGTCAACCAGATATGAGAGACGCTGTGCAGCTTACCGTCATGCTCTTGGCCATAGCGAGGTTGATAAGGAGGTCGGCGCAAGATAAACGCACGGTGTGCCAGGCATCCTCAAATCCAGAGAGTTGATCAGTAAGTTCCTTGCAGTCCGCCATCACCCGTGCGGCAGTCGCTCTTGGCGAGTCGTCTTGCATATCCGAGGGCAGGTGTGAGTCTTCAAGACAATGTGGTCAGTATGTCAAGGACGTCAGCGGAGTTCAATATTTCTTACATTGGGAAAACTCGATATCCACGCGCACAACTGCAGATGACGAGTCAGCGGAATGAATGGAAGACATCGACAGACATACCGCAGTGAACACGGATTGTTCGGATGCGCGATAGCATAGAGCGGAACGTGTCGATCATCGCTCTGAGCAGCTTGTGCAACGTCTGGCCGAATACAATGACACATTGCACAGACTACCGTGAGGCGTGCTCACTCACTTGCCATATTGTCATGCATATCCTACAGAGTGACGTCACGACAGCAACGATAACTAAGACAACACCGATGCTCACTCTTCCAAGCCGGACCAAATGCTTTGGAGAAATCCTGAGGGCTCGGCTTGACATCGGAGGGCACTGGCGACCTTCAGCTGGAACCTCTCTACATCCTTCCCGAGCTCGTGGAACTTGGTTGCAACTCTTCTGGCAGTGTCTTGATGCACCGTGATAGCCTTTACCACATGCATCAGATCGCCTTGTTGCTCTTCAGATGAATGAGAACATACTTCGAGAAACTTATCAATCATAATTTTCTTGTCCTTAATTGCCATGCTAGACTGCGCCAAGGGAATAACAACTTCAACATAGTCTGGTCGCGGCCACGTCGGTCAAATGTTCTACGATCAACATGACGCATCACTAACTGTTCAAAAAGCTTGCACATTGCCCTGCGTTGTGCTGAGAGTCACGATACACCTTCCGGTGTCTCTACCAGAGATCGAGCGGCCATCTGAGATCTTACGTTGCGCAGGAACGCCCAAGTGCACCCACCTGGCGCAATGTGTTCCACTCCTCCGCAAGCGGGTGATGCTCGCCGAGCTGCGGCGTCGTCTCGAGCTGGCACGCCACGGACTTGAAGAGATTCTGGATCTCGAGCTGGTCGTTCACAAGCGTTGCGAACGACTCCCTTAGCTTTACGGCGTTGCTGCTGCTCGAGGTATCAGCGTACGAAGGTGGAGGTGCGTCAGAGTTTCCGTGTGGGCCGGCCATGGCGGGCAACAATGTACGGCTGGGAGGAGGCGATGGTGCGGGAAGAGCTCACGGGCGCCATGAGGCGCGAACTCTCGACGCCCATATCGGAAAACGTCATGTGATCCTCACTCCGGGAGGGAGGATCTCGATAGAGGTTAGGACGGAACTTCACTCACTCAACTCCGAGGACATCACGGGAATGACAGAATCATAGCGCGATGGTCATCGACAGGATCACAGTGTCATCTAGTTCTGGTTGAACGCTTTGAACACATAGAGGTATTGCAACATCTCAGCGCTCGACTTCTCGAGTGCATGTTGGTTATATGATAGTTAAAACTACTGCGCGCAAGTCAAGGATGCAAGATCGACACTACAATTGGTGATCGGGGTCCTAGAATACACTTTCCAGCTCGATTTCTGTACATTCCTGCAAATGCAGATCCTAAAATTAATATGATGGAAGCTTGCGGCATAATACGTTTGACGTATTTTCAGTCTCTATGCATTCAAATTTTCGGCTTGATAGACAAGGCATTGTGGGCGAAGAATAGCAAGTACAGCTCTTGGGCGCGTATGGCGATCTAATCTGATCTGTTCCTTTGTGGCACTTACTGATACGCTGTATATTCCGCAAAGTCCGCAACCGCAGCATGAATCGAGGTTCAGCATAAAGCGTTGAGAGAGCCTGTGCGCTGGTGAGGCGATATACAATGCTCAGATTATAGGCAGCGTGTTGACCATCTCATTGTACAATTGGTGACCGGGGTCCGGTGTTTAACTTTCAAGGGTGGATGCCCCTTCGGGAGTCCATTGGTGGCTGCTGCGGAAGCAAGTCTGGACGCGATGATCGACCGCGTGGCGCTGATCGCATATTTGCTGCCCCCGCCTGAAACTTCGCGCCCTTGTTCGTGCCTTCAATTTTCCTTCTCGGCCGTCGCTCCCGACCAAGTATCTCTCACACAACCTATGGCCTTATTGTGTACTATATCTTGCTTGATACGTCAACATCTCGTGGAGTTGGAATACAACATTCAATGTTGACGAACGAAACACCTCCGCTCTAGGATGCTACGTCCCACTTGGGGGCGAGTTGTGAGATGCCGACGGCTGTGTCAATCGGGAGTGCACGTGGACCGGACTATAAAAATAACCAATTTTGTCTGGTTCCGCACCTGGTTATTCAAAACCAGACTCTCGTGCTGTTCGGTTTCCCGAGTACTATTGCTTGTTGCACCCGCCATTCTTTTGCGACGACCATTATGTTGTCCTTCCTGTCTCTAGGTCTCCTCGCTGTCCCTGCCGTCCACGCATCAGGCTCTACATTCTTTGCTCGGGATGATTCCGCTAATGCAACGAATGCTACGATCGTAGACATGGTGTCTTCCTCATGGTATGCTGGCTGGCATGCCGACAACTTCACCCTTCAGAACGTGAGCTGGGACAAATACACCCACCTCATCTACTCTTTTGCGTAAGTCTTGTTGCATCCCAGATTCATGGGTGAGGTTCTCAAACTCTGTGACAGCGCGACCACTCCGTTGGTCAGCAACATCACCCTAAACGGCTCCGATGCGGACCTTCTGCCGCAATTCGTCTCCATGGCAAAGCAGAACGTGAGCTGTGGTTTAATCGGTCTTGTGCAAGCAGCAGCTTACGGTATTCATGCAGAATGTCAGCGCCATGGTTTCCGTCGGTGGATGGGCGGGTTCCCAATATTTCTCCACCAACGTCGCTTCGGAGGAGAACCGTACCGCCTTTGTCAAGACCATCACCGACTTTGTCCAGATTTATGAACTTGATGGCATTGACTTCGAGTGAGTTGAGATCCGATTGCATTAAAAGCCACCACTAACTCGGTCGGACAGCTGGGAATACCCTGGCAACCAGGGCATTGGTTGCAATGTTGTCAGCGCAAATGACACGAACAACTTCCTCTCCTTCCTCCAGGCACTTCGCGCGGACCCGGTCGGCTCAAACCTTACGCTGACCGCCTCGGCCCCACTCAAGCCCTACGAGGGCATCACGAATGGCTCTGCCTTTGCGGACGTATTCGACTGGATTAATGTCATGGCCTACGACGTCTGGGGCAGCTGGAGCCCCTCTGTGGGCCCGAACGCGCCGTTGAACGACACGTGCGCGCTCCTTGCAGACCAACAAGGCAGCGCAGTGAGCGCGGTTGCCGCATGGACGGAGGCGGGCGTGCCTGCGCATCAGATCGCGCTTGGTGTCGCCTCGTACGGCCGCTCGTTCCTCGTCGAGAGTGCGCTCGCGTATCTTGAGGACAACACCGTGCTAGCGGCATTCCCGCCCTTCAACAGCACGCCCCTCGGTGATGCATGGGACAATGCGACAAACACAGATGTTTGCGGCAACATCTCGGGCCCTTCGGGCGTATTCGATTTCTGGGGCATGATTGACGAGGGCTTCCTCTTCGCGAACGGTACCCCGGCCGCGGCCATCGACTACCGCTACGACGAGTGCAGCCAGACGGTGCGTCGTATCCTGTTGGGTTTCTCATGTCGGGTGCTGACCGCGGGTCTCATTTACAGCCATACGTCTACAACAAATCAACAGGTGTCATGATTTCGTACGACAACGCAGAGTCGTTCATCGCGAAGGGCTCGTACATTGCCAACAACAACCTGCGCGGCTTTGCTATGTGGGAGGCGGGCGGTGACTACGACGACATCCTGCTCGATGCGATCCGCCAGGGCGCCGGATTTGAGGATGACTGCTAAGCGCCCTCATCGTTTAGTCTGCCTCCTTGCCTTAGGGTTCTGGACCGTGGGACGGTGGCGCGCACCCTCTCCGCTGTGCACGATCACATCGCGCTTTCTCTCATCGTTGGACTCTGCTATCCGTCATTAAGTAGAATTAAGTAGATAATATCCGCTATTACGCTGCCTAGTGTAGCTTGCTCGTCGGAGACCCCGGGCTGTGTCTTAGCGCACTGGTTGTACCAAAGTTGTTGTCCCTCGTCTCAATGTCCTAGAAGGCATACAGTACCATAATACGCTCTGTCGACAGAGGTTTGCATCACGATGATTGTGCATGGTCGTTCAGCTGAGCTGCTGCTATATCGGAGAACTTGCGTTATTCCACTGTGAATGGTGGTAGTACGAGAATCGTCCGAGGTCGCGTGCAGATACGCGGAGAGCAATGTGAGCACGTGACCGCGACAGCCCGCACATGAACTTGAAATAGAACGGAAGTCAATACGGCAAGTCATGTGACGCGAGGGGGCTAATTGGTGTCTATTCGTTTTTTCTCCCGTATACTGCTTCTGAATGGCTCAATGAGCATAGGCAACACTCTACGAGCTGCTTATGTTGCAACTAGTAAGTACTCACAAGCTCGACCTCAAGATTGCGAAAGGTACGCAGTAAGTTCAAGTTGTGAACTTTCCTTCGGCGGCGCCCGTGCTGTTCTGTGGCCGTGCAGTGGGTTTTCTGACTATTTGTGCTGCAACCTCCGGTGATATTTGGAGCTGAGGTTCTACCCGGTACCGCGGCCATGACGTCTAGTATGGAAGCCTGCTCACTGCCATATGGCGTGGTGGCTTCGCACAGTTTCCACAAGCCACCTTCTTGTGGCTCGTGGGTAAACTCGCGGTGGCAGCGTATTGCATGCGAATTCGCTTTACATTTGGCATTGGCATTGGCATGGAAGCCCCTTCATCGCCCCGCACCGCGTGCGTAATGGGATGCTTGGTGTCGATCGCACGTAACGCGGACGTTAACGGCTTCCCTTCCTGAAGTCGGCACACAGGCAGTCCCCGGTGGCAGAAGATTCTGATTCCCTTCTTCTGCATTGACAGTTCAGGGCGCATCGATCAATATACTGAAGAACGCCCGGAATTTGATCTCGAATTTGGCGACCGAAGGAGCAGAGTTGATTAGCTGTCATGGGCACCTGTCCTGACCCTTGCAATGAGCGCTCAAGAGGCAGGAGCAGCAGCAGCATGTTGCGTTGTCTTACCTGCTGGCCTGCGAGAACGCGAGCTCGCTGTGTCACGGATCGGCTCAACGCTCACTTCTGGGCGCGACATGGGGCCGCGCACTACTTCATCAAGCCTTTCGGGCACCGGCATGTTACATCTTGTCGCCTAAGACAATATCGCCGCCATTATAGGTCGATGGTCGTACGACGAAATCAGAATATTCGCATCTACTTGGTATATTCCCGGGCAAATGCAACCCACGTTCTTCAGCAAGGGTTTTTCTCGTCCGACCACCGAGCTGTTATCCATCTTTGAGGGGTGAATACAATCGCGTCTCCCCCGAGAGCTTATCTGCCGATGTCCCGTGTTCATATTTTGAATTCGCTGGCGTCCCCGGGGAAATCGTTCGAAAAAATATCAGGATTTAAATGCACTCGGACCGTAATTTTGCGGACGCATACGGCAGCGAGTGCTATACTTTGGTTTCCGGGACATTGAAGTGCTTCATAGATGTAGGCAGTCAATTGCCTTGATGCGAATACACCGCTAGAAGGTCATTGAGCCCCGCCTTGGGAAATCCCCTCAGATGATTCGTCTATCTGACCAGATGCCGTCCCGTCGGCGAACGATGCCCATGACTTTGCTGACACACGGCTGGACCTCACCGGGCCTCCTCGTGTACATATGGACGTGCGTCGGTTGGCTAATCACTTCGACTGCCCTCGTTGCCCCAGCGCTGCGCGCCCATCCTCTTCTTTGACTTGACGGGGCTCTATCTCCCCCGACCGGTGCTCAGGAACTTGACCAGCGCACTGATGAGTATACCAGCGTCGCTAAGAATGGTCTTCTAGCTGATGACGGTGACAGATGCTGCCCGGTGCTTCCCGATGCGTGTCCGAATGCACACGTCTCGTCTAGGGTTATGGGACAACCCTTAACCCTCGCCGCGCTCAGGCGGAATTTGGGCGGGGCCTGGCGCTGCCGCATGCGCTGCCAGTAGTGGTAAAGATCACTCTTCTTTCTGACGCCGTGGAGAATGATTCAGCGCTCGATAATAGCATCTCATCCAGGGTCCGTTGGCATGTCGCCGCGGGACTATTGTGTCGGCACCTATGCCATCTATGCCCATCATGATAACCTTCCGGTCTTTGCATGATAATTTGCCTAGCGGTATCGCTGCGAAGAAGAGGTACGCTGATGCTTCAATTGGCCGTAAACGATATAACGATCATAGAAGGGAAAACTGCGCGACAGGGCATGTTGTTCTGTGTCCTGAATCCACCCTCATGTTTCCAGTACGACACATCAAATTCAATCAAATTTGTCACGTATGTTTCGGCACTCGACTTGCCGCTGTCGCGTAACGACGAGGTCAAGCTCGCACTTCTTCGCGTCCGGGTGCGGCCTGGACATATCTCACCAATTACAATTAATCTTGTGCGCATGTTCCCGGTCGGAACATGCAGAAGCTGGCGGCGGACCTGGACGGAATGCCCGCAGCGGCGGGTAGCAGGTAGACTCCTGCACGCAGCCTCGCACTTAGAGACCGCAGCCTCTGGAGGTGCTTCTCTGCGGCAATTGATGCATCATTCTCTACGCGCAGGCGAGGAAAAAGGTCAATGATACACAGGTGATTCTTACAGCATTTATCCCTCGCCTGGCGCGTTTCAGAAAGCATGTGGATTTGTGTTGAGTCTTCGTAGCGGGGGGTGAGAGGTAATATTTTCCCCGTCTCACTCGAAAGCGGAGGCCTCCCTCGTAGGCAGCCTAAATTCCACTAATCCCAGGTAGGGTGCTACAGGACACACCATGCATCGCGTGTGCAACTCTCTGGCCGCGCGAATTTAACACGCCCTCCACCCCTTTATCTAATCACAGAAACCCCTTCATCTTTGTTGGTTTCTTGCATCTCACTCGGTTTCGAAATTTCCCTCCGGCAGGTTCCTCGACTTCTGATCATGGATGCGTATCAGTTGCACCATGCCACGATGAAGCCGCAAACCAGACAACCCCCATCTCATTGCTGCTGTAGCGATGAGAATCTGCAGTCCGGCCTCAGCGCGAAACTAGCGAGGGAAACGGTGCGTCTCTCCGTTGGGCTTCAATTGGCTCCCTGTGTCGCTGTGTCGTCTGTTGTCGATGGCATTCTCTTCTATGGCCATAGTAAGATCAGGAAATTCGGTAATATGCGGCCGCGAGGAGCTCTCCTAACTCTGTAGCCAAATTGTGCCCAACTACTACCTGCGGCGTCTGCCTTCTGCTTACACACGGCGTATGGGTATGGCGTGCTCGCTGTAACATCGTATGTACATACGCATTGCGCACAGCTTACCCGCAATCATTGTACGGGTGCCACCGCCGTGCTGGAGGCTCTGACACTTCGGGGCGTGGCATCAATGCACAGCTGATAGTGTCACGCATCAGTGAACGTTGATGAGGCGTCCGGACTGTATGAGACCGGAGTTTCTTTGTACGTCATTCACGCAACATTGACAAGGGGTTTCCGATAGGATGCAGCCTGTGAAGATTGTTAACTTGTCTATTTTGCTCTCGGTGCCGGCGTTGAGGGGTGCCTCGACGACACCGGATCCTCGGGCACTAAGTGCACATTACTCGCGGTCGCCAAAAATACGCAAAGAAAAAGAAAAGGGACTTTTGAGCATTCTCGCTCAAAAGACCCCCGCACAAAGAAAACGCAGGATCATCGTAACACCGTATACACCACGAGCCACTCAGCCTGAACATTTAAGGTTCCCAAGATCGCCGATCGAGTTTGATGCTGATAGGCGCCCAATCAATACGCCAATGATAGAATAGGCACTGCGGCGGTGCAGTGCTGCATAGCATGACTTACGCGCACACTGACGCGATGCGGGACATGCTCGGTAATTGCGTTCGGTACTGGGTGTGTGTGTGTCTTCGATGATGCGTGTGCCTGTCACGGAAGCTAATTCGACGCGATGATGTTTCCGATGCGCACAGGTTCCGCGGTTCCGCGGCAGGCGTTCGCAACCAGTCGGGCGCTCGTACGGGTGTCAGTGTCAGTGTTCCGAACTGGGGTGGGGGACCACCCAGGTAGTACGATACGTGGCGGTGCGTACTATGCATGTACGCATTCTGAATCATCACGGCAGCCCGAAAGGGGATCCAGGACGTCCGATCGCGACGCATTGTCATGATCACGCCACACGCGCTGCAGTACTGCAGTGCCGGTGCTGACAGCGATTAGGTGTGTACAGCAGCGCCCACTGCGATCCATCATCTAGCAAGAGACTATGTACACACACTAGATGCACGTCGAATATCAAGATCCCCCGACGCCGCCCGACGTATGGTGCATCTCGGCGCGATGGCGGCACGGGGCGCGAGTCCACCTGGTGCAATGTAGAGTTCAAGTGGTGCGATGGACGTGCCGGGGCCCCGCCGCCTGTGTGTTTATCGCATCATGCATCAGCGACCGGTCTCACAGCGGGCAGCGCCCGCGGCGCCATGCTGCAGATCCACGGGGCGAACGCGTGTCGTCGCGATGTGCGTCTTGCGTCTCGAAGCGTGAGGCTTGAAGCTTGACCGTTCAATATCAATGTAAGCCTGTGTGCGCGCTCGGCGCACCTACGCCAGGCTGGCATATCAGCGCGGGGCTCCCAGCGAAACGAAACGCAGTGCAGCGAAACGGCGCGTGCTGGCGGTACATGCCGCTAGGACGGGGAGATGCATGGAGAGCTGCACCGTCACGCCATGTCTGAATTGCCGTCTGGCTTCTCCTTGGTCCCCCGGCGGACATGGACGTTCCGGTATACTTACCTGCTGTGCAGCCGGTGCGCTCCTGCGCTCCGATCACACAATGTGTGAGGGTTGGACGGGTCAAACGCGTCGCGCGGCGCGACCCGGAGGCGCGCATCACGCCCTCGCATCCGAGGGAGCGCGGTGTGCTTCCGCACACGGCGGCCGACTGTGCTAGCGGTCAAGGCTGGTATCCCGGGGCTAGCCATCCTCGGCGGTTGGCCTCCTACGCGAGGATGCGACGCGTGCTCGCGACGATGCGCGTCGATAGCCGCGTCGGGCTGGTCGCCTCGGGTGCAGGTGCACCACGGCCCGGGGATACGCGAGGAGGCCGGGGTTGTAGGCACCAGCGTGAACGGACTGCATGGCGGGTATGATAGACGGGAGGTACGCACCGCTACTGCCCTGCCGTCAGCGAGGTGGCAGCCCGCCGTCGGCAGCGGCCTGGAGAAGGCTGCGAGAGTGCACAAACGCGGACGTGCGTGGACCCACAGGACCACGGGCTTATAGCCCTAATATGGACACGCGGAGGATCGTGCGCCGATGGCATCTCAGATTCGCTCAATCGGCGGAAGATGACGATGCATGGAGAACGGCGCGAGTGAGTGACATGGGTGGCGGCGGGCACCTGCGCGGTGACAGGTCGTCGAGTGAAGCACGTCGAGTTGCGGTCCTTGCACGCGGACGCGGAACGGGAGAAGCGCACGCAGCGGAAAGGAAGCGCACGTAACGGCAAGGAAGTGCACGGATTGGGAACAAGGATGGGGGTTCGCGGGCGCACCGCCGGCACGCCCCTCGGGAGAGCAAGTCAATGCCGCGAAGAGATAGAGCGCGGCCCATTTGACAGACGGGGACGGGGGGATCAGCAGCTGACCCCGACAGCGTCGCGGACATTAGTGTTTGTGCAGAGATGAACAGAGGGCGTGGCGTCCCACGCGTTGATCAAAGTTGTTTGAGTTGGATAATCGGTGGCAGAACGCAGACGAATGAGGATGGGTGACCGAGACCGATGTCAGCGTGCTACGTCCTTCCGTTCTGCGATACAACATCGACGTCGGGCCGCACGAGAAGGCCGGTGGACGTGCCTTATGAATTCAGACGCAGGCTATTGTGAGAAGCCACGAAGCTACGACCTTCGCAAAGAAGCGCAGGGAGAGCTCGTGGAGGGCCTGAGCCAGTGAGACAGGCGGCTTACAGGGCGCCCACGATGGTCGGGCAGATGAGAAGCGGCGCGATTAATGTGGCGGGCACGAAGCGTTCCGCCGCTGTGGGAGGGGCGGAGGGGGCGCTGTGGGGGGACGCGAGAAGCGACGGTCGCACAGACGGGCGGGAGCAGCAGACGACCGAGGCGCCGCGTGAGGTGATGCGCTGTGAGGCGGTCAACAGGATCGAGATGAGAGGACGCACGCGGTGCCAAGGAAGAGAACGCAGAAAACGGAGAAGATAGGCCGCTGTGAGTAGGCAGCCGAGTTTGGGCAAGCAGTGCCGGCGTCTGCGTGCAGTGGGTCGTCGCGGAGCCGTGGACTGAGCGATGCCCGATTTGCTACAAGTACTTGATCGCCCCGCCAACATGGCCCGCCCTGTCCTCCCTTCGTCTTCCGCCCCCCTCCCCCTTTCCCCGTCTCGCGTCTGGTCTCAAGGCCCGCGTCGTCCTGCTCAACGGCGTGCCCTGGCGTCCCTGTTCCTGAGGATTCGCCGCCTGGACAAGCCTGACTCTCCTTTCGGCTCCCGGTCTTTTTCTTCCCAGCCTCCGCCGTCCCCGCTTTGCCTTCTTCCTTCACGTACCCTATTACTATTTTTATAATGGCCGAGAAGCGGTTGTCCAACCCCTCCCCGGGACCGAGCACCACTTTGCAAAGAGGTACGCCCCCCATCGTGCCTCGTCCGGCCTCTTCTCACCCTCTCTCCCAGGCAAAGCATGTCTCCGTTGTCGCAAGCGCAAAATGGTCCCCCTTTTCTCCCCCTCCATCATCACCAGCCTTGACTGACACAACCCTCAGAGGTGCGACGGCTCAAAGCCTGCCTGCCAACAATGTGTCCGCGCGAAAAAGGGCGACGCCTGCGAGTACGACGACGGCAAGGGCAAGACACGAACACAGCTCATGCGCGAGCACATCGCCCGCCTTGAGATGCGCATCAAGGAGCTGGAGAACCTCGATCAGACCTCCCCCTCCATCACCCTCTTCGACCCCCACGCCCCGTCCCCCTACTACTCGGGCTCCTCGTCGTCCTCCAGCCACGGCTCCCCCAGCGCCCTCAGCCTCCCAGCCTCCGTCTCCCCAACGCCCTTCCCTCAGGGTGAGCGCGGCACTCCCAGGGCCGCGATGAGTCCATTGACCGCATGCCATACAGAGGTGGACTTGTCCTGGGAGTCACAATGGGAATTAGCCGTTTGTCTTCTCGCTCTGGCCATCATTTGTTCGCATCTGACAGCTGACAGCAGGACTACACGCCCACTAACAACATCACGGAGGCCTACAGTCCCTCCGAGGAGCCCCCGTTCGAGCTTGCCCAGGTCCTGTGCGTGATCCGCTTGCCCCCCTGCCCCCGTGCGCTAACGGCGTTGGTCTTTGCAATCCAGGCTGGAGATCTTTCTGCCCCACCGCCACCAGTGCGGCCTCGACATCCACGTCGGCCGCCTGCGCGAGTCCCTCGCGCTGCCGCCGTCCGAGCGCCGGCACCCCGTCCTGATGCACGCGATCTACCTCTGGGCGTGCTTCCTCTCGCGCCCGGGGCCCCTCGCCGAGCAGGAGCCGCACTTCCTCGCGCGCACGCTCGCGGCGATGCCCGACGCGCTCGGATCCCCCGCGCACGCCGTCGACCTCGTGCGCGCGACGTGCCTGCTCGCGCTGTACTACCTCGCGAACGGGCGGCTCTTCGAGGGCTCGCACCACGCGGGCGTCGCCGGCGCGATGGCCGTGCAGTTTGGGCTGCACCAGATCGACGCGGACGACGGCGCGGGGCTCGGCGACGAGTGGGAGGCGGGCGCGCGGCTCCCGCCGCCGCAGGACGCGGTCGAGCGCGGCGAGCGCATACTCGCGTTCTGGCAGGCGTACAACCTCGACCGCTGCTGGAGCGTCGCGCTCCGCCGCCCGAGCGCCATCCCGGACAGCGACCACCCGTGGGCGGCGATCACGACGCCGTGGCCGCAGCGCATGGACGAGTACGAATGCGTGAGTCCCCCCTCCTTTTCCTTCCCCCGTCTTGCCGTGTGCTGTGCGGTTGTCTGGTCGCGGTGCAGGGTTTAGGATTGGGATGGGCGCGATGGAGATGGAGGCTGATTTGGGCGATTCATTTCATACAGGGCGAGGGCGCCGCGGCGACCGGCAGCCCGACCGTGCGCGGGTTCTTCGCGCACCGGGACCAGACGGCCGGCTTCTCGATCGCGGCGATGCGCGCAAAAGCCTCTGCGCTCTTCGAGGCCGCGAACCGCCTCTCCTCCAGCTGGACCAGCCGTACGTCCCGCGCATACGCATTCCGTTCGCGAGCAGAGAGCGCTGACGTCTTGTCCCGTCCTGTTTCTCGCACAGAGGCCCCGTCCGCGTCCCTAGTGGAGCACTTTGGCGCGCTCGAGCACACGATCGCGGGGTTCGCGGCGACGCTGCTGCCGCTGCACCAGCTGAGCGCGGCCGCGCCCGAGGACCGCTTCGCGCTGCTCGTGGTGCACAGCCTCGCGCACGCGGCGGTCGTGCGCCTGCACGTGCCGTTCATGGACGGCGACCCGCGCTCGCGCGACAAGTGTCTCCGCGCGGCGCGCGCGCTCGCGCTCGTCACGAAGCACGTCGCGGATGTGGACTACGACTTTTTGGACCCGCTGCTGGGGGTGCGTCCGCCTGTCTGCTCTCTTTGGTCGGGCCGCGTGCTGATGGTCGTTCGGGTGTAGCCGTGCTGGTCGTCCGCGGCGAAGGTGCTCGAGGCGGAGCACGCGTGCCTGCAGGCGTCGTGGCCGCCGCTGAACGCCCTGGAGGTCCGCGCCGAGCTCGGGGCCATCCTCTTCGCGCTCACCAAGCTGAGCGCGCGCTTCCCACTTGTAGGTGCGTCGTCGCGGTCCCCTGTCTCCCGCCTTCGCCGGGCGCTGTGGTGCTGATATCGTGCGTGCGTGTGTGACACAGGCTACCAGGCGGCCAAGATCCAAAACTTTCTCGAGTCGAAATAGGGGCCCACACGAGGACCGCGCGGCCGCCCCCCGCTTTCTCCGCTTTCCCCTTCCCAGGCATGCAGATACGCCCCAGGCATGTCGATACGCCCCAGGCATGCAGATACGCCCCAGGCATGCAGATACGTCCACGACGTTTTGGTTTTTCACGTTCTTGACGAACTTCACGCTCCTTCGCGCACTCGCGCAGCTGCTTATTTTTCACGTTTGGTACGCCCGAGCCGCGGTGGCTCTTCACTCTTCGCACGATCGTTCGCCCGGACACTTCATGGACACGGACACACGGACACGGACACTTCACGGACAAGCGGACAGTACTACACATCACTATTACGGACTTGCGTCGCACAAGCGCGGACACTGTTACCCTCTCGTACGTAGCGCGGACTACCTACGCCCTGTTACGGCTACTACGCCCTGTTACGGACCACCCCCGGCCCCCCTCACGATACGCGCTGTGCGGACTTGTTGTTTACCTCGTTGCCTCGCGGACTCTCGCGCACCCGCGGACACTGATACCATACTGACACGGAGTTGGGACTTTTTGTACACACGGACTGCGCGGACTAGTAGGTAGTAGGCGGCTCTGGCTGGCGGTAGTTTAAAGTAAAAGCGGACTCGCACTGTACGATCACCCCCCCATATTTAGCATAGCGTAGCGTCGTTTGTTCGTTGCTGTCTTTTTTTTATCTGGGACTAATGCTGTAGACATAGACACTCACTTATTGGGCTCTGCGTAGGCTACTGACCTTGCTAGTAGGTAGCGGCCTGCGCCGGATCGAAGCAAAAGAAATATTTCTAACCTGCCTTCCTCTCCGCTTAATATCAGCCAATTCAAGCGGATAGAAAACTGGACAAAATACCAGCCAGCGGACTAGTCGTCGACTCCAGATATTACGCAGACCGAGGGCAGTACGGCTCGTCATACATCCAGGTATCTATTTTGATCGTGACACTAAATCCTGATCGTGCACGGCTCGCGGTAGCCCAATAGCCTCGGTAAAGTACTGCTACTCTTCGCCCTAAACTATCTCCGACCTGGCAGAATTTGCCGTTGTCTGCCTGAAACGACCGGGCGAAGGCGGGCATCGCGGATCCGGATGCGCAGATGAATGCCTGTGCATCGCAGACGTGGCTCATGCCGCACGAATGACGGCTCCCCCCATCTGCTGGCGAATTGCAATGCGCCGCATCTACCGACTGATACGCGACCGTTCTGCAACATCACTTGACGGATAGACCTGCGGTGTGTTCGACCCAATCCACTAGCGCTGTCACCCTCCTGACTGCCGCGTCGCTGGAGCCGAGTCTAAGGTCCGGGCGCAAGCGGCTGTCTTCGGGCATGCAGGGCATGGTCCGATAGCAGATCTGGAGCGTCGAATGGAGGTTGGGCGACGCGGACAGACTGACGGGGACGGCGCCTTCGCGTTCAGGCTCGACGCCACTGCCCGGGGCCCAACTGGCGAGGACATCTGTGAACACGGTGTTAGGGGTCAGGCGTCTCGTCCTCGCGCCTGAAAGTCTATCGATCGGACATACTCTCGAAGAGCACTACGTCTCCGCGTTTGATGCTCGTGGGCACGTCGGGGTCAGCCCCGCCCCAGCTCTCGGCGACCTCACGCCACGCGGTGAGCTTGCAGATGGCCCCGTCATCGTCGCCGATGATAAGCTTGAGCAGCGAGACTTCCTTGCCTGCGTCTACGCCCCGTTTGACGCGGATGGTATCCGGGCCCTCTGCCTCGAGCACGGCAGCGAGCGCCATGACCTTCCGCGAGCCTTTCTGGACTGGCCCTGAGCGGGCTAGGTGCTGCTGGGCCTCCGTGAAGAGCGCAGACAGGCTGGTCACCGCGTGGAGATTGAAGTGGAAGCTTGGGAAGCGTGCGATCGATGATTCGTTGGAGTAGTTGTACGACGCGGACCCTTGTGTCTCCTGCGTCTCGGGTTGAGAGCGGAGTCGTGAGGCGCCCAAAGACGGGCGCAAGAATGATACCTTTGAGTCAAGCATGCTTTGGGACGCTGCTCCACCTAGGGTGGTGGCCGGCCAGGTAATGGCGGTAGTTTGATCTGACGTGGGCAAACTCGCGAAATCTGTGCGGAAACATTTTTGAGAATGGACTCACCTCGTATATCAGTTCTATTGGCGCCGCTGAGAGGAATGTCATCATCAACTGCATCGTCCGGATGCTCGTCGGATTCGCCGAATATGATATTCTGGTACAACAAAGAAATACGAAGGCTTGCGGCCCCCAGCGTCGCCGGTGGAAAGCCATACGCCGGTGTTTTTGAGGACACAGTGCGCCAGTGATAATCGCTCGTTGGTTGTGAGACATCCTTAGCGGATGGGGCCCCGGTAAAGACACGATATGTTTTCGTCGTCCTTCTGTCTGTGCCGGTATGGCGAGTCATCTCTGAGATGGGGTTATGCGTCCACGCTTTAATGAACTCTGTCTTCCTCTAGTCATTCCCATTGTGATCGGATGGTATCGCAACAGGGACTGATCTGCTCTGCGCCACTGATGGTGTTTGTCCTTACCAGTCTGTCGGGCGCCAGGACCCCGGTCACTCCTAGAGGGCGGCGTTGCCTCACTCTCATTAGACGTTCAACCCTTGAGTAGCACATGTGTACTATAATTTAAATCATCATCACTCACAGTTGGCACTTCGCTTATAGAGTGGGAATAATGGCTGACCATATACAAAGATGATCTGATGTGTGTTCTCTTTCGTGTGTGGGCTCTCTGCTCAGCGGCAACTGGTAGGAAGGCTGTATATACTACTGACCAGCAGGATCATGTCTCGCCCAATTGTGTTTGTGTCAACAAAACAGCAACTCTGATTAATGTATCTAATGAGTAAGTACAGACTTTAGTTGGTGTAGTAAACAGCAACTAAAGTTCATGTTACTAAATATCAGGATATGGCAATAGGTTTATAAGGATGAGGAATCAGTGCGACAGGCACAGGTATGCCAAGGGTGCATCATAAATATGCTGATCCTGACACAATAATGGTACGAGTATGTACCCAGGGTATTCTCTTAATGAGGTACGAGCGACGTTGGATCTAGCAACTACCAGTCAGAGCTTCAGTGATGTAAGATCAACTGAAGCTCGCATCAAGACAGGGACGGTATATAATGTATCGTAACGCAGTGAGTCACCAGTATCTATGGTACGTGGCTAAACGAAAAGAAGTCCGGATATATAGTGCGGGTCAGGAACGCCAGGGGTGCGACAACATCGCACTGATCCTGACGCGATAACGCAGTGTCATGCGCGTGCACACATGCAGGGCAAATGGACGCGCTTGGCCGTCAACATATTCAGCCACACTTGTCTGTCAATTGACTGGTCTCAGCACTGCTACGCAATTTTGCTACCATAACACCCCATTCACTTCTTGTCTTCCTTGTTCTACTGGCACCATGAGCGACAGACCTCCTCCCCAAGGCAGCCTTGCAGCCATTCTGACTGATTTGGATGACGAAGATAGCCAGCCATTCACCTGTGAACGCAAAAACTGTCGCATCAAAACCTATACAGCGGGACAAACTGGCAGACACTATATACATAATAAAACATTCACTGCATCTTCAGGCGGTCTATGGGTTTGTGATGAGTGCAAACAGCGCTACAAGAATAAGGAGCAAACTGTGAAGCGAGACACCTTAAGTACCACAGTCAACTCACTTCTAATTCTACAGTAAATTCATTCATACATTATAGAACCAATTGACCGAAGCAAGATGATTGCAATGCAGTTGACAGATGCTACTGATACTGTCAAAATCAAACAGCAAGTCGCGCAAGGCCAGCGGGGAGGTTTGTAATTATCATTTTACCTTAAAAGACTCTCTAATTGCTTTTGATCCCGACACGATAATGGTACGAGTATGTACCCAGGATATTCTCTTAATGAGGTACGAGTGACTGGTGAACACGTCGTGGAATCGGGGCATGCGGCTCCGCGCTGTACGAGGTGTCTGAGGACGCCTCAGAAGAGACCGGCCTCATCTATTGATACAAGTGACAATCCAGATAGAGACTGAAGAGCCCAGAGAGACAGCCCACCAGGGTCAGCGACAGGTCAATATACAGGAGCAGCATAAAAAGCGCCAGAGTGAGACGAGCCTGCAGAGCTTGTTTCTTTGCCGAATTCGTCCAGCAAGATGAGAGATCTCTCCGTCGCATTTCTGAGGGTCAGTGTTACTTGAGATCGAGCACATATGCGGATTGCACCTGCGTCCAGAGCCACAGTAGAACAAACGTGTCGACCACAAATTCTTGTAGTGGATGGCTGTCCACCTCGCGGGTGAGCCCCTCACACAGTTACAACGTGATCACGTTTCCATACCGGCCCTGTTTGATGTCCAACACATTCTCCTCCGTCATTTGTGGACGGATGTATTTGCACGCTCTCGATTCCACAAGAATCTTCTCCAAGAACGATTGTACAATCTCGATTTCTCGATCTGCATGCCATTAGCAATTTTGGTCAAGTACAACAAACTCACTCTGCTTACTGACAATTGATGGGTGCAAGTCTCCTATGTGCACGTCCATATCTGTGGAGCAATGCAGGGGAGTCCACTACTCGCGCCTTCTCAAGTTCGATGCCGCCATCAGGCCATGCGGGCGGGTGATAAGTTCCCCTCCTGACGCCTCCCTGTTCGCCTACCTTTGGTGACCGCACGCGGCTCGCTGCCTGCGAGATAGCTCGCGCCCCACGGTGTTTGTGGAACGCACCTTGTCCGCCCAAAACCTGTAGGGTACCCACGCCCTGCGCTGCGCTCCCGTCGGAGTGTTTCCGTCCGAGGGCGCGGAGCCTACTGCTAAGAGCTATTGGAGGCTCGACTACACTCTACATGTGCCTAGTATAAACCCGTCGATTTTAGAAAAATAGTTCACTACTCGTACCGCATGTGTATATACTTACCGTGCATTTCTTGTGATTTAAAGTAAATGTGTGATCTTTTCGTTGTATAATAAGTATCTTCAAGAGCTGTCTGCACTCAGAAGAGAATTTGCGCACATAGGAGTGTTCAGGGTCTCAATCTAGCGGCATGAGCCGGCAGAGCCCGGCATGCAATGCCGGTGACCTTTGTTTGCAGCAGAGCAGTCCCTGGTGGAGCAGATCAGTCCCTGTTGCGATAGGATGGTAATAACATGAGCTCACATTCACTGTCTCAAACATGTCACGACCACCGTGTAGTTTCACGCAATGTGTTGGAATGACGGAGGGTCTCTTGAATTTCTAACATTGTGTGAGACATTGGCATTAGTACTTACGATATTGGAAGGGTTCAGGGACGAACCCGAGGCGATCGAGATCTAAGTTGATCTAAGGGGGTGCTGTATACACCCATCTCTCACGTGACCTGTGTTCGCGTCTCTTCAACGGCGCGTCCCAGTCGACTCGGACAGGCACTGACGCGGTCAACAAGTCTTGAAACCGGCTGTTTGTCTTTCTCATCCTACCATCGTACTCACTGAGGTGATTCTGGTCTCTTGGCTCACAAACGAATATACTGGTATCCCCTCATTCCGTGGAATAATCGAAAAAAGGCGGAGGCTGATTGCACGACTGATCTAAGAAAGTACCTTGGAGTCCGTTTCGTTTCAAATCGCTGTCGGGCTTACTCATAACAATAAGGAAGCTGACATATCTTCCTGTCTCAGAAGTACATATATATTGAGACGGCGCTGGCCCAAGTGCTAACTGCCGGTTCAGCTACTCTGCATATTGGTCGCTGTCACAGAATAAGACGCTCTCTCCAGGTCAGTCGATCTCGTATAGTGCTGCGTTTCGCATCATTGAACCATATTGGCGTGCTCTTGACGTATAAGTGTTTTAGCTGACTTCCCGGGACTCAAAGATCCGAGTTACGAAGCGCACAAGGTAACTTTAGACGCGCCTTTCTGATAAGTCGAATGTCCCATCCTATCGACGTCCCGGCTGGTACCCGCTCACCCGTTGCAAGCCATCACACCGATGGCTCACATGCACGCGCTCCTGGAAGTGTGATCTTTGTCGGATCTCCCGAACACACGAGCCAACTAGACACCATGTCTGTCGCTTCCCACCCTACTGGACGATACAACACGATGTCGCTTGGCACTTCGAATGGCACTTCACGACCGGGGCTCGGACGGAGCATCTCATCTTCAGTTGTTACACCTCAACGGGGATCGGATGCGTTCTCTCGGATGCACGACATCACAGCTTCGCATTCGCGTCGAACGCACCGCGGACGACGGGAATCACGCGAATGGAGCGTATTCGGACAGCTGTACGACACCGCAGATGATCAGCCCAAAACGCCCCGAACAACAGCAGCCCGTCAATCAAATTGTAGTCAAAGTGTCAACGGCTCGACCACGCATCCGCGTACCGTATCATCGCCACAGGATACCATCCCTGCAAGTACTGTCCAGTCGCCGGTAGATGATTCAAACATGGGCACTCCTTTCGCAAATTCCAGAAGAGAGGGAGAGGCTCTATCCTCGGACGTCTCACAATCGGATTCCGATACTACAGAGGAGCTTCATGCTACGCGTCAGTCCTCACGGCAAAATTGGTACTCATTTGTTCGGATGCCCACGTTAAGTCCATTACATCGTAATATTCTAAAATGTGCAATTGCATACCTCATCGGCTCGCTGTTCACATACTCCCCTTACTTGTCTGGTTTCATTGCCGACCTTACAAACTATGGGCCTGGAGAATCCATTCCATCACCCTCCGGACATATGGTCGCTACAGTGTGAGTCTTACTTTACATGCTTCGAGGTGTGGCCATCAACAATTATTCACTTTCAGCGCTGTATATTACAACCCTGCGAAGACTTTGGGCGGAATGGTCGAAGCAGATATCTTCTGCACGATGGGTTTGCTGTGGGCAGCGTTTGTCTCGCTATGCAGCATGACCATGTTCTGGTTTTTCGAGGTTCAGAGGGGCTGGGAGTGGTTAGCTGACATACTGGTGCTCCTGTGGATCGGTGTTGGAATGTCAATTGTTGCATGGATGAAAGTATGGATGGCTAAGCCCTCCTTCAACACTGGTGCGTGCATTCAGTGGTATCGAGTTGATTAAATCTGAAGCATACCCAGCATGCAGCATGACTTCTATCATATTGTTTGTTGTGTAAGTCTTGAGGCTCTCCATGGGTACAATGTACTAAGGTGCGCAGCGTCGTGAAGGAGGGTGGTCTACAGACCCTTCTACAGGTCTCGTTCATCGTACTATGTGGCGCGACTGTGTCCAATCTTGTCTGCGTCCTCCTGTGGCCGCAGAGCGCGACGAAAAATTTGCGCGACACCATGACGAAGACACTCCAATCCTTCTCCACGCTCCTCGGAATGGTTACCGAGACCTTTCTGCTGGAAGAGCCACAGCACCACGTGAGCCGCGACAAACTGCAGCGCGCCGCAGAAAGCCATCAAGCGAGTTTCACGAGCCTGAAGAAGCATTTCATAGAAGCTCGGTCGGAATGGATGTTTGGTGGACCGAAGAACAGCAGCGGATACGACTTGGGCGGTCCGCGGGTCGGCACGGCAGACGCGTATCAAGATGCGATCGACAGTCTCAACAGGTTAGGCCAACACCTAAACGGTCTGCGTAGCGGGACCGACCTTCAAGCTGAGCTGATCAAGGCTGAGCGGGATGGAAAGTTGGTCTTGAAGACGCGCTCCGTGGGGCGTCGAAGTGGACTACAAGCGCCGGACTACCTCGCATTGGACGGGAAGGGCGACAAGCCAGCTGGTGACGAGGAGACAGCAATCCTGCAGGCTGCGGCATCCATGTTCGGCGATCTGATGGACGATCTAGGGCCTCCTCTGAAAGCGCTATCGGTATGGTCGTGCCCATGTCTTCTGACGTCATCTGCTCATCTGTCTATAGACAGCTTGCATCGCGACACTCAAGCGGTTGCGAGAAGGTTTCGCGCAGCCTCTCAGTGTTACTGATGACGATTCCACATGTACCGCCGAGTATCGAAAACTCACCGAGAGTATCCAGCGTGCGCTATTCACGTTCGAAAGCACATCCAACCACGCAGTGCTGAGGTTTTATCGAAGCCATAATATCTCAACTAGTCAATCTAGAGCATCGTTGAGTTCCATGGTGGACGAAAACCCCATTCTCGCTGGGTCTGATGGGGAGAGTATCTTCTTGGTGTATTTGTTCGTGGTTTGATTGCTCCATTATGTCCGCATTAGCTCACATACACTGATTTTAAGCTTCATTTTCACTCTTCAAGAGTTTGCCAAGGAGATGGTTCTACTCGTTGATGCATTTGAACGTCTGTATGCGGCGGAGCGCGCACAAGCCGCTGGAAGAAATTGGTTGAAGCGATTGTTACGCGTCTTTATCTCTCAGAGGTCGCCGCGCAATACGCGTACCGAGGGCAATTTACGGAAGCGAATTTGTGTGTTTCGTGATATATTGACGTTGCATGATCTCGATACTGATTCTCACAATAGCCACATACTTCACTCCCGAGCAAGCCCGTCGTAAGCCGACATACTTCCCAAAAATTACACCCCATGCTCCCAACACAGTGCAGACACCAGCGCGAGCTCAACTCACGTATATCGGGAGGCTAAAGCAATCCTTATGGACGCTGGGCGCACGGTTGAAAGAGCAGGACATCAAGTATGCTTTCAAGGTCGGAATGGCCACAGCCATGCTTGCGGCTCCGGCTTTCTTCGACTCCACCCGGCCGATGTTCGTACACTATCGTGGAGAGTGGGCCCTGATCTCGGTGAGCGCAGCTCGTGTATGGCAAGGATCAGAATCTTATGGGCTCGCCATCTAGTTTTTCGTGGTAATATCACCCACAATAGGAGCGGTGAGCTGCGCATTGAGCGTTGTCTTTTTTCCTGTCTCATATTTCACGGCCAGACCAATTTCATGGGTGTGCACCGCGTGCTAGGGACGTTGTGAGTAGTCTTGTCTGATGGGGACTTAACGTCAGTTTGCAAATGCTGTTACGCACGTAGATGCGGTGCAGGAGTAGCCGCAGCAATATGGACGGCATTCCCAGAGAATCCGTATGCCCTAACCATTTTCGGCTTTTTCTTCTCTCTTCCCTGTTTCTACTACATCGTCGGTAAGCCCGTATATGCGACGTCGGCACGCTTTGTGCTGCTCACGTACAATCTCACTTGCCTCTATTGGTCAGTCCGAATCATCTCTGCTTTCCGAAATTTCCTCTGACAGACGACTGCCTTCAGCTATAATCTGAGGCGTAAGGACATTGAGGTGATCGATGTCGCGACCAGTCGTGCTCTCTCTGTCACAGTTGGCGTTGTATGGGCGGCCATTGTGTCGCGTTATTGGTGGCCAACCGAGGCAAGACGCGCTCTTGGCAGAGCTTTAGGAGAGTGGGTACATCGGCTGCTCCTGCACAGCTCCGCTCTAATCACTGCATTCTAGCTTCTGCTTGAATATGGGTTGGCTTTACACACGCTTGGTGGCATTCAACTCCTTTGCCGACCATGATCATTTCTTAAGTCATGAAGTTGACCATACAAATGACGAAACGACCGCGTTGCTACGTGATTCCTCCCATACACAGATAGCCAACTCTATACATGAATTTATGGCCATGTGGGTTGGAGGTCATCCTTCTCGGGCGCAGCTAATACGATGACTAGGGAATTGCATCTGCAAATCAAACTAATCGAACTGCAGGGCTTGCTGGCGCAGACACAACACGAACCGCGACTGAAGGGACCATTCCCCGTCGCCATGTATCGCTCGATTCTCACTAGTCTTCAAACCATTCTAGACAAATTACATAGCATGAGATGCGTAACGTCGCGTGAAGAATGGTGAGTAGCAATGCGAGATGCGTCGGGACTAGTCTGACTATTCGACAGGCATACGGTAATTATACCTCCTTTCTGATAAACAACATCTAAAATGAGCATCAGACGGTCCACCAGGACTTCATCCTGCCAGTCAATAAGGAGAGGCGAGAAATGGTCGGAAACATCATCCTTTACTTCTCAACCCTTGGTGCCGCATTCAGGCTGAAATCGCCCTTGCCGCCATATCTGCCTCCTGCGGAGGAAGCGCGGCTTCGATTAGTACGTGGTCGACTTTTTCCTTCTGATCTTTCTCGACACTGAAAACAGTTTCCCCTGCACACAGGTTGAGGCTATCAGACAACTCGACGTCGTGCGCAATAGAGACGTGCGAGGCTCACGACAGCTGCTCTTCTTCGCATATGCTCTCACGATGAAAGGTGTCATTCATGAACTCAACTACCTCGGACACACACTACAAGATGCTTTTGGTGTCATCGGGCAGTCGACAGAGGAATTTGAGGCTCTGTTTATCAATACCGGCACCGAAGGAGATCACCGGGTAGTCTAACATAGGCACTGCACGATTTGCACCCTGTCGCATTGTACAGTATCAGCACCCCATAGATTATCTTGCCATTCCAATACGATGGCCTCATCAAGACTACTGTCCTATCCTAACCACTAGCAATCTGCGGTCTCCCGCAGTACCGAAAAGACGTTATGTCAGGTGCAGATGCGATTGTTATGGCTTAGTCCTTCTCTTCCCTCTCCGTCCAATCGGCCCTCTGCCGCTACCACCAACCTGCAGCCTATCCAGTAGTGACGTTCCCGAAGCTTGGCTATCCGCCACAGGTGAGCTACGGCGCGCAGCGCCCTTGATACTGTATCCGCCCATCGGTGCATTGAGTGCATTTTGCGGACGGCTTTGCGCTGTGTTGAAGGTGATTGGTGCCGGCTCCACTCGCCACCTTGCCGGTATAGAGCCGCTTGCCTGCATTGCGTGGCCGCCGTTCGACGATGTAGCTGCTAAGCGGCTGAGCAATGACGGGGTGTCCCCGGTCTCGCCCGGACCCCCGCCCTTCTTCGCCCTTTTCGCTGTTCTATATTGGTCGTCAGACGGTGCTGTTCGCCCGTTCTGGGTGCTGTCTGCTGTGCCCATAATCGTCAACTGCTGTCGTGGCTGCACTGCATTTATCCGTGGCGGTTGAGGTCTAGTAACTGCCGAGGTTAACGGTGTTCCGTTGGGAGGTGCTGCTGTCGTAGGAGTTGGCGCCGCTGGCCGGTCTTCATACTTCCGCTTCACGTTCATGATGCGACGTTCCGACTTGCTGGTACTGGTGCTGCCGCTCGTAGCTTTCGACAGGTCAGTAGTTGAGGGGGCCGCCGATGTCGACGCAGCCGGGGCTGGTGGCTTGGCAGACGAGAGGAGTGACTGCTCAAACAGAGAAGAGATGATGGTTGGACACAAACGGCTAAAACGAAAGACGGCCCATTGCGAACCCTAATCAGGTTTTGGATATCCTCCAAATTATCCACTTTGCTTGTCTGTCCTTGCGCTGTCGCAAGAGACTGGATGTGCTGCAAGATTGTTGCCATGTGAGACGGAACCGTCCATTTGTAGTCATCCTTGTGCTTGAATTAATTCAGTCAGAGAGGCACACGCTATCCGACGAAGCATGCTTACTCGTTGACAAGCTCGCAAGAATACGTGGCAAGCTTGCCACGGTCTTCGCTCCGACATTGGAGCCTCGGGAAATACCTACAATCGTAAGGATACGTGCCATAGTGATCTAGCTGGATCAGGCCAGTCTCACCTGGAGCAGCAGAACACAAACGTCTGGTATTTGTTTGCGGAGGAGAGCATCCTCGGTGGGACTCTGTCCAGTTCCTTGTGAAGATCTTTCCTCGTATGAGTTGATTAGGTCGGCGATTTGCGACAGCACAAAGATCTGGGCATCCTCGTCCAATCTCAGTAGGGTGATCTTCGAAGACAACGACGTAAAATAGAAGCGGAGGAGAGGCGCGGGCTGAGTGACTCGCTTCTCGATGACAATGTGTGAAGCAAGGGACAAATAATGTCGCGTTTGCTGCATAGACGACCGTTCGCCGCCAGACGGAAGCTCGGCTTTGAGAGACGCTCTTGCGCGTTCAAGTAGAAGATCCAAAAGTTCTCTGCCTCGAGGTGATGAGGGCTTGAACGAAGGCAGAGACATGAGTATCTCCTTCACGATCACATCGATTTCGCTAGGAGGCAGCTTCCCAACAGCCTAAGTAGGTGTGCGTCAGCTACTCTGAAGCCACTCGGCACCATGAACAATTGACCTTCAGCATACCCCCGACAAGCGTCTCTTCAGCAGCACTGCCAGGAATACTCGTATGTCGCTCAACAATGGCACGCTTCGCCTCGCCTGTGATGAATGCTAATACTAGTGAGCGGAGCCGGTTACGAATAGCTAGCTCCTCTTCGTCCATTGGCTCGTCTGAAGGCACGACTTGATCACACAAGACTCCCAGCGTGACTGCGGGGTCCATATCAAGGTGTTGAGACAGCGATCGCTTAACCACCAGGACTTCTTCGGGTTCGTCTGATACGGGGGACACGGTATGGGTGGGGATCAATCGCCGGCAGCCACATAACGAACGCAGGTCGATGGGGAGGTTTGACAAACGACCAAGATGCAAAGTCGGTGAAGCGAGGTAGGTGGTATCGTCCTTTTCAGTGCTGCAATCACTAGCAGAGTGAGTCGTGCGCCACACGCACCGCTTTGTAGGAGCTGAACAAGCACATCCGCATTCCTCTTCACCCACTTCAGCTGCTCTCTTGACACGTCGACAATGGCAGCGTATCCCGTTATTCGAACCTATGCAATGGCGGCGTAGGTGGAGGGGCATCGTAGATGATTTAGAACGCACCTTTGTAACCGGATCTTCGCAAAGATCGTAGACCGCATTGATAGCCTCATCCTCAAGGTCTGGGAAGTCTTTAATGAAAGACTTCAAATTGTTCGCTGCAATCATTTTTAACTTTGGATGAGGCGAATGTGCAAGGTCGATTAGCCGCTTTAGAACCTCCTTGCGCTGAGCCGGCCACAGATTAGCTTGGTGTGTACAACGAGAAAAGCGGCTTACCGCTGCAGAAGTTCGGATTGGATATCGTTCGGCCTTGCGCAACACATCCTTAATTTCCCTCTCCTGGTCTTCAAGGCTCTTTGTCGTCATGATGTAAGAATGCGTCGTCGGTCGCCACCGTAGAGAGGGTTTGGGAGTGTATAACAGATCCGTCTCTTACCACTATTTACGATCGGCCAAACAGACACAAACAACTTGTTACTAACGCGTGGTGCTCTCTTTGTTCCTCAAAAGCAGCACTTTGCTTGTCTGGCACCCAACTCATCTTCGAGTCTCTATCATCCCAAGAATCAAAAGAAACATCCATGAGGTCTGCGTTGCTCCCATCAGATTCCCGTCGGATGACGACGCGAAGTAGCATGGCTTGTCCTTCAGTCAATAAATTCCTCCTACTCATCATACACAGCAAGCATCTCCAGTCTAGCCAATATCCCCTCCAGTGTATCGCCGCTGCATGGCGGTATCCTGCTCCATAATGCATTGTCCGCCCGATCCCGATTCTCTAGCGCTGGATTGTACATGTAGTCGTCTAGGTGCGACAATGCCTCGTTTGCGCCCTCGATAATTGGGACGAGTAGCTGGTCTCGATATCTTCGTTGTTGTTTGATGCTCCAGGTCACGGGCGGCGAGATTTCTTTCTGCAGCCACACAAGCGCGTTGGTGCCTTCGACGAGGACTCGCAAGGCGTCCTGCCACCGGAACGCGAACGATGTGACAATGGCCGCGATGACTGGATCCCATTGTACCTCTTGCCACCATATTTCGGGTGATGCATCTTGAGCGGTCGCTGGGATCATTGCAACATCTCGTTCTCGACAAACCTCTTCCAGTAATTTGCAGAGCTCGCAGACTGCCGCGTGTCTCAAGTTGACATGCGCATTGCCAATGAATGACAGTGACACAGAAACCAGCGGATCATTGCCGATGAGATACGTTATGTAGTCGCGGATGGTAGACGGGAGTTCATCCATCTTCAAGCCGGATAAGTCGTATCTATGAAGGTTGCAAACAGCCTGGGCGAGCGGACTATTGTGGGCGAGGCTGATTTGTGACATCGCGGGGTGGGACGGCTAGTGGGGGAGCTTGCAATTCATGAGGTGAGCAGTCAATGTATTGTGGGTTTTAACGCACTAAAGCCGATGAGAGAGTGCACTGTGGCTGATCAGGTCAGCAATTATCATCTTGCAATCATTGCATGACTCTATTTCTTCCAGTTGAGGTAGAGCTTCTGATGCGAGGTCTGATCCCAAAAGAGCTCGAAGCGAAGCCTACCACTGCCACTTGAATGATCGCAGTCAAAGCCCCGTGATGTCTGTCGGTCTCTTCGCCACTCCAAAATGCGTATCGAGCCTGGTCTTCCTGAAACAGCCTACCATCCTTGAAGGTACCACCGGTCAGTAGCGCTGTTTTTTGTTTTGCGAGACTGATAATGACAAGCAAACGCCTCACATGGCATCAGCTACTATGAGTTTTCAGCGGATGGCCTTCCTATAGATGGCCAGGTAAACGGTGCAGGCCCGCTTGGCGCGCAGGGGCTGAAGTCCTGCCCAGATGCGCGTGGCTCCACGGCGATCGCCAGGTTCATTTGCGACTCCGCTCGAGTCCGTTGTGGCCGTCGCGTTCTTGTCCGTGACATTGCCATCAGATCGCTCGAAAGAAGAGACTCCCCAACGAGTCGCCCGTTTGCTCTCATTCAAGTTGGACGTGAGAGCAGGCATAGGCGTATAAAAATGTAGGGGTTCACGTAATTGAGGGCACTGAAGCGCTTGGTCATTACGGCGCCACAAACCTGGCCGTCTATACGGGCGCCATCCACTGGTAATTGATAGTACTTTCCGACCACCGGGTGAGATGTGAATGCTTCCCTCGGCGTGCGTCTGCCACTCTGATTGTGCCTGGCCGGCGTGCCTGTCGTTCATGTCAGCTCCTGGCAACCCGTGTGAGTAAAGCGGTCAAGTCGTTGTATCGCAGCGCTGATATTTCAACGAGTGTAGGCCAAGCTCTCGGCCAGCAGCGAGGGGATACTCTTCGCAGCTGTGATGCAAGCAAACGAGGCCATTCGTGTTCCTTCGAGGCGAATCCGCGGCCTGGATGTGGCCATATAAGTTAAGCCTAGTCTCCTACACGGCTGTCCGACATCGGGTTTCAGTCATTGCTTTACCGCCTTTACTTATGCTCGGTGCATTTTGAACGAAATGGGCAAGTCCGGTGCCCTTTACGTCCGAGGCGTTCATTCAAAGTATGTGGTACGGCGAGGTGTGTGACAATCCAGACTTGTACCTTAATATCTTCTGACCTGTAGATGGAAGATGCCTTCGCCACGTCATCATGCTACAGTTCGCATTCCGGTATTTGTGAGAGCGCGGGTCAATCCAGGACAGGCTTAAGACACATTCAGCCAATCACTCTAGAGTGCCTGCCGCTGAGACTGTCAATACACGGACATAGGCAGTCGGAATCACGGTGCTAGGCATCTGCTCATCGGCTAACTGTACTTCCCAGCGAGAACCAGTTGCTCGTGCCTGGTATGTATGATATTCTCCGCAAAGCTAAGGAGATGCAACGTGCCTTGAAGTTTCACCGAAGACATCGAGAGGTCTCATGAGACAGCATATAAGGACGCTTAATCCAGACGTGAGAGGCAAGCTCCCGTGTCTGTCTCCAAAGCAACATTGCACACCGCGGCCAATGTCCTCTCGTATTTTTCTCACTGCGTTCGGCATACTGGCCCTTGGCGTTGCCGTACAGGCTTGGTGGCCCTGGCCCTTCCCCTGGCCCCCGTTCTCACCCTTCCCGCATCCTCATACGCCGACCCAGCCTGTCTCATTCGCATGCTACGGTGGTGGTGGTGACTGCAACTGTCCGGCGGACTTGACCGGGGCTAGCGGGGTCTTGATCAATGTTTACCCCGGATACCAATGCGCCTACCCCGCAGGCGCTTGCACCTGGGACGACAAGGTATTTATTTATCGGATCCGTACCGGATGCATCTGCGGAGCGCTGATATCGTCGCGATTTTAGACCGGCGCATTACAAAACACACTGCAGACAAACTGTCCGTCATCTGCACCATGCAGCACCGTCAGTGGTTGTAGCTGCCCGGCGGACCTCAACGACGACGCTGGTGTCATGATCAATCAGTTCACTGGGTATCAGTGCGCATACCCGAAGGGGGCGTGCACGTGGGACTATGTATGTCACTCATAATTTGTTGAGTAAAGTCGGAACTCGATGCTGATAATAACCATAGCTTGGGAACCTTACAAACACAGCCCAGACGAATTGTCCTTCATATGCAAAGTGTGCACAGCTTGCGTCGGATTCATAAATACCGCTTCAGCGGTTCCGATAATGGATTCTCAGTCGTGTCTACATTGACGCTAGGCTCATTGTGTTGCTGCTACTATGTGTAATACAATACTCCGTCGCTCTGTAGATGATCGCGAGAGGCTGCTGCGTAGGGGGGGGGAACGCTTCCATGAGTCGGCGGTTCATGTTCAATGCAATAATCCGACGCATTCTGATAATCACGATCTCTTCCAACGTCTCCATTGTAGTCCTTTGGGATCCTATGTGGGCAAGTCGGGAGTGACCTGCCTGTGCGGAGACCTAGGAACGCCCAAAGACAGTCATCTCTAAGCCGATAGACGTTACTTTGATGATGATGTCTCACGCATTTCCTTTGAGTGTGTCATCAGATATCATGAAGCTCCGCATTCAAGAAGGCCTGTTGACACATTTGTACACTTCCTCACTCTCGGTCTCGATCGAATTGGACCTAAGCCGACTAGAGATGGCGCGGAGGATTAAGAAAACAAACATCATGTGTCATCACCATAACCTTAAGAAATCGAGGCCGTGTCAATTCGGTGGTATGGACTGCGAGTTAAGGTCCACAAATGCGGCCTGCTGACTTTTCAGACTGTTGATTCGTCTTCTAATAACTACTTCGCGCTTCTATCTCCTAAAAGTCGCACACAGCAAGCAGCTCCCGTTTGTCATGTAACCTGATCACCAGGACCTCATGTGCCTGGCGTGACCTCTGTACGAAGTTCAGATGAGTATCGTTCCCAGGGGTTTTTCGCTTCCGAATCCTTCGAAAGGTTTCTTAAGAAGATTATGTGAAGCTACGTTACTGATCATGACGTCCACGTTTGTCGGACCTATTGGGCAGCTGTATCCTATGGTCAATACCCCGGATAACTGCCCAACATATAAAGACGTGCATAATTCACGTCGCTGCCCTTATCATCAGCTTCGCGAGATCCATTTTCCTCACTAGCAGCTGAGAACGCGACATCCTAACCTTCTCTCAACACTGAGACGCAGGGCTTTTAGCGGAACAACATGAAGGGTCTTGTTTTCGTGGGTTTGAACAAGATCGAGATCCAGGAGCGACCCAAACCACTGATAGTTGAACCAACGGATGCCATCATAAGGCTGGCCAAGACGACCATTTGCGGTAAGAATCAGGTCCTTGCCTATTTTCGTGCGCTAACTCGCTGTTCGCAGGCAGCGACCTGCACATTCTCAAAGGCCACGTCCCACGCGTCCCATTCGGGCGCATCATGGGCCACGAGGGCCTCGGGACCGTCGACGCCGTCGGTGCGAGCGTAACGCGGTTCAAACCCGGCGATCGTGTGATCATCTCGACGATGACCAAGTGCGGGCGATGCGAGTTCTGCGCGCAGGGGATGTACTCGCACTGTGCAGACGGTGGCTGGACGCTGGGCAATACCGTCGACGGCACGCAGGCGGAGTACACGCGCGTGCGTCACGCGGACGGTAGCCTGTACCTCGCGCCGTCGGGCGTCGACGAAGATGCGCTAGTGATGGCAAGCTGCATGCTTCCGACAGGCATGGAATGCGGGGTACTCAGCGGGCACGTGCAGCCTGGGTGCCGAGTCGCGATCGTGGGTGCGGGCCCCATCGGGCTGTCTGCACTGATGTCTGCACAACTGTACTCGCCGTCGGTCATCATAATGCTTGATTTGGACCCGGCGCGGCTGGAGGCGGGGCGGAGGCTGGGTGCTACGCACGCTGTGCTGTCTGGACCGCATGCGGTAGAGGAGGTGATGCGGATCACGGATGGCAAAGGAGTCGACACTGCAATCGAGGCAGTGGGGTCGCCCCCTACGTTCGAACTGTGCCAGGAGCTCATCGGGGTGGGCGGGACGATCGCCAACATCGGAATTCACGGTGGCAAGGTGGACCTTCACATGGACAAGCTGTGGGATCGAAACATCAGTGCGTGCGCAAGTGTGCTAGACATCACAGGGCTGACATCACCTTGCGTTCAGCAATTACAACGCGCATGCTGGACACGTTCGCGACTGGCAAGCTCCTCGAGCTACTGAAAGCTGGGAAGATCAATGGGAAGGCTCTCGCGACGCATTCCTTCCATTTCAACGACATCATAACAGCCTACGACACGTTCGCGGCTGCGGCTGCGAACCACGCGCTTAAAGTGATCGTCGATTTCGAGAACCCAGGACGCGAAAACGCACGGCTGTAGGATCGCAATGCTGAAGTCCAATTTGTTGAGTTTGTAATATACAGTGATTGAACTGTACGCACAATGTCACGAAATGCATTCTTGATTTTTACAGATCACAGATCACGGCGAGGGACCAGGACTCTGCGATGAAATGTCGCATTATCCACTGACTCCGTGGGATATTTGGGCATTTTGCGGGAGAGATGGCAGCTCAAGGACACCCCGATCTTAAGGGAATCGAGCCTAGTGTCGATGAAGGCGCACTCGGGAGCCGGGTGGCAAGCGACATGCTGCCCCACGGACGTGCTCGCGGGACAGGTCAAGTTAGCTAGATCCCCGTGATGGTGGTTATAGTGGAAGCAGGTCCTGTTAGTCTCTCGTAGATTGAGGCCATGTGATGATGATCGAAGCATTAGTCTACCTGCCAGCTCCATTTCATTGACATCGTGTTGACCTGCTCTGCTCATGAGCCTCATCGCTGACGCTTGAATACCTAGACATTCCCTAAGCCGATAAGATCTCAGGGAGGCAAAATCGCTGCCCATGTACCTGCACCTGCCGAGGAACAGGACTCGAAATCAGAAGCCGTCTTGAGCTTCGATGCATGACTATTTCGTGGAGTTGCACATGTGGTCTGACAATCCAGGCTACATACTGCTGTCCATTTTTCCGTGTTTCTATCCTATCATCCAAACATCCATACAAATTGAGCCTTCATTTCAACGTTCTGAATGTCCATGCGTTATCTGTATGCAGTGTGCGTTATCGGTGGGGAATGTACATACACGGTAAACTAGTCTCCATCGAGAAGTTTGTGGCGCGTTCAGGTACGCGCCTGTCATGGAAAGCTTTCGCCCCCCACAACTCGGGAGAGGCTTGCCTGAGTATTTGTTATAGCAGCCAGACATGGTGCCGAGAATTTCGGGCCTCTCTGGTAGCAAGTGACATCGCTGGTATCAATGCACTGAGAACAGCTACCTTCTCGGGCCCGTTTCAAGGTATAAAGGCGCGCATGTTCTACCTGCTACAATCATTAGTTCTGCGGTTTCCATTCTCCTCACCAATAGCTGAACTCACGAGAAGACCACTATGAAGGGGCTTGTGTTTGTAGGCTCGAACAACATCGAGATCCAGGAGAGACCAAAGCCCGTGATAGTCGAGCCAACGGACGCCATCGTGAAGCTGGTCAAGACCACCGTCTGTGGTAAGGATTGCGCCCTTGCACGCTCTCGCGGGCTGACACGCTGGTTGCAGGCAGCGACCTGCACATCATCAAAGGACATGTCCAGTACATTCCATTCGGGCGCATCATGGGCCACGAGGGACTCGGGACCGTTGAAACGGTTGGCGCAAGTGTAACGCGATTCAGACTCGGCGACCGCGTGGTCATCTCAGCGATTACCAAGTGCGGGCGTTGCGAGTTCTGTGCGCGTGCGATGTACTCGCACTGCGCGGACGGCGGCTTCACGCTGGGCAATACCGTCGACGGCACGCAGGCGGAGTACGTGCGTATACGGCACGCGGATGGTAGCCTGTACCTCGCGCCGCCCGGCGTCGACGAGGACGCACTGGTGATGGCGAGTGACGTGCTCCCGACGGGCATGGAGTGCGGTGTGCTGCTAGGGCGCGTGCAGCCCGGGTGCTGCGTCGCGATTGTTGGCACGGGGCCCATTGGGCTATCGGCGCTGATGTCTGCGCAGCTGTACTCGCCGTCGGTAATCATCGCGCTTGACTTGGATCCGGCGCGGCTGGACGTCGCGCGGAGCTTTGGTGCCACACACGCTGTGCAAGCGGGACCAAACGCGGTGGACGAGGTCATGCGAATCACAGACGGAAAGGGGGCCGATACGGTGATCGAAGCTGTAGGGTCGCCGGCTGCACTCGAGCTGTGCCAGGAGATCGTTGCCGTTGGTGGTACTATCGCCAACATCGGCGTCCACGGAAGTCAGGCCATCCTGCATATCGAAAAGCTGTGGGACCGCAACATCAGTAAGTTCGTGATTGGTCTAGGCGTAGTGGGTCTGACCTGTTCTTGTTATATTCAGCGATGACGACGCGTCTTATGGATGGGTTCACGATTGAGAAGCTACTCGAGCTGCTGAAAGCTGGAAAGATCAACGGGAAGGCGCTCACAACGCATTCTTTACACTTTAGTGACATGGTAAAAGCTTACGACATGTTCGCTGCGGCAGCTCAGAGCCATGCGCTTAAGATCATCATCAGTTTTGAGGATACAATGGCACGGTTGTAACTTGTAGGGGCAAGACATTGCTCAGGACTTTTCGCGGAGTAATGTAGAACACCATTGGATGGAATATATGCGCCATGTACCTTAGAGGGATTAGCCTGAGATCGGCGATCGGCGGGGAGGACGCGTTAGAGGAGTCCCGTGTTATCCAGTTATTCATCTCCACAAGCCCATAGGCCAATAGAATGCCGTCCATTCCCTCTGTCCTTCTCCTCACTCTCGCTCTCCTCATCCCCGCCATTGCCATCTCCCGCAGCCGAGCCCGCTCTACACAACCATCCCCCGTTGTCAAGCGCGAAATGACCACCACAGCAAAGGAAGAGCCTAAGTCCGTCATGCAGCCTCCGCGTGACGACCTGCTCCCACCCAGAGACGACCCTATCACCCTGGAGGAGCTCAAGCAGTACGACGGGTCCGACCCGTCTAAGCCAATCTACGTCGCGATCAAGGGTCGGTACCGTAGTTCAAAGACGATCGCACCGTGAGCTCATGCAGTCCTGGGTGGTAGGCACCGTTTTCGATGTGTCACACAAACGCGACACCTATGGCCCAGGAAAGAGCTACAACCTGTTTACCGGCAAGGACGCTTCCAGAGCTCTCGGCATGTCCAGCCTCAAGGAAGAGGACGCTATCTCAGACTACAGCACCCTATCAGAAGCAGACACGAAAACATTGAATGACTGGCACTCCTTCTTCTCGTATGTCTGCTCTACTTGTTCTGACATTATCGACGCCTTCCTCTGACTGAATATATTCCCTACAGTAAGAGGTATAACATCGTGGGCAACGTCTCGGATCTACCTCCGCATGCGAATGCACAGCAGGCGAATTTGTGATAGTGTATCGCCAGGGGAACAGGTATGAACTTTCGAACTCGTAATGCTGGAAGTTGAAGCTGATTTTGTAGTGCAGGAGAGGACTAACATGGTGTATCATAACTTTGCTGTTAAGGAATGAGGAATCAATTCGATTGCTGAAGCTTTCGCCCAAGCCACGGTTTTGAAGTCGTCCATCAAGCCTCGTGCAACTTTGATTACCATATCCCACACGTCCTGGTGTCAGGGAAAGGTTCCTGCTTGATGAGGCTGGTGGAGATGCCTGTCTATCACTCATATCATCGCATTCAGACGTGGATAGCGCTCAGATACGGACCAATGCTTAGAACAAGATTCATTACCACCCCACAGCCGAATATCTCCTGAGTTCGCCGTGTGGAAGCGCAGCCACACCTCGGCAGCTATCTGGTCATAAGGTCTACTATCAGCATTGTCGGAAAGGAAGCCTTACTCTGGAGTACGATACGGCTCCTACGGAATCCCGCTCATAGCTATATGCTCGTATGTCTGCTGAGGTGCGAACTCTCTTCGTATCATTCCCCTTGAACGACTCAGGTCAGTCCACACAGATTATAACAGTCGCAATGCTAGCTGACAGCACTATATGCTCTAGTTTACACTATGAAAGCAGTCATATATGTCGGTTTGGGCAAGGTTGAAATCCAAGAACGCCCAATGCCGAAAATATTGGAACCCACCGATGCCATCGTGAAGCTATCAAAGACGACGCTCTGCGGTAACACCGCCCTCTTCGACTAACCTATCCAGTCCCTGACATAAACATGTGCAATCAGGCACAGACCTGCACATCCTCAAGGGCGATGTTCCGACCGTGTCCTTCGGTCGCATCATGGGCCACGAGGGCGTCGGTACTATCGAGGCCGTCGGCCCCGCCGTTTCCGCCTTCGCGCCCGGCGACCGCGTCGTGATCTCCTCCGTGAGCAAATGCGGCCTCTGCACATTCTGCCGGCGCGGCATCTTCTCGCACTGCGCGCGCGGCGGCTGGCAGCTCGGCAACACGCTTGACGGCACGCAGGCCGAGTTCGTGCGCATCCCGTACGCCGACGGCAGCCTGCACCGCGCGTCGCCCGCTGTGCCCGATGCCGCGCTGCTCATGCTGAGCGACGCAGTGCCCACGGGCCTCGAGTGCGGCACGCTCGATGCGCGCGTGCGCCCCGGGTGCAGCGTCGCGATCGTCGGCGCAGGCCCCGTCGGCCTGTGCGCGCTGATGACCGCGCGGCTGTACTCGCCGGCGATGGTCATCGTGCTCGACCTCGACTCCGCGCGTCTGGAGGTCGCGCGCCGGCTCGGCGCGACGCACGTCGTGCGGGCAGGCACGGGCGCGGTGGAGGAGGTGATGCGGCTCACGGGCGGCGAGGGCGTGGACGCAGTGATCGAGGCGGTTGGGGTGCCCGCGTCATTCGAGCTGTGCCAGGAGCTCGTCGCGGTGGGCGGGACGATCGCGAACCTCGGCGTGCACGGCGCGTCGGCGACGATACACCTCGAGAAGCTGTGGAACAGGAACATCAGTACGTGCCGCGTTCGTGTGTGCGCACAGAGGGGCCCGGCTGAATCCCCGTGCGGGGTATCTCAGCGGTGACGACGCGCCAGGTGGACAATGGCAGCACGGCGGACCTCATGGAGCTCATCGCGCGCGGACAGATCGACGCGGGGGCGCTTGCGACGCACTACTTCCGCTTTGACGAGATACAGGAGGCGTATGCGTGCTTCTCGAATGCAGCTGCGAACAAGGCACTCAAGGTCATCGTTGATTTTGAGGGCACGGGGGGCGCGGCCGCACGTCTTTGACATGCTGACATAAAACAACGGATAGTATCCCTATTCGGAGGCGCAGATGATCGCGTGGCGTTACAACGTGTACGGGGCTGTCGTAGGCTTCGTCAGCAGTACACGCTCGCGAGCCGACCAGATGGTCGGAACATTGATCGTTACCTGGCTGAATCTGCGGAATTTGTCGTGCTACGAGAATAACCAGGCCTATGGTGTATTGCGAGCGCAGGATCTGATCTCCAGCGCCCCCGGTGCATCAAGATCTGACCACATACCGCCCCACGTCACTGTCAAGCTGCAGACACTGGATGGGTCCTCGAGGCGTCGCGGGATAACATTGCATGCGTGAGTTAACCTTTCTCGTATACTTGGTTCTTGGCTTCTGCGGACATTGTGGCTCGTTCCCGCCCGCGGTCGCCATCCTGCCAATGCTACGGGAGCAGCACGGTCTGCGGCTCCCAAGCTTGTTTGATTTTGACTCCGTGCAGAAGGATGACACGTTGTCCGCGTCGAACGGAGAATTGAGTCATGGTCGGGGAACAGTCCGGCCGAGGTGAAACTTCAAACAGAGGGAGCCGGGGCTACGAACGCTGGAACAGGAGTTCGGAATGCATTTCTGGAAGGTGGGATTCGTAGGAGCGGGTCCAATGACTGGCTGGGGTCTTCATCCCTGGGTGGTTATGTGCATCGTGCTAAGGGTACACATCTTTCATCTGCAATGAGGCTATGCATTGCGTGCATAAAAGGCACATCAGCATTTGTGAATAAGATGTGGTCGGGCGCGCAGTATATGCTGGAAATGAGTACGGTCCTAGACCTTAGACATCTGCCACATAGGGCAGGTGGTCGTGATAGCTGATTTTCATCCTTCTGCGAGTGCATCTGACGTGATGCGAGTCCGAAGTGGCTCTGCGGTGCGCGGTTCATGGACAAGGAGAGAAGGATGTTCGTGAAGCCATCTAAGTAATAGAGTGGATGCAGTCTTAACGTCCTGAATAAGGCATTCCACCTACCGCATTGAGAGCATCCTTCTCCCCTTTCGACCAGCAACGCAGCGGAATAACCATGCAGTGCGGAGGAAGAAATACGTCATGCGCGTTTCCGCTTTACGAGAACTTCGACGGTTATTGTGCGTCATACGGAGTCATGCGAGAGCATCTCGGGACCCGGGAGCACTGCGAGGATGCGATGCGGAAGTATTGAAGCAGTGATGGCACAGTGTCCATCACTCAAGTCATCTTCGGACTTCCCATTCCATCAGCAGGGCGACCACCCGCGATTTTAGTTGATCAATTACGCGGGAGAAGGATCGTGCTATCGTATCCCAAGTATCACGCGTCACGATGGTCTGCATGATACTCTATACCGATGACTGGACGAGGAGTCGGTCGGGGAATGGCTCACGACATTGTGACCGCGTCAGATGCAAGACAGGTGGTGAGAACATTGTCGTGATGCTGAGGGACCCATAGCGCCTGGTGCCACGGCGGTGAGTTCAAAATGGTAATGATCATGGGGTCCGTGTGACACTCCGTGCTACCAAATATTGGTGCGATAAGTATGGAAAGGCGCCTTCCTCATTTGTCCGCGTTGGCACCGTTGAAGTGCAACGACCGACCCTGGTCTTGCTCGGGTTCTTTGGAGAGCCACAGGAAGCCGGTTCTGCCGCGGAACGACCGTGCAGTGATAGTGCTTGTCTGGCAGATTGGAAAGGCTCCAGTAATTCTACCCGAAACAGCAAGTGCGCTCCGTCGTCTGACCTCGGCTTCAGACAAGAGAATTTCCTGCGCGTGGTGCACCCACAATTGTTCATCTTGTCTGCTTCCATTGCGTTCCTTATTTGCCTCTCGTCCGCATGGCAGTTTATGCTCATTCAGCACGTATAATAACAACATTATCTTCTGTCTTGTTCTTTCAGGCACATTTTCCATTCGTTCGAAGGCTCGGACCGTCCTGTGCATGGGCCACTCGTATGCGGATCTGCGTCGTCAACACCACAATTCCGCTTCCATCGTTCTGCCGTCAAGGTTCCCCTGGGCGGGAGCAAATGCAGGACTCTCAGACGCAGTGGCACGGGGACCCCGTAACACCACGATCAGGGCTTTACGGCCCAAAAGGAGACCTCTTCTGTTCGCGGCGTCCCCCGGGCTGCACCTACCGTCTTTGTACGCAGTGCGCGCCCGGACAAGGCACTCGTGTCTGCATATACGTATGACCCCAGGCCTTCGCTGAATTGGCTGAATTGATGACCTATGATGATGCGAGGCCTCGCGCGCAGCGACTACCCCAGGAGAGTAAGGAACGCAGCTCCGTTACACGTAGAAGAACCGCAGTGCGGACGAAGCGGAGACGCCGGCGCACGGCGCGCTTCGGTCCGTAGAGTGTGATGGCAGTGCCACCAGTGGCGCAGGTGCACCAAAACATGCGGTCGCGTGAAAGAAAATATAGCGGCAAGCACGTTGTGGCCTTGGATGAGTGTGAACGTGGAGGGCAAGGTTGCAGTGGCGGAAGCGAAAACGAAGGAGGGGCGGCGCTAGTACGGCGCGCCACTGATCGCACGCAGCTGCTAGCGCCGGAGAGACGCCGAGGATATTAGGCGGGTTCCCATACACGTCTCCTGCTTGTGAGCACCCAGCATCGAGGCACTGCGCTGACGCGTTCTCCAGCTTGGCTACGCTTTGACTCATACACCTCAACGTGCAGCGTGCTTTGCCCACTCGGAGCTGAGTACAACATCGCCACAGCACTCGGCACCGTCGCTTGTGCTTGGACTCCGCTGAACCATATATCACCGCCCCGTGGACTCATTCATACAGACCCGGACCCGCTTCCTCAGCGCCTTTCCACCCCCCACCTCCCTCCATCGTACCACCATTACCCCCAAGCACCCGCCCACAATATTGGATCTTCTGCCCACGCATTGCGATGGACGCTCTTAAGTCGCTCGTGCAGCCTCTTGTCGGCGCCGGCGGAGGCTCGTCAATGGTTGACGGCGTTAAGCTCGTCGTCCTTGGTGGCACCGTCGAGACTGCGCGCCGTATGGCGAGCTCAGGATGGTATGTGCCACTGCTTCTGCTTAATATCCCAGCCCAACTCACCGCGCCACATACGCACAGGTCGCATTTCATTAATTGTACGTACACACACACTCACCGCGAGTCGGGCCACCGCTGACGCACACCGCAGCATTTTTCCTCACCGCACACTTCTCTGAAGAGGACTATCCATATGACTGGCTGATGTTGTGGCTCTCGCGACGCCCTGAGTGGCAGCGTTCGCGTGAGTTCGAGACGACGACGCGTACTGCGAGCCACGGTTGGGGCTCGACTGTCGCGGACAACTCGTTCGGCGACGAGGAAGAGGACGAAGGCGATGCGGATGACACGCCCGGCAAGGTTAAGACGCGCGTCATCTTCCAGCCGACGTCAAACACAACGCACACCATCTACTACAAAGGCCATTGGCTGCGCGTGAAGCGTGGCCGCAGAACCGATGGCAGTGGTTGCGAGACGCTGTCCATCAGCGTGGTCGCACGCAACAACTCGATTCTCAAGCAGCTCGTCCTGCAGGCGAAGAAGGAATATGAGGCTGAGGCTGTGCATCGGATACAAATCTACTTCGCTGACTCACATGGCTGCTGGCGCTGGACAGACTCTCGGCACAAAAGGCCGATGTCGTCTATTGTGCTTAATCCGGGTGTGAAGGAGATGCTTCTCGCCGACACCAAAGACTTCCTAAAGTCGGAAAAGGTGCGGTCTCGTGTCGCCCAGCACAATGAAGTGTCTGCTGACCGTAATTTTTGACAGTGGTATGCCGACCGTGGCATCCCTTTCCGGAGAGGCTACCTATTGCATGGTGTGCCCGGGTCCGGCAAGAGCTCATTGATCCACGCGATAGCTGGAGAGTTGATGCTTGACATCTACGTGGTGTCGTTATCGTCGTCGTGGATCAGCGATAGCACATTGACGACGCTGATGGGTCGTGTACCAGCGCGTTGCATAGTGTTGCTCGAGGACCTAGACGCAGCATTCACGAGGAGCACGTCGAGAGATGGCTCTGCAACAGGAAGCCCAGAGAATAGCGAGACTACCGCGACAGTCGAATCTTCCGAGTCGCGCCATAGCAGACGCCATAAGGACAATCTGTCTGACGTGAACACCCTCAGTCTGAGTGGGCTGCTAAATGCACTAGATGGCGTGGCCGCGTCAGAGGGTCGCATCCTGTTTGCGTGAGTAGATTTGTTCCTGGCCAATCGTACGCCTTCGCTGACGCAGTATCTCAGGACTACAAATCATCTTGAGCGTCTTGATCCTGCACTGTCTCGTCCCGGACGCATGGACGTCTGGGTAGAATTCAGGAACGCCTCTAAGTGGCAGGCTGAGCTACTCTTCCGCAACTTCTTCCCGTCAACAGATGACGACAACGTTGTGATTGAGGGTGACCTTGATGGTGTTGAGCTTCCCACTCCGCCATCACCGTTAGCCGAGTCTGCTTCGAGTTTGTCGAGTCTCTTCTCGTTGCCGTCGACACCAACGACGCCTTCAGCGACGGTCGGCTCGCTGCCATCTGCACCTCCAACGCCTATACGCGCACGCACGCGGACCTCGTCGTCCATAAGCAAGTCAAGAGTCCTGAGTCCTGACGACAAGATCAAGAACCAGGCATATCTTCCACCGCCAGTGGACGACGAGATCGCACAACATTCGGCAAAACCGCTGGACGGCGCAACGCTTGCCGCGCTCGCAAAGGAGTTTGCGGATGCGATCCCAGACGAGGAGTTCAGCGTGGCTGCGCTGCAAGGCTGTGAGTACCCTTTCTGTGTTCGCTGATTGCTCTTCCCTGCTGCTGTCGTGGAGGGTGGTCCGTGTGGTCCGTCTGAGAATGAGCGCTGACGATCTTGCCTTATCGCGTTCTATGCCGGGTTGGGGTATGCGACGCCTTGCAGACCTGCTGAAGAACAAGTCACGACCAGAAGCAGGAGCGCATGAAGCTGCGGCGTGGGTGGTGAGCGAGCGGGAGATGAAGGTGCGGTTGAAGAAGGAGCGTGAGGCACGCGAGGCCAAGGAAAAGCAGGAGGTGCGTCCCCCGATCGATTATCGATCGCCCCCAAATCGGGAAGCGGCGACCGTTGCTGCGACAACACTGGCTGATGCACTCTCCCTACAGCGCGAAAAGCGGCGCAAGGAGGCCCAGCTCAAGGAGAAGGAGAAGGCTGAGCAGAAGAAGAAGGAGGACGAGGAGGTCCACCGCTGCCTCCTCGAGGAGCGCATCCGCGTCGAGAAGGCGAAGCTCGAGGCCGAGGCTGCCGGGTCCACGCCCGAGTCGATCGCCGACACAGAGGGCAGCGCGACGGAGGACAAGGACGAGCAGAGCGGCGACGAGCAGTCGTCGGGATCGCAGACGCCGGCGGAGGCGGGACAGGTCTGGGTCACGGTCAATGAGAGCGCGCCTTGACTGCCCCTCCCCTTTTCGGTCGACGACGCCGCGCGCCCTGGCGTTGTCTGTGTCCAACGGGGCACTGTAGATGGTGCTGGCTCAAGTCTGGTTTCCCTTGCTATGGCAGCCGTGCCTGCGTCCGGGGGTGCGCTTGCTCCCGCCGGTCCCGATTCCGCACTCGCACAAAGACATGCGGCCGGGTTCACGCTGGTGCGGCTGGTGTTTCAGTATTGCTTGCTCCATCTGTATGTTCTCCTGCAAGTCGTTCTGTTCAGGGGAGGGAGGAACGGTGGGTGATGTAAGGACGCTACTGTGTGCTCTCCTCCGTCCCTTCCCTCCTAAGTGTCGCATATCCATTACGAATTGATGTTGGTACTCGTTTACGCCGTAGCTCATGTCTCCACGTCGCATAATGCATTCACGTACCTTATTATGAGAGCGAGGGAGTTCACGATGAGCTATCCAATGTAAGCTATGCCATGATGGATCTAGAATCCAGACTGATGAACTATCACGGTATATCTTCTGACCCAGAGCCTATTTCGCCTGGCTTCGAGTCTTGATGTTTTGGGTAGATTCGAGATGCGTTAATTCTAGTATTACACATATTCTATACAACAACAGCAAAAAGCGACACCAGCAGGATTCGAACCTACGCCCTCAAAGAGGAACAGATATTGCGAAATTCGAATCTGTCGCCGTAACCACTTGGCTATGGTGTCTTACAATGTTAAAGATTTGGCTTTGTATCATGTGACCCCAGATATCTTTGCCTGTAAGGTACAGCCTACGGGCTTAAACCCAGTTCAACTGCCGAGATTTTGCACTGGGCTTAAAGCACTTCAAGCCCCGTGCAAAAGTGGACCGTTTAAGCGCAGCTCAGCTGTTTGGGCGGTTGAACAGGGGTTAAACCTTGCTCAACCCTAGCGTGAATCATATCTAGTCTCATGTGATGCATAGGCACTTCTCCCATGTCATTGCAGCCCCACATATTATCACACAAAAACATCCAGCAAAAAAATTGCTATTTGCGCCTTTATTGATCAATTATTGTCGCAACTTGGGGTCAAGTGACAAGGACAAACAAATGCAAAGGCTGGGGATGTTCGACTGGGTCTCACTGAAGTGATGGTGAGCAATGCTCAAACCTAAGGCTCCATCCTTGCGGCATCTTGAAGTCAAATAGATCTCTCAATGACAGAGAGAGGCAGCCAAGTAAAGTCATTGGGCCCCTCATCCATGCCTTGATCCAGTGCCTCATTGGGACTCTTCGGGCGCCTGCGTACCAGAATTGCGCACGTGAATATCGGGCCATGTCTGCTCAGGCCGTGGGAAAAGTCGCCGCGACTTTTCGACTGTCGTGCAGTCGTCGATTAATCGCCCCAGTCGTGGGAACGACTGGGACGACTGGCAGACGACTGGCCCAACACTGGTCTGGTCACCGTCCAGGCGAGATTATCAGAGCGTCCACAGGCGTGTTCCATGTGCCGCAGGCCCATAAAGTAGACGGCACCCAGAGTATCGCGACCAGTGCCACCAAATTGAGGGAAGAGCCGAGCGTGTTACTAACGCGGCGTTGCGGATGATGAACGCAGATCAATTGACAGCTTGGCGCCAGAATCCCGCATTTCGATGAGATCGATGGATGCATTGCTTGGATACATGCAACGATACAGCGCGGATTGTAATAGGCGGCTGCCTATCAGCGTTGATCAATCAAGACGGCGAAGAGGATACACGGCGAGTGCAATACAAGATGAAGCAGCTATCGACAACATTAAAAACAAAGAAATGCTGTCCATGACGACGCATAGAAAAATACACTACGGCATTTCTTCATCAGAATCCGAGATATATTCTTTACTTTTACTGCGAGAAATGGTTAGAATTCAGCATGCATCGCCGAACGACAACAGTAGCGGCCACTTACATTTGCTTCTTCCGTGGAGCCCCTGTGATTTCCTCTTCATCGTCATCATCCCGCACAACCCGCTTCTTGGACGATCGCTATCCGAATACATCAGCGAATCAGTTTTCAAAGTCAACGACATTTCATACCTTCTTTGCTGGCTTGTCGCCATCCTCCTCACCGCTAAACAGCGCGTCGTCGCCCTCTCCCGCACCACTTCTCCTGGCCTTGCGCCTCTTCTTTCTGGGCTCCCCACCTTCGTCACCGCTGCCGATCTCCGCTTTCGGTCTTCGGCTCGCCTTCTTGGTTGCCTTTCGTTCTCGCTCCTCATCGCTCTCCATCTTGATATCACGAGTCCACTCCATTGCCTGCTCCCGAGCTTTACGTCGCTCTTCTGCAAGCTGTGCAGCTTCGCGTCGGAGCTCCTCTAGGCGTTGGCGCTGATTAAAAGAATGTGAGAATGTGAGAGTAATCGAGATGCATCACACTTACCTCCAGAGCCTCTTGCTGGTCTTTCTCATGCTGCCGTCTTTGCCGTGCCGCCTCGAGTTTGGCTTGTGCCTCTGCTTCCCACTTTCGCTGCGCAGCAAGATGCTCATCACATTTTCGTAGCATGCTGTCGCCGTATTTGCGGCGCTGATCCGCCATATCGCGATTATAAGGTACAAGTGGTGACTTGTCCGCCGCAAGAGAAGTAAACAATCTGATGATATTGTGTGAGCAAAGTGCACGTCAAGTGGATGGAATGAGAGCGTACTTCTGTGCGTGACTGGCTTGCTCGATGGCTCGTTGTAACTCTTTGAGCGAACGCTTAGCTGGAGCTATTGACAAAAGCATCTCGGCGGCCTTCTGTTGAATCATGGCTATATTGTAAATGATGGCCTTATCGTACGGATGCAGGTGGAAGGCCTGTAAATTACATTAATACGACATGGACCGCGCAATTGCACCAAAGACTACCTTCTGGGCGTATTGCAATGCTGTGTTCATTGCACTGAACGATTGGTCCTTGTTGGCTTTCGCGTACCATGATCTGCACAGGCACAGCAGGGTAGGGACGTCATGACCGCTGTAGAATCGCTTCGACGCGGTTTCGTACTGCAGAAACCGTAAGTGCCTGCATAACGTGTACAATGTAAGGATTTACACTCTCAATCGCTCGATCAAACTCGTCGCGGGCATAGTAGCAGTGTCCCATGTTGACATAGACGCTACCGTCGTTCAGTGATTCTCTGACTTTCGCGAAGATGTCGAGAGCGTCGCGTGCATTCGTGAACCGCTTCTGAGCTTCATCGGGGCCCATCGGACCCAGACTACCGCCAAGGGTGCCAAGCGCGTCTTCTGCTGTCACGATTGCTAGACCTTGAGCTGCGACAGCACACATAGGATCGAGGTGGAGCGCCTTTTCATAGAACTCGGCCGACCGCTGGAAGCCACGCTTGCGCTCCTCAACGCCTTTCGATGTCATATCACGGCTCTCGCGGGCCTGGTGGTATTGAATCCACCCCGCAGCACATAGCGAGTATAGGTCGTGCTTATCGTGGTCTTTGAGTGTTGCGAAGACGAAGTCCTTGGCAGGCTTCGGGAGGTTCGATTGGATCAGGAAGTACGTGTAAAATGCACGAAGGTTCAGGTTGTTGTTCTGAGACGCCAGGGACTGCTTGAGAAGGTCATGTGCTTCGTTGTTCCGATTCATATTACCGAGCATTTGTGCTTGCCGTAACTTTGCTACAGTGCGGCAGCTTTAGTCGCAGAGTAGGAGAGAGTAATACGTCACACTGACCGTCGACATACTCCGGATGTCTGTCTAGCAACTTTTCATAAGCTTCCTTCGCCATCGTCTCCTCACCCTGTTCCTCATATGTCCGAGCCAGGTTGTACAGCATCGTCGTCGACATGCCCTCGGCACCGTCAATGCCGATGCGCGACGTATACATGATAGCCGTCTCATACATCGTCCGAGCTTCAGCAAGACTGGCCTCCATATAACGCAGGACCCCCAGGTTATTGACGATCCTGGGTTCGGTGCGTCCGGTGGCCTCGCTTATTCGCCAAGCCTCCTTCAAGGCGCGGTCCATGCGTTCCACGTTCTCGCCCTGCCATAAGCGCGCAATCTCGATGTGCATCTCCATGTCCTCCGCGATTTTCCGTGCCGATCTGCCCATGACGGGGGGATGGCTATCGCTGCGCGTGTGACTATCCTCGGGCAAACGGAGTACCTTGCAGACTTGGTCGAATAGCTCGCGCGCGCGCACCTTCTCTTTCGCCTGGTCGGAACCAGAAAGCCCGGGCCGTGGATGTGGGCGCAGCGACGCCAGCATCGCTACTGCTTCAACAGGACGCTGCGGCCCCGTCGTTTGTTGCAGAAAGGTGTCGAGCGTGAGGACGGCTTGGGCGAGTTCATCTTGGCCAAGTGAGATCAGGAAAGATCTACCCACTGCGGGAAAGTTACACATACCGTTCTTCATCTGCATTTGTGCTAGACCAACGGTCGCAATCAGGTTTGTAGGCTGGCCGTCCTTCGCTCTCGAGAAGAATCTTGTTGCTTCGGCATTGGAACCAACAGCGTGTGAGACACGTCCCGCTCTTATGTAACCATCGGTAAGGATGGTCTTCACATCAGTGAATTGAATAGCACGCTCTGCCAGCTTCATTGCCTATGACCGTAACTCCGTTAGCTCGAACGGGGGAAAGTATATGTGTCAATTACCCGCTTGTGTTGCCCCTTTTGCAGAAACAGCTCACATAGCGCATTTGCAGCGGCAGAATTCCTTTGATTGGCCTTGAACGCCCGTTCAATGTGACGCGTCCCGGTGAGTATCTCGTTCCTCCGCTCCTCTTGTGTCTGGTTCTCGTTTTTGCTCGCATTGATAGCGTCCAACCCTAGGAGAAGCTGGGCAGACCATTCATCCGGGTTCTGTTTTAGAGATGAATTCTCGAGGTCACATAATGGAAACGCAGATCTATACTAACCACCTCGGCACTGCGCTGCCAAGCAGCCTTGGCCATGGCCTTATGGTCCATAGCCCACAAACAGAGGCCAATGCCAATGCGCGGATCAGGCAAGCATCGGGGGTTGAGCTTGAGCACAGTCTGGAATAGTTTCAATGCTGGGGGGAACTGTCGTCGAGCGTAGAGGATCTTTGCCTTTCCCAGAAGCGCGGCGATGTTATTCGGCTTTGTGGACAGTACGCCGTCAAATGAGCGCAACGCGTCGTCCATAGCCCTCGTACCCATCTGCAGTATCCCTCGCGTCAGTATTGAGAGCATACTGCCCACTGCCCCAGATTCTGCTGTAGCCTTCTCGCCGAGATTAAAATATTGGGCGGCATCCTTGTAGTATTCATCTCGTGGCTTCTCTTCAGTCATGATGTCCTCCCCTGAAGTACATGGGCGGTGAGGGCAGACACCCGGGGGGAATAACTTGGACACTTACGCGCATCTGGGAGGATTAATTTGGGTGCCTTACCTGCTCGCGCCATTTGAACGTTTGCGAGCAAGGCGTATACGGGTGGCAGCATAGCCTCAGAACCATTATCCCGGAGAGCTGTCGCACGGTCAGCTTTCGCGCAAGACATTGTGTATAGACCCACTTTCGATCGCTGCCTGCGCAATCCTCTCCGCCGCGTCTAGATACCCCCGCCTCCAGTATTCCGACGCAAGTCGCGTCCAAATCCAGACTTTACACTGCCCTTCCTTCAAAACCTCCAAGAGGTCGTCAGGATTTGGATCCAGGCTGTCTAGCTCCACGTTGATAACTTCATGCTGCCCGAGCTCAATGTCAAGGGAGCGGCCGGGGACTTGAGGGGGTGTCGGTGAGCGTGTTCCGTTCATAGTTGCGAAGGGTAGATAGCAATCCGAACGCGTGCAAATTCCAGTCCTCTGAGAGTGAATGAGGGAGTTCCTTCAGCCCTTGAAGGCTCGGGTTAATTCTTGTGAGATGATATTCGGTCAGTCGGCGACGGTGGCGAGCAAGCCGGGCAGCGTACGGAGCAGGGCTAGGCCACCAACAACCCGTTGGCAATTTCATGCACATAACGTCCAAATATGGACATACGGACACAAACCATGTGATCGGCTCAGTGCGCCCTCTTCCCGCCCATTTCCCGCCCCCGCCGACATCGTCAACGGCGTCCCCAACCTCTTCAGTGCGGTGTCCGACGTCGCCACCTTCAATACATAAGGCTACAATCACGCATACACCTCGGTCTTGGCGGGTGAGACTGTGCTGATTTGCATCTCTCTCAACGCCCAACGTCACCGAGAGCTGGACGTGTTCCGTAGCGAGACCATCGTACTAGGGTTGTGCAGATATGACTGTTACACATCGTAAGCGACAGTATCAGCCAGAAGAAATTCAAAGTGAGTGTTCATGGTCGAGTTGCTGTTGTGCTAGTTCTCACGCGCCTTTCTTACGTAAATGGTATGTACCAGCCGTGAATGAACCTGGTCTACAGATTCAATGCGACGGCTGTGGCTGTGACCTTACGCATTCAATACGAATCAAGTGTGCGGATCCGGTATGCGAACTCGGAGACGGCGTTGATATTTGTCCGGCTTGTTTCTGCAGCGGGAAGGAGTTTGGCCGCCACAAACGATGTCATGAATATCGAGTGGTCGTAAGTCTCCCTGAAGTTGTCCTGTTCTCAGTGGGTAAATACAATAAGCAGGAGCTACATTCATACCCCATATTCTCGGAAGACTGGGGAGCGGACGAGTGAGTGCAAGGTGCATAATGTGCGTGATGTGCGTGATTGACCAAACAATGCGTCAACAAGAGAGCTATTGCTCCTTGAAGGCATCTCGCTACAAGGACTCGGCAACTGGCAAGCAATAGCTGAGCACGTTGGTACGCGTACAAAAGAAGAGGTCGAACAACATTACAGGTCTGTCTACATCGATTCCCCCGATTGGCCTTTGCCGGTGAGCAACCCTGGCACATCCTCCCCATAAAGCCACAATAACCAACCTTCTCCAGCGCATGGACCTGCATTTCGAGGTCGACCCTGCTGTTTTCCAAGAGCGCAAACGTCGTCGTATCTCAAACATGAACACCAACCCTCCGCCACCCCCAAAGCTCGCCCCCACCTCTGCTCCTGGTGTCCACGAAATCGCCACATTCCTTCCTGGGCGTCTAGAATTTGAACATGAGCTGGACAACGAAGCAGAAGACCTCGTCAAGGACCTTGAGTTCGGCATCTGCTTGGAGTGGGGTGGCGACGAGATACCCGAGGACGAGAATGACCCCGACGTGCGTGCGAGGGCGCGCTGGGAGGAGGAGCAGAAGATGAAGGATGGCACACCGGGCAAGCGGCTGCCCAACGGATATCTGAACGGAAGCCCAAATGGCCACCATGCTAACGGCGACTCACCTTCGCGTGACACGCGAGGCAGGTCGGAAGATGGCAGCAAGGCGGACAACGGTGCCACCGATGGCGAGGCCGACGCAGAAGAGCTGACACAACCTCCCCCTATCGAGACGCTAGATTCTCTCAACTTCAAGCTCTCCCTGGTAGAGATGTACAATCAACGAATGGACAAGCGGCAGGAGAACAAGGCTATCATGTTCGACAGAGGTCTCCTCAACTACAAGCAGATGCAGGCCGCAGACAAAAAGCGGCCCAAAGAGGAGAAGGATATCATCCACCGACTACGACCTTTCGCTCGCCTAATGACTGCCGAAGACTTCGAAGTGTTTTCTGCGGACATACTGTGTACGTCCCAATCTCTGCGGCATGGACATCAGACTAAATGGTCTTGCGTAGACGAAGCGATGTTGCGAAAGCGGATTCAGGAGCTCCAGCATTACCGCAGAATGGGTCTCACAACTGCCGCGGACATTGAGAAGTACGAGGCGGATGTACTCAAGCGGGTAAGCCTTTTCGCAGTTTGGGGTCGGTGTTGTGTCATGCTGAACATGGAGCAGACTCAGGCAAAGGCGAACCTGACACGCGCCGACTACCTTCCATCGGAGCGCCTGCAGCAGCTCCGAGCCGGAAGTGCGCGTCAGTCGTCCGGTCCCGAACGCTCCGAACGTGGGAAAAGCCATGACGACCGCGAGACCACGCCGAAGCCCGCTCCGGCTGTCATCGGCACTGGTCCTCCCGGAAGGAAGATGCGTACGTTGTATGTACCGCTCCGGCGTGCACGCGCTAACATGGGGACCTGCAGCCGCGCCCCTCAACCTCGCGAACAGTCCCCTACTACACCTCCTCACGCCGGAAGAACAAACACTCTGCTCGCAACTGCGCATACTCCCGAAGCCTTACCTCGTCATCAAGGAGACTCTCGTGCGAGAATACGCGCGGCGAGGCGGGAAACTGCGGCGGCGTGAAGCGCGAGACCTCGTCAAGATCGACGTCAACAAGACAAGCCGGGTCTGGGACTTCCTGGTGCAAGCAGGCTTCCTCAAGGTTGGCGCAGCTGAACCGCCACCGGCGAACCAGGACAGGTCAGTGGGGTGCAAGTGTCTGACGGATCCTTGCTGATAAGATGCATGCAGCATTAGGCCCTCTGCAACGCCGTCACTGAGCGCATCGCCGAGCAAGGAGTCACATGCACTGGTCTCACCGCGCCCTCCACCATTCACCACCGCGCCCCTTGGCATGTCCTCCACATTCTCATCATCCTCCATCAATTCTACGCTACCCAACGTAGGCTGATCGCCCCTCACATTATTATCACCTTTTCGCTGTCCTACCGCTTTCGACGTTTTGACTGCCGCATCTCTGTTGTATTGCTGAGTTGTACCCTACCCACGTTGCAATTGTACAATATATGGATGCACTAGTTTGAATGGTGCTTGGCCTCGCGTGTGTTGGAGCTCCTGCTACCCATCATGGCGACAAGAGATCTTCGATGATATGCATGTCGATGGGGGTGCCAGCTCGTTGGAGGTAGTCGTCGTTCCTAGCCACAGTCAGATATACAAGCTAGAAGCGAACCTGTACCCGGCTCACCAGAACTGTACATAACAAAGTGCAATCAGCGATCGTCAACTATTCACGACGCGCATCACGCACCTTCGAATAGTGCCTGTTCCCGGAATCACATCTAGAGGGGAACCGTCAGAATGTCGACCTCAGCCCGCGCGACGATATATCTGAGAAACTAACAAGATGGTCACGACAGACTGCCCATCCCGCCATGCCATCTTCTTCACGAGCTTGACACAAGCCACCAAGTTACACGCGCTACTGGACCCGAGGAACAATCCGTCGTGCTCGACGAGATACCGGGACATGCTGACCGCCTCGGCGTCAGTGATCCTGAGAACATGTGCGACCCGATGGATACGGTCAGTCAACGGCAGTCCCCTTGCGGCTCTATCCAGACCAAATCAACCCACCGGAACGCGTCGCTGAGGATCGGCAAAGCGAGCTCCATATTCTTCGTGAGCCGGTTGATCCCTCTGTCGCATTACCCAAAGCACCACGTCAGTCGACTCCGCGGGCCGTGCCCTGACTGACTGCGCGCAACGCACATGCCCTCGACGACCGTGTCCACCTGGTGCCGGCGCTTCGTCCCCTCCGCCTCCCTGCGATCGAACATGACTCCGTGCTTCACCTAGTCCCCGTGCTCAGCACGCATGTCGTAAAGCAAGAGAGTACGCCGCCAACCTTGTTGTACAAGCCGCTGCCCTCCGGATCCGCCAGAACGATGCGGACGTCCTCGTCCATCGACTTGAGAAACTGGCCAATGCCAGCGACAGTACCGCCGGTGCCTACCGGCCACTCGGCGTGTCAGTGATAAAAGTGTGTTGTGCGGCCGCGCACCCCAACATACCCGCTCCCGATACAAACGCGCTTACGCGTCCATTCGTCTGGCGCCATATTTCGGGACCGGTGCCCTCGAAGTGCGCCTCGAAGTTGCTCCTGTTCTAATGGGCGCGGCGTCAACGGAGAAGACGGGAACTGATCACGTCGTGTCGAAAACACCTCAAACTGGTCCGCGAAAAATCCGCGCGGCTTCGTCCTCAATTCTTCTTCCTCTCGTGCAGACTCTACAGCGTGGTCTGGTCCTAGAGTGTCTGTCCCTGTGGTGGAGACCAGTACGGACGAGCTCGGGGTAGGTAGCAGGTGGCTGCGCGGATTCGCTGCGTGGTCGGAGAGGGAATCCTCTACCCCGAAGCTCATGGCGCGTTGCTTGGCGAGGTTCTTGCAGCTCGTTAGGAAAACGTCACGATACAGTGGAAAGCGCACTCACGACAAACTATTTTGGAAATCGAACAAGTTGTGTCGGTGGCTCTAGAATTATCGCGGGGCGAAAACGTACCTGTTTCTTGTCTACTATACTGGCAGGCCGCACACGCTCTACCTGAGCACCAAGAGCCAGCAGCGTCTTCACCTTTTCTTCAGCAACGTCGTCTGGCATGATGATAGCTAAATATCACAAGCAAGACTTCAGCATAGAATAGGCATCAAAGACAGACAGTTCATACTAGTATCATATCCTCTATATTATTCCCTCGTCTCAAGTAGCTGTCTCTATGCGCTGCATGGATCGACATACCTGGCCTTTGCGACTGTCGCGATCGAGATACCGGTTGAGCCAACCGTTCCCTCAAAAATTCGGGAGCCTGTATGCGGGTGTAGCAGGCCTTGTTTTTCGGCATCGTCGATTACTGTACAACCGCACAGCGCCCTCAGCGTGGTTCACGACTAAACATCTGAGCAGACAAGCCCACTTTTCAGCGCTACGCGGTCTTTCACACTGCCGCCAGGGTTCAAAAACTGCAGAAAGTTAAGAGCCAAAGAATGTATGCAGGACTCGGATGCGCAGACCTCGGCTTTTCCCAGAATTTCGACGCCCAGTGCGTCACTCAGGGAGTTTATTCTCACCAATGGTGTGTTACCTGAAGGACAATGCAGCCACGAATGCTTTCTCTGATAAGATGGACCGCGTACCAATGAGACCTGTTACACCTTTGATGATCTCGTCGCTTCTTAGCTCGATGGGACGTGGTTTATACTGGCGTGCAATGTGTTCCTTCTTGCGCTTTTGATATTCAAGCGCAAAGGAGGTGGATGTAATAGACAGGGTGAGGCCAGCGATGATGCCATAGAGAACATGTCGGATAGTTGTACGGTCAAATCGCAACCAGCCAAGCGATACTACGTCAAGCCATGAGCGCATGATGAGGGTGTGGATACAAGCAGGGTAGGCTAGTTAGTGACAAATAATGGTGACTTCGTACTAGGACGATGCATCCATTTGCTCGTGCTTGACGTCGAGGATATCGCCATTGACTATGCACTCCAATAAACATGAAAATGTAAGGAATAAAGCAATTCTATGCATCTTGAAAATAAGGTTAGGGTTAGGAGGGCGCAGGGACAAAGAAAACAGCCTGCCCAGCCCGAGGGCCGGAACAGGACAGGAAAATATTGAGACGGTGCATGAGCCGAAGCCCATACAAACCGCGAAGGCCCCCTGAGGACATGGTCGCCGTGCTATGAGAGGCCTCCACGGCCCATAAGCCCGAGGAGATGAAGGGGTCTATGCCATCAAGGTAAGTATGAGCTGCCTCCATGTCCTGCCCCGCCTTTTATGCCTTTCCACGTCGGTGCACGGACCAAGCAGGTCACATGCCCGGACGCGCGCGACTCAGTCACGCTCGACGCGTTCTACCAGAACCCTGCACACGCGCTGTCTCCCTCGGGCGTATCATACGCCGCGTCGCCGAGACCTTCATCTGAATCCAGTGCCTTTCCTGTCATCTCCATATGTGCTATGTCGCAATAGCGTGACTTGCTGATAGAGCTTGTCCCCAATTGACTGATAAACGCGCCATCGCGGACTCGCGCCATGTCAGCTCCCCGTACTTCCTGCTCTTCGTCCTCTGCGGAGACCCTATATCAATATGCCCGGTACACCCGAAGCGAAGACGGTGTTCCTTAGAGCCCCGCAGTTCGCGGTCGTGGGCGCGTCCAAGGATCAGACCAAGTACGGCACAAAGGTGAGTTTCACGTCGGAACCTTCTCCCGCACACAGCTGATCTTGCTATCTCAGGTCTTACAATGGTACCTAGCTCGAGACAAGACCGTGACTCCGGTCCATCCTGTACGTCAGAAGCTAGATATCCGCTAATATTGGTGCTTAAAACGCTCCAACACCGTAGAAAGAGGATGAGCTTGAGGGAGTCAAGGCGGTCCGCGCCCTGGCAGACCTCCCTGACCCATCTCATACCTCAGTCAGCATCATCACCAACCCAAAGGTGAGCCCGCTTCCCTCCCTTCATTCTCCATCAACTCACCCAGCCAATAGATCACCTTGGGCCTTCTCGAGCAGGCAAAGGCGCTGGATATTCCCTCCGTCTGGCTCCAGCCAGGCGCAGAAGACGAGACCGTCATACAGTTCATCAAGGAGAACGGCCTCGAGGACAGGGCCATCTACGGCGGCCCGTGCGTCCTCGTAGAGGGTGACGGCATCCTGAAGAGCGTGTTGTAAAGTGTAGCGCTAAGTCCGTTTGTATTGTACTTGGAATTTATTGGGCATCAGTTAGAGGCAATAAGATCTGAAATCATATACATCACATTCATTCGGGCTGGGGCGTACAGATCAGAGTCTGACGCTCAACTTGGGCCGGTCCACGACGTCGCCCTTCAAGAAGCCGCCCACAACCTGCATATACCTCACCCTTTCCTCCCAATGCGCCATATGTGCGCTCTTCGGGAGCGCGTACCATCTCACTCTCGTTATGAGCTCGAAGAGAGGCGTGACAGCCACGTCTTGGGTCTCGTCGTAGCCGCCATTCGTCACGAGCATCAGGACATTGATCTTGTGCAAGTTGCTCATGACACTCCACGTCTTGAGGCTGTCATGGACATGGATCGTGAAGAATGACGGGCCATAACTGCGGGCTGGTTAACCTTGGGTGCCCCATCACGACAGGGATCGTCACCAACATGGTACCATGGACGGTCGGATCGACCTCACTGAACGCGGCCGCGACCTCCGCCGGTCATGTGTCGAGGCGGCACACGTATTGCTTCTTGCACACACGCAGAGCCTTCTGGTATTCGGGCGAGTCGTATGTCCCAGCTTGCTCGTGCTTGCAGATCGTGTTCTAGACATGGCGTGCGCTAGTTGTGCTCCGCGACCCCAACTCTGACGGGGTCCACCTGCACATCCGTCGGCAGCGTGCGCAATAAACGCAGGAACGTTTCAGGAGTCCCCTTGGAAGGATTGCACCACACTGTCTCGTATTTGACTAATTTCATAAGCTCAATGATGAGTACTAAGTATACACCTGGCCCAGAGATGACGCACCGATCATGTCACTGACGAACTCGATGCTGAGCCAATAACACGAGTATCTGAACGCGCATAGACGCCGTTCATACTCTATCACATGAATATGCAGCGATTAAATCGACTGAATACTGGGCTGCAGATGACCGGATCAGGTTCTGAGCCTGCGCTGCGCCTAGTCAGGGTTCGCGTCAGACACTGACCTACCGATTTGAACGAATACGCCTCAATCACGCAGTCAAGCAGCACCAGATTAGAGGTAAGGCTCAAAGCACGTCTATGGCAAATTATATAATTAGATCATCAGATGCTCGATACTCTAACCATTGATGAAGTACGCCGCGACACCAGCTCAAGAACTGAGCAAGCGCATCGCCATTTCAAACCCAAGGAAGGTCGCGCCATTCGCGAACGGCGACCTATCGCGGCGTCAGTTGTCAAATGCGAGGAATGACGCTGTGGTTTACTTACCGAATGAGAGTAGGAGTCAACCCCCTCGTGAAGGCACCTATCCCCTCTGTCCGCCACACCGTGCGTACACAGTCCAGGGTAGACTTGTACTTTTGGCCGTCCGCACGCGAGAAACCGTCCGTCTGAATGCGAGACTTGATCATGTCTATCGGGTATATTATTGCCCACAGCTAACGAGAACGAGTCAGCCCTACGTCTTATGGAAGCAAAGATAGTGGATCGAAAAGAAAAGAAAGGTGTCGACAAAATAGGGCATCAAATGAGCGCAGGACGTACCGCATAGCCGGCGGCCGCGCCGAAGAGAACGGCGTTAGCGGGATTGACCTGGTCCCGCCGGATGCCCTTGCGCGCCATCTCGCGCTGCATGAGCTTTTCGTAGGCGAGGAAATACACGCCGTAACCGAGCGCCTCGCGCCAGAGCGTGACGACCTGGCCCTTGTAGATGCCTGCAACACCGTGCTGGGAGTAGATCTTTCTGATGGCGTCGAAGGGCCCCGCGTACGTCGGATTCGTCGCGGACTGGGTCTGCAGACCTGCGTGATCGGCGATATCAGCGAAGGCGTGGGCGCGTATGAAAAAGCAGTGACGCACGTATACGGATATGCTCGACCGGGCCTGACACGACGCCGTTTGCAACGCCTGCGAACACACCGGCTGTGAAGAGCTGGCCGCTGTTCAGGCCAAGCCCATCCGGTCCACCGACACCACTTTCGATGTTGCGCCGTGCGAAAAAGCGTTTTGTCCACTCCAATGCACCGAACTGGATCGACACGCAGACGCCGATGCCCAACAGGGGCGTGAGGGTGCCCTACCATGCACGGATACCACGTCAAACCCAGGCCCATGTAGTTGGATGTATGCGCGGGACGCACCTTGTAGAAAGCGAGCGGACCCTCGTTCTTCAGGATACCCCCAGCACAGTGCAGCATGCCGCTGTAGGTGCCTTGCGGCGCCGTCTGCATGCGCTGTGTGCCGCACGTGGCGTGAGTTACTGAGTTCATCAGCAGACTGGGAACGACACACTCATACCACTTTGACAATGTCGAACGGCTGGCCCACTAGCACCTACAGCATCCATGAGCACACATCCGTCAGACTATCAAGTTTGTAGAGAACCCACGCACCTGTGCGACGCCCCCGGCTGTGCCCGCCGTCAAATCGATGAGAGTCTTGGACATTTCAGAGGCCCTCGCTGTACCCAAGCTGTAGAGACGATTTGCAGGACGAGACAGACACCGAGAGTGTCAGCGCAGGTTCAAGTGCAACGTACGCCGACTCAGGACTGTGACTCCATGCATCTCGCAAGCAATGGCAGTGCCAGCCAATCAGCGCGCGTTGTTCATAAATTGCCGAGCTCGATTAGATTAGATGCTCTTCCAACTTTGGTATTCATACTACGAAACGTTCAGTTTGGTCGAAGAACTACAACATGTATGCATGAGACCTAGACTAGACGCTACATAAGTGATCCCTGGGCCTCCGCCGTGCGATAAAAATAACCTATATCACTGATGAACTTCGAAGGGATTATGTCCAACCGCCCGCGCGAGATGCTGCGTGTGCGTGGATTCGGGTATCGTTGAATAAATAGCGGCCCTGTGGTCTCCTCACATCTTCGCCCCAAGCGCCTTCTTCGCCTTCGACCACCATGGCGGTGAAAGATATTGCTCCCTCGCCATCGTGTCTGCCTTGCGCCATTGCTTCTGGCTTTCTGGCGACTCCCTCTTCCAGGCCTCGGCAATAACCTGTGCGGGAGTCAGGTGTTGTGGGGATTGTGCAGCATGATTTCGGCTACGGCAGCCGGGGGGTGAGGGGGCGTCAGAGGCCATCTAGAATGGGTAATCAGAACGATGAGGTTGGGTCGGGCAGACGCGGGGGACGGGACGGCACGTACGATGATCGTGAGGGGGCATTACTTGGGCCGCAGGCAAAAACAAGGTTGTAGTTTATATAAGACGTGGTTTGAGTTCCGCCTGCGTCTCGGGGATCGCATGACACGCAACATGCGCATCTGTGCAGCGAGATGGTGTCCATGGAGAGTACATACAACTTACCGTAATGAGACGGGTCGCGGCTGCATTGTGGTGCCTAATAAGGAAATTTCAAGGGGAGCCGGGACGGCGAGCGCGTGTATATTGGAATAAAGTTAGGATAATCGCATCCCATCTCATGGTGCTCGAGGCCAGCGAAGCACGGAGAGCACGTATATCAGCATAGGTATCGAGAGGAAGCAGGGCCGAAGATAGGCGAAGGAGGAATCAGCGGATAGCGCGTCAACAACTGGCTCACCCGTTCATGACCAGTGTCGGGCAGCTATGACCCACCACTACAAGAACAGTATTGCAGAATTCCAGAAGTATGCCTCGATGTGGCGTACAATGGCCGGCTCAAGCCCGGCGTGGACTAAATGACTCGCATCTCGCATAGACCCTGTGGCACCTCCTGCTAACAGCTCCCTATCAAATGATACACCCAGGAACCCGCGCGCAGAGGAGCGCACAGCAGGCTCCCTGGTAAGATATTGATTTTCCCGTCCGAGTCAGCAGCACTGAATGCAGAGTAGATCTAGTGACGCTGGTCCAGGTCTAGGAAGCGGTTCACATACCCGTCAGGCGTGTGCACCATGCTGCGCGTGTGCGAAAGGGTTCATCTCGCAAGCTGTGTCTCGCATTATCTCCAAGTTTCGCACAACGGAGATATGCTCGCGAATGTATATCCATAGATCCCCCGAAGCCTAATCAGAGAATGGGCGAAACTATGTCATAACCAGAGCCGCGGTGATCATACCCTCGATTAGCCTTCTCCTACCATAATCACGCTTAACACGGGAAGCCACAGTAGCATACACCTGTGCAAGCTGAAGTGTTCACAGGGACATTAAAGCTGGCCTATCACTCACAGTAAGGAACGCCGGAAGATTTTCTGAGATACCAGGTTGCCACGGAGGGGCGTGCATAACGCGTGGCTCGGGCCCTCGTAATGGCAGAGATGGGGAATGGAAGCGCTGAGCCACATCGCGTGATGAGCACCGGCATTGCGACGATGCCAGTCAGCAGAGTCAAAGTGGCAGCGAAGCAAAACACGCAGCTGACGCAAGTGAGCAACAGTGTCAAGTCTCGCTGTAAGAACGGGGGCGAATACTAAGGCATGTTGCAGTCGCGGACGATCCGCGGCCCATGCGTCAGGATGTTCATCCTTTGCGAGCATTAGTCCGAGGCGTCAGTCTCGGAGTTGCACTTGAAACCACTACTGTAAGGCGTTACCGGGTTTCACCACAGGAGAGACTTCGGTACCACAGCTCGGGCCAGGAGCGATTTGCAGGCCCATGACCAGAGGCGTGTTTGCCGTGTTGCCAGCACGTGAAAGGGGTGTAAAGCCAGAATCCCTGACTTCAGCCATGCGTAGTCAAAATGCAGTAAACCCTGATAGACTTGAGGAGTGTTCCCAAGCGTCATAGTGTACATGGTATTGGGCCAGCTCGCCAGGTATGTGTTCAGGCTCGTCAGAAACCGAAGCGATGGCTGCAAAGTCGTACATGCTAACAGCGCTAACCATCGGCGCTTTCCGACCTCGACTTATCTCCGCTCTTTGCCGCTCCCGATCAATGATACGATCCGGAGGTGTGGCTTGAACTCATGAATAACTCATCATCGTAAAATGCCAGCCGCTACTTTTGAGTTTGTGGTTCAAGATCCGCATAGTGTTGCAGGTGACCGATATCGCTTTGGCCGGTGTACTTACTGCGGACGAATACTTACCATAGACGGAAAATGTTATCGGCAGCAACCGGATGTGGCACGGACCCGTACCCGCTGGCAGCAGGTTTCAAGAAGGTCAACGGGCCAAAATCGGCTACTCGTCATCACGAGCCGTATATGTTCGGGTCATTTTTGACCGTCGTTGCTCTTGCGAATTTGGTCGCGACTTCGAACGCTCGGGGTAGCCGTGTTTTACCGTTTGTGGCCGCCCGAAGGAACATCCGCGCGGGAGCGAAACCTATACGTGAGGACTGCGGGCACTCACGGATTGATGAGTAGAAGGTCATGGACAGCGCTCCCGATGAGTATATGTGTACTAGACTGGGGCCCCGAAAGCGTCGTGCCCACGCCTGCTCCTCGTTGTCGACTTTGGCATCGATCCATCAAGGCCGCAGTCGAACCCCGATATGTCTACAGCGTGCGTATGCGAGGGCCTTGCCCTTGATTGATAGAACGTGCTTCGAGTACTCCTGACCCAGGCGTGCCTTGTTATATAGATATGTCAACTTCTTCGGCGGTTCGCCCCTGAACCGCCTCTCATGGCTGCGCACGTCGCCAAACTTTCTCAATGCGATTGCACTCAGACCCACTACGCGCTGGCTGTTGTTCCAGGGTGGCCAACCGCTGCTGCTCTCCGAGCCCATCACGCGCAAGCGATCGCTAGCACGGCTCTCAACTGCGGACGTGCGCCCTCTCCTCGGCTCGGAACCATTCTTCTCGCAGGGACAGGTTGAAGGAGAGCACGCGCCATCTGACGTCCTAGTTTTGGAATCTGCGCGACTTCGCGGCCCTCCGCTTGTATTCCTCGGTTTGCATGAGCCTCAGGCGGTCGGAGGCGAGGCGGATGCTTTACCGTCGTCCGAGTTCAGCGCGAAAAGTGATGCAGAGACTGTCATCGCGAATCTTACAGGCACACCATATTTCTCTCTGGACGTGACTCAGGTAGAGCAAACCGTGTTGGACAAGACCCTGCTGGCGTCGGAGCCTGCTAAGGCAGGCGCTGAGCTGACGTTCTTCGAGCCGCGCGGCGCAATGGCATACATGGACGCGTTCGAGTCAGCTGTGTTTGCAGAGGCAAGGAGCTTGGTGAACTGGAACGGAGAGAATAAGGCAAGTGCCGACTCGCGCACATTATAGGCTACTTGAATGGCATACGTTACCTAGTATTGTCCCGCATGTGGCTCTCCGAGCCACTCGCTTTGGGCGGGCTGGAAATTGGCTTGCTCGTCCCTCCTCCCTTGGGCGAAAGACACTGGCAAGAAGCTTTGTCCCACAGCGTCGGTGTTTTGCCTCTTCGCTATTGTATCAACTCACTGAGTGCCTGCGTACAGGAAGGGTCTGCACAACTTTGCCCACCCGCGCACGGATGCCGTTGTTATTATGGCTATAATCGACGAAGCCGGAGAGAAAGTCCTGCTTGGGAGAAACGTGAGTGGTGATTCCGCTGCAAGGTTGTACGTGACTATTGATGCAAGACCAGAGGAAATGGCCTGAGAAATTCTACTCCGCACTTGCCGGGTTCATGGAGCCCGGCGAGAGCTTCGAGGATGCCGTCAAGCGAGAGATATGGGAAGAGGTCGGTGTACGCGTCTGGAACGTACAGTATCACTCTACACAGCCCTGGGTGCGTGGTTCGAGCGTCTCACGACAGAATGGGCTGGTTCATGAATTCTGGGCAGCCATACCCGGCAAGCCTCATGGTCGGCTTCTACGCCACTGCGGACTCGTCGCAGCCACTACGCAAAGACCTGGACAATGAGCTCGAGGGTGAGATTACGTGCCCTATTTTGGCTTCACGCATTGTTTACCTCGTTGCAGACGCACAATGGTGGACACGCGAGCAGGTCCTACAGGTTCTCAGCAATGCCGCGGGTACCAACTTAACGGACAAGGACCACAGCAGAATCTCGGAAGCGCAGGAGCAGCAGGAGCAGCACGACCACGAGGCGCTCAAGTCATCCACTGCGAACGCGCGGGCGGGCGAAGCGTTGCCCAAGGACGGGAAAGCGCAGGTTGAGAATAGCTCTGCCAGCGGGCTAGATGAGGTGCCGTTTAGAATCCCGCCGTTGACTGCCGTTGCGGGCGTGCTAGTGAACGAATGGGCATACCGCCGTGCGGGACCGGGATCAGGCGTTGCTGGGCAGTCGAAGTGAAGTGCGTAATTGCGGATGCGGCTGATGAGCAAATATGTATATAACATCCTGCAAGCAAGCTCTTCTAGAATTTTTCACAATGTTGTACATCTGTTTGCCGAATAGGAACAGTCTTCCACATATATTTTCTGGTTCAGCAGCGACTATCAACAAGTCAGGGTAAGCTACAATTCAAGTTGGCAGTGTGATCACGATAAGTTATAAGTTAAGCCACAGCTCCTCAAGCATGACCATTCAAGGATGCTTCACAAGTATGACTTGGCGTCGGAATAGAAACATACTTCAGACAGCAGCTGTACAATCGGCAATTGATAATAACATGAGCGATGAGCCAAGACAGAGGGGTTGCTGTGTCCAGAACTACCTTGCAAGACGGACCATCAAATGCGGCCGAGATTGTACATTTGCCATTGTGGCACACCTCAAAGGAGTGATCCCCCGAAGGGGATAGTATCACTAAAGTATTGTTTGTCGTTGATGTTCGCAAATCTAGTCGATGGCCTGGATGATTCCGTTCACTCATTGCAAGTCACTATGTTCTTCAGGTTTAGGAGACTTGAAACGATGGTGTGCTCTATATATACGATGGTCCAACTTTCATCGCCAGAAATGATATCTGATTTATTGTCTTGAACCTTGAGAAGGATGTAAGCACCGGGATGGGCCGGGGCTCGTCGATCATCATCAGGAGAAGACGCCCGTTGTTGTTGCGCTACACCCATGCCAGCTGCGCCGCACACCGTGACAGCGAAACCGAGACAGAAATTGGAATTGATGCTTAATGCTTGTCGCCACTCTAAGTGTAGACCAAATCATCTTCGAATCTAGGGCTTGTGAGCTATATTCCCAGCCTGTCTGTCATGTTCCCTGTTTGCGCCGCTGGTGCTCGTACTGCAGGCTGCTAAGACTCTGTCATCCACATCTTAAACAAAGTGCAAAGACCTTAGTTCTCGCAGTGCACTGGCCCTCCTGACTGAGATCTTGCGAAGAAGCGCAGAATGTAGTACTGATACTAGGTCTCGCGGTTCACTCTCTTATGCCCAACATCTCCGGTAGGTTGATCTTGTCGCGACTCAGGACACGCCATAACAGCAATTCGCTCGCGGACTGCGCCTCATGTGAGGGACGGGTATCCGGAGCCTGCAGAGGTTTTCTCTCAGGAGACCAACCCTCATGGCCGCGGAAGTCATGACACGAGGTTGTGGACCCACTGACAATAACAATGACAAACTATCGTAGATCCATCTCCGACGACGAGAACATCCGCAAGCATACGCTGTTCTCCCTGAACGTCCTCGATAGAACTGCAGGTATGTGATACCCTTATAACCATCGATGCACAATCTGACGCTTAACACGAATACCAAGTCAAAGCGTAAAAGTCTTGAAGCAGGCGAACAAGCAAAGATCATATCAGAAAACCACAGGCTGCCTCGTGCATCCGAAACTTGGGCGCATATACACCAATAACCACGCAAAAGCCTCGTTGACGGGATAGCCTGATGATATTATCTGCCAGCCATCTGCAGTCGGTGCGTCTACTGCGTGTAAACACCTACCACCGTCTTGCCACTGACTCCACTCTCCTTTTCGGAGGGCTGGCAGAGCACATCTTGTGAGTACTTGGTTACATATCCTCTTCCAGAGTTGAATTGACATTCGCTTCAACGTGGGTACTTGTAGAACCATGGTTCGACAGGTACCCCCGGAGATCTGGTGGCTCGTGATAGACTGCCTAGGCGAGGCGAGAGAATACAAGACGCTCATCAACTGTATGCTCGTGAATAGAAGATGGCACGAGAGGAGCACCAAGTACCTCTCACATGTCATATTCGACAGCCAGAACAGCGTCGCTAGCTTGGCGCTTAGTCGTGGGCAGTATATAGGGAGACGATGGGCTGGCCCATCGCGGGTGTCCATAGTCGGAGAGGGAGCTCGGGTCGATCAGCGGACTCTTATTCAGCATCTGGGGACCTTCGCGCAGATGTTAGCCGGACGGTGGACCCAGGTCAACTCGCTCGTCATCGAGCGGGCGAAGTTGAGTGTAAGCATGCTGCCTAGTATCTGCCTCAATTTTGCCGCTTGGGATTCAATTTCGACACTCGTACTCCGTAATGTCGAGTTCCCCACGGCTGCCATGCTGACCTCCCTCCTTAATTCCCTTCCGGGCCTATGCGATCTTACTTGTGGTGATGTGTTATTTGCCGAACAACCTCGCAGAAGCCCGAGGGAGCTGCATGCGCAGATCGGAACCCTCACAATGTCGTCGATCCAGCTCGATCCGGATGATCACTGCGCGAACCACTGTCTGATGTACCTCAGCCGAGCTGCAACTGTATGTATATTTTTTGATTCGCAGCGTGTTTGAGGCTGACCGTGCCGTACACCATCAGACCCCCTTCTCGATATCTCCGAACTCGCACAAGTCCGCCACATATCCATGGATATCTACCTGAGCGATTCACTCACTCCATACTCATACGACTCGCTTTGCAAGTTCCTGTCCGGGGTCACATCCGACGATATCAGTTTGATCACTCTTGACTTCCACCTTCCTGATACCGGCACCCCTGAGCAGATTAGGGCCATCGCGGAGGGACTTGTCATTAACGGCTTTCCCAAGATCGACGAGGTCCTTTCCCGCCCCATATTCGCGACTCTCCAAAGAGTGTTCATGTCGGCTATTCAGCCGACGCGTACACGTATGCCTACGGAGTACAGACCCAACTGGGAGCTGTACCTCCCCAACCTTGTTGAGCGAGACCTAGTATGGTACGGCTAATTCAAGTATCATGTACATGTGACCTCATACTGACGATGAACACCAGGGTTGATTGGGGCTTCGATTTCTAACCACAGATCGACCAAATGTCGAAGGGTTGGACTCAAGCCTGGTGGTTATTGGCGGTGATGTTGTGAGATTCGATTGACAGCGAGGGTCTGAATTTATTATGGTTGCTGCGACGTCGGACATTTTTTACCCCTTAAATTATGTTTTGTCTATTTAATATGATATTTCTACTCGGATAATGCGGGCGCTTGCGCTCCTGTTTGCCCCGATCATTGGCGCTTAAGGATTGTTCAATCGCACGGCTTACGCAACAGGGAACATAACGCTAGTGTTGATTCTATCACACATTTGTCTGTGTGGTACATACAAACTCACTACACAACCCAAATGGCTCCGAAAAGAGCGGCATGTCGAATATGCAACGAACATGAATCCAAGTATACCTGTGCGCAATGCAGCCTAGTATAGTACTGAAAATCCGCGTGTTACGCAGCGCAAATAATCTGACACAAGTTTTTCGACATATAGCTGCTCACTCCAATGCTATAAAAATCATAAAAGTCTGTCCTAGCTTGCAAAACTGTCATTGGTGCAAAATATTAAGCTGTTGACATGTCGCTTCTCTTTTGTCAGGTTCGTCGTGTAACCCACAGAACATTCCTGCGGACAGAACTCGATCGCAAGGAGCCCGTTCTGACCCCCAGGAATCCGACGGTAAACTCATGCATCACCGTGACCCTCTTGATTCACCTTCTAACCCTTGCGTCTCAGAGCCCCCAAATAACAGGCTCAGTCCAGAACTCAATGAAGCATCTGTGCAATCTTCTTCAGAACAACCACAACCCGAGCTCCGGCCTCTCACATCTCTCAGGTGGCCGTACGTACCTGAAGAATCAGCGTACCCTGATCCTCTCAAGCGCGATGACCCCAAGCCTTTACAAATTCCCCAGTACGAAGCCATAGGTCAGCCATCTCATACTGTCTTTCATGAAGACATCATTTGGACGCCTGAGGCGACATCGTGAGCGAGTACACTGTAGGCTTGCTGGAAGACTGCTACATGCGTTTCTTCCGTTGCCTCGCGAAAATGGATATTCTAATCTTTGCCTCGGTCGCGCCATGATTTCATGTAATGATCAATGAAGGGCGCTGCTTGCTCCATGTTTGCGCGCAACCATCTTTCGTTTACAAAAAATCAAGCCTCGTAACCCGCCAACGGGTAGCATAATCCTTACAGAATCCATGTCATGTTCGATCAACACGTTTCGCATGCTGATATTACTGGCTGCAGCAACCTCCCCTGCAATCCGCCGTGCCCTGGTCTCAAATCCACAACTGCCCACCCTTCTCCGCTCTATCGATCGACTTCGTGGTCCGGAGCGCGAAGAAGCCCTCGAGCACGCACTTGGGATTGCACCAGCAGATCGCCAAGCTCCGGCTCAGCCCGAGGAAGACACGCGCGCCTTACGAATGCTGGCGGAAGCTGTTGAAGCTGCTGTGAGAGGCGGGAAGCAGGACGTTCTGGGTCTGGACTGGGGAGATTAAATACTGGCCAGCAGTGTCAGTAGAGAATTGTGTTGTTCGCGCTGCACGCACATCATATATAGAAAGGCGGATATCATCGAGCCAAGGACGGTCGTCGGTCGTCAGCGCACAGACAGACGAAGTGACGGAGTGCGTCGACATGAAGGTAGAAAGTCACGGGGGGCATTTAATTATCATTCGTTCAACCAAAGACTAGGCGCACCAGGTCTTGCACAAGGATTAGTTGTTCGATGACGTTGAACAAATTAGTCTGCCTCGCGTGCTCGGCCAATTTGCATAACTTGAACCCGGCGGTCTTGATTATGAATTCGTGTAGGGACAGGATAGATTAGAAATATGTTGCAGCGATCGCGGGAGACGAAGCTTCTGGGGCTCCCTTGGCGAGATCGCCGGGCTTCTGGATCTGGATCGAACGAAGATCTGGAGCGATCAACGCAATGCCCGATAACTCTTCTTCTGCGCTGAGATCCTTTGGCGCACACTGAGACACAGAAGCTGTCGCCGGGACACTCTACCTGCGCGCCCATCTCGACCGCGAGATCGACCGGTGCCTTCAGCATTGACATGTGACAAATGACACAATAGATCGATCGTGCTAACTTTCCCAAGCCAGCCTTCGACGACTTGGTCAACAGAAGACGGGTACCCATACCATGGTGAAAATGAGACGTATGCAGAAGCGGAGTCGACAGGTTAATTTTGCGCAAGGGATGTCGTCCTGAAAGAATTAATTCGTCAAAGCAGTCCTATTGCGCAGAGCTGGATGATATGACTGATCACTGTTCAGCGTCATGAATGTCATGATTAAGCGGCTGAATGTAGATTATCGGAGTTCAACTCCTTGGGCGTAGATATGACGGGTTGGGGGAAGCAATTCGACATCAATCCGGCCCGTATTTGTGGCAGAATATGCATATTGGGCATATTTCCTTGAAATCGATATCGATTGTGCTGCGAGATCCCACCACGGAGCTCTAATATGAATGTATATCAAGGATCAGCGTGGAGATAACAAACTGTTTATTCGAACCAATGCATCGAACCAGGCTGGTCTCCAACGTCCAAACCTGCTGGAGCTACTAGCGGGGCCGACGAAATAGTGGCGACGAGTCTTCGAAGATTCCCCACAAACTGGTCAACGCAGGAAAATATACCCTGCAAATCGCGATCCACTGTGCTAGGCATTGCGAGGCACTTCTGCTGAAGCAAAGTGCTTGCGGCGATGTTCATCACGTCCAGAGGGCAATGTGACATCAGGCTAAGCTTGGAGGAATTTGAGGGAAATGCTTGAAGGTACAGAGGAGAAAGGACTGACTTCCGACCTTTCCTTATGCTCGGTGATATTACGGGTCCTTGTTGAAATCTGATAATACGCTCTAAGCCTCCGACGCCAGTTCTTACCGACAACGGTGGTATTTCTCTCTGATGCAACGGTGAGATTGGTTCGAATTGGAACATTTGTAATAACTCATGTTCGATCCATACCTGCACGGGGGCCGGGCTAAGTATGCACTGACTGTCATCTGCAAATCGTAATCCAGCTGAGCTAGTTCTGTGATGACAGTCGCTTGTTGTCATCATGTTTTGCAGACACCCGATATTGGCCTTGTGACGGGAGGCATTGCAGCTGGCTACAGTTGCGGACAACCAAAGTCATCCAATTCTGTGCCGCTCGATTGGAATTTTTTGGGGCCAAATGGAGGTCAGATTTGGATTCAGCAGGTCCAGAAACCCCCAAATCCGATGAGTTTGTAATTTTCCCACGACATTTAGAGTCCGCCAAATTTTCGAGCTGATTTTGTTTGACAAAAAAGTCTGTAGCTACAGGACGTACCATCCAGAATTGTTTCAATAGCATGCATTGCGTGTTGTGTCACCAGCCAGTGCTGCTTCTGCTTTCGAACAGCCCATTAGGCAGCCATTCAGACCTTGCAGAATGTGCTGATAAATCACGTGAGGGTTTAGTGTGTAATCACATGACCCTAATCAGGCACGTGCTACTTAGCGCCTCCTGAGCAATGCATTTCACCTCTGCAAATGTGGCCTTGGGGTACTCGCAATAGTAATACTAGCACCAGTCCCAATGGGCTCAACTTATTCTTGAGGTTGGAAGTATTTCTGGTCTTTGCGGGCATTCCGAGAACAGTAATGATTTGCGGCTCTCCTGGGCGCCTAATCACAAGGACATTTATTTATGGCTCAACTAATTCTTTGACTACAAATCCTGTATCATAAGCATGTGCAACGATAAGAATAAAGTCGATTGGTGATTTTTCGGCATTTTTCCGAATTATTTTGGGGTTCCGCCAAATATTTGGCCCTCAAAACACAAACTTCACTTTTTTGGGAAATCCACTCGTGCAAAATCATTCTTCTCAGTCTATACATGATCTAACTAGGGTTTACAATCGTTTGCGAAGACTCACAAGGCCCAGAAAATTCGGCCGAAAAATTGGACGACTTTGGTTGTCCGCAACTGTAATCCGATAACACCATGGATACAACGACTAAAATAAGCATGACATGCAGCAGTATAATACAGGGACATAGGCATACAGGTCGCACAAGCGATGTCATGGAGTATCAGATATATTCCGACAAGCCCCTTCAACCGAATCGCCCCAATGCCCGTGCGCTCTTGCTGACGATCTTTGATTCTGATTGCTTAACCTTGGCACGCCTGGATCTGGGGATGGAGTAAGGAACAGGAGACGCATGTATGAAGTTAGAAACTTACTCCTCTTTCGCTTCTCTCTCGAGAATACGTACGTGCTCCGCCGCGCTTCGCGCCGAGGCGCGGGCTTGCATGAGGGCACGGTCCGCTTCACGCTCTGCAGCCTCAGCCTCCGCTACTTTCTGACGGGCTGCAAGGATGCTTGGATCATTTCTGGGATCGTCATCATGGTCGGATGACGACGACCGACGACGACCAAAGAAGCCCGTGCGCGTGCTACCCGTACGCGTAGACTCATTCGTAGAAGGCTCTTGTTCCGGAGTGTTCGAACGGCGGGAGAACATGCTGCGATTGCGCTGCGGTTCTTGCGCAGGGGCTGGAGGAGGAGACTGCTGCTCCGGGCTGGATGAATGGAATAACGGCATCTGCGACCGATGCATATGACATTGGCTATCGTGGAACAGAGGAGTTGTCGTATGTCTCACCTTGGTATCTAAAATCAGGGTATGGATGAAGTGGGAGGTATTGCTAATGTCGATGAGCACTCGACGCCATGCAATCAACCTTTTATCCGTGTGGCAGTCGTCTACGTCAGTGGAGATTGCGTTGTAGCCAGCTGGGCTCTGCAGACTGATAGACCACTTTGGGCTACCCCATGATAGAGTTCCGTGCAGGAGCCACTGTTGCCTGGTCTCGGATTGCGTCAAGTAGCCTCAAACAGCAGTATTCATGGTCATGAAACGGCCAATCATGGAGTGAACGTATGGAGCAGCTGCAACCGCCAGGCTGAGGACTTCATGGAAGAGCGAGGCACGCATGAGTCACGTGACACGGTCTGTGCGTGGGAATGAGGGTGACGCGCGGAGTTCGAAGCGGAATTCCAACCCTTCCTCCTTTCGCAACCTTGTATAAATGCTTCCCTCTCACCTCCAACCTTCACCACGCCCCGCCCTCCGAGCTCGTTGTTGCCGACGGTCCAGGGAGCCGAGCGTTGAATCATGTCTAATAAAATAGTGGTGAGCTGCTCACCACGCATGTATTTGAGTGGAACGGCGAGTGACATCCGTCCCTGGATGAGCCCCAAGTCTATCGTGCTGTCATCGACGATGTGATTGCAAGCGTCAAGGCCGAGTTCGAGGAGTATGGTGTCAGTGAAGATGTACTAGCTGAGCTCCATAATGTGAGTATATCTCTGCTCTTAGCTTCATGTCGCGCTACATCCAGTGTAGAAATGGCAGAGCAAAGTGTTGTCGTCTCACGTCGCCGACTTCGAGTCGCTCGATCGGCCGTCGACAACTAGTCACCCACAGCACCCCCCATACCCACCGCATCCTATTCATGCGCATCCTCCTCACCCCATTCACCAAGCGCATTACCAGGCGCATAATCCTTATGCAACGCCTCACCCAGTCCAAGTCCCTCCTCCGCCGCCCGGACCTCAAATAAAAGCTGAGCCTGTTGATAGTCGTTTCATCCTCAGTGGGCAGATGCAGCCACACTACGGCATGCCGCCACTGGCGGGTCCCCAGATCCCGACTGCGCGCGCGCCGAATGGTATGGCGTACCCTGGTCATCCCCCAAACATGGGGAGCCGACCTCAGAGTAATGCACCGGCTCCCCCGGCCCCTACTGCTCGCTATCCTCCGTCACAACAACGGATACCGCAAGTTGACGGACCGTCATCTTCATCGTCGGACTCACCGTCACCCCCACCGAGCCAAGGCTATGCGCCGCGGTCAACTCACCCATCACTTCCACAGCCTGTTCAGCATGCCGCAGCTTCTGTAGACGATGAGGAGGCGATCAACAGTGAATTGGATGACTCGGATTCAGACAATGACGGAGACCGCGAGGAGGGTGGCTCGGCGGACGCTGACATCGTATTCTGCACATATGACAAGGTGAGCGTCGAATGGGACACCGGAGTTCTTCGTACTCAGCGTCATCTGTCCAGGTTGCCCGTGTCAAGAACAAGTGGAAGTGCATCCTCAAAGATGGCATGATCCACGTGAATGGCAAGGACTATCTCTTTCAGAAGTGCACAGGGTGCGTAATGTTCGGTGCGCCTGAGTCCTGGCATCTAAACATCCCACAGCGAATTTGAGTGGTAATCCATGCTTCTTGTTGAGCGTTGTGCTTCTCGTCCATATTGTCATCGCTCAATTTGTTTATCACTTGGTCGTCTACTCATGCTGTGCAGATGTCTGCATTCTCGTTGGAAAACCATACATTTGACATATCTGTCTGCTGCATCCATATATCATTGTATAAAATATCTCATGCGAACGGAATGCATTATCACTTACAAGAACGGCCATCCTGATATGCAGGTCGGCGAATATGATCGCAGCTCTGATGTGCCGCATGTGCGTCTATCAGTGCGGACCGTAGCAGCCACCAGCGCCTCGTGGGTGAGCTGCCAAATCGAGACGGCGACGTCGCATTGTGGCATGCGCGCGATGGCGAGCTACTAGCTGCTGCTCGCTTGTTGTTTCCATTCGTCTGCCCACCATCGTGCTCACAACGTCCGAGCTTGTCGCAGCGTCGAAGGAGACCCATACGGGGATACACTGCTGCCGCGTTGCTATCGGCCAGCTGAGACCCGGTCGTGACACTGCCAGGTACGTCAGCTCTAACCCCTACCAGGGTCTACTCAACTCCCGCCCGCGGCGGACCACGCATGATTGCCGTGGCGTGCGCTGACCAGCCTGACAGAATACTGCACAATCTATCCCCATCGCGATGTCTGATGCGTGCGGGCTGGTGTGCTTGTTACGGCCATCATGCTTGCTACAGCCATCGCCGATTTCGGGGGCAAGGGTGACCCACAGCAGCCTCCCGCCTGAGCTCTGGCTGGAGATTTTCCGCTACGCGACATACGTCCCTCGTGTGCACGGCCTCAGCCCCGGTGACCCCTTCGAGCGGCAGCGGCCATCCAACTTTGCCTGGGGTGTGAATACTCCTGTCTCGTCGCTCGCGACCAAGCGCAGCCTGGTTGTCGTCTGCCGCGCCTGGCGCATGCTCGCGACTGAACTGCTCTACGAACATGTTGTAATCAGCAGCAGACGCCGCGCTTGCCTCCTCGCTCGCACACTTTACGAAAGCCACTTGGCAGCGAAGAGATCGTACGCAGAAAGCCACGCCGTTGGTGAGGTACCGAGAGGGCATGCGGAATGGATCCGTCATGTGGAGCTTCGTGATTGCTCCCGGACGTCGAAGACGGCGTCATTCTGGAACGCCGTCGCAGCCATCCTCTCATTGCTTCCGAACCTCCACGTCCTGAGTGGAATCTGGGAGCAACCCTTGTCGCAAGGCCAACTCGCGCTTCTCTCGCGGTATATCGGTAACACCATCCGTGGCCTGTATTGGGAGGAAGGTACCATCCTGGAAGGACAGACGTCATTGCTGAATGCAACATTTCTTCCCAAGTTCCAGTCTCTCCGTGTCCTTGACATCCGGAAGCTCAAGCTCGAGGACCAGGACAGCTTCCCGACGAGCGCAGCTTCGCAGACCTGCCTATCATCGGTGGTGGAGGTCTTGTTGCCTACATGCCCTGCGGTCCTGCGCTTTGCCGGCTGGCTGAGCCTTCCCCGCCTACGCAGCGTTGTCCTCGATGCGGCGAATGTGCGGCGCAGCGCGACGTCCTCCGTTATTTCTGCCATTGACATGTTCCTCGCCGCACACGGTGCGAAGATCACAACGCTCGAGCTCCTCCCCATGACCTCTCTGTCGTACAAGCCCTCTCCGATCAGCATCACCAGGCTCCTGCAGCCAGACGTCTGCCCCGCGCTCGATACATTCGTCTTCGACTGCCGCGAGAAGATCGTCAGCGCAGCATCTTCGCCGTACAGCTCCCCCATGCGCAAGCCCGCCTACACGCCCTCGCTCCTAGCCGCCGCGGTGCCGCCCTCCCTGTTGCGCTTCCTTGACGGCGCGGCCGCGCCCGTGCTCTCCGAGCCGCACCGCACGCTGCGGCGCATTGGCATCCGCGGGATGGGCATCAGCCGGCTGTACCCCAGCCGCCCGACGCACGCGCAGCTGCACCTGCACGCGTTCCTCGCGCACCGCGCGCTCTTCCCCGCGCTCGAGACCGTGCGCACGGTCGGGCTGCTCGTCGACGCGTCGACGGACCCGTATGCGCGCGACATCTTCATCTGGTGGACGGAGAAGTACGAGGAGCGCGGCCTCGATCTGCAGGACGGCGAGGGCGTCGTGTGGGTGTACACGGACCCCGTCGAAGGGAAAGAGGCGGCAGCAGAGGAACAGCTCGATTCGTTCGGCCCGACGATCCTCGTTCACAAGAGCGATCGCAGAGAGCTCAGGGCTGCGAAGGGGAGCGTCTAGGTGCGCGGCGCGCGCTTAGACGACGCAGATATACGAGGGATGGTTTCTTCATGAAGTTGTGTTAGTACTAGCATCATCAGATTGTGCATAATCGCAGACTTTAGTAGGCTTCATGCGCACCACATTACTCTTGTGTCTATAGGTCGTGTAATTTTATAATGGGGAATGAGAGTCGCTTTTGAGAACAATGCATGGATGCTGGGGTTTTTTCTTCGCTTTCAAACTTCAAGCTTCAAGCTTCGAGTTTGAATCCGGATTGCTTCGCAGCGGCTGATCGAGGCCTCTGACCCAATATGGCAAGGTTACCGCTGGGCGCGGCCCGGCGGTGCCGGAGCGTAATAGCGCGTTTCATTAGACGCGTCTGGGCGTCTATGCGCATTCACTTCGGGCCTTGGCTCCTGTATTGCAGAACCATAAGCGTTCTCACAGCCGTACATAATAATGATGTGCCAGCCCTCGATGGCGGCCAGCATATCTCCGCCGTATATGAAAAGTGGACAGCAATTGGTCCTCTGTTGGTCCACCATACAGTCCTGCTACTTCCCCCGAACGCGCCAGGAACGCGGGCAGCATTGCATACGTTCCCGCCAGGCGCACTAGCCATATCCTCTGTCATCCGATTATGTACTGCTTACTCTGCGGCGACGGTTGCATTGGCCGGCACGGTTCTTTCTGATGAATGGCGCTCGGTATTTTCGGGTCAGGCCCTGAGTGGCGTTCCTGGCGCAGCCCGGACTCGGACACAATCTCTGGCACTGAATGGTGCGGGTGCAGCAGGTAGAGCGGACGCTGCGAAGCCGAGGCTGCCGCCGTCTCCTGCGTCCCTCGCCCCTCGTGCTGTCACACCCTATGTCGCACGAGCCCCAGACTATACCAATACAAAGTCGCGCGCGCGCGCTCACGCGATCCCGCCACGGCGTCGATCCAGGCCGGATCTTCTGCCCGTCCTCGTGCACTCCCAGACCCTCCGCGAGGCCTAATGCAAATAGGATGCAGTACCGCCCCCCCGGGTCCTGCGGGTCGTGGCTGTCAAGCCGCGTCTGGCTTCCCTGCCCTGCACGCTGATCGAGCGCGCGCGCGCGGGGCCACTTGGGCCCAAAGGCGCACGCGCCATCCGGAGCGCATGGCGGGCCCATCACGCCTGCACGAGCCCACTTTACCAATACGCACCACGCACCGCGCACCACGCACCGCGTCCATTAGTAATGTCCGACGCCGAGGCCCTTCTGCGTCCGTCCCGATCAGCATCAGGCGCGGCGAGACCCCGCTGCAGGTGCTAAGGCTACAGATGAATTCCAATGCGCGACCCTGAGCTAAGTAAGTATCCTACAGGCTATCCTATCGAGATGTCAAGGTGAAGATGTGATGCGGACCATCACGCGGATTTTATGTACAGAGGGTGTGCCGGGCGCACGGCACCAGTGGCACGTCCCCGTCCCCGGCGATCGTGCGGGGTAAGGGCACGCTGCAGCCCGGGAGGGTGCTCGCATCTGCGGGGGCAGGGCGGACGCCGCGTCCTCGCTGCCCGTGCCACGCCGAGCGCGCCTGCAGTGCCCTGGATGCAAAAGGTCAAGTGCGAAGAAGACGTGTGCGAGGGGAGGTAGCATGGGGGGTGGGGGCAAGAGACAAGTCCGGTCTGTGGGCGCAGTGTCCACGAGGGAGTGTCAATCACGACGTATACAAGCGGTGTTATGAGTACATTGCGTTTGCGGTTCCAAAGGGGTATGGGTATCAATGCAAGAGTCCGTTCACCGTGCGCCGGGCCCGAGTAACCGCAGCGCGCGGTCGTCCGCAAGGCTGCGCCTGTACGGATGTGTTCTGAGCGAGTGGAGCGGCGCGAGGTCCACACGCATGGGCCCAATTGGCTGGCCGTTCTCGTCGACTGGGGGTGCAGGTATGTACGGCATACCATTGTCCAACAAAGGGAACTCGATGGAGGATATCATGGGTGAGAGGGAGCAATTTGAGGAACTGGAGAACGGGGAGGGGCTCATGGGGGACGCTACCGAGCGCCACGAGGATGACGAGTGGTCTGAGAGGGACGGCGACAAGGAATACTCCGAGTGTGTCGCTCGCGTGACGGGCGTCGAGGCGGAGATGTACTCGTAGTTTGGCTCGGAGGAGTAGCCGAGCTGTGCTGAGATGGGCGCAGGGGTATATACATTGAGCACCTCGGGGGGCGGCGGGCTCTGCACGGCGTCGCCGGCGTCGGGAAGCACCACGGGGCGCAGCGCCTGCGCCAGCGACGGGAGTGTAGGTGATTGCTACAGTTGCGCCTGCGGATAAGGGAAGAAGGAGTAACCAGATGGGCGTCCACTCACCGGAGGCATCTGGAGGGGCTGGGTATACAGGGCGGAGGGCTGCACGGGTGCGGCCGTGTGGGCAGGCGCAATGGCGATCGCCGACGCGTCTGGCCAGGCCGGCTGCGGGTACGCCATGGCGGACGTCGAGGGCGAGAACGGGTCGACGGCGGTCGACGGGCCGGGTTGTGGCTCATACGACGCGGCCGACGGCTGCTGCTGGTGCGCACGGTAGTTCGAGGGGAACGGCGCGAATGTGCGCTTCGTGCCCGAGCCGGACGGTTTCGACGGCTCGCCCTTCTTGCCGGCCTTGCTCGTGCGCGCGCTCCTAAAGGCACCGTCGGGAACGACGAGATTGCGAAGCTCGGGGATGTCGTCAATGGTCTGCAGCTGACCTTCGGTGAGCTTGGTAAAGTACGCATCTGCCCGGGGGGAATGTCAGACGCAGGGCTGCGCAGATGGCAGCGGACGCACTAAGATGCCACTTCCGAGGTTCCTTCGGTTTCTCGTCGGGGGAATCCGCCTGTGGGTCGCCTTCGGGATCATTGCGGTAGACGGAGTACGTCTGTTTGATGAACTGGTCGTGCTCCCCCGGCCTGACGATCATGTTCTCGGACGCCCTGTGGGGAACATCGATGCCTATCGCGGACGCGACGAAGGGGGACACGTACTTTGCGCGCTGGCCGCCGCGGCCCTTTGTCTTCTTGACGTTCTCGAAGTACATGAGAAAGTCCTAAGGCGAGGAAGAAGAAAAAGCTTAAATCTGGGGGGGCGATCAGAGGTAACGGCATGATTCACCTCCCGCACACGCGAAGCGGTCCATGATTTGCCCTCGGTGAAGCGCTCCATTCCGACGCTGAACGCATCCCCGGTCGGACCCTTCTTCTCCCACACGTACACATCGCCTGGGCGGAGCGCCTGACGCTCGTGTGCGTCGAGGCGTTTCTCGATCTTGGGCAGGAGGCCAAGCTGGACGGCATAGAAGACCTTGTGCGCGTCGTCTGCAGAGCGAATGTGGACGTTCTGGAGCGTGGGCTTCTGCATGGTGGTCGTGAGATAAGGCGTGGGCGATAGTACGGGATTCGGCGGAGGAGGGTCTGCAGGGGATGGGGCGGGGGGCGGGGGCGGGGAGGGGGGAGAGGCAGCAGCGCGAAGAGGAGGAGGAAGGGCTATATAGCGCAGGGCTCGGCAGGGCTTGTTCAGCAGCGGACTGAATTGATGTGTCGGAGAATAAATGGAATGTGTGAGTGGGGCGTAAGTTTAACCAGCCTTGCCCAGAACGGCTGCCCGAGACAACGGATACGTCCCACATAATCTAATCGAGATTCACCACTAGCTGATCGTCCCTGCCACCCCCGTCCCCCGCCATCGCGTGCCCCCCGATCACCCCACTTCCCACCCTCGTCGTCACTGCCCGCCGCCTCCCTGCCTCACGCCCTCTCGCTCTGGGGTGCACCTCCCTGCGCCGAGCCTGTGCATCGCATCAACCCCGACGCACTTCTAGCTCGCCCCCCCAGTGACGCCATCATGCCAATCTCGGGCCCTGCGCAGCGAACACGGGCTGCAGAGCTTATTACGAAATCGACGATATGAGATCGCTCGCGCCTTGCCATATATGTACCCTCCTTGTACCAGCCACTCAGTACTTGCCAGTCCATTCCGAGGCCTCCCCAGGCCGACCATCGCACCACGCGGAAAATACGCGTGAGCGCGACGGGTCCGCTTGCGAGGGCGAATTCCTGCCCGCTCTGCGTCATCCAAGTTGCGCCCTGACAACCGAGAAACGTGTTGGACCTCTGTCCCTCGATCCGGCTGTTCACCTTCGCGGGTCCGCCCGTCGCTGCCAGTGAGCGTGGCGGCGTTGCCATCTGTCGCTCTTCGCAAGCCCCTCGCACACAATGAATTGTGTCGTAAACTTCTCCGTCACACGTACGCATCTACACATTCCTTAAAGCCATCGGAAGAATTTCAAAAGGAAAGCTCCACAGTGGCGAGACCTTCGGCACGTTATCCAAGCGCAGATGGACCCGCGAGCTCGGTGTAAGCCTCTTCTATCGGCTGGGCTGCTGGCTGGCTGCTCCCGCGTAGGCTGCCCGTCGCGACGGCCAGCACGCAGCCGTCATATGCCTCCGCAAAGCTCAGCATGGGGTCTGCGTGCCAGATGCGCCCTAGATCGCTGTCGCAATCGATTATCGCGAGATGCCGAACAGATGCCCGAAAGGGAAATATATTACACCAGTGCGAAATATGAACCCCTTGGGGTCAGCCGTTCTCACCGCCTGTTCTCCATAGGGATCCCTTCCTCTGGTGCGGTCCGAGCTGGTGCATACAGATGCGATCTCGTTTGTCAGCACGTCCGTCTCGGACTCTGGCGAATGAATGCGTGATGACCCTGAGCAGATCTCGTGAGTCCGCTTCCGGCGCACCCCAGCTTCGTCATGACGTGCGCGCCATGACCAGATGCAGCAACTGGGGATATATATCGCGCTGCTGGCATTCGATCGACGAGCATCCGCGTATGTACATCCGCACCCGAGACAATGCATTTTGCGCCCAGAAACCTAATCCTGCCGTCACGGGTGCGCGTCGTTTGTATACGCGCAGTCATATGCCCGCAAAATCAAGGGCCTCGCGACGACATGGCCTGGAGCCCTCGCCTGGGACACAGGCCGACTGCTATCCCCTTCGCGTCCTGCTCGCGTGGAGGTGAGAAGCACGCTGTGGGAAGGTTGTGCCAGAGAAGCTCTGGAAGCTTTCTGGTAGCACACTGCGCGCGCAGAAGACGTCGACGTTCGCCCACTGTCTGGCTCGTCAGATTTAGAACCGGGGAGCCGAGAGCGTGCCCGCGCAAGCTCGTCCCCGTGCTGCCGCGCCGCGAGAGGCACAGGAGAAGGCTCCTGCAACGACCGCGCGCCGGGGGGTTTGTGCGCCCTGGGCGCGACGTCCGCGTCCGCGTCCGCGTCTGCCCCTGCGCGCGCCCCCGCCGGGACACATAAGCTTCAGACTAGCAGGGAGCGTAGATCCGGGAGCGCGTCTCGCGTGCCACGGACCGCGGTCCAGCCCTGCGTGCCGTTCGGGGAGGTGCAGACCCATATGCGGGAGGCTTCTATCGCGCGCGATATCGATGCCGAAGCCGCGCTCACACCCCTAGCGCGATCTGTCCAACTCTGGCTGCCACGGACGTACCACTGCCTGCCCGCATCGCATCATCACTGTCATGGTCATGTCTGTCCGTGTTCATGCAGACCCTGCGCGCCAGATGACGCAAGGCGCGAAGCGTAGATTACACATGGCGCGCCAACCAGCCAGCGACACACCGCTGGAGCACATCGAGAAGGAGAGAAGTCCGTCCGCCGCCGCCGCCGCCGCCGCCGCCACCGTCACCGCCATGCGGGGCACGCGGCCCTTCACAGGATCCTGACCATACAATCGAGCGATCTCAGGTTCAAATTGTCGATCGGGTGCCGCGGCGGGTACGGCGACGTGCGCAAGTAGATCAATGGCGCCAGGTCGTGGGACGCTGCCCCCCGCGTGAGCGTGCTCGACTGCGCCTGATGCACGTCGGGCAGGTGCGCCGAGGGGCTGGAAGCGTCTGCGGGCGCGTCCAGTGCGTCGGGGGGCGCCTGCCAGCCCTCCGGGACGGACAGCCCGGGCGGGTGCGCAGTGGGCGGGGTCCTATTGCGAAGCGCAGAAGGGCCGTCAGGCGGCACGCCCGGGTACAGTACACCACCGTCTGCCCTCCCGCTTGCGTCCTCCAGGGGCTCGCCGCGGGCGTGATTTTTCGCCTGGCGCGCAGTGGCGAACACGCCCGGCGGGACGCGGTAGACGAACGGTGCGAGCGCTGGAACGAGGTGGACGTTCTGCACCGAGTGCAGGGTCTCCACGCTATCATAGGCGACTGGGGAGAGACGGCGAGCAGTGAGCGTCAGATTGGGCACGATGGACGAAACAGCTGACCGAGATGCCACTTGCGACAGCCGTCCGGAGTCTTTACGAAAGCGCTGTATGTCTGCTTGACGAGTCTAGAGGCCAGGCTGCCGTGGGCCGATCGGGGATCGGGGAAATACGATACCAGCGTTCAGTGCGGCAGAGTATACCATGTGAATCGAGCACATACATCGCTTGGGCCAGCTCAGGGTTGGCGTCGAACTCGGGCAGCTTCTCGTAGTATATCAGGAAGTCCTGTGGACGGCTTGGCGCTGAGCGTGGGGGCCAACGAAAGGTGGCGCACTTACCTCGCGCACCCTCGACGGGCCCCAGCGTCTACCGTCCGTCCAGCGCGATATGCCAGCCTGGTGGACCGTGATGGGGCCAAGTCAGAACCTGATCGGCGCGCAGGATCGGCAGAAGACGTACGCCCGTAGCTTCGGTCTGTGCATCGCGCTCCTCCCACACGAAGGCGGTCTCGGGCTGAATCGCCTCGCGCTCGCCGGGGTTGAGCCGCTGGACGACGATGGGGAGCTGGCCGAGGAGGACGGCGTAGAAGAGGACGTGGGCACCCACTATGTCACGGATGCGGACGCCGGTGCAGGTCGGGTACTGCATGGTCGGGCGTGCAGGTCTCCCTGGCACATGTAAGCGAAGCTGGCGCGTCGGCTAGGGCTTATATGGGCGGGCAGAGGAGGTGGAACGAGGTGGCGGAACGAGGTGGTGGAGAGGAGAAGGAACAGGCCCGGTGTGTGCAGCTCTGCAGCGTTGATGGTTGCGCGGAGAGTTAGAACGTGATGCGTGCCCAGGATGGGAAAAGGATGCCATACGCACGACACCACCCTAATCTCGCGACTGTCGAGTGCGTACTGTTGATTGTATCGGAAGCAGACGTGGAGCCGAAGGTCTGCGAAGAGGAGAGCGGTTCGGGAAGCGTCTCTCGTTCCTGAGCCCGTGTCTGGAAACTGCATTATCAATCGCGGTAGATACGCGCGGCCAATGGGCGCATCTTCTTTGTACGGGCGAATCTTCTCGGATCCCCCAGGGAGTCAGCTGGATTGGGATGGCCTGCGCCATCGTGCAGTTTCAGGGGGGGGGGGGGGGGGGTTCCTAGGGAGCAAGCGCGTTACGACTGCACATACGCGTCAAGGGCAGACGTTTCTGATGGCGGACGCTTTGGAACGAGGAGACACCGCAGTAGACCCTGAAAGACGGTGGTCGATAACGTAGTACAAGACACGACGAAGGCGTCGCAGAGCGCGGTCGTCGCAGGTCTTGAGGTCATCGACGCAGTTCAAGTTGACGCAACAACGCCGTTGTCGGCGGCTATGACATGTTCGGGTTCACGCAAAATCATTGTTCCGACTGCACACACAGCGCCCGTCGAGAGGATGGGAGAGGAATGAATTCGAAAAGGCTTGTCTGCTGATGATAAGGTTATGGTTATAGGGCTGCTTGGAGCTGGCCCTTATGAATATGCAATTGCCTGAAGAGCAGTTTTGCACTCGGCGGGAGATTCGCATGTCATCATGACACATCGGCCGTATTGGCAGCCGAGCCCGCACTACCCGCTACTTATCTCGGAGCTCGATCTGATGAAGAGAGCACAAAAGCTTCATAGGTGTTATGCGCATCTGCGATGAGGCTTCCCGCGAACGCTGGGCGGCACGATGGTATCGGACAGGCTGAGGGGGGCATGCGTCCGCAGCTGACTTGCTCTTCTTCTGCAAACTCGGATCCAACTAGCGAACTTTCCAGAGTATGACGTTTGTGGTAGTCGCATTGCAGTGTGTTATAGTTGTATGAGATCTAATATGATTATACCTTGATGAGTGCACACCAGGATCTGGGTGGAGCGGTTCGGCTCGTCGCCCGTTGCCCGGTACAAGCACACAAGTGTTAACTGATCTACCGCGATCGCCATTGCCCGTGTCTCCACACGGAGGTATTCCACTGCTGAAATGAGCGGAGCATGGTGGGCTGCTGTCGGGAGCAAACCCACCAGCCTCACGGAAAGTGGGCAGCTCGGCGACCTTGATTGCAGTGTAATTTGAAAGGAAACCCGGTCTCTAAGAGCTTGCGCAGGCTTGAGCCTGGTCGTCGGACACGCTTGGCAAGGCAGAAAGACCAAGATCGGTATCTCACCAGCGATCGGCGCATCCACGTGGCCTGTGCGACGGTCCCGGGAATGACCTACGCCGGGCGCGCCACCGAGGCCGTCGAGTGTCCTCTGCCTGCCCAATTGTTCGTGCCGTCTCAGTCTCCCGGAACTTGACTTGTACGTGTACGGACCTTGACAACATCCGCACAACCAACCATCTCTCGCGGCGCACCTGAGGTGACGAAATGTGTGCGGGTTCTTGCACTGTGAGGCGAGCCTTGTCTTCCAAGTGGCGTACTGCATCGCGTACCTCGACTGCTATCCCCACTGTCCTCAGCGCTCCCACACATGTTTCAGGTCCCCCCGCAGGCGCCGCAAAATAGGTCTGCTAGGTCTGCGCCGCCCCAGCGACGGTTATCTAGATCTGACATGAGGCTGCAGGACCGGCCTCTGTGTCGGGACTTGTCCTGACCACCATCCCATGCCGTTTCGCCCGCTTGGCATGCGTCGATGGGCAGCGCACAACGAGGCCCGTAAGGTCCGAGTGGTCATGAGCGCGCCGTTAGGACGATGACAGAGACGGCGGACACCGACGCACATTTCTTAATTATCCCATCCCATTCTCAGCTCGTCGCCACAAACGTTATCTGACAACGTACGCTGGTCCGGCCGGCGAGAAGACTTGGTCTGACTGTTCTCCGGGAAGGGGATTCTGCCGTGGACGTGAGTAAGGCAGGATTGAGCGATCCCTGGCTGTAGGATGCTGATGACGTTGCAAATGCACGTCTTCCTCTTCCGTCTTCTAGTGCGCCGGCGTTTCCACATGGGCAAAGAGGAACGGTGCCGGCGGACAGTGGGTGAGGAGGGAGCGAGCAGCGGATCAGAAGGAGCGATTGCAGAGGGAAGCCCTTGTCTCGTGCTCGGCGGGGGATCTGGACGCGCCCCAGGCTGATGACACCGAGGAGTTGGCCCAAGCTGTCGCCAACAGGGATTCGTTCCCCCATTGATGGCATCGACGCCTATGCCCGTCGCCACTGTGGTCGCCTCTATTCCCTTTGCGCTGACCCACGCCGAAAGACTCGGGAATCCTTTTCGGGACTTTGATCCTTGCGACGGACGACCCTGTGCATGGCTTGAGCATGGCCAGCCTGCATAAGAAGGGAGGAGCCCTCGCTTGCGGTGGCTTTGGCAATTCTCTCGAGAAGCCTATAGCTAATTTGGCTACTTCAAAGGATCCATCGACTGCGCAGGACTCAGCGCCCGCACGGGTCCTCTGATTCGTCCAGCTCAAATTCACCATTCGTGTCCGGTGCACAGCTACACGCCAACCGAGAGCTTCTTTGAATGTACTGCCTCTCAGGGTGCTCGCAAACAAGGCGGCCCGGCAACCCAGACCGATTCGGTGGTGTCGTTGCTTTTGGTTAAATCTACAAACCAGCTGCGATGCTCGCTCGCCCGCACCAGAGTGTCATGCACGTCTAGCTGTTTTTGGCCTTCGGCAATCACGCACTGACTCACGACTTGGCGAGCCCGCGATTTGGGATTGGGGAGGCTGGGGGCGGCGCAAGGCAGGGATGCAGACCCTTTCGAAGCATCCGAGCTGGGCCATTCCCGCCGTGGCTTGGAAGGCGACTCCTTGCGGGGCTACATGGACCATTCTCTGAGCGCGTGCACCCCCTTGTTGCCGAAAGGTGCCTTGCAGAGGTAAGCGGTGCCGCACCGCCAAGCGCGGTATTTCCTGTGGTATTTTCTAGTGCAGGATACTCGGATATGGTTTTGCCTCCGTGACACCCATGAAGTAATACGAATAACATGCATCATGGTATCCATGATGTCCAGTCAGCACCTCGGGGCTGATGTGGGTGACAAGGTGCGGACGCAGGTGATATATAATTTATTTATAGCCTATTTAGGTAGCCGACCGTTAGTGTTGTGCGTAATTATAATTTGTCGTCGAATTTGTAGGTATGACTACCAGGCCGACGCTGATTGTAAGAAGGGAATCGAGATCGCGAAGGCGCATCACCGACGGTTGCCCAGTGACAAAATTTAGGCATATGAATCGCTTTATATGGATGCGCCTTTATATGGTTGGAACGGAGGCCTCGTTGAGGGTCTGATCTGGCTGATGCGTTGCTCGATCGAGTGCACCGTTTCCCGAGACCACCACGATCGCGCTCTCCGCAAAGATTGCCACAGCGCCTGCTCTCGCCAACTTGTGGCGACAATTGCGAGCAACACGCTAGTCGAGTCAGGCCATCAGGACGCTCAGCAACGATAACGCACTGAATCGTGCATGCGGCTCGGCATCTTCCACCTCCGCCGCGGACTCGTACTACGCCCATCGCCGAAGTCTCATCTCATCTCTGCTTTCGCCGCTCCCCACCACACGAGATCTTGCACATCCATGGCGATCCAGCAACCAAAGTGGGCCCTCCCGCAGAGGCAGGCCGAAGAGCCTGTGCTGAAGGTGTACAACTCCCTGACCCGCACAAAAGTTTGTCCTATCCTGCGTGCGCTAGCCGCCCGCGCACCGCTCATGCTTGCGTGGTACAGACGGAGTTCGTGGCAAACAACGGGAGACACGTGAAGTGGTACAACTGCGGGCCGACGGTGTACGACGCGTCGCATATGGGACATGCTAGGTAAGTACACCTTGTATTGGGACGGGACTGCGATCTCGACTGCGTTCAGAAACTATGTCACGCAGGATGTATTGCGGCGCATCATGTCCGATTATTTTGGCTATGACGTCCACTTCGTAATGAACATCACGGATATCGACGACAAGGTCAGTCTCGCTCTCCAGTCACAAGGCTCAAGTAATTCGGCTGAGAGGTGGGCAGATCATCCTCCGCGCCCGCCAAACATACCTTGTGGACACGTTCCGCTCAGAGACGCGGGAGCTGACTCCACAGGTCTTGAAATTTGTGCAAGAATCATGGTCGGAGTACGTGCTGTCCAAGGTCGGCAAGGGTCTTCCAGAAACAGAGCGTCCTGGCAAAGGCAAAGAGAAGGAAACGTGGCCTCAGCTAGTTGCTCGGTTCCAGGACAAGGCATGGAAGCAGGAGTGCCTGAAGAGGGACGAAAAATTTGAGATGCATTTCTCCGCTGCGGTGTGTATGGGCCTTCTCCCGCACAGCTGATGTCTCATGTTCACATGTTAGAACCGCACACACTCCGCGCTGGAGGCGGCGGAGATCTCTGCAATTTCCGGAAGCAGCTCGCAGGAAGATGCCCACCGACTGATAGATGAGTCGAAGGATATCCTTGCGATATCCCTGGACAAGCAGGTGAGCGCACCGCTCGTTCCCAGCGTACGTCATAACATTGGCGAAGCACGGCAGCACCGTCACGGACCACTCCATTTTTCGCTCGCTATCAAGCTATTGGGAGGGGGAGTTCTTCACGGACATGCGCCGTCTGCGTGTCCGCGATCCAGATACGCTCACTCGGGTGACGGAATTCGTGCCCGAGATTGTGGCGTTCGTGGAAGGCATCGTGAAGAACGGGTATGGCTATGCGGTTGACGGAAGCGTCTACTTCGACACGCGCGCCTTCGACAAGGCGGACGGGCACGACTACGCGAAATTGGAGCCGTGGAGCAAAGGCAACTGGGAACTTCTAGAGGAAGGCGAAGGCATGTCAGCCGTCTTCCATGCATATATCCCCTTGGGGAATTTGACTGACAGCAATGCATAGGTGCTCTGTCCGTCGCCTCGGGGCGTCGATCGCCCGCAGACTTCGCACTCTGGAAGGCGTCAAAGCCTGGCGAGCCTTCCTGGCCGTCTCCCTGGGGTTCGGGGCGACCAGGATGGCACATCGAATGCTCAGTTATGGCGTCTGCGATCTTCGGCGCGAACATGGATATCCACTCGGGCGGCATAGACCTTGCGTTCCCGCATCACGATAATGAAATGGCGCAGTCAGAGGTACTTGCGGTGACGGTGTATGCGGTCATTTGCACCCTGACGCTGATGCGGCCGTTGCAGGCTTACCACAACTGCCCTACATGGGTAAACTACTTCCTCCACACCGGACACCTGCACATCGAGGGGCTGAAGATGAGCAAGTCGCTCAAGAACTTTATCACCATCGATGTACGCCCTGAATCATGTGGGCACCCGCACACCTGCTGATCACGGTCTTGCACCGTCCCACAGGAGATCCTCCAGAAGTACAGCGCACGCCAACTGCGGCTCGCTTTCCTGACTCAGCTGTGGAACGCCAAGGTTGACTTCTCGGAGTCGCTCATGACGGGCGAGGTTCGCATTCTCGAGACTGCTTTCAACGTGCGTGTCTGCGTGCGAGGCTCCGCATTACGTCCCAATTGTGCAATCACGCGCGTTTGCTCACCTTCTGCTCCCGCAGAACTTCTTCACCACCGTCAAGGCGCTCGTCAGCCAGGCGGAAGCAGACGGGCCCAATATGGATAGCGCGACCCGCTACAGGGATGCAGAGCGCGAGCTTGTTGATAGGTGCGTGATCCGAGATGCACCCGCGGCAGGACCGCTCAGCTGCCGCCATCGCCGCCAGCTTGCATGCGGCCCAGGACGCGTTCCGGGTCGCGCTGTGCGACTCGTTCAACACGCCTGTCGCGCTGGACGTCCTGCGCGACCTCGTCTCACGCACAAACGTCTACATCAACACGCGCAGCACCGACCTGGACATTGGCGCAGTTGTGATAGTCACCCGCTGGGTCGGCCAGATGCTCCGCATGTTCGGGCTGGGCGAGGGTGAGACCTCGGAGATCGGCTGGGGGCAGGATCGAGATGCCGCGGAAGGCGGCATAAACGTACGTCCCCCCTTCGCATTGCGGCCTCGGTGGAGGGCACCCCTGGCTGACGGCAGTGATCTCAGCGAGAAGAGGTTCTCATGCCTTATCTCCGCACACTATCTACATTCCGTGATGGCGTGCGAAGGCTCGCCATCGCGGGGGGCGAGGGGGCATTGAAGGAGATCCTAACGCTTTCGGACAAACTCCGGGACGTTGATTTGGTTCCGTTGGGTGTGGCCTTGGATGATAAGGACGGTGAGTGTAGATCGCTCCAGCGCTCTTTATCCGCACTAGTGTCTGATTAGACCTTGATCGCGTACGAGCGTAGACGGGAAGGCATTGGTCAAGCTAGTTCCTCCCGCGGATTTAATCAGGGCTCGCGACGAGAAACGTGCACAGGCAGATGCCAAGGCGGCAAAGAAGGCTGCTGCAGTCGAGGCTGAGCGCCAGAAGCGAATGCAGAAACTAGAGAAGGGGCGTGTCGCGCCACAAGACATGTTCAAGCCACCGAATGTCCCGAAAGGCTTGTATGGCAGCTGGGATGGGAACGGCTTACCATTAACCGACGGCGAGGGAAAGGAGCTGAGCAAGAATCAGACAAAAAAGGTGCAGAAGGATTGGGCGCTGCAGAAGAAACTGCACGAGGAGTTCCTGGAATGGCAGAAAACGGAGCATGCGTGATGGTCGGATTCTATAGACGGCGTAGATCTGCTCGCGACATGTAGAAGAGGTGTTGTAGAACACGCCAGCCGCCGTCTACACTTTAGGCTATGCTATGGCATTACATCTACTGACCTGGGTAAACTCTTGCTACCAGTCACACGCCGCGACCACCAGATCCGCAATTTTCTCTAAACCTCGTTCATCATCCTCGGTGAAACCGCCGAAGGCTAGACAATCGAGATCCAACACTCCCACTGCTATCTCTTCGCCGTTTGCTCCCAAGGTCAAGGGACAGACGATTTCGCTTTTTGTTTCCCCATCACATGCGATGTGACCTGGATACTCGTTCACATTGTGCACGCGAATGACCCGCCGGCCCAAAAAAGCGTCGGCACAAACTCCGCGAGCCTTGCCGGGAGTTGTATTAATGAATTGGCACGCCGGTTTACCGCAAAACGGTCCCAGTAGCAATTGACTGCGAGCTTCTGCTTCATTTCCGTCTGCTTGCGATATGCGCGGTGATGGAAATAAGCTTGAAACGATGTAGAACCCTGTTTGTATCAGACAACAGCACGATAAGGGCGTGGTTGCGGACATAATCACACAAGGCACATACCGCACCAGTTAACGGCCCGCTCTTTGTCGCCAAAATAAGGCTCGAACGCAAGGAGGGAGTTGTAGATGAGCGAGGACGCATTCGCAAGGTTTGTCACCTGACTACTGTTACGATCTCGCAAGCCGGAGTGTTTCTGTTTCCCATACCCAATTCCGTTGTCCTTCTAGCAAAGCCGCTAGTTGATCGTGAATGTGGTCCCAAAATGCTGCCTTGTCTAGCCCTTGGGGTACGAGAGCAGAATCTGCGTGAGGCATTTTTCCGCCGTTGCAGTTCTGTAAGAGCAGGGGTAAAGAGAGATCAAATGAAGGTTGTGGTCGATGAATGGATTCAGGTAACGAGTTTGCGGAAACGAGTTGATTCGATCACGAGGATCGATCGGGCATGTGGCTGTAGCATGTATCTGCATCGTCAGACCACACAGCCCCCTGATCCCTTCCTCCCCCCTTCTATCTCTCATTGCGAGCGCAGTATGGCCCCCTATTTCGAAACCGTTAAGGTTAGGCGGACATCATTATGCTCGATGCGGACGAGATCTCATATTTGCGCAAAGTCATTCGCAGATGTTACAGTGACAGACGCTGGCGTCGACACGCTGGAATTCCTCCAGGCTGCGGATGGTGTGGTGGCGCTCTTTGGTGCGTGTTGTGCATTACAGGAGAACCTTACAAAGCTTACACGCGACTAGACGTTCTGGGTTCTACTGCCTTCACTGCAGTGCAGAGTGATATTAAGGGTAATATTGCTGTCAGTCACGTTGGGTACATTCTGTCGTTTCCATGCTGACCGACGTACGAATGGGGACATCAGAAAGTCAGGGCTCGCTACGATGCTGTGCCTGCGCAATCAGCCACTTTGGAGCAGTTAGTCGAGAGCGAGAAGGGCGAGAAGAAGCGACCAGCAACCGAAGGCCTCATGTGGCTGCTACGTGGTCTCTCGTTCACCTGCAAGGCGCTGCAAAACGCCCAGGCGAATACGTCGGAGGAGCTTTCCGTTGCGTTCAGCAAGTCATACGACGCGTCCCTCAAGAAGTTCCACAATTTCGTGGTCAAAGGCATTTTCGCGGTACGCTGGCGATCAGGTCCACTTCCTGGCATGCCGCTAATGCTTGACGTATACTGCCGAAGGTTGCCATGAAGGCGTGCCCCTACCGCGCGGACTTCTACGCCAAACTCGCGTCTGATCCCGCAGGCGGACCCCCTGTTCCCGCTGACAAGCTGAATGAAGAACTCAGCAAGTGGCTCGCTGCCCTCGATTCTATTGTAAAGAGGGTGGAGGCATTCTACGAGAAGGGCGGGCACAACAAGGGCTTCTGATAGATCCTTCTAGTCCATTCCGCCTAAGGGAAAAGTGGCTACGTGCTCTCATGTAATGCGACCATTTGTTCACGAGACCTGCAATCGCCTGCCTTTACATCCGTATTCATGGACTGATTGCCGTAAGGGACATGTATTCGCGTCGTACATGCGGCCAGGGACCAAGCTTCGTCACTGCGAGTGGCTGTGTGGGATTACCAAAGCGGTCGCATTAGAGACTCCTTTAGGATGGAAAACAACCTTTCCTGAAGCCTGCCGTACGATATCCGCTGAAAACGGCAGACGTGTCTCCCGGTCAATGGCTATGTAACATTACTCGGATGCCGGCATTCATGTGCACCGTCAATGCAATAGGTCTTAGAGAAGAATCAGGGACTGACCACGGGCAGGAGTAAAACAGGCCGGGAGCTGACGGCAGACGTCAGATAAGGTAGATCTTGCCATCTATATAGGAGATAGGATATACACATCGCTCTCGAAGCCTGCACACAGCAGGTCAGGGCCATTCAGATCGCGATATCTAATGCGCAAAATCGGATTCGCCGGTCACAACAAACAAAGATCATGCATCGTGGTGGGCAAAAATAAGCTTATCAGGCAGGAGCCCCGTCTGACAACGGATGTGCGGGTGACGTATTGGATAATTAGACTGTCAAGTTCACATCAAACTTGGTTGAGCCGTTCCGCCTCCACCGTGAAGAATCGTAGCGGAGGGACAATCCTGAGAACGACAAATGCGTGTTTGCGGGAGTGGCGTCTTCTTGACAGACCCGCGAAATTTCCCTGCTGATCGCGGGTCTGTTATCACCGTCATATGGCGAGAAGGAAACCGCGTCGGGATTCCGCAGTAAGATACACGAGCAGCGTAGAGCTTTTCCGACATGGAACGTTCAGATTGTGGTATTTGATATTCAAAAGCGCGCCATGCTTAGCGTGCACTCTCTTGAGGCCAAGCAATCTATTGCAAAGTGCGACCTGCCCGTGAGGGCCTATGTACATCCAGAAGACGTTTTATACAGCCCGCGGCTGGTAATTCAGTAAGACACAAAAACAGTATTCCGTACTGGTGACTCAGACCGCGGGTCCGTGGGCGCTCGCTGACCTGAATATCCAGCCGTTGATGGCTCAGAGAAAGGGTTCTCAGACCTGATTTATTAGATTTTAATATAAGGACTCGCTTCAAACAAGCGATGACACAGCCGTATCAGGAATACGTCTTAAGGGTCTCCTATCTCCTACGAGAGGCGATGACGCCCCGAGCACCCAGAGCCGGACGATTCCGTAGGTAGGCAAATATTCCGAATACTGTACTCGATGCAAAAACGTACGCAGCTCGTACAATTGGAGCGTCTGCGGGAGGAGCAAGATCCTCCCGGTCAATATTGCGCGTCTCTTGCGGGCCGCCAAATGCCTCCGAAGAGGAAGGCCATGCTGTGGAACTTTCACAGGATATCAGGGCCGATGCGGACTCAATCATGACAACGGGAGCTGCGGTGATGCAAAGGGAAACCTTGTCCCGTAGATGGCGGTCGATGAGATATATTCAAAAGTAAGGTGGAGTACTTACCCTTCGTGTCGACAGAAGCCCGCAACCAGGCATGCGAGCCCCAGATGTGGGATAGCCATAGAGAAAGGAGGCGCCCACGTGTAGGTACTCAGGGTCTCGCGAAGACAGCAACAGTGAGCGGAAAACTGGATAGATGGCAAGACAAAGAGGACGGAAGCTGCCGGTATGCGTAGTGGGATGATTGTTGTAGCGGTATGTCCAGGGGCCGTCATGTCGGCGCAGTGTTAAGCTCATGACTTCCCTCGCCTTCTGAAGAACGCAAACACACAGCTGGAAAGATTCGTCTGGTTTTGGAAGAACTTTCCTGTGTCGTGCAGGGCGCACGAGTCCACGCCCAAGACCGCCGAGGCAGGATTCGCTTGCGTAAGCACGGCTGACGACTTCTAGGTCAATGCAGAGCCACTACAGCGCCACAGACCGGGAGACGCTTTGAATGCTTTCAGTGCTCCTAATGGCGCCCTGAACTCTATAGGGCCAAATGAGACATCTGTGTTCTCGAGAAGGCTTGAGCGACCCAGATATGTGAAGCAACCAGGAGGAGAACCACGCGTGTCGTAAACGTGGTCAGCAGGGTGCCGAAATTTTATGTCGAACAACGAGATTCACCTCTTTCGGATACATAGCTGATCATTTCTTTAGTACTATCGAGAAGGGAAACGCCGGAGATAGGAGCTCTGGTCTGGTGTGGACAAAGCCGTGTCCTGCATTCAAATGGAAGCTTGCGTCCGTCAGATTAGAACGACCCTCGTTGGCAATTTTTCGAGGAAGACGCTTGGAACACGTACGAGATATGTTTCAATGTGCGGGTGCAGAGCGAATTTATGATCCGCCAATTTTTGACCCAATATCACTGCCTGACAAAACGAGTAGACATCCGCATGATGACAGCGTCCTGTTGTAAGATGAACTCTGGGGGCAGCAGCATATAGCTCCTGAGCATCGTGGTGTACATACAAGCCCACAGGTGATTGGCCCTACAAAGCCAATGTTTCTAGCACCTAGCCGAGGGCCGCAGGGTGAAACACACAAGGGACTCGGCGCCTGAGATCCCAGACCACGACACGCGTGAGAATAAGTGACTGATAGACCGATGGCACTTGCCGTAAACCCTTCGAAACATGCGTGCGAGAAGAACCAGATGTAGTTTTACATGGGGTACGCAAGAAAGGGAATAGGTACTGGATGGGACAATGCAGCCCACGGGTCGTAAGCGTACGTTCCTGGCAGAAGTAGAACACGACTCACGAAGGTCTCCTGATCGGCGCGCTCGTTCTTTATACCGCAGGGGTGATACTCTTGCCGATTGATGCGGCTAGTGTGCTTAGCTATGATCGTTTCCCCATGTCTCACACAAACGTCTGATCGGAAGCATGCTCAAAAGCTAACAATGAGCAAGGAGTGGCTCAGAAGAGCCAAGACTATCTTGTTGAGTACCGCAGCTGGAGCACGCCTGGATAAAGACAACATGTCAGGACCCTGTGTCGACGCAAGAGCGGGCTGCCTATCAGCAGACCTGTCAGGTCGTCTAAAACTAAGATTCACTTCATGGCAAAGGTGCGTAGTGGAGACGGAGACTCACGCCGCGCCACCTGGGAACTCTGAGTGGGCTATAATTTGACATCTAACGCGGTGACACTATGAGCAGGAGGCATAGAAGGGCATTTGTTTACGTACGAAGCTTGGGCCATCGAACCACAACTTGCAACGAGGCGTCAGATGATTGTCGTTCATGCATGGCGCACGCACAATTGATACTTGCTCGATGCCACCTATGATTGCTATCAGGGAGGGCGGGATGATTGACGTAACGGTGCCTAAAAGCGCATAATGAAAAAGAAGTCTTGATTAAGCAGTGGCCGCGGCACGGAGATGCATCTCGGCGGACTAGAGTCGCTGGCTGCCAATAAAACAACGCGGGTGCATCGGATATCTCGGATAGTTGCTTACCCCAACTAGCGATATTTAGGGTGACCATACGTCCGTTTGTCCCAGAACGTAAACGTTGGGCGAGACTCTGGTACCGTGTGGTAAGGCCCGTGCGTTCAATGGATATCCAACTGTCCGCACGGCGAGAGTCCGCAGCAAGCGCGCTGACTACACTAGCCGGAAAGCCCGTTGCAGAATACAGCCAGCGTGACGACACGACTACACGAGTGTGCTCGTGGCACGGGCATGCGGCCTGATTCATTGCCTAGTTTGTCAAAATACGAAACGTGGAGCGCCACGTACTACTTCCAGAATATAGGGCTAAATCGTTGGGGCTATACTCCTATTGGAGATTAGGTTCCGATCGACAGCCTTTGGCTATCTATCTATTGGCAACCACTCGGACCTGGACCCATACCACTTATTGCATACTTTTCTTTCCACGTTTTAAGCAGCGGTTTCTAGTCAAACCTTATCAAATGTCATCTCGACATATTCTCGCGAGAGGAGCCAGTCTGGCATAGCACTCACATATACAAAAGGGTCGTCGGATCGGTTCCTCATGTCATTTCCAAGCCCCTCACCCCATGCAGTACCCAACTTGCACCCGACTGCGTATCCGCTCTGTCCAAGATGCGGAAGTCGTTCTCCATGCTGTGTATCTGAAACGACTTCCCATGGTCGCTCGTCGGCTCGACGACGAAGAACGGCTGTACCTCACGACAGGCTGTATCTACGTGTGGGAGGAGCGGAGTAGTAACCCATTGGAGGCGACTGGGCAGGAGATTCAGAGGTTCACCGAGGGCCGCAGCTGGGGCCCATCTCGTGCGCGTGACGTGAGTGCAAATTCTTCCTAGTGCGTCTCGTTGCAAGCGGGTGCTGTTTGAGCGTTCATTGACGCCATCTACAATGCCTTAGGATTTCCTCTTATACTACGAGAAGGAAAGTGCGAGTAGATCGTCGCTCATGATCAGGAACAATCTTGCAGGGTAATTCCTATTGCTATATGACGCGAGCGCTTCGGTGCTCGCACGGCTGTCTTCTTGTTCTCATCCGCGTTATGCAGATCCTCGCAGATGATTAAGCAGACTTACTCCGTCTACGTGCACGACGGCGAAACACCCCCGCGAAAATGGCATCTCAGTAAGTTTAATCTTACTACTTGGTGCCGCCCGCGGCATCTCTAAACCTTGTTCACTACTAGACGCGTACTACACTCAGGATTCAGTTGACCGTTTGAGGGTCATTGAGCAGGTGCCCGAGCTCAAGGGCATTCAGGTTCCTGAAGGTCGCTACGTCTGCGCTCGGACTGGTGGCACTCGCAGGAACCGGCACTCGGTTCATTCTCCATCTTTAAGCGCAAATGGCCCCGCTAAATCTCAGACTCCACCTTCACCTCACGCCATGTCGGGTCGCTCTACAAGCTCAGCGTCGCGCGACAACAATCATGCGGCTAAAACATCGCTTCCAACCTTCACAAGCTCGGCGCCTCGCATCAGCGTACTGGCCAAGTCTCCCATGAATCCGGTCGCACAATCCCCCGGTGCCTCTCTCACGCTTTCGGGTGATCCACATCGTCGACTAGCACCCCTGGACTATCTGCGAAGCATTCCTCCGGTCGCGCGTGACCCAATAGACGACGAAGCCCTGAGGTCGTTCGGCAGTATATGAGGCGATGTCACTCGCACTCAATGCGCCCCAACCTTACCTTACTCTCATTAGACCAGGGACTATGTTTCTGACAAGCTGTCATAACCAAGTGCATGTTCTCGTTGATATCGTTTGCTATCGTCGCGATCACTGGTACTTTATGGTCTCCATTGCGTTGCTCGTCACTCTATTTTAGTCGACTACCAAACATGCTCACCTACCGGTGCCAATTACCGGCCGGAGCTAGTGCTTCCATGCGCGGCATCGTCTCTATGCTCACGGCCGCGTAGCTCTTCGTCGATGTGCGATCGAAGCTCGACCTGATACCGAATGGTGAAGCCCCAGGCTTATGACGCATTGCAAAGCCCTGCGAAACGCCCGCAGATATATTGTCGCCTATTTCGCAACGCCAGGTGAAGATCAAGGCACCTTTACCGAGCCAGCGCTCTCATAAGCGCGGATTCTCCGTCTAGACCTGGCTCGCCATGATCCGGTCTTTATACGTAGTCATACCCCCACGGTCGCGGATTGCCAACTCATGTACACGATACATTATGTACACTGTATTGTACCTCATCGATCAAGATCCCAGTGATACACGAGATTTAAAGTTGCGCAAGGAGCTATTGGAGATCTGAGGGAACTGCTTCAACCGCCGATAGACCTCAACGCGCACCATGAACCCGGCTTCATCTCCGATAGAAGCGCTACGCACATGTAAAGCAGGTAATCCGTGTGTCATTTGTTGAGAAACAAAGCACGTATGGAGGGCTTTCTTCACAGGGCTCAATGACATCAGTCGATCGGCTAACGTGGGGGGATGGCGCCGTAGGCGTTTACTTGCGGGAGCAACGGCCTGGGCATGGTATTGTTTCGCCTGTTGCCTTCCATGCATGCTGTAATGCAAGGCCATGTGAGTCACATAGAAGACTGTTGCGGGCGCCATGTTCACCACGAATAATCTTGCCATGTTGCGCCTAAGTGTCGGGCTGCATCTAAGGTGTTTCGCATGCCACTCTGGTACGTACAAGATCATCTAGCTCTCCATCAGCATCGTGTAAAATATCACAGCCTGTGTTCGCATACCTGTTCCAATGGATAAGCGCGCAATACGGCTCGTGTTTTCTAAATGAGTCTGTAGTATAACCGTGGAATATGTTTATTATCAGCGTGCCTTGCGTTCTTGCCGGCCTGGCCGTTCTATATCCACTTTGGTCAAATAACAGTCAGGTGGGAGCGATTCTGCTCCGTAATTGAGCGGCGGAAGGTTTAGAAGATCATGCCTCCGCCCGACACAATGCATTACTGTGAAAGGCTTCTAGCTGGGAGTGGAGACAAGGTGACGGATGGTTAGGCCTTGAGGCACAGGGTTCAATCATCCCACGCACGGCTCACCGCATCCCCGGAACTCTAAATGAGGCCAGTAACATGAAGACAAACGCAATGCTGATCCCACCTTAATATATCTCTTGTTTCAATTAGGCGCAGCGCTGATAATCAAGGGCTCCTCCTCGACGGTGTCCAGATCAGTCCGCCAAGGCCGACCGTATGGTGTGAAGCCTCGTATCGCGTTGTAGGACTCTACGATTTCTAGAAGTCCTGTAGTGGGGCACGATCAAATTTATGAGGCCCGGCGTGCTCTTCGGTTTCTGCCTACTCTTGACCCTTGATAGCACGGCTGATCGTCCTGCGAAGCACCCAGACCACCTCAGTCGCGGAAGGAGGCCACAAGGCCGACGTACATGCCTTTGTGTTGCGAAGGTGTGTTGTTACAATATCATGGAGCTGTTGCAGCTAATAAGTCGCTACAGTTTGTAAGTTGCAATCATGGCCCATTCAGTCGCTTTAATCGTAATTTCAACATTATCGGGGCTGTACGTTCAGTGCCGGCGTAGCTGTGGCCGCTAGCAAAAACCCAATTAGCACCATTAGGAACTCGCTGACACCCAATCAGCACCGCCTTACATGAGTAAGTGGATTCTCACCTGCGGTGTTCGTATGAGCGTCCTGGCATAGATATTTCAAAATAAGTGGATCAACGGAGGATGGTGTTCATGTACTTGCAATTACAACGTTTCCTCGTGCATCAAGCGACGTTCCGCGAGACAGGGTTCTCCAGTCCAGGCAGCGATCTCGTTGAATCGAGACGGGGCCGCGAGGAATTGATTTGCTTGCACACTGTGGTAACGGTGCGATAGAACAAGTCGTGTCTGGGCCCAGCTGACACAACAGCTGGTCAAGCACTAAGTCGACATACAACGAGCCGAGATGGCTCGAGAAACGAGGGGGTTCGTTACGCTAATCTCGCTGGCCGCACATCAGAACCCACCGAACAGACGAAGTGGACACACAGTTAGGGACCCGGAAGCCTTCTGACCAATAGGATGTACAGGTGTTCAGGGAAGCACCATCGCACGTATACACGAATGCGGCACGGCGGCCAACGAATGAGCCGAGCCCTCATTGGTGAGTTAATTGTTTTCCCAGCGACGGATCATGCTAAGGGTCTGCTAGCAGTCAAATTAAGCAACTCAGCTGGTCAGAACATCAAGGATTACGGCCTGGAACCGCATCAGACGCCATATCTGACGGTTTGACGGGTCGAAACCACTAATCCTGGAATGTCGAGATGAGTGCGCTTGCAGATCGTGCGCTTGAGACGCAATCAGCTGAAACTCCGCTTTGGCGAGATCATGGCCGTCACATCGACTTAGAGCGACTGGCCCTCAGGGGCTAGCTGAAGGCGTGCTTCTTTCTGGATTTGCCATGTCAGAATGGAATCATGAGGGAGAATGGCACGAGGCAAGGTCGGAGTACACGAATCACCGCCATGCCTACTCTAAGGAAAGAACAAACTCCGCGCACCCCCGCGAACCTGCAGACAAGGGTTGACTACTGTTTCCTAGACTCGAGCCACAAAGTTCGTGTACCTTAGTGCCTGAACAATCTGTATCTCAGCATGTAAACCGCGGACTCAATACGCAAGTCTGGGCCGAGAAGCCATTGTGGGAGAAGAAGGCACTTTAGGTAAGTTTAGCGTGCTTGAGCCGCACGAATGACGTACAACAGGCAGGGCCTAGATGATACACTGCGACGATTTTGGCGAAAGAGTATGAGAAGATGGCTCGTCTGCTCGGACCTATCGGCGGCTAGCCCCCACATCGACTTAGAATTAATGGCCTGAGTAGAAGCTCGCCAACGCGAAAGCCACAGATCTCTCACCACGGGCTAGGCCCATATGACTGTCGTGAGGAATGGGATTGTTCAGAAGATGGCAGCAAGAAGACGACTCACGCTTTTGATACCGGCACAACGACCAATCGCCAATCGCCAAGATGCCTCGGGGTTGAGTGTGTCCGTGAGACCTCAGACCTCTCGGTATGAGCAATCGGAACTGATGGGAGACGACAAATTTGTGGCGAGCCTCCGTGTGTCTAGAGCTGGGTTGGATGCGTCGCGACGGGTGCAGGATTCCCATCTATTGCCGCTGAGGTTCACGGGACTGGTGGAGACGGCAAAGATGGATTCTAGGTCGTCGCAAATTGTGGTCAGTTGGTACATCGATAGCCAAATCTTTTGGGGCAGGGCATCGACTTACCAACACGCCTATGCCATTGGATTCTGTCCCCTTCTCTCCGCCCGAATCACGCCTCACCGTGTCAGGTAAGACCCTGTGGACCACAATACAGCTGTGGCGAGAAGATGAAGGTTACGAAACATAGATTTGAAAAACTCATCCATAGCGAGCTCGATTGAGTCCATACCTCGCTCGCAGCTCATGAGGCGGTGTATGACTCAGATCGTGCGGAAGTAGGTTACTCAAGGCATGGGTGAGAATATGTATGGGGAAAGCATGAGGCATCTTTGGACACCAAGGGGCGCTACACACGGTGCAAAAAAGAAGTTCCACTCTGTTCAAAACAGGGACATACAAAAGATGTGAAACGTCGTTAACGTGCGACAGTCCTGCCGGCGAGCGCAATTCAAGTTGGCACTAGCGTATGCTCGGCGAGAAGGGAGCGCCCTAGGATCAACAGATAGGCTGCTGCCTGGAGCGGCGAGAAGCTGGTCCTAGCTATGCTTATGCAGTCGGTATTGAGTCCTACCAATTCCGCAACCCACCGCGTGCGCCTGTCCAAACATGACTCGTCAATCTCCTCAGTACCTCATGGTGGGCGCGCTTGACGTGGCGAATGAATCACACGAAACCGTGAAAAACACGAATTGCGTAGCTGGCCTCGGCCCGAGCAGATGATACTCGGTGCTTCGCCATAGCATGCTGCCATATTGTGCATATTTCAGGGTCCAGATCGCAGCGCACACGAAAGACACGAAGGACAGAGCATGCGACCCTTGGGGCGTGATAAGGTTCCATTCGATGACTTCGGTGTCAGAATACATTACGTCTGCTTGACAGAATTTGGGGCGAGAAAGGTTGCCCCCATGCAGCACGCCCACTAAGAAATTAGCGCACCATTTCCGACCAAGGGCAAGAAGCGGTGGACCGGCAGCCGTGCATGAAAAAGGCAACCATATTGACCGGGAAGTCGTCGCATTTCTCGGCGTGTCGAAGGTGCGTGTACGGGGGAAAGGGCATAGACAGGGTGGTCGACGAAGGCAAGAAGAGGCTGCGTATTCTACCTCGCCGTTTCTGTAGCAGATGAAATTGCTAACCTCGACTGATGCCCATGCTTCCCAGAACGCATCAGTCAGCGGCCACCGTCCCCGACAGCCTCGGCTGTGCCGACCACTTTGTCCATGTAAAGACCAGCCGCTTTGATTGACTGGCTACATTGCGCGCCAATATCCGACGGCGCGTCCGCGTGTGTGGACACAATAGGCGGACTCCGGGGGAATGGTACAACCGATGACCTGGACGACATGCCGCCATCACAGAATGGCGATGGCGCGGCTCTTCATGAATCTCGCGACTTTGATCTCTTCTGCTTCCGGGAGAGCGGAAATTGCATCGCGGGTGAAGGCTCCAGCTGCGCTGTGCGTACCGGGGTGGGCGTGAGAGGCGACGCTTCGGCTCGCCCGACGTCGGCGTACGGCACTTTCCGGCGCGAGCCGTCTTTAGCAGATGAAAGGGCAGTCTGGACGATTATTTGACCACCACGATGCGGAAGAAGCGCAGAAGCTTTCATATCGAGCACGTTCATCTCGACATCTTCAATAGTGCGCCCTGTTTCGCTTCCATTGGCAAAACCCGACGCCTGATCCGGGGAATGTTCGTCGTGCCGTCTCCGCATAGATCCTATTCGAAACGTCTTCCCAGTAGACGAAGTAACGCTGACGTCCTCCATCTCGTGCTCCCACTCCAAGTCGTCACTCTGAGACGACGGGGTTCCGCTCGTCGAGTCTATGGATGGCCTGCCTTTGAACAAGCCTCTTGCCGAAGGAAAGACGTGAAGCGGGAGAGAGTTGATCAATACTCCCAGACCAGAGCTCGGCGATCGGAAGGGTGATGGCATGGGAATAGAGCCGGACGACGGAATGTGCGACTTCCACGGAGCAGCGTCAGTGAAGATAGATGGGAGTGGTGAGGGGCCTGTAGCTGGAGCGCTTCGGGGCAGTGTAGATGACTTTGTGCTGGAAGTGGAGCTTGACGAGGACGGGGGAAAATATGATAGTCGAGATGCAGGAACGCGTATAATGGTGAATTGGCTTGATCGATCGTCCTCTGTAGGGCCATGTCTATCCTCTCTAGCTGGCTGTGCCTCGTGGCGTGCTATCCTGTGGTCTAGGAGTGTGGACTGGAATTCTCTAGAGTGTCGAGCCTTGTCTAAGGGTATATAGAGCTCCTTGCGTAGATGAATCGGATCAGATGGCCACAGCTGATTTGCACGGCGAAGCTCCTGCAGCGTTATACCGTACTTGAGAGCGACGCCTGGGAGCGAGTCCTTTGGCATCACCTATAATCGTATATGCAGCATTAGACTGCGTTTATTCTCGCCAAGTGACAGGGTATACCTGATGTACAAGCACAATTCGCTCTTCAACTATGGAACCTGCCTCACGGGCCCTACCACTCACACCTCCCCCATCTCCATCAGCCGCGTCGCCCGAGGCCTCTATGTTGCTCAGGTAACGGTTCGAGCGCTGCCGCGTAACATTCGTAGATGCACGCTTGTCGAGCGACGATATGTCCTTACTGCTCCCTGTGGCCGAGTCAAGAGGATGGCTGGCTGCTCCGTCCGTGCCATCGTCGACTGTCCGCGCGCGCAAGTGGACACCGCGATCGGAGGTATGGCCGTTCCTCAGTCGAGCAGTGCCATCAGACCCACGTCGCCGGATCGCTGGCCGGTTCTGACTAGTGTTTACGGCTGAAGAAAAGGACGTTGTCGCCCAAGAATTGGACACTGCAGCAGAGGCTTCGTCGTCATTGAGCGTGTCTCTCAGAGGCATAGAGCATAGATTGTTACGGCGGTCTCGAGTTGCGTCCCGAACCTACTACAAGCGACACACGTGACGAGATTGGATCGAATGCCGCTGAGCGCCCAAAGCAGTGCTTACTCATACCTGATACGGCGCACACGCGCGCCCACTGATCTACACAGTTGCACTTGCCAATGCAGCCGACATTAAGCTTAGACTTACCAAGAACATCAACTTAGAACCCGCCGGTAACAGAATCAAGCAGGTCGTGTGCTGTGGTATATGGGTACGAGCCCGTTGCAGACAGGACGTCAAAACTATAATATGTCTAATTCCTGCGGTGATCGTGAGTACTTGATATATACTTTATACTCAGGCTCTCCGTGATACCCGAACGTAACCCGCGATTTACGGCTTAATCCCGCAGCCTTCGCAGGCTGTGCGTTGAAATATTATGCGGAACGAAAGGAAATTGTAGACACGTTCGTACAGCTTCTATCAGCAGCCTGAAATATCATTTACATAATTGAAACTGTTCCTTGGAATACGTCCCAGATTCACCCACTGAACGCAGCCCCGGTCGGGGCTCCATATCATCTCAGTCAAGGGTACGTGTATTCATATCTCAGGACTCGTGTAAACGCACTGCCAATAAAAATGCTCCTCGCTCTTCTGCTACACGGAATAAACGGAGTTGGTCTACAAAGACGGTGTGCACATTTGACTTTTGAGGAAGTGGCCTCTTGATAGCAATCTGAATCTACTCTCGTGTCCGTGGTTCGCGGGAAGATACATTGTAGGTCCATGCGGCGTCCACGAGAACGCCAAGTCGAAGTCGATCAAATGAAGCATTGATGGGATGCAACACGCCCGATTTCGTTCAAGCCGCGCTGCAGCCACAAATCCGAGCAACTTATCAAACCGCCGGAGGAGCAGGGCAGTATCGTATACATTCTGGTTCGCGGTCGCAATACAACGGGGTGAAGAGGTGGCTACAGCAAGAACGCATATCATCGCGGGCGCAAGGGCTGGCAGAGAAACGGTGAGAACAAAATAATGATCATCTCAAAGTCAAACCAGAGCAGGAAGTGAGACCAGTACATCATTGCTCTTCCTTCTCGCCCTCTATGTCCTCCCTCCCACGTTTCACCCCAGCCCCTGTCGAACCCGCGCCCACCTGCTGTTGCTGCACTGCACCTACGCCCGTCACCCCTACCACCAGCCCCTTCAGCCACCCGTTCTCCCTCCGCAACGCCTCGCACTCCTTCTCCAGCTCGCTCACGCGTACCTCCAACTCCTTCGCCTTCCTCTCCAGCGCCATCTCACGCTCCTTCTTCTTCAGGCGAAAGCGCGCCGACGCCGCTGTGTTGCGCCGACGCTTGTCTTCAGCAGCAGTGAGCGGGTTGGAAGACTCCTTCTCCTCGATCTCCTGTGCCTCGGGAGATGACTGCTCAACAGAGAAGGACTGACGCGACGTGCGTGCGCGCTTTGGGATGGGCGAAGACGCTTGCTGCTGCTGCTGCTGCTGCTGAGGGGGAATAGTTGCCTGCACAGGTGCAGACTGGGCGAGTGGTGGAACCGCAGGCTGCAGATGGGAAGGCAGGAACGACGCGGCGTGCAGCGAGAGCAGCTGCGCGAGCGAATTGGCATTCGCTGCCTGGGCGGACGCCTGCTGAGCGGGCGGGATGAGGTACGGGTCGATGCCCATGCCCGATAGCAGGCTGTGGAGATCGAGGGGCAGCTGCACGCCCGCGCCAGGTGCGCTCGAGGGGCCGCGGGAAGGTGCAGAAGTAGGGTGAGCGCCGTGCGCTACGCCTGTTGGGGGTAGGACGGTGCCGGTGACCACGTTCTCGTGCGCGGTGGTCTCCGCGATGCTGAGCGAGTCGGCGTCCTGGTCGTTGTAGCGCTCGGCATCCTCGTCACTGGTATCCTTGCCATCACCTCCTACGCGGTTTTTGACGCTATCAGCAGACAGCCCGAGGGGCTCATCGGACTGGAAGTTCAAGTGGGTCCATAGGTCGAGCTGCGCATTCAGGTCTGGAAATGGCGGTAGAGAAAGGAGGTCTGCGTCAGACAAGTAGGAATTGGCCGGCGGGGATGGCTGGACAATGTTGAGGCCCTGTAGGTGCGATGGTGCCATGTCTGACTTTGGTGATTCCTTTTCGTTTGATTGATTGGCGCTTCTTTGCCGTCGTCGTTGTCGTCGTTCTCACGGTGGACGTGCACCCCCCAGTTTCTTGCGTTGGACGCAGGGGTGCTGAAGGTAACTCGTGCGTGCGGGGGAGGTCGAGACGAAGGCGGAAGGTATGCGCGGATTTGAAGAAGTATAGTCCGAAATGGAGTACCGCCAATTGGGTCGAAGTTTGATGGATGACTAAGGCGCCTTCGGCCCGAGTCAGCCCGGCGAGAACATCAATACTGCTCGTTATATAAAAGGCTACTATACATCTCTCTATCGCCGCACGAGCGTATAAAACTCGAGCAGCTGTTCCTAATTTCGCCTACAGTAGCTCACCCTGGCAGCCAGGGAGCCTATTTCCCATAGAGAAAGTTGCTCTGCCGCGCGCTTGCCGGGAACGCACGGAGTGTCCGAGCCATGACTCACCTTTGCAGGACGGTCTGGGCAATTGTTGCAGCCATGACGGATCGATTAATCACTCCTCAGGGGTTCCACCTTGAAGGAAATCGATTAGATGTCCTGACTTCCGGCCCCATGCCATACTTGCCAAGAAGCTGCGGCGACATGTGCAGATTCAACCTTGCTCCTGTCCCGTACGCACGGAGACACCAGTGGTTGCCGACGGATTACGCGTCGGGATCAGTTGCCAATCTCAAGAAACGAATGCACTGTTCAAGATCCGCGAAAAGCACCGACTCGACGAGCTACGCTGCACGCATACCCGCCAATGTCGCCTCCAGTAACATTGGCCTCCGACATACGGATAGCGCCACACGATAACAACATGGATACTGCGCAGTAAGAGTCGACCAGAATTCGAGCATGAGAGTATGCCAAGATGGACATGCAGCAGGGTCGAAGAGCAATAGATGGAAGACAACACGACGAGCCAGCTGACGTGGCACTCGTAGCTGAGAAGCGGCTCATGTCTCCGATGTCGTTCTGGGTCTGCCAACTGCGACATCTTCTACGATATCGCGACACTGTTCTCACCGAGATAGACCAAGCCTCTGGCCTTTGAGAGATTATCATCGTGTCACCACGCGGGAGGGCACGGGGTCCAACGCACAGGTGACCCTTTCCATCAAAGACCAATCCCTCCTGTGGTTTGTGGCCTGCTAAATGGGCCAAGAGAACAGCAAGAGGAATCTGTGAGGTAGATTAGAATGCTTCGCCCGTGACCGTCCGGTCCTGTTAGTGAGCCATGACTCTAACGCTTTAGATCCCGATGTCCAGCGGAAGCCGTCGGGAGAACCACTTTTATCGACAGGCAAACGCTCAGTGTCTTTGTTATCATAGCAAGCGCGTGACGTCAGAGCGCACGTTCATGACGTGAAAAATAACAGTCTGCGAGACAGGCAGGTAGAACATCCAGGCGGTATGAGTAGTCAGCCAGCCACGGCAGAGCATGGGAGCACCAAGTAGCCACGTCTAGAAAGGAGCAGGACAACGTACCGATCATTCATCGTTCGCAGAGGGCCTGATCTTCAAGCATCGACTTGCCGTTATTTCGAGATGCGGAGAAGTAAGAATCGCAGTCCTGTCATGGCTAAGACTATATCCGCCGTCAGTTCTTCGAGCACATGCCACTAGAGCTGTTCGCACGCACCTGCCTCCCCTGATCCTTGTGCATTAGAAGGGGTACGACGCAATCATCTACGGCGTGGGCTTCGCGCGATTGAGCGTGGGACGATTCTCATCCTACAGTCGTGCGCTTCGAGAAAGAGGTACAGACCCCTAATGCAGTTCTGCGTAGCGACTCTCCGTGGAGGTGTGCGGTCTTCGTGTCATTTATTCGAGGAAGATTTTGCGTCGGGTTGTTCAGGAAAGCTATTCGGAATTGACGTCACGACGTGGAGCGCCATGGGGGAAAAGATCCCTGAAAATGGCTTGAAATTCTGGGTGCTGACGCCGGCGATGAGCGCGAGATGAAATGAAGAACAACGAGAGAATATAGCGAAATGGAAGGTGGGGAGAGTGACGGAGCGTTTAAGTGGGGATTTGTGATCGAGCTGTGCTGAGTCAGCCATTTGTGGCGTCACTGGTCTTCCGCCCAACCCGTGCCTACTCCGGACTCTGTTCATTTCTGCATACCAATTCCTCTTTGTCCCTTGTCTTCACGAACCATGTCGACGACAGAGAAAGTGACCGTACCATTCTTCAAAAAAAAGGGCAGAGGTCGTCCAGCGACCGCACGCAAGCGGTCCGCCTCTCCACCAGCGAGCGTGCTCACTGTCCCTGTCCCATCGTCATCCAAGACCGAGGTCGTGCTGCCCTCGCGCAAGCAGGCTGCAAACCTCCTAAGCGCGGGAACGAAGCGAACCGCTGCCCAGCGCGACGAAGATGCGCACTCGGACCAGGAGCCTGAGCGTGAGGGCCCCGACATGAAGTGGACCGCCGCGGGCTCGCACGTTAACGCGGCGCTCGAGATTCTGCAGGGCGACGAGGCGGCCGCGATTCTCGCAAAGCGTCGGAGGACAGAGCCGACTGATGACGAGAGCGTGCCCGACGACGGGCTCTACCATGGGCAGAAGGCGTACGCCAACCATATCAAAAAGAACCAGGAGGTGCCGAAGGCGATGCGGGTGGGCCCGCAGCGGCCAAATAGTAGTACGATACGTACGGTCACCATCGTGGACTACCAGCCGGATGTATGCAAGGACTACAAAGGTGCGTGTGGAATGATCGATATCGGTTATTGATACTGAAATAGCTCGCAGAGACGGGCTACTGCGGGTACGGCGATACCTGTAAATTCTTGCACGACCGCGGAACATGTACGTTCTCCTGAAACATCTTGCAGCCTGAGACGTTGATGCAACCTGGCACAGATCTCGCCGGCTGGCAGCTTGATAAATTGGCAGAAAACCCCCGAAAGCAGGTGGAAGACGTCTCGGATACCGATTCTGATGACGACAACGACCTCCCCTATTCATGTTACATCTGCCGAAAACCCTTTACAGATCCTGTAGTCACACGCTGTGGACACTACTTCTGCTCCGCATGCGCGATCAAGCGCTTCTCCAAAACTCCGAAATGCGCGGTGTGCTTTGCTCCCACAGCTGGCATCTTCAACCGTGCCGACAAGGTGCTTGAGAAGATGAAGAAGGTACAAGCAGAGAAGGGGGCTGACGAAGCTGACGGCGGCGGAGACGATACGAAGACAGTTGAAATTGAGGGATTACAGCAGGGCAGCGACAGCGAGAGCGGGAGTGATGAGGGCGATGCCGATTGAGCTGAGTGTTGACCGAGACCCACTGTCCCATTTCCTACTCTCTCCTCGGATGTATGTCGCAGGTCTCGTACGTGCTGCATTTGGTGTATACATAGATATAAATATTAACGCTCCATTTATCACGCATGTGTTCTTCGTGATCTTCTGCCCGGCTTGAACGTCTTTGAAGCAGACAGCTTCAGGAGCATCAGACATCCTACTTGTTGAGGAAGTACAGCTACTACTCCTTCACGCGCAACTTCCGCCGTCAGCACTCCCAGTTGATCTTCATATGCGATGGACTAGCACAGTGAAACCTTTGTGCCGTGTGGGTCATTCGCCGAACCATCGTTGCATACCGCGGACATCGAGGCTAATCCTGTTCGGACTCTCTGCAGCCAAATGCGGCCTGGAGTGCAAGGCGGAACCAACCACCGGGTTGCCGGGCTAGGGCCGCTTTAGCGCCATACACAGACAGGCACATGAGATCAGGTCCATGTGCCGCCTTCGCCGCCCGTATTGCATTCGGACCACGGGTACCTGTCTACGAATGGGCAGCACACCTTCTGCACCAACTCGCATTGGTAAAATCGGCTTCCTCGCAAAATGACAAGGACGCGTCGTCGGGGTGGCACATCTCGGCTGTGCTATGCATGGCTTTGAGCTGTCCGAGGCATTGGGATAGCTGGCCCCACCTACATTGCCTGTCCGCGTCGATCCAGACAACTTGCTCAGCAGTCAATTCGCCTCTGCGGAGCCAAGAAAGATAATTTGCTCGCAGACCACGCGGTCCGTCATGGACAACCGACGTCCTGGGCGTCACCTTGCAGGCTGAAAATACCGATCACGGCATCTTTGTTCAAAGTCAGTATATCGTGTGCGCCATCGAGATGCTCGACGCACATTGACTCTACATTAGGCAGCTAGCCGTCCTGCTCCGTTACTCGCGTCCGCACGACATGGGCATCCAAACTGGAAATCTGCGCTACAATCGCAGAAATGAAGGGCGATTTTCACGGGGGTTTTCAACAGATCAAACTTTCGGCTGCCATTGTTCTGTGATCTCAACAGCTGCATCATGGAACGTGCGCAGATCCGAATCGAAGGCCGTTGCTCATGACTTACTTCCAACTTCCAACTGGCGCAGAGGATCTCGCCTCGGGCCCAGACGCACTGGCCGCGTCCAGGCAGGTATTCAGAGGTTGTCGACGCCGACACGACTTCAGCAATTGTCCTGCTGTTGCTCTCCAAAATTTGCAACTAGTCAAATGGCTTCCCACGAAGCAGCTCCCGTTACATGCTGTGAGTACATGTTGGACATTTGAAGTTATTTTATGAAATATTGATTCACATATCATATCATTTTGTTCTAAGTAGCTTGTGCATGGGACTCAATTGGCACCACGCTGTCACATGCACCGGCCCACGCCATATATGGATTTTATCCCGCGGGCCAACGACGCCGACGGGTTCCAATCCAGCAACTTTCCCTCGCAAACGCGGCATATCGCGCACTGTCCAGTCGGAAAACACCACATATCCGCGCAACAGAGACAGTGCGCGCGGTCTCTCATCCGCCCGTAGAAATCGCCGGATACCCCGTCACACGAGCCGCGGCGTCGAACGCACCAGAGCATCTTACGGCTGCCAATCGCATCCTTCTAATCGGTGATACGCATCGGGCATATGACTTCACGGGCGGGAGGAAATCTGAGATGGCGAGCCAGAACCAAGGACGCCGTGGATCCATACGGCGAATCGCGATTGCGTTCGGTTGGAACCCGAAGTCTATGGCACCCTCTGAGCGGATGGCCTTCTCGCCCTCGACATCGACGTCTATTGCCCTCGGTGCGAAGATCCCCCCGGGACCGGTCGCGTCAGCAGCCCGTACCATTCGGCATTACGCATTTGGTGGTGGTGGTTGTCTCCTTGTCTCCGCCGCAGCTGACCTCTATTCCGGTGCATTTCTCGCTCGAAACCCGGATTGTCCGGTGTTGCGTGAGCCGAGGATATTCACCGGAAGCCGGTCCCCCTCGAGAACAGCTCAACAGATTACTCGGACACGGATGGAATAAATATAAAATGGGTGATCATTAATGTATTATCCATATAATGACACGGTATGGTCCACTACGAGCAAGGCAAGGATACAAGAACGCTTACGGTGCCTACAAAGTCTAGCCCGCAATAAATATGCAATGGGTACATTATACAGAGCATTATGCAGAACGAGCGACGATCGCCAAGACTGAATTAATTTACTTCGCTGCCGAGCTACGGGCCCGGTGCCTTATCGCACCCGTTGTCTAGATGCCGTTTCAGTGAGTCCGCGCGACTGAAGTCCTTCCTGCAGTACTGGCACGTATGCGACGTCAACATGTGCTGGCTCTCGTAGTGCCGTTTGCGGTCGTGCGGGCGCGAGAAGGTGCGGTCGCAGCGATCGCACTGGTAGCGTTCGATGCCTGGCGAGGGCGAGGCCGGCGGTGGGAGGACGATGTTGCTGCCAGATGCACCACCGCGCCCCGTGCCGTATGCGTACGATTGCATTGACTGTGCGGGTGTGGGGATGTACCGCGTGGCCTGCGGTGCGGAGGGGTGTGGCGCGGGAGAGACGAGGCCGTATTGCGCGGGATGCGCCGGAGCGTACGACGAGCTCCCGTATGTGGGGCTTGCGGGTGGCCCGCCAGAGTATTGCCCGGATCTAGAGCCTGCGGCGGGGAATGCGGGGCTGTGCTGCCCGTAGGCTTGCGCTGCAGGTACGAGTCAGCCACTTGTCGCGAGACGATGAAACGGCGAGTGCGTACGGCTGTAAACATTTTGTTGTTCCGCAGGCATTTGCGAATACTGCGGAGACTGGTATGATGGGTGTGGAACGCCCACGTTCGCGTATCCCGAGGACGGGTGGTACGGGTGCGGTTGCATTTGCGACGCATATGTCTGTGACTGATAACCAGCCACTTGCCCCGAGGCTTGATATTGGAGTGTAGGGTCATTCGCCGACGCGAGGGAGTGTTGGTATCGCGAAGGGTCGGTTGTGGAGGAGAGGCTCTGCTGGTTTGGGTTGCCACTCTGACCGGAGTAATAGGGATTCATAGTGGGGCGGGGCCGAGGGGCGAGGGCGGGAAGGACGGAGGTGATAGTGTGCTGGGGCGGGGAAGGGAGATCCGTATCAGCGTACTTATAAAGCGGCTAGGCGGGAAGAGACGCACGGAGGCACTTTCCATTCTCAGTTTGATTTGCTCTAAACAAAATACATTGTAGATGTGATTGTGTGACGGTCAGTGTGCGGGGAAGGACTCGCGTCATCACGATAGTTGTTCGCTTCACGGCATACTAAATCTTGATGTTTGATGCGAGTTGACGTCGAGCATTAATGATCAGCTGAGAACGCTTGAACGCCGGATCCCGACGTCGTTCGTGACAACACTTCGATTTTAGACTACAGGGCGTCGCGGATGGATCACCGTGACGGTTCCAGGCACTCCAGGCGCGCGTTCTCACAGCATTTGACAAGGTGTACATGTTTGTAGGCACGTCATACCAGCGCACCCTTTCGAAAGATTGCGCCCGTAGTCCCTGTTGTCATCACGAGTGATCGCAAGCCCGGGATGACCACCATGTAATGCTCCTACGCATGGTTCCTTGTGGCGGTGTCGGTCGCCATCAGTCCATAAAGACAAAACTTGTTCCTTTTTATAGATTCCCCGGAGGCAGGACTGCTCCGTCTGTCCCAGGAACAGTTGCCGGACAAGTGTGCGCAGACGATGCGATCTCAAGCCGACCTGAGGGCGCGCATCGTGCACTGGATCAGATCGCCCAACCAATTTAGAAGCGAGCGACGCGAAGAATAGCGAGCAAAGACGCCGGAGGACTCCACTTGTATAGCCACTTGAAAATGGACTTGGTGATTCAAATACGAAAGGCGCGAATATGTTCGCACGGGGGGTGTCCGAATGTCCCGGTGACGCTGCGGGCGGATGATCTGGCATGGGTTTTAGGAGAAATTGTGTAAATTGTTTGGAGAAAAGGAACCATTGGTCCGGCTTGGCAGCACTATGGCTTCCAGTCCCACTCAGCGCTCGGGCAGAAGGGATCCGATAGTATCGGACAAGCAGCTCGGAGCTCGCTGAGCGGGATGTATGTTGTTTAACAGCTTGGCAGAGTGAGATAGATGGACTACTCGGCAAGCAGGAGTCTTTACAGAACTAGCGCGGATGATGTAAAGAAGGACAGCCCGCATGGTGCCTCGAAGTTTGTTTCGCCTGTTATATTCGTAATTAGGAATATCACATGGCAACCTGAGCACGCCCGTCGTAGCGACGACAAACTTACTGAAGGGGGGACTGGTCAGTCAGACTGCAAGACCGTACAGCAACCTTCAGCGGATCCTTCGTGTGCAGGGCACCTGATACACAATCCTCCAGAGTGGGTCTAGCGCAAATAATCTTGTCAACCACATGGTTTGTTCAATCTGCAAATTTTCGTAAAGGTGTCAGCACAGCGGATCAGGAGTCTAGGACTTCACCTGGAAAGGCTTACTGTAGCATCGTCGGGATTGGACTAGAACCGCATGCAACCAGAGAAGAAATTGAGCATACGGCCATGGCCAGAAACGGTCGAATGGGCCTCAATAGCACCTAAACCATCGATATCATTTTCAGCTGTACTAGCCTTGGGAATGTGGGAAACTGAATCGACCTATTTGTATTGGCGCCGAATTATCGGGAGAGCGGACAAACAAAACCCAACAAGCGGACCGCGCGCTGATGCTCACACGAGCGTCTGCAAGGAGAGTCATTACATTCCATGGCGCCCTTCGATCTCGACGCGTGTATCGAGCAACTACTACGAAAACAACTGCTACATGAAGCTCTTCTGCGCGAAATATGTGAGAAGACGAAGGAGGTGCTAATGCGGGAGTCCAACGTGGTTCATGTCAGTGCACCAGTGACGGTTGTGGGAGACATCCACGGGTGAGTCCATGCAGTGGCTTGGTCAGCTAGCTCTAATTCAACAAGCAAGTCAGTTTTACGATCTCGTCGAGATATTCCGAATAGGCGGATATGCACCGCATACAAACTATCTGTTCTTGGGTATGTCTGAACCCACCCTACTTCCATGCGTCTGACATCGTGCAAGGGGACTATGTGGATCGGGGCCTCTTCAGCGTGGAGACCATATCGCTCCTCACATGTCTCAAGCTACGCTATCCGGATCGTGTCCAATTAATACGCGGAAACCATGAGTCAAGAGCAGTCACTCAAGTTGGTCAGCTTCTAGTGTGCGCCGAACATGTCTCACAGCTCTCCATCAGACATACGGGTTCTATACCGAATGTGTCCGCAAATACGGGTCATCTCACGTTTGGACGTATTTTACGGACATGTTCGATTTCCTGACGCTGTCTGTGGTCATTGATGACAAAATATTCTGCGTCCATGGCGGTAGGTCGTCTCCCTGACGCCCTGAGCGATGAACTCATGTTGACGGTGTGAAGGCTTGTCTCCATCAATACATTCCATCGACCAGATTAAAGTTGTGGATCGATTTCGGGGTTAGCCACCTTCGCTAATTTGTCTCTGTCAAGCTACTGACACTGGGAACAGAAATCCCGCACGAAGGGCCTATGGCAGACTTGGTATGGTCCGACCCTGACCCAGAGAAAGAGGATTTTGCTATCTCCCCTCGGTATGCATCGCATTCATGCCGACGGCAGCTTACTCACCAATACCAATAGGGGTGCGGGCTACACATTCGGATCTGGTGTGGTGTACAAGTTTCTGGAGACAAATCAGATGACGCACATTCTTCGTGCACACCAGCTGTGCATGGAAGGCTATGCATCACTTTTTGACAAGCATTTGTCCACAGTATGGTCCGCGCCAAATTATTGCTACCGCTGTGGAAACTCAGCGAGCATATTGGAAGTGGGCCCTGGTGAACAGATGTATTTTAATGTGTTTCAGGCTGCGCCTGAGAACGAGAGAGACGGCCCGAGCCAACAAGCGGCCCAGAGCGCGGGCGGAAAGGTGCGTCATCTCGTTGGGTGATCTTCTTCTTCCTGACTGTTGTCATGCAGCTACCCGAGTATTTCCTATAAATTATGTCATTGTAGATACCCTTGGCGATCGAGGCCTGTGTACGAGCATGTGCATCATATATGAATTGTGGACGTTGTGTTTGTATCGGAGTGTAGAAGTTTGACGCGTTCAACCCGTGAAGACCGCCTAGACCAATCCTCGTGTGCGCCTAGGATTTGCTTGCGAGAGCGTGGTTTACATATTCAATGAAACAACCGATGCTGCGTCGGCCCTCTCGGTAACATGCAATCCAGTACTCTTGGTAAGACCACACTGCAGGTGTCGTCGCTGGTCACGTACATGCGGCAGATGGCAGCGAAACAAGCACACGCCACCGCCGCCCCCTGGTCGGCCACACATGCCGAAGGCCTCACAGAGAGGTCGCCACGAAGGGCAGCTCCTTGCGCCGCTATCTTTGCCCCTGAGATCCAGCCGCCTTGTATACACGACTCCAGCCGCAATACAACGCCCGAATCCCTGAGTCTCAAAATTGGGTCGTTCCGCTATGCTAATCGCGCAGATCAGGTTGCGTTTTGGTCTAGGTCCACTTGGACTGACGTGAATTTCAGATGACAGGCAGCACGACCGGAATGCTACTAGAAGACGGGCTATCTGCGCTCTTTGGACGTGGGTGAACTCATAGCGATGGACAATCTGACAAGGACTGCCTGCTTCCTGCCGTGGTATCTGACGACCCAGCAGTCCCTGTGTCATTCTGCGTGCGGCACAATGCAGTTCGTCGGATGTACTCCGCTAGTGCGCGCTCGCTGTCCGAGAAGGCGTGAGAGCAGCTTGTGTATCAACGGAGAACAAATTACCGTTAGGGAGCACCGAGATCTAGACGTCATGGGCGGTCGGTCTTTAGAAGGCGCCGTTTGATATAGGTGGAGCATCGACACAACAGTTGGACTGCCTCACTGAAGACGTTGGGCTCACCGTGCGCAGTATACTCTGCTTGCGATAGGGCAGCTTTTCATGTACTTAGGATGCATGCCGTGGTGCCCGTTACCAGGAATTATTTGCGCTCAGGTTGACCCAGAATAGAACCAGGCATCCGAAGAGCCTGCACAAGAAAACATCACAAAATGTCTAGTAAAGGGCGCCGGTTACACTGGGACAACGCTGTGGTATACATCATAGATTGCCTCCTGTGATGTGTCCTAACGTTAAATGTGCGGACTTCGCCTAAATGGTTCTGCCGTATCCAACGAGCTGCTAAGCTTGAGGAAACGCCGTACACTCGGAGATCAAACGGTGAACAGAGCCTGTCTCCCTCGCGACAGTAGTGCCTTGAATGGTGGCCAACGGGATAATTTACCCAGGCCGATTGTTAGGATCATGAGGGTTAAAGCGATGATGTGGCTCTTCCGACGCGCCCAGAAGAGCAGGATGAGTGTCCGTAGAAGGTCGCGCCTGCGGCGGCGGCCGTAGATCAGAATGGGTCTCGATGGGCCGTATGCCACAGGGTATCCATAGAAGGGATTCAGAGAGGATGTCGGTGGTATACGCGTATGGGAATTGGGCACCATATCATCGTGGCGCGCGTGTACCTCGGCGCAAGAGGTAACTGGTTCTGCCGTACTATTGGCATCCGAAAAAGTGCGAATGTACGCGTGTAAGGGATCGTCCAGGTCCGATAGCGGCTGCAGGGAACCACCGAGCTCTGGACATATTACTTGAGTGCCGGCCGTCGCTTACATCAAGAAGATGTAGTCTTCTTACCCGCAGGCAATGCAGTTGCAGAGAAGCACTGTATAAGGTCTTCAGCAGAAGGGAAGAAAACACGGGAGGTTGCCGTAGGGGGCAAGACACGCCTAATTTGGACAGTTAGCCATGTTGATCGTGCACCTATTAGAGAACACCCGCTTAACCAGGTTCCATATGCCATAATGGGCCCACGAATAATTGAGTACGAGAACTTCAATGTGACTGTCAGCTGTGACATGTTATCAGCCTCCTGAACACTAACCTGCTGACAGCATACCCGGAAATTGGGGTACAACTTCGCGGACATACCACGAAATTAGATTGAGTTCTGGCTGGATTCAGATAATCAGTAATCACATGGACTTAAAGGACTGAAGTTTATTGACACACAAGGGTGTTCAGGGAGACGCCGAGCAAATCTAGTAATACAACGTACTGCAATACGGGTCGTGCAGGTGTACCACCCGACTCATGTCGTGTGTTGAGAAATTGGATGTGTAGCCGCAGAAGTTCCGTCCATGCAACGAGCGTCGGGCGGACATGGTCCCGCGTCTTCGGAAAAGCTGACAACTTTATGATGATCACAGGGCGTCCAAAAGGATCGCAAGCTTCGGTAGGCAGGCATTGCAAAAACGACGGAGGGCGGCTGATCTGGCGCGGAAGTACGGACATCCGCCACGATAGAAGCCCGTGTAGCGATTGGGCGGCATTGTCTAGAAGGAAACCATGGCGCTACGATTGCGGTAATGATCAATGCTGCGGTCAGTTTAAGTTATATGTAATGGAGGCGGGTCCACAACCTTAAGCATTCGAAAAACGAAAGCTTGTACCTTGTCAGCTGGGTGAATTCGCGTAGTGTGTTTGGCACTCAATGACAAACCTATGTCATCTACGACCGCATACACCGACACAGCGTGCGGCTGCGAGGGCTGTTCCTTGACGTGCTCCAACGTGATTTCTTGTAATCGTTCTTGTAATCGCGCCACTATGTCCAGATGTGCTTCATACGATTTCAACACAGCTCCATGCTGTGCGCATAGAGAGTCGTACAAAACCATAAAGTTGGATGCACAGAATACAGGACGCTTTCCTTTCCTTGGAACGTGAAAGCAAGAGCCGAGGTCGCGAGGCTAGGGCAGCGCGGTGGCTTACCCGACAGTTGATTGCATGTGAAATAACGTGTCGGAGACGCGCTCGAGATGGTCCCGTGACCCGCACCCACTGTGATCAAAGCCAAGCGCCCTTCATCCGTGCCTCGAAAGTCATAGTACGAGAAGGTCCTCTCTTACGTCAAATTTGCACGGATGGCCATGCATACTGAGATGCTCTATGAATGGTTCCAGGCCCAGGGTGGATCTATTGACACATCTTCCATAGGCATAACCGAATTTCCTCTCTACGGACGCGGAGGCGTAGCTTTGAGGAATATTGAGGTATGGATCGCATCTTGTGGTGTCTGTTGGTATCTGTATGATGATGTCAGGCAGGACAAACTCTATTCTCTGTCCCGAGAGAGCTCACCCTTTCTATCCGGACTTCGTCCCTACCCAACCAACTCGGAGAAGGAGCATGGAAGCAATTTGGGCTGGATAGCGGTTGGTCTGGACTCATTCTTTGCTTGATGTGGGAAGAAGCACAGGGTGATGCATCTAAATGGTCCCCTTATTTGCGTAGGTATCTTTGAAGCACAGGGCTCACGTGATTATCTAATACATTGCGTAGGGACATTGCCGTCGACATTCGATACGCCCATATTCTGGGATGAAGATGATTTGTGCGGGCTTCAAGGGACTGCTGTGTTGAGTAAATCATGTTCTTGCTCAGTAATGATTCTGTGCTGTGAGCGCCATTCCCAACAGACAAGATCGGCAAAAATGAGGCCGAACGAGACTATACCGAGAAGGTTGTCCCCGCCATTCAGGTAAAATTGTTACACTTATCGTAAGGAGCGACCCCTGATGGTGTGTTAAGAGTCGGGGGGATATCTTTCCCGCCGATGCGGTGCCGCAGTACTACAGTTTACAGAGATATCACATTATGGGCAGTCGGATTCTGTCCAGGTCGTTCCATGTTGAGCCGTGGTCGTCCGATGAGGAAAGCGAAACCGATGGCGTGGTACAAGCTGTTGGGGACTCTGCGGCCCCAATGGAAATCGACGTCGAAATGCCGTCAGCGGAATCTGGCTTCACGGTTGAACCCGGGGAAGAGAACCCCGAGAACGCGACTGAAGAAGTGGAGATTGCTGAGGACGAAGAAGACGATGATTCGGAGAACCCTGCCGACGTCGCAATGGTCCCCATGGCCGACATGTTGAATGCCCGTTTCGGCTCCGAAAATGTGCGCCTATAATTGGTGTCTGTCGTTCTCTCTTTCGCTGACTGCTCTTCAGGCAAAATTGTTCTATGAGAAACATGAACTGAAAATGGTTTCTACGAAATTCATCAAGGCTGGGGAACAAATTGTACGTCTGTTCTTAACCGTTCGCTCTGAACATACGATCGATCAGCGTTTCGCAGTGGAACACATACGGCGACCCACCCAACTCTGACTTGCTCCGGAGATATGGTCATGTCGATGTCCTGCCTCTTTCCTCGCCGCTGACCGGAGAGGGCAATCCGGCGGACATTGTCGAAATCCGCGCCGACCTTGTAGTTGATGTCGCGGTCAATGCTTTGAAAAATCAACCACAGGAAAGAGTTGATTGGTGGCTGGAGAATGCTGATGATGAGTAATTATGTTTTCGCTGAAATCTTTTACCGTCTTCTCGCTGACATGAACCAGCACCTTTGTGGTCTTGACTGACTGCGAGGTTCCGGAGGAGCTCGTCTCGTTTGTGAGGCTTCTACTTTTTCCGCAGGACGAATGGGAGAAGATAAGAAATAAAGGCAAATTGCCCAAGCCGAAGGTTGACATCGCGTTATTGTTCATCATTGCGGATGTCCTACGGCGGCGTGCGCAGGACTACCCAACGTCACTAGAGGTATTCCGTCCGCATATTTGAGAGGATGGCTGGCTAATGGCAACACGGTCAGGACGACGAGTTGCTGCTGGCGCCGGGCAAGGTCGAAGAGCTGTCGTTGAACGGGAAAAATGCCGCAATTGTCCGCCTTGGAGAAAAGCGTATCCTACGCGGCACTTTGCAACAAGTGCAGAGTATGGAAGAGAAGCTCCGTGCTAGCATGGCCGGAAGCAAGGACAAAAAGCGAGGAAGGGATAGCCAGAATGCTAGCACCAGCGTACGGGGAAAGAGGTCAAAGCGTTAGGCGGCGTTTCTCAGCGGCCGAACGCCCTGAATGTCGAGCCAATAACAACGATGGTCCTCACGGGTTCCATGCCGCTCATGATCCTGTGCCCTCAAAATTGACACTGGTTCTGCTGCGACATCAATAAAAAACACTAGTCGACTATCGTAACGAACTGACCGTCAAATTGTTGGTCATGTGGACTTCCGGTAATAAGATCAGCTGTCACCGTTCAATGAAAAGAAAATAAGTCCCATTGCGTACATGGTACCGCTACGAGAGTTTTGGCGGACAGTTGGCTGCGTACTGCCGGAGCGGGCCTGCACACACTATTAATCATTTCACAAAGCGGGGACAAAGCGGATACAAAACTGAATATTTTAAAACAAATTCATCTCACAGACCCATACACTCAGCAGGAAAAACGTAAGCTTCATCGTCATCATGAATCACTTCAAACCGCCTCTGTCACTCACTCGATTCAGAGACCTTCCGACACGCTGTCAGTTCCTTGGAAAAACATATTTCTGATTGTGTCCTAGAAAAAAGCCAGTCTATCTTACTTATTGCCTCAGCGCGCACTTGCTTTACCGACAACACGGTCAAAAGCGCTGCATTGCAGAGACGCGACTCTGACTACTCATCATCCTTCTCCAGCAAAAGAAAAAAAGGTCTATGCAATAGTGGAGCTTTGTGAAATATCTCTCTCTAGTTATCCAGTTTCTATGATGGTCACGCGCAGACCATTCGCCGGGGTGTCAACCGGAGTGGCCGATGTGAATGTCTAGGCACTTGATAACGGCTGGGAAGGGAAGAGTGTCAGCGCCCGGGTCCTCGTTCCTAGTGTTGGACATCACGAGGCAACCTTCCCCACGAACGACCTTCAATTGCGCCCGGTGCAGCTTCTCTCTGCCGTAAGCAGAACCTGCTCGTATCAGTCTTGAGTTCTCGCGTTGGATCAACCCTGAGTATGTACTCTTTATCACCTGGGCAGGCCGGACAATTTCATTTTGATCAATTCTATTTTCATCAGATGGAGTTGTTTCGATCAAAAGTCTTTCTTCCCTTTCTTCCCTAGGATATGTCCATCAAATAAGTGCAAATTACATTATTTTTCTTTTGTAATCTCTCGTTGGCATGATGCCGGGATGTGCGCCCTCTTCCTATACATCGCGGGCGGGACCTGCCCGGACGTGCTTCGAACTCTCGCTGATAGGGATAGTATTTTAGATTGATATCTGGATCCCCATCTTGTTCTCCGGCCCACATTGCATCCTGACCAAGCAGAGGGTGCCATTGTCCCATTTTCGCGCAATGTCCAGAGTACGAGAGCACCCTCCGGAAACACTATCCACAGCAGAAAATGTCCGGACTCCGGACAATGAGTCCTGCCGGTGCTGCATACTTTATGAAGTAATCAATACTTGTCTTTTATGTGTGCTCCTCATCCTAAATATAATGCCACGGCTTAGAACGGCTTGAAGACGGAAAAGAGCTCGGCTTCAGCGAGGTATGTCTTGCTGTCGACAGTGAGCCACAGGTAGATAACTGTCCCATGAAGGTTGCTTTGAGAGTCAGTTTTGGTCAGATTGAGTGTCACTAGCGCTTTACGATGCGCGTGCAGGGCACCGATAGTAATGCACGCACAACTGCTAGAAAAAACAAGAGCTGCCTTGTACAATCAAAAACTCATCGAGAGTAGGGCAACAGGCTGTAATGTCAGGAAACGACAGGGCACAAGGCTTCAGGTAGTCAGCTATAACCTGCGTGGCGCTCGAACATAGAGAACAGACCGGGCGAAAAGGATAAATTGAAGGGCGCACCAAAAGTGATACCAGGCTCTCCACAGCATCCACCTCGACATAGCGCAGCCACTCCAGCATGGATGGATGCTTGCACTCGTAAGCAAAAACAATCTGACGTTCAATCGGGAGTGGGGGAGGTAACAACGGCCATGCATGATCAGGTCACGACATTATTGGTATCAGCCATGCGGGGCGACGGGCAGAATCGAACGTGGAATGAATTAAGTTGATACGACGAACAGGTCGATGAATATCCGTGTCCTTAGTTTGAGGTGTTCAGACCGACGCAAGGCGCACAATTCACGTGTATTTGGCCGAACTGACAGAACGAGTGACAACAGCAGCGGGGAACGATTGACAGTCAGGTAATGCGTGTGGAAGCTAACGCTCATACTGATAGCTGCTGATCATAAACGAATTGAGGACTCACGTGGCATCAAATTGTCGTAATACTCTGGTGTACAACGCGGGCGACGGCCAGTACGCTCCCAGATTCATAGTTGTCTATGGTACACGCTTGTGTCCCAGGCGTTCTACTGTATCCAATATCCAAGGTCTACAAGTTTCCCTTGGACTGTCCCGCAATGCCCGACCCTGGCCCTGCGCGGCGATGCGCCCACTCGCTAATGAGCACGCCCGCGATGGCCGTGAGCGGCGGCACCCTAAACGGAAGCTCGTCGAGCCCGACGTCACTGCTCTTCGCGCGCTGCACTTGCTCTTCCTTGGGGACCGCGTCGCCCGCGAGCGCGTTCACGGTCGAGGGCCTGTGCGCCTCGTTGTCGCGCTGCTCCTGCGCCTGTGCGATCTTCTTGTGGTCCCGCCCGGTGAGATTCGTGCCCTCGGCGTGGCTCAGCACCCGGAGGACCTCCTCACGCGTCCACCATCGTGCGTCTGCGTTAGAAACATTAGCCATGAGATGTGTCTGGTAGGCATATGGTGCTTGCCTTCTAGCTCGTTGTCCAAGTCCGTGCGCAGCGGCGCCGACGAGTCTGCGGTCGCGAAGAACCCGACCATGAGATTGGCGGGATACGGCTACGAGACAGTCAGTGAAGTCTTGGTACGATGACGTACTGGAGGGACGCACCCATGGCTGAGTAGAATGGTATTGTACATCCCACGCGCGTACGCCGGCCTCCTCCCAGATCTCGCGCTTAACGGCGTCCTCGAAACTCTCGCCGGGCTCGATGAATCCAGCTAAGGCAGAATAAAACTTCTCGGGCCATTTCCTCTGTGTGCTCCAAGGGCCCAGGGTCAAATTATTAGTCACGAGTGTCATCTGTGCGACGCACATTCCTCCCGAGCAAGACCTTCTCGCCAGACTTATCGACCACAGCCATGATGACAACGGCGTCCGTGCGCGGGTGAGCGAAGTTGTGCAGGCCTTTTCTGCATTGCAGTGAGGCATCAGGAACGGTGCGGGACTCTGAGGAAGTAGAAAACCAACGCGGAGGGACATGGCTTCTTGCCATCATTGTTCGCCCATGGAAGGAGGGATGAGCAGGATATCTTCCAACCTGCCCAGAGCGAGTAGCTGGGGGACCCGCACGCTGGACAAAACTGATGACACCCAAGCCATTCAGAGAAATTGAGATATCTGATACACAGATATTGCGACGCACCTTGTTTCGCCCATTCCAGTCCGTCAGACTCCGAGCCTCTGCAAACACACATGCCTCAAACGCATCAAAGAAAGCCATCGCGCCTCGCGACTCGAAGAACGTCAACTCTGCACCCGCCTTGCTGGGCTCCGATGCCTGCAGGGTCTTGTCCAGCACGTCTTGTGCAACATCGCTCACGTCCAAGGAGAAGTACGGCGTGCCCTTGAGGTTGGCGATGACAGTAGCTGTGTCACTCTTCGCGCTGAAATCAGATGAGGGGAGTGCATCCGCTTCGTCTGTCTGGGGCTCGTGCAGACCGAGAAAGACGATCGGTGGGCCGCGGAACCGCGCAGCTTCGACGACCAGAACATCGGATGGGGCGTATTCGCCCTCCGCCTGTCCCTGCGAGAAAAAAGGCTCTGAGCCGAGAAGAGGGCGGACGTCCGCAGTCGAGAGCCGAGCTAGGGATCGCTTGTGGGTGCTGGGTTCGGAAACTAGTAGTGGCTGACCGCCCTGCAAGACGACCCAGCGCGTTGAGGGCGCGAGAGCGATTGCGTTGAGGAAGTTATGCGAGGTGCGCAGCCAGGAGAGGCGGTTGAGGGGCGAGCCGCCGAAGAAGTTGACGTATCTGTACAACAGGGCTCGTCTAGGTTAGAGGGCTGGAAGCTAGAAGCTCGTCCCATGATAGCCATGGCTCCCGCACACGTACGTTGCAGACATCTAAACCTTTCTGAGAACTTGACGATGCGAAGGCAGTGTACGACGGGGAGTAAACGGCACTGGTGCATATACGACCCCGGATTTGCCAAGGCTACCCATATATAATCCTTAATAATCCTCCGCGAGAGCGCTGTTGGCTTACTCAGTCAGCCGTACGCGTACGCGGGAACCGCCTCGGACAGTCAGACGGACGAGTATTGCATGCGAATTCATTGGAGACTCCAAGCAATACTCTGTAGTATGCATCGTTTGCATTCGTGCACTCGATGGTCTCCTCCGACGTCCGTCAAGGCGTTTAGCACTTCTTTATCCACCCGAATGCCACCTACTGCTAAAATAAAGGAAACAGAAGTGTGCCTCTACTAAGACAACTTGAGCATACTCATGCAAAGCGTGGACCAATGCTCATGTACATGACCATGACAAGAAAGGGAACGAGAATACCGCAAAGGTACATATATAACTACCCGTGGGCATCTGTGATCTCAGTCTGATCGCTGAGGCAACTTTATCCCTTGGCTCCAGTACCTATGTATGTCAGCAACCTTCGTTACTCTCGTCTTTGTGCTTTTCAACTTGGGGCTGCCATAGGCGGCGCTCATCGCCCAGTGCTCATGCGTACCGAAAATATCGGAATCTCTGACACTGCTAATGACTCGCTGGTTGCGCTTGTTAATGAGTGAACGACGCGCGCAACACCGTCGTGGTTGACGGCTGTGTTATGAAAGTAACGGCAGCGCGGGTGCGACGAAGGAGTCTGAAAGTTGCTACTCCCATCTGATCCTTCTTTTGCACTGTCGACGTTTTAGTTGAATCTTTGTATTGTGAATAACTGAGCACATGGCGCCACTCCGACAGATGTGGTCCTCCAGAGTCACGAGAGGCCTTGCCCCTCACCTTCTCACCATTTCTCTGGTTATTGGTGTGTTGGTGTCCCGTCTGTCAAGGAACAGGTCCCTTGCCATGAAATACAGCTTTGGTGCATTGCGCAAAGGATAGTACCGAGTGTGTACCCGACTTATCATTGCCAAGTCTGACTTTTCTCAGTTAGCTTGTACATGACGCGACTATCGTCCCGACTTGGAACAAATTCACGTACCCCTGCACTAGAAGACTATAAAGGCGCGCGTCTTCTCCATCTCCTCCCAGAAACAGATTGATGATATCACGCTAAATCAATCATGTCGTGAGAGGAAGTGACCATATGGTACGATGCCTATGTAACTGACTTCATTAGCCATTCAAAGCTTCTTGGACCGATGAGGCCCCACACAGTACGAAGGTTAATTGAACGTGCACATGTCCCCCGGTACTACAGAACGCGACATCCGACTCCTCATGATATGTTTCCATCATAGCGATTTGTCAACTAATCTCTGACTGCGCCCTACTCTAGCTGACAGGAGGCCACCATCAACCCTGAAGAGGTTTGAAATCCAACGAGATATCATGAGAACAACACCACTCGAGGTGCCGACTGCGGCCTTTTGACATAACAGAATGAGGAAAGTGCCCTTCTGATTCATGCCCCATAGAGTTCAGCTTGGAATACAATTGTCCCTGATTGAAATGGCAAGAGCATGTAGCATAAGCCTATATAATCGCCAGCAAGACGTCTCTCCAGTTCAGGAATCACCATGTCGACCATCGCAATAACTGTCTGCTTGCTCATTATTTTCCTCTTCCATAGAGTGTTGTTGTTCCGCCGAAAGCTGAAGGTTGTAGTTATTCTACTCGTCCGAGGGGTCTCATTCATACATTATCAGGCCGTGAACAATCTCCCGGGCATCCGTTGCACCTTCCCCTTACTCAGCCTTCTGAATGCTATCATCGGGACAAACAAGTGGAACCCAGGCCTTCTCTGGGCTTGGACGTGGAGAGCTTCATGCAAGCCCTGTCTTCTGCTGCATGCCATTAAAGATATCTCAACTGCTTCACAGTATATTCATCCTATGGCTCGGAAACGATATCCGTTGTGCCAATATTCGGCGCTCCTGCAATATCTACATCTTCCGTTGAAATTGCTCGGCAGCTTATGTCGCAGGACAATACGGCGCAGTTGTTCAAGCCCTCCTTTTAGCCTCGTGAAGGTGCATTCTGGTGAGTATCTTCTGCACGAAGGCGGGCACCGAGCTCATGATTATTGAGGTTATTGTCCAATAATATCGTCTTCGCCACCCCCGACACGTATAAGAAGCACCGTCGCGCTGTTGGGCCAGCATTTTCTGCAAAGACGCAAGTTCGTGGCAATCATACTTGGATCACAAATATAAACTGTCTCTCTCCTGTAGATACACGATGGTAGCACGAGAGACTGTGCAGCTCTATCATGAAATGGTCAGATGTGAAGGGTGGACTTCACAAACATCGATACACCTCGACAACGTGAGCCAATGGATGTCAAAGGTCCGTGTTGTCCCCTATATTAAGCGAGACATACCATTCAGAGACCTTCAGTTCACTTTGGGGGTGCTGACGCGTTGCGCATTTGGAATGTCCTTCTCGTGGAACGACGACGACCATGCCGAAGGCATGTCGATCGGCACGACACTTGCCCTAGTTGTCCAAGGTACTATCATTCGTCAAGTCGTACCACAATGGGCGTACAGGCTGCCTATCCGGCGGTCAGTGGAGTGTCGTATCTCTGGCGCAAGTATCTGCTCACAAGTACTCAGGTTGAGGGAGGTCGATGAGGCCTACACTCGTATGACCGCCTTCATGCAGTCTCTCGTCGCGGATAAGAAGGCCGAGGCTGTCACCGTGGAAGGGAACGATACATCTCCCAACGATCTGTTCAGCCGCCTGATCCAAGCTAGCGAATCTGAAGGGAAAAACGGGTTAACTGACAAAGAGCTTGTGAGTGGGTTTCTTTGCTTTCTATACGACATATCGACCGCGTGTAATCTTGAGATCAGCAATGTGTTCATTTTCCTGTTCGCCGGGCACGGTACGAGTCTATTCAACCCCGAGAAGCGTCAGAGATCGCTCATGCAGAGTGCAGACACAACGGCGCATGTCCTTACAACAACACTCGCATTGCTCGCTCTACATGAAGACGAGCAGGAGAAGGCTGTCGAGGCAATACATGAGGCTTTGCCTGACTTTCGCAACCCTGTAAGCTTCGATATCAGCAGCTTGACAGTGGGGCCAGAATGACGATTGTCACCAGACGTTCGATGACTTTGATGCACTGAAAAAGGTCCTAGCTTGTTTCCTAGAGGCTGCACGCCTTTTCCGTCAGTCGTACCCATATTTAGCATTCTCCGTGTACTCATCTACATTTAACTGCTCAGCTCCGGTTAGTGGTATTCTCAGAGTCAGCGGATCCACCATAGCGTTGCGTCAGAAAGGAGACTACCAACCTCTGTTCATCCCTCCGGGAATCAAAGTCAACGTGGACACGATCGGCATTCGTGAGTGCTCCCATCTGTATGTTGTCGAGAATCGAAGTCACATTGATTTGCTTTTTTTCAAGTTTACAATCCGAAGTACTTTCCTGATCCAGAGCGATATGATCCCTCACGATGGTATGGGGAGAATTCCGAACTGGACTTCACGTTCTTCGGAATTGGACCTCGTGCCTGCATCGGCCGAAAATTCGCACTCACGGAAGCGGTATGCCTTTTGGTATGTCTCCTGCGCGACTGGAAACTTGATGTGCCCCTGGAGCACGGGGAGACGGGGGAGATGTGGCGACAGCGCGTGATGCAGATCAAGTTCCTTGGACTGACGCTTGGTGTGCCGGATGTGCCATTACTTATGACGAAGAGGACAACGGCTTAAGCTATTCGAACACATGTTTTTTGTTCGGAAATCATGTACAGTATGTCTGCGGTGCATTCCGAGTCCGCATGATGATGTGAGTTACGTAAGTGACGCTTGAAGAACAAATTGACGTCGGGCGCCTGATCATCAAACATATTGACACGCCGCGGCATTGGGCCCGTGACATAGTGATGATAGGTTTCCTTCCTCATTCTAAGGCCATACTTGAATCACCTATCTGCAGGGACATCTACAGAGCGACCACGTCGGGGATATCCGACATGGCTGTTGGTTGTTGCAGCAAAATGCAACTTGAAGTCAATGAGGATGCTACGACTCTGCAGGAATCTGGTAGTATCTGTGGAGTGGGACCGGACAAGTGCTCTTGTAACCGCAAAGACAAGCTTTCCAGAGAGTAACACTTTATTCGAGTAGGTGGTACGAGAAAACCGTTTCACGAAAAGCGGTCATATAGGCACAACCGCATGATCGCACTCCCCACAGGAAGGCATTTATATTACTCCTCCACTGACCACAGTTCGCTTCCGAAACAACTAGAACGCGCCAGCGCAAGAACAAGAAAAACGAAACTCGCGACACTCACGCAGAAGGTGAGTAAAGGCACTGTTGTCTCTGTTGTGGCCCGCACTCGCTCGAACTTACGAGGGGTCTGAGAGGAAGTTATGCTGATAGCAACCACGTGTGGAGAGTATCACAGTCGCATTGAGGGACCGTGGGTGATTGTGTACATATTCCCAGCTCAGAACGCATCGTGAATATACCGCCGCAATAATTCTTCGTCGTCATATTCAGCGCGGCGATTATAGTCAGCGTACTCGTTGCGCCGCGCTTTCTGCCGCCTGCGAAGACGGTATCAGCATGGTCCTTTCGTGTATGCAGACTCGCCCTTACCTCATGTAATCGACAATCGAGCTGGCGTCCCGCCTCCCGTTGTAGTCGGACAAGTGGCCGTGCCGATAAGCCCGCAGAGTCCTCATATTCAGTCGTGTATCAGCACTTCAGGGTACACGTATTCAGTAGTATTCACAGCGTCGCTTACGGATATCCTCAAATGTCTTGGGCACTGCATACATCATGCTGCACGCTGCAATCCACTCGAGCTAACTTGGCCGTCCCCTGCAGCGCGGCCGCGGCTTTTGCAAAGTCGGGCTCCAACGCCTTACAGTGTCCACACCTGGATGTTACAGCGTGTGTTGGTATGAATAGCTGTACGTTCCGCATTATCCAACCATGGGGTATAGAACTCGACCAAGAGTAGCGGCTCATGCGCGACGGTAGCGGCAAAGTTGCTGCTGCCGAGCTCCACCACCGCAGTAGCAGTACTGCCCACGATGGCACAGACGATGAAGAAAATACGAGAGACACGCATGGGTAGAAAATGCAGAACAGCTGCGCGGTAAGCTGATTTATATACCCCGATGGTCACCCTCGTAGGGGATACATTTATAAAACACAGGCACGGCTGCACTCTGGCACATTGCTGTACCCATAAGGTAGGCTTGAGAATCATTGACACAGGCGCCATGGGCCCACAGGCAAGGCCGATGGCGCTCGTCGAGCGCGTTACTAACCCTCCATTTTCTCGCGTCATGTGCCGCGTCGTTGTGAGCATGTCTCTCTAGCCACGGGTTAAAATATGCTTACTTTAAGCAACAGTCCTATGCTTTGTTGAAAGGCGTAATGACTCGTCATTCTCCTTTGAATGGTCCCGCAGGTGGATCAGACCTTGGTATACACGACCTACCGTCGATTTGCGGAATGCTCAACGCACCAGCGGTATAGTTCGGCACTAGATATATCGATATATAAGTGGCATACCAAAGGACGCATGAGGTTGGGCTTTTGAGGCGGCGCTCCAGGAGGTCGAACTAATTGATCGCACCTGCGGCGCACTTGAACTTGTGCTTGCTCTTGAGTATCGAAAGATAACATGATACGAGACATGCAATTAAATACCAGACCATAAATGCATGATCGGAAGCAGGCAGATGTTTCCTTGAGCATCGAGGCGAAGGCCTTTCGTTCAGGATGGCATCGAACGTCCTGGTAGTGCAACGCGCGTTGCTTACCTGTATTTGTGTAGCACATGCGTGATATGCCGGGTGACGGGTACCGACCATCGACACCGAACTTACCGTCAGGTAGCGTGTTGGAAAGAAGACGTCAGACGTGGATGTCCGGAGCCGACGCGAGTTGAAGGAATTGTCTGCTCTGAAGGGCTGCAGTTACGAGGGATCGAAATCACACGGGATAAGCGCCTGTAAATCTGTCCGAATCCTTCACGAGCATGTCCCCCGCAACCGTACATGCACGCTATGCACGCGACGAATCACTTTCTTCCAGTCATAAAAGGGCTACCACCGCAAGAAAGCGTAGGTAGGCAACCCGCCCGCGCATCCTCTCACACGTCGGGTCGGCAACAAAATGATCGTCAAATATCCGAGGCCAGCCGGACATAAACGTCCGCAAATGATGACCACTGTGTACGGGATGAATCCTTCCTGTCATTGAATGCGGCCTTTGCCTCTCCAAAAAAGACGTCTCTCACGACCATCGCGCACCCGAAGAGCAGAGAGCGGCTGAAGGCGGGTGTCGGGCCCTAAATCAGGCTGCTTGACTGCCACTACCACACTCGCAGCACTACCGCGGATCACCGAACACCGCCTTGGCATGGTTCCCAGCTTCGAAGTCGATGCAAATCTCGGGAGGCATATGGGCGGCCCTCATGGTACGCACCTATTCATATATGCACATATAGGCGGGCTGATCCCAGTCGTAGCTCTTCTTCTAAGTCACACACGTTTCCTTCCTGCTCTTCCCTGCTGCCATGGCTGTCCGGAGTGTCGGCGCGTTGCTCTTACTGCCATTCTTCGCTTCTGTCGCGTCTGCCATCGTGCGCAATGGCAAAGTCGGTGCCAACATTCCGCGCATGCAGCTCGTCAAGAAGGTCGATCTCCCGCACGTAGGCCCCGTCGTCGATCGCAACGGCACCGAGATTCCACCATACAACACGACCTACTACTTCGAGCAGTTGATTGATCACAACAACCCGAGCCTGGGCACGTTCTCGCAGCGATACTGGCACACGTGGGAGTTCTACGAGCCTGGTACGTGCAAAGGCGGGGTAAATATCCTTGAGCTCTGACGGCTGTGAACAACGCATAGGTGGTCCTATCATTATCACTACACCTGGAGAGCAAGACGCCGATGGTAGGTCCCAACTGTTTGATTGGTTGAGGTCGACTGGGTCGCGAACGAGCCGGTGCCCGTCTATTACTCATGGCTTTGTGAGAGAATACGGGTTTTCTGGATCTGTGCATTCGAGCCCCTGTAGGCTGTTTTGAAGCCTGCACGCAGTTTTTACGACGTCGTGACCAAGGTCATGCTCATGTTCCATGAGATGGCGGGCTCGATCGGGGTTTCTCACGCGAGGTCGGACGTGTATATCGATAGCATGCTCATCTTCCCCTCATACAGGCTTCGAGGGGTACCTGACGAACTTAACGATCATGGGACAAATTGCCCAAGAGCAAAACGGAGCTACCATCGTGCTCGAGCATCGTTATTACGGCTATTCCAATCCTTATAATAATTTGTCTGTCGCGAGCCTCAAGTATCACACGATCCAGCAGGCGATCGACGACTTCGACTATTTTGCTTACAATGTGAAGCTCGCCATGCCTAGAGGTGACCATGTCACGCCTGCAAAAGCGCCATGGATCCTGGTCGGGGGCAGCTATGCGGGTGCTCTGACCAGCTTCACTAAAGTCAAGTAAGAACAGTGTTCCTGCAAATTATGGCGAGAGTTTCACAAAGTCTCACGTTACATAGCAAACCCGACCTGTTTTGGGCGGCATGGTCCTCCTCTGGTGTGGTTGAGAGCATTATGTGCGTACCATACCTTTCCTAGCTTCCCGGACGGACTACTAACTAAAGCGCTCGACCAGTAACTACTGGGGTTACTTCGACATCATCCGGCAGTACATGCCCGCGAACTGCTCTGCGGATGTTCAGGCGATCGTTGGCTACTTCGACGGCATCGTCGCCAAGAACGACACGTCTGCGATCGACGCTCTCAAGGCGACGTTCAACATGACCGCGCTAACGCACCTAGACGACGTTGGGGGTGCATGTAGGTGTCCTTTACAATGCCATACACACTGCTGCGGTGCTGATGCGCGAATCTGCAGTGGCAGACCCTCTATACTCATGGCAGGATCTCCAGCCTAGCAGCGAGCTCAGTGATAACGCATTCTTCGAATTCTGCGACGCACTGGAAGTAAAGGATGGAGAGAATGCGCCGCCGCAAGGTTGGGGTCTCGAGCACGCGCTGCAGGCGTATGGTTCGTGGTGGACGAGCACCTATTATGAGACAAGTAAGTGCGCGTGTCGATCGCAAGCGTTGAGACATGTGTTGATCAAGACGCGATAGTCTGCCCCGGACAGGGTGTGGTGTGCGTCCAGTGCATTTGCTCGTCATCTTCTCCGTTCGACTGACTCGTGCTTGCAATGCGCAGGGAATGTCTGGGCTCGTATGATCCTACGCAAGACATCTATACTGACATATCTATCAACAATGCCGAGCGCTCGTGGTTATGGATCGTGTATGTGCCGATTTCGGCTGCCTCCCTGTGGCGTGTTGATGGGCGTGTGATACAGCTGCAACGAGATGGGCTTCTACCAAGACGGCGCGCCTGATGGCATACCCACCATCGCTTCGCGGCTTATCCAGCCCATCTACGAAGAGGTATGCCATGGTCGAGCCATCTGGTTGTGCAGCCCTATCTGACTCGGTTGTTCCAGCGCCAGTGCACATACTACTTCCCAGAAGCATTCAGCACGCCGCCCACGCCGCAAGTCAACGCGACCAACGCGGCCTATCATGGTTGGGACGTGCAGTCAGAGCGGCTCTTCTTCGGCAACGGCTTGCGTGAGTCCTCGTGCTGTCCATGGCGGTGCCCTTGATCTTTTCTCTGATGCTTCACATTGACGCGTAGGCGACCCGTGGAGGGACGCGACTGTCTCTGCAGATGGTCGGGGGAAGCGGAGCACGCCGCGGCAGCCGATTGCGGTGGGTGATGGCTTCCACTGCTCTGAGATGTACACGGCGAATGCGGAGGTCGACCCGACCATTGCCCTCGTGCAGGCGGAGGGGCGTAAGGCCATGCACAAATGGCTGAAATCTTGGAAGGCTCCGACCCCGTCCTCATAATTACGCCGAGGAGCATCTGATCCTCAAGGCCACATCTCTCGCTAAATCTTACTATATCTGCGTCATAATATATCTGCTTGGGAAGGACATTTGACCGAAACTCGAGGTGCCGCGTCTGCCGACTATCTCTTTGAGTGTCTACGAAGTCGCCGCGATCGCATGTGAAGCGTTGGAAGATAAATGACCGGCGTTTTGATCATGCAAAATGTTCCTGACGTGAAACAACTGCCATCGGAGAGCGACTTGATGGCCAAAGTGACAGCGGGCGGTGTATGTGCGTCGAGATGTTGTTGGGGGGCTCTACGAAACCCGTGATCGGGAAGATGATGCAATCTTTCGTATACTCGGGTTTCTTGGCATCTAACAATCTGGTCGCTCGATCAATCGTGAGTGCCACTGCAGCGATCTGGATTCCACATCCGTTAGCATTCTGAATGGTCTCTGTTAGCTACTAGCAGGAAATCCACTTTAAGCAAGTATATCGTTCTTCAAGGCACAAGTGCTGTGCCGAGGTCATTGCTAAGACGTAACACGATGTTGTATCGTTGGGCGGTGCATCTCTTACGTTTCTAACTTGCTTAGCGGCAGTGTGCCCCATCACCGAGTCGGCATCTGCAGCGCCTTCGCTGCCGCTAACCGCCGTCCTCGGCAGCTCCGCGCCTTCGGAAGGTTGGTACGGTATAAAGCTTGAGCTCTGTGTGCATCAATCCTCAGCTCCTCCTTCATCTTCACTCGAGCCCCGAAAGTCGGTACTGGTTGGTGAGTTACTTCGAATCCTTTTCTACCCTTGGTATCGGAGCTGACGCTGCTGGGCAGCCTGTCTTTCGTTCACGTTCTTTCTTGACGCATTTTTTGTTGACGATTTCTATTTACGACCTTCACTTCCTTACCTTCTAATTCACTCACCCCATCCCTCCAACTTCTCACGATCATCATGCGTACTTCTGCTGCTGTCACTGTTGCCCTTGCTGCGGCTGCCACCCCCATGGTCATGGCGTGAGTAGTCTGACATCTTGCCTTATTGGGCTGTATTTACAAGGGTGTCTCTGTAGTGACTCTGCCTACGAGCGCCGTGAACTTTACGACCTCGTCGCTCGCGCTGCGACTGCGGCGGAGAACGTCCCTGCGGACCAGCAGGGTAGCCAGGCCTTCGGCCTTTTCAGCCTCCTCGGTCATGGTCTTGAGGGTATTGGCAACTTGATCGAGTACGTCAACTATTGATGATGCCGCATGAAATGTGTTTACTGATCGGTGCCTTGTAGCTCCAAGAACAAGAAGAGCCGCGACCTCGGCGACATCGAGGACATCATCGCTCGCCACCTTCCTGAGGAGCACGAGCACGAGCATGAACGATTCCGTGGTCACGAGCATGAGCACGAGCGTTTCCGCGGCCATGCCCACAAGCACTTCCATGGCCACGAGCAAGAGCACGAACACGGCCGCTTCCGCCACCACGAGCATGAGCACGAGCACGGTCGTTTCCGCCACCACGAGCACGAGCACGAGCACGAGCACGGTCGTTTCCGCCACCACGAGCACGAGCACGAGCACGGTCGTTTCCGCCACCACGAGCACGAGCACGAGCACGACCGTTTCCGCCACCACGCGCACGAGCACGAGCTTGAGCACCGCCCCTCGTCTCACTTCCGCGAGCACGAGCACGAGCGGTTCCACCGCCCCGGCCGCTTCGCGCGTGAGGTCCCCGCGGCACCCGCCCAGGAGTCGCACGCGCCCGCTCAGGCTGCGGCCCCGGCCCCGGCTCAGCAGAACTCTGCAGAGCACCCGGCGGAGCACAGGCACAAGCACAAGCACGGCAAGGGCGCGCACCGTCACCACGGCCATCACCGCCGCCCCCAGGGCGCCCACCGCCAGGGGCAGTACGAGCGCCCTGAGGACGCGCACCGTCACCAGGGCCAGTTCGAGCACCCCCAGGACGCCCAGCGCGTGCAGGCTCCGGCTCCGGGCCAGCAGCCTACGGAGGTTCACCGCCAGGCTGCTCGCGAGCTCGTTGACCTCTTGACTCGCGAGGACCAGGGCAGCGAGGCTTTCAGCCTTGGCTCGATTTTCAAGATCGGCAAGGACATCTTCCACGCGTTCGAGTGAGTCCTGATTGTCGCTTTGCCTTGTGGCGGTCTGGCTGATGTTTTACATTGTAGCCACCACAACAGCTCGCGCCGTGCTATCCCCGAGGAGTACTGAGTGCGCATCTGAATGGACTATGTGAATACGGTTTAGTGAAGCCACATCCTGAGGTTGTAGATACTTATTGATCGTCATGTATTCAACGAAAATGCGGATGTTGAGGAGCTCACCTAAAAACCTGTGTGATTTGAGTTGATCTCATAAGTTGTCGGCTCCTTGTATTGTCAAAGCTTGTGCGTTGTGTTCGCTCGATGCTGTAGACGGATTGTGATGGTCCACTCACGTCGATCTGAAGCCAAGTGGAACCTCCCATTTGATTGGTGAATATGTTTTCCTAGGAAACCTTTGAGCAGGCGGTACAAAGTTGTCGACGGACAAGCGCGTCCAAAGCCCCGCGTGCGCGCGCGCAGGCACGACCTCGCGTTATCGCGTCGGGATCGGCGCAACATGGACGCGCCCCTGGCGCTCCTGACCATATTCCTATTCCCGATGTTATTCGTTCTGGCTGATTGTTGTGGATAAAAATGGCTCACTGCGTGCTCCTAGGTACATACCCGACGATCCGTAGAGCGAGAGCTTCATGTTTTGTGCTTATCCCAACCGAAGCTCGCTCCTACTTCGTTAGGTACTCGCTCACCTCATCAAGACCACTGCGAAGTTCAACTAGGAGGCTTTTTGTACCACACAATACTTCAATTAAAGAATGTCCAGTTGCAGTTGCGGACTCGTAAAATACAGCAACTGTTTAGCATCCACTGGCTGATACTCGTCCGTTCATTCGCCACTTCCCTATTTCAAGAAGGAAAGATGGGTAACTGCGCAATAATCATCCCTCTCATCAGGCATTGCTACCAGGTTGCTCACAGTGCTCACGGATTTTGAGGCGGAGTGGAGTAGATCCCATATCTGAAGGCTTGAAGTTCCACTCGGTCAGTGGCGAGTCATCGTCCGAGAAGGCAGCCGAAGGGGCTCAGTGGCTTGAGTTAGCACTTGCTCTAGTCGAATCATGAGCTGAGTCCCTTCACCCTTTCCGATAATTGCTTGTTCTTGATTACTATTTGTTCGGTGTATTGTTTGAGGTCTGCACGGCTGTGCTTGTAATTGAAGAACTCCATGTGGGTCGATCGCGAGTAAGGGTATCGACACTCTTGGCCGCACTTCGAGTATGAAGCATTTAAGCGATCAGTCAATGATTCAGCCTAAAGCAAGACTTTCATGGACTCCAATATCGTTGCACAGCGCCTAGAACGTCCCTTGCGCACTAGATCAAGGTGTCCGGGAATGTCGCTCATCTTTCCGACCCTTGTTTGTGGCTATGTACCTGTATTTGCTCTTGTGGCGCCCTCAGAGGTCGTTACATTGGTCGATAAATGTTCGCCTGGGTTCTGCATGGCTACGCTTGTGAATATTGCAGAACGCCATCGCGTTTCGGGCATCATTCGCGAGCAAGGGTATCGCCGACACACTCGGCGGCACTTTGACTAGAGAACTCCCTTTTGAATTATAACTTACCCCTAACCCTATGTCATATTCTTGGCCAGTGCACGTTCGAGCCTACTATCAGAGGCCAGGCTGTTGGGCTCTTCTCGAAAACTGCCGCGGAATGCGACTGAAAATCACTGTGCTTGGGCCGGAGGGGAATGGGTGCCTGCTCTTTGAAAACTGAGAACGCGACGAGCGCATGCTAAATGCGCATGTGTTCCTGCGGTACACGTACCTAGCTTCCACTCTGATGCTTTCACCTCAGCACCACCAGTGAACACGAAGTACTACTCTTCAGGAAGGAGTCCAGTCATTGCTGGTCTGTATGCAATGATGCGTATGCTCACCTTGTTTGTTGTCTGACTGAGGGCTGGAAAGTAACGGGCTCAACCTGCAATCGTCTTCGACAGGTTTGCCACTTGCAATGTGAACCGTAAACTTGCAATAACGCACTGCAGAGTATGGTTCAGAGCATACCTGTCGTAGCATCTAGACCTGCATCATTCCAATTGCAAAGTAAGTGTCCTAACCCCATCGGTGATAGAGGCACGCGTGCACTCGCTGATCAAACTTGACTGTTGTCACTGTATGCAGAGCATCGTCCTCGCGGTCTAGCGCTCAGAATCCCCAAGTTTGACAGATTACTCGCTTGCCGATTATCCAGGTAAAGATCCCCTGCAGTTTGCAGCGCCACGTTCGGGTTGGTCGAGACGATGGTGTGGCGCCTCGATCTAGAGTGGAGCAATTGGCGTCATGAATATCTCACCTTGCCGGGGTTCCTTGTCGATCTCTATGTCCTATCCTGCAAGAAGGACTGTACTTTAGTATGTGCTTCCGCATGGTCACTGGTCTGCATGTCGACTGCAAGACCCCATCCCATACGTTTCAATGCACATGTTGAACACGTTTGCGATCGTCGGCACAAAGTAGGGGCTTTCAGTCTGCGAGGTCTGTAGAATATCAGAGGTTCTGTAAACCAAGGGTCGCTCACGGCCCAGCTCTGTCTGTAGCGGCTTCAAGTGAAACCGTCAAGGGGTGGAGTACGAGCACCTTTATTTTAGGTCGATTTGCTCTAGGTAAGTTTGTCCTCGCGGACGCGAGCCGTTTTACGTTCTGATAGCTTTTTATGCGAGTTCAGGCCTTAAAAATTGACGGACCGGATCCTGAAATGTAGACGGCCTTTCTTTGGTGCGTGCCGACCTGACGCCTGTTGAAGTCTGTCCTGACGCAGCCGAAGTTAAATCAATGTTAATGGTCATATAACCTTTGTCCAACTTCAATGCCTGGCCTTTTCGCGTGCGTCCCCGAGATGGGCGATCCCCTGTGTGTTCGCGAATTGAATTTACCGTACTGTGTCCTCTAGCTCTACTGGTAGTTGGCGGCATCGTTGGTCGGATATGACCGGTAATCAGGGCCCGCTGCGCGGTACATGCGTGTGCCGTGTCATTGCGCGCTTCGAAATATTTATCACCTCATGCGGCATGCCAACCAGACGCCAGCATAGTGAGAGGAACTGTGCCTTCACTCCTTGCGCTCACTCCCAACCGCTTTATCTCTTACTTCACCCGGAAGAAACGAAAGAAATCAAGTATGTATTTTCACCAGCACCCCAGGGTGCTCCGCAAGACACTAGAACAAACATCCCGGGGGGCCGGCCCATAGTGTCCAATGACCTTGTGGTTCATTCTAACCGCTTCGCATCTTTCTTTCTTTCTTGGCGACGCATAACAGCAAGCTCCCTGTCGAGACGCGTCCTTGGCTCTGACCTCAACAGGTTCCAACATGGACTACTTTGACTTCAACGTGCCTATCCCCGAGCTAGATCAGACGTTGGCAGTGGCATCCAGCGGTCATTTTATAGAGGGTTCAAGTGGAGATAGCAGGCAGGATCGCACGCCGGTAAGTGATGTGCGATACATTCCGTGTGTTTTGTATCACAAGGATATCGCAGGTTGGGACACCTGGGCAGCGTCCAGGCCCATCAGGCAGCATCCCAGTTACCATCTCTACAGCATTCCAGCCTAACGTGCACGTCGACAATCTGCGTCCCGATATCGTGCTCACGTCGTCCGACAACGTGTTCTTCTACGTGTGTCTCCATCGCCTCCTCGCCGCATCCGACAACGGCTTCAACTCCCTCTTACCCCCACCCTCCGTATCCGACGAATTCACCCCCGTGATCGATCTTCCCGAGTCGGCTGACGTGCTCAATGTCGTGCTGCACAGTATTCACAACTGGGACGCCAGCTGCTTCGCGCCTTCTTATGAGACGCTCTCTGCGGCTATCGCTGCGCTCGTGAGGTACGGTATGCAGCCCAAGCGCATGATCTTACCCACCACATCGCTTTTCTCACTCCTACTTGCACAAGCCCCACTCCAACCGATTGATGCATACGCTCTCGCCGCCTCGTATGATCTGGAGGAGCTGGCAGTGGCCATCTCTCCACATCTCCTCGCATACCAGCTTCCCTCCTTAACCGACGAGGTATCGAAGCGCATCGGAGCCGTCTATCTAAAACGGCTGTTTTTTCTACACAACGGCCGCATGGACGCACTCGGACGGCTGCTCTTGCATCCACCCCAACCGCACCCGGAGACCCCTGAATGCGATAACGAACAGCAACGGAAGTTGATGCGAGCATGGGCTCTTGCATCTGCGCACTTGGTATGGGACGCGAGACCAGGTGAGCCTACAACGTCTTGTGCGGTGCTCACTGTCTAATATATAATCGGCGTGGATCTTCATCAAGACCTCTCCACCTATTTGCTGCAAGCGTCGTTGACACCCCTCGAGAGAGAGTTATCGTGCGATCTGTGCAAATTGTCGTTGCGCGAAAGGATTAGTACGCTAGTAATGGAATGGTCCGCTGTGAAGGTAAGTGTGTTAATTATGAAACTGCGACATGTAAGTAAAGCATGACTTTATTGCAGAGAACCATCTAAACGCTACCACGTCCGCCGACCAACTTTGGAGGGCATAAACCGTCTTGTGTCGTCAAGTCGCGGGAATGCCATATGTCCATGCGCTCCTCCTGAATGGCGGGGTATGTATCACTGTGCAGCATGTTATGTCACTCTCGCGACTGCTACGATCCGTTGCGCATAATCTCGAATGTAGTCCATTTTGTTTTCCGTAGTTCTGCTTGAACATGTCCGCGTTGCGCAACACAGGACCGTATCATTGGAGCCTGTAGCCAAGCGAAGCACGCTGCAGATAGGAGATGTGATAGCCGATACATGTGGGGTAGCAGAGTGGACTCCGATCCGTCTTGGGCGGCGACAAGGTGGAGGCAACGGTTGAGCGGTGCGGTGGGCCAGTCGCTCGCACCACGCGCAGTGATCAATCTTTTGATACAAAAGATTGAATGAAGAATGGAAGAAAATTGAAACCGCCTAATAAATATTTCGGTGCTGAGACTGGAAGAAAGATTGAACGAAGATCGCAGCAAGTTGATTATGTAATAAATCTCTTCATTCTTTCTTCGGTTTTCATTCGATATTACATCCGTGAGATCAAATAGGTGCTGTTCACTTTTCGTTTGATTCTAACTTGATATTTTGAACAAAAAGATCGAGCCTTGCCAGGGGTAGCGGACACATGCTCCAATACAAGAGAGGACGCCTATGTTCATCTCAATTCAGCATCGTGCCTGAGGGGATCTAGATGCCGATCAGCCGGTAAATCTGGTGTGGACCGCCAGCATACCGGCCAGCACTTTGTAGAATGCTCTGAGACGGCGTACAGTCCAATGTGTGGCCCTTGGACGTCCTCTTGCTGTGACAAAAGTTACATGAGCTCATCGTTGTCAACTTGAAGTGAGCGATGTTACTGCGAACATGGAGGGAAGCAGATGTGGCTTGTTGTCTGGCTCGACACAGACACCGATTGCTCTGCGTAAAGTGCTGGTTGCGTCCTCAAAAATCCCAGCGGCCTCAGTGGGATCACTTCGTCTTTCGCCGCAGATTGTATCAGTACATGTACTAGAATTTGGGCACAGATATAAATAAAAAAACCGCGTGGCCTCAACACAACGGCTTGTCTGGAAAGCATCCTGTAGCGGTTGTATCAGTGAGTCTTGACATCAACCCGGAAAGGATGGTCTCGTTCCGCACAGACGTAGCTCAAGTTCTATGAGTCACCAGTGCTTCGGCGCTTATGTTTCCTCTCAAGAAATCGAGGATCGTTCACGTCCGCCACATCCTCGAATTTGGGTCAGGCACAGAAGGTGAAGTGCATCTAGATCGTGACGATCCTGACAAATCGACGGACACTATGCTAGACAGCTATAATAGAGTGTGTGCACGTTAGTGTTCACCAGACTAGAAGACTTGTATCGCAAACAATGTAAAAGAAAAGCTGAACATTGAAACAGGGTCAAAAATTCACACGCATGTCAGTTTCCACCCCTTTGAGGAAGGCGGCATTCCTGTTATGGACATTTCAAATACTTGAACCTCTTCATACGACCCGCTATACAGGCACGAAACGCTTGTATCACACAGATTACAGTTCTATGAATACCAATGATTCTAATAATACATCATCAAATGATGCACGGTGTTTCTCTTGTGGGAAAATCGTACCACAAACACACTATCGTAAAAGCAAGCAGTCTCACTCACGCGCCTGAGTCTGATACAAATGACAAAAGCCGTCGCAGTCTGCGTCGCATACGCAAGAACCCGTCGCGCACTTGCATTGACCACCGCAGCATGCAGAGGTAGCACCGCGAGGCTCATATTGAGCGGGAGAAACATTCCAGATGGTGTCCGTCTGAAACGCGTTCTGGCTGTATTGAGGAGGAAAGAGAGTCGGCTGAGAAGGTGTCAAAGGAGCGTGGCGGCGGAGATCCTGGATGGACGCCGGAAGGAACGGGGGGAAAGGATTGGAGGCAGACACATTGACGGCGGCGGAACTCTGAGAAGACCAGTCGCTTGTCCCTGGCTGCAGAGCCGAATAGTCGAAGCGAGAGGGCTGAGCCAAGTCAAACGAGTGCAGGGGACAACCTAGGCAATTCAAGCAAGAATGCGGATTTAGAGGGGTTACAATCGAATCCTGGCCCCGGGCGTCCATGCATCCTGGGCAGACGCACGCCGAGCCGCATTCACAAATGGTAGGCGCGCTGAACGGTACATCCTGTGCCTGCATGTCGTATGGAGGGCTCCAGGACGGAAAGCCTTGCGCTGTACCGCTCGAGCTGCTCTGGGGGAGTGTGTGGCGTAGAAGACGAGATTGTGGATCTTGAAGCCCAGAGGGTCTAGTGAACGAACCAGAAAAGCCCGAGGGTCCGGGACTATTAGCGATTGTATTGGATCTGCGATAGGGACTGTCGAGGGTCGGCCTTTGTAGATTGTAGCGGCACGCCTCAGATGCAGAAGGACTGCTTTGTGTGCGGTCAACTGACGGCGATTGGGGTTGAGGCGCCCTCGGAAGGAGGGCGCGGTGTCTGCCCGTGTGCGCGTCGGCGACAAGGGCGCCAGGCTGCGACATCTGTGGGCCTGTGGGAGCCCTTGCAAGCTCTGCGCTAACACGGCGACCAGATGCGCGTTCCCCGCGCGCACTCAATGCCGGAGACCGCGGGCCTGAACGACAGTGAGGACAAAGCAACACTGTCAGTGGCAGAACGCACCATCGTATTCAGAGTCTGAGCCGTCACTCATGGCATGCAGCACCGCCGACGCTTCCAATGCCTTTGGAAGGCCATCGGGAAACGCGGGCTCGGCTGAAACCTTCACACCACCTGAAAGGAGGGGAGAGGACCTTTCCGGTCAGATAAGGGCTTTACCACAATATTGCGGGCAGAAACACACCTTGGCTGGACGGACCGGCAGAGGCCTCCTGGCGATGCGAGCATGTACACTTGACGTGGAGCTGTTTAGTCTTGCGCAGCTGCCTGCAGTGCTCGCATTGCGTGATGGGGCGGCCTTTCTTTTTGATCTCGTATAATGGCCTGTCGGTGTGTCTGCATGACGACGACCTGTGTCCTTTGATACAGGTTTCACTACGTCCCTGTGTCAATAAGCGGATACAGTCTAGGTGCGGGTACTCACCAAGCGTATTTTTTGTCTCCGATATAAACCTTATAATATTTCAATTTGTTTGCCATGGCGTGACGACGCATGGCAAGGCTTACCATGCTTGTTCGCACGACTGTTGAGCGGTGGGAAATTTTGTCGGGAGAGGGGGGAAGGGAGTCTCGAGGCTTGGGGTGGTGCCCCACAGAGAGGACACCTCGCGCAGTCGCAAACTATAATGCACAAAAACACAACATAATGGAGTGCGACGAATGCTGCCTAGGTAAGTGTCGCGTTGAGAGGGAACAGTTTGTCTCCCCAGAGACGTCAAGGCTATATAGGCTACCCAACATCGCCACCCGGGCACGAGAAGCAACTTTCTGCCTTGTCACACCCGGGTCACGTCGCAGCCACCGGTTTTAGGCGCTCGAGTAGCGAATATGACGCTCCCGAGTTCCCATCTTTTGTAATCGGAAGGTGCGCTGATATGGCCGTACGCACGTTCCGCGCAGCCGGGCTGTGCAGGCTGGGACAGTGTTTGCCCTGGAAGCCCGTGTTTCCTGGGGGTCCGGAGCATCAGAGCTATGAGGCACTTTGGCTGTAGGACTCGCACCTGCGGCTTCAAGCTTCAAGCTTCGCCCCTGGGAATTGGTGGAGATCCAAAATCGGTCTAAAAACAGTATCCAGTCGATTTGATCGACTGATGATCGATACAAAGTTACAAACAAGGTATTAGAAGACTGCATAGGTATGAGAACCTCGGAATGAACTCGTCGCTACCACTCGGGCGGATACTGAGTGCAACGAAGGTCTGCTCTTCTCGCATCCTTTCATAAAACTTGAAGGTCGGTCCCTGGAAGGCTGTCTGCGCATCCTGCAATGTGCTCACAAAACGCCTTTCGTCCGCAGAAGAGCAAACACGCCACGGCAAGATGCAAAGAACAATGCATTGAAACGGTCCGGAAACCTCAATCTTTCTTGTTCGTGGGTACAATGCCACCCGTTAGCGTGTTTGGAAGCTCCTGCTCCCCGATGCTCGATAGCAAAGCTATCGATCCGCCCACGAGGACAATTAATGCAACTACAGTGCCCACTACCAACACAAACGGCCTGCCAGAAGACTTCGTCAGGAGAACAGAGATTGTGACCGTAATAGAGGATGATACTCACCCGCTCACGTCCTCCCGTTCGCACGCACTGCCCGCCCAGTACTCCGTCCGCCCCTTCACGTCCTTCGTCGAAGCACACGAGCACACGAAGCACGTTCGGCTGCCCTTGCTTGCCTGCACGCACTGGCCGTGTCCACTACACGCGTTCGTTGAGTTTCCGCACGCGTCGGCAGTGGTGTAGCACGTTGTGACCGCGTCGATCGGCTCCGCAGGGTGAACAATGGGCGGGGGAAGCGGGCTCTGCGGCGGTTGTTGCGCGACACTCGTGACCTGCCGTTTCATATCCAACACTGACGTAGGGGCTGTCACAAGCGCGAACTTGAGACCGCGAGACTGAAGAATGCCTTCAAGGGTGCTCTGGATGGTCTCCGAGGCGAGGCGGTACTGCTCGCTGTCTCGGCCATGTTCCGCAGCGATGGCGGAGAGGCCCCGGAGCTCGAGCGCAGCAAACTTGTCGTTCGGAATGTCGTTGGACTCGAGGAAATCAACAATGGCGGTCATTTCCGAGAGGAAAGTCTGCGAGGCGGAAGATGGGACAGAGAATATGTCGATGATCCGTGGCACGTCTTCGGGCAGACTTGGTTGGGCGAATACATGTGTGTATGCGTGGCGTGCCCGGTCAAGGTAGGTGGGCACAAGAGATGACAGGGAAGAAAGAGACGAAGAGGAGGAAAGAACGAATGATTCTTTGAGAGAGGATGGCACGGCATCTGCATGCACTACGTGAGCGCATGCGGAATGTTCTGCGAGATAATATACACATACCTTCGGCGTCCTCCTCCGGTATGCTCAGTAATAGAGCGCTACCCGATCCCCGCCCCACGAAAGCCTCCTGCTGAGCCACAGCGGCATACGATTCGGCGTCTTCCAGGGGCTCATAGTAGTCCAATCCAAGATGTCGAGCGAGTACAGCTCCTGCTTGACTTGCCGAGAGCTCAGCTGGCACAGACGGGTTGGGTGTGAGATATACCCGGACTGCCTGCGACAGTCCAGTAAGCAGTAGACAGACGAGCCCTCTCATGGCGGTTGAGGTTGAGCAACCCCGCGCGTTCCTGCCGCTGTAGAGCGCCGCCTCAATGTTACGTAAGCCTGAATTAGCGCCAGCTGCGCTTCATCCCGAATGATATTTCGGCAGACCGAGCAAAAGGAACAAACCATCCCTATACAAATGGGAGCCCTTAGAATCAGCTTTGCAACGTTCGATTTGAATACTCATATGGTGGAGGAAATTGATCCCAAATCAATATGACATCATATACTTGAAGCACTGTGGGCAAGATGATATAATCCCTTATTTGTACTTTTCTGTCTTGTACAAGTAGTACAAGAAGGGATAAAGTGCCTCATATATACCGCTAAGTATACCATATAACACTTGTCAAAGGCCAGTGTGTTGGAACAACCGGTGCGACGGCGCGGCGAGCGCGTTTGGTAAGGGACAATCGCGTAGCGTACATACATCGCGCGCGGTCGTTTTATACTACGAACGGGGCCTCCGGCCCCCGGCTACTTGCGCGCCCGAGCTTTCGAGCTCGTTCCTGACCACGCGGGTCAGCGCGTTTCAACACAGTGACGGGTGGGTTTTCAAAACGCAGCGATGCCGATTGACGTGTACAAGTACTACCACGTCAAGAGGCAAACTAGAGGCAAACCATTTGCTGTATTTGGTAATCACGCCCAGTCACGCTCGAAAAGTCCGAGTACTAGTCCATGAAGTCGTACTAATAATACATCGCCCAAGGCGACTATTATGATACAATCGGTCTAATGTTACAATGACAATCTAAGCCAAGTTTGCTCAAAGCTTCTTGACAAGGTTTGCCTCCTGAATTACAATGAAATAGGATCAGAGGGCAGGTCTGAAGCGGACAGAGCCCAGACATACCTGGTAAGTGGTGGACTTCCCCGTGTTGTCGTTCGTGATGGTGTAACGGGGAGCCTGGGCACATAGAACGCGTTCAGAAATGGCGAGATGACGATAGGGCATGCTAACTTACCCCGTCATCACCTTCGGAAACCGACTCGATAACGCCAGTGGAGTGTGTGACCTTGTCGCTGGCGCCTGTAGATGAAAGTGTGCAGTGCAGCCTCAAGTAGGCTTACGAAGACACTCACCACCGATGGGGCGGTACTCGACCTTGTCACCTTTCTGGGGGTAGGTCACTATATGCGCTCCATCTAAACAGCGACATGGATAAGACACACCTCGTAGCTGGAAGAAGGCATATCGATTTAAAGAGGCGAAGGGATTTTATGAACGGCGAGTGCAGTGTCAACAGGGGAGAAAGGCAGGTTCTAAGAGCCTCGGGACGCGTTCGCAGGGTTTATATACACGAAGGAGGCACCAAACCATGAATGTCGTCATTGCCACCTTGATGACGTCGAGACATCTGGCGCACGATCAGCCTGCGTTGAGAAGGACTTAGCATGAACGCTGGCGAAGCAGGAATGGCATATTGCAATACTTCGCCCTGTCCGATCTGGAAGGGTTGCAAAACAGAAGGCAGCTTGATGATCTGCGCATGCGTGTTATCCCGTATGTAATGATGGAATCTGCCGTCTTTGCTCGGTAATCCATGAGATTATCTGCAGCAGACAGATGGTGACTGCAAAGATGTAGCCGCTTCTTCCGAACCGAGAGCAAACACCGACGCTCGCAGTCACTTACTGTATCTGGTGTGTATGACATCACAGAAGCAAGCACAGCGAGCTCGATCGAAGCATGTTGGACACAATACGGCCCATCAAGATAATGGAAGCACGTCTTCGGCATCAGTACTGTATAAAGCAGTTCTTCTGTCAGATAGCTTCGCCGTGACCTCGATAGATCGTTCGGCTTCTACGAGACGTATGACTTCCTTTTACATACGTTCAGCATTGTTGCCGTCAAACTAGGAGTGCCTGAAAGAACTCACATGACACCGCTAACCTACGGCCGCCCTCCATATACCAGGCGACAACGATGAACCCGCTCTATACGCAGACGATGCATGCAAAGAGAACAGCCTACAAAGACACATGATACAAACGATACACAATTGGATGTAAAGAACACAGAAATGCCAAACAGCCCGTGCAGGAAGGAGAATAAACCAGAACTCAGAACCCTCGGGATCAAGAAGCCGGCGTGACGAGTCGTGGCGACCGAACGCAGACTACCCTTGATAGGCCCCGAAGAAGCGTGAGTTCTTCCGTGGCGGAGCGGCCGTCTTCCGGGCGAGTGCGGCCGACAGGGACAGGTTCGGCACCGCCGACACCTTCGGAGGAACGTTCAGCGGGGCTTCCTTGCTCTGGAACACCATCTTGACGGCGACCGCGCCGTCGGTAGACGCACACGCGCCGTCGTCCGTCCAGGCGCCTGCTGCTCCTGCTCAGGTGCGTCAGTCACGCGTGGCCAAATCGTACCAGGGCGAATGCCAAACCTCCAGGGGCACTTGCGTAGCTCCACCAATTCGCCGTCCAGAGATCTCCGCTGAGGGCGCATCAGTACATCGCACGTGACGAGGGAGGCGGTAAGTCACTTACTTGTAGACGACCTGATCGCCACCCACATACTGCTCCGAATGTGTCAGCACTATCCAGCCTCGGGTGCATTGGTGACTTACTGCAACGTTGGAGACCCAGGTGGCGACCCCGGCGCAGTCTCCAGACCCGGCCGATGTCGTCGTGGTCGCAGGCGCTGTTGTCGTTGTCGTTGTCAATGTCGATGACGTAGTTGTCGGAGTCGGGGTCGAAGTCGTGCTAGTGGTTGTAGGCGTAGTTGTCGACGCGCTCCCGTCTTCCGTGATCGAGTTCTTAACTTGCTCGTCGTAGCGGTCATTCGCTAAGAGGCGACATTTAAGCGCATGTTCGGCTCTCTGTGCGGCCTCGAATAAAGCGTACCATAGGCTTGGGAAGCGTCCCACAACATGACGCCGCCGAATGAGGAGTAATTGTTGCGCGTTTCGATAGCGATCTGACCGAGCGTCGCCGCATCAACGTACCCTGATCCGGCCGCTGCAGACGCAGCGGGCGCCCCGATGTAGACCTTGACACTAGGGTTGGGCGAGGTCTCCTTAGCCCAATTGTCCCTGAAGCGTCTTCTTATCAGTTCGATCCCAGCACAGGAGTAGTATGCACTCACCAGGTTGCGAAGTCCCAATCATTCGAGTCGTCAAAGTTCGTAAGCTCGCAATAGTTGTTGTCTAGGATCCATTGTGAGGGCGGAGCTGGTGTGTTAGAGAATGCAACTTACAGAATTGCACGTAGACCGCGTCGAACGGCTCAGCATCGATGACACTAATGCAGGGATTAACAATCACAAACATGCTCGTCAACTCTGGATTGATTACCTTCCGACATATGCATCAGGGAAGGGGCATTGAGGAGCAGCTGTTATGTAATAACTATGTTGATCATGAGCTTGGGCCGACCTCAGACGCCGGCGGACATCAGACTCACCTCTTGCTTCCCCCGTCCATCAAGGAGCGAAGAGAGGCCACAAAGTTGGAGTAGTAATCTGAGGAGCCCCCCTCAATGTCCAAGTCGATCCTATGCTAACGCATGAGAACAGCACGTAGGATCAGCATCCATCACATACCCATCAAGCACAGCGTCTCCGAACGGACGGATGCTGCTCGAGCCGCCAAGGAATAGATCCCAGATGGTATTCGCGAACCCCTCCGCCTGGCTCTCGTTGCTGAAGCCGATGGAGCCGCTCGCACCGCCGAGGCTGATGGTCACGATCTTCCCCGCGCTTTGGCACGTCTCTATGTCCGGTCCAAGGAAGCTGCAATCGGGCAGCTGCGTGCCCTCGAACACCGGGTCGCTCGACGTACTGCATGTCTGCAAAGGGGAGGCGATAAGCAGGGTGGTTAGTGGGTCGCATCAGGAGGGGGAGAGAGCGACGGACGTTGGCCAAGTCGATGGATGGCTCTCCACCCTCGCCAAAGAAGACGTTCAGGAAAGCGATAGGGATTGCGTCGATGATGTCATCCTGTGCGGTGGGGATGTTACGAGAATCAAGATCACGACGCATACGACAGACCTGACAATAGTAAGATATATTCTGCTGCCAACCAGACTCGGCGCCTCCGCTAGCCCCGTATGAGTCTTGGCCCCAGTAGCTGACGGACGATCATGAGTTCCCCTTAGTGTAGTGGATTTTGACAACTCACACAGCAAGCTACAATACGTATGTCTATCAGCGCCGTGGAAGACGGACAGCCTCGCATACACTCACATTGTCAGAACGGCTGTTATCGTAGGCCTTGGCCAAGAGGCGTGAACCCGAGAAAGAGAGGCCAAGAGCAAATGCCAGTAAGGATCGACCAAAACCCATGCTGAGATAGCGACGAGGACACTAGGCCGTCTGGACGTCGCAACGTCCCCGCGCGCATTCGGTTTTAAACGCAGAGACGGCGCTGCCAGGAACGCTGCGGCGCTCCTCCCACCAGACCAGGGGAAGAATCCATATGTTGCCATCCAAATCCGACCACTCAGTAAGCCCGATAAACCGCATTCATGCTTGGTCGTCTTTGTACTCCGGTATCTGTACTGTGATGACCCTTTCTATCAGAAGCGCTGACAGATATGAGTGAATGAACATGAACGAACAGGACTATGCGCCACGCTGCCCTCGTCTATTCTTAGATAGCACACGGCCTCACACTGCTAAGCCAGCAGCGGCATTTGTTCCGAACCTATATGTGCAACCCTCTGCCTGATCTGGCATATCTATTGCTTCTCGCTCCACTTGCGGCGGCCTTGAATATCGCAGAGTTGCCGACTGGGGCTGCTGTGTACATGCGTGCAGAAGCTACATGCGCGCATAGACTGAACAGGAAACATACCATGCGCTTCAGTACGCTATCATGCGAGCGGCGTGCCCATTCAACTTCCATGACTCACTTGTTTAGATACGTGAGGCATAAGTTCGGAAGCTCATACCGACATATCGGTATTGTTCTGGTTCATCAGCGATAAGCCGGAAGGAATCATTAAGGGCCGGCCTCGAATGTCGTGAGAAGCCACCCTGTAGGCGATGATATCGTCGTCAGTGCTCGGAATCATGAACGTGAAAACAGAGCTTGCCTCTTGAGTTAGGTGCTAGAACCGTACTGGGCAACTGCACCAGAATCTCAGTTGAGAACACAAAGCCTGTGAACGAAATCTGGAGACGCCCATGCCGTCGCCAAAACCAGAGACGCGCGAGTAAATGCAAGCAGCCGTCACAATGTTTGTTGAAAATCGCTGTAGAGAGGGAGCCTCGTTTGACTGAGACCAAACGTCGAGGAAGGAAGGCACGAGACACAATCCTTACAAGCGCCCGCAGGACATGGGCGTTTACGAAACACATCGGGGACTTCCGAAATGATCGATCGGCAACACTTCTATACAAGCAAGCGAGTCGGCCTTATGACCCACGACGAAGCCGACGCGAGGCTTCAATCTCAAGTCCGAGTTGTTCGGTGTGCCTGCGTTTGCTTGTTTTCTTCTCTACTGCTACAACGCTCTGATATGCAGTACTGCTTCTGAGACGGCACAATGAGCCCGAAGTAGTGTTGTCATTGCTGAATTTCGCAAAAGATCACACACGACGGAGTCACAACCAGTACGTAGCCCTTCCTGATCCTGACGCTCAAAAAAGGAGTTATAGGTACCTGAAGCGAGCTTGTCGGGACCGAAGTCGCAATGCGATTTGTGGCGCCGACTTCCGAGTGCATGCCATCCCTGACAACAGCTTGCGTGAGTTTGGTTCAGTGAGGACTCCCGGTCATCTGGGCTAAAACTTATGATTCTTGTCCTTGTTTCTGTCGTTGAAATGGAAGTTCAACGATTCTCTTTCCCGCCTCCGGTCGGTGGGCTAGAGCTCCTTTCATCTCTTACTCACTCTGTTGCTCTTGCGCCGTTGAACATAGCTAATGTGGAACTGCTCCGAAAACCTACGTATATACACTACTTGATACTTTCATAGTCCTCTTCATAAGCAAATGCCCTTTTATATGTGCGCACCTCGGGTTAATGCTTGATTTGAGACACTCGCTTGTAAACACCAGCGGTCGACTTGGAGCACAGAATTCCCTGGATCTCGTGGCCTTCTAGTATGTGATCATCACTCCGTTTAGATGAGTTCTTGCTCTGGCCCGCTCGCACGCTTGATTGCACTTCGTCTTCTGGTTTCATTATCATGCTCAGATGACTCAGATGCAATCACTTGTGAATGGAACCATTGATGTCACCCTGATCCTTATGATCACATGCTACAGCGACGCCCAGCAATTCCGATAGCTAGCAGGATCCTACTGTCCATAATGCCAGAGTTCACATGAGCCGTTGATTACGCTCGCGCACTGTCAGTGGGCGGCGTCCAGCTCGAAAGCCATTCCTTGATTGCAGCGAGACCTCTATTCTGGACCGCAGCAACAGTGGGATCCTGCGCATTCTGCGCGTAGTAATCCGAGCAGTGAAAACCGTCGCCGACAGCGATGGGCTGCATGGATGTGCTCGAGAAGTCCGTCCCGTCGGCGGAGACGGTTGCGTCGCGCCAAGGGTCGCCTAGCTGTGCGTTAGCATGCTCAATGCTGCGGGGGCACGAATGACTTACGCTTTCCATTCGCGAAGAACAAGCGGTCCGCCTGGACGAACCAGCCACCATATGCAGCGTTCGTAGCATCCACTCGAGGCGCAGTCGGAGCACTGAATGCCTCCGGGAAGTAGTACGTGCACTGTCGCTGAAGGGATATTCCATCATGTCAGGCGAGAGCATTAAACGTTTAGCACGCCACGTACCTCGATATAGGCAGGTGTGATCAGACGGGACACTATGGTAGGAACTCCCTCAGGAGCACCGTCCTGCAATAATCCCATTTCATTACATCTGTGCCATGCTAGATTGAGACGCATGCTTCAACGTGAGGAAGGAGCGCATACACTATCCACATCCAGGAGCGCTCCGCGTTATTGATATCGGTGTACACATAGCTAGTCGGATCGTATGTTCCCAGGCACTCGCTAGGAAGATATATGGTCAATCGCATAAGCGGGCGATGCTAAACACGTTGTACATACTCTGCAGGAGTCCCCGACCCGCATACTGGCGGCACGAGCCTGGGTCAATCTCCTAATTGTGCGTGATGCAACAAAAAACGCACATGCAGGATAAAAAATGTTCGCCCACCAAGATCCAAACACCTGCAATGCATGATCGAGTCCTTGTCCTTCGGCGCCGGCAGCGACGCCATCGACAACTTCTAATGCATCACAGAATGAATAGAAGTACCCATTGCTGAGATTACCGTGCAGGTCCTGCCAATAATAGAGCGATCTGGCCACTAGAATACGGGACCAGGACAGAAATAAGTTGATGTGGTAGTCACAATGAACTCACAGGCATAAGCGAAGTCGTCGAGATGTGTGAGGTCCATATTGAAGACCTCCTTGATCGTGCTGATTTGGGCAGCGTCGTTGGACGTGACTACTTCATCGATATACGAAATCACGGCCTGGACGTCCGCAGAGCAATTCTGCGGCATGAACTGCCTAACAATGTCAAAATATCCCCAATAGTCGCTGTGCGTGACTGTGAGCACCTAGGAAGATCAGACAAGATAGAGGGCGCACACAATGCTTTCCACAACCCCTGACGACGACCATGCGCTGTGAAAAACGTCTGGCTTGCTGCATTCCCAGCAAGGTGAGAGATTGTACAAGGTAAAAATTGCTCGTATCGCACTTACTTGACCTTAGGGAAGCTCGTCAGAGCACCGGCGTAGCTGCAGCCTGTCAGAATCCATGATGCATCGGCAGGCGTGACATTGTTGCCACCTGGCATAGCCAGTTCAACATTGTATGCAAAGTACTCCAGATCGTCGATAGCCTGCTGAATGGTGTGGTATCGGAGGCTTTCAGTAGAGAGGTCGATATAGGGATTGGAGTAACCATAGTAGCGATGCTCGAGGACAATTGTCGCTCCGTGCTGCTGCTGGGCAATCAATCCGTTGATGCTTTGGTCCGTCAAGAGAAATTCATAGCCTGACACGATGTGAGAATCCATTCTGAAACGCCCACGACAGACTAACCGTCAGCGTTCTCTTCTCCGGGAGTGGTCAAAATTATAGGACCGCCTGAACGTCATGGTTGAGTTGGCTCAGTAGGAATACGCAGGACTGAACCAAAACCATACCTGGCTCGTAGAATTCCCATGTATGCCAGTAGCGTTGCTGGAACGTACCGAGGCTAGGATTGTCGTGATCGATTAGTTAATCGAAGTAGTAAACTGTATTGTAAGGTGGAATCTCGGCGCCATTATGGTCCGTGACAGGCTCGGTGCTGGAGAACAGGATCTTGGGCACCACGGGCGGACGGGAGATATTTCCCTTCGACGTTCTACCGACAGCCGCAGCGCCTGTTGCTAACAAGAAGAAAGTGCCGACGAGCACCGGGGCGACCATGATAGAGCGACCAGATGGATGAAAGACAACACAAGAGGAATGCCTGGCGGTATATCTGCATGGTCGCCGGTGATTTTATACCACTTCGCAGACGAAGTGTTCACGTGGGGAAAATTGCTAGGGAACGTCCCTCAGGCCACAAGCAGCGCCCGATGGAGGTATCCTGCTTCCAGATACACAATGAGGCATAAAGTCAGGCGAACACAGCACTAGCATATCCGTAGTAGGCACAAAGAAGCACCATGAATCGGGCTAGAGGCGCGCGGCGCAGGCGCAGGCCCGTGCATTTTCAAATCCTCGTAATCCTAAATATAGAGTATCAACAAGTTCATCGAACGGTCTGAGCATCCGTAGGCACTCTCCTCGACGGTAAGGCAGTGCTTCGTGGAGCTGTCATCACGACCGACCGAGCACATCGACGGTGTTACATCGCAGGAGTCGCACTGATATCTTAGTGCCCGATGACAAGTGCACTTGCTCATGAGCACAGGATACGTCATTGTGATAGCGCGACACAACCAAGCCAGCATCTACCAACTATGGAAATGCACCTTCCGGAAGTGGTATGTCTGGACATACACGTGAGTTTGACAGAAGTTGAGCCATGTTCATACACAAACCCGAGACCAAGAACGGGGTCAGTTCAACACGTCTTTCTTGTCGTTGACCACCACTGGGATACCCTCCTCTCCTACCTTACTCGCTTGCGAAACCCGTCACTCATTATTTCGCCTATGCTTTTCCTACCATATCTCCTACCAGCGAGCATCTTCGCGTTCTTTGGTCTCTTCCCGGCGTTCTCACCCAATATACGAAATGCCTATCGCCTCGAGTTGAGTGATACAGCAGACAGGGTGAAATCGTATCTGGACGAGACAGGGTACGCTTCCCGCTATGCGATCAGAAAGCTCGGGTGAAGCTAAACTGATGGTGTTCGGTACCCTCGTGTGCAGCTTCGCGAGTCGACGCATTGATGGCTGGCTCGACAATGTTATCCTCCCCAAGCGAGTCGTGCTCACGCTGGATCCGCCGCCCCTGCCCGTCGAGGACTTCTCGCCGAACTTCTCGTCGATATCTCTTGTCTCCATCGTGAATCAACCGGAGGTAGTGCTGAACACCGACGTTGCACCTCTTTCGGAGCCTGAAGAATGCCCTCTTGCGCAATGGGAGTTCGAAGTGTTGGGCTACGCGATCAAGCTTCCCGATATTGATACGCTCATGTGTCGAAAGTGCATTGCCGCCGAGGTCGCGCTTGCGGCCACATGGGCTGTCCTCGTTGTACTGTTCCTGTTCTCGGTCATCCTCTCGTGCATACGGAGCTTCACACGTTGCAAGGCCTGCAACGCGAGAGCGCAACCTAAATGTAACATTGCCTCCAATCGGTCGCACGAAGGCTCACCTGTAAGTGTCAATTGGCCTCATTCGACCGACGTGTTTACTGTACGCCTAATGTAGGAATGCGACAAAACGTTGGTTGAAAACAGTAGCGACCTGGCGCGCCGCTTGTCAAGGCGAGGAGGGAAGGTCGCTGCATCGATGGCTCTCGCGGGGAAGACTGTGCATCCGCGCAGCGCGTGCGACGAGATTATCGACAGCAAACCAACACCGACAATATTGCAGGAGGCCTTCTGGATCAAGAGCTCTGGCGCTTCCAGAGCCGTGGTCAGTGATGCTGTCGTGCATTCTGCTGTCTGTAACCTGACATCCTATGAGATTGAGGGCCGACCGATTGGAGAGGGGTTCGATGCATCCAACGACTCTCCTACACCGTGCACTTGGGTGAGCCGCGTGACCTGGCTGCTGCGCGACGACTCACTTTTGTTCGTTTGAAAGGAAAACGGGAAACAAGAATGCTTGAACTCTGAGGGGCATAGAGCTTTCGAAATGCGTCGGCCGAGATCCCGAGTTTGGGATGAAGCAGAGCTCTCCCAGAGGCGTCAGGTTGTAGACGGGGTCAGTGAGGATGCAGGGCCTTATGTGCTGAAATCGCCATTTCAGACCGGCGAAGATGGATACTTCACCGACGATGACGACGAGGTCTTCGGAGGAGTAAGATCTTGAGCCAGAGTATCGCGGAGGCTTTCTGACTGATATGTTGGCTTACAGCGACGCTATTACCCGTGCGCCATACGTCCTCAGATTTCCAATGAGACAGTCAGCCTGCTGCGTTCGCATTTGGAACCAACTGTCGACCAAGGTCCTACTTTCCCGAAAGAGGAAGTTAGTCAATAAGCTGTCCGAGTCGGGCGTGCGTATCATTGATTCCTATTGGTCTGCAGGTCACCTTTGTTTCAGCCACGCCGTAGCCACGCTATCAATGTCACAAAACGGTGTGTCCTCGTCTACCTATAGTCGAAGAGGAAACATGAACTCATGAAATCTTGCCGACTTCGATTGAGAAAGGTCGATACGTCCGCTTACCCACTTGCTACCCTCCCTGGGCCAAATACACTGTAATATACCATTAGGCTTACTTTCATGCGTCAAAGACTGCTCCTTGCATATCAGTAGAATTGTTGCACCTTACCATTAGAGTTGTTGTTTGTATTGATGACGATGTTCCTCATTTCGTTGTGTAGCATTAGCCTGATCTGTATCAGAATAGACTTCTCTGTGCATCTTAACCTGGTTGCCACGAGTGGGTAGAGCATATTTTCCTGATGTGCAGAGTTCACTGAGCGATGACTGCTTCGTCGAAACGGAAGGGAGCGCAACGAGTTCACTTCTTAACGGCTTAAAATGGGATGGTCTTACGTAACCAAATAAGCATCAACAAACCTATTGCTTCTCGACTTCGCGCCACGGTCGCTGACCTGATTTCAATTTACGCCAATTCGCTGAGCTTGTGCTAATAGTATTTTCAGTATTTTCTGGCATAGTAGTTTCCTATCCCGGGTACAACATCTCGTGGTATTAACCAGTGTATGCCATTACTGAGATCACAGGGGAAAATGCCAGATGCTCCAATTTTTGAAGGACTGCGTCAAGGTCTCTAACAATGCGGACAGTCTCAGCATCTTTGGAAACAGTGGAAAGTCTGACACGCGTTGTTGTGGTTGGGATTCGCATGGACCGCATGACCGGAGAAAGAAGCGTTGGAACACAGTACTAGAAGTGCGTCCTTTTATCCGTAACTATGCCAACTCACAATTGCTCAAAACTTGGCCGCTTGAAACTTTGAACACTACGACACCTGTTGGGATTTGCTTCACCAATGAAGCATGCACTGCCACATCGCCGGCCGTGTGCAATGTGTCCAGAACAGTCGATGTCCACTCAAAATTGCTTCGCAAGCGGTGTGTCTTACGATTCGCATATTTGTCTCGATGATGTCTCGTGTTGGCGTAGCCTGGTTCTCATAGCCTGGCATCACTAGCCTTGAATTGTGGTGGAGGCCCGAGTCAGATGAACTATTTGCGGCTCGAACCTCGACGTGCTCGAGGTCTTGTGGGAGGAATTGCCTGCGCACGATTCCTATACGCGGATATAATGACTCATTTGCGATTGATATTTTCTTGGAGATTGGCTTACCAGACGGATTTGTCTTATGGTTGCTAGCAAAGTACTGATATTTCACGGGTTCCCGCGTTCAGGCTTGACATGTCGGAAGCTGTTTAGTCTGGACGCCTCGCATTCAGTGCCCCTTGCTTCTGCCTCATAAGGATAGCTGACTGAGGACCTATGTACTCTTCCATCATGTCCTGGGTGCGGCCGGTGGCGCCATCTCGCCGGTTTCTCCCCATTCGGACTGATATGCTGTATGTAGCTGTCCCTTGACGGCGTCTGCCAGAAAGCTAGCCCCCAATTTAGCTGTCACGTCACATCTCCCATCATGTTTGGCGTGCCTGGAAGTGGCGAGATCGGCGGCGTCCTACAGACTGCCTTTGCTTGGAACGTGCTGATCAATATGTGCGCGATTCCATCCGGAGTTTGACCTGACCAAATAAGTCACGTTGCGCTCCTCGGTCAGATTCGATCATACCGCAAACAATCCAATGTGTGCCCGTTCTGTCAACTGATAAGCTCCTTGTCCGTGCTTATCGGGGACAGCTCGCACTGTTATGGCTTGGTCGCGGAATTAATATGGCCGTTCTCAGAGTATCAGTGCGTATATAACCGTTCCGTTAGACAGTCTGGCGCTTATCCCCTCGAGGACGTTCACTCATAACCATCGACCTCTCATTGTTGCGCGAACACCCGGGGCCCCTTCTACTTCTCGTGTCACTGTGAGCGTCTCGGGATGATTTCGGCGTTAAGGACGTTCTCAGCTCACCTGGATCTGCACAGCGTTATATACAACTCGTCCTCAGAACCTATCATGCCACGCTCTGACACAGAGCCGAGGCTCCCACTGGAGATCTTTTGGCTCATTTTCGACACCCTCAGTGCGCAGGAGGATTACCACACGCTGACGGCCTGTATGCTCGTCTGCCGATTGTGGGGTAGCCACATCCGTAGAATGCTGCCCATCATGTTCATGTTGAGTGGGAAGCCACAGGTTGCTCGGCTTGGCAAGCATAAAGGTCAACGGTGGAAAGGGCCAGGGCAAGTTTTTCTGAGCGGCGGCAGCCAAGCCTCTAGCGGAGCCAAAACCATGTCCATCGCCCACATAGGGACATTCTCTGCAATGTTTGCGCGCCGGTGGACGCGAATCAAGCTCATCCGCATCGACAATGGCGAATGGAGTGCCGGAGATCTGCGCCCAGACGTTTTTCTGCACCTGTCTGCGTTCACCTCTGTCACTTCACTCGGTCTAGGTGTAGTGAACTTCTCTTCAGTCGTGTTCTTCGGCCGTCTGGTCCGCGCCCTTCCTAACCTGAAGTCGCTTCGATGCGAGGCGGTGTCCTTCACGAGTACCGAATTCGATCCTCGAGTATTTCTCAAGGATGCCCCACACGGCGGTGTCACACAACTCGAACTTCAGTTCAACAGCTTGTCTTTTGCCGATGCCACCAAGTCGCTAGCGACCATTCTTCCTCATGCCGTATCTTACGACCTCACTGTAGACTGCACAAATTCCTTCTACGTCAGTAACCAAGCGGCCGTACTTGCTGGCGTGCAAGGCCTCATCCAATCATCTGGCTCATCGCTACGGAAGCTCACGATGCAACTCACGTTGAAATCCGATAAAGGCTTGATTGGTGCGTGTGCCAAGCTCATCACCCCGTCGTTGATGCTAGATGACGAAATCGCCCTGTAGGAAGATATCTCAGCGTTTCCGACAACACACAGCTTCTGATATTGCAGCTCAGCTTGGACATATACAGCAAGGATACTGAGTATCACTGGCTGGCAACGTGCCTCTCTGAAGCCACCTCGCCTGCTATCGCAGCCGTGACCCTAGTGTTCAACCTTCACCTTCCAATGGATGCCAAAGAAATCCACGCGGCCATGTCGCGGTTGGTCGACCATTGTACATATATCAATACTGTTATGGAGCTCCCAATTTTCTCCAACATCCGGGAATTCCACATCACAGCAAAAATTGCCAATGTTGCAACGCTCAGCAGCACAGCGTATCCTGATGTGATACGCGCCAACTTCCCCAGCCTAGCCCGACGAGGCATCTTACGGTATGTTACATTTTCCTGTGGCTGTTCTATCGCTGACACCTAGACGTTTCTGCGGTACTTGTGGACTTTTAGTCTTCACCTGTGATCGCAACTCTACGTGTATATTTTATAGCAATTGTGAACAATGTATATGTTTTCAGTCCGGGAACAAGAGACGCTTGCCCCGAGCTTGTTGGAGAACCTGCACCAAGAGTTGCGTGTCCCCTTCGAAAAGGCGCTTATCTCACCATAAATATTCGTTACTTGAGTAGTCCTGATCCTAGTCGAGAATAAGCCCCTACTGAACAGTGTCCTTGACGTTTGCTTTAGGGAAGGAGGCAGTAACACGTACCCTTGGTGTGCCACTACCGGTCGATGTATTTCGCCCGCTCATAGGCGGTACCCGAATCCAGCTACAGCGAGACCACCTGCATGACGAAAGCGGACTCTCGTTTCAATGTAGATATTAAATTGCTGTTCTTAGACCATATGTCTTGAGACGCGCTTTCGCCCGCTGTCACGTCCAATGTGATTCTCACGTTCCACGGTGATCAATTCGGGACGCCCGACAAAACGACGAGTGATTGGCACAGCCGGGGCTGAGATCCAAAAGGCGGGGTATGATCGATGTGTGCCAATGAAGTTTAATCGCCCCCAATGCCATCCTGTCTTATCTGTGCAGCGGTTGCATCTGGCTGTGAGTAGATCTTTGTAAAGGAGCGTAGCCGCTTAGCCACATAGTTCCATTATGATTGGAATATTCTCACAAATGAATCACTGCTGATCATACTGCGAATGAGGGGCCGCAGCAGAATGATTTGGGTCTGGGCGCGTAGGGCCGCCGTGGGGCAAACCAGTGGCTCTAGTCTCCTGAGAGCAGACTGATAGACAATTCCTTCAACCTACGCCGGCTGCGGATATCCATGTCTGGCGTCTGCTTTCCAGCGCACTATGCACGGAGCTTGATAAATATATGGTTGAACGCATGCATTGCCACCAGAGGCGCCACTGATTCATGATATGATGTCGACCATGATCGCCTTCCCAAGATGCGGCCGCATACGAAAAGGGATATCCATACAACGCCCCGGGTTTCTCCTTGCGTGAATAGCGCTGACACCAGGAGCTCAAGATCCTCTTGAAGATTAGCAAACTCTCAGGTCCGGTCTTGAAATGTATACATAATCCCTCCGTAAAATGGTGGTATGCCACGAGGAGATTACGCAATGAATGACTCCTTGAACGTGGCGTCGCTATCGTGACATGCAAAATAGTTGCATTGGTTGGAGCAATACTGCATAGCTATCGATGGTTAATGCAATTATTTTCATGCACGATGTGCTATAAACAAGACATCAGGGACAGGCAAGTAGTGAGTCTGATGCGAGGGCCCGAAACTTGTGCCATTAAATATGACAGTTGTCGGCTGTGTGTCCCACGGTGACAATAGGAGAGGCAGGCGATGAAGACAATCCTCTGGTTCTCAATGCATAGCGTGCTGAACCCTGATGATGAGCGATGGCAATCTGACGCAATCATGTCAGAAAGCTCGATAAGTGATAGGCCACAAGAAGAGCGTACTTTTTATTGGTAGATATATACGTTGGGATGTTCAACATTGTATCGATTCCTTACATGATAGTCGCTGGAGAGGTACTTCAGCGGACGGCAACTGAGAGGCATCGTTGATGCGATGTGTCGTCAACGACAAGGATTATCGTATATTGTTGGGTTCGCGAAGGAGTAAGGATAACCGGCATGTCATAGGGTGCTATGAAAGCCATAGAGATAAGCAAGTGCGAATCTCAAGGCCAAGGATACACATGTCACCCATGAGAACAATCATCCGAGTCGATGAACCTAACAATAAGCGCTTGGAGGAACGCCATTGTGTCTTCGCTCAAACGACCGCGGCGAGATTGCAGCTGACTTCGGAGATTGGGCACTCACGTACATCCCGAGTAATTGAGACGCTGGCTCGACTACAGCTTCGGACGACAAACATATACCATCCCGATCAACGATGCATGCTCGGCTAACCACACAACTTCTATTGTGCCATGTCGCTTTGCATCGTGTATCCGAGCACGGTAGCACGGTGAAAACGCCCTGGCAAACCACATGTTCAACGTCTACGGTGTGTATCTTGCGGCATTTTGAAATGTGTCAGTCAGCTACAGTCCTAGATGATACCATGATATACGGAACTAACTCTATTTGTGATGTCTCTGTCCCTTCCACATCTGACTCCGATTGGCTCCCACCATCGCTCTCTACATCGTATAATTTGAGGGATAGCCTAGTGTAGAATGGATCAGATGGCACAACAATCGGGGCCCTCGGCACGCACAACAAAGCCCCTCGGGCACGCAACTTGGGAAACCGTGACATGAAGCCGTCTTGCCAACGCTTTCTGTCATCCTCGCCCATTCCGGAGTAACCATCCAGCTTTAATTCGAGGCGGTGGAAATTCGTAGGCTTAAGATGGGACAGACTAGCATCAATTCCCGAGCACGTCTCTTCGTTGAATAGTTCAGACGCCTTGACCAAGACATCGTCCTCGGCGTCGAAAGTTTCCAATGTGATCACTATGTCCTTCATGTGCGTCGAGATGATTGTGGAAAGTAACGCGGCAACCCAGGCGCAGCTGACTTCGTCCACGAGGCTGGGGATACATAGACTTAGTACTTCAAGATGCGCGTTACGGGCTAGATTTAAGTGCGATCCTGTGGTACGTGACTGACTTAGCCCTGGGCTTAACTCATGACCACTTATAGGAGCTCACCGACAATAGAGGTAGCAGACAACGCGTTAAGGTCTGCAGCGCCCACGGAAAAGAACAGGGTGCGCAGAGATTCACCACAGTGTTCGAGCAGCTCACCCACCGCAGACGTTCCGACGTCCGCGAGGTACAACCAGCTTTTGGAAACATCGTTTCCAATGTGCAGCTCTTCGATGTGCGCGCTGACCGATGCCATGACGAATAGATGGACGATATCTCTCATGACTGCTATGACCTGCGGATTCGCGACCTCCTTGTTCGTATCCTCCGGATCTTCGGCATCACGCAAGGTACGCAGTTCGAGCTTGACGGATGTGAGTTTCAAGGGAGAGAAACGCGGAGGAAGCAGGCGGTGGTCAAGGCCATGACTTTGCCACTCCACATCCCAACATTGCAGGTTGCGGAGAGCGGGCATAGCCAGTATGAGGTGCCCGAACTGATGGACAGAGGAGAACTCCACATCATACAGCGAGAGCGTGGTGAGGGCCGCGAACTCCGCAAGGCACATCCAAAAGCAGCCATCGATGATGGTTGCGCGGAACGAACAGTACTGGATGTGGAGGCGAGCGACCGCTGTCAGCCTCCGCGCCAGCATCAGCGGAAACGTAGCCAGACTTGGCGCGTGCCGCCGCCGCATCTCCCACTGATTATCAACCAGAATGCCTTTCACCAGGGGAGAGACGTGCGGGTTGGCTTTGAGCAGACGGAGGAAGCTGACCAACTGGGGCCGGTCGGTGAATGTGACGTTTCGCAGAAGATGAAACCGGCATCTGGCTAGCCATGCCTTGCATGTAAGTGCACAAGCTAGCAAGGCTTCACGGTCGGCTACGACCCAGGCGTCGTGGAAGCAATCGATAATGCGCTCGCAAGTCTCGACGGGGAGCGTCGTCGGTCGCAAATTGACAAGCATGGAAGACGAGCCTGGACGCGCATGCGCGGCTGTGTGCTGTGCACGCATGATGAGAGTGCTCTTGACGTGCAACGTTAAATGTTTGACTCACGGGAACAACCATGAGAGGTTCTAAGTCCTGTTCCCGTTTCTACGTGGAGCGGACGTAGATATTCCGGTGTCGGTTTCACTTCACCTGAATAAGAGGGCAATAGTTTCGTCCCACATCGAGCAGTTAAACGGCATCCGATTATGGCCCTTTATAAGGGTACTGTATTAGGCTTCCATTACTGCGGTGCCAGCCATGCAGATACCATGCAGGACACTAAGCGCCGCGTGACATGGCATGTCCAACATCAAGGGCCGTCCAATCGGGAAACAGCATGGATATTCCACCTGAACGACACATTTGACTGAACAGAACGTAGGCGAATCAGATTATACTATATGCATTGTATAGACGACAGCGTCAGGGTGGGATCAGCACACACAAATTTAATAAACTCGTGGGGATCGATCTCCTCGTACTTCTTCGGATTCACATCCTGTCGTGTCGTCTCGGCGACAGCGCGGTCGAAGTTGAACGACGCCTTCAGGCCGACGCGCTGCAGAACTCCGACATCAGCATACCAATTACACCTCGATCAATACAGTGTATCACATACCTCAAAGAAATCCTTGATCTGCCAATCCTCGCAGTTCTTCAGGTCCGTGCCTGTGTCACGAAGCGCAGCATAAGGTCTCTCCATTGCGATAGTTGCCGGGACTGATACGCGGAAAAATGAGTTGACATTTGTATGGGTACAGGTCGAACAAGCTCACTGAATCCTGTACACGGGTATATGGCAATCTTAAAACCCAAGCGCTTGCAGTCCTCGATCTTGTAATTACCCGTGAGGCCGTTCGGAAGGACATTGATCATGACAGGGTGCGGCGCCAGTGCTTGGACAAGTCTCTTGCCTTCTTCCATCGTCCGCGGACTCTCCATGAACGCGACGTCTGCTCCTGCAGCGAGCGCTGCCTTTAACCTGGCGTCCCCATCTGTGAATCAGGCTAGAATCTGCTGAGCAGGCTGCACACCTTTTTACACCTTCCTGGAATGCTTCCTCCCCTGCGTTTGGACCGCCAAACTGTGCAGCGTTACGTGCATCCGTCCGTGCGATGATGACGAAGTCGGGATTCTGGCGCGCCTTCACCGCCGCGACAATGCGTTCCAGGTATGTCTCCATGTCGACTACATCCTTTCCAGAAAGCTGGCCGCATCGTTTCGCTGTTCGGCGTGATGTAAAGTGAGACTATACGGGGGTTTGAATTACACATGAAGACGTACGGAATGTCTGATCTTCGATGTGACAGCCCGCCACACCCGCCGCCTCGTACAATGCGATGGTCCTGGCGACGTTGAGCGGTCCCCCCGAAACCGGTATCCGCGTCTGCAATGATGGGCACGGTGCTGATGCCAACAAACATGCGCGCCGTATTTGCTAGTTCAGCGCCAGTTATGACAGAGAGATCTGGCTCGCCAATGACGGAGCCAGACGCGCCGCTGCTCGCTAGATACAGTGCATCGAAACCAGCTGCATTCGCGACATGGGCGGAGACGCCGTCATATACTCCAGGTGCAATGATGCAGTCCTCTACGCAAGCGGTAAGCTGATCGAACGTGGATTATTCTAGCACTAGATACTGGCTTTCTTTAAGCAGTTGGCGCAGCTTACGAGGCATGTTTGCCTTATAGCCGATGGGGAGGTTGTTCGTCGTCATGATGTTTTCGAGTTCGCTTGGCAATAGTCAGGAAAGAAGGGTGATTTTTATAGAAAGAGGCAGCTAGATGAGGCATTTTGAAGTGCGCTCTGCTGGCCTGTAGCCGCATATATTGACGTCAAAGGCGCAAGCACCACCAACAAGTGGTGCCAGAATGATATCATAAGTCTGTCATGCCGAGTCCGTTGTACCCTGCCATATATTGCTTTGAGTTCTGGACAACAGATAGAGAAAACCAGAGCCAAAGCTGGAGCTAATGGTCGAAGGGCACCCCAGTCTTCGGCTTGCGAAGTGGACATGGGCGACAAAGTGCAAAGTATGTTGTTGGCGCACCTTGGCGCGCGCATCCGCTTAGCGCCCAAAGCCGCACCGGCGAATGCCGAAGCTAGCGCTCTCACATTCTTGTCGCTGCCGCCCAACGCAGTCATCAACGCCGTCGTCGCCCCTGTCGCCCTCAAGCCTCGCCCATTTCCGACATTGCAATGGTGAGTATCACAAGAACTGCTGGCGTGCTGGCGGCACAAGCTTTTTCTGCTCGTTTGCACCGTCTGGAAGGTGGATGCATGCTCCAGCTTCCAGATGTACCCAGAGTCCATTGGGTGCCGGTGACCTTTGGCTAGTTGCTTCGGTGCTGACACGCTATGCTCCTATAGGCCTCAACAGAACTCGCCGCTACGTATGCTGCCCTTATCCTCGCTGACGAGGGCATCGAGATCACTGTGAGCGATCCGCGAAACGCAGCACGCAAGGTACACTGACTAGACGTCCTGCAGTCGGACAAAATTGTCGCGCTGACATCAGCCGCGTCGATCGAGCTCGAGCCAATTTGGGCATCCCTCCTCGCGAAGGCACTCGAGGGAAAGAACGTAAAAGAACTCCTGACGAACGTCGGCTCTGGAGGCGGCGCACCCGCCGTCGGTGCACCATCGGCAGCGGCCGGCGGCGCAGCAGCAGCAGAGGCACCGAAGGAGGAGGAGAAGAAGGAAGAGGAGAAGGAGGAGTCAGACGACGACATGGTGCGTGTTGTGCTGCGATGTACGGTGTGCAGGTTACTAATGTGGATCTGGTTATCAGGGTTTCGGTCTGTTCGATTAGTCTCTGCATTTTTTCTCCTCTGTTATCCTACTGTAGCGCATCATGCAGCAACGCCATGCTCTCTACTATGTATTGCTTGCGCGTTCCGCGACACATCACACTCGGCATGCATTCACATGAACATTGTGTCACCCCACTTTGCCTTGCAGGTATTGTTGCGCAGTATTGTCCTATCGTGAAGTGCTCTGTCTGGCGATTGTGAACATCCCTTGGTGCTTGCCTGAACATTGTCTAGCGTCTACGTCTCAAAGAATTCTTATCACTTCACAGAAGTTTCCAACCGCTTCGCTGACTGCAGCTTGATTCATTTGAAAAGCAGGAGCGATGCCCTCACTTGTACACTATGGCGACCACCAAAGCTCTGCTTACCTCGCCTCCAGCCTATTCGCGGACTTGCGACTGCTGGTGCGTTTGGCGCGTTATTCTACTCTGCAGCAGCAGACATGGTAGTCTCCTGGAGACAGTGCGTGAATATTTACTTCAATCCCTTGCGGGCTCAGGATATACGTGTCTATAGCGTTCCTACAGAACGTGTACAAACTCGTGCCCAAGTTTTAAATTGATATGTCAAATCCACTTTTCAAGTACAGTATGTTTCATGCGGTATCTCTCCAATGTATCGGGGTTGATGCATACGTCAGTCTCACACAATGTAGCCAGATATCCTCGCTTTTCCGACGACTCCCGGTTCTTCATGCAGGACCAAACAATTCACGAGTTACATAGACCCATATATGGTCAAGATGTAGATGCTACTCTAGCACCAGTGTTCCGGACGCATAAGCGAGATCCAAGCACAAGAGGCCTCATCGCGGAATTTGCCAAGCCGAGGCCCCTACAAGGGGGTAACAAGGATCGACGGCAACTCTGGGGTCGCCCTGATCGACCATCTCAGTGCAACAACACAGATGCCGCTTGTGCACGGACCATGACCTTGTAAGGGCTTTCCCCTGGAAAAGCATAACCATGGGCAGGAGGACCTACGAACGTCATGACGAACGAATGCCGAACGTATACCCTACTGCTGGGTACTGCTGAGGGCGTGTGGCATGATAAATTCGCGACGTCGCGATGTCAATTTGCAAATCGTATTTTATAGGTAAGCTACGTGTACAGTTGTATAGTCTGAATGCGTTTACTTGATTCAAACTAGGCTCATTCCGTTTAGGAAGAGTGTCCGCGTGCGATGGACACACTCTGGATAGCTGTATTCTCGAGATTCATCATTGGAGTGGCATCGTTATACACACAACATCGTGATATAACGACCCGACAATGAACATCTAGTGTGTCCACGAATAGTCCAACACACAATGCTAAGCCTCCTAGCGGTATTTTTGTGATGTCAGCACCGACAGGTCCCAGCATGCGAGACGTCAGACGGTGTAATTCACAGTACCAGCGTGCTTCCAGTTGGCCACTAGCGTGTCGAAGTCAGTCGCACCCGGTCGGGATCTTCCTCTCCGCGGTCGGACGAAGTCATCTTTCCCCGCACATGCGAGGCCGCTGGACGCAGCACTGATGGCTAAATATAGGGCAACAGACATCGACAGGATCAGACATCCTCACATCGGTGATATGGACTTGCGTCTTCGTGGACCTTCCAGCAACGTCCTGGTAGAAACGGTCAAGCTCAAGATGTGATCGAAGAACATGCCAGCTACGGCGCATGGAGGACCTGCGATGACATCAGATACTCGCTCCTTACGACCACAGGTACTGGCGGCATGCGGTCAACAAGAAAGGAATGGTTTCTTGTGAGATCCACAAGACACTATGCAGGATCGTTGCCACTGATGTACGCGATGTTGACTACAAGCCAGACAAACGTTGAGGAGCGAGACAATGGTGCAGCATAGCGCGGCGAGTGGTAAGTGGAAGATGGCAAGGCCCATGTGTTTCGGCTGAGCAGAGCATCACGCACAGACCGCGATTGTTATACCCAATATGGTGCAGTCAGACACCAGCTTGGACCCGGTCAGCTGACCTTGTATACCACCACAATCGCGTCGCGTGGCGTTCATAAAGTCGGCGCGCCCTCTTGCTTTCCTGATTCTTGCGCCCATTGCAGGCCGCCCACGCACCCCTTGTAACGCGTCATTATTGTCCCAGTCCCCGTCCCCGCTGTCTTGCAGGATGGACGCGTCGCATGACCGCATCGTCGTCGCAGTCTACTTCGACGAACTTCATAATTGGGAAATGTACCAGGTGCAGTCGCCCTACATTCACGCACCACGGCCCCGCTTGCACACGGAGAGCTTCAGAACCATCCTTGAGGGCGAGTGGAGCATGGAGAAGTATTACAGCACGAGCTGCTCGAGCGAGATGGTCAGTGTGCGGTTAAGTACGTAAGTTACGACGGCACTGACCTATGGCGACAGACGACAAACGAGCACTCCGAGACTGTGCGTCCGGCTGAACAGTCCACACCGTGGACAGGAGAGAGCAGCGTGGAATGGAATCACGCGGCATTCCCCTACGAAGAGCAGTGGCGCCACGTCCAGAGGGAGATACAATACAGTGCTCTTTGCGGGACTCACAGCTACGATCAAAACGGGATACAGGAACACCGCTACGAAGGCTGTTGGAATGAGTATATCCGTCCCAATGGTCTTGTTACCTCTGACATTGACATGCACTCTCATCGCGGCGGAGTGCATCCTGTGGAATCCGGCGCAAGCCAGGTGGACGGATACTATACGCAAGAGGACCATCATCCGAACACAAATGTGGGGTGGTACCTACTTCCCACGAGAGATGGCTGGTACTACGGGGATGAGACACGCCGCCGTAGCGAACAAATGCAGTGGGCACAGTGTCGGCAGGAGATACGGAAGATAGAGAATGGCGGGGTCTACCAGGAGGGCCGACACCGAGCTGAATACCTTCAACGCGAGGTAGAGTGCGTACGCACGGCCGCCAGAGAGTGATCGGCACTGACTTCGTGTCAGCGCTATTTGCAGAGCGCAAGGGTGGATCTCCGAGGGCAATTCGCCTTCGGAGGTTGGCTGGTATCCGCTACCAGGAGGTGGGCGATACTGGGGAAACAAGGACCGACACCACGGCGAGGAGCCCCCGGTACAGTGTCAAGTGGAAGGTGCATGGGACAACGATGTGAAGAAAAGCTTCAACGATGCGCATTCGAGAGATACTACCCCTGACAACGAGCGGCAGCGGGAATTGATGTGCAACCAGGTGACGCTTGCTTGTGAAGATAATCACGAGCCTGTACCCTTCGTACAACACAGGATGTTCGAGCAAAGGACACCCTCAAGGCCTGTGCTAGGGCCTATGAAAGGGCTGGTGGACATTGTCAGAGCTCTGACGGGGCAGACACCCCTCGCGTCGGGTGAGGTGTGTTGCTCCATATGCAATAAAGTATACGACGTGAGCAGCATACTGCGGACTGTCACGAGGAGGGGCACATACCTGACGAGGAAGACATTCCGGAAGAGGAGGCGTCACGTATTCACTTAATTCCTAGCTTGAATGTACTGCACTGATGACTAGGGTCGATTGAGCCTTCCACAGAAGTCCGAATGAACAGCGTACTTGTAATAGCAAGCCCGCGTAACACAAAGCGCACCGATACCTGTCCATACACACGTCGACGGCGCTGCTTCCAGTCACGGTTTGGTCATCGCCTCCGTGATGGGTGTTGATTCCAGCGCACATTTTGTGAGCGTAGTAAACATTGAGTAAGTCGTGCTAGATCGTTTTGCGCTGGGCGCTTTTCCTCCTTCGACCACTATGTGAGAGTTCATTACTCAACCTTGCTCTTGTCTGTATCGCAAACAGCGTCTGCCACACCTCTATGAATCTGCTTACAATGCACTAGTCTCGTCCCTGTTGTCTCGTCCTGCCAACTTTGCTGATTACCGCCTTCCTAAACTGCGTCTGCTATTGCTCGTCCGATCGGACTCACTTCGGACGTGAAGCAGATGCCTTGGATAACGCTCGAAGATTCAAGGAGATTTGGATTGACTGCTCTGTTTTTGGAACTTCCACGACCTCTATCTTTACGATACATTGTGGAAGACTTGGTCTGGAGACCGCTGCCTCCGACACACCCGGCCGCAGTTGGTCTGGAGATGTCTTGTAAGCGCTGACAATCGGTCTGGAGACATGCCGCAGATGGTCTGGAGATGTGCCGCACCCTGTCTGGAGACCTGCCGACGCATGGCGGCCATGGCTTCCGTCTGCATGTCCGGCTTCGGGCACTTTGTTAGAACGCAGATTGCACACGTATGACAAAGCGTAAACATAGCTGGGGACCCTTGCGCCTGAGTACTCGAGAGCGCCTGCAGCAATATGCAGGTATAAATGATGTGGAACTTGTGCTCTCTTCTGCATCGCGAGCATCGCGAACGTCGCTCCATAACGCTACTAGGGGACACTACCCGAGCTTTGTACACCCTGTACGTGTTTAGAATCAAGACTCTGCTTCGCAGCTAACCCTCATATGCTGATCACTGCAGAGTCTACTATGTCTCAACCCGTCCCTGAAGCCGCATATATCAACGGCCACCACGAATCCGTACTGCGCTCGCACAACTGGCGCACCGTAGAGAACTCCGCTGCATATCTCCTGAAATCCATCCGCCCCGACATGCACGTCCTGGACGTCGGATGTGGCCCCGGGTCTATTACGATCGATTTTGCGCGCCTCGTCCCGCAAGGCCACGCTGTGGGTATCGAGAATACGTCCGATGTGCTTGCAGAGGCCCGTACATCTGCATCAGCTCAGGGCATCACGAATGTCGAGTTCCGCATCGGCGATGCGCTCGCGCTCGACTTCCCCGACGGTACATTTGACGTTGTGCATGCGCACCAGGTGCTGCAGCATGTCCCCGACCCGGTCCTTGTGCTGAGCGAGATGCGTCGCGTTACGAAGCCTGGCGGGTTCGTTGCCGTGCGCCAGGGCAACTTCGGGAACATGTCGTTTTTCCCGGAAGACCCGGTCCTAGATGAGTGGAAGGAGACACACATGGCTGTCACGCGTGCGCTCGGGGGTGAGCCGAGCGCGGGTTGCAGGCTGGTGTCGTGGGCGATGCAGGCAGGATTCCCGCGCGAGACAATCACGACGACGGCGAGCGCATGGTGCTACAGCACGCCCGAGGAGCGTGCTTGGTGGGGCAATTTGTGGGCAGACCGGGTGCAGTTGTCCGCATTTGCGACCAAGGCAGTCAAGGGTGGCTTTGCGACGCAAGAGAAATTGGACATGTTCTCGCAGGCGTTCCGCCAGTGGATGCAGCAGGAAGATGGCTGGTACGCGCTGCTGCACGGAGAGATCCTTTGCCGCGTTTGACCGCTGCTCGTAAGTCTCTGCTCTGCATAGCTTCGAATGAGTGCTCACAACTACCGTAGGAATACGTGAATCTTGTCAAACAGGATAGTGATTGTGCTGCTCAACCAGCATAGACGTGTATCCGAGATACGAGCACTAGGAATCATGTAAACAAGTCCGAGGCTGACTACTTGCCAATATGTATAATCTTGTACGAATGCGGCTTTCATTACGCTCTCACGGAGCGTTCTGATGTCTGAGATGCTCTCAGGGACTTGGTCCGGAGTACGATGTAGACCATGTCGACCGTGGCGCACAGAATCGATCTGGATTAACATTGTCCCCAAACTGTGGCCAGATCGACCGTGGAGAAATGGCAGCAGTCATTATGTACATGAGGCGTGCCCAATCTCGCGTGTGCTCATACGGTCAGAACTTCCATCCTCCCGTTAAGCCCATGACGTTCTCCGGATCCACCTGAGCCTTGATCGTCTGCAGAGCAAGTAGGTTGTCGCCGTACATACGCGGAATGGACGCATCGTAGATCGCGTAATTCGGGTAGAGCGACACATTCCCGACGTCTTGGCCTTCGCTGACGGCAACTTGTGTGAGGTAGCCTGCGCTGTCGAGCATCGCTTGGTGCATCAGGGCATCTTGGTCTGGCAGAGACCAAGCAAAGTAGATGTACATCGGCAGCAGGGCTTGTGCGCGACTGGGAGGCCAGGCAGAGTCGGACCCATGCGTGAACACACTGGGGAGGAAGGGCTCAACATCGTAGCTGATGAAGAGGCTCGGTACCTCAAGGGCTAGCGTGGACACCCAGAACTGCATGATTACTTCGGTTTTTCACATTGCAGATGATAGAACTGTGGTCACGAACATTTGTCTCATTCACAACAGCGCCTATATACGACGGAGTGATCTCCAGGAGGGAAACTGTGTGGAAGTATCCCCTGGATTACGGATGCAGTCAATCTATCATAACGACCCCAAATAAGGGGTTCACTAACCGTAGCCCATATGTGATATTGCTCGGGGCACTCAGGATAAGCGAGTAGTACGAGCGGGTTGAAATGTCTTGGGTGATCGCCGGAATAGCCAAGAATTCATCGAAGATCCCATCAGGCGGAGTGGGGCCATCGTAGAACATGCTAACCTCTCCGATACTCTGGTGCCGTTCGCGGGTTCAGTAAGGATAACACCGCCGTGAATGTCAAGGGCATCCGTTGACGTACTGCACCAAGATCGTAATTAAAGGAGGTAATGATGGCGGCCTTCGGATCCGTGACGTTAGCATAGAAGTTGGCTGTGGCGGCTGCCAATGCGTCAAACTCTCCAAGAGTAATGATTAGACCTCCCTGAAAGCAACGTCTCATTGCCCGCAGCGAGAGTGAATGATAAACCCTACCCAGACCGGGCCTTGCGTGTACGTCTTGAGCGTGAATTGTGTGACGATACCCTGTTGTTATGTTCAATTACGAACAGAGGAAGCATACTTGTATACAAAGCTCACAAAATTGTTGAAACCGCCCTAGGAACAGTCAGTTAGGCAGGTGTGATGATAATGGGCCTAACCCACTTTGAGAGCGAAGAAGAGATCCGGGTTCACAGTATCCGTGACAGTAGCCACAGTACCATTTGGTAGGACAAGCTCGAAGGCAGTAACAGTGTCAATGGTCAAACCATGCTGATTGGATAGGAAAGAGAATCCTTCAAAGACGCGGACCTTGAGCATGAATGTCGGGCATGCTGTCTAGATACTCACCACCACCGAGAGTGAAACCTCCAACGCCCACACCTGTTACCCGGCCACCAACCACAGAAACCCCGTAGGTTTCAAGAGCGGCGTAGACGTCGTCCCAGACCAACCCGGTACCAATGCTCGCCGTTTGCGCATCCGCGTTATAAGTGACGCCATTGAAACGTGCCATTGTAATTTGGATTCCAGCCGTGGAGGAGAATCCAGGGTTCGAGGCATGTCCTCCACCTTTGATCTGAGCGAGAATTTCATCAGCTCGACTTTGTGAACGTAATATGGAGGGGTCGTACTGCAAATGAGGTTTGAGTCTGTCCAAGTATTTGTAACTATACACGTCACTGTCTTAGAAAAGACTTTAGTCCCCCAACTCATGACACAGGTTTACTGACCACCACGCCGACGTCTTCGGTTATGCCTGGTTCTACAGAGCATACAGCGTTTTGGCTACTTGATGACATGTAATGCGCGATGTCTTCGTCGTAGTACCACTCGGCTAGACCTGCTCAGCAGTTATCACAACTGAGGAGCGCATAACTTGACTCACCGGGATAGAAGACCGCGGAAGCGGGAGACAGCGCATTCGCAATTTCTGTGCATACGCTGAGTGTGTCCCTCGCGCGTAAGCTTTTAGCTGCGCCATAGGTGACGACTGTTAGCACAGAGTAAACAAGCACACTGGCGGTGAACATCGTGCCGCTGTTAAAAACCTTGTGTCCTTGAAACACGGGTCTGAGACCAGCAAGTGAGCTGTGTGGCGGCCAATTATCACCTGCAGCAGACTTGAGTTCGCACGAAACACGGATAGCCATTTGAAGTCTTGACGATCTCGCCTCCTGAAGAAGAACAGCTGCCCTAGCAGAAGATCAAGACCACATGGACCATCGGCGAAACAATGGCCCAGTGGCGTCCTTACGTATGGAAATAGACATCATAGCAGCAGCCGTTGCTAGTCATGGGAAGAGGAGAATTTGCGAATGATGAATTCCTGGACATACGTATACAATTGAAATGACTTTCAAGGTCGCGCTATTGAGCCATTCGGATTGCCGGCCTGTGTGGTTGCATTCTGTGATAAGTACCTCACTCCATTCGTCAGCCAAACCCTTCCACAAAACATCTTATGTCTCACCCATCAAGCGTTGTGAATCCGTGAGAACGCAGAACACCCTGTTGCCAGCGGAACCAATTTAGATCCTGTCAACAAAATAACACCGAAGTATCCTTGCAGGCCTCGCCACTAAGTGGGGCTACTCTGATATCTGACTTCCAGCCTCGGAGTCGCACCTCTCGGGATAGCGATGGGAATGGGGTGATGCCTTGCTTGCTTGTGCAGCGGTAGGGACGGAGTGAGTTACCAAAACGCGCCCCAAACTCGAGGGGTCGAGCTGTACAATGCCTGGTGAGAGACTTACGGCACGGTTACATGTGATAGTCAAAGAAGCCCTTCGACACCATTCGCGGCGCGGCAGCTGACGCTGTTTGCGGTAGCGAATGCAGCCCGCTCCGTACTCCTATATTTGCGAGCGCTCGGGAAGTATGACTTAGTCTTCGAGCAAGAACAGTCTTCACAGCGCAATCTCATGTACATGTACCGTCATCGTACGAGGATCGGTGAAAATGCTGCGTTGCTAACACTGCGATCATGTGACTTTTGCCTCGCGAGAGCAACTGTGGACAATGTCACAATGGACGGTGTGTATGAGTATGCAGGAGCAGCGGCACGACACCTTGCAGCGCTCATAGCAACTGGTCAGCCGTCAAAGCATACTGGGCAACGTGATACGGGAGCTCACCTGACTAGTTTACGGATGTCTAGAATGAGTCTCGCATATGCATTAACGCTGTGTCCAAAACCATGTCTTCTCGGGGAGGCGTTAGCCTATACTGGGGTCTGCCGAGCGCTTAGTTGATTGTTCGCAATGAAGCGCGCGCGTTGACCGTTTTTCTCGATGGCCAACAACCAGCTTGAGTGGACGTGGCATTCAGGTGGCGTTCCGATCATCATTTCGTCGCAATGGGCATGGACCGTCACATAGCGCGGATCTGCGCACGATTAGCGTAAGCCACCTCTGTCAAAGCGTTGGCGCCCCCGCCTAAGCGCTGTGAGCAAGCACCGGCCCAAAACGTTAGTGGCTGAGGAACATCGAGGCATGGGCCCGCTTTCATCAAAAGCCACATAGGGGAGAGGTTATAAGACCGAGCGCAAGGCAGGGTGAGGACCTCTGCATACCCCACCCGCGCCTGTCATGGATTTAGCCTTCATCGTCGCCGACTTCCAGCCAGAATCGTACACCCTCGCCGACTTCCAGCCAGAATCGTACACCCTCGCCGACTTCCAGCCAGAATCGTACACCCTCGCCGGGCGCGCCTTGGAAGAAATTGACACGGTCGAGAAGGACTACATCTTGGCGATTCTTAACGGAGACCAGCCATACCCGACGAGCAAATCCACTCTTGCCGACACCCGGGGCGTCAAAACGAGAGCGTTCTTCGAGAAGCTACAAAACCTCGACTTCGAAATTACCCAGAATCAAAGAAGGCTGCGCGTCATCATCCATACCCAGCTACAGTCTCAGGCCAGGGCGCGGGAGTTACCTTCGGAAGGTGGCAACCAACTCTGTGCCCCGCACTCGACGGCCGTGCGTCAGCAATGTGAGCGGATACTCAAGAAGTGCATCCCACAGCGAGCGTCGCTCATCGTGAAATACGTGAATGAGATGGACGCACTCACATGGGTAGAGACGGAGCAAGACGAGTGGCAATGGCAGTGGAACGGACCATGGTTGCAGGAATGGAGCGTGGCACGTCCGAACGACGATGCGAACACGGCGAAATATGCCTATCGCGATTATGTGCTGAAGCTGGTCCTTGAAGTCGTGAACAATATGCGCAATTTTCTGGACGACCCAAGCAATTTTGATCCTAAATGGCAAAGTCCGACGGACCTAGAGAGCCGGTACGCAGGCCTGGTGGATATAGCGGGGTGTAGATTCAACGATTTGTTGAAGCAGGCTCGGCTACCGACGCAAGGGGTACCGGAAACTCAACACCCATGTTTTACTTTGTCGTGTTTATCATGGTACGTTACATCGGAGGATGTTTTGGGAGGCTAGACAAAATAATCATGTATCTATTCAAATTCTCTTCACTCACATTCCGGCACAAGTCAGACATAAATGCACGCTGTGAAGCTGAAAAGTATCAGCAGAGTAGGCCCCCCCTCTGTGACTTGAGCGACATCCACTTCGTCTTACGATGAGAAATCCGTGGAGTAGTGTAGACTTGTGACATGTATAAAGACTTCTTGAAGAGGTAGGAGCGGGCAAACCGTTGACGATGCGTGAGCGTAGTGTTCGAATCCCACAAGTGGGATCTATCTTCATGACCTGGCGCGGATTGTAGCCAGCCCCTTACGGCACTTTCCGGTTCACGTGAATCGCGTTCGAATCCAAAAGTTGCTTTTCACGAGCGCGTTGCGACGTTATACATGAGAATATCCTAGGCTGGGAGAACGCTCTATGTGTACTAATTATGTTTAATAGCATTTCTGCTGAATCTTGTTTATGTGGGACTACTGTAGGCCCCAAATGCGCCTATAATTGCCTGTCTGAAGAGGTTTCGATAGGAAAGTGGAGTTACAGTAGAGAACATATCTTTGATACACCAATCACTGGAACACAATGAAGGTCAAGGTCGATACTGAAGGCAGAAATTTGCAGTCGCGATTTCCCGGTCGTGTGTGGGTTATAAACTGTTGTGTGCTTTGCGGCATGTTGATCGAAGGTTTACGTGTGTTGTTCCATCGGCTGGGCCACATCACGCCCACGCGATCACGCCCAATTAGGACGCGCTTTGTCCCGCCACTCACCGTGCCCTTTGTCCATCGCCACCACCACCAGCGAGACGCTTTGAACCAAATAAAGCTTATAAGGACCGTCCACGCGTTCGTATCTCCTATCGCACGCCTTCGTCCACCTATCACCCGCCTCGCGCTCGCCAAAGATGATGCAGCCACCCGCCAACCCCGCCGAGGACGCTATGGCTACTGACCTCCCCGCAGGCGAGACCCAGTCGACGCAGCAGGAGACACAACCGGCGTCGCAGACGGTGAACATCCTTGAGGAGCATCTCTGGGGTTGTCTCCTGCCGTGCAGCCCGCTCTGCAGGCGCGTCGACTTCCAGAAGATCAAGCGCACGTATCTGATTGGGCGCAACGAGGAGCAGCGGCCAGGCGGCAACGACATCATCCTTCCAGGAAAGAAGATCAGTGAGTGATGTGTATCTTACGCGTGTGCGACGATTCTGACTGTATGGGCCGCGTCGCGCGCGGTGTGGCGCAGGCAACTATCACTGCCAGATCCAATGGGACGGCCGTGAGGAGAGGCAAGCTGCAGTTCGCGTGACGGATACGTCGAGTAACGGTACTTTTGTGCGTACATGGCGATCGCCTCGGCCACGTCGTGTATTATACTGACAAGGACGCGCAGATCAACGGGATCAGGATCGGCAAGGGCAGGAGCATGCTTGTTTATGAGGGCAACGAGATCGCGTTCGGGACGGCGCAGCAACAGGATAACCCGGCTGAAGACTACAGTGCGTACTATCGTCGGCGCGCGCTCGCACGCGTACTGAAATCACACAGGATTCGTATACCGGCACATGGCCGCGGGCACGCCGCCAACGGGGTTGCACGCGCACTACCAGATGCACCAGGAGCTTGGCAAGGGTTCGTTCGCGACTGTGCTGAAGGCGATGCACCGTGAGGATGGAGAATGGTTCGCCATCAAAGTCATGCAACGCAATCGCCTGCGCAGCCCCGTGGGGAACTCGACAGCAGGCTCGCCAAGCTTCGCACGCGAGATCTCGATTCTCGAAGAGCTGCAGCATCCGAATATCTGCCAGCTCAAGGAAGTCTTTTACGAAGACCACACCGTCAGTAAGTGCAACGTGGTCTACTCCAGCGTGTTAGGATGAAAAGGCTCAATCTGCGGCGTAGACCTGGTGCTCGAATACATCGACGGAGGTGATTTGCTCGACTACATCGTCAGGAGAGGATATCTGAGTATGTCGCCTCTATATGAACACGCGCTCACAAGCTTATCCTGCTACAGCTGAACCCCAGGCCCAATACCTCACATACCAGATCTGCGATGCATTAGCTGTGAGTCGCATATCTCCACCATGCGTTGACCTCCATCCACTAAACTCATTACACATAGTACATCCACTCCAAAAACATCGCCCACCGTGATCTCAAGCCTGAGAACGTGCTACTCACGTCGACAAATCCACCGCAAGTCAAGGTCGCGGACTTCGGTCTTGCTAAGGCCGTGGATAGTCTGACAATGCTTCGCGTAAGTCATGATCGATCACCTAGATGCGTGCTAACGCGAAATGATCTCATAAGACAATGTGCGGAACGCCTTGCTATCTCGCACCCGAAGTAGTGCTGCAAGAAAGCAACAACGGCTACGATCAAATCGTCGACAGCTGGAGCGTCGGCGTTATTGTGTTCTCTATGTAAGATGCCATACTCTACACAGCGGCTCGAGGTCTCACAAGTTGCTGTCCACGGCGAGCAGGCTCACCGGTAACAATCCGTTCTTTGACGATGATCAGGAGATGCACATCAAAGAGCGCGTGCGTACACGTGCTGTGGACTGGAACACGCTGCGCCAATACGCGCCTCAAGGTGCGACCATTTCATGTGTGATTGACTTGACTAATTGATATCGCTTTCTGTTGACAGCCGAGAAATTCGTTTCCCGCTTGCTTGAAAACGACCCGGCGATCAGGATGACTGCTTCCGAAGCGCGCCTGCACCCATGGTTGTCTGAGCAGCATTATGCAGCACGCGGAAACGAGCGCGACCGTACGGCCTCTCCGGGGCTTGATGTTGGATCCTTCGACGCCTCGATGGTATCCAACGTCTCTGATGATATGGCTCTCGACGAGGCTGGCACGGACGGCGAGGCTGGTGTTCCTGCTGCTAATGCAGACGCCGGATACGCTCCAATGGACTCGCAGCCGGAGCTGCAGCCGCTACAAGCGACGGGTTCGCAGCCGGGGGACATCCCGGGCGCGTTTCCGCACAGCCAGAACGGGCTCGTACGCCAGAGCTCGCGACTACAGCGGCGCGCGCAGGTGATCCTGTCACAGCAGGCAGAGGAGCCAGTCGAGTCGTCCGATGACGAGCAGCCTGGGCGCAAGCGTAAGGCGCTCTTCGAAAGCTCCCTATCGACGATGGAGGAAGAGAATGAGGAAGGAGCGGCCGGGCCATCAAATGTGCAAGGCGGTACGGATGCTGGTGAGAAGAAGGCGAGGGGCGCAGCGCGTCGGCGGCGGGTCCTCAGAATGAAGAGTGTGGTTGCTGAGGGCGCTGGGTCTGTGCGGGCTGTCAGGAGATCCTCGCGCATCAACCCATCGCCAGCAAAGGTTGGTCGCAGGGGTTGAAGAGCGCTCTGAGTGTTCAAATTGTATTGACTGGCTAATCTCATATTCTGCTCGATCTATCTTGGTTTTGCTTTCATGCTCTCATAGAACACATGTACTATCACAGGTCATCTATGTGTATCAGTATATATCCTTGGCATTTATACACGTTGGTTTCATTATGCTACGGCCTGAACAAGAACAGTAAGCTTGTGGATGAAAATTTGAGATATTGACCAGGGAGAAAATCTAGGAGTCAAGGATGTAATGTGGCAGTATGCTCGCTAGTGCTCGCGGTCTCGGTGATTTTGGTCTCCCTCAATCGGACTCGCTGCTTGGAACTCTGCGGATATTCGCAAGTCATCTTTCTTTTCAAGCATTGCCTTGAACAGGCACTGGTCAGTACTTATGTCGAAGCACCAGATTGTAAACCATTAACTTACTTGCATGCCTTGTCCCCTGGGACTGGTCCGCCACACGCGATTTTACGCTTGCGACAGAAGACACAAGCGAGGGCCGTTGTACGTTTGAACGGTCGCTTATGATTCGGCATCTCAGGAAGAGCGCCGCTTTGGGTGCCAATAGGCTCCGCAGTTTTAACCGAATAGACGGTGTACTGCCTATTGGCACTGTTGATTGATGCCACCGCTTCGTGGCCCGTTGCGACATGCATATAGGAAGCCGAGAACATTTCTGGGGAGTAGTACTCCGAGCCTTGGGAGCAAAACTCGAGGGAGTGCGAGTCAGCAGATAGCTCTTGTTGAAACTTTGAGCAAACCTGGGTTAATTATATCTTAGAGGCGGTAGCCAGAATGTTGCTCACCAGCCGCTCTGGGGTATAAAGTACGTTGAGATCTTGGAGCTCAGGGTACGGGTTGCTAGTTGGCTCCCAGTATATCTGCATTCCATACTCATACTCGAGAGGTACGGCCTGCAGCATTGCTAAATAGTCCAAGTCGAAATCCATGACATCCTGCTCCGATGACATCCTGGGCCAGAAAATGGCAGAGGCTATATGTGAACTTTGTGAAAGGTGAGATAGTAATAAGAGCGTGCCAACGGAGGAACTCGTCCCTATTAGTTACCAACGCCTAAAATCATCTCGTTGATCAGAATGAGAACATTGTTCTTCAAAGAAGATGATTGAGGCATACCACCTCGATGGCCTGAGGTGAGTCAACACGCCCACGTATGGTCATACGAGGGCCAACATACCGGGTTGTGTCCTCTGCTAAGCTTCTATCCTCTATTTGTCCTCTTGAAGCTTGCTTCCTGCTCACAGCAGCCCCATCTGTACACGGTGTCAGCCAGACAAGTCAGGATTTTGCAAGTGTGTCACTCTGCCCGAACTACGCGACCTTGCGGCAGTAATCAGTACAGTACATTCAAGCTGGGGATTCAGTGTGTACGTGACGCCTCCTCTTCCGGAATGTCTTCCTCGTCAGGTATGTGCCCTTCCTCGTAACAGCCTGCAGTGTGCCGCTTACTTCATATACTTTATTGCATATGGAGCAACACACCTCACCTGGCGCAAGGGGTGTCTGCCCCGTCAGAGCTCTGACAATGTCCACCAGCCCTCTTATAAGTCCCAGCACAGGTCTTGAGCGTGTCCTTTGCTCGAAGATCCTGTGTTGTACGAAGTGTGCCGGCTCTTGATTATCTTCAAAAGCAAGTGACTTCTGGATATAAGTATCTTCGGTTACCATTCTGGCATGAGCGTACCATGTTTATTCGCTTCGAATGATCTTTATGACTCCTTCCTGCTTGGACCCGATCAAGAGTCTCGAGCCTGTTCTGCTTCCCACCTTTGGCCGCTTCATTGGCGCCTTTCCCACCCTTGAACGCTCTGTTGCACAGAGGTGGCCTTCTATCCCAACAGCGGCGCGCGAGCCAGCTCGAAGTACGGCGAACGCTTGAAATTGTCATAGGCAAGCATGGTTCCGAACAGCAAGCCATCACACAACGGCTTCTCTGTGTTCCGACCCTGTGTCCGAGAGCCGGTAGTACCACTGGCAGCAGTGTCGTCAAATATGTCAACTTCGAACTATATCATTGCATAATAGCAATGCGACTAATAATGTTGGAAATTGGATGTGGGAATGTCACCTCGCGCACCATTGGGATCGATGGATCGACGCCGCTGAAGGTTGATGGATGTATATCGCTTCTCCTGCGTATGCTGCGTGAGCCGGGATCGCAGCTGCAGGCAGTATTTTCAGTCTTGCTGAAAGTGTAAATCTCGAGACCCTTCACCTCAACCTCGGAGATGCAGAGGCTGACTGTACGTACGATTCAATTCACAGATTCGTATCTCAAGCCACAGCGACACGCAGTCAGCCCTCTGACACCTCTTCGACTTCGATTAGCTCGACTCTACGTATCTTTCGACAATTTGAGGGTCCAGGACTACCCTCGGATTCACAGAATCCTCTTATCATCTCCTTGTGAAAGTTTGGAGGATGTGAGCATTTCTGTCCGACACTCTCTATCCCAGCTGCGAAACGAAGAGGTACTTACCCAAGACTGTCGAGACCTGTTTTCCAACGTTGAATGACAGCAAAATTTCAAGGTATCATGTGTTCATGATCATCGTCCTAACGCCGCGCTGACTCTTGAGGAGCAAATCCTAGTTTTTCTGCCATTAACATAATGGGGTCGCAGAAGCCAAATAGACAGGTCCTTACAGATGAGCTTTGTCCATTTTGCAGTGAAAGAGCGCAAGTAGTAAAAGCCCAAACCCGCGCCACGGCAATAATGAGGAAATCATCTTCGCACATCCACGTAATTTAGCTCCCCCAAGTCTCATGGATTACTACAACGCGTATGTGAACTCATACAGTATGGAATGACTATTCTACCTATAATATTCGCAACACGGCGGACGCACGCACATCACTCACAACCAGAAGTCATGCGCTATACATATGCTGCGTCAGGCTGCACGGGAAAGAATATCATAGAGTTCGCGCTTGTCATGCTCATCAAGACTGGTGAGAAAGTTACTTTGTAATCAGCGAAGGCCTTTTGGTACATGGACTGGAAGGCTTACTCGAAGTCATCATCCGCAATACGCCTGCGGTGCTTACCCTTACCCTTCTTCTGCTCCTTCTTCTTCTTCTTGTTCTCCTCGTGGGAGCTTCGGTTGAACGGTCAGATCGGGCATTTGTAGAAGCACAGCCTTGAAACTCACTGGATGTGACTGAGCGCTTCGATACCGTCCTTTGCAATGCTGAACCAACCGAGCGCTTCACTGCCCTGGGGCACTGTACGAGCAGCGAGTTCTTCGAAGACATCACGAGAGAAGATGTCGGCAATCTCGCGCTTGCCATGTTCGTCATGTTCGCCTGGGCTGAGAACAGTAATAAATCAATGGAAATTGGTCAATTGTATATACACGCGACTCACTCATAGCGGCGGTGGTGCTTGCCCTTCTTCTTCTGCTGTTTTTGTTTCTTCTTCTTCTTGTTCTCCTCGTGTGAGCTGTACATAAATCATGAGCTACTGTATATCCATGCTGCGTAGTATCTGATACGTACTGGACATGATCCAGCACCTTGAGGCCATCCTCTGCAATGCTGAACCAGCCAAACGCTTCGCTACCTTGGTCCACAGCGCGGGCGGCAATACCTTCGAGCATAGCTTCGCGCGCGATGAGGTCAGCGTAGCTCGTCGATTCACGAGGGTAATTCTGAGAGCTAGCAATGATCTCCGATCAACGTATCGCACGGAGCAAAGGCACATTAAGCACGTACTTGAAAGGGGCGGCTATCGCGGGCATGGCTGCCGCGGACAAGGCAAGGACAATAACAGCAGAAGAGCGCATGTTGATCTACGAGAAGGATAAAAGATACGATAGGTGCTTCGGGGCGGGTTTCAGAATACAAGGTCGTAGAAGTCGTCACAGCAGTATTCGTGAATGGAGGCACACAAGGAATGTACAAGAATCAGGCTGTAATCGCGACATCAGTTGTGGTCGGCTTCTCCCATAACCCTCAGCAGAAAAGGACTTACCAACCAGTACCGATTCTTGGGCTCGAACGACGACGACGGGAGGAGCTGGAGGATAAGTGCACACCTAAGGGGTTTATATAGGCCCAGAGTGATTACTATCAGGCGGCGCGCCCCGGCTAATGTTGATGCGAAGCCCGAGTCTGTGATCTTGGGCGCATCCTCATTCTCTTCTTGGAAGCGTCTGGGCCGCAGAAGGCACAGCAATACCATCCAATTGCGACGCCACCGCAATACTTTGATGGATGGCATGGACAACTCGCCTCCCATGTTTGTGCTACGTAGGGTGTGCAAAACAAAAGGAGGACTTAGGCGCATGCTGTCACTTTCAAATTGTACCTCTCGCGACCAGGTTTCAAAGCTTCGCTCGACTAATCGTGTTTGGGTCAAACTAGGCGCCTAGGATGTGAACCAGACCAATGCATGTCGGAGATGGGGTCCAGAGTCGCCCGAAATTGATGGTGTGAATGCTAAAGATAGGGTGCACGGATCATGACTTGCAGATCATGTGGCGCAAGTCGTCTAGTCGATACACGTCATCAACTGCGCTGGCTGCTGGCGACCATCTGAACCATGATCACTTGTACGGGTGACGGCAGTTATCTCAACTATAGCAGTCATTGACGCATTTGCCGCTGCTGTCTGGAGGTAAGTTTTTCTTAGCTGTGGGTTTCGAGGAACCTCACTGACGCAGAATGCGTCATCATGTGTGCTGCGGTAGATAACATAGTTTCAGTCTTCCCTGCTCTGCATGAATTGTCTGGCTGCCAGATGGTTGTACACCCAATCTCTTAGTCGGTCCGATCTCTGTTCTGTATAGCACAAAGACACCGGCTCACCAGATTACTCTGTCTCTATCCGTGCACATCTCAGCAATACTGTCCTACGGCTTATCCGGTCCTGTATTCTGTGGGTGCGTCGCCAGACCATAAAGCTATGATCTTATTTACAGAACTGACTCCCGGTGACGATGCAGGCTCTATAACAGGTTTCTACACCGTAACCACTACAAGCACGTTGATTTTGATGGCACTTCGGTGGTGCATTTGTGTCCGCCTACGACAACATGCACCTCCAGCACGGCAAACGTCTCTTACGGACGAGGGCGCTTCATCGAAACTTAACACTCGGTATGGAGTCTGCACGTAAATATCTGCCAAACTTACGCTCACATCTTCTAGCCGCCACTTGAGGTTGCCAGCGATTCCTATCGAGATCTGGTGGCTCGTCATCGACTTCCTCGACGGCGAGTATGATACTCTCTTGTCTTGCTCGATGGTGTGCCGAGCACGGAGCGACAAATGTCAAGAGTTGCTCCCGGATTTTATTGTATTCACAAATAGACAAGACGTAGCGCGTGCCGGAAGACAACGAGCGATGCGCTGGCGAGGGCCAAAGCGCGTGCAGGTTGCCCGGGGGCCCATCGCCAAGCGAGCGCGGTCCAATTCCCCATTCGACCACGTTCGTTACGATGCTCGTGGGCAGGTGGACCACAGTAAATCGATGGCCATCGAGAATGCGACATGGCGCACTGACGACATGCACTCAAGCGTCTTCTTGCACCTCTCCGGATAGTCCTCCATCACCGCGCTCCGGCTGCAAGATATCATTCTCCCATCTCCTACAGCCTTCTGTCGCCTCGTATCTGCTCTCCCGAGTCTGCGCGTGCTGGCGTGCGTCGACGCGACATTCGCAAACCATCGATCTGATCCCCATCTACTTCCGAAGCTCGCATAAACCATGTCCTTAAATTGGATCCACTTGTCCCAATTCTTTACTTGACATGGTTGAATCACTCTTGACCACCAAAATCATCAAGAGATTGGACTGCCTCAGCCTTGATCTGGGACTTGGTTTCGCCATACACGATGACCAGAGTCGAGCCGCACAAGACCTTATACATGCCGCAGGAACGTCACTCCGCAGCCTACGTCTAAACATGGCGCTGAAAGAGCTGTGGGATCACCCGTCTCACCCATTGCACAAGGGCGCGTCTTTTCTCGGTTCCGGTTTCGATTCGTCGCTGAAGGACAGACAGGGACATTGATCGATATTCGTGCAGATTCTGGGCTCGAAGAACTGTACCTTACCCTCTGCCATCACAAGGAACGCATTGCATTTACCCCTAACCTCGACTTCCTACTTTCCTTTGCCTCTCCTTGCCTCATGAAACTTACCGTCGAATTCAGACTACTTTGGGCAAGCACTGCAGCGGATGTCTCGTCAGGGATAACAAAACTTGATTCGCAGTTCTGCAAACAACTAAACGAGCTCCTTGGGTTCCCTGCTTTTGGTAGTCTTCAAGAAGTTCGGCTCAGCGTGTGCCCTGATTCGTCTGTCTCCATAAATCGAATGCAGTACGCGAATCTGCTGGAGCTCTGCCTTCACAACGCGAAACAACGCGGGATTGCAGGGTGAGTTATGATGCTTGTGATCTTCAATTGTCATGCTGATACAAGAGAGCACATGCTCTGCTATGGTGCCTTGTAGTGTTACCGTCGCGTCCTTGTTGACGTATCATTCTACCTCGTAAGAGATCGAGTCACAGGCCTACCAACGTGAGAAGCACGCCTATAAATGGAATCTAAGAGACAACAGGTGTGTATATATGTCCAACAATCATTAATGAGGCAGTACAACATGTCAATATAGGCGCCAAGACTCTGCCCCGGCAGTGATTTCGTCTTCCACTGATCACTACACAGCACTAAACCTATGATTGAATATGACTTACTCATAACGGACAACGGAGGCTATGAGTGGTACGCATTGCGTGTGGTCCGTTACCTTCTCTGTAGTAGTGCCCGATGTCAGGATCTGTCTGAACGACATCTGATACTGCCGCATCCTCGTGAGACCTGTTCGGGGAAGTCCAATCCGAACGTACTGTCGAGAAAAAGCTCGATTTTTGTGAAGCCCTCCATCCCGGCGGATGTGCTGCCTTTATGAGCATACCAGAGCAGGGCGGGTGGGTTTCAAGTGGTGCACAACAGAGATCTCGACGACGCACTAGTTGTGCGAACACAGTGTGGTCTGGTTGTGACCGGTGATTCAAAGTCTGTTCAAGTCGGACGTAAGCGGCCGAGAAAGGGTTGATGGGCTCCGCCTCCCTCGCAGTTGCACTTGAGAAGAACTCAATGATAGTCTTGATCGTTTACAAGGCTAATGCGAATGCCATATCATCAGTCTGCATTGCATCGAGGGCATTGGTTCACCGCAGATTTCATCAGTGGGGCACTGCAGTGCTGGGATTTCATACTGTTGATGTGTACATGTTTGCATTTAGTAGGTCTGACAGGTGGTCGACGTAAGAGCGTCGACAAGATCAGGTGGCAGTGCGATAGCGATGATGTTGTGCATCTGTTGCAGATGTGTTCCTGGCGCCTATCGCTGCATGTGTATTTAAAGGCAGCGCTATGCGCACATATCCGCAGCTCCTCCGAGTTGACCTCCGCACGAGCCCCAAAAGTTGGTACTGGTTGGTGAGTATGCCAGTTTCTTAAGGTGACCAATGACTGATTGTGCGCAATATGCAGCCTAACTTTGTCACGATCTCTACGCATTTCCTGTTGACGACCCCCATCTACTATCGTTGCTATTTCAGCCGTTTTCGCCTTCCTCTCATATATTAGTTACCTGAATTGCCCAGCAATATGCGTGTGTCTGCTGTCCTTGCCTGTGTTCTTGCTGCCATTGCCATGCCCGCGATGGCCTACTCGTGAGTTTTGAAATCACATGTCTAACTCTTTCCAGTATGCTCACAGACGGCTTGTTGTGGTAGGAGCGACGACTTGTACGCTCGTGACGGGGGCCATCATGCATTTGACGACCACCACCGCCTGGGCCACTATTCCCATCACGACTATCGCCCGATGCATTACGAGGGCCCGCACTACCACCACTCGTCGCACCACCATGAGCGTCCGCACCACCTCTCGCACTTCCACGAGGACCACCATCCGACGCACGGATATCACGGACACTTCCAACGTCCGCACCACCACTACGGCGACATTCACCGTCCCTCGCACCACTATAAGGGATATGGACGTCGCCCGCACCGTCATGCTCAGAACACGCATCACTACTCTGGCCACTACCGATATGAGCGTAGTGACCCTTGCAGCAACTCCGAGGCGCTGCGGGCATTGGTTGCTCAGTCCGGACTGGACCCGTCCACAGTGTGAGCATATTCTTCTGTACAGGATGCCGATGGAAATTAATTATATTCCAGGGTAACGTGCAAGACTTAAGTCGTGTGCTTAAGAAGAGAAAGAGCGAAGAGATCAAGATTGCTAGATTTAAGCCGACATGTAGTTTGTTTCGTCATTTATCACCCAAATGTGATGGTCTTGTGAGGAGCTCACCAATCATTTGTCTGCGCGTGGGTATACGAGAAAAGCCATATCGCTCAAGGTGGAATATTCGGTCCACTGATTTTCTGCTTCTGCCAGTGCCCTCAGGCGGACAACCGGCTAGCATACTGCAGTATAGTTCGTGAGCAGGCGCGCTCTCAAGTACAGAATTGAGATATCATCGGTGGCCAGCACAATCATGCTACCTGTGGCTAGAGCATAGGTGCATCTGATGACGACAAATGCGGGCGCGACCAAGGAAGATGGACGCGGACGTGTCGGGCATGTCGTCCTTCGGAGTGAAGTGACACATTCCGCAGGCGTTGTCCACTTACATGGTAACATGCCAGAGCCAAATGCGTCGAGCAGGAACTAGAATGCCTTCAGAGATAGTGCCCCAGGACATGCCTCGGATGTGTATGCAACATCGACGGAAGCACCTACGAGTTGTGGTTTCACAGAAATTCATTAGGCGGACTTATGGGATCAGCTAAATGTACATCAAAAGCAAAGGACAAATGGCATCGGTAGCGCTATACTAAAGGGTCAATGTCCGGATCATAACCAGGGACTTTCTGATGAGCTGACGAAGATCGACATGTGGGATAGCGTCTCACCAAACCAATATCAGGCACGTAGACCCGGCTCACCAAGGACCGCCTCGACGTCACGAGTCATCGAGAAGTCGCCTTCTTCCAAAAACGATGGGTGGTTGTCCATCTCAGTTTTCCCGCCGCTTCCGCCCTCGAGGGTCGGACTGGTCGTAGTATGTGATGCGTCGTATTCGAGTTGGTTGGGGTCGTCAAGCTCGATGTCTGTGTTTGAGTCCTCGCTGGGCGCGCGAAACGCGATGTCGAGCATCCCACCGAGGTCTCCAACAACCCTCGAGGCGAAGCTGGAGAACGAAGGTGCGGAGGTGCCCGTGCTATCGTCCGTGCTGGACAGTCGCCGGAGGTCGAGGAAGAAGCGGCACAGGACCAGGGTGTTGATTCTGTAACAGGTCATCTAAGTTAGGAACATCGGGGAAAGCGCGCGGACGATGCGCACAGTTCTACAGGTTGTGTTAAGTCGAACGACTCCTGGTGACAATATCAGTTGGTAGACATTCGAGTGGAGCAACATGCTTGCCTGCGTGAAGAAATACGATGCCACGTCCAACGCGTTGAGTGCAAGCACAAGCCTGCCGGACAGTAAGATCCATCGCTCGCTCAATCGTGACCTGACCTTACGCAAAGTGGATAGTTCCTGCATTCTATGTTGAGTCCAGGGGAGAGTCGGTTGTGAGGCCAAATCTCACCGTCTCTGAACAGTGAGGCAGCGAGCGACACCCTGATGTTGCTCCTCGCCAAGAGAGCCCTCGTAACGCGCGTGGCATGCCATGTTGCAGCCAGGACGAGCAGGTTTAAGGCGATCACACACGCTCGTGTGAAGAGCAATACTGTCCGAATGACGCTCGCCGTCAGAATCCGACGTGGGGCGCGGAGGTGGCTGTCTTACGTCTTTGTTTACTGTGGTCAGCACGATGCCTGTACTCGGGTTAGGCTGACAACAGGCGACCCACTTATTGTATGCGAATCCAATGGTTGTTGTGCCAATGTAGCAGTAACCGCCAGCATCACTTATCTGTATTTGCGAAGCGTAGTACTGTGCCTTCTCAGTAACGGATTGTCTTGGACGCCGCACAACTCACCGTGTTCGTGGCCACTGGCACAAGGCCCAGCATCATTATAATGACTGCCATAGGCCACTGATTGCCCTGGATAGCATACACGCGGATCGCCGCAAATGCTGTTGGTTGTTATCAGCATACTCGATCACGCCTTGACAGACTAACCGGAGCCCCACCTGCTTGAACGAGATACATGCAGCATAAAGCCACGTAGGACAAGATGCCAACAATGTAAGCACTGAATATAACGGATGGAGGCATTGTCAGCTGCAGCTGGACTCCCGGCTAGATATGCGTGTGGCCTACCCCTGTGCATCACAGTCAGAAATTGAGGATCCGATCCTAGCATTCAACCACGAATCACGAACGTACCTCGCAAGATATTATGATGTCATCTGCGATGTTCGCTATGGCATTCAACAAGCTCGTATAGCGGAGAGCCAAGTAAATGACGCCGGCACCAGTGATTTTGCGCTCCCAGACTACTTGTCGCTCTTGATCAAGGGTTATGAAGCAATCGTAGATGAAGACGCCTTGTACAGATGTAGTTAGCAAGATACACCCTCGTGGAAAGTCTATAATAGTCACAGGTCGCAGCAATCTGGATGTAGCTGTCGATGACGCTGTCGCCCGTGAGATAGATGCACGAATCAGACACTCGTCGAAGCGAGATACAGACGTGAGCTCACGAATACCGGTAGCTTTGAATGTATTCCGACACAGCATCAGCGGCAGACATCCTCGATAGTTGCCTCGGTTCGTGACGGATATCGAGGAGTGGACACTCCGCAGGCAATGAACTTATATGCACTGCAGGTAGGACGTCGTCAAACACCCTGCGCGCATCATGACAGAGATTAGCCCAATGAATAGGAACGTACTAGCCCGTCGGAAGATCGGCTCGTGTGTTATTTATTTGACAGCGATGATAGCGCTCGCAGGCTCTGACAGAATCAGCAACTTAAGTACGTTGGCGAAGTCCCTCAGGGCGATCCGACATTTACGAATAGCATAGCCATGTTCGCGCAAATTGATTGAATTGTGCAGGATGCCATTCTAAGGAAAGAGCTCCCATAGTTGAGAGCGAGGGGTTGATGAACGACTCCCATCATTTCTGCAATCACCAGGGTCCAGATAGGCACATCACGGCGGACGCACATCTCGCGGCCGCCACAGCAGCCAGTCGGGCGCCGCCCTAAAACCTGCAGGGCTAATACCGTTCCGTATGAACGGCGTGGAGCCCGCTTGTAGGAGCCGCCTGAGGCTCGGTTACACTCTATATGTACCTACGTTGTATGGAGTCTAAACCCGAGGATTAAAAGCAATGCGGACGTCAACCCATATCATCAGACCTGGTAAACACGCCAAGCAACGACTGGAAGCAAGAAGTGATGTGTGGCACGGCGGTGCGTGAGAGAGGATCTGCATCCGAATTTAGCCACTGGGCGATCACATTGCTCACGCGCGGCTGGGATGCGCTGAGGCGGATGGCGGATGGGGCGGACGCGGTGTTGCGCCTCCGTCGGCACTCTCGAGGCTTGCAGCGAGATACCCCACTCCCTCACAGCGGTGGTCTGACGAACCGACGGCGGCTCCAACCTTTCCACGCTATTCGACCCGGCGTTCGCCTGGCCGAACACGCCGTTTTGATGACTCTCATCCGCCCTCGACCGACTGCGCAGCACCTGTTGCTGGCCGCCCTGAGCAGCTGGCCTGGCCCATTCTCTGGCCTCTCTTTCGCTCACCATGGTCCATATCCTCCCGTTATCGCTCGCGCTACTATGCCTGTTCGCCCTCTCGCAAGACGTCTGCGCTATCCCCCACCGCTCGCCGTTGCTACACCAGACGGTCGCTCTTTCCCGCAAACGAATCCAAGGCCACGCGCCTCACGACATCGATGAGTTGAAGAGGCAGAAGCTGGCATTGGAGGCAAAGTATGGCATCGGCCACGCGAAGAACCAGAGGCGGGCGAGCGGCATGAACTTGTGAGTCTTCATCCATCCCGCAGCAAGAGCCTATGCGCAGTCCGCTGAGCGATGTTCTTGCAGGCTCACAAATCAGGGTGCGGACACTGGGTGCGTTCCTTCCACTTCCCGGGCGTCTCGATGGTTCGTTCTCTAACCATTCATCTAGCTTCTTTGGCTCTCTAGCAGTCGGCACGCCGCCAGTATCTTTCGACGTCATCTTAGACACGGGCTCGTCGTACGTCGTCCAGCGCTGATCCATGCTTATGCTAACCACCACACCATGCAGGGACCTCTGGCTCGCCACAGACAGCACCACTTCCTCCTTCCTTTCTGGCTTCCCGTCCGGGATCGCGACCTACGTCCCGTCCGCCTCCTCCACCTTCCACAGCCTCAACACCACGTTCTCCATCACCTACGGGTCCGGGGCGGCGGCGGGCGCGCTCGCGCAGGACACGGTGCGCTTCGCGGGGTTCGCGCACCCGAACCAGACTTTCGCGACGGTCGACCAGATCACGTCGAGCGTGCTGACCGCGCCCGTCGCGGGCCTGCTCGGGCTCGCGTGGCAGCCGCTCGCGCAGTCGGGCGCGATGCCGCTGTGGGAGACGCTGGCGAACGGGAGCGCGCTGAGCGAGCCCGTGTTCGCGGTCCAGCTGACACGCTTCCGGAACGCGACGAGCTCGAACAGCCTGGAGCCGGGCGGGACGTTTACGCTTGGGGGGACGAATGCGAGCTTGTATGAGGGCGCGATCGACTGGCAGGGCATCCCGGGCGGCAAGGCGACGTACTGGCTGCAGGAGCTGACTGGTGCGTGTCACGCGCATTATGCCTGCTTTATGCTGACTGGGTGCATGGCCACAGGGCTTACGATGCAAGGTAATGAGGTCGCACTGCCGCTGGGGCCGGCGTCGTATGCCGCCATCGACACGGGCACGACGCTGGTTGCAGGCCCAGAGGATGCTATTGCTGCGCTCTACGACCAGATCCCTGGCAGCGCGCCCGGCACGGGCGACCTTTCGTCATTCTACACGTATCGTGCGTATACTTGTACAACTCTGATCTGACTCGGCTGCCTGACTGCCACACAGCGTGCTCGACGGACATCTCGCTTACGCTCCGCTTTGGCAACAGCAACGTGGACTGGCCAGTGTCCGCGGGGGATTTTGCGTTTGCGACGACGTCCGAGGACGGCGAGACATGCCTTGGCGCGTTCGTCGCGACGGACACGACTGGTACAACAGCCCCTCCATGGATCCTCGGCGACACGTTCCTTGTGCGTAGCCTCTCTCATCCTCATACGAATATCTTACTCATGTCTACATTAACGACCTTCTGCTGTGCACAGAAAAATGTCTATTCCGTCTTCCGCTACTCGCCGCCGTCTGTGGGCTTCGCGCAGCTGTCGCGCGAAGCGCTAGCGATGAACGGGGTGAACGGCCCCCCGCCGAGTCCGACGATTGGCTCTGTGTCTGTGTTCGCGAGCGCGACGGCTGTACAAACCGGCGCGCGGAAGAGTGGCGCCGTGTGTGCGAGGAACGCAGATGCGGGGATGCTTGTGATAGGAATGATGGGCGCAGTCTTAGTGGGAGGGCTGCTCTCGTTGTGAGTTGTGAGCTGCCGCGACTGCTGCACGGTCAGCCTGGTCATTCTGCTATGTATTTGATGTTACGACTGTGATGTTTAACGGAAACGGACGACCAGTGGCGAGTGCTGTCGCGGAGACCTGTCGTGTTGCACGGCTGTCGACCGGCGGTGTGACACGGATGTAGGTACAGTACGTGCTTGATAATGTACAATCTTTGATATTGCCTTTCACTGTGTAATCGCTCTGCTGCGTGCGCGTGCGCCTCACCCTTCACACGTCATCCGGTCCGAGCATCAGCTTGGGCGGGACAACCTCGATCCAGTAGCTGCACGAGAAACACGGCAGGTCAGGTCAGCCAGTTCGCATTGTTCGCGTCCAGGATGGACGGGCCGCGGGGGACTCACCCGTCGGGGTCGAGGATGAACGCGATGTCCTTCATGCTTCCGTCGGTGAGCTTCTTCTTGAAGGGCACGCCGAGGCGCTCGAAGCGCGCGCAGGCGGCGGCGACGTCGGGCACGGTGATCGCGATGTGGCCGAAGCCCTTGCCGGGGTCGGTGTTGCCGGACGCGTAGCCGGCGAAGGACGCGTCGGACTCGGTGCCGTGGTTGTGCGTCAGCTCGAGCACGCCTGGGGGGAGGGTCGGTCAGGCGACGTTTTCTGGCGGGTTGGCGGGTAGGGACGCACCTTCGCGCGCGAAGCGCGAGTCCTTGAGGGCTTGAGGCGTCATCTTCCCGCCGGAGTGGTCGTACGCGAGGAAGTAGAGCGTGAAGCTCTCGAACTTGTAGTCTGGCGGAAGGCCGCGTCCGGGTCGATCGCCGCACACGCAGGTAAACGGAGAGATGACGCACGGGAGAGCAGGGTCATGCCCAGGACCTGTCACGCATTGAGCATAATATCGCTGCTGAGGGGAGGAGGAGAGCGCACCTCGGTATAGAATTTGACAGACACCTGGGGATCCTTGACACGGACCATAGTGTGGTTGAACTATAGTTACAAAAACCCGGTCTGGTCAGTTTGTGCCCGTGCTGAATGAGTTCCATGCTGGGGCGCGCACCTGGAAGCCTGCAGTCTCTGCGTTCGCCATGATTGAGATGTCGACTTGGTGGTGCGGAGGAAGGCGTCGTGAGACGGAGGACGGCGAGACGGAGGACGGCGAGACGGAGGACGGCGAGACGGAGGACGGCTAGACGGGCACGGCTCGGACCCGGAGATAAACGCGATGATGCAATGCGATCGATCCCGATAGCAGTGTCGATCATATGCACCACCCGTGTGTCCTGTACGTTATCGTGCTTCCCGAACCAGGAAACAATGAGCAGTATCGTATACGCAATATGATACTCAATGGGGCCAGGGGAGATCATACAATACTTCGAAGCAGCTTGGTGGGACACGACGGCATCCATGACGATGTACAGAACCACTTATATTGCAATGTATCATCCTTCCAGCCAAATACACCTCGAGGCGCGTAGTCTATCTCATATCTTACATTTTCGACTTCGACACTCTTGTCACGGCCATCCTTCCGTATACACAAGTTTCGGACCTGATCTTCTTCAGGACTTTGCGTCGGTGGACTCACGGGTAGTAGCCTTTGACGATCTCTACCCAGTAGCTGTATAGCGGGCTATCAGGACTGAAGTCTACTGTGCCAGAGCACCACTAACCCATCGGGGTCCAGGATGAACGCAATGTGCCGCATCTTGCCGTCGCTGGGACGCTTCTGGAACTTCACGCCCAGCCGCTCGAAGCGCTCGCACGCCTTCTCAACGTCGTCGACCGCAAGAGCGATGTGGCCAAACCCACGGCCGGGCTCGCTGTTGCCAGACGCGTAGCCCTTGAAGTCGGGGTCCGACTCTGTACCATGGTTGTGCGTAAGTTCAAGGACACCCTCCCGCCCGAAACGCGTCGTCCCGTCGGTGACCTCGTTGCCGTAGTTGAACACGAGGAAGTACAGTGTAAAGGTCTCGTGGACTGTCTCTGAGGCAAGTATGAGTACAATTGATATTTCCTGGACGCATATAGGAATGCGTACTGTCAGCGAGATCCATACCAAGGACCTAGGTAAATCGCCAGTCAGCTCAAGATACCGCTGCTCGGCATCAGGGGCGACATACCTCGGTATAGAACTTTAGCGACGCCTCCGGGTCACGCACACGAAGCATCGTGTGGTTGAACTAGAGTGGCCGATGAGTTCCTTATCCTATAGTACTATTTTACGCGCATATATTCACTTTGAAGCTCGCAGTCTCAGCGGTGCGCGGCATCTTGGCAATCGGACTGCAAGAAGAGCGTCTTTGCGACTGGAAGACACACGGTGCGTGCTGGAGACGGGCGGGAAGCCTGGCGCGAATTGTCAGAGGAGTAAGCCTGAGGATAGCGTTCGTGGTCAAGCGCATACCAGGAGCGGATGCGCGGAGGACCGCATCGCCGTGCAAGTGACCACGGTCAATGCCGCAAATACAATGCATCCGATTCCGAGCCCGACATTGAAGACGCGTGACGCGACGCAGCATGACGCGTCGGGCGTGACCGTGCAAATACGCGCACACACGGACGCGCCCAGTCTGTTGAACACCACACGTGAGCACCCCTTATCGTTCTCTGCTCCGCCCACCATCTTGCGCGCCCTTGCTTTCGTTCTCACTGCCGACGATGCTGTCCCAGACGCTCTCCGCGTCGCCGTCGCCGCCCCGCGCGCTGCCGCTCAAGTTCCGCCGCAAAAGCCTCACCGCGTCGGACGTGGACCCCCTCGACGTACCTTTTTCTTCGCAGTCTCCCTCCCACAGTTCTGCATACTCCCCGCCGCATAGTGCCTCATACTCGTCCTCGTCATATCGTGGCTATCCCTACTCATCTGCGTGCGACAGCTCCTCGGTGTCTGCGTCTTCTTCCCCCTTCACGCCCAGCGTCGTTCTCGCCAGTTCTCCCACCGAGCGCGCGCACATCCGCTACCAGTCGAGCCCAATTCACGCCCCGTCCTCCGACTATGTTATTTGTGCACGCGATGTGCGCGATGAAGAGAGCGCATATACCCATCCCAGTGTGTACCCAAGCGCGAAGTACGCGCATGCAGGCTACGCACCAGCAAGGCTGCCCCCTCCTGCGCGTTCCGCGTACGCCTACGGCTATACGGTCATGAGTGACGCACTGGAGCCACCATCGACATCCGATATTGACTTGGACGTTTCAGACGACGGAGATGAGACATTTCGGGGTGTTGATAACGGTGAGTTGACCATTTTCTCACGCATGTACTCTCGAGGATCGCGAGGACGGCATGGACCCTGCATTTCTGCTTCTCTTCGTCGCGGAAGTGAACCAATGACTTTTGCTGGACTTGCAGAGCGTCATGGCATTTGGATATCCAGCGTACGGCCTGCGAAATAACCTAAGAGTTCACCCGCAGCGTAGGGCGAGATATACCCTATCCATGTGGACCTGATGACAGGCGCTCCGAGTGTGGTGTGTCCGGTGACCTCTTCCCTGCCGATTTCGACACGTCTCCTGCCTCAGAGGCGAGACCACGCTGCCTCGTGTGCGCGTTGTGTATTCTCTTCTCAGCACCTTGAGACCACACTCTCGTACATGGGCAGTCAATCTCATGTCTTATGCACTACTGGTGCGGACATCGGGTTTTGACCACGTCCTTCGTACGGGCCGCGGCCAGTGATATTGCTTGTGTTTCATTCAAGCGCATGTATCTGCCGTTGCAATCGCCTGATGCTTAGATATACGATTTGGTGATGGCAACTGATAAATGGGGTCATATGCTGGATTCAACACTCATCCCTTCCTTTACCCGCTGCACCCTCATGGTCTCTATATCTGCTGTAGTGCGCTGACCACTCCTCCCTCGAAGCAGATGATATCATGGATATGGACGAGGACTTCTATACCGACCCGGATTTCCTCTCGCAGCGCCGCCGCCTCTCGTTTTTAACCTCCGCTGAGCGCGAAACTCCGTTCGTCCGTCCGTTATCTACGACTGCCGGACCGCGTGTTGCGAGCTGTCCACCCGCGCGCCAGAGCTCTGCCGTAGGCTTGCGCCCGACCACCAGAGCGCTTGATACGGAGCGCGTTGCACCCGCTGCACCACGTAAAACCTCATTGCCCCTGGGCTTCCCCGCGAGATCCAGCGTAGCAAGATCGAGGGCCCATTCTCGCGTGCTTTCGAGATCGCATTCCCCACTCCCTTCATCGTCGCCGCCGTCCTCGTCCCCGTGCTTGCCAGCAGCATCGTTATCCCCCGAGCTGCCGCCTTTGGCTAGTGTGCAGACATCTGCCGCATCGGTTTCCTCCTCGTCCCCTTCATCGTCGGCCGCTAGCTCGATGCCGCCGATCACGCCCGCGAACTCGGAGCCACCTGAGCCCACGCGCCGCATGCGGTCCTCTTTGTTTGCTCTCCTCAATCCGGCCCCTGAACCCGAACTGCCGATGAAGGTAGAACTGCAGGAGGAGGCCGAGGTGGACGTTGTGGGTGACGATGCTCCCGCATCGGCGGAATCTGAGCTCCAACAATGCAGGAATAATGCTACGCTTGCGTCTCTGACAAGTGAGCATTTTGCCAGCCAGTCACCCGAAACGCGCGTGGTGTGTAGCCTGCATGTCCTCCGGCTGGACTTGATCTGACGCTGTGCATTAGGATATTCTATCGGTTTCCCCTCGTCGATTGCCATTGCACATAAACACGTCTGCACCGCCTCGACTATACTCTCCCCTCCCTCCCTCGTCTCCTGTATCTCCGACAACTCCTCTCCGTGTCCCCTCACGCTCGTCCTCTCCCCGGGAAAGTCTTTCTCCGCTCTCCTCTCCTCCGTCACTGCAGCGGTGTCGTGCTCGGACGCAGAGCCTGGCTTCTTCGCCGCTCTCGTCGCCCCCATCATCCCCTCGCATCGCCGCGCGCCCCATTGCATGCCACGAATTCCAGGAGCAGCGTCAATTACATCCCATCGCGGGGCCGTCCACAGTGCGGCACGGCTCAGCTCTGCGAGGTGACAAGGTCAAGTCATCCAGTAGCGCTGCAGTTCGCGCTAGCAAATCATCGACCGGATCCACTGACCCGGTTTCAAAGCCGCGCCCGCGAGGTCCTTCCGCTACGCGCGCAGCTCTTACCTCTGGGCCTGCGAGGGGCAGGGATGTGGGTCGACTCCCTAAGCCTGCGAAACCTGCAGTTCATCCCGTGGCTGAGCGCGTCCCGAACACGGAAGATCGAGACGCTAACGCGGACCGGTCGAAGTCAAATGACAAGAGGCGTCAGAGAGATGCGGCCCAGGCGCCTGCGAGGAAACGACCGCGGTTAATCCTTTCCGACACTGAGTCCGAGGCTGAGGATGCGGACGTGAAGCCAAAAACGAAGGCTACGGCTAGCATGGAGGAGGGCTGGAAAGCCTCTCACACGAAGAAGGAGACCAAGAGCGTGAAGAGGCCGTCGAGGCCCGCGAAAGCGAAGGCCGACGGCTCGAGCGACGACGAAGCCGAGAACGACGCCCCGGCGTCACACTTACCGACGAAGACCGTGCCTTCGAAGCCCGTCTCCAGTCCGCCAAAAAAGCAAAAGGTTGCAGCCAACGGCAAAGCGTGTGTGCGCTCGCCCGTCCGCATACCGACCAATCTTCCGCTGCCTTACGAGGAGATGCAGGGCATGTTGATCGAAACCCTCGCGACCTCGCGTGCCTCCTCTCTTCCTGCCTCGTCCCTGTATAACGGGCTCATGGCAAGCCGGCCTGCCCTGAAGGAGTCGGCAAGCCTACTTGGCGAGGGCCCAATGACGAAGAAGGAGTGGACAACTGCGATCGAGGACATCCTAGAAGCAGGCTGTCAGTCCAGCGGCGTTTTCGGCAAGGTTGAGAGCAATCTCAAGGTATGGTGTCTTGTCGTGATGTATAGCACGGGCATTGAATGCATCTTGCGTTCCGTTGCATTTCAGGTTGCTGCGGATCATGAGGTGGAAACGCAGTGGTTCTACGTCCCGGAGAAGGATGAAGACCAGGAGCGTGCGACTCTCATCAAGAGCATGATGCCGCGCCCAGGAAAACGGTCGGAGACGAAGAAGTCAAAGCAGTACTATTGGCGGCCGCTGGGCAAGATCTCGCGGTGGGATCCTGAGGATGATCTATAGGACTCGGAGCTGTTGCGCAAGCTGTTTTAGCGTATATATCGCTTTGCATGAGTTTAGTGATTGTTGTCTCGATGTAGCCGTCTTAATTATATTCCACTTATTCGTTCTGTATTTGCACCGCATGCCTTCATGGCAGTAGGTAGAAACGGGCACCCCATTTTGACCAGTGTCCGTTCGTACGGGCACCTAGAGATTGATAGCATCGCCATAATGAGGACAACCAGAAGCGTACGGACCTGGAGCACAACCTTCAAACAGGCTCCCTCGCATGTCCTTCGTGCATGCAAGCCGCTGGGCTGAACAGCGTCAGTGAACATTTACATATGCATAGAACAGTGGGAAGACCTGGGAATAAACGGGGAGTTCATCGGACTCAAAAGTCTGCCCCATGTCGAATGAAATAAAACATGATGCGTACGGTACTTTTTTACAGGGTTGGCGCCCAGCAATCACTCCTTCACCTCATTGAGACGTGTGGTCCAGTACCACCTCCATCTCGTTAACGTCGTTTCCGGATGCCCCGCGAGACGACGTGAACACGTCCGCTCCTGACGCAAGAGAGTCGATAAGCAAGGTGAGGCGTGAAGTGGTGAGGTTAGGCTCCTGAGTACACAGGGGCAGGGACGGAGCAAGGGGACACGGTAAGACTATGTCTTGAAGTGAGACAAATATTCATGCGCACCTTCCGAATTTCCTCCAAGTCGTCCTTGAACGCGTCCGCGACAGACGTCATCCAGAACTTCCTGAAACGGTCCCGCAGCACCTGCTCATCCTGCTTTTCTTGTTCTGATGCACCATCGCTCGGGAACGCCGGAATCGCAGAGACAGCACGAGCAGGCGAAGGAGCCCGTTTTGCCGGAGCGTTGGGCCCTGCACCTCTCCGCTGACCTGCATCTGCGTGGGGCGCACTGGGAGGTCTGGCTACGCTCTCGTTGTCAGATGACGAATCTGAGTCGGAAGACGATTCGTCTGAGCTTGAGGAAGGTTCTTGTATTGGAAGTCGTGCCGGTGTAGGTGCAGGCTTCTTGGGGGGCTGAGCATCAGAGTCGGAATCTGAGGACGAGTCGGACGATGAGGATGAAGAGGCTGCGCGCCGATTGCGTCTTCTGTTGCGTTTTCGCGGGATCACTGGCCTTGTTGGCTGCCCAGCCATGGTTTGGAAGTCGGAGGACAAGAATGTTTGCAGTTGAGAAACCAAGCGGCTGTAGCGCCCCGATCACCCGATCAAATACTTGATACGACTCCAGTTGCCATTTCTGTACTAATCGCCTACCTATGAGAATGACGAGTTGCACTCACTCCTAACCATTCTATCGCAGTCCATCGCACTCGACCTGCTGCAATATCTTGGCCTCTCCCGCTTCAGATGAGGCTGATCATTGACGAAGTCGCTTGTGCGACATGCTGGAAGCCTGTGCTGATGCCTTTGAGGGGCTGACGAAGAAGGGAGCGATGAAGTACCTCCCAACCCAAATGGAACTTCCAGAACGTGAAGCTGGGGCATCAGCGCGGAGGGTACCGTGCTGACGAGGACCAAGGTGAGGACATTAGCAGAGGAATATGAGAGGCTGCTAATCCAGTTCGTGACCACGTTCAAGTTGGCGATGACGCTTGCACAGCAAAAGACCGGCGTACGGTAGCTAAGAATCAAGAGCGCGCAGTATCGGGTGCAGGGCTCTATCTTCCTCTGACCTTGCTCGAATCGCCGGCAGACCAGAGCCTGAGGCGAAGCAGCCCAAATTAAGTTGCTCGATCTGGTCTGCTTCCCCTCAGTTTCATTCCTCGCCTTCGATGACTCGGACGTCGGGTCGCCTCATTCTGGTGTGTAGACTTTACCGAATTTTCCATCAGTGCCCGGATGGCTTTGACCTTAAATCTTTTGTCTGCTGCCAAAGTAGAGAGAACATCCCTGCTACGACTTCGTCGCTGCTGTCACAGATCATGTGCCTATAGACCTAGCTTTGCAGACTATGTATGCTCTTTCCAATGAGCACAGACATTTAATGTCCAGGGGTCATGCATCTTCTCAGTATGGCTATGACTCCAGAGTTTCCCTGATAGAAGATGGCCTTGTGTCAAAGAACTAAGCATCGCCAACGCGGTGTGGCGGGCGCGGGACTCCACTTGCAATCCCATCTTCCACCATCTCTCTCGCTTCTCTATCACCGAGCTATAGCTCCGTCACGTCAACTTCCCGACGATTGTCATGTTCGGCCGCCTCGTTTGCGCCCTTCCGCGTCTCAAAGTACTCACTGTCCACAACGTGCAATTCATCCGGCACCCCTTTGATGCATACAGTATCCCTCAGTTCTGTCTTCTGCCGCGCACGCTGCTGGGGACAGTCCGCGCGTCCCTTTGGCGCCTCTTAGAAGACTCAGGGCTGAGTCCCTCCGTCCCCTGTGCGCCTTTCCCACACTCGAAAGCCTCCATGTTCCAAGATCATGTGCATCTGTGAGACATGGCTTAAATCTCAGAAATCTTATTAATTTATCACCACGGCCTGTGGATGTCGAGCTGATGTCCGACTCTGGGTCACACTTTGACCCTCTCTTGGTGGCCGATCTTGTCGCCTTTTCATCACTACCTGTATCACCAACACCCTGTGGTGCATCACGTTTGATTGTCCCGTCTTTCCGGGTAACAAGAGTGTCCGGTGCAGCCCTCAACAGTCTCGTCAGACATTCAACGCCATCACTGCACCGTCTTTCACTCAATTCGTCTTTGGTTCAATATGCATCAAACGGCATAGGCGGTTGGATACATGGAAATCACAGTGCATGTACATCTGATATACTGCCATTGCGTATGTGCTTACAAACTTATTACGCACTAGCTCTCTACCTCGATATCTCGGAGAATACACGCCTCGAACACCTCGACTTTACCGCTTATGTCTCGCGGAAGTGGATAACGCCTGTGTGCTCCTATCCTCAGGATCCTGTCTCACGCCACATCCACCCAGATATCTACGATACCAGTGAGATTCTGCGCTTATCACCTACCAACTGCACAACTTGATGTAGATTTGGGAACGCTGATGGTCGGGCTCCCAGACCTCGATGCTGTCCTCGCCTGTCAGGTTTATAACAACCTCACCCGCGTCGTCATAGACCTGAAGACACTTGACAGACGGACGATCTAAGATCGTGCCTGCCGAAGCTTGATGGACGCCATATATTCTGTGGCGCGTATCCTAGCAATCCGTACGAGTTGTTTTTTCGATCCCAATGTCTTGATGATTCACAGCGTATGTTCGAATCGCGTTTCGTATGCTTTATGCTGAGCTCATTGTCTGTCCACCTCGCTGACACAGCGTTTTAGGATCGGATGCACTAGATTTGAAGAAAATAAATACTTGAAACATTGTTGGGTTCAAAGGGACACCGCACAAGATGCTATCTCGAGTGACGAAGTGAAGGCTAGGGCTGACAACAAGAGCTGTACCAATGACGACGATGCTGATGCGGTCATGCGGCGATGCAAGTTGTGTCGGTGACATCAGCAGTCTGTGCTGACACCGTCAGACAGTGTGCTTTTAGATTCACGTAGTAATTTAAATATATAGGACAAACGGTACACTCCGTATAAGATGGTGCTACTCTTTCCCGGAAGAGTTGTGTTTCGACATCTTAGGAGTCTTAGGCAAGGAAGACGAATGCGACATGCTGGAAGGGTGCCATGGAGTGTGTAAAGAATTCGAGGAAATAGCGTGGAAGTGCTCACTGCAAGTCGTTGACGTTTAAGAGTGCAGAAGATATTGAGAGTGTCAAGGTCGTTGGACGTTTCAGACGGTGGAATGCGATGCTGGAGTGTACCGAATTCCATAGCTCGCGAGTCGCGACATTCGCCGGAAAATGGTCTCGCGCTCGCTGCGGATCATTGGTGCAGAGTGGCAAACGCAAGGTCTGCATTCTGGCGCGGTCTTCCGGGGCATTTCAAAATTCCACAAAAGCGCCGCATTTGTATTTGTATTTTTGTTCAGGGAAGACAGTCGCGTTGCAGCTTGCGAAGCTGAGTAGCGCGACGTCTCATATTATGTCACATGACCGTGTTCCGAAGTGCATCATAACGACTCGAAACCAGTTCTCATCTTTTTTGGCTTACTTTGAGTCACTTATGTCCAGCTCATGCTCACCTGAGTTTTGGGGCTGTTTATGACAGCGCACATGAGCCTCGCCCAGCTAAGGCGTGATTTTGACTGGGAGTCAGGTGTAGTGGAGCATCTAGAACGCTATCCGTCTCGATTGACTGCCACTCCATAGGAGTAGAGCTCCAGCAAACCACTTCATAATTGCGTCATGTAGCCTCGCCATCAGTTATATAGTGTGCACTCTGCCACGACTGAGTACTAACCCACAATCAACCACGCTTAGTATTTCAACCCAGTATCCCCATTTTCATATCTAATTCAGACCAATCTTCCAATATGTCATCTTACGGTGATAACCCCCAACCCTCAAATTAGCAGCCGGGACGACAGCAGTACGTGCCCTTGTATCTTCCCACGTAGTCACTCATTGTAAAACCTTCGCAGCCGGCAACGTGAGGTACGATGGTGGACATCGCCAGCAAGACCGACGCGGCCCAGGCCTCCAGACTCCACTGTATCAAGGCAACGAGGGCTCCGGCATCCAAGGCGGCCGTCAGGGCCAAGGCTGGCAGGGAGACAGGCAGTGGGACTTGTCTCCCAGCGACAACTACGGCGATCCTGGCTCTCAGGATGACAATGTCAGTGGAGGCGCATACGGCACTGGCCGCAACCTCGGAAGCGCGACGACGCAGAATGAGCAAACTGCCGACGATTCGACTGGAGGTCCCGGTGGTCCCGGCGGCAAACCTTCTTCGGTACAGCGTCTGAAGGGTGAGTCTCGGGTGTTTTGCCGTGATGAGGTGTGACGTATCTGACACTACTCGAACAGGTGGCGCGCAGGAGGCGGCAGGCAAGGCCACGCGCAATGAAGGTCTGGTCGAGCGCGGCCAGCAGGAGAAGGTATGTTGTGGGTGTCTGATACAACGAACGACTTGAGCTGACACTATGGATTAGTCTGAACGGTGAATGTAGGAAATTATTCTGAAGTTGTCGATAGCATTGCACGCCAAGGCAAAAAAAATTATACCAGTACCTTTTTCACAACTCCCCGATTTGTGTTTGAAGCGTTTGAGTCTGTTTGAGTGTCAGCTACACGGTTTCAAATTATGTGAAGCATACCTAATACCGCGCTTGTTTGCGAGCCAGCGCAGTTCCGTATCAGTTCTGTCACGACACATTCCGTACGACGTTGCTTCCATCATCGTGCCTGAAGGCCTGAAAAAGTATTTGCTTAGTGCTCCATGTAAACGGCGCCTCTCGGTTATTGGGTCTTACTTTACCGTTGGTCATGCGTTTTGGCGCAGATGGATGCCCCGCGTACTATCACCTGTACGTAGGACACGGTAGAGCACAAAATTTTCATGTACATTCGTTATCCGAAAGGACGCCGTCTAGCGTAGATGTTCTCTTCGCCTGCCGCGTATCTTGGCGCGTCGCACGTATGTATCTCCGTCGGTGGTCGATTAGGCCCTGGACATTCCCACACATAACGGCCGACATAAGTTTTGGACACCTGCGCTGTCAGTGCACTGTCGAAAGAGGAAATCGTACATAGAGACAAGACGATGGATAAGGACGTGATGCTCCGCACGGATACAGTCGCTGGCTTGTCGACGAGACGGTTACAGGCAGAATTGTTGCCACGTGTTTGGGGTGTACGAGCGTGGGAGGAAGGTGCGGTCGCATCAGGCGGAAAGAGGCCTGTCACAGCATCACGTTCTCCAACGCCCGTTCGCTCCTTCGTCTCAGACGCCGTCCTCTTCTTCTTCCGCTCTTTTCTTTCTTTATCCTCCTCGTCCCCCCTCCCCGCCGCGCCGCCATCATGGGTTGTGTACAGTCGTCTGGCATTGACGATGAAGCAAAAGCCCGTGAGCAGTATAACACTCGCTAATTAATGCTTCTCTAAATGATCATCTGTCCCCCGCAGGCAATGACGAGATTGAGAGCCAGCTCAAGCGGGACCGCATGATGGCAAAGAATGAGATCAAAATGCTACTGCTGGGAGCTGGAGAATCGGGCAAGGTGCGTGTGCTCGCCATTCCCATTATGCCTCTGCTGAGACCTGGCACTACTAGTCAACCGTGCTCAAGCAAATGAAGCTCATTCACCACGGCGGGTACAGTGAAGTAGAGCGGGACTCGTACAAAGAAATCATCTATTCGAATACCATCCAGTCTATGCGGTGAGTTATCACCCTACCCTGCGCTACTCCCGCGCTAATCCAGCAACAGTGCCATTCTGGAGGCGCTACCCGTCCTCGATATCCAGCTTTCGCCACAGAACGACGCACGGCGGTCCATTATTCTCTCGCTACCAGTGCAGATCGAGGGCGATGTGCTGGCACCTGACATTGCCGACGCGGTACGCGGGCTCTGGGTGGACCCCGGTGTGAAGGAAGCCGTGAGCCGCTCGCGCGAGTTCCAGCTGAACGATTCGGCTGTGTACTATTTCAACTCGATGGACCGTATGTCATCGCCAAGCTACCTGCCGACGGACCAGGACATCCTGCGCTCGCGTGTAAAGACGACCGGCATCACTGAGACGACGTTCAAGGTCGGCGAACTGACGTACAAGCTGTTCGATGTTGGTGGGCAACGGTCAGAACGGAAGAAGTGGATTCACTGCTTCGAGAACGTGACGGCACTGGTATTCCTGGTCAGTCTCAGCGAGTACGACCAGATGCTGTACGAAGATGAGAGCGTCGTATGTCCCCACTTCCTTTTTGTTGTGCCGTTCTCGCTAATATCTTTGCAGAACCGTATGCAAGAGGCGCTCACACTATTTGACTCGATTTGCAACTCGCGGTGGTTCGTGAAGACTTCCATTGTATGTGGTTTTGATTGCTGCACCGCTGAGTCGCTGACTCACCGCGTTACGCTAGATCCTGTTCCTCAACAAGATCGATTTGTTTGCAGACAAGCTGCCCAGATCACCACTTGGCGACTACTTCCCTGACTTCACGGGCGGTGACAACTACGACGCCGCCTGCGACTACCTGCTCCACCGTTTCGTGTCGCTCAATCAGAGTGCTGCAACGAAACAGATCTACGCACATTACACATGCGCGACGGACACTCAGCAGATCAAATGTAGGCGACCCCTTTCAATGATGGAGATTGGCGCTGATGTTTGAATTGCAGTCGTCCTGAGCGCCATCCAGGATATCCTTTTGCAAATCCATTTGCGGGAGTGTGGTCTCTTGTAGAGCATTCCGTCACGGGTCCAGGGAAAGTCGGAAGTTTTTATAGCATGCATTATCTACCTGTCCTATCGTCTGTCTCACTGCATTACGTCGGCCGCGTTGTCCCACTATCACCTTGCATTCCATTCTAATTCTAGTGTACATACTTGGAGTCTTTCCTACTTACGGCTAGTATTATGATTCACGTCTCTCCTTTAGGCCCTTTGTGGTTGAATCCCATGCTATATTCTTCCCTAGGTGTTCGTCTTCATTTGTTGCTTTGCCGCGCTGTAGCTGTGCCTTTCACCCCGAACACCTTGATGATACGTTACATACCACTTCCACACTAATGAACAGTTCCTTCCCGGACCGGGGCCTCGTCGATATATGGGTATATGTCTTACGTCTATGCATTACGGCGGGACTAAGCCGTCGGCTTATACTGTTCTCCGAACACTGACCGAGACCTGACCGAGCGGTGAGGCCATCTGTTTGGCGGCTGTGAGAGATGTCGACGTTGCAACGCTGATGAATGATCATAGACATGACGCCGGGACTGGTGTCGGAGGAGCCCGCAGTCGTTGGCAGCCCCGAGTCGGGTGCGTGTTTGCGTTACCTATTCTTACCCTCAGCGAAGACGTCCCTCGTGTATCGTCATCGAGAGACTCGAGCCTGCGAGAAATTTTACAGCTATGCGCATCACTAGGAATATGGCCGATGTCGCTTATCTCAAGTTCTATATGCTATTTCCTCACGTCTAGTAATCCTAGTACTTACAGGATATGTGGGCTCTGACACTGATGGAATTCTTGTGTAATTGATTTATTCTGGTACTTGTTCATTTGCAGGACAATGTCTTTCCACTGGACCCTGATGCGAAGCCAAGAAGCTGAGAAACCAGCTTCGAATGAGAAACCATCTACTGCGAGTCGCACTTGGCATGCCACGGCTGACGGCCAACTGCGAGGCTCGTATGCGCTAGTCGCGCAAAACAAAGAAAAGTCTTAGCAGTTCTGGCTTTCTGCCGGTTCGTACGTCTTACGCGTGGAGGGAGGAGCATCGCTGCAACACCTCCTTGCGAATCGGCATATCAGAGCGAGAGTTCGCGGTTCATGAGACGATGTGATTCTATGGGATTGCCAACAGCTCGTGAGGAAATGAGGTATGTATGCAAAAGACGAGCGAGTAAATATGGGATTGGCCGTAGCCGAGATGTTCGTGAGCATGATGAGTCCAGCCTAATGGCCCCACCGTGCATGGGACGATGCATTTGCATGGCGAGTATTGAAAGAGATATATTGCGGTAAACGCTCCTTGTACAGTCCCAGTGGGTCCTACGCCAGTGAACCTAGGTCCACCGACGGCTCCTCATTCACACCTGGATCCGGCAACGTCAGTCTCGTTGATCCCTTGTTAACGAGCATACGCTGGCAGACATACCGAGCTCATCTGCTGCAGGATCCCTGAACATGTCTCCAAAGCAGCCACCGCATTCTGCGGTGCGATTCCATCATTGCACTCTTCGGCAACTACTCGCGAGTCTATGGGATACGACGAGGAAAGTGGTTGGGCATTAGCACGCGCTGCTGCTGGTACTGAGACGATCCCCAACGCCGCAGGCACTGCCTCTGAGTCGCCGCAAGGGGATGCACAGGTGCCGCCATCAGCCATGCTCACTTCTTCGGTTATCACAGTGCCCTGTGCGGCGCCCCTCTCTATCCCGTAACGTTTCCAGCAACCGGTCTTATCGTCCCAGTGCACTCCGACCCTGGAGATTCTGCGTCAGCGAGCTGGAAAGATGGTGAGCTCGACTATAGCATACCGAGTGTCGTTCAGCTCCATGCTACAAATCGGGTACATTGTCAACGAAGCAGCAGGCTGCACAACTGCATCGTTACACACCCTAGAATACCGCGTCCATCAAGCTTCGGTAAGCACGCTCTTAGCTCGTCCACCCGTTCTTCATCTCCGACGTCCGAAGTATCAAAGATGATGACATGAATGGAGACATGGACCAGATTCTTGAAGACCGGCCATGAAAGGACAGTATCGATTTGTAGGAGCCCAGCCATTAGTGTTGCCCAGTCTGCGTCCGATGAATTGTCGCGATAATCACGAGGGCAGAATTCCACTGCAATCCTAGACATCTGCGTGGATGTCACATGGGATAGAATGTCGACCACAGGAGTACACAGACATGATCTATTTTCATGAGTGATGGTGACAGTGAGGTCCAGATGTTCGAGGCACGTGTTCCCCGAAAGATCGAAATACGGAGCTTTGTACACCGGCTGTCAATATGGAAGCGGAATCATTATATGAAACGCACCTGCACTCTGGTCTGCGGCAAGCCACACGTATTTGTTGTCAGGTATACGCCAGGTTGCAGGTGCGCCGAGATTGAGGCGATGCAATGATTGCCCAGAATGTCTCACGAGCCTATTGAGGCAGACATCGGACTCTGACATCAACTGGAGGGATGGAGACGGACAAATTTTTATGTCTTGAAGTTTGTGACTAACGCCAGTAGTGATGAAGACGTCGACAAGATCAGCTATTGAGTGAAGGTCGACGCCCGTACTGAAATCCAGGTAGAGAGTCGCCAGTCGTGGCGGTAAACCTGGGTGCACAGGAGTGCTTCGAAGGTCAAAGCCGTGCTTCACAAACATGCATGACCACTCGAAATAGAGGCCTTCGAGAGAGGGAAGGGCGCACAGGAGACGAGCAAATGTCGCGACTGAGGGAAAGACGATACTCGAGAGATGCAGTGTTCGGACGGCGCTCCATAGATACGCTTGCGCCAGATCACAAATGGGAGCCAAGCGTATGCGGTTACTGACGGCAGCTATAAAGTTGGCCAGTTCAACGAAGTCGGGAGTTGGCACGGACCCGTCGTACGCCATGCCCAACGACAGCGTCTCGAGCTGCGTGCGCGGCAGAAGACGGAATTGAGAAACGGTGGAGGCCTCGAAAGGTTGCTGAATGAATTCCACATTGAAGAGACCGAGCTTCTGGAGGCATGGGAGTGCGCACACCAACCGGCCAAGCGTCAGAATCGCAGGGAGAATGACGTTACTGAGGCCGAGGTCGGTGACCGAGGGGAAACGAGCTAGGTCGCGGAAGACAGCGTCAGCATCGAGATTACGCGCCCGCCACACCGCGAAGGAGATCCGCAGCTCCTTGACGCGGATCCATCTCCCGCCAAGCCTCGATGCAAACGTCGCCAGATGTGGGATCGGTTGGTGTTTGTTAATCCCATTCCCGCCCTCGATGTGCACATACGTTGGCCCACGCCAGCGCCGCATCTCACCGCCCGAAGCCTCCACTTTGATGCGCTCCACCTCGTCTGTACTCTTGAACACCATGCTTCGCAATAAGCACTCCTCCGCCATCCAGTGGAATCCTCTGCACACCACTCGGCATCTTTCCAGCGTGTCGTACTCGCCTTCCTTGGCCAGACCATGGAAGATGTCCAACCATATCTCATTCGGGAAAGGCAACACCATGATATGCAGAGCTCTACAATGCGCCGGTCTCATCTAGTAAGATATCTGTATGCACTTCGAGCGCGCTTCCAGGCGGAGCTCACCGAAAGTATCAACGGGAGGCTCTCGGTCTTCTGAGACGTCGTAATTGGTGGTGGAAGTGGATGGGATGCAGACCAGTCAAAGCGCGTACACATCCGCTTCGTACAGGCCGTTGATATATATATGTGCTGAAATCAGCAAGGCACGGCTTGCCACGGATCGCGTGCTGCTTCGATCCGTGTCATTGACATCGCTTGACGCTCCAGACCCTACGAGTGCCTTCTGTTGCATGTTCATTGGGACCACTAACCAACTGAAGTTTTGATGCTCGTCGTTCATTGGTATCCTCAACTGCCTCCGATATCTTCATTAGCATCCCACCATGGCCTCGGGTCGGATCATGTACCACCAGAACCCGATGAAGAGTCAGCTGCTTAGTTGAGCGGTATCGTCTCATAGCCGCCAATCCCGGTGGTGGTTTGGCCATGTAAGTTGGCCATGAGACGCGAACGGCCATTATCGTATATGAGGCGATGAACATGAATTTCGGAGGCCGGCGTAGCGCACATATCCCACAAGGTGCCTCCTCTCATATTCCGAACGAGGCCGAGCAACCGGGTACGTACAATGCTTGTATGTGGAATACACACATTACAAACTAGTACATGAGTGTCCTCGTCATATACCAGTAGCACTTGGCAGTAAGGCGTATCGCGCGACGCTCTCGCGATCATATCAGGTACGAGCCTTCGTGTCGCTGCGCACACGCCCGCTCATGACTGTCGCGCCAACGTCTCTCACCACTGCCGGTCACTTTCCCGCCATGGGGTATACCTCTCGAATAGTATTTGTACGCTCATATTGTCACTTGCGCCTCAAAGTGCCGGCCAAGCTATTGCATCATGTCCACAACCTTTGTCTCCGCCCGCAAGATCCAATAGCGCAGGTTCTGACTGCGTCCATTGATTTGTTGATCCTGCATTGCGAAAGAGCATGGCGACGCCTGCAATAACCTTTGTAGAAAAACAAGAAGGCGCGTTATGGTTTAGGACTGAGAAGCGCACGTTAAGAATGAAGCGAGCTAGAGATGATGCCAGTGAGAGCATGTACAAGGAATAGAGCAAAGAGCCATTACGTACTCTTTTTGAGAAATGCTACTCTGTCCGCGTGACCATACTCTCCCAGCGTACAGGGTGTGCAAATGTTCGCAGGCTACGGTCACAGGCTCGAGCTAAAGAATGTGCCTGATCGCACCGCGGTATGCGTGCTCCCCATCCACATCCAAGCCTGAGCGTGCTTATTTATTACCTCGCTGAGGTTGACGCATTTGATGAGGCTGTCATGGGCGCCGACGCCATCGAGCACACCGCATCTCCAGTCCATCTCAAGGCAAACGAGCCAGACGAAATCATCTTCCCAGCGATATTTGGTGCTCCACGCATGCTCGAGTCCGTATTCGCACACGGCAGCTCTGTCAAATGGGTAGTCGCCACGTCGTCCGCAACATCTGCCCTGGGCTTCGGCACTACGCTGGACGTCTTCACGGAGGAAAACGGGAACGAGCAGGCAATGGAGGACCCTAACGCGAACGACGGAAATGTCAGACAGTATTGCGCCAGCAAGACCCTCGCCGAGCACGCCCCATGGGAATCTATGGAGAAGAACAAGGACAAGCTCGGGTGGGATCTTCTTCAAATGCAGTGCGCTCACTAATTTCACCGTACTCTCTCAATACTGCACGCAACTCCAATGATGACTTTCCTATCAGCAACATGTCCTATGATCCAGCGAAGGCAACGCATCTGATCAGAGATGACACCTCGAATGCGAATAAGGTCCTCTGCTTCACGTACCGGGTAAATCAAAGAGACCGCTCACGATCCTTTTGCTGACTAAGGCGAGGAGATGGCCTGAGGAAGGACGCGTTCGTGGCCTATTGCTTAGTTCTGCGTCAGTCGGGGATGCGGGTTGTGAGCGGCCATATCGTACTTGTAGACAGAGAGCGATCAATGGGGACATACGCAGAAGTCAATTGCGGCGACACGCATGCGCATACCTCATACAGCGAGGGCGAACTGGAACAGACCCTTAATATCGGTGTTCCTGCCTTATGCAGTATCGCACATACGATGTTTGCATCTCGTACAAGTATTGCACGGACCTGGGTGCTCAGGCTCGCTCGGGCGAGTAAGGAGGCATCATGTGAGCTATGCGCACTACGCCAGCCTCCAAGGTTCGCCGTCCCGTGAGTGATGAGGTTGTTCGCAGACCGTCATCGCTATAAAAAGCTGTTCTAAAACGTGCAGCGAGCCTACAAATGTAGATAGAGGATAGGCTCCTTGCGTGGGTGGCCCGCTGGCCGAGCGTGAGGCCGTCCACTGAAGCCCCAGCTGAATAGCGGAGTCGTATCTCACACGCCAGGGCGTCAGAAGACGTTTCTGTCCATATCGATAAGGCCTTCTGATAAAACTGCAGCGGTATCTGAGACTGAGACGGTGTATGTCTTGGGTGAAGCCGTCGCTGCCTTGCAAGAGCATTTTAGTAAGGCCAGCTGGGGTGTTGATGGCAGTAATGGAGAATATCGTTGAGCGACTAGGGAAATCTTGGATTGGCCCGCGACAGCAATGAACAGAAGACGCTCAAAGAAGGTTGAGCAGTGAGCCACATGGATCAAATCAGCAGGCGATGCATGGAAGCTATGTCATGCTGGAACTTAACATATCCAGCAAAAGTATATTAGCTGTACGCACCTCGACTGCGACTCAAAGTGAGTATGATGTTAAAGTTCGTCCGAGACCCGAAGCGAGAATGATCAACGAAGATATATCGCGTTTGTCTGAGCTCTGTCAAACGCGTAAGGAACATACAGGACGGCTCGCGCAAAGTCTGCAAGGTACTACAAACAATGCCAAATATGGTGGCATGCGCTCGCCACAATCTCAAGTTCCAACATATGACACGTTGGAACGATGCAGGGTGACATGCAGGGAGTTCGAGCCGATGGCACGAGAGTGCCTAAAGCATTCCATAAGATTCAAGAATGTGGAGGATGTGGAGCGCATCAAGGTGGATGTTTCCGGTGGTAGGTTGCGACGCTGGAGTGGGCCCCTGACAGTGAGCATCGACGGCGATGATCGAAATGGGGTGTCGATCATAGGCGGGAACATGGACGACGAGCGATGGCCTATTCCACACCTGGCTACGTTCGCATCGAGGCTCACAGGGAGATGGCCGTTTGTTAAGTGGCTGACCGTTACCAACGCGATGTGGCGGGCGCGGGATCTCGATCTGGACGCCGTCGTCCGCGATCTGGCCGCCTTTTCGATCACCATCCTCATCCTCAGGAACGTCATCTTCGTTGGGCCGCCTCGTCTGTGCCTTCCCACGCCTCAAACAGCTCATTCTCAGTGATGTGCAATTCACCCAGCATCCCCTTGATGCAGGCTCTATCTCTCGATTCCATCTTCTACCGCACCCGCGACTGGAGTCACTCGACCTCCACCATGGGCACGACGACACAAAACTGAGACCTTCCTTTGTTGAAATGGTCGACCTTATTGCTGCCATCGGTAACAGGAGATGCCTAGTCCCTCTTCGCGACCCTGCGCAGGCGTCCCCTTGGAGCACCGTTCGAAGATTGACACTCGGCCCTGTCACGTTTCCCTCGGTCACGACCTTTGCTCGCCTCCTGTGCGCTCTCCCTTCACTCGAAGGCATCGAACTACAGGCGTTATACTCGTTCGTGAAACACGGCTTTGACCTCACAAGTGTTCCTGTGCACCCTGGATTATCATCACGTCTAGCAGATGTCGACCTGGCATATCACTTACCCTTGCGCGTGGACCCTTGTTCTGCAGCTGACCTTGTCGACTTTTTCATCGCTACTGGTCTCAGCGGAAACCTTCGGCGCATTACTGCCCGTCTGTCCTCGTCTTACCGGGTAACAACAGCGTGCGATGCAGCCCATCACAGGCTGGTCAAACATTGCCAATCACTCCGCCATCTTTTATTCCTGTCATCCCCAATGTCCAGTGTATCAGATGCCGTTGACTTGCATGCAGACCAAAATGCAGGTCCGTCTCCTGATATAATTTATTTTTCACGTTTACAATCAATATGTATAGCCCCATATCTCGATGTGTCTAGCAATACGTGCCTCGAATGCCTTCTTCTCACAGTCAACGTCGATCACGAGAATATATCACATCTATGCGCTCCGGTGGCCGCGATTCTATCACAGGTCACATCCGTGCATATATCAAGGATTGAAGTCAAATTCTGGCCTCGTTCTAACCCGAGGCTCGATGCAAAGCTCGACGTAGACTTGGGAAAGCTGATGGACGAGCTCCCACAGCTTGATGTCATCTTCTCTCGGCCAATCTTCAATAATCTCACCGACGTTATCATATACATCAGAACGCTGGATGGACCGAATGTACGAGATGAAGAATTAGTGCAGGACCTACGAATGTGCGTGCCAACGCTTGATGCACGCGGTATTCTAGGGTGCGTATTCTTTCGTCTTGTACGTTCCGCTATTCGAATAACAATGTATTCATTCGCAGCATTAGGTTGAATGATGTCAAGTAAGCCGTATGCTGAGTACATCGCCTTTCCATCTCGCTGACACAGCTTATCCAGGAGTGGACTGTACCTGGACGAAGAGACGGACGAATGGAGATGTCATAGGATCGAGAGGGTCTCCGCACAGGATGCTGTGGTAATTGATGCACGGCCTGATGACAACGACGACAGGCGTACCAATAACACTGTCAACGTTACAATCCCGCATGACGACTCAGACGTGGTGTCCGGAACGTCGCAGCCCGTCTCGGTGCCACCAGCCGCGTATGCCGATGCTCAGACACCTTCCTCGTCGATTCCTACGGATGCACGAGTACCTACCGAGTCGGCGTGCGACGATGAACTTGTACTGCAGAATGCAACGGCCGGGCCGGGAACGTCCGTGGACGAATTTGCGCCAGACGATCACGGTACGTCTGCCAGTGATTGCGTGTCGGCGAGGGATCATTGACGCTGATCTACATACATCAAGGTGTGGGCGACAAGTTGTCTGCGGAGCCAGAGGCGCTCGTATCGGAACGGAGCTCACTGAGCGTGCTGACTGAAGCACATTCTGCTTGACACTTGCCAAGCCAGAGCCGTTGCGCGCATAGCTCATCGCGGGGCGACGTCCGGCTGGGATTTCCGGTCTACTTGCATTCATGTCCCCTCCCAGGCCCTCCTCTCCTCTCGTCGAATCTGTCTCGAATCAGGACACTTCGCGTTTCATCCGCCGCACGCACCACACCTACAGCTGCTATAGCCTTATCTGTCTCTGTCTCTGTCTCTGTCTCTGTTACATGTACGAGAGATTGATTTCTCAATGGTATACCCCTGACAATTTCCCATCGCGCACGGAGCGCGAACACGACATCGATCATCTGCGGGAGTGCTTTTGCACTTTGCACCAACACGTTCCTCGCGTCCTCCTTCATATTATGGATAGTCAATTTTTATCCTACGCACTCTTCACGCCTATGTAGCTGCTACTCCAGACTTTACAGGTCACCTGCATAGTATTGAATATGCCGCTACTAGCTACTCCTCGCCCATACGCCGTCGAGGAGCTCGGGCCTGCGAAAAAGCCTACAGCGCCGGATGCATACGATGCATAGCCCATGTCGCCTTCCTCTTTCTATATGTCGTTTCTTCACATCTATTAGCGCGGAAAATGCGGACACGTGCTCGTGGTCGAAGATGGGAGCCATCCTGGTGATCGCGAATCGTTCCATCTGGACGATCGTCGGCCCCCACACTCTGCCTCGTTCGAGCAGAGCGCCCTCAGCTGTACTCTGCCACTTCACTAGTCTACGGGGAGCACACGATGGTCAGCTTTTGCGTAGTACGAGCCGCAGACTGTACATCTCGGCACTATGATCCGCCATGTGTGGCGGGCTTCACCAGAGACCGGATGGTTTCTCGCACCGGATACCTCAATAGTGCGGCTCCCCTTTTATGCACATATTCAGCCCATTTTCTGCATACGTTCAGCCCATGGTCTCTGCCCGTCTGTATGCTGAGAGTACAAACGCGCGTCGCTGACAATCGCAGCGTCTGACGCTGCCGGGGATCACGCACACGGCAAAGCTCGAAGCTGTCAAGCACCCTCGCGTCAGATTGAAACGTACTAGGGGACGATTGTGCAACGATCTACAGAGCAGCCGGCGCGCGGCTGGTCCAGTGACGTCTTCCGTTCATTCGGCCGAAGTGCGTACCGTCGCCGCGTCGTCGCGTCGTCGTGTACTAGCGCCGCAATCCAGGGAAAGCAGCACCGCTCACTCACGGGTGGCATCAAATGATATGTACGTCACAATGTCGGAGGCACCCACAGAATGACAAAAAAGTCAACAGGCTGCCATGACGAAGCCGAATACGATTTGGAGATCCAGGTGCACCGCTATTAGAACTTACGCGTGCACAATCGTTAACATAGCACGTTTTCAATAGGGAGATCCTTCGGCAATCTTACTGGACAGGATTAAGTCCCTTGGGGCGGGTTCCCTTCCAGTTTGAAGGTGACCGCCAGGGATCCGAGATTCGCGCATTCGCTGGCGTCGTCAATGTGGTTCAACGCTCTCATCCGCAGAAGGTTATGCGCCGAAGAAGTTCTCACGTCCTTTATAGTGACTCATGCTCCTGTGCTTGGCAGATAATGATGAGTCGCTCCAAGAACAAACGAAAATCAGCGTCGCCTGTCGACACGAGCCTAGCTATCGCAATGATCCTTTCAGTCTCGCTTCGCGTGAACGGCCTGCATTTCTCGGGTGAAGGTCAATCGGCATGTCGATACGTACCGCATCTCAATTTTCTGGAATAATGCTCCCATCTTACGTCGCTGTACATGGTCCGCTCCCCCTCGTTGGTATGAATACCGCACAGCGGCCTCCAGCCCCTTACTTCAACTCGGGAAAGTCGAACTTTATCAGCCTCAAATCAGCCGCTATGCAGCTCCGTTCATTCGCCTATATCGCGCTTGCTGCAGTGCTTGTGATTGCTACCAGCGTTGCAGGCCATCCCTCTGTTGTCGGGTCAGTGCCAGTGCATGACCAGCCGACCACCCGCTGAGGTGGCCATCCAGCGGCGTTGCCAAAGCCAAAGCCCGCCAGATACCTATAGCGCTCTGGTTACGCGTGCTGGCTCATCGCATGCGCTCTCACAGGCTGCCGGCACCTCGTTGAAGGGTCGCGACACGTGCACGAACTCCACCATCGAGCTCCAGTTCCTCGACCCTAAAAAGAACATCTTCGCCGTATGCCACGACGTCGCCTACACGACATACTTGGCAGTCAACAAACCGCTCGATTTCTCCCACTGTACGGAGGAGGTTTCCGGATGCTGGGGAGATGCGATCTGCTCTGAAGACAACAAGTCCTGCGACGCGGGCCGCCAGTACTGCGTCATGCTGCACGGCACTTTTGAGTGTATCGCCTGATGTATGCGATGCATCTCGCGAGTGTCGACCGCTTGTGTTTTGATTGCGGTGTCTCGATTGCCAGATGACATACTCGAGTTAGAGCCTAATGCACAATTTGGCGCGATACTGTGTGGCATTAGTCTTATGCAACAATGCGCGCAAGCGATGCGCTGAGAGTGCAGTAAGTATGACACAGTGATTTCTCACAACATGACGGTGCTCCGTGATTCGGAAGGGGCGGTGTTAATGAAACAGCAAGACGTCCGTGGTTGGGTCAAAGTCACGACTCGGAAACAACGCCATATGGCTGATGTTGCTGAGGGTTTGAGGCGCGGGGAAGGCGAACCAACTTCAAGTTCAAAGACGCAGCTGTAGGGAACACAGCGCGAAGGAGCTGCGGCCTCTGCATCATGCTCCACGGAGACCATGAGTGGGCGCGTCGCATTGGTTATGCACACCGATTGCGGTAGTAAGATAGAACAGTCTTGCAAAGGACACCATGCCTCGCAATCAGCAGAATCGTCGCAGCTTCGTGCCCGCTGACGATCAGCAACTTTATCGAAGGCTTGGCAAATGTAAAGTAGGAGAGGGCTTTTACTCGAGCGCAGTGTGCATGGACTGATGAGACCGCGACATAGCAGTGCTCGCATGCAGGCGTTGCGCGTTGACATTTCAGATTGGGCACCTGTGCTATTACTGCCAATGCAGCGCTTCAAAAGATGTATCTTTGTATCCGACAGAGTGTCTTGATTAAGCGAACACATTTATGCGAATAGTCCGAAATGAATGGAGATGTACAAAAGGAGCGGTTCAGTTCTCGCGGGGAACCTTCGTCCCAAAATTACCCTGGGACATTGAAGCCGATGTCGTCGGCTGAGGATACCGATCAGATGTTGAGTCCCAGTGAAAAATGCGTCTGAGCAGAACGGGGGAAAAAGAGGCGGATCTAATCCAACTGAGCCAGACGGTGTACATCGACTCGGAAATTGATCGAGAGGCTATTTTTGTCTGATCACACGCCGGTGTTGCATGACGCAAATGCTTCGTGCACGTCAAAGTCCCACTTGACACAGCAATTTGTCTTGTAAGCTCTAATCATGTCACCTATATACGCCGCACACCTTGCCTCTGTGCACAAAACTAGGTTCAATCATGTGACTGCCTCCCCTGGCCGCGCGTCGCATCCTACATTCTTCTCTCTCTTGCTACCACAGTCAAGCACAGACTCGGCAGAATCCTATCCCTCTACTTGTAAGACCTGTAGTAAGCATTAAGGACAACTCACCTTGCATCTACACCCGACGAGCCCCCTACAATATCCTCTTCATCACGGCAGCCATGTGAGTAGATCGCATGTAATAGGCCAGATGTGTCTTGACGGGGAACGAGCGACGTTGTATCTAACAGTGTCCCGTCACTCTATAGGAGGTAAGCGTATGTACATTACAAGGGGCAATTAGGAAGCGCTTATGAGCTTCAGTAAGATGGAAATATCGGCTGAAGCTCGCATCGAGAAACAACTAGCATACAGCGTGTGGTAGTGCAGTGAGTCATCATCATTCACTACGGTAATTGGGCTAACCGAAGAGGTTCAAATATAGTGCGGTTTGGGAATGCCAGGAATGCGATAATGTCGTGCTGATCCTGATGTGATGTCGCGGTGTCATGCGGGCGCGCGGTGAACTTTTATATGATGTACACGGACATCTTGACTGACACGATTGCATAGTCGTGAAATGTCATTCCTTTCAGGTGAGTCATTATCAGCAAGTTTGACTGCGCATATAGTGACCCTGTTTTCGAGATCAGTATGCTTTCCACCTCCATCCCTCGTATTGGAGGCATCTAGTTTGTACTCGCATTCTCCAGTCTCCTCTCCCAGTACTAGAGCCCTGGTGGGGCAGGAATGCTCATCAGTGCGTCTACTTGTTGCGAGTCCCCCTTGTCTGATATAGCTGACCCTGCTTGCTGTACTACACCTGATAGGTCTGTCATTCGTACACAAACACGGCCACGTCTTCTGTGCGGCGCCAGCTGTAACATCCGCAATCCTGAGATGCTGGTGGAGGCGAAGATGAAAAGCAATGGTCAGGTTGAGAGTGAGTGATGGAGTGTCTCTGCATGTGGTCAGTAGGTCGTCTAAGGACAATGACGTGTATATAAACAAACGGAGTGTATATAAATAAAGGAGTGTATATGAACAATTGGAGCGTATATAAACAATTGGAGCGTAGCGAGAATATTCATATAGCTTCGTTCTGCCCCGATGTGCTTCGATGTGCCCCTCGGTTTCAGTCCAGAATTGGGAGGTACAGCGGGGTATAACGTGGTCTATCGGAAATTCTGACATCACGTCAATTGCTCAGATACACCACGATTCTCCTGGATCTGCTCAGATGCGATTTTGACTGGGGTTGAGTTCCAAGACTTGACCCGCGGTCACAACGGACAGACTCAGACGAATGACGCTGATCAAAGCAGCAGGCGATGCATGAGTTACTAACGAAAGGTTCCGTTTGCGTCGAGGCTTGGCGGGAGATGGCCTTCTGTTGACAGGATGATCATCTCCAACGCGGTGTGGCGGGCGGTGGATCTCGATGCGGACCCCGTGTTTCGCGATCTGGCTCGCTTCTCCTCGATCACAGTGCTCTCCCTTCGTGACGTCGGCTTCCCGACGATTTTGACGCTTGGCCGGTTAGTGTGCGCACTCCCATGCCTCAAACAGCTCACCCTCTGCGATGTAGGATTCACTCGGCAACCTTTCGATGCTTCCACCATCTCCCAATTCCGTCTTTTGCCATGCAAGCAGCTCGAGATGCTGTCCCTGAGCACGTTGTGCAACGTCACCGTGCCGACTCCTGTGCGCCCTTCCAGCCCTCGAAAGCCTCTATTTCAAGTGCTCGTGCATGTTTGTGAAACATGACTATAACACACAAGGCATTCCTGTGCACTCGGGTCTACTGCCACGATTGGCGGCTGTCGTCTTCAATAATATGAGCTCTGACCCTCTCTCCATGATGGCTCATCTTGTCGATTTCTTCATTACTACGGGCACTGATCAGCATCTTCAAGACATCAGGTTCTGTCTGTCTCCGTCGCTCCGGGTAACGACCGAGTTGGTCGTCTCCCTCGTTAAACTCGTCAGACATTCTGGGCAATCCATATATAGTTTGAGTCCCAATGCGGACGTGCTCTAGCTTACGTTGAACGGCCAGGGTGCGTCGCTACATGCAGGTGCGTTTATTAAGATGGTCTTTCTGCTTAAGTATTTACAACACACACGTATAGCAACATACTTCAATCTTCCGGAGCACACGTGCCTCGAACGTCTGGATCTTACTGTCAGCGTCACTCATGAAACTAGCTTGTGTCTGTGTACTCCTGTGGTCAATATCCTATCCCATGTGACATCCACACGAATGCCCAGGGTTTCAGTGCGATTCTGGCCTTGTGGCTTCCGCGACATAGACTGGGGAGCACTGATGGATGGGCTCCCACGACTTGATGCTGTGCTCTCATGGCCGGACTTTGACAATCTGGTCAACGTCGTGATAGGTGTCTGCACCTTGACAAGTCGGACGTCGGATTTGAGGGACGGGCGGACGAGCTAAGAGCGTGCTTGCCGAAGCTCGATGAACGCGGTATTCTGCGGTGTGTATTAATGCAGTTGTGCACCCCGCTCTCGGAATGACATTGTACCCGATTTATAGCTTACAGCTGAATGACACTCGGTATGCCGTTAGCGGAGCTGACCGTCTTTCCAGCTTGCTGACGCAGTATGTCCAGGGTCGGAGTGCACTGGGACAATAAGACCGGTTCTTGGAAACATTACGGGGTAGGGAGGCGCGCCGCACAGGGCACTGTAATGACCGAAGAAGTGAGCATGGCTGATGGCGGCACCTGTGTATCCCCTTGCGACGACTCAGAGGCAGGTCACCTCAGCATCAGCAGCAGTGCGTTCCAATGCACGGCCACCTTCCTCGTCGTATCCCGTAGCTGCCGAATGGTCCAATAATGGAATCGCACCGCAGGATACGGCGGCTGCTTCGGAAACATGCTTAGGGACCCTGCAGCAGATGAGCTTGGTACGTCTGCCAGCGTATGCTCGTTGATGAGGGACCAACGAGACTGACGTTGCTGTATCCAGGTGTGAAGAGGAGTGGCCGGTGAACCCAGGTTCACTCACGTAGGAACTACTAGCACTGAACTAGGAGCGTTCATTGCGATATATCTCTTTCAAGGCTCGCCATACGATTTCATCGTCGCATGCACGGTGCGACCATATGACTGGGTCCGTCATACTCAACAACATCCCGGTTACAGCTGATCCGTATTTTTCCGTTTGCTATCTGCGTGCCTCATGCCCTTACGAGCCCTCAATGCCCATAGGATTCACATTCATCATCTCGCGAACCTCAAACTCCCGCTCTGATATGCCAATTCCAAACGAGATTTGCAGCGCCGTTCTTCCCTCCGCGCGTAAGACGGATACGAACTGGGAGAAAGCCAGAATTGCTACGCCTTTCCGTGATTTTGCGCGACTGATGCGTACAAGCCTCGCTGTTGGCCGTCACGCCAAGCGCGACTCGCAACGGACAACCTCGCATTCAAAGCTGGTTTTTTGGCTTTTCACCAGATGTCGGCAGAAAGACAATGTTTAGCAAATGAACAAGTACCAGGATGAATTGATTACACAGTGCGTAGAGTATAAATTGACCATGCATACGATAAAGGAGGATGTGAGGGACATATTTGTGTAAAGTATAAGAGCACTTTCGCAAACGATCTATGGCGCGTTCGCATTCCGTGTAGATGCGGTGCGTGCGGCGGAGGAAACGTGATGTGTGCTGATTCGAGACAGGTTCGGCGAGGGGAGAGGAGGGCCTGGGAGAGGACACGAATGCAAGTGGACTGGGAATTATAGCTGGACGCCGCTTAGCCTACCAGCTCCGGGATAAGCTATGGACGCAACGGCTCGGGCTTGGCGGGTGTCAAACAAGCACGCTCGGTGTGATTCGTGTTGATACGAGCGTCCCTGGCTCCGCAGACAGCTTGTCACCCACGCCTTGATGTATGTAGATCAGCGTCAATGCTCCCTCACCAACAAGCAGTCAATGGTAGACGTACCACGATCGTCTGCAGTTGTCCACGGACGTTCCGGCACCGGCCGTTGCATTTGTAGTACAAGTTCATCGTCGCACGCCAATTGGGCAGGTACTCGCACATCCGTAGAACTCGGTGAGGAAGGTGTCTGAGGATCGGCATACGCGGCTGACAACACCCAGACGCGCTGCAAGACTGCAGGGACCACGTCTGAATCTTCATGCGGGGTGCACCGATGGTAGTTTTATTGGTATACCTGCCTTCGTTAGCGATAGTCCCTGCATTGGTTACCACAGCGTCCTGTACGGTAGCTCTCCTGGCTCGTCATATTTTCGGACATCAATCCAGTCAGCGATATTATCGCCCAAGGATGTGCTATGAGGATAACATTGTTATGGAAACTGCGGCGTGTAAAAGATGAAAGGATCCGCACCTTAGGATACCGAGTGCATTAAGCGTTGGCAAAAACAACCGTAGGTCGTGTGCTAATTCTTCATCTCTTTCTTTCTCTCCATGCACTGTCGAGATTTGTATAATGACGTTCGTGAGATTCTTGAAGATGGTCCGAGAGAGAACGGCATCAAGCTGTGGGAGCTTATTCAGCAACGTTTTCAGATCTGCTTCATACTGTCCGTCGGGCCTGATGCTATAAGCGGGACAGAAAACGACTGCAATCATTGATATATGCGCAGATGTGACCTGTGACAGGATCGCGACCACCGGAACGCACAGATGTGACGCATCTCCGTTGTTGTCATCGATTACGAGAAGAAGCCGTTCGAGGAGCGTATTACTAGACACATCGAGATACTGGCCTATACATATGGATTGTAAACGTGCCATAGAAAACATATTAGGAGACGGACCTGCACTGTGTTCCACATCCACCCGTTCACCGGTGTCTGAGAATACAGGCCAGGATAGCTCGAATGAAAGATGGCGGAGTGATTGTGAATGTTGGACGAGCCTGATAAGGGCTGCATCGCACGCTGGTGTAACCCGGGACGACGTTGACAGACAGGCAGTCATGCGCCGAAGGTTTTCGCTGAGACCAGTCGCGATGAAGAAGTCAACAAGGTCAGCCACAGAACAAGGGTCCAAGCGTAAAGGGGAGTGGTACGCCAGGTCAACATATGCTAGATGTGATGGTAAACCAGGGTGCGCAGGAATATTGCTGAGGTCAAAGCCGTGTTTCGCGAACGCGTATTGTGTGTGTAGTTCGAGGGCTTCGAGTGCAGGGAGAGCGCACAGGAGGTGAGCAAAGCTTGTGACCGAGGCAAACGTGGCACGTTTGAGTGCCAATCTTCTAACAGTGCTCCATGGGGACGCCTGCACGAAATTGGGGGGAGGGACTAGGTATCTCCTGTTACTGACGGCAGCCATGAGGTCGACGAATCCAACAAAGGAGGGTCTCAGCTCAAAGTCGTCGTGCCCATGGTCGAGGTAGAGTGACTCCAGCTGCGTGTGCGGCAGAAGATGGAATCGAGAGATGGCGCCTGCATCAAGGGGATGCTGGGTGAACTGGACCTCACAGAGAGTGAGCTTTTCGAGGCGCGGGAGAGCGCAGAGCAGGCGGCCGAGCGTCAGGATCGACGGCAAGGCGACGTCCCTGAGGTTGAGGTGGGTAATCGCAAAGGCGGCCAGATTGCGCACGACGGCGTCCAGATCGAGATCCCGCGCACGCCACACTGCGTTGATGATACACAGCTGCTTAACGCGGGGCCATCTCCCTGCGAACCTCGACGCAAACGTCGCCAGATGTGGAATCGGTCGGCGCCCATCGTTCCAATCCCCGCCCTCGATCCACACCGTCTCTGGCCCACCCCAGCGTCGCAATATACCACCGGAAACATCCACCTTGATGCGCTCCACATCCTCTACATTCTTGAATGTCATGCCACGCTTTAGGCACTCTCGTGCCATCGGCGCGAACTCCTTGCACGTCACCCTGCATCGTTCCAAGGTATCATACTCGCCTTCCTTGGCCAGACCATGGAAGATTTCCAACCATATCTCAGTCGGGAACGGCCGCACCATGGTATGCAGAGCTTCACAATGTGAGTATCATGCCTGCTGGAGTGTTTGTATGCATCGCAATGACGCTGTCAGACAGAGCTCACCAAAATATCGCAGTATCAATGGGAGGTCTTCAGTGTGACGATCCGCAGTCGAGACGAGGTGCGTGCAGCTAGGTGATATACATTTGCTAAATGTGTCAAACCTTAGCACGACATAGCTTCCATGTATCGCCTGCTGATTTGACCCGTGCGGCTCACGCTGCTCAACCCTTCAAACCTTCTTTGAGCGTCTTTTGTTCATCGCTGACGCTGGCCAATCCAAGGTTTCCCCAGTTGCTCAACGATATCACCTCAGCTGGCCTTACTAGAATGCTCTTGGAAGGGCAGCGACGACTTCATCCAAGACATACATCATCTCAGTCTCAGATACCGCTGCTGCCTTATCGGAAGGCCTTATCGATATGGACAGAGACGTCTTCTGACGCGCTGGCGTGTGAGATGTGACACCGCTATTCAGCCAGGGCTTCCATAGACGGTCTCATACTCGGCAAGCAGGCCACCCACCCAAAAGACCTATCTTCCTTCTTTATTTGTAGGCTCGCCGCACATTCTAAGACAATATATAGGATAACGGTCCACGAACGACATCATCATTCACGGGGAGGCGGACCTTGGAGGCTAGCGTAGCGCGCATAGCCCACATGATGCCTCATGGCGAGCCTGAGAACCCAGGTCCGTGCAGTGCTTGTACTCGTAGTACAAATATCGCATGGGCGACACAGCATAAGGTAGGAACACTGATATTCAGGGTCTGTTCCAGTTCGCCCTCGCCGTCTTAGGTACAGTAGCGGATGCAGAGGAAAGGTTCTACCGGACTTACGATCTATAGGCTTTTCCTTCAACTCGCTCTTCGTACGCTGCCACCCATTGCTCTTTACCTGATTGACATGGCACCAACCTATCTGTGCGTGCTCTAACTGGTAGCCTTTTGGTTCGTTACCGATCTGATCTGCGCTGTCTTGCCATATGACTTGTGTTTTGCCGTTAGTCTCCAATTATTCTCACAGCTGCTACTCTGCCCATTTGTTGCGCTATATGAGCTACATCATTCATGCATATCCTAACATACTGGAGGTATCCGTGTTCCTCGTATATGCTGTGAGATCCTAATCCGCCGCCTGGCCTCTCAGTCAACGCCGAGGATCGTGTGCACGCTGCGCCAGGGAGGACGGTTGTAACCTCAACCATCTCTTCGCTCCTAGTGCTTCTCGCCCTCATTTGAGCGGACATAACAGTGTTATCTTTTGCACAGTCACCTGCGCGAAGCTACGACACCGCAGTCCCACACGCCACAGTCACCGAGGGCAATATTGGTGATACCCATCTGTCCTGTCGTTCCCACACGGGCCTAGGATCTCAAGGCGGCGGTGAGCACTTCGAGCAATAGGGACTGGCTGTGGATAATGCCTCGTCAAGGTGGCGTCAATCCGGCGCTGTTGCTCTGATGGAGCGCCGCATCGGCGACAATGTGGTCCGGCTCTGGACACGACACGTCCTCCTCAGAAACCTACTCATCGTCCGCAGCGTCATCCTTACCAGAACGCGTGTCATCGACAGGACTTGTCCGAAGGATTCCAGAATAGGCCGAGGCCGAGGACGACTCGTCAGAGATCATGACAATGGATCGAGCTCAGCGGACGCTGTCCCCGTGAGTGGTTCACCTTGGTCCTGCCAGTAGTCGTGTATGTCTGTGAGGACAGTGACTAGTGCGCGATGGGCGATGGAAACACGTACTCTAGTATACCCCTCTCGTCCAGCATCGGCAACCGCGAGCGCAATTCTGCTGCCACGATTTCGCCCACTTCATCCCTTGGACTGGCGGCGGTCCACGTGGGTGTCACGGCATTCTGAAGGTTGTCAAATGGAGGAGCGCAGAGGATAGCGTCGAGGTTGAGGAGGCTGTCCGTCAGGTCTATCTCACGGGAATGCATCTGGGATGTTGATACAAGCAGTGAAGTGAATGAGCGCGATAAAGGAGGTGGTTGTGTCGCATTTTTGTTGAGCATCGTCGTACTCTCGTAGAGTTGTTGACTCCAGCAGGAATGATAAAGACCGGACGCGGTAGGATTCAAGAAAATCTGCGTATGGAAAAGAGCTGTCAATATGAGCTGCAAGGGAGGCGACCTCGTCTAGCGCTCACCGGCCGCATCCGGACAGATCCGGACTCCTAGAGTATAGCGCTCATGGGTCCTGCTTCCCCTGGGTCTCATTTGTCGTACAGCTACTCCAATCAACGGATTTTACTCTATGAGGCAGATTGCATAGAAAAAGGTTCAGGGCATCTTCCTGGAGAATATGAGCGCCATCGTTTCAGGATGGCGTAGCGCAGTTACCAGAAGTTTCGGACGGCCTGCTATGAGCAGGGACAGCTCAACAGCAACTGACACAGCGGTATGCAGGAGGACCGACGACGAGTCGAACCGTGGCTGGCGCCAAGGTGAGTGTTCAACTTCCCATGACTTCGGTTCAATGTCGACCTTCTCACCGCTCGCCGAACCTGCCGGAGATGAACTCCACGAGCTTTGTATCCGAGTCTCTGCGGCCGCGTGGTTTGCTCAACTATGTTAAGATGCCTCGATGCAGAGCGTTGCGGAGACCTGACAAGAGCTACATTCCCCTCTCGGAGCAGAGTGCATTTGAACATGAAGATCATCCCAAGTGCGTTCATGTCATCGCTCGTCCGCCCACAAAGTACAACGTACATTCAGGAGCACGGGTGCCCGTCGTAGGGCATGATCCGCATGGGGCTATCATATTCAAAGTGAGACTGACAAGGCACCGAAGGGCGAGATGAAAGGCACCAGTAGTCCATTAGGCATTGAATTGTTGAAGCTTGACAGGGTGCTTAACTTGCTCATTGTTCGCGAAGCTGTGTCAAATACGCATTCCAAGTCACCCGGAGGTCGTGGGCTGCAATTCCCTACTACCTCACCAAAGGTTCTCATACAGTAGTCGTATTCCGATTACGGTCAACAACTGTATGCGTCCCGCAGTCGCATAACACATAATGTTCCGTTGATCTAGCGTCAAATTGTGACCTTCCAAGCACGCCATAGTCGAACGCGCTGTCCACAAGTTTAGAAATTGCAACGAATGCGGTGCATAGATGGTGCGTGTTGAGCGTGTGTTCTCCGAGCGTCTGAAGCGTGACTGGTTACAGGAGCCACAATAATGGAACTTGAGGCCGGGTGAGACGCGAAAAGGCGCCGCTTCCTGTACCCTATATATAACAGCGAGTCGCCATTTCATGCACTTGCGTGGGCGGGGCTGAATACCTCTTGTAGGCGCTTGCATCGCAACATCTCACGCCCCTTCAGAATTCCCCTCAATGCCCAGACTACAGTAGACAACGACATTTTGGTTTGTGATGACATTGGTGTGTGAGAATGGCTAGCTGCTTTCACTCCTGACAGGCGTACTACAGTGGCCACAACTCGATTCGCCATGCTTTAGCCTCTCCATTGGCAATATGGTTGTTCTTCATCAGCACCCTGGGTGCAGAGCACTGGCACGGCGTACTGAAAGCAAATACAGATGCCTGTGAATAGTTGATGGAGGGGAGCGGTGAGGTACGTTCCATTTCCAATGATACTCACAAAGTAGGAGGTTGCGTGCATCGATTGGGGCGGGACCAGTGGTACCAGTAAGGACAAGCGGTCCCCATTCCACGCCTGGTGACGCTCGTATCAGGGCTCGCCTGGAAATAGCTGCACGTCGACCGATTCAGAGTTTGGAGAGCAGAGTGGCAGGTGCATATTCTTAACTCTTACGTCGTTTGCGTCATCAAGTAAAGCGGACCAGATCGCGGTATCCTCGATTTGTCCTGCTCTCATGCCTCGCCCTCTGACGATTCGCTGTCTCATCTTGCGAGATATGGCTGCGATCTTAGGGAACACCTTCCTTCGTTTGCCTTGGCTCACACACTCGCATTCCAGTTTGCCACCCGCCGCTTTTCCTTTGCGATGGATGCGCTGGAAGGAAAATGGCAGGCTATTGATGCTTCCATCTTCCTCATCTGTTCTGCTCCGCAATAATATGGCAAATATGGCTCATAGATGAGCCATTGCGGCCAAGCGTCAGCATCGTCGGAAACGTGACATCATGAGGATGAGTATTGTGCTCATCCTCTGACATAGCCTTTACGACGGTCATCGTGTTTCGCTGCCCTGTCCGCATGCCCTCACACGGCAGCTAACGTTGTCTCCACAACGTAGATCCTTCAGTCAAATGCACACGCACGGTACGAGGCAAACCTCCGCTTCTGACATACTTTCTCGTGACAGGATGGAGCCTTTGAGTAGAATTTGCACCTCTGATACTGTCATTTGGGTCTCAAGATGCCCGCCAAGCTATTGTCTCGTGTCCATGACTCTTGCCTTTGCATGCTAAATTCGATGGTGCCAATCTTACTACATGTAGTGACTAGTTGATTCTGCACAACGAACGGACACAACTACGCCTTCGAGGTATTTTGTAGACAAACGATGGAGCACGTGGTGAATAAAGACTAAGTAGAGCAGGTCTAAAAGAACGAAGATGAAACGCACATACACAAACAGAGCGAAGAGCCCAGCGTACGAAGACTAAATGAGATGAAGGTATATAGAACATGTTTCCAGTAATCCACCTCCATTTATTAGTGAGTCTTCCGGTGTAACGCACAGTTAGAGTGACATCAAAGGCACCGTGAAAGAATGAATACCACATCTATCAAATAACACCAGCTGCGGGTGCGGTTCACGTGTCGAGAATTCAGACTGGTTCGGTGAGAGAAGAGAAAGGCGACATGGGGCGATGGCTGATTTGGAGACATGTCCAGGGATCTTGCAGCAGATGAGTTCGGTACGTCTGCCAGTGTATGCTCGTTGATGAGAGATCAAGGAGACTGACATGGCCGTATCCAGGTGTGAATGAGGAGTCATCCGTGAGCTCAGGTTCACTTGCGTAGACTACTGGCAGTGACTCCAAGGAGCGCTCCCCTGGGTACATCTTTTTTCAAGACTCGCCATGCGATTGCATCGCCGCATGCGCTGTGCGACCATAAAGCTGGGTCTGTCATACTTGACAACATCCCGGTTACAGCTGATTCATATTTTCCCGCTTGTTTTCTGCGTGCCTCATTCCCTTACGAGCCCTCAATGCCCATAGGATTCACATTCATCATCTCGCGAACCTCAAACCTCCGCTCTGATATGCCGATTTTAAACGGGATCTGCAGTGTCGTTCCTCCCTCTGCGCGTAAGACGGATGTAGACCGGGAGAAAGCCAGAATTGCCAACACTTTCCGTGGATTTGCGCGACTGATGCGTACAAGCCTCGCTGTCGGACGCCGGCCGTAGCACGCCAAGCGCAACTCGCAAAGGATTAGTTCTCCTTTAAAGCGGAGTCTTCGACTTCGCACCAAGGGAAAGCAGAAAGACAGAGTTTGCAAACGAACAATTACCATAGTAATTTTATACAAGGAGTGCATCAGCGTCCGAGCCCACATATCTTGTAAATACTGAGAAAGGTGGCATCGGCCAAAACCCTAGTAGTGAGCGTCGTATGCATCCGGCGCTGTAGGAGTTCTCGCAAACCCGAGTCTACTGATGGCGTATGGACGGGCAGTCGCTAGTAGCGGCAGAATCAGTATTATACAGGTCGCATGCCTGCCACAAGTTTCGCCGGCATGTGAATGTATGCACGAGCCTGTCAAGTCTGGAGCAACAGGTACATAAGCGCGAGGATACGTGGAGTATAAATTGACCATGCATGAGATGAAGGAGGACGGGAGGGACGTGTTGGTACAAAGTGCATGAGCGCCCCGCAAGAGATCGATGTCGTGTTCGCGCTCCATGCGTGGTGGGAGGTCGTTAGGGGAACACCACTGAGGAATCAATGTTTCGTACGTGTGAGAGGGCGAGGGCGAGGGAGACAAGGCTATAGCAGCTGTAATGGCGGTGTGTGCGGCGGAGGAAACGTGATGTGTGCCGATCCGAGGCGAATTCGGCGAGAGGAGAGGAGGGCCTGGGAGGGGACATGAATGCAAGTAGACCGGGAGTTCTAGCCGGACGTCGCGAGGCCTACCAGCTCCGGCATGAGCTATACGCGCAATGGCTGTGACTTGGCGGGTGTCAAGCAGGATGTGCTTCAGTCAGCACGCTCGGTGTGATTCGTTTTGATACGAGTGTTCCCTCCGCAGACAACTTGTCACCCATATCTTGATACATGTAGATCAGCACCAATGATCCCTCATAGACACGCAGTCACTGGCACACGTACCATAATCGTCTGAAGCAAATTTCGAGGTGCCGAACCGGCCGTTAAATCAGGAAGTAAACGTTCATCGTGGCACGCAGATTGGGCGGACGTCCCTGGCTCCGCGGATAACTTGTCACCTACACCTTTAATGTAGGTCAGCGTTACTGCTCCCTCGCCGAGATGCAGGCGTACCACCATCGTCTCGCGCAAATTTGTCCAAGGACGTTCCCGGCCCGGCCGTTGCATTATGCAGTACAAATTTATCGTCGCACGCTAATTCGACAGGTATTCGTGCATCCGTAGGAGTCGATGAGGAAGGTGTCTCAGCATCGGCATACATGGCTGGCGGCACCCAGGCGGGCTGCGAGACCGCAGGCACCATGTCTGAGTCTTCATGCGGGATTGTGACAGTGGTAGCGTTATTGGTCCGCTTGTCGTCGTCAGCACCAGCACCTGCATCAGTTACCACAGCATCCTGTGCGGAAGCCTTCTCGATCTTATGACATCTCCATTCACGCGTCTCCATATCCTGGTGCAGTCCAGTCCTGGATAAGCAGTGTGTCAGCGAGATAGAAAGGCGATGAGCTCAGCACACGGCTTACTCCACATTATTCACCCTGATGCTGTGAATGAATACATTGTCATTCGAATAGCAGAGCATACAAGATGAGAGGATACGCACCCCAGAATACCACGTGCATCAAGCATGGGCAAGCACAATCGTAGGCCATGCGCTGATTCTTCGTCTTGTACATTAGGTCCATCCAGCGTACTGATGTATATGATGACGTCGGTGAGGTTCTTGAAGAACGGCTGCGAGAACATGGCATCAAGCTGTGGGAGCCCATCCATCAGCTTTCTCAGATATACGTCGAGCTTTACGCCGAGGGGATCAACAGGCTGGAAATCGACTTGAATCCTTGATAGATGGGCGGATGTAACCTGTGACAGGATCTCCACCACCGGAGCACACGGATGTGATAAATTCTCGCGATCGACGTCGACTGCGAGATCAAGGCGTTCGAGGCACGGATTACCAGACACATCGAAGTATGGGGCTATACATATGGGTTGTAAACGTGAAAATGAAACATATAGGGGACGGACCTGCACTGTGATCTACATGCACCCATTCATCGGCGTCTTGAATCTCATACATCATTAAGTATGGCTCGAATGAAAGATGGCGGAGTGATTGTGAATGCTTGACGAGCCTGTTAAGGGCGGCGTCGCACGCTGTTGTAACCCGGGGTGACGAGGGCAGAGAGGAAGCAATGCGCCGAAGTCTTTCGCTGATACCAGTGGCGATGAAAAGGTCCACAAGGTCAGCCACAGAACAAGGGTCCAAGCGATAGCGGGAGCTTTGTGGCAGCTCGACATCTGCTAGATGTAATGGTAGACCAGGGTGCACAGGAAGACGTCTGAGGTCAAGGCCATGTTTCACGAACACGTATGATCCGTGTAACACGAGGCCTTCGAGTGCAGGGAGAGCGCACAGGAGGCGAGCAAAGGTCGTGACCGAGGGAAACGTGACAGCACCGAGTGTCAACCATCGAACGGCGCTCCAAGGGGACACCTGCGCAAGATCAAGAGGAGGGACTAGGCGCCTCCCCTTACTGACGACAGCCATGAGGTCGACTAATTCAACAAAGGAGGGTCTCAGCTCCAAGCCGCCGTGCCCAGGGCCGAGATCGAGTGCCTCCAGCTGCGAATGCGGCAGAAGATGGAATCGAGAGATAGTGCCTGCATCAAGGGAAGGAAGGGTGAATTGGACATCACCGAGAGCGAGCTTTTCGAGGCGCGGGAGAGCGCAGATGAGACGACCAAGTGTTAAAATCGACGGGAAGATGACGTCGTAGAGGTGGAGCTCCCTGATCGCAGACGCGGCCAGATCACGCACGACGGCGTCCAGATCCAGATCCCGCGCCCGCCACACCGCGTTGATGATCCACAGCTGCCTGATCCGGAGCCATCTCCCTGCGAGCCTCGACGCGAACGTCGCCAGATGTGGAATCCGTCGGCGCTCGTCTTCGCTGTTCCCGCCCTCGATGAACACCCTCTCTGGCCCACTCCAGCGTCGCAATATACCACCGGAAACATCCACCTTGATGCGCTCCACATTCTCTACATTCTTGAATATCATGGACCATTCTAGGCACTCTTCCGCCATCGGCTTAAACTCCCTGCACACCACCCTGCATCGTTCCAATGTGTCGTACTCGCCTTCCTTGGCAAAGCCATGGAAGATGTCCAACCATATCTCGTTTGGGAACGGCCGCACCATGGTATGCAGAGCTTCACAATGTGTCAGTGATCCTGTCTATTGAGATGTCTGTATGCATCGCGATCACGCTATCTGACAGAGCTCACGGGAATATCGCAGTATCAACGGGAGGTCTTCAGCCAGTCTGCCGTGCTTTGACGAGCCGCAGTCGAGACGAGGTGCGTACAGCCAGTTGATATACATTTGCTGGATACATCAAACCTTAGCATGGCATAGCTTCCATGCATCGCCTGCTGATTTGATCCATGTGGCTCACTTCTCAACCTTCTTTGAGCGTCTTCTGTTTATTGCTGCCGCCGGCCAATCCAAGGTTTCCCAAGTTGCTCAGTGATATCTCCCATGACTGTCATGTACACCCCAGCTGGCCACTAGAATGCTCTCGAAAACGCAGCGAGGGCTTCAACCAAGACATACACTGTCTCAGTCTCAGACAGCGCTGCCGCTTTATCAAAAGGCCTTTTCCATGTGGACAGAGACGTCTTCTGATGCCCTGGCGTGTGAGATGCGACTCCGCTATTCAGCTGGGGCTTCAATGGACGGCCTCACACTTGGCCAGCGGGCCACCCACGCAAGGGAGCTATCCTCTATCTACATTTGTAGGCTCGCTGCACGTTCTAGAACAGCTTTTCATAGCAATGACGGTCTGCGAACAACCTCATCATTCATGGGGCGACAAACCTTGGGGGCTGGCGCAGCGCCCATAGCTCACATGATGCCTCCTTACTCGCCTGAGCGAGCCTGAACACCCAGCTCCGTGCAATGCTTGTACTTGGAGTACACATGGCGCATGGGCGACACAACATAAGGCAGGAATGTCGATTTTTAGGGTCTGTTCCAGTTCACCCTCGCCATCTCAGGTATGCGTATATTCATGTCGCCGCAGTTGATTTCTGCTTATGTACCCATTGATTCCTTTTTGCTTGCAGGTACTATGTGGCCGCTCGCAAACGGCATCTCCGAGTGACGCAGAACTAAGCGATAGGCCACGAACACGTCCTTCCTCAATCCAACTCCTTGCCTTAAAGTCAGCATGAGCATCGTGAACGGTCTCGTTAATTAAGCGGTACGTCAAGCAGAGGTCCTTGTTCGCCTTTGAGATGTCATATCTGAACAGATGTGTTGCCTTCGCTGGATCATAGGACATGTTGCTGATAGGAAAATCAGCACCGGCGTTGCCTGCAGTATTGAGTACAGTGAAATTGGTGAGCGCACTGCATTTAAAGAGGATCCCATCCGAGCTTGTCCTTGTTCTTCTCCATAGACTCCCACGGGGCGTGCTCGGCAAGGGTCTTGCTCGCGCAATACTCACTGTCCTGTCTGACATTTCCGTCGTTCGCGTTAGCGTCCTTGATCGCCTGCTCGTTCCAATGTTCCTCCGTGAAGACGTGCAGCGTAGTACCGAAGCCCAAGGCAGATGCCGCGGACGACGTGACGACTACGCATTTGACAGAGCTTCCGTGTGCAAATGCGGACTCGAGCATGTGGGGAGCACCGAATATCCCTGGAAAATGATCTCGTCTGGCTCGCCTACCTAGTATTGTTCCTAGCTTGGCGTGGCTCGAAAGCCATGGCTTTGGCCTGGCTTCAGAGAGCCCGGGCCTCAGCGAGTGCTGAGCCAGGCCCTGGCGGCAGGCTTTGGCCTGGCTCAGGCTTGGCCCGGGCTCAAGCCATGGCTTGTTACCTTCTCACACCTGATGCACGGCGGCTGATTATGGGCTGTGCATCGAGTGCGGGGGTCGTTAGAAGAGGTCTGTATTGAAGTAAGTAGCTAGAGGGATAGTAGCCGAGAATTTGAATGCGCTATTGAGGACACTCAAGGTCACATGTTGGATGTCTGTCTCGGAGACAGCTATTCAGCATGAAGCGCCCATTCTCCCACAACATACGAAGAACATTTACACATTACCATGGAGTTTCCAACACTGCGGAGATGTACTAGAATATTTGTCAAGGTATGTGCTTGTGCCTCCTGCAACCATATCATACTAATAGGGTGCAGTGCTGGAGCTCCGGACTAGTACCACAAGCCCCGGGCTTGCTGGCCTGGCTCGTGCTTCCTCCCAGCAAAGCCAGGCCCTACCGGAGGGCTTGCACAGGGCTTTGGCCTGGTTTGGCCTGGCCTCTCCGGGCTTGGCCTGGCCTGGCTCGGGCTTCTGAGCCAGGTCCAGCACAACACTACGCCTACCCTCTGATGGACTGGAGAGGCGGTGTGCTCGTTGGCGTCTGCGCCCTTGACAGCCTCATCGAACGCGCTGACCTTCATCTAAGCATGCTTAGGCTTGGTTGCGGATGGAGAGCACGCACGTCACGGTGAGATCAGGCACATCCTCTAGGTCTAGCTTGTAACCGTGGCCTGCGAACATTCGCACACCTCTACTTTGGAGCGTATGGTTACGCGAACAGAGTAGCCGCTCTCAAGGAGAGTGCGTAATGATTCTTTGCTTTGTACCTTGTATATGCTCTTACTGACACCATCTCTAGCTCGCTCCATTCTCGACCTCCTCAGTCCTTATTCATAATGCGCCTTATTATCCTATAAGAATCCCTGGAGGCGTCCTTATGCCCTTTCATAGTGCGGGATTAACAAATCAATGGACGCAGTCAGAACCTGCACTATTGAATTGTGCAGGCGGAGACAAAGGTTTTGGACGTGATACCATAGCTTGGCCAGTACTTTGAGTCACAGATGACAATATGAAAGGTACAAATACTACTCAAAAGGTATAACCTATGGCGAGGAAGTGATTGGCAGTGGTGAGGGGCGTCGGCGCGATGGTCATGAGCCTGGGCGTGTGCGCAGGGCCTAAGATGATTGCCAGGGCGTCACGCGATATATCTTGCTGCCCAGTGCTACTGGTATATGACGAGGACATTCATGTCCCGGTCTGTAATGTGTGTATTCCATATACAAGCATTTCGTGTACCCGGTTTCTCGGTCTCGTTCCGATTATGAGAGGACGCACCATGTGGAATATGTGCGCTACGCCGGCCTCCGAAATTTATATTCACCGCCTCACATACAATGAAGGCTGGTCGCGTTCCATGGGCAACTTACATGGCCAACCACCACCGAGATTGGCGGCTACAATACGACACTGTTCATCCAAGCAGCTGAACCGCGCATTGGGACTCTTGAACGGGTTCCGGTGGTACATGATCCGACCCGAGGCTATGGTGAGATGCTAATTAAGATATCGGAGGCAGTTGAGGATACCAATGAACGACGAGCATCAAGACTTCGGTTGGCTAGTGGTCTCAATATATCTTTCACAGAAGGCGCTCATATGGCCTGGAGCGTTGAGCGATGTCAATGACACGAATCGAAGCAGCACGCGATCCGTGGTAAGCCGGGCCTTGCTGATGGAGGGTCCCCGGATCTCAGCACATATATATATCAACGGCCTATACGAAGCGGATGTGTACGCGCTTTGACTGGTCTGCGCCCCATCCACTTCCATCACAAATTACGACGTCTCACAAGACCGAGAGCCTCCCATTGACACTGTTCGGTGAGCTCCGCCTGGAAGCGCGCTTGAAGTGCATACAGATATCTTACTGGATGAGACCGGAACATTGTAGAGCTCTGCATATCATGGTGTTGCCTTTCCCGAATGAGATATGGTTGGACATCTTTCATGGTCTGGCCAAGGAAGGCGAGTACGACACGCTAGAAAGATGCCGAGTGGTGTGCAGAGGATTCCACTGGATGGCGGAGGAGTGCTTATTGCGAAGCATGGTGTTCAAGAGTACAGACGAGGTGGAGCGCATCAAAGTGGAGGCTTCGGGCGGTGAGATGCGGCGCTGGCGTGGGCCAACGTATGTGCACATCGAGGGCGGGAATGGGATTAACAAACACCAACCGATCCCACATCTGGCGACGTTTGCATCGAGGCTTGGCGGGAGATGGCTCTGCGTCAAAGAGCTGCGGATCTCCTTCGCGATGTGGCGGGCGCGTAATCTCGATGCTGACGCTGTCTTCCGCGACCTAGCTCGCTTCCCCTCGATCACCGACCTCGGCCTCAGTAACGTCATTCTCCCTGCGATTCTGACGCTTGGCCGGTTGGTGTGTGCACTCCCATGCCTCCAGAAGCTCGGTCTCTTCAATGTGGAATTCATTCAGCAACCTTTCGAGGCCTCCACCGTTTCTCAATTCCGTCTTCTGCCGCGCACGCAGCTCGAGACGCTGTCGTTGGGCATGGCGTACGACGGGTCCGTGCCAACTCCCGACTTCGTTGAACTGGTCAACTTTATAGCTGCCGTCAGTAACCGCATACGCTTGGCTCCCATTTGTGATCTGGCGCAGGCGTATCTATGGAGCGCCGTCCGAACACTGCATCTCTCGAGTATCGTCTTTCCCTCAGTCGCGACATTTGCTCGTCTCCTGTGCGCCCTTCCCTCTCTCGAAGGCCTCTATTTCGAGTGGTCATGCACGTTTGTGAAGCACGGCTTTGACTTTCGAAGCACTCCTGTGCACCCAGGTTTACCGCCACGACTGGTGACTCTCTTCCTGGACTTCAGCACGGGCGTCGACCTTCACTCAATAGCTGATCTTGTCGACGTCTTCATCACTACTGGCGTTAGTCACAAACTTCAAGACATAAAAATTTGTCCGTCTCCATCCCTCCAGTTGATGTCAGAGTCCGATGTCTGCCTCAATAGGCTCGTGAGACATTCTGGGCAATCATTGCATCGCCTCAATCTCGGCGCGCCTGCAACCTGGCGTATACCTGACAACAAATACGTGTGGCTTGCCGCAGACCAGAGTGCAGGTGCGTTTCATATAATGATTCCGCTTCCATATTGACAGCCGGTGTACAAAGCTCCGTATTTCGATCTTTCGGGGAACACGTGCCTGGAACGTCTGGACCTCACTGTCACCATCACTCATGAAAATAGATCATGTCTGTGTACTCCTGTGGTCGACATTCTATCCCATGTGACATCCACGCAGATGTCTAGGATTGCAGTGGAATTCTGCCCTCGTGATTATCGCGACAATTCATCGGACGCAGACTGGGCAACACTAATGGCTGGGCTCCTACAAATCGATACTGTCCTCTCGTGGCCGGTCTTCAAAAATCTGGTCCATGTCTCCATTCATGTCATCATGTTTGATACTTCGGACGTCGGAGATGAAGAACGGGCGGACGAGCTAAGAGCGTGCTTACCCAAGCTTGATGGACGCGGTATTCTAGGGTGTGTAACGATGCAGTTGTGCAGCCTGCTGCTTCGTTGACAATGTACCCGATTTGTAGCATGGAGCTGAACGACACTCGGTATGCTATAGTCGAGCTCACCATCTTTCCAGCTCGCTGACGCAGAATCTCCAGGGTCGGAGTGCACTGGGACGATAAGACCGGTTGCTGGAAACGTTACGGGATAGAGAGGGGCGCCGCACAGGGCACTGTAATGACCGAAGAAGTGAGCATGGCTGATGGCGGCACCTGTGTGTCCCCTTGCGACGACTCAGAGGCAGTGCCTGCGGCGTTGGGGATCGTCTCAGTACCAGCAGCAGCGCGTGCTAATGCCCAGCCACTTTCCTCGTCGTATCCCATAGACTCGCGAGTAGTTGCCGAAGGGTGCAATGATGGAATCGCACCGCAGGATGCGGTGGCTGCTTTGGAGACATGTTCAGGTATCCTGCAGCATATGAGCTCGGTATGTCTGCCAGCGTATGCTCGTTAGCAAGGGATAAACGAGACTGACGTTGCCCTATCTAGGAGTGAATGAGGAGGAGTCGGTAGACCTAGGTTCACTCACGTAGGAACCACTGGGACTGAACAAGGGGCGTTTACCGCAATATATCTCTTTCAATACTCGCCATGCAAATGCATCGTCGCATGCACGGTGGGGCCATTAGGCTGGACTCATCATGCTCACGAACATCTCGGCTACGGCCAATCCCATATTTTCTCGCTCGTCTTCTGCGTAACACCTCATTTCCTTGCGGGCTCTTGGCAACCCCATAGAATCACATCGTTTCATGCACCCCGAGCTCTCGCTCTGATATGCCGACTCGCAAAGAGCTTTTGCAGCGATGCTCCTCCCTCCACGCGTAGGACACGAGAGCCTTCCGGGGGAGCTGATCGTCAGCATGTCCAGGAGATGGAGTCTAGGAAGACGACGCATTTAGACATGGACGGCCAGGAATCAGGTGGGCGTGGTGTACTGCAAGTGACGAGAGCAACTTGCAGGAGCAGGCATATAAATGGGCATAAGCAGCAGCGCGAGTAGGATGGACGCAGAGTGAGAATGAGGAGCGAGCGATCGACACAGGCGATCACCGGGCCGCCGTTGCCACCACCATGATGGCTACTCGTAGATCGACTTCCATCATCGCATGCGCCGAAGACAGTCTACATTCTACATCCGCTCTTACATGTAAGGATGAACGCCGCACACCATGTAAACAGAAACCCCGCACGAATATTGAAGATGTCTTTGTTGCACTAGCAACTTCAAACGTCTGCGATGTTCCATATCGCATTGGCTGACAAGATGATGGGAGATGGAACTAACCGCTTGGCGGCGTACAAATCCGCCCTCCTTCCATATGTAGAGCTTGGTAAGCCTTGCTCGCTCAGTCGCTTGCCTTACAAACCTTGTCATACTGACCAACCTGATGTCTCATGAGCTACAGCAGTTTCTGAGCAGGCAATGACAAGGCCAACGCATTGGTGGCGCCTGTGCGACCGCGCGATGACACTTCATTAGCTTAGCGAGCTGAACGTGAGCGGTACCTTTGCTGACTGACTACGCCAGCTTGAGGCCTGTCGTGCCTTCTCTGCATGAACACACGATCCCGACGGCGATGTGACAATGTCGATCGTGTGATATATAAGGCTCGCTCTACAAGGCGAATTTGGCACCAGATCATCCTCCTCACTCGTATTCCTCAACTCGCTTCAGCATTTCTTTCTTACACGTAACTGACGATGTCGCACGGCAAGCAGTTCACCTTGTACACCCACCAGGCCGGCCCCAACGGCTGGTAAGCCACTGTTTCCTGTAAAAGGCCTGAATTACCCGTCATGAACTCTCATAAACAGGAAGGTCGCGTTTGTCTCGACTGAACTCGGTCTGACCTACGAGAGCATCTACCTCGACTTTGGCAAGAACGAGCAGAAGGCTGCTGAGTACACCAAGTACAACCCCAACGGCTGTATCCCGACCTTGATTGACCACAAGAACAACGACTTCGTTGTCTGGTGTGTTCGGGAGACGCGTTGCGCTAGATGAATGGCTAATAAGGATATTGCAGGGAGTCCAACGCGATCATCGTCTACCTTGCCGAAAAATATGACACGGCGCATCGCATCTCTGCGTCGACGCCAAACGATAAGGTGTTCGAGCTCCAGTGGCTCTTCTTCCAAGCCTCTGGCCAAGGGTGAGCGCCTCCTTCATTGTAGTCTTGCAACGAGAATGCATGCTGACTACGATACGCTTTAGCCCATACTTCGGTCAGGCCGCCTGGTTCAAGGTCTACCACCCTGAGAAGGTCCCTAGCGCGATTGAGCGCTACCAGAAGGAGACCGCGCGTGTCATCGGCGTTTTGGACGGCGTGCTCTCCAAGCAGGAGTGGCTTATTGGCGGCAAGTACAGCGTTGCCGACATCGCATTCGTGTCGTGAGTCTTACGGTTTTTTGTTCTACTGGACTTGGGTGATACGATGTTTGCACATTAGGTGGACCAATGTTGCCTTGGCCCTGGTTTTGCCGGACGCGCAGGGCATCAACGTCGAGAAGGACTACCCGGCATTCTGGGTGTGAGTCATCTCCGCGCTGTATGGTTTCTATTTCACTGATGGGCACCGACTCGTTATAGGTGGCACCAGAAGCTGATGGCACACGACTCGATTAAAGCCGTGTGGGCTGAGAGGGCGGCTGTGCAGTCGTAAAGGCTCGGCGGTAATATGGTTAGATCTTCATGAGTGAAGTGCTCTCAGGCTTAAACATACAAAATTAACATGAATTGACGATATCTGTCGGCTCCGAAGTCGCACAAAGTTTGGATGAGTCATGTGCTAATGTCATTGAGAGCTGTCAAACGACTGTCCAACATAAGTCGCTGCGTCGAAGAAGCGTCGCCCCATGGGAATACCCATGCGAGGAACTGTTGGAATAACGGTGCGACAGCGCGGCGAGCGCGTTTGTCCACGGGCGTAGCGATGCCCGTAAGGGACAATCGCGTAGCGTACATACATCGCGCGCGGTCGTTATATACTACGATAGGGGCCTCCGGCCCCCGGCTACTCGCGCGTCCGAGCTTGCGAGCTCGTACCTGACCATGCGCTCCAACAACTACAGCATATAGTCGTATATCGGACGAAGGACGAGTAACGTCCTTCGGGAGGTATCCAAGCCTGAGGGGCGGAGAAGTCGACGAACACAATCAAATCGGGAAGGGCCGTCCACAGTTCGCACTTTAAAATGGTATTGACGTCACTCGGTGCGCATTATCCGACATTCACGGGATATGCCGGCTCAGCCTCCAGTCTGCACATGCACATTGCGGACCGAAGAGGTCTCTGCATTGATCACTTGAAGCAGATGATTAGACGCATCGCTAGTGGGCATCAATACCATGGGGGAGGACGTGTACACGAGTGCGCCATAATCTTCTAACGTTAGACCAAGTTGCAACCTTCCATGCGCGCAGCAATCGCCGTTCATCGAGGGCTTACTTCTGGCCCCCCGCTTTGTAACTTTCGGAGTGGTACTGCGGACATCAGATGGACGCGATGCGCATGTGTATATGCGTCCTTTCTAGCCTGCACGCACAAGGCGATCAAATGAGATGAACGAGGGTGACGCGGAGACGAATGGGACTGAAACACCTCGGTGATCGTAAACGAGGCCTGAGCGATAGGAGATACTGAAGGACATGAGGCGAGGCAAAATATCACAGCCATCGCTTCGTTATGTATCATATAATCTGCGAAGTGGGTGAGGTTGCGCACCTCTGCTACGTCCGGTTCCTACCACCGTCTCGAGTCGTCGCTGATCTCCTCTCGCCGAGCGGGATACAATAAACGGCGCGTCAGCGGTCCATAGATCATTGCAAGAGTCGTGGAGGAGACTGAAGGTCATAGGGTGAGCCAATGTGGCCAAATGCGCCGCTTTCTGAGCTCCCGGAGTAAATCATCAGCTCATATGACGCGCAAGGACGGTGGTGCTGCGTACCTCTGCTCGACAGTCATATCGCGATCGTCCGTGACCTGTCGAATCTTCGCTCGACGCCCAGGTCGCATTATATTGCAAGGTAATATCGTGATTTGAAATTGTCAGCCGCACTTACATACCACACAATCCCGACAGCCATGCCATGGCCTCTCCCGGTAAAAGTCTGGTTGCTGATCATCGATGAACTGGGGGCACAAGGCGAATACGATGCGTTGGAGGCATGCGCAGATGCCGGGGGAGGCCTGCTGAAGGAGAGAGCGAAGAGGTACATTCCAAAGGAAATGACATTTAGGACGCCGGAGGAGGTTGCGAGCATCAATGTGGGGCAGCGCTGGAAGGGACCAGAGGAAGTGCACATCGTGGGAGGGAGGCGAGGCGGTGAGCGGCTTCCGATCCCACACCTGGCAACATTCGCGTCGAGGCTCGCAGGAAAGTGGACCAATGTAAACGAGCTAACGATCGAGAGGGCGGAGTGGCGGGTGCAGGATCTCGATCGGGCTTCCCTCTTACTCGATTTAGGCTATTTCAACAACGTCAGGGAGCTCTGCCATCTCGGCGATGTCGAGGTCGTCCAGAATGTCATCGATACCCAGACGCTCTCGGCCTTCGGCCTTCAACGGCGCGCTACCCGCCTGGTCGAGATACATGTGCAGCGGCGCACTGGATCACTCACAGCGCACTCCAGGTTCGCTGGACTTCTAGCGCTGACCATTCCATTCCTCAAGACACCTCCGAGGAGAAATGTTCGGCATCTGGGCCTACAGAATGTCACTCTTCCGACGCCTGGAGTATTTGCATGCTTGCTTTGTGGCCTTCCTGACCTGAAACGTCTCATCATCGAAGGACCGTGCACGTTCCCCGGTTCTCGAAACATGGATTTGATCATAGACATATCCATGTGGACATGCCCTTTTCATTGCGGTTAAATACACTCGAGTTCGGCGACGACTTCTCCCTACTTTCCGATCTTCAGTCCCTGCATGATCTCGTCGACTTCTTCATACAAACCGGTACCACTGCCCGCCTGATATCACTCATCGCTCCGCTGGGCCCGGATACGCCTCAGCCACAGCACAGATTGAAGCTCCACCGCTTCTGAGGTCCCTCATGTCCTCATGGTGTCCATAGCGCGCGCAGTATCCCCCCCCCCTCCCGGAAGCCGAAATCACATCCTATGCTTGCGATACAGTTGTGTGCCCCTCGCTATCGACCGCCAATCCTGCACTTCGATCTGCGGGTCCACGCGCAGTCGCTCCCTCCGCACGTTGCCCTCCCATTGCTCCTGTGACGACTCGAGCCTTCCTCGGGCGCTCATTTGCCGCGTTCATATCCGTTCTCGGCCAACTGCGTCTCGAGTGCACACCTCTACACGCGTGTGCGCGCCTCGCGCTGCTTGCGGCGCTACAATCCTGCCAATTTACCCTCGGGATGACATCGATTCGTTACCGTCTTCCACAGTGCTGTAATACTGCTCGTATTCCGTTACTATGTATATTCAGATCGTAACTACTCGTTCTTCCTCCATTTATGTCGTATCCACACGACTTCTCATTCTCTCCGCCCCTGCAGTATCCTATATGCACCACTACCCAAGCCCGCGCTCTCCTCATCTCGCTTTCTCGTATGTATTCTCTACGTCGTTCAAATGTAGGTCCTCGATGTCTCACAATACATGTACACCTCAAACTTTGATGCACGGACGTTCTGCATTCTTCATCCTCGTGCACGCCCTCTGCTTCGCCACAGTATGGCCGGAAGTGCAAATACATGCCTAGTTTCCGTCAGTGCTTCGTTAGCGACGTCTGTTGATCGTCGAATGGACGGCTAGCGCTGTCATCGATGACCTTGGCGTAGTGCATATTTGTGGTGTGCTGAGCAGCCAGCTATGCAAAGGCCGGAAACGACCTCAATAGTACGATACTTTGATTATACTCAGCGGCTGTATGCACCTAGATGTCCCTGTTGGGACAATGCGGACGTGTATCAGACGAGAAACGAGTTATGTACAACTGGAGACCCGCAGGCCTAGAGGCTGGGGAAGCGACACATTCAGTCGACATGGGATAAGGCGATCCATCATCCAGATTGTGATGGTTCTCTACGACGCTCGACGGGCATTGCTCCATATAAAGCGCCGACGTGTACCATTCAACCTTGTGCGGTTCGCAGCCCGCGGGGGCTCTGAATCGAATGTTATGACAACCATCAAAGCGAGGCTGCGTACATACCTTTGCTCGACACTCACGTTGCGACTATCCAGATCCTCTCAGGCCTTCATTCGACGCATAGTCCGTCATGGACAATATGCCCAGGTGCGTGACGATGTTGTGATACAGAATGTTCAGCTGCGCTCACCCGCAACAGTACTGTCACAGACACAGTTGCGGCGGCTGTGCTTCCGCATCTCCCGGTGGAGATTTGGTTGTCAATCATCGATGAGCTCGGCGCACAACGCGAGTATGATGCGTTGGAAGCATGCGCAGCGTTCACTGTAGGAGTGCTCCAGGAGAGAGCGCAGACGTACATTCCAGACACAATGACATTCAGAACGCGAGAGGAGGTTGTGAGCATCGTTTTGAGGCGACGCTGGGAAGGACCGCAGACGGTGAACATCGTGGGAGGAACGCGTCGTGGCGAGCGGCTTCCGATTCCGCACCTGGCGACATTCGCGTCGAGGCTGGCAGGAAACTGGACACACGCAGACACGCTGATGATTGAGAGAGCGGAGTGGCGGGGGCAGGATCTCGATCTCCATTCCGTCTTGCTCGATTTGGCCTTGTTTGATCGGATCGGCTGGCTGCACCTCTACGAAGTCACGTTTCCGACGGTCCTGTCCTTTTGGCGCCTCGTCTACACCTTTCCACGCCTCAACAGTCTTCATCTCTATGATGTCGATATCATCAAGGCCGACATTGATGCACGGACACTCGCAGCGCTGCACCTCTTACCCGCTAGGCGGAACTTGAACAGAATGTACCTGCTGCCACCCGCGGAATCCAGTGACGAACGACCTGCATCACTCGCAGCGCACTCCGCCGCTGGGCTACTGCAGGTGATAATAGCACAGGCCGTCCCGTCTTTCGAGACATGCCCTTGGAGAAACATCGAGCATCTGCATTTTGGAGATGTTACCCTTCCGACCGCTGCAGCCTTCGGGCGCTTGCTCTGTGCCCTTCCCGCCCTCAGAGAGCTCGCCATCTATGGACCATGCATATTCGCAGAACACGGCTTCAACTCCAGCGACGTCCGTATACTCGCAGGCGCTCCATCACGATTGGCACGAGTCGATCTCGGCGCGGACTTCTCTACACAGTCTAATCCTCAGTCCGTACACGAGGTCGTCGACGTCCTCGTTCATTGTAGTGCCAGTCGCCGCCTGAAGCATATCGCGGCCTGGCCGTCCCCGTCTTTGCGTGTGCTAACGAGCATAGATGTCTCCCTCAATAGACTCGTCAAGCATGCTGGCCAATCGCTGGAGAGCCTTACACTCGCAGCGCTCCCGCAAGGCAGCTTACCGCTGTCCAACGATGTGTCAACATGTGCATTCCCGAGCGCAGGTGTGTCCTGTAATATGATCTTTCCCAGTCTACTCACCGTAATACACCATCCCTCCAGCCCGATGTTTTGACGTCTCGGCGAATACACGTATCCTGCGCCTTGAATGTTCAACGACAATCGCCAATGAGGACAATCCATTGATTGCTCTCTTGTTGGAGCTTCTTTGCCAGACCCCATTAGAACACATAAACTATATCAGGTTGATCTTCCACGTGAAGAACGAGGTGGATTCTGGAAAGCTGTGGGCTAGCCTCTCACACCTCGGTGCAGTCCTGTCCCGAGGCTTTATCAAGCTGTATCATGTTGCAATAGAACTGCATGGTGTACCCGAATTCACAGAGAGCCATGAAGCGATTGTGAGGTCATGGCAACAAAAGCTGCTCACATGGTGTGTTCTAAAGTACGTACTTCCATGGCATCCGCACTGCTAGTTTGACGAACGTGCCTCGTCTATAGCTTTGACGTTGTAGAAGCATCAGGTACAGTGTTCACCGAGCGCCAACTGGTGAATCGATTACTGACTACCGGTGCCTACAGGTACACAGCATCATCTCTAGAATGCCCTGGCTTGTAGCGGGTGCAGAATGCATCCCATCATCCCCTTTCTCATCATGCATTATGACAGTATTCTCTTCCCGACAATACGTCATATCATTTGTGGACATTTGAGCTGCGAATATCCCAGATCCATGCGCGCATGTCGGATCCTCATCTGATGCAACCTGGCCGAGCCTTGGCCTCTATGCAAGCCGACTGGCACGCTCGGTCCATCTTCATTGCTTATCCCTCATGTCCGACAGGAGGCTCGGCAGCTCCTGCGCGGTCGACTGCGTCGTGTTCAGACAATCTTACGTTCAGCCCGAGCAGCTGCTCCAACTTGACGCCATCGGGATGTCGCCGGAATGACGCAGATAACGGTGTGCCTCGGAGACACTCCTCGAGATTTAGCGTTCTCCGCCAGCTGGAATACACGGCCCGCAGGAGTACCCACCCGGGGAGCTTGTATCAGGGCGTCTGGTGGAGCAAGTCGAATGAACACACTGAGACCGCCCCGGGCCTCCGCCCGCGACATACGGCGGCACAGGAAACACGCGTACCTTGCTTGTATTCCAATCATGTTCGAGGGCTGTATCCGTACCGCAATCACACGGCATCTAGCCGAGACGCCTCTGCCAGAACAAGGCCATGCGTCAGACGAAGGGGCAGGCTGCATACATCAAGAAGCTTGCGGGGCGTGCGGATGACATCGTCAATCACTCATTGGACACGAGAAAGGGTAGTCCGCATTGACCCGCTGTGGGAGTGTCATTGGCGACACTCGATGTGCGATGCTCGCCACCAGTTGCTCTGTTAATGTCTGTGGTGCGCAGACCGCGAGATCTCTGCGTCGGTTGGTGTAACAATATGCACGGGCACATCCCATTGGTCTGCAGTTAGATCGGCCCGCGGTCGCCGATGCACGCCGCTGGAGTCAACGCCTATCAAATGGTTCTTTCGAGGATCCCTGGATTTAGGTTTAGGAGTGGTGCCGGGGGGGAATGGATGAACGCGATGCACATGGTGATCACGCGGCCTTTCCAACCGCCGGACCCGAAATGATACGATCAGATGAGGAAAGCGAGGGCGGCGCGGTGCCCAACAAGGCAGAGACGCATCGATGATCGTGGTGGAAGCCTCAGTCGACGATGATGTTGACGGACACGAGGCGGGACGCAGGGATCACAGGCACCGCCTCGCCAGCTTATCATATGATCTGCGAGGATGGCAAGGCTGCGCACCTCTCCTGCGACCGTGCCGAGTACTCGTCTTCAACCTTCTCTCGCCGAGCGGGGGCACGATTAAAAAACCAAGATTCGACCTTTTCTCGCCGAGTGGGGGCACGATGGAAAGACCAAGAACAAGAGTGAAACGGCTGAGCGAATTGGAGAGCCCAAGAATGCTGAGAAGAACATATTTGGGCAGGTGGAGTGACGAAGAGTGAGTCGGGGAGACCTCGATCTCCGCTTTATGTGCTCCTGGGGTAGATCATTATTCTATATCATCTACAAGGTCGGAGGTGCATCCTATTTTTGTGCGAGACTTGCTTCACGACCGGGCAAGACTTCTCGGATCCCCACTCAACACTAAGGTTACAATTGACGAGGCATGCGAGTACGTGGCGGTATTATCATACCAAATCGTCAGCTTCATTCACCACTACTCGAAGGACATCCCCGGCCATGCTTCGGCCTCTCCCACTGGAGGTCTGGTTGCAGGTCATCGACGAGCTCGGTGCGGAAAGTGAATACGACGTGTTGAGAGCATGCTCAGAAGCTAGCGACGGGTTGCTTCGAGAGAGAGCAGAGAAGTACATTCCAACCAAAATGGCATTCAGGACGAAGGAGGAGGTTGCGAACATCAACCTGGAGTTACGCTGGACGGGTCCACGGCGGGTGCACATCGAGGGGGGCAGGCATGGCGGCGAGCGGCGTCCGATTCCGCACCTGGCGACATTCGCGTCGAGGCTCGCACCAAATTGGACTGACGTGCAGGCGCTGACGATCGAGAGGGCGGAGTGGCGGGCGCACGATCTCGATCTGCGTACCCTGCTGCTCGATATAGGCCGCTTCGACAGGATCACAACCCTCCACTTGTATGACGTCACGTTTCCTACCGTCCTGACGTTCTGGCGCCTGGTGTGCGGGCTCCCAAGCCTCACGCAGCTGTTCTTCCGTGGCGTCGAGATTGTCAATACCGCAGTCGATGCACGGGCACTCTCGGCCTTGCGCAGTCTGTACACCACCAGCCTGAGCGCAGTACTGGTGCGGCCGCCCGTCGATATCAGCCTCGAGGAACCTGAAGCGCTTACAAAGCACTTCACTGGGCTGCCGACACAGTTCTTGCCATTTCTCAGGGCACCGCCGTGGAGATATATCCGCAATCTGTACTTATGGGATCTCACACTTCCGACGCCTGCAGCCCTCGCGAACTTGCTTTATGCCATTCCTGCCCTCATGGTCATCGGCATCGACGGACCATGCAGGTTCTCGGAGCGTCGCTCTGACTCCACAGAAATTTGGTCTCTGCATCCAGAAGAGCTACTGAAATTAAGAACCGTCGAGCTGGGCAAGATGTTCTCCCTGTGTTCTGATTCCCGGTCTGTGCATGACCTCGTCGACCTCCTCTTTAGAGTTAATTCCGATGGCAAATTAAAGACTATAAAAGCTTGGCTGTCCCCATCCCTGGGTGTAACAACAAGCATAGACGTCGCTCTCACAAGGCTCGTTGGGCGTGCTGGCCGTGGTGTGACAAGTCTCACGCTCAAAGCACTTCCGCAAGACAGCTTATCGCTGTTCAACCCAGCGCCAGCACATGCAGCCCCGGGCGCAGATCCGTCCCATAACGTGTTCTTTCAAAGTATACTCCGGGATACCACCGGATATCTAGACAGTTATCTCCGTCTTTCCAGAAACAACAATCTCCAGTACCTTGACTGTTCGCTTGCAATCACCCATGAGGACGACTCGCCATTCTCTCCTCTCGTGGGGTCTCTTCGCAAGGTCACATCGGAAAGAATATCCCATATAGGCCTGTCTATCAGCGTCACGGACGAGGAGGACCTTGCAAAGTTTTGGACTGGCCTCCTGCAGCTCGATGAAGCCCTCTGCCGCGACATCTTCGACAAGCTGAACGTAGTCGAAATGCGATTCCCTCGTGTGAACGAATTTACAGAGGCGCACGTAGATGCGGTAAGGTCATGCTTACCAGCGCTGGAGGCGCGGCGTATTCTGCGGTGCGTAGCTCAATGATACCCTCGCTGCTGCTCTAACAGCTGTGATTTGTCTATAGGATCAGTGTGGAGGATCCCTCAGGTATGGTGGATACTGAGCTCGAATCGGTAAAATAGTCACTGACGACCGGTGTCTGCAGGCACATGGCACTGGCTCTAGGTGTCCCTCGCTCGCGGCGGGTGCGGAGAAGAGCCCAATCCACCGAACCACAGCACCGCCTTGACCGTTGATTGCCCCATATTCACGTCTTTCAAATCCTCTACGCACATTCTTATTATCGCCTCCTCTTCACGTCGTCACGTTATTCAACGTAACGTCTCCTTCATCGATTTCAACCTATTCAATTACGCGAGGCGCTTACCCAGATGCCACGCCCTCGACACGCGCTCGCACAGACACGGTGTCCTCCTCGAGCCCGGTGGACTTTGGCTTCCATCCGTGCCGCTCGATACACCGGGTCCGTCCCCCCTTCTCAACTGCTCTGCGCAACAGGTTACAGGCGGCTGGGCGAGTGTGACGTTGGCCGCCTGACGCTCTTTGCGTTGGATGCGATCAGCCGCCGGTGCGCTGACGACCTCTTCTCAAGCTGCTCAATCAACATCAACGACGTCTCGAGCCCAGGCTCGCGTGTCTCTTGGGCCCGCAGGTCCACTCAACCGCGATCCTCGATGCAGCCGTTGCTCTGGGCGCCCGGACGACCGGGCTACGCGTGATACCCTTGCGCTGGTGCGCTGTTTGCTGCGGCGGCGCTCTTCATTACCTGCTGCGCAGTATGTTCTGTACGGACTATCAGTTCCACTCTCCCTGCCGATGTATCTTCCATTTGTCCTGCGCAAAATGATGGCCCCTATCGGGTGCTGCGTGTACTGCGACTCGCTTCCCCCATCATGCATGTATGCCTCATTTGCTTTACTCGACTATCACTGCCCGGTATCTGGTCCGTTGCATAAGATGGACGCCGCTATCTGAACCATGAATTTGTATGTATACATCTGTGACAACATGGATCTTCTCGTCCGAGGACATCTGTGGTCACGAGTGCAGTGAAGAAAGATACGCAAACAACCATGTGCCTCGGTCTGCGATACCCTACTTCTACGGTATGGCGACGTACATGTTTATCCCGTCCCGGATGCGTTCAACGACGGTGTGCGTCTCGCGGTCCCAGAGGAAGTCATATGGCAGACAGGTGAAATGCCAGATAGACGAGAACTTACGTAGAACATGTGGCTATCAGGCTTCGAGATCGGAGAAGTGGACGAATTCGGCAGACATGAGAAAGGGGTGCACACCGTGAGAGAGTCATTAATGATGCCTCGATGTTCCCGGGTGTCCCTGTGTAGTTTGCGCAAGGGCTCTGCAATCAGCCCCTGATACCAGTACTATCGACATGCGCACAGGCAACCGATTTGAGTCGAATCCCGGCCTTCGAAACATGCCGCGGCAGTCACCGCGCGTCGGGGGCCTCCCTCGGGCACCTATTTATAAGGGCAGGAACCGCACTGAAGGCGGTTCATGGATGGATGTGATCGGCGTGTAGAACATGTGTTTCTTACCTTCCTGAGTTCTTTCTCCCTCCAGCCGAATCAAAAATGCCCGGACTCAGCCACTTTTAGAGAACCTGCCAGAAGACTCTGAGAGGAGAGTGAGGGTACGCATATATAACACACACCTTTCTTATGACATTTCCAAAATCTCTCTGACCTCCTCTCGCTGAGCTGGACACGATAAACGGCCCATCAGCGAGCAATAATCCGTTTGAAAGTCGTGAAATGGCATAGTAAGGTAAGCCGCGAGAGCTGGATGAGCTACGCTCCTGAAGCGAATGACGATCTCATATCATCTCCAAGGGGCTGTTCTGTCTACTTCTGCCCAGCACGCGACCATTCGAGACCGAGAGTCTCAGAATCCTGCTCGTTGGCGCCCAGCGAGGACAATATCTCCAGGTGAGTGGAGATGCTGTCACACAGAAAGGCCAGGTGTATTCACCTTCGGCGGTTCTACATTAGCATAGTGCCATGCACCCACGTCTCCCGGTAGAGATTTGGATGCTAATTATTGACGAGCTCGGTGCGGAACGCGAGTACGATGCTTTGCAGGCGTGCGTAAGAGCTGGTCAAGGAGTGCTTAAAGAAAGAGCGGAGAGGTATTTCCCAAACGAAATGGTAATCAGGACGCAGGAGGAGGTTGCGAGCATCAAGCTGGCGCACCGCTGGAAGGGACCAAGGCGGGTGCGCATTGGAGGAGGAACGCGGCGTGGCGAGCGGCTTCCGATTCCACACCTAGCGACGTTTGCGGCCAGGCTCGCACGAAATTGGATCGTCGTGGACAAACTGACGATCGAGAGAGGCGAGTGGCGAGCGCAGGATCTTGAGCTATGTTCCCTCCTACTCGACTTATCCTGCTTCGACCAGATCAGGCATCTCGAGCTCTATAATATCACGTTCCCGACGGTCTTGACGTTGTGGCGCCTCGTCTGCGCCTTCCCAGGTCTCAAGCGACTGAGTCTCCATGATGTCCATTTCGCGAAAACTGCTACTAATTCCCGGACGCTCTCCGCCCTGCGTCTTCTGCCCGCTTCACAGGTGTGGCACTTACACCTGTTGCCACGGCCAGAGGACTCAGTCGGCGTCGAGCGCTCTGGATCGCACTCTGCTGGTCTGGTAGCGCAGACCATGCCGTCTCTCGACAAGTCTCCGTGGAGCAAAATAACAATGCTGGCGTTGTGGGATGTCACGCTACCGACGGCTGCCGCCTTTGCCCGCCTGCTTTCTGCCCTCCCTTCCCTCAAATGGCTCAGTATCATGGGGCCGTGCACGTTCTCGGAGCATGGCGCTGATGGCGGGGTTGTACCTCTGCGCCAGCACATGCCATCGCGGCTGTGCCAGCTCGAGGTGGGCAAGGAGTTTTCTGCACACTCTGATCCCCAGTCCGTGCACGACCTCGTCGACATCCTCAATCACTCTGGTACTAGCGGCCGCCTGCAAACGATCATAGCTTGGCTGTCCCCGAGTTTGCGTGCGACATCGAGCACAGATGTCGCTCTCAATGAACTAGTCAAAGGTGCAGGCCGAGCACTACGAACACTTGATCTTCAACCCATCCGGCAGGATGGCTTAGCGATGTACAACGAAGGATCCATATATGCAGCTCCAGGCGCAGGTGCGTCCCGCGGCATAATATTAGAAAGCTAATGCACCGTAACATACCGTACCCGTAGCGCTTTGCTTCGATCTCTCGGCGAATACTCATCTACAGGACCTGACCTTCTCAATCGACATCACCCACGGGGACAATTCACCGATCGCTCCTGTGCTGGAGCTTCTTCGCCGGGCCACGTCACCGCAAATATCCAGCCTCAAGTTGACCTTTTGTGTAATGAAAAAGGCAGGCGTTGCAAAGTTGTGGGCTGGCCTCCCGAAGCTCGATGCAGCGCTCTTTCGAGATGCTTTCAGCAAACTCAAAAGTGTAATGATATTGTTGCGTGGCGTAGACCTTTCCCAAAAGGTTCTCAAGGTTAGGGTGAAGTCATCCTTGCCAAATGTGGAGGCGCGGCGTGTTTTGTGGTGCGTACCTTCATGGCGTCCTCACTGGTATTCTGACGGACGTGTCTTGTTCACAGTCTGAGGGTGCAGGATACATCAGGTACAATGCACACCAAGCTCGAACTAGTGAGACGATCACTGACCGTAAGTGTATGCAGGCACATGGCACTCGCTCTTGACGCCTTTCGCTCATACACGGTGCGGAGAAGATCGTGCCGCAGCTAGTCTCTCGCAAGCCTCATCGAGTCACAATTCCATTGCATCCCTTCATTGTCCCGCATATATGTTATCTGAAGCCTCGCGCGTCAGTACGCGGGCACGCAGCGTCTTCCTCGGACGCAACCCGAGCGAACGTACACCCGCGCTGCTCAATCATCGTTCTGTACGACAAGGACGCTCGGCGACTCTGACGCCGCTTGATCCTCTCCAGTCTGAGTGCGATCAGCTATCGAGACCGGTTGCACTCATTACCTCCTCGAATCTTCATACCAACGACGTCTCGGCCCCCCTCACTGCACGCATACATGCGCCCCGCACCGATGGCGACAGCCCGGGCCCGCCATGCTATGATCACCTCGGGAGTACATCGACTCCATCTGCCGTTGCTCCATCCTGCACTAGTGGGGGCGAATTCGACTCTGCCTGCACTGCCTCTTCGATCCTCGATCTGCAGATGCGCTCAAATTCTATGCTCAGCGACGTATACATCGCTATGGGCATGCGCGCGACTGGACTCCTTGTATACGCTTTGATGTCTATGCTGTTTGTTGTTGCGGCGCTGGTCGTTTTGTGCTGATGTGCGGGTATCCTTTGTACGTGCTATTATTCGTTCGTTCTGTCGCTGTATTTCCCACTTGTTGTGCTCGTTCTGTCTGCCACTATCGTGTACGTACGACGGCTCGGTTCCGTCCCTTGCTCTGCTCCCTTGCTCGGATAAACGATGTATTGTATGCTTTGTCCGGCGGTTTGCTCTCTGCTCCCTTGCCTTCGGGTTGCTTGTTGACAGCTCGCCTCCTGCTTATAAGGCGCTCTATGCCGTGGGCGCAATTCCCGCCTGCCCCCCTTTAGCGCAGTCCTCGCAAATCTGAAACTGGATGCATCGTGTTTGGGACATCACTTCAAAACAGACGACGGACATAGTCCCGGCAAAGACCGGCTATCATACAAAGCCTCCAAACAACCCTCGTAAGCGGAGGCTACTGAGGTGCGTGCACGGCATATCCAGGCGTAGTCAGAAATACCACTGCAATTCAACGACCATCATTAGCACTGCGGTTCTTGTACCACATAAATCCTCGTGCGTACCTGCAGGACTGGCGGTCAGAGTCAGCGAAGTGACAGGTGTCCAGCTCGCAGGATACTGGATGATGGGCAAGAACTGTATGTTCTGCATCGTCGGCAGGGGGGGAAGAGTGTACTGCGCTGGACGTGGTTCGACCGGCAGAGAGATGGGTATCTGTCGAGGTGCACCTGGCGGGTTGATGGCCCGGTCGTTCACAGTCTGGAAGACGGACTGAATCAACGCGCCATGAGTAATGCAGCCTATTAGCGCTAGAGTAGGATCAAGTGTGCTGACATGAGCAAAGTCCCACAAATCCTTGGCCGCGTCGAGGCGTTGAGACGGTGTGACACCCATCACATCCTGTGTCCTACGAGAAATGACGTATAAGTAATAGATAAAGGTGTAGTCTATAGCACGTACCGGCCGTAGAGTGTACCGTACTCCGCCCTCTGGACATCGTCCATCTGGTCTCGGAGGAGACGCAAGATGTTCAGCGCCTCCGACGTCAGGCGCTGTGCCCTTCGGAACTTGCCATCGCTATTCAAGAAGAGGCTAGAGCCATGGAGGACGTCGTTCTCTACCGTGGTAACAATTTCGTGAATCGTGTGAGCAACAAGAGGAGACAGCATGGCTGCGACGAGAAGAAACTTGACGGTTCATACGTATGCATTGCCAGTACATATACTCCTTCGCAAGTATGCTTCTAATTGTGGGCGTCGTAGGCAGACCTATAACGGAAGGAGGACGCATGCGAAGTGTCCGAAATGGGAAGCAACACCTGCTCTACTCGTCCGACTGAGGACAGCCGCCGATAAGTGAGACCCCAAAAAGGCTGCACAGTTTCCGCAAGAAGAAGGTGGAGATGATACCCCGTGCTCGCAGACGCCTTGATTTGGCAGCTGGGGATGCGGATAGCACTAGACAAACGGTGTATGTGGGCGTAAAATAGAGGCGCGTATGTACACACTGCACAGGTGAAACACAGCCTTCGGTCACGTAATAGCATTGCCACTTGCACCGGCCCAGCGATTGTCGGGGGACGCAAGAAGAGTATGTGGGTTCGCAGACATGGATCAGAGCAGGCTTGTTCGACGCATACAGCTGATGTCACTGTACCAGTCCAGCAAAGACTCGACTGCCGGCAGTGTAGAGAGCAAGCGCAACGGCATGATGATATTCATATAGCACAGTACGTGCAGCAAGATAATGAGAGCGAGTGCAAGAGAAGTCTTCAGTCGTGTTGGATCATATTCACCGTAAAGGACCTAAAGGTTGCAAAACAAACATTTGTGCTCGGAGATTGGCCCAATATATTTCACGTGATGCAGAGAATATACGCCGAGGCTTTACCGAGACTGCTCAACAGCGTGAAAGCGATTCATTCGTTCGGACCCTGCTACTTTGTTCTTGGTCCCTCCATTTGCATGCTGCGAACATTGCTTGTATATTTGAACGACTGAAAACCCCTACGACGACTTTTGGTTTCTCAACGTTCGACAGGCAAGGCGTCCGACAATCCATGCTCGTCTCTAAACCGCTCCCAGCTATCCCAATTATCTTCCGCCATGCGATACACTGGCACCCAGTCAACACACTCATACGTCCCTCCGACCCGTTCGGCCGAGAAGTTGCGCGTCGTGAAATCACCTGGTTCCAGTGTTACGTCCGCGGAGCAAAGCGTCCACTGGCGGAGGTAGTTGAAGCAATGGTGGATGTGTCCCTGATAGACCGGGTTTAGGGTGGCAAGGCCGTCCTCCATCGCGGAGCGCATGTTGCGTAGACAGTGCAGCTCGTGGAACATCGGTACTGCGAACATGCGCTTGTCGGGACCGAGACGGACGTGGTTGTCACCCACTAGGGGCGCTGTCCATAGCCATTCCTCGTATGCTTCTGGGTTCGTCAACGAGTAGTGGATGGACTCTTCGGCGACCATCTTGACGGGACCTGCATCGACCGGGAGATATCTCGGGAAGTCACTTCCGATCCATGCTGGGACCAGTGGTGACAGTCAGTGCAAAGTAGTAGCTGGGTCTGATTGGTGCGCTTACTATACTCCTGTCTCGATTTCTCGTTGTGTCTTCTCGTGCTTAGGCGTCTCGCTGCTGCAACCTTCTTTGCCGTGTCAAAGAGTGTGACATTGAAGTAGATGGTCGCGGCGACAAGCAATAGAGTCACCCCAAGTCGAGCCCACGCGCCTGAGTGAATCATGGGAGGAACAAGTGAGGGAGCGGCGGATCTAAGGGCTGAGGATGCACCCTACTGGATTCAACGCTCATAACTGACAGGATTCAATCAAACATGTATTCCGAGTCCCGACATGCCCTCCGGATGGCGCGGAGTCACACGCGAACGCTAGACCGCGGGCGCCTAGAGGATCTGGAGCACACGGCCCATAGGCGGTCAGAATCCTCGGCCCTATCTGACATCAAGCACTTCACACCGGCCTTCCCGCGCAATCAGGCATCCGACTATTGTGTCAGGATGATCAGCGAGGTTTCAATTTCTCGCATCCATGACATAAAGTGAAGTACGCCCCAGCGCCCCGCACGCTTTCGCCGCCATGTCTGCAGTCAAGTACGCGCGCGTTGAGACGCCTTCAGGTACATGCGCTCTTCTTCTATGCACCCTTCCGGTCAATCAATGCTTCCTAGATGAACTCATCGATGCCTCCGTCGACTTGTTTACCACGCTCATGAAAGATGGTACGTCTACTTCATTGATCCACAATCCCGCAATGCCCACTCGAATCCAATAGATAACGCCGTACGGAGCCTGTGTGGTGGCGACGTCAACCTTATAGGACCTATGGCGCGCGCTATGTTGAAGGCAGGAGCCTTGGCCGGCGAGTATTACACGGCGACTGACGAGAATAACGACCTACTCGGATTCACGCTCTGGATGCCGCCCGGCGACGACCTATTTAGCACGTGAGTTGCGTTGGGTTAGATGGTATTCTGGCTTTCAGTTGATCGTCCGTCGTATGTAGCCCGGAACAGCGGGAATTGGGTTTGAACGAGTTTATGGCGCGTATGCCTCCTGAAGGGAAGGAATACTACAAGACCACCGTACGTAGTTCAACTTGCGCAAACCCACCGACGAAATGACATCGCCCCAGTATATGGTAGAGTTTCCTGCGTTTGTCAATCATTGTATAGGCCCAACTGTACGTCGTATCGCCGCATCTCAAGGCACAGTTTCGTGACATAGTCTCTAGGGCAAGACGGATTCGTGGTGGATGCATCAGGCCATGGTGCGCCCAGACAGGCAGAGGCAAGGTATTGCTAGGAACCTCATCAACCTTGTGCGAGAGAAGGTACGCACTTATTGTTCCACGCTCGAAGGAACGCCTTTACGCAAACCCTTTCCGACAGGCCAAGCTCAAGGGTGAGACGCTCGCATGCAGTACCACGACGCCCACGAATGTAAGTATTCGGTTCGCGCGATTTGAGACGCATGCTGAGGATAATATAGGCGCTCGTTTACCAGGCGATTGGTTTTGAGTTGAAAGAGAAGCGAGATATGCCGTCGCCGTGGGGAGACTGGCCATTGTATGTTTTCGCTCTGGACACAAGTAAAGCATGAATGTTGGGTGTTATGAGATTGTGTAAACGCTGTAGTGGTGTAGATTTTGTAGCATAGCTGCGTAGCCGATTTCTGACCGTGCGAACTTATCGACACGGTCGTTGCTTGAACGAGTCATGTCTGTACTGCCTGTTCCAAATCTCAAAAACAGCGGAATATCTCTCCACTCTGCGCGTCCATATCGTGTCTTTTCTCGCGCCAATGTTCTCGCTTCGTGGTCTGGGAGGGCCTCGCTTATCTTGACCTGCTCCGTGTTCCAGTTCGAAGTGTCAAAATTGCCGCCTCTTGCAGCTACCTTGTATGCCTGCTGCAGCCATGATAGACCAAGAACCCGAGGAGTCCATCGCACTCTTGGACGAGGATGAGGCGCATGAGGAGTCGGAGAAGAGTGAGTATCTAAGTCGCATTGCGGTTCGGGCACTGATGGAGTGCAGGTGCCTCTGCCAAAATAAGTGCACCGCAAAGCAAATGGTCCTCATGGATTTTTCGTGTTGTCTGTCTCCTCATTCTCGTTGATCTCGCTGTCTACCTCTACATCTTCCGATCATTTCTTGTCCTATCGGACGACGTCCTCAACGATCTGGAGTTCCGCAATCCGTACATCGGCCTCGACGAACTCTATGCATCTGGGCGCGTGAATGCTTCGCGATACGAGCCCATCGTCAACGAGCCTCGCATCGCTACGCAAGTAAGCAGCGTCGAGCCGGACAAGGTGTTTCCCGAGGACGAGCACCGATGGCTAAGCACAGCAGGGACGATGTCCCCTCTCGATCGCCATCTGCACGTCTCAAGCAACGTATGCAGAGCCACTAAAATCATTTCTCATGACTCTGCTGACTATGTTGCAGGTACACACAATCCTGCAGTTCCGCGCGATGGATTACGGTATGGAGCGCTGCGCGCTGGCCCTGCGTCTCCCCTCGGACAGCGACGAGCAAGACTGGGCGCCCGGTAACGGCCCTGTGAGCCTCGATGTCTGCGCTCTGGGAGTTGACAGACCACTTGATCCTCGCGCCCTGTCATGGGCGTCCCGGCCGTCCTGCCGCGAGCCTTTCGGGACCTTGACTGCGGGCCCCGGTGAGGAAACTCGCTTATCCGAGTTCCCGTGCAGCTGGGGCACTCTGTATACATATGAAGTGGCTTGTGCGTCGGAATATCCTGATTGTCAGTTGGACGTATGGGCAAACAGGAACGGGACGTGGGGTAAGTTCAGCCTCCATGTTGATTTCCCGGAACACGCTCTGAGGGATGCCCGTTTGACAGGCATATTCATGTATCAGTTCCAGACTATTTGACAGATCTCCTGCACTCGTATCGTATAATTGATGTTCGTGTCCGTGGATATCAGCGTCTGCCACTGCGGCAGTGCATCCGTGGATTGCGTTAGATCAGGCAAGTAGATGATAGATTAAATGTGCTGACATGGACATACTCACTGTACTATATCATGTCACGGGCACCTAGCAATGGCTGTGAGTACGTACGTGATTTGTTCAATGCCACCCGGAGCAATGAATAACACGCTTTTTATACGATATTGTATGCCGGGAGGTTTTAGTGGTGCATCTCTAGACTTTCTAATACCATGCCTAACTGTTTTGAGACCTCAATGCCTCTTTCGGGGCACTGAATGCAGTGCCATCATTCATCCATATCTTCTTCAGGGCACAATGCTCATGCTGAATGCAGCAGAATTGTGGGCCGAGGTGAGCCTGGGCTTCGTTGTTGAAACAGGGATCTTTGACGTTCCATCGGACCTGGGCTCTCCTTATGTCGAGACAGGCAGCCTTGACGCCACAAAGCTCGCTACCCCTGACTCATGGGAGAGAAATCCGATATCAGAGTTGTGTCTACCGATTAGCTTCCGTCGTACAGACGCCCAGGGTATTGACGCCTCCCGCAGAACCGCTCTCACGAGGGGTCAATTCACTCGCCAGCTCCAATGACATGCATGTGACTGCGACAATCTATCTCGTAAGAAGATTTGCTATCTGCATTCGCATGCCTCGCAAGGTGAGAGTTACTGCACGTCTTGCGGCCGGGACGAAAGCAGCGCCATTGCGAAGACGTCCTCCCGAATACGACGCTTATCAAAGCATCCTATGCTATCGGACTCATTTACAATCTCTCTAATGGATATGGCATTTCGGGTTTTCCTTTAGGAGTCCGAGGCATTTCGTCATCTCTTCTATCCTTGATCTGTCCTATTGACAGCTTTTAATTATAGCGCTGCGCTGAGAATGCGAGTGCACCTCTGGAACGTGGACTCATACATACATCGACAGTCTGGTCCGCTTCCGTATCAAACGTCAAACATGCTGGAAGCAGCGATTGCTCATGTCTCGTAATCAAGCGATCAGGGAATCCTATACATGAAGTGCCATGCACAGCGAACAGATCCAGGTCAAAATACAGTTGGCGGGAACATTACGCAATCCGATCGATTCCAGTACTCTACGGACACTCCTCTTGGCCACATACAGACTCGCCCAGCCTTCGAGTGTGAGACGAGTAGATGTGGCATGAAACGCGATGACGATTGAACTTTAAGCGAAGCGGGCTGGTCGGAGAAATTCTGCGTCCACAGGACCATCGGCTGCGAGGATGATATTATGCCTGTGTGCGCGATACAGTGGCATGAGGCAACTCACGTTGATTGCGCTTAGCAGGGGCAAGGAAATGAGAATCGGAGGGGCCTTTCTCCACTGCACAGCTCGGTAAGCAAAGAGTCATTTCGCTGCAATTCTCCACGCTCACAAAAGGTATCCCTTCCAATAACAGCAGGTGCTAGGAATTCTGCATCCACCGGCCCTTTTCCTGCCAAACTATGGTGTTACTGGCCATATTATCTCACCACATCCAGGGTTGTTAACTGACCTTGCGTACGTGGTGAGAGGAACTCTGCATCTACAGGGTTTGTGCGTCGCACGGCTGCAGTGCCTTATCAGTAGTATGCTCGAACTATTGAGTAAAATGCAGAACCTTGTGCACGCCTTGCAGGTGCAAGGAACTCGGCATCGGTTGGACCCTTAGGCTCTGAGTCACCAAGCGGTAAAGCCAACGCGCCGGCCGCAGCGCAGAGGGTGGTGAGGACAATGGCAAACAGTCTGACCATGCTGGAAGAGATGGGGGGAGGGGGGTTCAATGATACACGGAGAGCAATGCAAGTGGCGTCGTAGCTGCCCTCTTATATGAGAGGCGTAGAAATCATGGGAAAAGCTTGCAGCCGTGACGGCGGGCGTTGATTACCCCACGAAGGCTCTGGTCCACCCCGACCCGGAACGCAGCTAGAACGGCTTCTCTATCATCTATCATGCTTCTGCATGTTAGACGTGCTTCACCACGCACAGCAATTGACAACAACGCCTTCCCGCAGGCGTCTGATCTCGGAGTCTTCTCGCACTAGTCAGGTGGGCTATTCGGTCGAAAGCGGTGTTGATCTGATGCATGTTTGAATGCCACTGAACATGATGTAACTCGTCACGGAGTCCGGACGCCTTCTGCAATTCGCTAAATATATCCTCATTTCCTGCTAGACTTACGTGCATGAGGTTTCCTCACTGCCGAGCGCCCCGCAGCGTAAAAGTGACAGTATTTTGAACGCCTGGGATACAAGAATAGCGCAGTGCCGCACTACCTGTATGTATTCCGCATATCCTGAGGGTGGGTGCCCCGATATACTGGAATCCGACAACGGATCCTCGTGAGACGCAGACAATGATGTTCATACTGACTCGTGTGGACGAACGGCAAGCATGGAATTGCATGGTGGCTCCACCTACGTGCCGTCATAGCTGAAGTAATTGATGAAATGAGTCCCACATCGGCAGAACTCGTCGACATGGCCATCTGACGTCGTAGTGTCAGCTTTACGAACTCTGCTTGACGCAGGCATCATATCGAGACGACCATTGCCACTCGACGAGATACAGAAGCGAACACACTTGCTGATGCCATTTGTCCTTGTGAACGCCCGGGCTTTTCGCTGAGATCCTCCCGGCCCTACGCCACTATAGTATGCACTACATCTGCATCGCTTTAATTTGCCCATTCGAGGCTGATTGCAACGTAACTGAAGGAGCGATCCGGGGTCAGCGATTATGACATTCTCCAGGGTCGCACCCGTGGCGTAAAATGTCAATCGGTTTCCATTCCTCGATCACCCGAGCATTCGTCTGTACTCTATGATTACGCCTTGTCTTCGGCTGCTCTGACTTGAACACTGCCGGCTAGGGGTCCCGATCTTGCTCGGCTCGCTAGCGAGATCGGGACCGTTATGGCGGTTATGGATAGTGTTAGGTCAGGGATGTCTGCGGTCCCTGTTCGCGATGGCGTAATTGAAAAGGGCGTACTGTTACATATGTTGCCATGGTGAATGTATAACTCGGGCGATCTGCGTATCCCGCGTCGCCACAAAGTTTCTGCGCTGCACAACTTGATCCATTCTTGTGAAGGAGTGAGCTAGCCCTCTTCTTACGAGTAGTCCATTTTACAAGGTAGATACCCTCTTGAAGCAGGGAAGATAGGTAGGGTATTATTTTGACCGGCGAGCGGTGTAGATATCACGATGTTTCGCCGGCAAGCGCGGACTCGTTAAGCGTGGCACCCTCCTCGCTCAGTCATCGCGCGTACTCTCGTTGGTTCTGCTCTACCTCTCGATACACCGCACCCCAGTCGCGGCACACATATGTCCCATACAGGTCTATCGGCTTGTAATGCGACGGGGCAAGAAACGGCTCGAGCTGCAGGTCGCCGCGGCACAGCACCATCTGGCGTAGATAGTTCAGACAGTGCCTCCCAAGGTCCACCTGCGCATCCGTCATGTTGCCGCTACGGAGGCCGTGCACCATGGCATCGCGCACGATGTCGAGGCAGCGGAGCTCGTGGAGCATTGCAACGGTATATGGCGCTCGGTGCGGGCCGAGGTGTACGAGGCCATTTCCGGGGACAAGCGCAACCCACTCTGCGATGCCGGCAGCTGTCGTGAGCTGGAAATGCGTGGATGCGTCGGAGGCCATTAAGACGCGCGGGACGGTAATAGGCCAGCGCGGGGGATGGTCTGCGCCCAGGTAAGCTGTGCATTCAAGAGAGCATTGTGTGAGTTCAGCTAGGTGCGGAAGAACATCCGTACTGTATTTGTGAGCATCGTCGAGTGCGAGGGACTTGAGGTAAACGGTGACTACGAGCTTGATTGCAAGGCTCAAAGCAAAGAGTACGGAGCTGAGCGTCACCAGAGAGAACTTCGAAGGCTTGGGGCTAAATAGTAGCATGAGTCGGGATGTAAGAGGGGAAGACGATTGGGGGATGTCGTTCTGCGACATGAGATTTCGCGCGGTCTTGGGCCTAGGTACGGAACTGCTGTAGTAGAAACTGAGATCCCCGAGGTGGTTGCGGCATACGTATTGCTCCGAACCTGCGACTGAATTTCGACCAGGGCTGTATGAGCGGAACAGTACGGGTGTGAGATGTTCGGCGCCAGGGTGATATATAAGTGACAAGTAGAGCTGGCAAGGAGAGTTCTGTCAGCCTTGTTCAGGATGTCCGGCCCACGGTGATTGCCTCCATATTTTTCTCTCTTGGCCTGCGCTAGATAGCGTATGGACAAGAGAGCATGTGTATGATAGCGTATGGACAAGAGCATGTGTATGATAGCAGACCGTCACCATTTTTCCATCAGAGCGCTGTCTTTGATAGTGAATTACTGTCTCCGCACTGCCGGTCATACCGATGAATGGACAGACCGATGATCGTCCCAAGGAATACGCTCTCCGTGGAGGGTCACTCCAGCGGGACCGATGTTGCTAGACAGTGGGCTGCGCGAGTATTTGTTTCTGAAGCTTGTTGCGAGAGCGCCACGGGCATGTCGGTCTGCACCTGCACAGGAAGGGTCCAAAAAGGGATCGGCGCAGCCGTAGCCGACCATCAAAACGGCAGTTCCCGTGACGCGCGCTACCGCGCGTGCAGTTGTCAAACGCCGGACATGCGCGTTGGGCCTGTGCTCGGCCATCCGACCGACTGCCTCACAAACGGAATGCCCACTCACCTCTCTCCGATATGCAGCTTGGCCCTACTCCGCGTTGACAGTCCTTACCCACCGTCCAGGCACCACGGACGACCGGGGCAACTCCCTTCCCCGCAAAGGCCCCATTGACGCCGCCCTGTCCTCTGTGCTGAGTTCTCGTTAGTCGCTTGATCTGCCTTTTCAGGATTGTCCGATTATATTTATCTACCGTGACCTGCAGGTAAATCAGGGATTTGCCTAGGGTTCATCGTTGTCCGCCCCTACCCGACCATTGAATCCGCCCAGCATGTCCGCTGTCGAGGTGTTCGAGCATGCCTTCTACATCGGCAGCTATATGAGCGGTATTCTCTATGGTGAGTCTGCGTACCCAACTCCATCCTCGCTAGCATCCTCCGACGCTGGATGGCGCACCATGGGCAGGCGTCGAACTCGTCGTGTACTTCGCGACGATGCGCGCGCTCCTTCGCAAGACTACACAAGTGCGCTCCGACCGCTTCTTCATGGCATACAGCACCGTGCTCCTTATGCTCGTCACGATCGATGTCGCGACAAACGCCGTTTGGTGCGAGCAGATGCTCATCACCTTCGCGTCCCAGACGGGCGGCGCCGCCGAATTTATCGCGACGCAGGCGTCCGTGTGGTACGAGACGCTCTCTTCGACATCGGTCGTCGCGCTTATATTCATGAGTGATGCCCTTTTGGTGAGTGCTCATACCTTTCGTGGCTTCAGAGGATATAGCTGAGAAATGTCTTGCATGATAGATCTATCGTTGCTTCATCCTCTGGAGCTCCAACTATTGGATCATCTTCCTCCCTGTACTCACTTACCTCGGCGCCTTTGGTGTGTCCCCATCTAATTACGGATCCCTTTCTGCGTACTCATAATCGCCTACAGCCCTGGCCGTGTGTGAGCTTGTCGCGGCTGGGGTCCCGGGCGGCGACTTCTTCGCTGGGCGTTCCGTCAACTTCGGCGTCCCCTACTATGCGATGTCCATCGCGCTCAACCTCCTCTTGACGCTCCTCATTTGTGCGCGCCTGCTCTACCTCTCGCGCTGGGTCAGCACCGCCATGGGCGCGGAAGGGGCACAGCTCTACACCAGCGTGCTCGCGATTCTGCTCGAGAGCGCTGCACCGTATAGCGCGGTCGGCATCATGTTCCTCGTGCCGTACGCCCGTGGTTCCGGCGTGGCGATCGCGTTTGGGCAGGTCTGGGCAAAGATAACGGTGCGGACATCGGGACACTCGCTGCGCGAGAAGTGGGATCTGACAGTCGAGCTTGACAGTGTTTGTCCCCGCAAATCATCGTGTACCGCGTCGCGACGCGCAGGGCGTGGGACCGCGCGACCGTCGAGGGTGCAGCGGCCTCGATGGAGTTCGTCACCGCGGGAACGTCTACTGCACAGCTATCGACGATAGTGGTAGGGAAGGACACTACTAGCATACCGGGCGGAAGCGAGTCGAGACTTGGCAGTCCCCTCCGGGAGAAGGTGGCTAGACGTTTAGGAAGCGAGCGCAGTTTCAACGCTGCGGAGCTACCGGTGTAGGCTGCTTTGGTCGCATCTGTTGTCCTAGAATGAGGGGCGATGCTCTTGATCTTGGAAATTAGGCATGTACTTGTAGGAATTGACCAAGAGTACCGCACGTTAGCGTATTTTGAATGTGTATAATGGAGGCCGCAGAGAGGGGACGAGAGAAAAGGCATCAGCACAAGGGGGACCGGCGGTAAGGGAAAGGGTTGTAATTTTGCAGAACGATTGCTTTTATGTCGCTCAAGCGAAGTGAAGTATACGCAGCGAGTACGCTTGACATGAAGTGTGTTTGTGTAGAAGTAACCAAGGGTCGATCGGGGGCCATGCTGCCACATGTGCTACTTGATACGCACATCCACTCCTGCCTTTGGATATTTCCATATCCCTTGGCTACACATCCGCAGGTTACATGCACAACCTCATACACGCGCCAGCACACATAAATACATCAGAGCAAGCTCAATTTACGCATTACGTTATACAGGAGAGAATATCCGATGAATGAGAGTAGTAGTACTCGAAATTGTCTGGGATTCAAGAGAGCATGGAGGCTGGATATGTGGAGGGGTCAGGACGATGTCTAATCGTCTCCTATGGGATGCCTAGTCCGTAATGCAGCTAAATATGCTCGGAGAGTCCGCGGATTAGGGTGTGGATACGACGCCGAGACTTTTTGCGTAGATAGTATGTGGTCGGCGGAGGCACACAGGTGTTTAAGGGGCGAGATAACGATCGGAAACGAGAGCGTGGTCGCCGTAGATGTTCATGAAAGAGTACTGCACACGATGCAACACCATTAGCACAACCTTCATAGACATGCATGCACCTGTGGCTTACCTCTGCTAGGTCCGGACGCGCGCCACGGATCAAGTTGACGTACACGAGATTAGGCTCTGCGTAGAACGGGCGCAGGCCGGCGTGCTCAAGCGATTCCCACCACTGCTGGAACGGCGCAAAGGTGTCGTACCCCGTACCGCCGCGCGCGTGGATCTCGATCTGCATTTGCCCGATCGGGAGCGGCGGCGGGGGCGGCGCATGTGGGTGCGTCTGCGCGCCATGCGTCGGCGGCGCAAACTCGCCGAGGAACGCAGCGAGCGATGCAAACTCGGCGCCCTCGATGTCAATCTATGCGACGGCGATCAGCGCGTGAGATGCGTGGCAACGACGGCTACGCACCTTCAGAAGGTCAATGAAGCGGTGCCCGTTGAGCGCCATGAGTGTCGCGAGCGTGTACGTCGGCGGGTTCGCGCCGGCGCCGTAGCTGTCGCGGTCGCCGAGTGCGTACGGGAAGAAATGCGCGCGAGCGTTGAGCGCAGGGTCCGCGGTAATCTCCGGGCCGAACGCTGGGACACTGAAGTCATAGCCCCACACCTCGCAGCCGGGTGCGGCACGCAGCAGCGCGGCCTCGAAGGACGACTCGTTGTTCACACCGAAGGAGTAGATCACGCAGTGCGGCTGCCGCGCGACGCGCTCGAATCCGCAAACCCACTTGCCGCCGTCGCCCAGTGCGCCGATGCGCTCGACGCGGTGCGGACACTGGTAGGCAGGGATGAAGAAGTCCCCTGGACACGCGTCAGCGGAGTAGAGGCGGATGCGAGAGCGGACTCACAGAGCGTGTAGAAGTCATCGCGCGGCGGGAACCTGCGAGTATGTCAGACGCTGGAGGGTGATGAGCCCGTGTGAACACGCACGCCTCGACCATTGAGGGCTCCGGCCCCCACTTGCGCACCATCGCCTGGCGATCGCGCAGCACCTGCTGGTAGCGTTCCTCCTCGTCCACGACGTGCCACCGGAGCGACTTGGGTCCCTGGCGGCGGAAGTAGCCCTCAGGACTCGGTGCTGGTGGGCCCTGGGTGAGGACGAAGACGAAAGCGAGCAGTATGACGACGAGTATCGCAGTGTAGCGCGGATGACGCGCGAAGGTGTGTTTGGCTGCCATTGCTGCAGCGGTGTGGATGAGGTTGGCGGCGGGCGCGTTCAGCGGAGGCTAGCGGATAAAGACAGGAGGGGGCCTGTTGAAGGCTCGCTGGCGGTGGTGGGAGAGAAAGAGGTCCTGCTGGCGAGACAGCATGTCGTCCGGGGTAGGCGGTCGTGATCGGTCGTTGTGGAGCAGAGTGGAGTTCTATTCTGGCTACACCATTTCCGTTCTTGGCGATCACCTTCTTTGCTGCGCGTCGACTGCGCACAACCGCTCGTGACCGTTATGTCGGGTCCCGCCTGCAAGAAGCGCTGGGCAGCTGGCACAATAGCGCCCACGCGATGAAGGCAGTTTCATACGTGTTGTACAGTCCCTACGCAAGCTCTCAGCGATTTAGGCAGAAAGTCTCATCAAGAATGGTTACCAGAGCATGTCGGGGGTGCTTCAATTGCCATTGAAGCGCATGCGAGAAGACTCAAGACACTGCGAGTATTCCTTCGAGGTACGTAGCAGTTGCACTGTCGCGAGCGGACAGACGTCAGTGGTGCAACACATGTCTTAGCGTGACAGAACAAGGGTCCGGAGACATGGTGATGTCCGATTTGATATGATTTTGATGAATGACAAGCTCGTCGTAACACAGCCGTGGTGCGGTTAATGATGCAATGGAACGTCTGCAACCACTATTGGTACCATCAATATCTCCGCCTGCAGTAAAGCTACCCATCCTAGAGAGTGGCTCCCCGTATATCGTACACCGCACGCAGAATACGGTGAGCCCATGAGAAAGCCTATCTTCCGCATGCGAGGGCTGAGCGCTGATCTATGAGCGTACGCTCTTCGGCATGATCCTCGTAGTACTGTCGCCAACTTATCGGGTGTCACGAGTTGGCACGGCGTCTAGCCGTTTTTTTTAATTTTTTCCTTTTCGCGGGCTCGAACCTGCGACCTCTGTACTACTTGCCTGATACGGACGCATCATATCTACTGTACGATTAGATTAGATGGGCGGCAGTGCGCGGCACAGCTCGGGCTCCGCTGACATAGCCTCTCTGACCCACTGGCCCCCGGGGCCGCGTCAGCATGCTGTGCACGGACCAGCTGTGCACGGACCAGCGCGCACAGCCTGCCCTTATCTCCCCATGTATATAAGCCGGCCTCTGCTGCTCTAGGGACCTCAGTTTCGACCTCTTGTCCCTAGGTCAGTAAGCCTTCATTTGTATTCTTTCTTACCTTACTAACTAATACATTTTCTTGTCCCTAGCCTTAGGTTTGAGCGTTGCTCACCATTGCTTCGGTAAGAATCAGTTGGACGCCCCCAGCCTTCAGGTATTCCCCAGTCGCTTGACCTCAAGTCGCGACATTAGGTCGAAACTCCCCAAGCTGCCGGCGTCCTCTCGGGACTCCCTACACTCACCTTCCTTTCCCACAGGTTGGGTGGTGCGCACCCCTACGATACTCTACGATACATATGATACGTAGATAAGCATACATACATCGCCAACACCAAGGAAACAAACTCTTCAGTACCTGCACTTCAGTGGGCGGTACTTGTCCTCATGGACGCGTGGACTAGGTTCCTGCTGCATAATAGTCAAAAGCAGTACTGGGCCCCACGTGAACTGCAAACCCTAGTGTCTTCTCGGGCGCCGTAGCGTAAGCTAGGATAGTACGGCCATTGTAGTACGTGCACCTCCCCGTCCTTCCCCCACCCATTGTGGCTGCCTGTCAAGGCCAGATCCACGCCTTCGACTCTCAGGACCTCATTGACGTCTACATCCCGGATGGCCCTGAGACTGTCCTCTACCGTTGCGAGCAGCAGCCGTGCCCAAATCGGACACCCCGATCGATCGAGGAGGATTACCCTCGCTACAAGGCAATCAGAAGGGCTCAACACCCCCTCGGTCCCCGCAGCACCCTCGCATCTCGATCCACTTCGCGGCATTCTCGCCCTGTCTCCCCCAGCTCCCGATTTTCTCAAACTGTCGTCACCAGTCCAAGTCAAGCATGAGGAGATCTCCCTCCAGACCCTGCGACAGAGCCTGAGCCTGAGGAGAGTGCGAGTGAAGAAGGAGTCTCGGAGTCCGAGTCCGCGGATCCTGCTTGGCCCGCCTCGCCGACAGCACTCGCCTCCGCGTCAGCAGTCCCTGACGTACGTGACCCCCCCACCGAACTTCCTTTGGCGCCTTCACCGCCGACTCTGCCGAGAGGCCGCTCGAGCACTCACTCCTCTCAAAGTTCGACCAGCGGAGGGCCACCACAGCCGCCTCTGCCCCCGCAGCGTCCTCCGTCCCCCCCGACGCCGATAATGTCCTCCCCCGCAGCCGCCCCCGACAAGGAGACCCTGAAGCTCCTCCTCCCCCTCCGCTATGACGGCAAAACCGTCATCGAATGCGACAGGTTTTTGTCGCAACTCCGCATCTACTGGTTGATCAATACGTCCTTGACAACCATCGAGCTAAAGGTGCAGGTTGCGCTTAGCCTACTCGATGGAGATGCCCGCGCCTGGGCCACTCCGTATTTCGCCCAGCTCGCATCTGTGCAGATGGGTGTACAAGGGGTTACAACCCCCTTCAGGAACAAAGCAGCCTTCACTGCCGCCTTCACGGCTCACTTCGGTAATCTCAACAACGCGGCGGCAGCACAAGTAGAGCTGGCAAAGCTCTGTGCGGACAAGTTGATCCACAAAAAACACACCGCTGCGGAATTTTCTGCGCTGTTCAAGGGTCCAGCGGACCGTTCCGGGTATGGGGACCTGGAACTATGCGACAAGTACCTGAGCGGCATCCCCTCCCGTGTCTACCGCAAAATTGAGCTCGAGACCTTCACCACGTGGCTAGAAGCTGAGAAGCGTGCCACTGAAGTCGAGCAGATCCTCGATATCAGCCGGGCCCGTCGGCCCGAGTTGAACAACTTCTTCTCGGCCCGAGGTCGAGGGCGCGGTGGGGCACGTGGTGGTGCACCCCAGTCACACGCAGCTTCGGCCAGCATCAATGCAACCGTCGGAAAAGGAAACTTCCCCGGCACATGCTTCGGCTGTGGGAAGCAAGGGTACCGACACTTCAAGTGCCCCAACTGTAAGGACAAACCTTACACAAAATGCGCTGATGCGCAGGCTACGGTTGCCTCGGGCTCCACCCAGGCGGCGACAAGCGCCCCCGTCACGACAACACCCTCGGCAAGTATAAGCACCGCTTCAGCGAAATCCGAGCAATCGGAGCTGGCGGACTTAATGGCACAGGTGAAGTCGATGCGCGAGGAGCTCGAGCACTATCGGGCAATGAAGGAGGAGGGTTTTTGATCTGGTTCGCGCTTCGTGCCGCACGCGTCGGGCCACATATATCTTGTAATAAATATGATGTATTGTCGACTGCAATGGTGTATGAGTTGGACCAGGGGTCCCAGCACTTTCACATCCCAGTTCGACTCCAAGGGAAAAGACGGCACAAGGACGTAATCGCTATGGTGGACAGCGGAGCCACCACGAAGTTTATCAACAAGCGATTCGTTATCGAAAACAAGGTGCAGACGCGGAAGTTAAAGGAACCCATTCCGCTGTACAATATTGACGGCACCCTAAACAAGGACGGAAGCATCTCGGAGGTAGCAGTGCTACAGATGCACATAGGAGAACATGTCGAGAAGACGGTGTTTATGGTCACGGACATTGGTCCAGAGGATGTGATCGTCGGGTTGGATTGGCTACGCGAGCACAACCCTGAAATCGATTGGGAGAAGGGCTCCCTCAAATTGTCGCGCTGTCCTGAAACATGCAGTGCCAGGAAGATTGGCCGAATGGAGCAAGCAGCGACTGCACGTGATACGGGGGTCAGGCCCACGGCGCGCAGGCGTTTGCCGAAGTCCAAACGGTCGGTTATAGGGGCTTGCAGGAGTAAGGTACTCCCGGACTTCAAGTCCGAAGAAAATCCGACAGAAGTAGAGTGGGACAAGGCCGATTTGATCAAAGCCTGGGAGCAAGGTATCACACTTCCAGGCGCCCCTCAGCTATTCGTTGCAGTGGGGCATACATACTCCCAGCTGTTTGCTGAGGAGGAGATCAAAAAGAAGGTCGTTAAGACCGCCGAGGAGTCGGTACCTAAACGGTACCACGAGTTCCTGAATGTCTTCTCCAAGGAAGCATCAGAATGGCTACCCGAAAGGAAGCCGTATGATCACGTGATCGAACTCGTGCCTGGCTATTTGACATTCCATTCGAAGGTGTACCCCCTGTCGAACAACGAGCAGGAGGAGCTTGACAAGTTCCTCAAGGAGCAGTTAGCGAAGGGCTACATACGGGAGTCGAAATCGCCCATCTCGTCCCCTTTCTTCTTCATCAAAAAGAAAGAAGGGACACTTCGACCCGTGCAGGACTACTGCCAGTTGAACGCGATCACCATCAAGAATCGCTATCCGCTGCCACTGATCGCCGAGATGGTAGATAAACTGCGTGGCGCCACGCTCTTCACTAAGTTCGATGTCAGATGGGGCTATAACAATGTCCGGATTAAAGCCGGTGACGAATGGAAAGCCGCCTTCATAACTAACCGGGGGCTGTACGAACCCCTGGTGATGTTCTTCGGCCTCACCAATTCCCCTGCGACCTTCCAGGCAATGATGAATGAGATCTTCCATGATCTTATCGTCGGTGGAAAGATCCTTGTGTACCTGGATGATATACTCATCTTCTCCACCAACAAGGAGGAACATGAGAGGGTCACACACGAGGTTCTGCGTCATCTCCAGGACAACGATCTGTTCCTGAAGCCTGAGAAGTGTAAATGGGACATTCCCAAGGTTGACTACATCGGCTATGTGTTCGGTGGCGATGAGGTAGTGATGGATCCCGCGAAGCTGAAGGGAATCAATGAGTGGCCGGTACCCTGGAACAAAAAAGACGTTCAGAAGTTCCGGGGGTTCTCCAACTTCTACCGCCGCTTCATCAAAGACTTCACTAAGATCTTGCGACCACTTGACCGGCTCACAGGAAATGACCCATGGCATTGGGGTGAGGAAGAGCAGCA